AATACATCCGCCTCTATGTGGGACGACGACAAGATGACTGGGCAGAACACCTCCCCATGGCGGAGTTTGTGATTAACTCGCGGACTCACTCGGCCCTAGGCATGTCCCCATTCGAGTTAACCTACGGATACCTTCCCCTGTTCAATATCCCGGTTGGTCAACGCAGCGGCATTCCAGCGGTGGATGACCGCATACGGATTCTCCGAGAAGCGCGACAGGATGCTGGAGCTGCCTTACATCTAGGAAAGAAGCAACAAAAGGAGGGATACGAACGTGGGAAGCGAAAAGCGCATCAATTCAAAGTTGGGGACCTAGTTTGGCTAAGTGCGGAGGACATTAACCTGCAGCTATTCAGTGAAAAACTAGGAGACCGACAGCTAGGACCTTACTGTATTCTGGAGAAAGTCGGACCTCTGGATTACCGCCTTGACCTTCCCTTGTCATTAGACCGCCTTCATCCTGTCTTTCATGTCGACAAACTATATCCATGGAAAGGTAACCCCATCAATGGCGAAATACCAACACCACCAGAGCCGGTGTACTTAGAAGATGAAGATGAACCGGAATATGAAGTGGAGGAGATCTTGGACAGTCGGGTACGATGGAAGAAGTTGGAATATCTAGTAAAATGGAAAGGTTACGATGCAGGACACAACTCTTGGGAACCCGCACCCAACCTCAGCCGGGCACCAAAAATTGTTCGGGCCTTTCACAAAAAACATCCGACAGCGGCAAAACCTTGACCATCGAGGGCAATGGTCATAAGGAGGGGGGTAATGTCATAAAGTACGCAGCCCCTATCATTTTCCCTTTCTCACCGTCTCGACGCCTTTACTTGTACAATACATCATCCCATCGCTGTCAATCTCCATCGATTACTGATCTATCTATTACTGATCCACCTGACCCATCTTCTCTTTCTATCGGCTTCCGCCTCCTTCCTTGCCCCTGAACTGTACAGTATTACATCGTTGTTTCTCGCAGACTAGATTATGTATATATAGCCAACCCTCCACAGCTTGGTCCCTTATCTTGACCTCTCTGTCATTATCTGGGACCAGGTATGTGCTTACTTATTATTACCTATGACTACGATACTCAATATATCTCTGTCATTATCTGGGACCAGTTCGCCTCCGCTCCGCTTAGTCGCTCCGCCTCACTGACCTGCTTAGTTGCTCCGCCTCACTGCCTGGCTTAGTCACCCCGCTTCCTGCTCCGCTAGTCACTCCGCCTCTGCCGCTTCGTGACAAGAGCCTAATAGAAAGGGAATGTGTAGCAAGAAAGAACAATAAGGATGAGATTACAATCAACAGTAGATCTCGGAACACCAAGCGGCAGAGCGGGGCACCGAGGCATGGACTTGGCAGAGTCCTTGATACATCTGTGGTGTTATGTAATACTAACCAAGATCTGTGCTAGTGGCCCATGTCCCTGAATTTTGTCACACCAAATGATAGAGGACTAGGTCTTATACATGCGATTGCAGGCCATTGCACCGCTGATCCTTTGTGGCCATAGTAACTAAAGAAACAGAGTGCAGCATAGTGGAATGCAGGATTATCAAAGGCTATTTGTAACTTTGTCATGTTGGAACATACTCTGTACATACTGATATAGCTGTAATCCCACTTGGGGACCCACATAACTGAGAGACAGTGTTATTACTTGATACTATGCAGTTCTACATAGATCACACTGTTTAGAGTACTCAACTCCCTCAGTTGCTAACTGAGGTAAACTTGAAGTATATTCATATAGATTAATTGCAGTAGATTAACTTGACTTAACAGGTACCCACAGCTGCCACACCACCAACTGAGATTAAGTTGACTTAACACCTCAGATAAAATATATGCAAAAATGAAAGACATGGACTATTTATTGCCAGCTTCAGCTTCAACAATGCATTGTGAATTGTACCATTTTCATCTTAATTGATAGTTATATATTGTGTAAATTATTCAATATAACAATCTCACCAGAATAAAAATGACAAAGACTGAAATCAATCTTGTGCATACTCTGACATACCCACTGTGAGCTTGTCCTACAAACAAGTGATTCAAACCCAAATCCCAAATACTTGCCAAAGCAGTACTGTACATTCTCAATCAGGGAAAATACATTGAACATTAAACTTGTCAATATTCTTTACTGCCTTAGGCATATAATATAGGGATATATCATTGATAAAAGGTGATAATGATAGAATCTCCAGAACCTGCAACAAATTTCTGCATGAAGACACTGTAGAATGGAACTTTTTGTAACACTCCTGTCTCTTGGCATCTGCAAAACATGGATATTTGGCTAAGGGCCGAGGACAGATCCCAGCCAATCCCAGTACTGAAAGCACTGAGAGCAGGTTGCTCTGAGTGCTTTCACTGCTGGGAAATGCTCTCAACTGCTTTCAGACCCTTAGCCAAAATACAGGTTTTGCAGATGTGGCAACAAGTCTGTCTTGGATAAAATGAGTGACCTAACAAAAATGCTGGCTGTTGCTGATACCAAAATAGACTCTGAGTATATGTTACTCCAATGCAAACAAATGAAGAACTGGAAACTGATTTATACCATTAACCATAAACCAATGTCCAGATCCTTTTTAAAACCAGAGCCACAACTGCATTTTCTTTGAGAAGTCCCAATGACTACAGAAACAGCTCTGGGGATAGTGATACATCATGAGCAGAGCTTGCCTCTAAACTATGACTGAAGACATTATTGTACAATAGATTACACTCTGATGAAGCTATATATACTCACCCTATCGATATCACAGATTGACTCAAGACATTGAATGACAATATCAACTGTGAATTAAGTGCAGTAAAAAATGACTTTCAACAAACCTGCATATTGGATATTTCAAGATATATTAGTGATATTACTCTTTCCTTCAAAGACTCAAAATGACTCATTACATCAGTTGCACTGACTCAACATACATGTTTCTCTGCACAGCCATACTCCATTACATATCTTATGGCAGCAAAATTCTATTCAAAATATTACTCGGTCATCAATGACTTGCAGTAAGTCAAATCTTGTTTTACATGATCATATATTCTTGAAAACTCATAATATGACTCTTAATACTGCTTTACAACAACATTTAATCTCAAACTTAGTTCATGCTGGCCAAATGAATGGAGTCATGCCTAGTCATGCCAATGCATTTTACCCCCCAAAAACACACCCTTGATATAACTAAAGCTGTGTTTCTACAGCTTTGCATTCCGATCTACAGACCCGATTTTAATACATCCAAAAAAGGAAATTTCCTGCCAGATTACCGATCGCTACCTACAAGGACCTCCTCTTTCAGAGTTGGTGATCCGTTCTCCCGCTTTGGCCTCTTTTTTGTACTTCGCGGTGGGTAATTCAGAGACGGGTCATTGCGGATGCACAGAAGGACAAGAGGTTATTTGCTCTATGACCCTCTGTATATGGCATCCTTCACGAATATGGGATACGCAATACGCAGAAGAAACACGGTTCTAGTACCGGTACATCTTTCTTGTACTACTCCTCCGTTCGATATCCATTTTCTGCACTCCTTCTCCTCTTTGTCCAGGCTATATTGATTCAAATCCTCTCCGACGATGACCAAGAATCGATCTCGACTCTGACATTCTTTTTTGGTCATTCAGTGAGACTTCGTGTGCTAAATGCTCCCACCGGAGATGCGAGGAGATCGTTGTGGGAACTTAAGGATCGTTGTACGCTTTAGATGAGTTACACAACCGTGGTACGTGTTTGTCTTCATTCACTCAGTTGGATGATCTCAGTGTCTCTCGCTCGTGACGGAAATTGTTCGCTCCATTAGAAGTGTACTTGTCCCGGTATTCCGCTATATATACGACCATGATGAAAACGCAGGATTCATCATTCTTTTTGTCTGTGGCTTCGTTATTCTCTTTGATCTCAGCCCCACTTAGTTTTCAATTCATAGTCATCTCTTCAAGTCCCAACTTAGGTGAATGTACCCCATTTCTCCTGACCTGTCTTTGAGCCATGGTGCCTGTTCTTCTTGTTCCTTATACCTTGCTTTACATGTCTGGGGTGTCTGGGGTCAGTATTGGCCCTGGCCGTACCGACCAATGAGCCATGTGTGCACAGAAGAGATGCTGACATCTCTACCTGTGTCATTCTCAAACTATGTAAGATAAGTCTGCCCAATCGAGAATACAAGAGACTCCAAGATGCTTGGCTGGAACAGCCCTGTGCGGGTATGCAACACTTGTGCACGGAAGGTATCTGACCCTAGGGTGTCCCTGTCGGAGGCTGGACACGAAAGATATCAAAGGAAGGGAAGGGTGCGCTCAGAGTTTTCGTTGTATCGAGGCTTGGCGATGAGAGATGAGAGAAGATATAATCGCCCTACTAACACTGCTACGTCGGATCTCCCAAGGCGATCAATCTTATGAAAGCGCTCACCACACTTGTGTCTGGCTGACCGAATGTGTTTTGTTCTGCGATGTATGTACCGCGGTTTCAATTCCGAAATTAAAGCATCCTCTATGCGCGTATCAGAGTCGAAACTTGGTTTTCCATTGGTCACTTCTACTCTGTTCCTGCTCGTACCTGATTTTCTCTTCTAACTTTTTCACAAGTAACCTAACCTATCTAAACTTTCCCTCAAGCTCTCTCCGAATCCGCAATCGATTGAATAATTTTTGCACCCGGCGTCTTGAAAGCAGAAGGTCCGAGGAGGACAAACATAACTTCGGGTCGTAGTAATGATGACCAGGACGTGGACAGCTCGTATCACACTATCTTATCGGGCTGTGCGAGGGGGACATGGTATGAATCTGAATGTCATGCTCAGCGCTGTTCCAGCGTTCAACGGTAAGTGTAGGGCCTGTGGAGTCCTGCAGAGGTAAAATATCGACTCAGGACCAGCTCATAGACCAAGATAAGCACCGGAATCGACGGAGATGCCTGAGAGTTGGGGTGTTGGATCCTTTCGTGCAACATAGATGTGGCCCTGGTGAAAGCAAGACAAAAAATGCAAACATTGCGCCATGGACATATTTATACAGAGGCATTCGCTGAATTTCTTCGGCATTCTTAGCCTTCCTCCTTCGATTCCCTCGTTGGCAAATCCTTGAAAAATGACACCTGAAGAAACATCGCTGTTAGCTTCTATCGGAGTCACTGATTATTGGAACATCGCACAGCTGGTTTTGATTTGCTCTATGTATGGTCTGTCTTTGTTTCTAGATTCAGTTGATGTTTGCATGAATACTAACCTGTCTCTGCTGTTGACAGGATTTTATCTTCTCCTGGCTTTCATAGCATTAGCACTACTTCTGTATGTCTAATCTCTCTCTCTCTCATTTATTTCTTGTCTGCCCATACTCATTCCAACATGATACTTGAATCAGGAAATCGGGAATCCCAAGCACTCGTCCCCGTCGTTATCTTCTTGGTATCACAATCATTATTCTGGGAATCAACACCTGGGCATACATTATTAGTGTCGGAATTGAACTCGTTCGATTGAAAAATGTGTTCAATCCCCTGAGTAATGGTGGGGGGCTTAGAGCGCAAGCAGAGGTGGCAAATGCCAAAGCATTACCATGGGGCCATATGAGTGTCTGGGCAGCAAACTTGAATGTCCGTTTTCTTCTCCTTCAAGATGTAACTCATAATATAAATACTAAACGCTGGAACACAATTTAGCTTCTGGTTGGAGATGCTACGGTTATATGGCGAGCTTGGGCAATATATACAGGGAACAGGATTGTTCAATGGTTTCTGGTGACCCTAATGGCATTGAACGGAGGCGAGTTTCCGTACTTTTGATTGATCCGCGTTCCCCTTTTTTTCGAATCCTCAGTCTTTTACTCGGGTCAATTCTGAATGTTCTTTACAGCCATACTCATAATCTCTAGCGCATGCGATGTGGCAGATCTATCCGAGGGTCTACAGACAACTGTTCTTGCTCTCAGCGTGACATCGATTTGGACTTCTCTACTTACGAACCTCGTTGCTACATCACTCATCGGGGTCAAGTTGATGTAAGTATCAATGGAATGGTAATCATTAAGAATAAATTGAACCTATACCTTGATATTTAGAGTGCACCATAAAACTGTCAAGCCATTGTATAACGGGAAACAACGGTCGCACGTTGAACGTCTTCTGCTATTGTTGGTTGAATCTGGGACAGTCCTAGGCGTCTTCCAGGTCTGTCGCTGTCCTATCAGTCCCATTCATAGATATCTCACTAGGAGAAACAGCTCCTCTATGCAATTTTACTCACCTTGGAAGACTTTACGATCACCACACAAAATGAGACGGCCGCGTACCTGATGTTCAGTTCGGTCTTTTTGGAGGTAGTGGTAAATAATATTCCGATCATTCTACTATACATTCTCAGTAACGCTAACGGTACGCCGTGTCTTCTTACAGCCAATGTATCCGGTGGCAGTGATTATCCTCGTCAATTTGGAGCGAGCGCCACTGGCAGAATCTTTTCACCTCAGCATTCGTGCAACACCTGGCACTGCAGAGTCCAAATCACCCAATGGACACAAAGTAGCTGGTAGCATCGATTTAGCAACGCCGCATCATCTCTCAACGATCAGATTCGTTGAAGGAGGAGGCGACGATGCTTTGATGACAGCTGGTAGCAGCTTCAATAGTGACCATGTTGCACAAAACGATCTGGAGGCCGACAATTCTCAAATTTAATCTGTTGCGACAGCTGTTAATCTTTATTAACTTTGAAAAAATTCCAGTTCTTAACTTATAAACATCATGTATAATATTCTACAGTCCGATTATCTGTACTTATAATTCTCGTTTGGTGAAGTGAGATAAGTGGTAAGTAGAGGTACTAATGGGACCGAACAAGGTTGCCTAACACCCTTCACAACCTCGAAAAACTTATGGAACCACATGTAGATAGTTGCCTTCGAGTCAGGGCGGTGTCAAACCTGATGAATTTATTCAGCGACTACCTAAAAAGCAGAGCATCTACAAATGAGCGAGAGGTCTCGTAGGCAGAAGGAATAATTAAGTATTGTATGGATCACCCAAAAAAGCTCAAAAATGAAAACAGTCCTTGTGAATCATGTCAACGACGAAATACGGTATATGGTACTCTATGAAAAGTCCTTGAGTGGTATTTTAGGGCAGTCAACCCAAGAAAGTCCGAAACATTGATACAATCATTTGATACTTCTAGAGTGCAAAGAAAGTGACGGCGAGAACAACAGCTCCGACAAGAGCTTTAGAGGAGGTGACCGACATTGCACCATTCGTTGAAGAAGCGCCTACGGGGGAAGATGTAGATGAAGCCGAGGATGCACTTGAAGAGGCAACAGAGCTTGCAGTAGATGTGGACGAAGAATCAGATGATGGAGAAGAGGCAGCATTAAGAGCGCTTCCAACATCGGGGGGAACCATCATGGGGGTTGAACCGATCGAGGCAAGGTTGACCGAGCCATCGGCATTCATGATATCCGGGTTCATCGCCAACACATTACGGGTGAACATGACATTTTCAACAACGGCGTCGTACGCCCAAGAAGGCATGTTGCTCATATCAATGTTAGCTCCCCAGTTAGCACCTGCAGAACCAGAGGTCTGGTTGGATGTGTACGAAGCATATGTAGCCAGATTTCCAGAGGTATCCTAAGCATGGCCAGAAAGATAAGCACATGGAAAGAAAATGTAGTAGGGATACTGACGTTAGAAACAACAGAAGACATCATTCCAGCAACAGAGGTTGGGGCGTCAAGAGCCGAAGGAGGGTTACTGAAACCTTAGATTAGCTCTTGGTCGTCGATACAGATAAGAATAACATACATGATACCGAACATTCCCTTCTCACAGTGAGTGGGAGTTCCACAATAGAAGAAAGTGGGGTTGGTATCGTTAACCACTTGCGTGACTGCGATAAGAATAAATAATCAGATTCCTCACATAGTGCGCGACAATTCACGTACAGACGAAGCTTTGATTTTGTTCTCCTGATGCGAAAGGAGCATCGGAGGTCTTGTTGCAAGGAGTCAATTCGGAACTCTTGGTGACGGTGTGGTTGTTAGCTCCCCACATGAATTTGATAGTATCTCCAACAGAGGCATTAACGGCGAAAGGCACATATCTCAGCACACCCTGAGTGGGTGCAACGACTACAGTGATGGTTGAGCCAGTACCGGTGCTACCTGAACTTCCACTGGTGGCAGTCGGAGCATACGTTGCGGGGGTACCGAAAGAAGCAATACATTCTGAAGATGAAAAACCCTTAGTCAAATCGAGTCCAAGGTGTATCACACAATTAACTTACGTTGTACCTGTGCAGAAATCATGGTCAGCCGACATGCTTCAAAATATGGAAGAATATTCAAATGCTTACGCAGCCATCATAACCAGAACTTCCCCAGCTGCTGGAACCGGAACCGTAGGAGGGGGTACTGTAGCTCATAGCGGCAGTGGTAGTAACAGAAGTAGCTGCTGCTGTCTCGGTCATCATAATACTGCTAGATTCCATCATCATGGTACTGGTTGAGTCAATCATCATGGTACTGCTAGATTCCATCATCATGGTACTGCTGGAATCCATCATTGACATAGATGTGTCTGAGCAGTCACCACTGGAGCAGCCGGAAGAGATCATCGAACTGGAAGATGAACAGTCTCCGCTGCTACAGCTAGAGTCTGAGGACGAAGATGAACAGTCTCCGCTACTGCACCCGCTCGATGCAGCGGATGATGATGAACCTGAACAGTCTCCGTTTGTACAAGCGCTGGTTGAACTAGAGCTATACGGAAGAGCCGATGCAAAGCCAGACAAAAGGGCGACAGCGATCAAGGATTTGGGGAGAACCATGTTATAATCAAAGAGAGTAGGTTAACCGTAGAGGTGTGTGGGGGGGTCGTTGAATAAAAAGGACTGAAAGCTAGTGGAAACCTCCGGAGGATTTGCTGGGACCTCTTGACTGGCAAAGAGGGCGGATGATCTAGCAAAAAAATTAATTTTCAATCACAGGACAAGGCCACATAGACAAAAATTGACACACCTCAGACACTGAACGAAGGGAGTGAGACTGGGCTCGACTCAAAAATAAAGCAAACAAAAAAACGAAAGGAGGGAAGGAAACGAAGGGTGTGAACTATCTTTCTCCACGTCTACTCTTTTATGTGCTCGACATTGAATTCTGATTCGATATGACATGCCGTTGTCTGGCAAGAAATGATTCCATGTCAAAGCGTACCGGTGTTTGGGTGCGTTGTTACGGAAAATCACCGAGTTCTCCTCTCGATCAGGACCAAATCAAGACCGAGCAAATGGTTGGTTTGATGGTTATCTTACACCAAACTCCCATTGGCGTTCCTTATATATAGGTATCATATTGTATGTTACTACTATGTACTTTACATACAACAGACAGTTAGCAAGTGATCGTTTCCATCCATCTGTCCAACGAGTGTGTGTGGTCTGAAAATCGCATTCATCTACGGCGAGGTCCAGGAGTTGAGGGGAGGCCAACCCTTGGCCGAGGAAGTTGGGGGGCAGCTTGTTCGGTAGTAACATGAAAATCAGATGCAGTCGTTGTTTGTGTACGTCTCGCCTCACGAAGAGCCTTCAAACGATCTGTACCCGTCTGTGATTGTTTCGACAGTTCCATGTTGTTGTTGAGAGCTGTGCTTCGGTTGATAGATCTATTCAACGTGGAAGCTGATTCGGGGACCTTGCGATTTCTGACTCCTGATCCCTCTTCACGCCCTCTGCCGCTGCGAACATTGTGAGGGGCCACTTGCTGTTCTTCAACTCTGGGAGGGCGTTTACGAGGTTGTCGCTCGTGTTCTGCAAAAAGAAACGCAGGGAGCTCGCTAGAGTCTCGAGCTTTCTCGATATGATACGCCTTCATTGCTCTTGTCAATCTTGATTCCTGTCCAGGTGGAGTTTCTGCAACACAGGATGAGCTAGATCGCGCGAAATGGGACCAATCTTGATTAGGCCTGACCTTCTCCCAAAAGCACCGACACATTGGCTGCCCAGGCTTTGCTGACACTAATGGTCAGCGTGCTAGCAGCTGTAGCTACACGGTTCCACACGGTATAGCCGTCACCGGTACCAGTATCAGTTCTTTCCATTTCAACCCTCTCTAAATAGACGGAGAGAGTGAGTTAATAGCATCTAGGGAACGTAAGTGATGTTTACCTGGTAGAGGGGCTGAAAGAGATGGCAGCAAATGTGGCTTCCGCATAGAGCGTCCTCGAGAATCGTTATCAACCTCGTTGTCATGGTCTTCAATACTGGTGAATGAGGAGGCATAACTTGCGGCTCCGTTCTTAACCCGATCGAATATCGAAGAGGCAGAGGAAACTGTAGATGAAGAGTCCTGAGAAATGCGGGACGACGTCGAGTCGTAAGACGATGAGGATTGAGGGGATTGTGGGGTATATTTCCTTTGCCAGCTACGACTGTATTCCGATGAAGTAGGTGGCGAGGGTAGTGGAGGACCAGCACGAGACGGTTCACGCGAAATTGAGGCAAGCGAACGTTGGGACCTCAAATGTCTAGTAGATGGAGGAAAATTAGTACTTTCAATTGGCGAATCAGAACGTCTGGCGTTCTGTCGTCGCGAAGGACCGGTGGAACGCGAACGAGGACCAGAAGGCAAGCCTCCAGGCATGGTGCGAGGACTGTTGGGAAGCATGGAAAGTACACTAGAAAGCTAAATAATACAAAAATCCTGCAACCAGTCCAGCACCAGCTGGGGGTCGGAGTTGAAAGAAAAGATAAAGAGAGCTGTCTTACTAAGCAGGCACCGTTGCCATAAGTCAAAGTCGCGAACAGCTCGTGATCCTGAAATTACGCAAACTTTAGCAATGGGCCTTCCACAACTTTATCACGACGCGGCGGGCTCAAGTTGCCATTGTTCCTTCAACATACTATGCTTACTGGTCGTCGTCTAGTAGTAGACTCTTCTCGGGCCCTACGGTCCCTTCGATTTTCCAGTACATCCACGACCTCTGACAAGTACAAAATTGTCGTGGTTGGGGCTGGCAAGTTTTCTTACATCCTCACAAAACGCAGCTCACTTGATTCTGTATAAAAGGTAGCGGTGGTTTGTCCGTGGCGAACCAAATTTATGACCGGTTCGCAGCAGCGGGCAAGTCCCTCAATCCCGGAGACATCGCCATCATAGATTCTGCTGAATATCACTACTATCAGGTGTGTGTGTGTGCGGTGCATGTCAGCGAAGTTAATGTGGGTATCAAAACACCATCATCTTCATAGCCTGGATGGTGAGCATAGCACCTATTGTCGATCATGACTCTTTCCACTGATTGATGTTTGGTTCGTTCAAAGGACTTTAGTAGGCTCTGGGCTGCGTTCCAAGTCAACTACACGCCAACCCCTTGAGTCCTTAATTCCCAAACATTTGACACACATCTCGGAGAATGTGAAGACTTTTCTCCCCGAGTCGTCTTCCATCACGACAACGTCGGGTCGTAGCGTGTCGTATGATGCTCTCGTTGTGGCTACCGGTCTTCAAACCAATTGGAGCGGTATTCAGGGTTTACCGCAAGCGCTGGTCGACTCTTCCTCAGGCGTTTCCTCTATATATTCTTACGACACGTGTGATAAAGTTTGGAATGATATTGAAAGTCTGCGGAATGGGAACGCGATCTTCACTCAGCCTGCTGGAGTGGTGAAGTGTGCTGGAGGTAACTGAGGACCAACACTTCACCATGAAACTGCAAATTTGACCTTTTCCTTAGCACCTCAAAAGATTATGTGGATGGCTCTGGATCGCTTCAAAAGAACTTCCCGAGCAGACAAGATCAAGGTGAACTTCTACACCGGCATGCCCACCATGTTTAGTGTAAAAAAGTACTCGGACGTTCTGGATCGTCTTCGCCAAGATCGGGGTGTCGGGGGATACTTTCAGCATAACCTCATCTCCATCGATTCCCCAAACCACAAAGCTACTTTCAAAAAGGCGGACGGTACGACTGTAGACGTAGATTACACCACTTTACATGTTACTCCCCCCATGGGCCCTCTTGATTTCCTGAAAGGCTCTCCCATTGTTGATTCTGCTGGCTGGGTGTCAGTGGACCCCGCCACTCTTCAACATACTAAACCCGAGTACAACAACATCTTCGCCCTTGGAGATTGCTCTTCAGCTCCTACGTCGAAAACCGCAACTGCTGTCATTGCTCAAGCGCCAGTCCTGACAGAGAATTTGTTCTCCGTGATGGATACCGGCAAAGTCTCCACTGCAAAATATGATGGATACACTAGTTGTCCTGTAAGTCATTTTTCAATCTTATCTTTTCTCTACTAATTCAGAATCGGGTTCGGAAAAGCTCCTCACTGGATACGGTGAACTCTTGCTTGCCGAGTTCAAATATGGTTTAGAACCGAAAGAAACCTTCCCATGGATGGACCAATCAAAGCCCAATCGGTGCGTATTGTTCTTCAATCAAAGTACGGAGTTCTTATTGAAATGTTTACTCTAGGTTCTTCTATCATCTCAAGAAGGTCAGTATACTCTAATACCCATGCTCGGTTTTTTTTTAAAATTGCATTCACCTCTTAGGATTTGTTCCCTGCTGCGTATTGGAACCTCATGGTACGCCGATATCCATCTACCCCTCGAAACTTGATTTACAGGTCTCCAATGCAGGTTAAAGGGAAGTGGTACGGTAACAAGACAATCTTCAGACCTTCCTTCTCTTCTTAACCTTCGAGTACATTGCAAATATTTGAATGGCATCCCTCATTCCCAAGCTATTATTGTTCTTGGTACTTTCGTCAGGATCACCGATTGGCTCGATCGCAGTAAATCACAATCTCAGCTCCGATTGTCGAGGAGCCTCTGCATTCCCCAGCATCAGCTGAGGACGCGACGGTACGTTATGTAATATCCGTGTCGGTAGATGACTTCCGCGAGATACGACACGGGTTTGAAGTAACACCGTTAAATAAATCCGTTGTTCGAATTCAGACCATTAATTCGCAAATGAAATTTTTAAAAAACAGAAAGAACAAGTTGGGAACAAGAAGAATACATATTTGTTTTGAGGCCGTGTCGACATTGAGATCGCTTTATCATTTACCCTTATTCACAATCTAATAACAAGAGGGTGCGACTAGGTGCGGTAAAACAAAGTTAAGTACGTATAGTCAAAGAGTCATTTTGAACATTGGGGTCGGACATACAAATTACAATGCTGATTGCCATGATATATATTGAGTCATCCTCCAATAAATAAGCGACTCACTCAGCAGTGCTCCCGAATGTACATACGGAGCCATTCTCATTACCAGTGCTCACATATAGGATCATTTTTCTCGTTCTCTTTAGTTCTTTAGCATGTTATCGCTCCATGAATTGTGAGATAACGAACCCAAACATTTCCTGGTGAGTTTCTGTTCGTTTCTTGTTCGATGGTCATTTAATGTAAACTTTGTAAGTAGCTGTGACAATTTCGGCCGTGTTCACGATCTGCTGCAGCCTTCATCTACATTTACTCTATCAGGACTCGCATAATATGTCAGGATCAGCCCAACGTCCATCCGAAATATCTTCTTCCACCAGTTCGTCTTTTGAAGGACAGGCTTCCCTGAAAACGGCGAATTCACGCCTCGTATATCCCTATGCGCGTGAATCATTGGGCACGACATCTTCTGTTCCTGGACGCGCTTTAAAACGCGATGCTGGTGTCCCATCTACTGGAATGTTTACGGAGGGTTCACGAGATACGACGATTCGGACCAAAGCACCAACAAATGACAACCTAGATCATGAAGAGGGCAGTCGAGCCGCAACAATACGTCGGCACTCCGTAAATATGGGGAAGTCTATCAGGAGGAGGTTCAAGTCTGTTACGGGCGTGTTGACACGGAGGTCTATGTCTATATCCTACTCGGCGAATCGGACGAGGGACACAGGCTTCCCATTCGAAGCATCCGAATTGAAGAAGAAACCTCGCGGGAGTATGAGCTTGGATTCTAAGACAGTCATGCGCCCTCTACAAAGTTCGCAGAATGGTCTTCTTCGCACTACTTTAAACTCCCCTTCAATCCACCCTCTTGAACTTCCAGAATCTCTTTCCGAAACTGAAACCCAACACACTGAGATTGCATTCATTTTCCCGGTCCAATCCCCTTCACCGCACGCTGCAGCTATTGACCAGTTCATCCCGGAAGACCAGATGCTCTCTCCAATCATTCCCTTCAGTGACTCCATTTTAACAGAATCCCTTATCGATTTTGTAGTCCCCCAGTTCTTGCAGCAAGGGACACCGCTCCTTAAGATATCCAAGAAGAGGCACAAACCTATTCAATTTGTGTTCAGACTTGACGCCGACCAAGGTCGAATTATTTGGGAAAGCAAGATCCAAAAATTCAGTGAGCACTTATCCGCGTTCCGGATCGTTGTGATTCTCTGACTTTAAATATTATTTAGTTGCGGTAGAGAACATTAAAGAAATCCGAACAGGCCAAGCTGCTCTTCATCATATCACGCAGTTACAGTGTACTCCTGTGGAAGATTATCTTCCTCGTTGGTTGACACTGATATACCTCGGACCATCTCCGAGCAAAGCTCGTTCAAAACCCAACCTTTCCCCGCTTCCCTTGGGTTCTCCCAAATCGAATTATTCCGTTCACACTTACAAGACCCTTCATCTTGTAGCCTCCTCCCATTTAGTCATTCAACTTTGGGAGCGTACGTTGAGGTCAATGGTGGCCTTGAGAGTTAGCTTAACCAGTGGACTCGGGTTCGGCGGAGGAATGAACAGTGATAGAATCATGGAAGAAACACGCCAAGCCCTTTGGGAGCGCAGTTTCTGGACAGCTGCTGGAGAGAACATGCGCTCGAGGTTTGGGTCGAACGCTGACTGGAGTGTTGGTGAAGGCGATGAGTCCTTAGAATTATCTGGCGCCCACGAAGGACAACGTCTGACCTTTAATGAAATGCGTGCTTTGTGCGAAAGGCTGAATGTAAGGATGTCAGAAAAGGAAGTGCGAAGGTTGTTCAATGTATGTGGTCAAATGTATCGTATGTAAACTCATCCACACTCATACTGATATTAGAACGCGGATACTTACCGACAAGGATCTTTGGATTTCGAAGGTTTTCGGCGTTTCGGAAAGCTCCTCAAGGCACGCCCAGAACTTGACAGGCTATTCAAGAGTCTGGTTCAGAGTAACGTGGAAATCGCCGATGCTGTAGACGATGGCTTCTTCCATAGGCAATCCTCACGTGGCAAGGATTGCAGTAACATGCCTTTCAACATCTTTCGGAGTTTTATGCGCGAGAAGCAAAAGGTAGGTTTTGTCTGCTACAATACGTGATACATCGTTTTGACTTCATGTCAGTCTACGCTTTCCGAAGCTGAATTAAAGGACATCTTTGATCGATATTCTGTCGAGGTAGCGGGCACTACTATCGACGATCAAGGTTCCCCGTATCTGGCTTTTCCATACACAAATCACACTCTAGGTATCTCGACTTCTTCGTTAGAGGCCCCTCCACCATCAATATCTTCATCTTCTCTCAATGTTCGAGAATGGGAAGCAGATGTTTCATATATTCCACCTTCTGCGCTGTTTGCCGCATCTTCACCGCCCACGACAAGAGTGATTACGCTGGAAACGTTTACTTCGTTTCTTCTCTCTTCCGATAATCCAGCTTGCTTAGAACCACGTACAAATGACGAGGCTGGCCCTTCCACGCATAATCATGGTTTCAGCCACCACCATACACGACATGTTACGACATTCCATCGTTTATCAGAGACCTCCCACGACATGACACGACCATTATCTGACTATTATATCTCATCTTCACATAACACATATTTAATTGGACATCAGCTTTACGGAGAAAGTACGGTGGAAGGGTATGTCAGGGCTTTCCTAGGTGGATGCCGCTGTGTTGAGTGTAGGGTGTTCGTTCAATCGCTGCGTTTGGAATAGCTCACATACTCCCTGCCACAGTGGACATATTCGATACTGACACCGGGCCCCAAATCTTTCATGGCAAAACGCTCACATCCAAAGTCTCATTGCGCGAAGTTTGTGAAGCCATCATGACTTATGGCTTCGTTGCGTCCCAGTATCCACTCATAATTTCTGCAGAGATTCACTGCGGGCTCGTCGGCCAGGCTCAGCTGGTCGGTATTATGAAGGGCGTCTTTAAAGACAGACTTGTGAGACGAGACGAAAATGGAGCTATAGTCGGCATGTCCGAAGCCACACAATCATTGGATCGAACTAGCGAAGTATTGCTCTCAGCGTCAACGATTGAAAAACTTCCTAGTCCTGAAGAACTGAAGGGCAGAATATTGGTCAAGGTCATTATTTTCTAGAGTGTTTACTTGTTTGCAACTTTTGTTAACCTTGACTTTAGGCCAAGAAGTTGCATTCCATTGACTACATCGATTCGCCACCTCTTTCACAAACCTCGTCGACGTCTAGCCGTAATACACTTCAACTTGGTCACCCATTTGACGGTATCACATCGTCCCCTTCGGACACAGACGCGATGTTTGATTTGCAAAACCTCTCAATGTCAATGAGGCGCAGCTCTGAAGGTACAAATAGAGGTGATTTTAAATCAATCTCGCCGACATATTTCCTGACCAGACGTAGACGACGTAGACTCAGATATGCTTCACAAAGTCAGAGGCCGTGGAAAGCCCGATTCGAGTCCCCCTCCCTCTTCATACTCACCTCGCCGGCCTATCAAAAAAGCTCTCGCATCTGGCCATTCATCAACCTCTTCGGTGGCATCATCAAAGACCAGAATGAGAATGTCGCCAGATCTTCTCTCTCTTCTTGTCTATACAGTCGGTGTAAAATACCGTGGTATCAACAAAAAAGAAGTCTATAGATCCGAAGAAATGTTCAGCCTTTCAGAGAACATGGCTAACAAAATGCTCAAAGTCGGGATGATTGACTTGATAAAGCATACCCGCGGGCATTTGGTCAGAATATATCCTAAAGGTACACGAGTTCGTTCGACGAATTATCAACCGCATCGCTACTGGAGTGCTGGCGCTCAGTTGGTGGCGATCAATTGGCAGACCGTTGGTAAGTTGCCCGGAACAGCATTTTTTTCCGCAGAAACTTATCAACGTTCAGACCTCGGTTACATGATCAATCACGCTATGTTCCAAAGGAATGGCGGTTGCGGCTACTTGCTCAAACCTTTACCTTTGCGTATGCCCCACAAGGGATTACTATCGAAACAGACCCAGCATTACCTTGAACTGACTATCGTATCCGCTCAGCATCTTCCTGCGCCTAAGGATGCGTCCGGCAAAGACGTCTCTGAATCATCTCCTGTGAATCCTTACGTCCAGGTCACAATCCACGTACCCGACTGGCCGACGCCCCCCTCTGTGTCTGCCAATTCTATTGCATCGGGATTGGTATCTGCGAATGACGCTGTATCTGCAGTGCTGAGCCAAGGGAGTGGACCGCCTAGTCCAGCTTCTGGTTATTTCCCAACGAATCCACGATTTCCTCGCAGTACTTCATACTGCACCAGCGTAGTGAAGAACAATGGATTCAATCCAGTTTGGGAAGAAAATATGCGGATCCCATTTACTTGCGTTGGAGATATGAAGGATCTCATTTATGTCAACTTCGCTGTGCGACATACCGAGCGGGAGGATGTGGAGCCATTGGCCCAATTTTTTGCCAGTTTAGGGTGCCTCCAACATGGTATGTGTTTCCACTGGAAACTTGATCTTGCTAACGGTGTCGTATCATCAGGTTACAGACATTTACCACTTCATGACTCTCAAATGTCCCAATATCTATTTTCCACTCTTTTTGTCCGCATTGACATCTCATGACATGAATTATAATCTTGTACGATATCAGATTTCAAGACGTAACGTGTAAAATATTATGAAATGCCTCTTCCGCTTCGTCCTTGTCGTTCAGAGCTGGTTCGGACACAAAATCAAGTGCGAATCTGATCTTTGTGTTAGACCTTGCTACGTGCGCTGTTTAACAAAGCTTGCGCGACAACAGAGTGAATATCTGTACATCGACCATCACATGCGTCTAAACACTAGGAGTATAAATTCAGCAATGGTACGTGTAAAGAAGCCAAATGCATACTGCTGAAACCTGAGAAATAGCCATCCGACCCGATTGCCACACGTTGGTCACAATTCCAAGGGCAGGCATACAAGACAAAATGAGGGTCCCGTTAGCCATATCGCACTCTTCTTGTGTTGGATCAACCCAGATATCTTCCCCTATGATCGCCTTCGACCAGAATCAGTGATAATTTGACCGAGCAAAGAAAGACGAACAGCAGTGCAAGACGTTACGAGGCCATACATATCGATACCAGCATCAGCCAAGGCCGTACTAGCAGCAATCGAACCTGAAGCAACACATCCCTCGATTCCATCTGCTTCTATTATAACCAAGAAAATATCGATTGTGGATTTTGGGAAATGCTCTAGTCGAACAGAGGACAAGAGGGCCTGTTGAATAGCAACCGCGATTGACCGATCTTCTGCATCCTAAGAGATATAATGAATAGGACTTCGTTGTCGGTCCAATCTTACACACCCGAAGTGGGGCCCTCCGACGCTCAGAAGAAAACGGCGTAAATTTTACCTCCACGTTCAGTCTACCCTTTTCGTTGTATGCAGTGTTTTTTGATTGACGAGGCCCATAACTTGTTGCACCCTTCAATCAGAAGTCGGTATTTTGAAAAGAGTAAAGAACAGACACTGAGCATGCAATCTTTGTCCGATCCGTCTCGATATATGCTGAGCCATTCGCCTGGCTTATAAGTCCAGGCTGAAGAACTGGAGGAAGTTGATATGAACATGTATGATCTCTTGAATTCATAAGGAAAAACAAACAGATAGGTCGAATATCAGAAACGCTTCGATTATGGCGGTCTTTGTACAGATCTGGAGTGAGCGATTTTTGATGTTCGTCGGCGAAAATTGGAGCAGAGCTATCTTCTGGTCCGTTTATTCGTCTTCTGTCAAAGACAGACTGCATTTTGGAAAAGGATTACTCATGCCGCGTGTAATGACTGGCACGTGTCACCGCTTGTTTACCCGATCAACGAAGTCGCCAGGTTGGCTCCACACCGCAATGTCCCGGCTTACTGCCGCTCAAATCATCGCTCAAGGCGATTACCTTGAGCCCGATTTCCAGCCTACAACTCTCACTATCTCTCAGCTACTGGGCGTCCTTGGTTATCACAATATCATTTACCCGACTCCGTACTCGAAAGCGAAACTCGTCCAAGTTTTTAATGACGAAGTCAAACGGCGAGCCGCAAAATTCAAGAAGGAGAGGATAAAGAAAGAGAATAGTATTGCGAGCGATGATGGAATCAAGGATGGGGTCACTGGCGAGTATCTCAGCGGTGTGGGTGATAACCGTTTTCTGTTCTTGTATATAACATTGACTTCCTCATAGCCTCCAATCATAAGGAGATCCTCTAGGCGACTTTCACGCGCGCCTTTAAATCTCGATGACGAGGAAGAATCACCACCTAAACCTGACCCTGTGAGTCCTATCCTACTTCATTTCAATGCTCTCTTAGTTACTTTTATGCAGCCTAAGCGACGTCGTTCGTCTGCACAACCCAGGCTAGGCGGTGCCTCCTCGCGCAAAGCTACTGCTCCGCCTGTACAACCTGCTGTCCTTGAAGAAAGTGAACCTGAAGAAGCTGCAGAAGATCAAGAACCGGTTCGCAAAGTCAAACGTACCACGAAAAGGGCAACTGCTGGGACTCAAAGTCGTCGGATATCGCAAGCCGTAAGTATAATCCTCGTCCTTTGTTTGTGCTTAGTGTCACTCAAATGATTTATAGGATGACAGTGGTTGGGAAGATAACAATATCTTTCAGTCTGGTGCCGAATCATCTTCTCCTCTCCGACCTTCACCTGCTCGGTCCAAAGGCCGAAAGAGTTCTGGTCCAAGAAAATCACGAAAGTCAATGTCGGCACCGCCCAATGTATCTCCCTCTTCCTCGCCTGCGAAATCCTCATTCATACCGACCTTCTCACCGCCTCAGTCCAAATTTGAACCAGAGATACCTGAGTTCGATAACAGCCGCTTGAGCAGTCCTCCGCCGCGAACTTCAAGCCAATGGAAATTTGTTTCCAAACCATACACTCCTCCTTCACGCTCATCGAGGCGTCAAGAAGTTCAATATGAAGATGTAGAAGTGCCCCTCCGCGATGAGGACGAGCCACAATCATCTTTTCCTGACCCGGTTCCTATGAAATTGGTTGCGGAGCTTGATCGTGATGCTGGGGAAATTTCGGAGATCGATCTTCCGAATATGGAGTCTGAAGGTTCGGACGATGCAGACGAGCAGAACGCTGTGATACAACAACATATTGCTGACGAAGGCACAATTGTGAAGCTATCCCGCCAGTCCCTTCTAACCGAGGACACAAAACCAATGTCAGTGCTCAGTCGTCTGTTACTCCTCGCCCTTGTTGGGGTCGTGTCGTATTTTACCTTTGAATACAAGGAAGAGTCAGCTTCCATAGGTTATTGCGATACCGGAAGTAGCACAAACCGCGTTCTGGAGGAATTGAAATCAACACGATCCTTGATTATTGAATGCAATAACGAGAATAGGACGACTCTCTACGACCATGTCCTTGTTCTAGACTCTCCTCCATGTCCGGTGGTTCCTATTCCTCTGTATCCAGAATCATGCACGCCTTGTCCGGAGCACGCTATCTGCTCGGGACATACTATCGCTTGTGAAAAGGCTTACATCTTGAAATCACCCTTCTTACTCTCATTCCTCCCGCCTATTGCGGACCCTTCTAAAACGACTTTGTCTACTTCTGTCTCCCCGTCTGATATAGCTTGGAAAGTCATATCGATTATTTTCGATGGTCTTCCCGGCTTCGGTAATGTTGCATTCCCTCCCAGCTGTGTCGAGGATCCGAGGCGCAAAAGACATATTGGTGCACTGGGGAAAGGCATTGAAGCATTACTTGGACAGCATCGTGGTAGCCTGCTTTGCAACGCAGAGGCAGATATGATTATTAAGGATGTAGACGGCGGGGAAGCCAGAAGGTGGGGTATGCAGGTTCATGAGCTTAAGGAGAAAATGCGCGAAGGAGTTGATGTGTGTATTTTACTATATTTCATTGACCTCGCACTAATGAATCCCTTCGCAGCCTCAGCACGTTTTGCCAAATTTCGATGATTTATTCAATGAAGCTGTGCAACAACTCGTGCAATGGGGTGGTGTCCTAATTAGCGAAGATGCGAAGTAAGTATCCATTCAAGAACTCTTTTCCACTTTGTTAAGCAGGGTTCTTCCCAAGGGGCCAAAGATACCTTGCTCACAAAACAGCTTCGTTGTCCTTGACTTGCAAACTTACTGTCAAATCTCGCGAAACTTGGTCTGAATGGCGTGGAACTGTTGCTGGTGAGGCTTTTGTTCTTAGTTCCTGGCTAAGTATGAATAGTTTTTGGACAGCCTTGATCGTGGTATATCTATTTTTCTATGCCAGCTCTAGCCGCCGTTCAAAGAAGAAGATTGAATCCAAACGAATCGCAAGTTTAGTTCAAATCGCGATCGATGCTCTTCAGCATCAAGAGCTCGCACATTATACCGATCCAGTCAGCACCCCGCAACCCTTCCTTTCATCCATCCAGCTCCGGGATCTCGTCCTTCAAGAAGAGCATTCGGTCACTGTGCGCCAAAAGGTATGGGAAAAAGTCGAGAAAATCGTAGAAGGGAACGCAAATGTACGGGCTAACTTGGAAGAAGTTTATGGCGGTGATGAATTGAGAGTTTGGAGATGGGTAGGTAGCACTGCTGGATCGATCGATGGTGGGAGAGGTATTGTTAAACAGAATGATAGCTTGGAGTTGAATAGTCCCTCAAGTTTTCATGAGGATATGGAGGAAATGTGATCCTTCCTTCTACGATTTCTTGTCTGACTTCTTTCAAATTAACGATAAAACTATACACAATACCAATGTACTTGTCGCTGTTGTACGACATATTTAACCTTCTCAGCTCTGAGTTGCAACGCTCCCTTGAGACCAGCGTTGTTCCTGAGTGATAAAGTCCTTTTTCTCTTTGTGCAGCTCAAGTACTAGCAAGTGTATTGGTAGTATCCTGCATCGCACTAGGGGAAGGTTAAAAGTATCCCGGTCTCCGTGAGGACGGCCGTAGCTATAGAATAGTTAGTGCCCACCATCCGAAAGTGAGGGTCTGTGATTTTTACGAGACTTCAATATTCAATCTCAGTTTGACATCTTTCACTTTGTTTCTATCAGCCTCTATCTGTCTGTAAGTACCCTGGTTGGACCTGGCACTGGCTGTTTTTTGAGGTGAGCAGAGGATGATGGTGTTACCTGGTGTTACGTCTTCAGACTATAAGGCCACCTCGTTGGAACCTTTGAGCGACGATGTTCACTGCTCCAAACTAACCAAACTCCTGATTGTTGTCAAGCTTCTGAATGTTCCAAAACGGTTGCATGTGAACGTGTATGACACGGAATAGAACTTGAAGATTTGAGCGCTCGAGGTTCGTTGCCAGCTCGTATTACTCCCAAATCGGGCTGGTACGATTGAAGGCGCTTGATCTCGAGATATGCGTTGAATATTCGTGTAGATAGACGCGAGCGAAGCCGGATATGGGTTCGGATAGGGGTAGTCCAATAGATAGATAGATTAGTAGGTGCCGAATCGGGACACCAGCCATTTCCGAAATGTAGTGTGAGCCCAAGAGAAAAAAGGGGAAAATAGATGAAGGTCCCGGGCTCGTTGGATGTTTGAATGAAAATAATACGAGTGGATTCTGCGGAGGATTCTGCGGAGGTTCATATAACATGGGTTCAAACGTCAGAATATCAAAATTTACGATGGACATCTAAGCGTCTAAGTATAGGTAACAATAAGATATTCACTGCGCTAAAATTCTTGGGCACAAGCTGGCACAAGTTTCCGAGTTCCGGTTACAATTGGATGCTAGTATTCCATCAGTTCCTCCTCTCAAATTGTCAGTCTTGACTGTTCTACCTACTACTAGTAAGCTCAGCTCTTTGAAGAAAGACATGGGTTTACTAGTATGTCAAAGGAAAAGAACAGCCCTAATTTATCGAAATTTGAAGCAACCTAGGCTCGAAGCTGTTTAAAGACTCGACGTTTGTAGGCGCGGCGCTAGACTAAGACAATAAGCGCCATAAACTCAATAAGCGCCAAGCCGATCCACGTATCTTTTTCTTGCCAATGCTCGACTCCAACATCTTGATTCTTCGTTTATGTACTTGCCTCAAGTACGAACGTACCGAAAGGGCCTCTTCATAGTATTGCAGATTGGCTGACCCGGGACCAGCATTGTGCAATGCAAAATAAACACGACTGTACTGTAATACCAACATAAACAGCTCCACCTTCATATTTGGTTCTGCCATGTGCTAGGCTGCTAGCAGCGGTATTGCAGGAAATTATGGGTTCGCTCTCCTCCAAATCCTTGCCCGAATATTAGCGTGGATTCGTTGGACTATTCCACTCCCTCCTGTCGAACGACGACAAGCCGCGGCTCCGATATTACACCCTGAGCTACGCTCTTATTATCCTAGCATCGCAAAGCTACTAATGATGTTGTAGGTCTTTTTTGCCTACATACAAGGAACCGCGCGCAAAACTCGAAAAAGGAAAGTTCAACCAGCCTCAGTTTCCTCAAGCGACGTGCGAAATTCCGCAAAACAGTGATTCAACCTCGCGCAAATAACAATACGGTCCAAGGGCTTCCAGGGCGCGACTGCGCAAAAGGCCTGATTTATTGAAGTTCCCGAATATAGAAATCATCAAGTAACCTTTTGTTATGAACCGCCGAAGTTTCGGTGAAACTGCGAGATAGACCCTCGGAACCGCCTCAGATTGGAATAGCCTCCTTCACGGTTTCCAGACCCTATGAAAACATATTGAGTGGAACGGAGTTGGCCGCGTCAATATGAGGACAAGCGACAACAGTTCGGCTGGCGTCTACGACTATGCTGTTGAGTTTTGTTGTTGTCAAACTGACGGCATACGTTCATCTTTTCATGATCTTCGGATTCAGAAGCCTATTGTTCCTCGTTCCCAACTTATATGTGACCTTTTTTCCACAGCCTCGTCGACTTTCATCAGCATCGAATACTATGACCAGTACGTGATTGACCTAAAGTCCCATGCAACTCGGGGCATCTCCCGTTTTGTTCATTATGACGCGTAGATGGCAGCAGGAACCATTCATCAGTATCAGCCCATTACGATACGTAGGCTCTCCAACTGGAATAGAGCTGGCATAGATCGCGAGGTAGGTCTCCGTGCAATTTAGCGCTATCGAATCAGAACTTGCGTATCAGTGACTCCAAACCTCTCCGAACTGTTTGCTAATAGTTATCATCAATCAAGTTCAAAAGATCCTGATCTGATTATTAACCTGGATCGAGCTGAATATTCCGGCTGTATCTCCCACTCGTTATACTGAACTAGCGGGACAACCATCCGTTCCTGAAATCTTAATCTGGATTAAGCAGCTATGCTTCCGCGGAATGAGGAGGGAACTGCTTGAGGTCGCGTAAGGAAGCGGAAAGGGTCGGTCGTTGACTCAGTCCCTTTCTAACATTGGCCGGCAGCAAATGTTAGTTAGGAACCCCATAGCGAGCAGTCGAAACAGAGAAGAGCCGCCCACCAAGTAAATCTAAGGCGAAACGGGCACCCCGCAGGCCTACAATCGCGACTATTGCTGATGTCGATGTCGATGTCGATGAGGTCGTAGTTCTTCACGGCGCTATTAAAGAGCTCGAGTGAGGCCTGGATGACCTTCTGAACCATGGATACACCTATCGGATATTGGGGGGGGGGGGTGAGTTCCGTGTACTGTAGTTGCGCTCATACTGTTTGTTGCCAGTGGTATCGCATCATATCGGCTTCAGAAAAGATAGCCACCCTCTAGCACCCTCTACTAGAACTAAAGAGTACAATAGCATTACAGTAGTGGCTAGTAGTGGACAGTAGTGGATCTTTCACAGCGGCACTTAGTAGATCTTATTCCAGTGGGTTCGCCGTACCGTGGTAATGGCGCGCAAATGGTTTATTGTGTTATTGGGATATGGGGTTCACGTCGGCCATGTACGACCTTCATCTTGACACGAGGAGACAACGCATTTGTCGGAAGTCCGAGTCCGAAGGTGTACGATTCGGAAACAAGAGACCCAAAAATGGATGTCGCTGGTGAGACAAAAGAACCTTTTTATGTGCTTCTCTGCAAGGCATGAGGGTAAAAATGTGATAAGATAAAAACTTCTTTTTGCTGAATTATTTGGCCCATATCTTTGCATTGTGATAGATTGTCCTTTTATCCAGGATACTGTTGCTGCTTCTGGTGATTACTGTGGAAATATGTAACAGGTCGGCAAGTGAGTTACGCTCCGGATAATATTTGTAAGAGCTTGCAGAGTTCACAACGATCGGAAGAGAAACGATATCAGGATAAGTAAGCGAGTTACAGTCTATCGGTGAAGATTTCAAAAAACACGAGGTCAGAGCAAAGGTTGCACTGAATCAAAAATCCTCGCATCAAGCCACACAAGAGAAGGTTACAAAAGCATAGAAGTTGCTTTCTTCTCAACGTGCGACGAGCAGTTGTGACTACCTTTCTTCCGACTTCCGCAAATTTTGGAAGGAGAGCGTGGGAAGAGATAATGCCCTATTGCCCTACCCGATGCGGTGAATGAGCGCTAATCACCTTAGAGAGAAGTCAAAAGACGTTTGAGGACTCGGAAACATTCAGAGCTGGATATGGAGTTCCGGTTCGTTTCTTTTCTGGTCACATCGCGGTTCTTTAATGTGCTGTTAACCAGGATTAGACCGGTGATAGAAATTGTGTCCTACGGAATGAACTATGGATCATCGGCAGTGACTGAAAACGACATTGTGGTGTTGAAACCGAGTCGCATCAAAAGAGGTACGGAATAACGTAGGGAATTCACACATATATCAGCCACACCAAATCCAACATATCCGACAAGAATTTAGTTCAAAACAAGCAAGCACCAATGGTGATGTAGCCCCAAATGGCACGCTGCAAGTGACTGCACGGATCTGCATCTTCGGCCATCGCTCAGTTATCCTCACACCAGGACTTTGGATACGAACTGCCATTCCTGACTCGACGGATCTTCATCAAGTTTCGTACGGGTGACAGTCGCGATACATAGTCCGTTCCAGTGCTACCAAGTTAAGGAGCCATCTTAGATTTCTTTTTATTTCCATACACGCTGCTAGGAAAAAATTATATATACATTACATGTAACGAGTATGATTTTATTTTTCTACGCTCCTTCCTAGCAATGAACGGCAAATTCCCCTCGTATAGTCCAATGACATCCACACTCTCATCGTCGCCCGATTTTTCTCCTACGCACGGTCACGGTCCTCGAGCTACGCCTTACCAGATTAAAATAAACGACGATCCTGTGGAACTGTCCGTGCAGTCAACTACAAGATCTGCATTGACGCCGCTTCGAAAACACCACAAACTTCTTAAGGACGGCACTGGTAATGAAGTATGGCCCGAGTCGGTAGAACAGATATTTGTCGATGGTTAGTAAACATGTAAGACGATTGAACTCAGTGACTTCCTTATTATTCAACAGGTCTTCGAGCGTACTACGCTTCTACAATTTCACAGAATCATATAGCAAGAACATCAGATGCCGCTATCCCAGGTCGTTCTCGTTTACGCAATGCCTTCCTTGTTCAACATCTTGCCCAATACGGGATTGAGCGTTCCCGGAAACAAGTCGCGTCTCATTTACAGGTACTCAAGAATATGTGGAGAGCCGATGGGAATTTTTCCAGTAAGTATATGGATTTTAGAGTCATTCGGCATTTTTGAATGAATATTTCTCATTATATCTTCGATCAACAAGTGGTGGTGCTGTTTACTGATATGGGGCTGTAGATTACCGCCTTGTTTCAGGGTCCGACTCTTCGTCTGAGCAACATTCCAACTCCCAAGGTTCAACCGAGCGTCACCCTTCACCATCACTCTCGTACTTCTCCACCTCTTCTTCTAGCTCCTCGTCACACAGGCCATCTCTCGGTATGGCCTCGCCGGAGTCATGGTCTAGACTGGTGACATCTCCTTATTCTTCCCCGGGTTCGTCTGCGCACTCTAGCCCCTCACAGTCGCTTGAAATGACTTGTGTAGTTCTACCTACGCAATCTACGCAAAGGCGGAACTTGCCGAAGGTAGATGAGATGTCCGAAGTCGTAAATCGAGGAATATCAATGTCCACAGCACCTAATTATCCCGAACAGACGCCACGTACGACGATTATTCATCGTCAGGAACCACCTAACTGTACACAACAGCTCGAACACTGTGAACCACAGCTCGATAGCTTGATAGGTTCAATGCAAAGTACATTTACTTCAATTGCTGGTATCGAACAAGCGCTAGCAGAGGAAACTACCGCTTTCGTATCAGATCACAAAGCACAAAACCGCCAACGGCATCAGCTTCATAAATCAGTGTCCGTTCCATTATCCTCGGATTACCACTCCCCGGCAACGACCATCGTCACCTCAGAAAAACCTCTTGCAGCACCTATTACCCCAACAAAGTTGTATCTCTTCACAGATGCGATGCTTCCTCTCATCGTAAATCTTGACAAGCTTCCCGGGGATGGAGTTGCATATTTATGCTTACAGTTGGACGTTCCTAAGCCTCAGGCCATCTCGTCACTTGCAAAAAAATCATTGTCTGGCTTCGGTGTTCAGCTCGAGGCCACCTGTCCAGTGACTCGCTCACCATTTACAAATTACAAATGCATCACTCAAGTATGGGGTGTGAGCTCTGATCTCAATTATTCTGCCCGGACAATTGGTTTCCCGGGAACCAAGCAGGAACCGCTTGCCGCCAGCCCTTACATGCTGCGTCGAGAGGTTTTAGTCGCTCAGACACCTCATAAAATTTCAGAGGATCAAGTTCCAATGTCTTGCCTTGCAAGACAGGAAGCCGTGGTTACTTTGTCGGAGCAAGCACTATCAAGGTCATCCAATCGACGGCTGATGATGCTTTACTTCCCGGAAAGTGCGCTGTCTTCATGCCAGCTGCTCGAGCAAGGTATGTAGTCTGTTTCCTTTCCACCGCTCTTCTACATATAATTACTGCTGTAGGAGCAATGATGATACATCAAGAATTAAGTTTCAGTGGTCAGACTTTCCTCCGTATGACATATAATCTCAATCGACAGGAGCAGCTTCCAGCTGCAAAGTTATTGTGGTGGGAGCGTCTCCCTACTGTACACCCGGTTATTTCCCCCAATTCCCTTAATCGATCCACTCCCTCGCAATGGCTAAATGAGCCACATATACAGCTGCATGCTGAGTGCTCAGAGCCTCATTGCTCGATGGAGGATACATATTCCCCTCCTCAATCTTTCGTTCCCTACCTATGAATTAATATTAGCATTCCTCCCGCCATCACTGAGCCGCATTGTTCACCTCGATAAATTGCAGTTTCAGAACAACGGGTTCCTAAACACAAGGACTCTTCTCCACTAAGGTTTTACTTCAAGGACTGGATATTCTGACTTTCCGAAACTCTTTGAACATCTATGTATCAACTTCAAAAGTATCTTCGAAGAATGAACCTTATTGCTACTTTAGAACTTACCTCATAATCAACGGAAATTTCTCAACTTTGCACAGTACCTATTTTTTTTTGTATATCTTGTTGCTAGATATACCTGTGTCCTTCCAAATTGTGTCACTCAATGTTTGACCTCAGAGTCAAATAAAGCACTGGTCAAAGCAGTGAGCTTAAGAAAGTCTATTTGTGAAAGGATCTGACAGCAACTTGTGAATATCAAGCTCCCCTTGTACATGTTTACTAGAATGTATGTAGTTCACAAAAATCTTGATATTTCGATCATCATGTACATGGCCGACGCTGCACCAAATTGTGGAATAACGAAATTGCCTTCCAAGTAGCACCTATGGACTATACTGAGCGAAAAAAAACCCCGTTCACTGTGGGTCTCTCGATGACAGATATTGGAGTTTGGAACCTAATCAGTCTGATATAGGAGAATATTGTACTTCTCTGCTTTTTTTTTGAAATGTGGGTGCGTACGTTAAATTGAACATACAGGAACAACGGATATTCAGGAATGGGCATTCGCGTCGTTTGAGAGCGCATTGACACTTGGACATACGTTATTAGATGTTACATATTTGAGGGTGATTTTTGTGAAAGAAGATCATAAAGTACGAAGATCGAAAGATGCACGCACATTGACAAATTGATCGAAGACATGTGTGAAGGTACACAAGAGTGGAGAATCAAGTGTCAGAGCTCATGATAGGCCACAAAGAAGGGTTTTGACAGCAAGGAAAGAATTCGAAGCATTTGTTGTCCAACGAGATATAAACTATGATATTCTTCCTATCTATCCTTTCTCCGATAGCGTGCTGTCCTTGTCACGAAACATCGCTCACGAAGAACCCATCAAGAGCTTTTCTGCCTCCATTTTGACTTGTGGATCTAGGTGGCCGGTTTTCAAAGCGTAAACTTCCCAGAGACAAGTTCCGAAAGAATTCGACAGTTGTGGGTCGTCAAGATCAGGTCGGTAGACCCCGTCAAATGATCTATCTTCTGTCGACAGTAAGGCTTGAAGCCGAGGGTCTTTTACAACCAGACCCTGGACAAATTGTAGTGTGCGAACAACCACAGGAGCAGACCAATGCATACACGAGCTAAGTAGACGTTTAGCAAAGGCGGCGGATTGCCATGAAGGCGCTGTGCTACCAAGCGTTCTTGGTGAGAATACAATGTTCAAGGCCCGGAACAACATATCTGCCAGAGAAGGAGTCGCAGGTTCCGATGAAAATTCCAAAGCCGGTATCAGCGCGAGAGGAAGAATTATTGCATATAGGTGAGATATGATATCACTGAGATCCATGTTTAGAGCCTCTCCTGAGATACTACGTCAGTTACTGATGCATTGAAATTGTCGAGAACGAACCTTGACCAGAGAGAAGTTCGAAAGCGGTAACGATGCATAGCAACCGATGTTGTATCATGAGGATGTTTTTCAAACTAGCTTCCTGATCGCCGTCGGGGTCAGACAAAATTAAACCCCGAAGCACTTGCATGAGATCTCTGAAAAAATCAATATTGACTAGGTGGGCGTATTTGATAATCCCTTCAAGTGCAGCAGGGAGTAAGAGTGTTGGGGTCGAATTTTTGAGAATTCCGAAATACAGCACAAACATGAGTTTCAAGGTTTCCGTATGCTGAAAGATAGATGCATCAACTTACGAAATGTTTTGGAAATTCGATGTCCAGGATAGACTTACAGTCGTTGCTCGTTCCTCTTTATCTACCTCTGCTTCTGCGTCCCGAAATTCGCGTTCGATCTCTTTCTTCTCCTTGAGGACTTTGAGAGCTTTCTTACTGAGATGAGGTTGATTCGATGTTTTACCCTTGGCTCTCCTTGCTGCATCCTTCCCCTTGGATCGGCTTTGAGCAACAGGCCAAGTTTGTTTGTCGGCCTTTGACTCCGAAGAGCGAACGCCTAGTTCACTTTTCAGGCGCAGGTGTAGAAGACATGATAATACGGCGGGATGAACGTTGAAATGCTTTTCTTTGATCATACGATTGATAAGGCGAACTAACTCCAGAGAAGCAGCGCCAGTTAAGTCATTTCGAAAGACTTCAATGATCGTGTCGAGGCAAAGTTGTGATGTCTAAGAACTAGTCGTTAGCAATTAGTACAAAGCGAACGGGTGCGACAAAATGACAGAAGATTGACCTTACTCCATGATTTCTTACTCAATTGGGCGACGACACAGCTCATGAGGTTTACACGGAAATTAAAATGCACAAGCTCTGTTAGCAACGAACATATACATTGCAAAGCCGTCTCCGACAAGTCATTGCGCGCTATTTCCAAGCAGAAGCGGATTAAGATAAAAACAAGCGAAGCACACTTCAAATTGCACACCTTTGAGTTCGGCTTCCAACACGCGCAGATAGTTTTGATAGACCGAGACTAAACCTTGCTCAAACTCTCGAGTTCGAGCGACAGCCTGGCTGACTTTTTCAGATCTTTCTTTGTCGGTCAGGGAGCGAATACGATATCCCGGAATGATATCTTTATACACGGCCATCTGAGACAGAAATGCGAGTTTTTGGATCAGAGGATCATTGGGAATGGGCTCAGGATATGTGGCCGATGATACTGACGGTAAAGAGAACGCATGTAGTCGTTTGAGAAGGATAAGCTATCATTGTCAAGAGTAAGCAGAGATCCGTTGAGAGATCAGAATGTACCAACTGAGTTCTCTGGATCAGAAAGTATCTCTTGACAAATGCTGGCAATTTGATCCTTTGCAGTTTGTATTTTGGCCTGGCGCGATTTATTTGCCAAGATATCAATTACCGCTAGTCGACCGAATCGTGCCCCAGTAGCAGCATCGTCGCGTATGGGTTTCTCGTTCATCATTTCGTTCGTCATTTCGCCATCTGACTCAGACTGCGCTTCCACAGCAACAGGCAACAGCGCAACGCTTCTACCAGTTTTTTGGATCCTGCCGTCCTTTAACTTGATAGGAAGTCGTTCTGTACCCTGTGTCTCGATTTGCGAACGCCACTGTAATTTCCGAGGCGCAACTTCGTAAGGCATTTCAACATCAGAATCGAAACCGTCAGCATTTTCGCGCGAAGAGTTAGACATGGAATCAAGGTCGTCTGAAGAGTCCAGGAATTCATCGTCACTGATTTCAGAGTTCCAAAATCCCTCATCCTCATCATGAGAATCTACAGAAGGAAGGTCGTCGATGACCGGGACCTTTCTCCATGGTGCATCCAATTGGCGCAATCGTTTTGTCTCCTGCTTACTCCTATAAGGTAGGACGTTCGATATATCAATGAGTACAAACTGACAACATTCAAAGCTCACCTGGATATTCCGTTCCTGTCAAGAGAATTCAAGAATTCTGCTGCACCTCCATACGTATCCAGAAGGTCAATATCTTGGTCAGAAAGAATATCCTTGTCCTCAACAGCTGCATCCGGTATGTCGATTGTTTCTTTGATTGCGTCCTTCCTCTTGGTAGTCGTTTTTGGTTTGGATTTGGAAGACGGGTTCTTGTTCAGCTTCCGCTTTTTGGAAGGGTGCTACAAGTTATCTTAGAAACGCAGTGCAACATAATGGATGCATTACCTGAACGAGGGAAGCCGGTCTTTTGCCAGTCGAATTCCCCATAGATGTGACCTCAACTGGAAGAAAACTGTTCCGTGGGAAACTGTTCTGCTTTCTATCATCTATGGCAAACGGTCGAAGACTACTTCCAGCGCCTTCGCCTTCTTTATCTGAGCGGCGATCCCTATCGCAAGCTCAACACGCAGCCGTTGACTCAGTACTGAAGGACTTGAAATTGTCTTTCCGTCGGTTGTCGACAATGACAACCGCGTTGGCGGACGAAACGCAAGTCTTGGACCGTCTTCATTACAAAAATAAAAATCAGCATCGTTCTTCTTTATTCAGTCGACGTATAAATGAGCTCCGGAGGTACTCTCATCGTACAGAAGACTTTCAAACCTGTAGCCTAGTTAATGACCTCCGTCAAAGTTTTTTTGGCAAGGAGGACGAATCGCAGTGAGTTTCGTCTAGTTTTGGGCTGAGAATGGGTTACATGTGTCGTAGAAGTAAACAGATGAAGGGTTCCTGGTCGCATTACCCAGATGAGAAATATGTACAGAAAATCAAGGAACGATTCTATCTTTTTCTGGATTTGCTGAGAAAGGCGAGTCGAAACCACATCCTTCTACAAATAATATATCCTCACTTTATCAGATGTACACGATCTCTTTCGAGGCATTCAAGTAATCAAACCTATAATAACGTCTTCAAGATCTTGAGAAGCTGATCCTTGCTTTCAGCTTTTTTTCACTTGCTATTCAAACGGGCGCATTTGTTCAGCTGTATCTGACGTTGATTGCTGTTACTTCGAGATTGGCGACTGTGGTTGCAGAAATGATCGAGATACTGCAATTTGTCATTCCTGTCATAGATCGTCTTCTTCCTATTTACAAGGTGCGATTTTTTGTCTGTCGTGTTGATGCAATCGCTCGAAGATGTCTTAGCCAGATACCATTGAGAACCCTGAATTCATTGAAGGAAAGGTGCCTGAGGTACATACAGAGTCACCTATACCTCCACCTCGCCCAACGCCCATCCTGGCTCGAATATCAACGACATTCCGTAAAGAGCGGCTTCGTAAGTTTCCGGTTTTCAAAATTTGCATACATGACTGCTCACAAAAATGCTAGCGATTATCATAGAACGTAGGGTGGTAGACAAACAGTCGAGCACGCAAACAGTTGAATCTACCGAAGGACGTCCACAAAGGGAGAAGGCGAAGAAGAAGGATGAGATAGATGAAATTTTCTCGCTTTAATGTAATGGCTCTCAACTTGGGTGGTATTTCTTTTCATTAGGAAGAGTAAACTGTACATATGTCATTAAATGATGAATAATGGGGATGATAGCTTGGCTAGCCGCTGTTGGTTCACGAAGATAATGTCGTTCGTGTTGAAGGTTTAGGTATGGTTGTGGACGTGCGTATTGTCACGTGCTCAATATGCTTTGGCGCCAGTTGACTGTTGAGATTTAACAACTCTTCAGGCTTTGAGTCTCTTAGTCTCTTCCTAAACTGATTCTTCCCGTTCATTGTCCTTGCCGACATGGATGGCCCTCCTCCACAAGAAGAGGACTTTTCTTCGATTCCTGTTGCTGAACGACTGGCTCACAAAAATTGGAAAGCCCGAGTCAGCGCCTACGAGACCCTTCTGAAGACATTTCAAAATACCGCATCCGATACCGATCCCGCATTCAAACCTTACACCAACAACCCCGATTTGCTGAAGAGGATAGCCACAGACTCCAACGCTGTCGCGCAGGAAAAGGCCATCGAATGTTTGGTGGCATATGTCAAATTTGCAGGAGAAACTGCCGCAAAGACACGGGAAGTCGTGTTGCCTGCACTAGTCGATAAGTGTTACGGATCGTCGAGAGCAGGGACCAAGGCAAATGCTTTGGAGTTGACGCTTCAATACGTGGAAATAGAAAACAGTGGAACTGGTGTTGTGGTGAGTTGATGCGAACTTCTAGCAATCCTTGACTAACGCTCTGCATGATAGAGCGATATTCTCCCCGGGTTGAGTGCGAAGCAGCCTAAGACTATTGCTGGATGTATAGTAGCCCTGAAGGAAATAATCAGGTGAGTTTGTATGCGTCAAATGAGGACACTTACAGACACTGATAAAGTTAGATTATTTGGTATCCAAACCACACCTCCCCCTCCTTTGCTCAAAGCATTACCAAAAATCTTTGCCCATAGTGACAAAACTGTGCGCGCTGAAGGCACTCTCCTCACTCACGCCTTGTACCAATACATCGGTCCTGCAATAGAGACATGGCTCGCAGACCTGAAGCCGGTGCAAGTGAAGGAACTGAAGGAAGCATTCGAGAATATGGAGAAGGAAGGGAAAGGCAAAGGAACATTGAAACCTGAGCGGTTGACGAGAGCACAAGCACGTGAAGCGGAAGCCACGGCTGAGAATGACGGTGATGGAGATAATGAACAGACACTAGATGGTGCAGGCGATGATGTAGGTGAGTATATCTTGAATGTCTACTAGTTCCAGATAATAATGTAACTGTTGCAGATGCCAACTTCGATCCTCGTGCCTTCGCAGAACCGGAGGACATTGTTTCTAAACTCCCCGCTTCGCTTTCCACCGCGCTAACATCTTCCAAATGGAAGGAAAGGAAGGAAGTTCTTGACGAACTTCAGGCTGTTCTAAACGCAACTCCCCGCATCAAAGATGCACCTGCGCTGGGGGATTTAGCTAAATCATTAGCAGCCAGAGTCCAAGCCGATGCTAACATCAACTGTGTTATGACGGCTGCTGCGTGCTTGGAGGCTCTGGCGAAGGGTATGTCGGCCTCATTCTCTCGATTCCGAGAGACTGTTGTACCTCCAATGCTTGAGCGGTTGAAAGAACGGAAGGCTACGGTGACGGATGCTATCGGAACCGCGTTGGACGCCGTGTTTTTGACTGTGAGTGAACTTGTTGCGTTGATTTTACTGTTTTGCGTGATCTGGCTACGCAGACTACTCTCTCCGACATCATACCTGACCTCGGTCCCGCGCTTGGGCACAAGAATCCACAGGTGAAAGAAGGCACTTTGAAATTTCTTCGCCGTTGTCTCGCCATCTCCAGAACACCCATCCAACCTCCTCAAGTCAAACCACTCGCCGAAACTTTGGCCTCTATACTGGAAGATAGTTTCGAGGGCTGCCGGAATGAAGCCGCGAACTGCTTGGGAACTTTGATGAAAATGGTGGGAGAGAGATCGTTGAACGCAGTCATTGATTCTTTGGCCGATGTTAGAAAGGCCAAAATCAAGGAAGCATTTGAAAAGGCTACTGTCAAATGCAAAGTTGGCGGTGCTGCTCCGCCTACGATGAAGCCTGCTGCTCCTCTCGCAAAAAAGGCTCCTCCAAAGATTGCTCCGCCAATGAAAGAAGAACTTTTAATAGATGATGTCGAACCGCCAAAGAAAGTTGCCAAACCTCCTGCAAGATTAATGGTGAGCGTTATAATGTTTTGTCTGTGTTTGATTAAACTAAATATCACAGACTCAGAAAGCGAAACCCAGTGTTCCCTCCGGAACTTCGTCTGTCCCCCCCTCTGCTCCTCCACCCAAGAAACCACCGCCAGCTACCGGTGCCAAGCCTGCAAAATCTACAGCGCCAGCAGCTCCTGGTGCTTTGGATACTTTCAAATACAAACACACACCGGAGGACGCCGAGACTTTGGCTGCCGACTTAATTACTGCATCTATCTTAACCGACTTGGGAGATGCAAACTGGAAAACACGATTAGCTGCTCTTGATGAAATGAGCGCTTGGTTAGATGGTGTAATCGTAAACGTTGATTCAGAAGTGATGATTCGTCTTTTAGCGAAGAAGGGATGGGCGGAAAAGAACTTCCAGGTCAATTTCCCTCTAACCTCCAACTCGAATCTCTTTAAATCTGATTCGGAGTACAGGTTTCAGCGAAAATATACGGTATCTGCTCTATGTTAGCAGAACACTCTACAACCTTTGGTAGATCGTGTGTCGCCATTTGTGTGCCGCATATGGTCGAAAAATTAGGAGATATGAAGTTGAAGAAACCTGCTGGTGACGCACTGCTTTTATTTAGCGAGAAGACTTCCCTGCAGTTCGTTCTCAATCAAGGTCTGTCTATTAGCTACTCATCGAGACATTGTTGAACTGAGGCGGTCATCAGCTTATGAGCCTCTGTCTAAGCAGAAAGCACCGAAAGTCCTCGCAGACGCTATTGCCTGGATCAACTCTGCCCTAACCGATTTCGGGATTGTTGGTTTGTCACTTCGCAGTCTCATCGATTTCTTGAAAACTGCGCTTCAAAACTCTAACGCTACTGTTCGCACAAGCGCAACGAAAACTTTAGTAACCATGAAGCTTTTTGCAGGTTCCGGTGCGTCATATTATTTCTGAGAGAGCATAGCATAAATGCGGGTCTGACTGTGACTTCAGGCATCAAGGACCTGCTCGAGGACTTGAATCCCCAGTTACTGAATACTATCAGTTCGGAGTTCGATAAAGTCGAAGGCATTGCACCCTCAGAACCCACACGACTATCAGCAGATGTAGCAGCCGCACCTACGGCCACTTCGCAATCTGGTGGAACTGGTAGCGACGCGTTAGACGAGCTTTTCCCCCGTGTTGAAATCGATGCGCTGCTGAAAGGCACAACTATTTTGGCGGATGCTAAAAACGAAGCTTGGAAGACAAAGAAAGAAGCGTTAGAAACTTTGCAAGGCATTCTGGATCAGGGCAGTAATAAGCGCTTAAAACCAAACATGGGTGAGCGGTGCTCAAGCTGCTGTGTTGATTTATCACTCACAAAGCTCCCAGGTGAAATTGCTCAAGTGCTCAAAGCAAGAGTAGTCGATACCAATAAATCTGTACAATTACTCGCATTGGATATTGTTGCTCGAATTGCGACTGGGATGGGGAAACCGTTCGAGAAACAGAACCGTTTCTTCGTTATTCCTATAGCAACAGTTCTGGCAGATCAGAAGGCTCCAATTCGTTCCGCTGCTCTCACAACTTTGACTTGCATAGCCAATGCATGCGAAACACTGGACTCTCTGGTACCAGGTATTGCTTCCGGGCTTGAAACCGCCAATCCTCTGCAAAAAGCAACTTTGCTGCATTGGATCTCCGATTGGTTCAAAGAACACGAACCCACTCCTGGTCTGGATCTTAGCGGCTGGGCTGCTCCTATTGTGTCTTCCCTCGATGATCGCAATGGAGACGTACGTAAAGGGGCACAGGCATTGCTTCCTGTGCTGATTACATGTGCTGGTTTCGATTATGTGTTGCAACAAACCAATTCTCTAAAGCCAGCATCAAGAACATCTGCAGCTCCACTAATCCAGGCTGCACGTCCCCTCGCCCCCGTAGAGCCTCCTGCCGCTCCAGCCAGTAAAGGCAAAGCTTCTGCGCCTCCGTTCCAGTCACAGGCTTCCTCCCCTCGATCCGAATCACCTGCGATAACTGAGAACCCCCCATCCAAATCGGTCAAATTGACTGGGGTACGCCGAAAACTTCCTTTGGGTAGCACACGTCGACCGGAATCGAGGTCGGAAACTCCCGTCGAAGCTACTGCTTCCAAGTTAGCCAAACCTCCCGCTGGACTCAAGCGACCAGGTCCCCTGGCGTCGTCCGCCGTCAAAGGTGCACCTATAGCGGCGTCACCAGCGTCGCCATCACTTTCTCTTCCATTCTTCAGCTCAAATGTCGAAGCAAGGAAAAGTCGCTGCAATCGGGATCCTGGTAGATGGATCAATGAAAGTGGCACAACAAGAAAGGACCTCGCCGATTTGTTATGCAGTCAAATGGAAGGGCATGCTTCAAAGGAGGTCATTTCTCGCCTGTTTAGCCACGATCATAATGCCATAAACGACCACATTGCAGGAATTAATATGCTCTGCGATATGTATAACTTGGCGCAAGGTGCAGATGAAACAGTGGAAGCAGTTTGCCTCGCCAATTTCGATCTCCCTCTGAAGTATGCCTCCATCAAGGCCCACGAACCTCAACCGAGCTTGATATCCAAGTGCTTGGAGCTAGTCGAAACCGTATTGGCCTTTCTCCGCAACATTAATTATCAGTTAACTGATAATGAAGCATTGTGCTTCATACCGACTATCATTTTCAAGGTTGGTCCAGAATTTTATCCAACTATCTTTGCTTGAATTGACTTGGCCCCTCGATAGCTCGGGGATGCTCGCGAACAAGTTCGTGTGCGCGTGCAGAACATGATACAGTCGTTACCAAAAGTATATGCCTATAGCCATGTCTTTCAATTGCTACTAGAACACGGATTGAAGTCGAAGGTAGCAAAAACTCGCCAAGGAACTCTCGATGAGCTAGCTACGTTGCTCAAGAAGTCCGGAATCAGTGCTTGCGACCCATCTAAAGCATTCCCATTGATTTCATCTATGATATCAGACAAAGATTCATCGGTCCGTAAATCCGCTTTGACTGTTTTGAGGTATTGTTCTGTGCGCCTTATAACACAAGGAAAATATGCTGACAATTGTGTAGCGAAGGCTACACTATCATAGGTGAAAAGGTGTGGACTTACGTCGGTCATCTCCCTCCCAAGGACAAAACACAATTGGAAGAACGTCTACGTCGAGTTGCTGGTCCAAGCTCTCACGATAAGCCTCACACTCTGGTCGCTCCGCAGATTGGTCGTATCGCAGGTAGTGGTCTACCCCGTCCTAGTTCTCCTGCGTTCTCAAGCAGAGTTGGAAACATACCACGCCCAGCAAGCCCCGCAGTTGGAGCCTCCAGATTAGCTCGACCTCCTTCGCCAGCACATACGCGCTCAACGTCACCTACGCAATCTAATCGAGTACCTTCCCCATCGTTCAGTATGAAAGGTCCGACAACATCTCATCTCCCTGGTCCCTCTCAATCATCTACGCCACTGTCTCCTACGATCGCCAATCGAAAGCCTACATTACCATCGCGCCTCGGCCGGCCCAAGTCGCACTTTTCTCACCCTTCCGACTCCCATTTGACTTTGACAAATGAAAAACCCCTCCTCGACAAAAATATTAACGGTGGGGACGAGGATCCAGACGACCTACAACCAGCTGGATCTGATGACATCACCCTCACAATATCAAGTATCTTGAGTAGCGATCCTTCGCGGTCGGTCGACGCGCTAAAAAAAATCCAGAAAATACTTAGTGTGGGACCCGAAGGATGCAACAGCTCACCACTGTACAGGGATCTTGCAGAGCATACTGAAGGTCTAATTGAGACAATAACGCTCCAGATGGCCCACATTTTCGAGCGTCCTGAAGACATCGCATCAGAAGAAAATTTTAGGCTCGCCAAACACCTCATCCAAACGCTCAATAACTTCTGCGACCATCCGCTACTAGCAGAATCATTGACCATTGATATTCTGACGTCTCTTCTAGAGGAACTGACGTTGAGGTTGTTAGAAACAGATGACAGTAGTGTGAAACAAGTCAAGGATTTATCGCGCTTTATCAACATGATAATTCTTCGTTTGTTTGCCACCGGCCGCAGAATGTCTGTTTTCCGGTAAGATAGTTGGGTCGTTCCAGTTTCACATTAAACTCATTGCGCCTTTCTAGGGCTTTGTTTGCGCTCTTGCTTCAAATTGTGAAGCCCTTTCCAAGCAACCGCACCACAACAGATTCACAAGAGGCCAAAGTCGCTGAACTAGTACTGAAGTGTGTCTGGAAGCTGGCACGTAGTATTCCACAGGATCTGAATGAGCGCAAACTTGATCCAGTCGAGCTATTTCCGGCTATTGAGCACTTCCTTCAATCCGTCCCTCCTAACGAATGGCGAGCTAGAGCAACGAACAAAGTACCATGCGGAGACATGCCATTGCGAACTATCAAAGTGATTATACAACATGTAGTTGGTGAGTACTTCTCGTCCTTTCAAAGAGAATGCGGTGCTGATGTATGTTAAGCACATTATGGGGACGATGTCTACGACCTACTATCCGCCTCCTTTGATGATCCCTCTGCGACAATCGTGTATCCATACGTTTATCGTATTTTAAATTCAAGCAGTGCACATGCTACCTCCGAACCTCCGCAGAATGGGCATGACGATCTCGACCGGCGTTCGCGTCCAGTGTCAACAACATCCAGTCGTCCTATATCTCCTCAAACAGCATCTTCTGCTACCTCCGGTGGACTCCGACAATCTCCTGGTCGTCGTGATAGTCCCTTACCGGCAAGTGGGAATGGCTATGCTCCCGTTGAAGAACCTGATCCTGATGCCCAATTGCTTGTCATCATCGGCCATATATCGAGCGAGACCACTGGTGCACTGCACAAAGAAGGTATCACCGAACTTCATCACTTTTTGAAGGCATATCCACACAAGCGTCCTCGAGTAGAGAAAATGCTGGAATCAACTGGAGCTGCATTTAGAAAGTACATCAACCGTGCACTAGCAAGTCGTGCAGCGGAAGATCAGGAAAGAGGCGTTGCAGTTGCGGATACCTTGTCAAGTGAGTTGAGATACACGTCATCTCTGAAGATACTAAAGTATTTTTTCCAGAGCTGGAATCAAATCATCAAGAGCCTCCCTCTTCGCCCATTCATAGCGATTCGGCTCCTCAGTCACCGCGTAGAGTCAGTGGGGGGGCGGCAGAGGATAAATTGTCTCGTTTGCACGATATTTTCCAATACCGTTCTAGCACTGTGAGCAATGGCTCCTCCCAGGGACCTGCCCCTACACGGACTTCGGCCGGCTAGTCTTCATTCGTCGCTTTCTGATATCACAGTGTCTACCCATTTTCTATAGCTAATTGTAGTTGACTAAAAATCAAAATTAAACCCTAACCATGAGCTTCTACATGAGGTCATCACTTGTTTGAGACCATGATGTCCAGACTTTGTTCCTTATCACGACAACATTACTAGGCCTTCAAATTTTCATGGTGGACATGGCTGCTGCTACTCCAGTTAAAATTGATAGCTCTCACTTGAACTATGAGGCCTCCATCCTTTTCTGGAAACTCATTGTCAACATCTTCTTTCGTGAAATTCGTCCTAGAGGTGCCTTCAACATCCCTCGCAAAGGCCCCGTCATATTTGTGGCTGCTCCTCACAATAATCAGGTATGTGCATATTTGTCGTACATATCATACCGCTAAGGCTCTGTAGTTCCTTGACCCTTTACTTTTAAGTCTGCAAGTGCACAGAGAAACACATCGGCATGTCCAATTCCTCACTGCAGCAAAGAGGTCAGTTCTGCATCGACGGCTACGGCTTTCAATCCTCATTTTTATTCCAGTTTGAACCGCCAATTCGTAGGACTATTCTCGCGTTTAATGGGCTCGATTCCCGTCGCGCGTGCTGCTGACGATGCAAAACCAGGCACTGGGAAGGTCTGCCTTGCGGAAGAAGATCCATGTCTTGTCATCGGAGAGGGAACGCAATTCACGACCGAGTTTTCACCTCGAATGCAGATTATGTTGCCGAAGACGGTCAATTATGCGACTGCGGAGGTTGCAGAAGTCGTATCAGATACGCAGCTCAGAATCAAGAAGGAATTCGGAGGAGACAGTGGGAAGCGAACAGCTAAAGTGAAAGAAAAGCTCGCAGAACTTCGCAGAGATGGACAGGTTGGCCTCGAATTCAAAATCCTTCCATACGTCGACCAGCAGCAGATGTATCAGTATGTGTACGAATCACTAAGACATGGGGGTAGTATTGGCATATTTCCTGAAGGTACGACACGACCTTCTCATGTTTTTTGTCATTCCATGAACTTTTTTCAAATCAACAGGTGGTAGTCATGATCGTACAGACCTTTTACCGTTGAAAGCTGGAGTATCAATAATGGCTCTAGGTGCAATGGCGAACGATCCGGAATGTCATGTCAAAATCGTTCCTGTTGGGTTTTCTTATTTCCATCCCCATCGATTCCGTTCTCGTGCAGTCATCGAATTTGGGTCCGCATTAGACGTACCTACCGAGTTTGTGGAAATGTATAAACAGGGCGGCGTTCAAAAACGAGAGGCCGTCTCAAAATTTCTCGATCTGATATACGACGGGCTGAAAACAGTCACAGTACGGGCTCCTGATTACGACACACTTATGGTAAGTCTTCACTGAGTCCATTCAATACATCTTCCGAAACGTATTTCGTAGTTGATACAAGCTGCGCGGCGACTATATAAGACACCTGCCCAGCATCTAACACTGGGTCAAGTTGTCGAATTGAATAGACGTTTATTGGAAGGCTACACGCACTTCAAAGATGAGCATCGTATCCAGAAGCTGCGCCAAGATGTTCTCAAATACAATCGTTTATTGCGCGATTTGGGACTACGTGATCATCAGGTGCGTCATTCCGTCGAAGAAACCTGTCATGTCATTGTCGCCGCTCACATCTTTCCAGGTACCTAGGGCCCAAAAAGCCAATTGGAAAACTTTGGGGTTGTTGACATATCGCGTTGGCTTACTCATTGTCTGGACCATTTTCGCCCTCCCCGGTACAATATTAAACGGACCAATCTTCATACTCGCCTCTATCTTATCCAGGCAAAAAGCTAAGGGTAGGTTCCATTCTCCCCTGACCAAGTCATATCCTCTCATCAGTCCTGCAGAGGCACTTGCTGCTTCCACGGTCAAACTCAAAGGGCGGGATGTCCTCGCAACTTGGAAGGTTCTCATCTCACTTGGTGTTGCCCCTGTGTTGTATCTGCTATATGCCTTCCTTGCGACTCTCATTGCGATCCGTGCGAACGCGACAACGAAATGGAAAATCATGACCCCGCTTATCGTCTTCATGGCATTGCCTTTCATGAATATCGCTGCATTAAAATTCGGTGAAGCAGGAATGGATGTTCTAAAGTATCTTTCTTTCTTTCCTTGAGGGGCGCGAATTTCACATTTCGTGTAGATCCCTTCGTCCTCTGGTGGTAGCATTAGTTCCCGGACAACAGCGAACCCTTGATAAACTAAGAGCCATGAGAGAGCAACTTTCTAATGAAGTGGCCGACGTTATAAACGATTTTGGTCCAAAACTTTATGAAGATTTCAACCAGGTTTGTCATTCTCTTCCGACTCAACAGAATGTAACTGATCGAATTCAGTGGCGAATGTTACCTTCTGCTAGTGCTCCTCCGTCGTCCGGCACACCCGGCTTATGGCGGAGGAAGAGTAGCACTGGGGCTGTTGACGCACAGGGTTTAGGATTGATTCATCCGATGACTTGGATTGACGAGCGATTGTTCGGATGGAGTAGGAGTGCCCATCGTGGTACCAGCGCGTGGGCTGGGTCTTTCGAAGAACCCAGTCATACTGGCACACCGGAAGATTCAGATGAGGAAGACGCAGGCGACTACGATCATGTCATTGGACTTGTACCGGGTCATGATGATCATTTGGGCAGTAAAACTCGCAGTCGTAATAATTCTTATGCAAATCTGCAACGCCTTCGTCTCTCATCATTGGCACAAACGACTGGGACGGATGTTCCTTCTGCGTTCAGCCCTTCGTCTCCTGATGACGATGGCTTGCAAATTCGGACTGGACATCGAGCCAGGAGGGAAAGCCTCTCTGATGGAGTTCCGGTGCAGCGATTGGCTGCTGTGGACCGACGAGAACCTTTTCCTGACGCCACTGGAGATCTCAACGAAGAGATTCGTCAGGGAAAAACTGGACAGTCAATAATATAACATAGACAATTGTGTGTATTCCGTATTAATTTGGCTTAGTTGTAGTACTGTTCTTCGGTTTCCGGCTTGCACCTGCGAACGTGAAAAAGACCTAAGACCGACAAAGATAAATGCTCAGCGAACAAGGCGACATGTCAGCTTCACAAGGATTTTTTTGCAGCTTAGATAAAAAGAGGTTATCATCTCTATATCGGATAATCTCAAGCTTGCGATGATGCTCCTGATATGTCCCGATATGAGATATCGGAGACCTGTCTACTAGTGTCTACTTAGTCGTCGTCTAGACCTGCCCTGTGAGGCCAGGTGTCCCGATTAGCTGAATAGAACATTCTAAGGTTCACGCTTTAGAGTTTTGCTTCCGCGGTATCAAAATAATAATTGTCGCATGCGGAGGCAAATTTTTAGATCGATGGAGATCTCCCTGCAGTGAGGATTTCAACCCCCGTCTCCGTGATGCTATCCAGATTCATCAATTAGAGGCTGATTGGTGCAAATGGTCGACTTACAGCAAGGTCTCCTCAAATTGGGCGCTACGTTTCCCGTCTACAGTGGTAGCCGTCCAGTTATCAGGCCAATGAATTTCCGACCAATTTGTTCCGAGGTTAAGCATCTATAAAAGTGACCTCGTCAGGACAAAGCCGAGGCTGTCGGACCTGGGAAAGAAATTACCGGTTCAATGGTGAATATCTTTTTTTTTTTTGAAAATCTACGTTAGGTACAATGAAAGGTGGGACCGTACACACAGGCTTACCATGCCAGTCTTCATGGTCCCGACCGCCTTATTCTTGGCGTAATGCGGGATATTTGGTGAGCAATGGAATAGCTCGTGGATACCATGACCGGTATACGATCTGACGACGGCACATCCATTGGCGCGTGCGATGGGTTCGCTTAGTTAGATAAGGACGGCCGACGAGATGCTCAGACTCAATATTTATTTATGCGAAGAAGTAGAGTACTCACATGGCCTTTCCAAGGTCACGGAAAAGAGCCCCTGGTTTGCACAGTTTGATAGAGGCATCCAGGCTTTCGCGGGTGGTTCGGATCAGTTTCTGAGAGTCTTCATCGATTTTTCCAACGGGGTAGGTCGCATTGACGTCCCCATGATAGCCTTGAGACAAAAAAATTAAAGTAGCGGGACCCAGTCTGATCGAATGAACAAAAAAAACTCACCATCATAGAACAAGCTCACATCTGACAATATGTTGTCAGCAAACAGCAACTGCTCGTCAAGATACCGGATGGCATACCAATGTTGACGATGTCCCCTTCTTGTAGGATTCGTTGATCAGGAATTCCATGACATATGACTTCGTTTATAGACCTTTGATTGAGCACATCTTAATACCAGCAGTAGCAGACTCTAAAGACTTAAAAAAGACTAACGTGCACACCGACTTCGGATAGTTCCTGTAATTCAAGGTAGACGGGTAGGCGTTTCGTTCTATGGTCGCATTGTGCACGATTTCATCTAATTCGTCGGTGGTTATTCCGGCACGTACATGTGATGCAGCGATATCGAGGACCTCTCGGGAAAGCTATGGTCCAGTGTAAGCATATGTACTTATCCGAGAAATCGAAGTGCATACCCGACAGGCCGTACGCATTTTCTCTATTTCCTCCGAAGAGAGAATCCGTGGAGGTTGACCAGCTTCCCTCATTTCCGAATTTGGTCTTCCTGTGGGAGCAAAGTAGATGAAATAAGCTCGGACACTGCTTGGAAAAAAATGTTCAATTGTACCGGTTGTGGCATAGTCAGGTCGAGGAATATGGCCCGGGACCGTGCGCCGAGGAGACAGCGGATACAATGGTCGGACGGTACCAGTAAAAGAAAAATTAGGAAACGGATTGTAGGAATCAGCTGAAGTAAAGGTGAATGAGCGGTATTATCTAGATTGGTCCAGCACGCACGACTCTTTCCAACATTCACGGAGGAGCCAGGGTTCTTCGCCAGTTCGTGAATCAATTTGTGTGCTCTCTGTACCAATGTGAGATTGAACCGAGCACTTGAAAGCTGACTTACCCCTGGTCCGAGGATGAGTTGCAATTTGTTTCGGATAATACAATGAGAACTCACATCCTGCCTTGTAACATTCCTGACTGCAGAAGAACGAACCTCGGATGCCTAATCTGGATGGCTCAGTCAACATTTACCCACAAGATCGCCCCCGCGCTGAAGAGTCATACTTGCTACACGTAGGGCATTCCATCCGTGACGGGGGATTACCGTTGATACAGGTTTCGCTTTGGCAAAGGACGGCGGAAGACATTTCGGCTCTTGGAAGTCGCGGTCAAAGTTTTTGTTCTGGACCAATCAAACTGCGCGTCTAAACTGACGCCGGGCTTGTTATCATTTTTATATGCTGTAGTACTATAACTAAAGCGACTCGTAGTGTACTATCCCGAGATAGCTAGGGACACAATACTATAGAAGGTGACGGACCAAAATATGAATACATGCGAGCGAAGTGCGAATAATTAGATGTGATGAGAGTAGTATACGTAGCGGCGACGTAAGTTATCTAGATGTGCATAGGATCAAGCAGATGCGTAGAGAAATATAAAGAGTTTAGGGGATAAGTAAACGATGCAAAGGTCAGAAAGCAGTGTAAGACAGCAAGGAATTAGATGTGTGGGAAGGACGCAGGACGACACTGACAAAATCCCATGGAGAGTAACATACGACAACATTAGCAAGAGGGTGTTTCGTGGAAAACATTCATGCAAAGCAAAAAGATTAGGACGGCTGCGTACAGCTCCTTCTTTGTTTTTGGATCCAGCCTAGTCCTGTCCTACTTAACGGCGATGAGGCAACACTTCGAGCTTGTACGCGCTCTCCGTGTCAGCGCAAGCTCTCCGCAAAGCCTTGAAGTGCGTGGTCCCGAATATTTCGTTCAGTATGGCTTCGTTAGCATTCACCCAAGCGGCGGGAGGAAGACCACGAGTGGTACGATAGATGCCTTGGGACATTTGTTCTTCGAACGCGACGGTGACGAGACCCGTGAGCAGGCATTGTATTAGACTAAGAATGTCATTGATAGGAGGACATATCTTCCGTACTGATTCGAATATGTCACTATGGAAGACCATCTGCCATTGAACGCGCCGTTCAGGCGAAAAAAAGGAACTGGCATGGACTGGAAGCTGCAGGCGCAAGGAAGGACCAGCCGGGAGGCCGACGGAAGAACGCCAAATGGAGGATGTTTCGAGGGAGAAGAGCATTCGGGGATCAGAAGGAGAGACGTCCTTCCAATTGTGGTTACGGATTAGTTGCAGGCGCAGGGTCTGAAGCCAGCGGTGAGCACGTGCATAAGTTGCACCTAATGCTTCCGCCGTGGTAAGAGGAATACGGGTGCGTCTAGCCCAATCATCCATGTTGCGTACGTCGCTGGAGAAGACGACCTCGGGTTTGGAATGTGATGCCTGCATACTGTCCAGTAGTGAGCTTCCGTTCTTCTGTATTGGTAATAAGTGAGCAGTAGATGTTAGGACCAAGGGTTTGCTAACAGATACAGGTATTATCAGCCGTTGCACAGCAGGCCAGAAGGAATAAGACAGTGAGCTGGAGCTGGAAGGACGGATGCTCAGAGGGAGAGAACGAGGTGAAGGAAAAGCATAACAGGGCTGGCTTTATCAGTGCCCGACGAAAAGGGCCACGGCTCACCATTTAATTTTTTTTGAATTTCTGACCCGCCCATTAAAAAACGTTCCACGGCGCCGAGCACCCCCTTTCCTTCTTAGGTAACTTCCTACTAAATTTTATGAGTTTTTCTGAGTTTTTCCCGGATTCTCTGCCTAAATTGGTGTTCTTCCCTCCATCCACCGCTCATCTCAAGACCTGTCCTTATTCCGAAAAAGCCTCGACCATGCATTTCGGGAACTTTTTGTATTCATGTGTAGTGCTATCGGAGTACTATATATGTATGTCTTATATTTTTTTGACGGTATACGCGCCTCTCGACTCCCAGATCTTGCGCCTTGGAATAAGCACTTGGGTTGTCACGGTTCCTGTAGCAACGTACACTTTCGCCTGAAACACTTCGACCCGTCTACATCTCAGATTTACACAAGGTGTTCGTTCTTGCAAACAAATGAATATATATGTAAGTTCTTCCAGAACCAAATTTTCTTCATTCCTTGCAACAGGACTAGTTTTGAAAGGTGTCTCAAGGCGTTCAGCAGAACGAGCAGAACCTGAGCAGAACTACATAGAAAAAGGAGAATTTACATAACTTACTTTATTCGCCGTTTCATCGATATTCGACCCTTGTCACCAAATGCTAACTTGCCGCGACGCGTTAGGTGAATGTCGGAGTCCGACCGCTGCCAGCTGCCCCGTAAAGATAAAGGATTTTACATAGAACTTGAATAGCCCGGTGGTCCATTTCAATATTCCGTTCACAGTCCCAAGATCAGAGTCATTGGCAACGGTCGCCGGAAGAGAGAGGAGAGGTGAACTGAACGACAGCTCGTGCAAGGGCTGCTTGATCAGGTATGGAGTATACCGCGCCGGGATTCAACGGCAAGTTCTACATACATACATTTGTAAGGCTTGCCGCGGTTTTGGCATGGCATGAAGTCGAGGAACAACGAGGAACGGACGTCGGCGTTGTATATGTATGTGTGCACGTGGCTTAAGCGCTCATAAACACAGCTGTGACTCCCCATTCAAGTTAGCAAGTATCAGGTTTTCATCAACACGATCTAGTATTCAGCTCTATATTCTGTATATACTAGCACCTGGATACTGCAAGGAGGACATAACACTGTGCACAGTCGGGAATCCCTACTTGGAAATGACTGATCTCCAAATCCACGAATCTTATCAACGATTGTTAAAAAATGAGGATGTGCGTCGGTCGAACTCATATGTGCTGATATTGTATAGGCTCAAGGCCAGAAGCTTTCTACTCCGTTAGCTGCTATACTCGCTCTGACTGAAATGATGAAACAGTCGAACGGTACGTTTTCCTCGTGTGGCATTCTTCGGACACGCTCAATCTGATCTTGGTGCCTAGCGGGAACGATGTTCGAATTGCTCAATGAGCTCAAGGGTGCCGCAGAAGCCTTGAGCAAGCATTCATCTAACCCGATAGGCCTCAATGCTGGATGCGAACTCTTCATAGAGTTCATAACATTATTTCCTCATGACGCGGCGGTGAGTATTGAAACTTCCGTTCGGTAGATAATGTTCTCAAATTCAGCTCCCAGAGTTTCTCGGAGTTGAAAACAGAACTAATTCGGCAAGGACAGCAGTATGCCGAGGAGGCGTTAGCATACAGGACAAAGATTGCGGAACTGGCATTTGATTTTATCAAAGATGATTCCGTGGTAAGCTGTGGATGTTTATCGATTGACACGATGATGGACGTTTGTGTGCTCAGATACTGACCCACTCGTATTCAAGAGTGGTTCTACAAACTCTGCTCATGGCTCATAAAAGGAAACGAATATCAGGTGAACCATCGGGATCAGCACAACAGACGAGTTCCATTTCTCATGCCTTTTGTTTTAGTTTTTGTGACGGAGGCACGACCACGGGGCATGGGGTGGGCGTTTTCAGCTTTCTTCACTGCTGATCATTGACCGAATTCGAAGAATAAAAACCGCGGAGATGCTGACGACCGCAGGTATTCCTTGCACAGTCGTACTGGATTCTGCGGTTGCATATGCCATAGAAAAAGTCGATTTTGTGCTCATGGGGTCTGAGGCGGTCGTCGAGAGCGGCGGACTCGTGAATGCGGTTGGGAGTAACCAGATTGCGATTATAGCAAAAGCTGCAAATAAACCATTTTACGCCCTCGCGGAAAGGTATTCATTTTCCCTCCTCCTGAGTGGTAATGGGCTCACTTTTCCCAATTTAGCTACAAATTTCATCGGATGTTCCCACTTTCACAATATGATCTTCCAAGTCATAATCCCGGCGTGCTATCTTTTCCTCAAGCTCTGAGTGCTAGAGCTCGTCCAGCCTCTTCCGGCCTTCCTTCCGAGTCTTCTTCTAGCTTTTCTTCCAACAGCAGCCCGATCAAGATATCACAGGAAGACATCGCTCGAAACAATCCAGACGTCGATTATACGAGGTACTAACTCATTATTTTTTGGGTTCGGATAAACTCAACAACCTTGGCCTCGTACCTTTCAGGCCCGATCTAATTTCGCTCGTGTTCAGCGATGTGGGTTCTTTGACCCCGGAAGGTGTCAGTCAATATCTGGTCGGCATGTTTGCAGGATAAAATCTGACGCGACTATGTTCCCACTTCTGGGCGTTTGACTCGTTTCGCTTGGCGCGTGGTTTCTTGCATCTGTACATGATACTTCTATCCCGTCTCATTCTTCCAAAATCGATGCACTTTAGAGTTCGGAGTTGCGATATGTAACGCGAGTCTAGCCACAACGTTTATCCGATCATTTATGAACGTCTGCATTTCGCAAGTGATTTCTGCATCGTCTGAACAGTTGCGACTTCCGGAATATCGGGGAATCAGGGCTGGACGGATCATGGTCTCCTGGTCCTTTTCGTGTTACCAGAAGGTCGTCATTGGATGGAAGTAAAGGGAAGCGACTGGAAGTGGCCTGAAATGGCTCGATGAATTAACCGAAAATTAAATCGTCGCTTACGTGCTACTTCTTCCGTTGAAGGTATCTTTCTCCTGTACAGGTCAGTACATATGCTTTGAGCGAATTTGGGACGACCCATGTTTTGACCATCCCTCAAAGAGTGTTCTCGATGTCTCTTTGCAACGAATCTCAGATTGACTTCGCATATCCCCGTCCCATTCAGATAGCCGAATGGTATTCATATGCATCTCTCCCTGCAATGACTTTTTGTAAGTTTTCCGAAAACGCCTTGATGCTCTCTTTGCGGTGGCTTATCTTTGATTGGCCAGTTGTATCCATAATGTACAAAACAGGTTGCAGGATGCCGATGGCACTCAATTTATTGAACACGAAATACAATACTCGTTTTCATGGCCTTCTTTGGGTGCAAAAAAACTTCTAGGCTTGCCCAATGACGCAATGAAAACATGAGCACAAGGAGAAGTTGGTCGGATCTCAGTTGAAGGTATGTGATTATTCGAAGCGGCCTCTATAAAATACAAAATCTCTGATATTTCAACGGCCCGACATAATCCTGATCGATGGAGGACGACCTTAGTTGAAAGATATCGGGCCTTTTGAAAAGCTCGTATAAAAGAGAGAATGCTGGAGAATAACTGCAATTTCGCACTTCAATCTCGAATTCTCTGGGCACTCAATCTACAGCAATGTGTCGATACAGACAGTACGACTTATCTTCACCGCTCGTTTAAGTATCTGACGCCCCAAGCAGGGTACAAAACACTTACAGTCGATGCGGGCACGTCATTAGAGAGGTCCATACCATCTCATTGGTATTCGAAGCTTCCATCTGATTGATTCTTTTACAGCCAGACGTATTGGTTAGGACGTGGATAACTGAGTGGAATCAAATACTATACTCACACGTTCTGTTCAGATACCATGTGCCGACCGATTTTGCAAGTTCAGTGCTTACCACCCTCCAGACTGTGGTCCCAACTGTTCCAAAACCTGTTGGCAATAGTGAGTAGATTGTAATATCATCACTGGAAGCGTATCACGCTCATTACGCTCCCATGTTCCTCAGTCGTCAATTTCCCGAACAATATAGTGAGTTCTTTGCGCCCGGTACTCCAGAAGTGACACATTTTGTTTTCTCAGATCCTTTGGTCAACAACGTATGCCCAAGTTGTTACAGCGCTGGCATGCGATGACGAGGTCAGCATACATACATAGATGAGCACAGTCGAAGCGAGCTACTTATGTACCTTGTACTTATATTTTTGGAACATCAACCAGTCATCGAATTTTCTCTTGTTCACCCTCATGGGAAAGTCTGGAAATCACTCAACTTGTAGCGTTGAGCAGGTTTTCATGACCGCCTAAAGCGTGTACATACATAGCACATTCCGTGAAGGAGGTAAGTTCTAGATTTTAGGGCAATCACCGAGGACCGAACGTTGAATGTTTGAACGCCGACGGACTAGTCGAGGAGTGAATTATGCCCGTACGGTGTACCTAATCCTGCGTCCACTTCTGGTCTACATTCACTCAGCTACGGTTTATACTCAACAATCATGTAAGTCCGATGGCCGAAATCGAAAGACAGCATCTTGTTTTCCTGGAGAGAAGAAGATCAATGAGATGGCGGAATCTCTGAACTTTGTGTGAATTTACAGATAAGACTATGTACAACGGGCTGAAAGGGGCATGAATCGTGCACCTGAGATTTCAACCTTTTAGAATTGGGACATACATAGCTTTTTGGACATTGAAGCAATTTAGAGTTCCCGAAGATAAAACCCAATCAGGATTTCGAAGACGGGATTTTAGTCTCGACTTCGAATGTATTCGAAGATCAGAATACCACACCGCGCCTGAAATCTGAAACACACACTCCGTAGAAAATAAGCCTAAGTGAAGGATAAGAAGCATGAGAATATAAAGTTAGATGGAGTTTTTGAGTTCCAATGCTTCGCATGTACTTAGTCTCAAGCATACATAAGACAACTCTTCAAGTCCAGAGCATATTTACTCAAGCTTTTGATCAGAATGTTATACCCTCCTCGGAGCCTCGAAAACGACTGGCTACCATTCATGTCAGGCGATAGCGAGGATTAATTGCACGGATGGAGTATTTGAGACTGGAGCGTTAGCCTGCGTTCTAGTTCAGGTTCTCCAACAATTCAAGACGGAAGGAGGAGAACAACCGGGGTCCACGTTCTTTGCCATGGAGAAGGCACCCCAAAACTTACTGGCCTGGCTAGCCCTGGGCTAGCCGCTTGGACGCGTTCATGAAGAAAGCCTGGTTGCAGAGTCGAGGAAGCCTCATGGACCTGCAGTGAAGCCACTCTTTCAATTATCAGCATGTATGCTACTTTCTCCAGCATAATGAGCTATAAGGAGCACGAATAACACAACTGACAGCAGCAAGACGATGATTCACTTTTGGAGGGAAGATATAGTTGACTAGAGTTGACTCCAGCGATTCCAAAGAGTTCCAAAGCCGAGATATGATCCTTAGCTATAGGTCAATTGCGGCCTCATATTTATTTTCATTTCACAAGATCTGCACATACGTGTACAGCACACCTCACCTCGACACCCACACATTGCGCTACAATACGACAAATAACTACACCACCCCTCGCAAACTCACCCTTATGATCCAGAACGTAAAGGAGGTGGGCGATAAACTGCCCTTATCGAGGCTCCCGGCACCTTGGTATACGTACTATATAGTCTTACTTTCCTGTCCTATCCTTGCGGTCAATGAAGAGTTAATAAATAAACGAAGAAGATGCTCCTGTGAACTGTTCTCCTCACGCCCAAAACCCCCTAAGACTGAATCTGGACTGAATCCACCACCCTTGCGAGATATTACCTTCCAGTGTAAGTACTGTATCGTCGACTGAATATCATGCTTGATAATACAGACAGCCTTTGCTCATTATGAATGTATGCATATCGAGTGGTTGTCCAGTATAGCCTTAAGACCTCTTAAGACGAATGCGCAACGAGAACTCCAGGCGCCGGCCTTCTCTCAGGCCAGAAGCGAAGCGGCAAGACGTCGGAGCTTTAAATTTTGGATCACAGCACCTTCAAAGTTCAAACGGCCTACAAACTTACGGTCACCATGCTCAAGGACAATCAATGGCTATTTCCTGTGGAGGCGCTTTACCATTATCCTTCCCGAGAACCTTTGCACAAGACGCTGTATGATTTATCGAGAGGAGTCGAGTTCCTCTTTCGTTTAGGAACTTCTCTCAAGCTGTCAGTTCATACATATTGTTATCGGTTTGAGTTTTGATTAGATTATCAAGAACAGTCCTTCTCCTGCTCTCTTTACTGCTGCTACCTGGTTTCACAGGTTCTACTTGCGATACTCTTTGCAGGATTTTCATCGGCAAGTAAGAGCCAATACTTGAATTGAAGCTGCTCATCGCCGAGTCTTCCTTCAGGATGTTGCTGCAGCTTGCATTTTTTTAGCAACTAAAACGGAAGAATGTGGACGAAAACTTAGAGATGTCGCGAAGGTGTACCATTCAAAACTCACGAGCATTGACATTACTGAGATCCCTCCGGAATGCAAGGTGAGTAGTGCACATCATTTAATTTGGTCGGTCGTTCATACATTATTGCAGGAAGTGGATCAATATCAGACCGCAATACTCGTAACAGAGGAATATCTCTTACAAGCCATCTGTTTTGACTTCACGGTTGACAGTCCTCATGCGGAGCTTGTGGACCTTTTCGTTGCCATTCCTGATGATCGTGTGGTACAAGATTATGCGTGGACGTTTGCGCATGATTCGTGAGTTTTCGTCGTTCACCGTAAATTCATTTGCCTCATAATGTTTCAGTTTTCGTACACCGTTATGTATATTATACCCACCACGAGTCATTGCCGCGGCATGTTTTGTCCTTGCACAATATATGGCTGAAGGACCAAACTCACTACCACTCGATGCGCGAATATCGTTTTCCGCCCCCTCTGCCTCACTGCCAACCCCGCCTTCTCATAAAGCACCGTCACCAGATGCATCACGGCTAGCTATCGAGTTCTTTACATTGTCGGAAAAGGACGTGCAAAGCGTAGCAGGTATATATTACATTCTTGCATCGACACAGACTTAACACTGCGATAGATGCGCTCACCCTATTGCTTGAGTTTTACTCGGTGCAAGACCTCTCAATGCATCCTTATTTACATGATATCGCAACGGTAGGCCCCTAGTTATTGCTTCATCTTTAATTGCCAACTTTATGTAGGTCCTGCCCCCTAAGACAAGTACCTCGAGGGATCCAATTTATAAATCTTCTAAACAGTTTGTACCTGATGCGGTAGTGTCTGCTCGGATAATAAACTAGTTGAATAAGTAACAGTAGTAGTAGTAGTAATGTCGAATTAGCTTCGTAAATAACTGTGAGGACCAGATGAGGACTGATCATACGCGAAGAATCAAATACCAAACACATCACATATTGTCTTCTCATTCGCCATCTGGTGCTAGCCATTCTCCTCCATCAAAAGGCGGATGCTGGGCTGCGTTTTCTGCGGGCTGTGGTTCTGGTTCGTCGACAGGTTCCATAACGTGGTTGCTATCGACCATGTCGTTCATCCATCTTTGTACGGACTCAAGATATGCTCTTGACCTGTCAACCGGAACCGTTGGGCCTTCGTCGATATCAGATACTCCAGGTGAAACAGCTCTGAAAACACCAGCAGAAGAATTTGCCTCTTTTTGGCTCAACATTAGTCGCCATTGTACATACTATTTTTTTTTCATACTCACCGACACTTTTGCCGTCCCAATTTGATTCCGATATCGCTGGTTCAGGAATTTCAGCCCTTCTGCGAGCAACGATTTGAATAGGCGGGAGATGGACTGGTTCAGGGACCTACGTGGAGAAATTAATCCGGATGGTTGTGATCATGATCAAGGAGAGCTAGAGCTACGGCCGCTTCTGGGAACTGCACCATCGCGTCGTACACCGTGCAGGGTGTTTGCGAATTCGGAGGCTCTTCACACACCTTAGGAAAGCGAAGCGTTGTGGCTATTCGCATGGCGGAAGCGATCCAGAAAGTTAAACATTCTGTTATCGTAGGGCTGTAGGCATTGAATTCGTACACCCCGGAAATGAAGGCAGCGGTCCAGCCTAAGCGAAAGGGACCTTCAGTCTCTCTAGAAGAGATACGTAGATCATCTATTGACCTTTCGAGAACATGCCAAACGTCCAATGATTGTACGACGTTAACACGAACCACGGGGTGTTCCTTCTCACACAGAGATCCCACAACTGATGATGAGAGTTCGTCAAAGCTCCATATCTTTGCCAAAAATAAACTCACTTTCGCCCATATTCTATGCGTGCTATTTAAGGGTGTAGGGAACTGCAGCGAGCATACGTTAGTCAACTCATATCCTCGGATATGGGTTACTCACAGCATTTCCTGGCTCTCTGAAGGGCGGAAACTAAAACACAATCAAAGTTTGAGTGGATATGAACGATCGGAGCACCTACTGAGCGACATTTCGCAAATTCTTTGATGTCCTGCATCGACAGAATCCACGGAGGCTGAAAGGCAACTATCACGGAAGAGTACTGGACAGATTTTCGAGCATCTTCGGTCATTCTTTCCATTATATGATTAGGTAACGACCACAAGTAATATCGGAATATTGCTTGATCGAGATCTCCTTCTTCAGCTAAAGAGAAACTCCAGATATGTGTATTTGGTTGAATGAGGTGGATGATTCGTTGAACGGTCATGAGAGCAAGATTATCGATCCATGGAGCAAGCCTTGAAGCCGAATAAGAATCAGCGCGTGTCTGTCAGTGGTGTCATTGCGGGAATCACCTTACCGACTCAGATCTGACGGCCTTCGTTCTTCTATGTACATGATATCGAAATCTGTGCCGGGACAAGGAATCGAAAGAGTCTCTCCGGTGGCTTCATCTCTGTTATTCACTCCCAGTGAATAGCTTGGTAGATACATGTCAATCCCTACAAACATCGGAGAAGTTAGGTTAGTACTAATTGCTAAGATCAATTCACTGGGACGAACAAGCTATGATAATCTCTTCTAGCCTAAAATTTTCGAGAGAATAAATATTCTCTAAGCGTCTCCAAGCTTCTGGCCGTACTTTGAGGGTGTTCAAGTGACTCTTGTGGCCGTCAGGAGGTATGGCAGGAGCGAATCTGTCGTTCGTCATTTTGGGTAATGCGGCCTCTCGAACATAGCTTTTGAGATTGTCAGTGCCTTGGACCATGGTGAAAGATAGAGGTGATATAGCGCCACGCTACCATTTGGACCAATATAAGTATTCCGTCGTAAAAATACAAGGGTCAGTGCCGAGTGCTGATCCATTATACCCAAAATAGGAATACAGTTACCAAATGAAAGCGTGTCTTACAAACACTTCCTAACTCACCAGTACGAACGAAGTACAAAGCAAGCATAATACAAGCACATACTGATTTAGATATAGAGTACACCTAGAGTAACGTCCAGGTATTAAGATATTTACTTTACTTTAAATTACAGAAATGAGTTCAGTCATCGATGACCAAACGTACCTAAATAGAGGGCAGGAAAATCAGAATAAATCAATGGATGCGAACATACTACGCACCGTCTCTAGCCCTGCAATTTGCACATTTCATGGAGCTGAAACGAATAGGATTTTGGACAGGTTGAGCCATCATTCGAATGCAGTTAGGGGATTTGCAATCTATGAGCAGCGAGTGAGAAATAATTCCAGCATTGAACCGAACACGAAAGTACAAGGATGTGTGTGGCGGACGCTGAAGACACAGTTCTCTCGTAGACAATCTTGTTTATAGGTGGCCATTGCGTGAAAGTGGCGGCATTCGGTGTAAAACCGACCATCGACAATCTATTGAGAGCGCCATGAGAAGAACCGACACAGTGTGAATTAATGGGATCCCGCACATTATGGCACATTTGGGGAAGAGAAGGTATTAAACAAGATCTGAAGAAGGCTATATATGGTGAAAGTGAAGTTGGCTGGCCCCTGGCTCTGCGACCTTTATGTAGTATGACCTTCTACTACGCAAGCGGGGACTGTATGATCCTCGTTGTTCTTGGGCTCTGCATAAAGGCGAGGCTGTCGCAATCTGCCGTTTTGAAACGATTTAATGAATGAAATTTGATCAAGGAAGCGCCCATTTAACGGCAGAGGTGGGCTTTGAGAAGCTTTGAGAACGGTCTTCGCGTTAGCAGAAGGCCATTGCAGAGCATATTGTAGCAGACACCACGACAGCGAATAGCTCCACTGCATGAATGTCTCTGAGCTTGTAAAGTTAAAAAGTGAGGCTCTTCCGGAGCATTAACATTTTCAAATGTCATGTTCACCACGAGGCGTTTACAGATTCGAGTGATTCAAGAGAATAGTGGGGCAAAAGACTGACAGAAAGTGCGCCTGACCAGCTTGGGAGAGGAGATGTCAATCGGTGTTAAAGAATGAACAACAAAGCGCGTCGACAAACGGGGACGACGTATAAGCGACACACTACCGATGGACACGACGTACAGCGCAGGGGAAAGTCATTGAATATCCAGACGCTAGGCCCGTGTTCACGAAAGGTGTCGGTCACGAGAGAGGACTATTGAAACGTCTCATAATAATAGGACTAGTGAAACGAACTGCTTATGCTCCCCGTCTTCTGATCTTTGTAACCAGTTGTACATTTTTACGGACCTACAGGTATATTAAGATGATAGTTGAAGTAAAGGAGATTGGCGACTCACTTCATGTGCGAAAAGCCGTCTCCAACGCTCGCTTTCCAGTCTCCTTCGCTTCGGACCTTTCTTTTCGTGCCTCTCCGCCAATTTGAGCTGTTTCCGGACCTTGTTACGCGCCAATATCATGTCCAGTCTCCGGAACGCATCAGCAAGGTTGCCATCTACAACGTGTGCACTACGACCTAGTCTCTCGGACTCAGATATATGGTGTTGAATGTCAGAATAAAAATGAATCTGACCACTGTAAGGATCGTTTACGAGGCCCGCTTCCGCAATGCTCATTCTCGTAACATGAGAGTTTTGGGCCCATATTTCCGCAGGTGTGCTGAGAACACGAGAGGAAACAACATGAGAAAGTTTATCATGCACATTTATCAACGAATTTTCGATGGGCTTCCAGGTTTCTGCATCTCTGGAACGGGATCGTGAGTTAAATGTTGGAGTAGCAGGAGCAGTATAGAGGCGATTCAGTGCCTCGCTCGCTCGCTTTGGAATTGGAGACGGAGCAAGCCTCGAAGAGAATATACGAAAGAAGGACATGAGTAAGTTCCACGTGCCTGAGTTATCAATGCACAATGATGAGTAGTGTACCTACCGGCGCTTGACTTATTTATCTGATATCAACCGTAATGTTGAGCGAAGTTTTGCTCGAAGAATTTGAAGTAAAGCTCTTCATCCGCTCCGGCTGTGATATTCCTGATCTTCGTGCTAGGTTCTCGAATCCATTTATCCAACAGAACTATCAAGTTCGTATCAGGGTGCCTTTGCAAGTTTGCATCTTTTCTGAGGCTCATGCAAAGAATCTTCCGAAAGGGACATCCAGATAGACGTAGAAGCTGACGAAGTTGAGGAGGGCCTGGCGTCCCGTAAGATTTATTTCTCAAAAGACGATGACTGCTCTCATGATTAGACTACAGTAAAATTGACTCTCGATGTTCATTACACTGATCATTATCCAGATGCTTTACCGGAATTGTCTCTGGTTCCCCTTGAAGGGGACGTAGAACAAGGGGAATTGGACGACCTCCTGGAAGGGCTGATAAAAGTCGTGAGTCCCTTTTAACCTGTACTTTCCTTAGAACTCATTGTACACAGGGAGAGGAAAACCTCGGAATGGCAATGACATTTACTTTGGTGTCACATCTCAGAGAACAACTGACCTCGCTTGTCCAATCGCGAGACGCTCGTCAAAAGTTTGAAGAAAACGAAAAAGAGCGATTGGTTTTAGAGGTATTATTTCTCTTGAATTGATCAACTTCGGTCTTCATGACGGATCGTATGGCGTCAATGTAGGAGGAAGAACGTCGAACTCGTGGAACACCTGTGTCAGTGGAGTCCTTCAAGGCATGGAAAGCCAAATTCGACAAAGAACAAGCCGACAGAAAATCCAAGGAGGAGGAAGAGCGATTAAAAGGTTTCACAGCTAAAGAACGCGAGGAGTACAAACGAATGAATACCCGGCTATCTGGTGAGCTTCATACGATCTGTCTTTGTGACTGGGTTACTAAATGTAGTTAGGTCGACAACTTTTCGAACGCAACAGGAATTTGGATGAAGAGACTCTGTTGGAGGAAGGCACCGTATCAGTCGACATAAGTCAGTACGAACGTACTAGAGAAGAGGAAGAAGAAGAAGAGGAACATATTACATTTAGTGACAGCGACTAAACACCAAATGTGTAAAATCAGTAAGTCTTCTTGTACAGTTGTACAGGAAGAGCGCGGCTGATTGTAATGTTCCCTGAAGTTTTGTATTGTTCGGTGGAAGCTTGTCTTATCTCAGTGTTAGATATACATTTGTTGCGGTCATTATTTCCGAAGCTCGTGCGCATAGCTGTATTATGAAGAGGCTCCAGCTTCGACCGGTAGGGGGCGTGTCATAATCTTCCCCCGACGTTCGTTCAATGATTGCAACGGGAAATATCTCGAGCTCCGTTCGAGAACCTTGAACTTGGACGGTTGGACGTCCTCTTGTTCAATGCAATTAAATCTATCCGAACTGCTGTAAGTCTTGTCCTCAATATTTCCGGCTATTTAAATCTGTCGAGTCTGCAAACGGACCTGTGACCTTGTAAACATTGCTCTTCCATGTTTTTCTGACAGTACGTTTTTATTCGACAAACATTTGTGGTCGACAAGTTCGCCTTGAAGTTTATGTCATTGTCGTGTCGAAGTAAAAGGAAAAATTGTATACAGACCAGAGAATTAGGGGCGTGTAATCGACCCGACGCCCGACCGTGTTTATTTGTACAAAGACGAAGAAGCCTGTTTCAAGCCACGATAGCTTAAATTATTTGCTCAGGATCAACTGCTCAATGTCTTTCTCAAGAGGTGCTCCTTACAAGAAATATCAGTGCCGTGTAAGATGTATCACTTACTCATCGGAAGAGGCTAACGCCTCTGCTCCGGTAGTACTTCGATGAACTAGGCCGTCCTCTGACTCCTTGCAAGCAAGGTGATCGATGCCGGTGCGTTCATAGCGCAAAATTTCGTAGCTTCTACTCATTATCTTCTGTATTTTCTCTACGGAAAAGCTTCGTGCATCCGGAAGACCCTCAATGGCCTGGAGTCAAATGCTATCCCTACGTTCATAAAAACTCAAGCTCGCAACCAAGTTGGGCTGAGCACGATCGCCAGTCATCTCGTCGTTTTTCCTCTCCTCCTGGCAGCCGTGGAGGACCTTTGGTCCCACAGGGTGATCTTTTTCGTCGCTGCAAAGTGGAAGAAGAGGATATATCGCTCAGCCACGTCGCTACCGAATCTAATGGAAAGCAGGATATGGCATCCAACCGTCATCGGGTCGCGTCGTCCCACAGAGATGGTCAACCCTTCGACACTTCCGAAAGAGGAAAAGTTACAGAGCAGATTCACAACCGAGGCCTGTCTACTACAATCAATGGAAACACATTGAACAAAGTCCGTTCGTTAACTAGTCGGTATGCATATACCACTGATTGAATCTTATTCCATCTCCAGGATAACCACCATAATAACAGTGCCTCAATACTCGCTACAGATTCTAAAAGACCTCAGACCATTGTTACTCTTCCCACATTTCCTGCGGTCTCCGAAGAGGAAGCGAAAGGACGTGCTGAACGATTTGTTTCAATGTTCAGGGACGTCGCAATGTACGTTGGTACTGTAACCGGAACCCTGTTGACCCCAATGTTGAACTTTCATTGCAGGGTCTCGAGCCAGATCATACAAGATACAGTTCTTCTCGACCAAGAAGAACGCAAACTGCAAACATTCAATGAAATATCAAGTACGCTGGCTAAGATTTCTGCCTCCTCGGCAGCATCAGTCGCAGGTCCTATCGCCGATATACTCCTAGCTCATGCACAAAGCAAGGAGCGACTGGACGAGAACTTTCGCCTCCTTGGAGCAGCATGGGAGAAAGTATTCAATAGTCTTATGGTCGAGTTCAGCATGGGCCTGGAGAATAGGCTTCAAGCAGCTCTAGCTTCCGTCAAGAACGAGGCAGAAATAGTCATGAACGGCATCAGAGTCGAATCGAATTCACTCAAAAGGCGGAGTGATCGAGCATCGATGTCTCCAGAGCCTGATCGCCAAAGAAGGAGGTCAAGGGACCACAGAACAAATGAAGAGCATAATGGCTCCTATCGGCGTAGTCGCTCCTCCACGCGAGACCGTAAGCGGCGAAAACTGGCACCCTCGAGTCGTTCTTGTTCTCCGGATCCTGGTCTGGATCCTAAAGGCGAGGCTCATTCCAGCAGAAACTCAATTGTTAGAGTTTCTCTGGACGACATTCTCAATCAAATGAAGATGAAAATCGATCAACAAACTAATTCCTTGCAACAATTGTCTAAGGAAAACGAGGAGGTGCCGTGCAATCATATCATTTTCATTCATCTCCGCCCTGAAAGACGTTCGGTGTAGCTAAAGAGCAAGTTGCAATCTCCGCCGCAAGGTCCGAAGTCGCAACGTACGGAACCCGGAAGCGGGCCCGCAACAAGTTCAGCAAGTGGAAAAAAGAATTTTGCTCATACGTAGTGAGTCATGTCCTTTCATTTTACCAAGTCTTTTTAATGGATATCTACGTGCAGCGAGAGCGAGACCCATTATCCTTCTGGTTATCATCACAGTTCTCGAAGTGGCTACAGGGGTTAATCCTTTGCTTAGTTACATAAGTTTGTGCTTCCCGGTTTTTCTTTTCATACTTATTTTCTGCACATTATAATACAGAGTATTCACTGCCGAGCTTCGAATACTTGACTCTGTAGATCTGTCATCAAGATCACTTATTCTTAACCAATTTGGGACGCCGTATGTGCTGTATAGTGTTTAAAAAATTCCACTAATATATCAACAAAGATTTGACTAAAAAGAAACTGGAGGGCAAAGAATGATCATGGTTTCTTCTTCGACTTTGATCGAGTTTTAACAGGTGCAGGCGCAGGCGTTACAGGTTCGACAACATCGTTATCGTAGACGAATTTCTTTACTACGATATTCTCAGGTACAATGTCCTTCAATGGAGATTTCGCATTGGGCAAATTACCGAGGGTATCCAGCGGCCGAGCCTGGGTTGTGAAAATGATGAGTTGAAGTCAGACAAAAAATGCATGACAAGATACCTTGGCTATAGGAGCTAGACATCCCTTCTGGATACTTTCTTGTGTGATTCGTGCGTGTGTAGTCCGCGGTTTAATTTCATCCAGATAAATCTCTTGGTACAATCCCCGATCCCACTTGACCCGTTTCTTCTCATATTCGTCTTCTGAAATTTCTTCATCGAGTCTAAGACGCTTGGATTGAACAGGTGTCTGATAATCTTCTTCATCCCCAGGACCCCAAGTATGCTTATGATCGCTGGGACTGCTAGCCCAATCATTCTCGCAGTCTTCATCCTCGTAAGCCTCATTCTCATCAGTCCCCAGTTCGGTCGAATTGTCGCGCTTGGCCCTTCTGTCCGCTCGTGCATTCCTCTCCAGCGTCTTAGACTCCTTCTCCTTCTGCGAGATACTCTTTACGTTCATCCCAGGACTTTCCGGGCGAGCACCCTCTCTGCGGACAACCTCGGTTTTCAGCAAGACAGTGACATACTCCTTGTTTTTCGTAGTATTCGAGTCCGTGAGAGTGCGCAATGCCAGCGCAGTCATACCTGAGAAGGGTCCTGTGTCCGTGAAGGTAGGGATATTCTTTCGGCGAGCGGACGGAGGACGTGAAGAACTGACGGGTTTCATTGCAGCAGCGGCATTACGACTACTTCTCGTCGTCCGACGGACTGTTTCTACAGGTGACGATGATTGTGGTTCTGCAGGATCAGAGCTATCTGGGATGTTATCCGAGGAAGGAGTTACTTCATCTTGGGCCTGAGGGGGAAGGTCCATTGACTGAGTGGTAACAGTCGAAGGAGGAGAGGACGATGTCGTTTTTTCTTCATCGACTGCTTGAAGCACAGAAGGCATCACGACGAAGCGATCGGGCAGAACGCCATCACTGTCGCTCACCATACGTAGCGTAGTAGCGGGACGGAGGGTATTCGTATTATCACGAGTAGCCGTTGATTCCGCCGACTTCATTCCTTCAGTCCCAGACGAGGCTGCATTCGAGCGATCAGGTAGTGTACCATCACTCTCGCTAACCATACGTAACTTCGTGACACCAGACTTCTTCGCCGGACTCGGAGACGGAGCTGCAAGCCGCCTCGAAAGCAGAACGACCGGAGTAGGCTTCGTCGGCGAAGATGCTTCTGGACCCCTTTTGCGCTTCAAACTTAACGGTGTACCAGGAACGGGATCCCGCTGTTTAGTTGGAGAAAATGTTGGAACATGAGAAGGAGTATGGGATCTACTGAGAGTTGTTGAAGATGGTTTAGGCTAGAATGAATCAAGCTTGTATCAATGAATCTACTGTTTCAGAGTAACCGTAGTACCTTATTTGAGGAAGGTTGCAGCTTGTGCGAATCCACCATCCTCATTGTTGTGGTCTTTTCCTGACTCTTGGAAGTGGATGTAATGGGTGGCCTGGCATATGGTTTCAAGCCAATCCGGGGAATTTTACTAGTTGGTTGCCTTAAATGTGACCTCTCCACTGGAGCTGATCCAGTACGAGCAGCAGGTCTCTGAAATTTCTCGTGTAACTTGGTGCTCTGGCCTTCCTCGGGTATGGCAGGATGAAGAGACAGATTCACTTTGGAGGGTAATGGTACTCTCTCTGCTAAGTTGGAGCGCGAGAATGGAGACGCCCTGCTTGAAACCTTCCCTTGGCTTTTGGACGTAGCCGGTTCCACGGATTCGCTGCGTTTCTTCAAGTTCAAGCGCATCGGTTCAACGGGATTTGGTTCAACAGACCGACTCCGCATAGGGCTACCTAGTAAATGTTTGGTAGGGCTATTAATTGGATTGGCGTCATGAAGGAGGACGCGCCTCACTGGACTATCGGTGGAAGGGATATTGAACACGGGCCTACTAGAAGTGGTGGTGCGACCATTAGCCATCAACCGAGCAGCCTTCTGAACAGACACCTGTCCATTAGCGACCGCAGCCTCTATAGGTATGCGTCTAGCAGGAGTTCGATTCGGATTGTCTAGGTCGGCCGGTTGTAACTGAAATTTCTTGGGAGAGGCTTTTCGAACTGGGCTTGTAAATCTTATAGGAGGCGTTGGGCGAGCAGGAGTCAAAATTTGTTCGGAAGGTGGTTGAGTAGAAGTAGGTTCTGTTTCTGGAGGTTCTCCCAGGGGAGATATAGCAGGAGGAAATAACGATTTTAAGATAGTGGAAGAACTCGGAGACAACGAGCCTAACTCGCGCATGTTCTTCAAAGCTGATTTCCGTATGGGCGAGCGAGACCTGGGTTGCTGGCTGAATAGCAATGGTTCTGGCATTTCAACTTGGTTAGGCACGAGTGTAATGGTTTTCCGACGTGGAGATGAGATTTTGGTTTCTGAATCGTCCCTCTTCGTTTCATCGGATGGACCAGGGTCGTCCGTATCGGAGGCGTCGAATTCGAAGGTTTCAGGTCGTATAGAATAACGTGCAGTACTGCGGCGGGGACGGGTAGAGCGTTGAAAAGGTTTATGGGATGATTCCTCGAATGGGTCCTGAGTATCGTTTGAAGTCGATTCGGGGTTGATCGTTTCGACCTCATCCACGGATAAAACTAATGCGTCGGCCACAGACTGTTCATCCACTGTGTCAGTAGGTGCTAAATCTGTATCATGAAATAGTGACATGTCTGGTTGAGCTATTGGTGTTATATCACTGGTCAAGGATTGGTGGAGGATGTTATTCGGAAGACCCAATCTGGTTGGGGTCTCTAGGGTGTTTGAGAGGAAGGTAGATGTTTCGAAGGAAATCAAGGTTCCGGATTCGTCTCCTGTGAGCTCTGATACGGGTAATGGAGTAAAGATAGAAGGAGGTGAGGCAGGCGTGCTTGAGTCGGATGTATCTTCACTCGTAGAGACCAACGGAAAAGGTAGGGATAGAGTAGGAAGATTTAGATGATTAAAGATTTCGGGAGACTGAGGCGGAGGAGAGGGATTATCATGAGCCCGCATGATTCGAGATGCAAGAACCGAAGACGGTTCTTGATGCATGTCAGTTGAAGGGTGATTCATCAATTATTGACACTCACCGTTTTGGACGATAGCTTCATTTTCTGGCGTCAAGGGACGCGATAGACCAAAGAGTTCTTCGTCCTGGTTAACGATTGCCCCTACGCTACCTCCATTTGGATCTGTATAATCAGGCTCTGGACCTTTTAAAAGCCTAGGCGAGCGTCGGGAAGGAGATGGAGGAGATGGAGACAAGTAGTTATTGCTTTCACTGGCAGCGATTGGCTTTTCTGGGGGATCCACAGGTCCAGAGAATATTCTAGCTTGGACATTATTAGAAACATCAGTTGTATATAGCTGCAGCAACCCGGAGGAGCTAGCATCACCGTTGCTCATGACCAAATAAGAAGCAAGAGGCAAGGCGAAAGCATTTAGGATGTAGTGGCTTGATGAACGGCTCTCAAAATTCAACTTGAATTGAATCCGCATGTGAAGTTCACGTGACGATTTCAGTGAAGTACCACTGTAGTACCAGGCCACTGCAGTACAGTGTTCAAGAGCTGTCGGCCACAGAATCGGGACAACCTGTCGATATTTCTATCTCTCTTCACGGCGGAGGCTACTGATACTGGACTCTGAAATCAGTACTCATATCCTAACCGGAAGGAATTGAGTTTTTAATCCTGCAGAATGAACCCAGTATGCCTATCGTCTTGTTACCCTGTGTTCTTCTCTTCAATTCTCAGCTGAATTATGCAGGCTGCTCCGCGTGCACCTTCTCCTTTGCGTCAGTTCGAGACTCGTCGCGGCGAATCTACACCAGGAATCGATTCCGATCCTCATTTTCGCAACTCCGATTCTGACGACGACAGCGACGATGATAGAGAACATGATTCTGCTGCTTCTGTAACTCAATTTGCAGCCAACTTCGCAAACAAATTTGGCAACTTTGTCGGCGGAATGACCAGTCCAAGTCCTAGCCCTAGCCCTGGTCCGGTGATGATGTCGTCTTCAGAAATCGAAAGGGAAGCTCAACGAGAACGTGAAAGGGGAAGAAGAGAGGCTGAGAGGATCTTGCAAGCCGAAAATCAAAGGACGTCGCTTGAGAACCGTGTTCTGGCAATGTTAGATTCAACAAGGGCTTTGCCTCCGCCACCTTCCAGATCCCAAACCATGCCCAACCCAGAGTCCAGCCAGCCCTCCTCTCCTTCGAGTAACGTTTCTTGGTGGTCAGCAGCCAAAAATAGACTGACCCCAACAAAGGATAAAGATCTGACGCCTGCACAGCAAGTTATCATCGATGTAAAGCGGAGCGAAAAGGATAGAGAGAGAGCAGAAAAAGAATACCAGAAGGAAGTAAAGAGGCTGAGTAAGGGCAAAGAAAAAGAATGGCCTGCTGTTGCAGAGACCAAGTATTCTGATCCGGCCTTCTTCAATCTCAATGTTCCTCAAACACCTACACCTCAACATCGAAGAACGGGATCTCCTACTTCACCTTCCCCGAACCCAAACTCTAGTCCTGGGCGTGTCCTTGGCTCTCCTTCTGCCACAGGATCACCTGCACGTTCGTTCACCGCCCCAAATCTGACACCCTCCCCTAACCGATCTACTACTAGCACCGGCGCAGGTGCTTCTCCCGGACGAGCTGAGCAACCTCCGCTCTATGCTCAGTTCAATCCCCAGGGTGGTCTAGATGTCCATCTTACGTTGATAACTATCGCGAAAAGGCAAGTTCCATTCCTTCTCTTCGTGTAATGAAAAAATTCTCATGCGTTCATGTGTACATTAGATTTGAAAAGCTGGAAAAATGGACCGTGGGTCACGTCAGAGCTTTAGAGGAGCGCATGGGAGATGTTGAGAGGTGGCTGGTTGATAAGGAGGAGCGTGAGCAACGAACGACCGGCAAGGACAATGAGGCTGAGGTCACCGACAGTTCGTCAAAAGAAGAGGGTTCAAATCAAGTCCAAGATGGAGACATCAGAAATGAAGTTCAAAATCTTCGAGAGGAAGTTCTTGAGTTGCAGGGACGTATTAGCGAACTCGGACGCGAAATGGCAGAATCAAGCCGCGAGCGGGCTTTCGAGAAAGTAATGCCGGAAAAGCTATCTTCGTCCAAACAGTCACAGTCTGCGCAAATCAGAGAAGCGTCGCCCCCACCCACATCTTCTTCATTTGCACCTGTTGAGTCTGTGTCTCCTGGGGCGAGTGATTGGCCTAATCTTCAATCTCATAAGCGAGTGCCCTCTGTACGGGAAAGCACGTCTCCGCCTCTCCTGCGATCCCTTTCCCGACAAACAACTGGCAGTCGACTTCCCTATCCGACTGGGGACTATGCTCCTATCCCTTTGGACGCAGGCGCTGTAATGACAGGAACCTTCTCTCCTCCTGTATCTCCACCGGGGTCACTCAATTCTCGTACGCCGACGGGGAAAATCACGTCTGCCATATCAGGTGTATCCGCTAATACGAACCATACCCCGAGCGGCATTGGATTAGGTTTAGCCATCGCAGCGCCAAGTGGCGCTCCAGGTATTAGTTCATCAGCTTCGACGTATTCTACATCATATTCCAACGCCTCTTTCTCGTCTGTATCTTCTATATCACCTTCAACTTCGCCTAGTCCTTCGCCCCGTCCTCGAGGTCCTCAGCAGAGCGCAAATGTAAATGCGTCCCCGTCCAACGCTTCGAAGGGCAGAGTCCTTCCTATACCCCCTTCTTCTGCCAAAGATCAACAGGGCATGAGCACTTCGCCTTCCGGAGGTAGGAAGCGATATACGGTTGCGCTAGGTACACCTATTACTCGTGCATCTGCTATGATGGCCGGCGACAATGGCTCAGATTCGTCTTATGTGAACGGCAATACCGGTAACGAAGAGCATGGCAGGTTACCAAGAAAAGGGTCCAACTCGTCTATCGGAAGAGCATTCTTTTCCTCTTCACCTGTCTCCGTAAGTCGAGGGGAAGATGTTGGAGGGGGAGGAGGAGGAGAGGATTTCTTAGGAGATGAAACTATCGGAAAATCTTCTTCCAAATCAGGGCTGGCAGCCGCTCTGAAGGGTGGAGAAAAAAAGAACAACACTCAGGAGACCGATTCGTTCACGCCGACTCATAGTCGACTTCGCGCACAGTCAGCGTATGGATTATCTTCAATTGTCCAACAGTCCCCGTCTCAAGGTCGTGATTCTGCGTCCTTATTGTCAACAAATTCAAACGGGGCAGGTATAGCGCCTCTCAAGCCCCGCATTCGATCTCAGTCGACTTCTCCACATCCTAACACCAGTTCTGTCTCTCCACCGTCAAATTCCAAATTCGTGGATCCTTTGGTTACTAGGAAGCAGGGAGCTGAAACGAAGCATGGGAAACTTGCAATGCCTCGTCCTCTTTCAGGTAAGATTCCGATAGGGCAATTGGTCAAATTCTTTGATGGAGATGCAAAGAGGTGAACTTACGACAGTGCTTGATCTTCTGCTCCTTTAATGCAATTGATATATATCCTGCCCCCTCCACTATCACCTCAAAGTTCCTTCATCTTGCATTCTATCTCCTTTCCTTGTTTTCTTGATGCATGTACATTTAGTACTGAATTATTCTGATACGCAAATACTACTAACGCAGAATTTCATGATATCTCTTGCTACCCCCTTACTATCCTAACTACTCTTACTAGGGTTACCAGCTTACCAGCACTTACTATGACACTTTTCCATATTCATATGATAACCTAGGAGCTTTTGACATTTCCAACACCGTTGCTTGAAAACGAGGGGATTTCGTTTGTTTTATCCTCTAGAGAAGTGCTGCCACTAAGTATGTGCAACAGATAAACAAGTACATTTGAAAAGTAATTGGATAGTTCTAACTGGGTTTTCTGTAATTAACAGTCGTGGACGCTTGGTTGACTGGGAGAACCAATACTTCCGCGATATTGACGTGTGGGGGACGAGCGGCTGCCCATACGATCTCCTCTGCGATATCAGTAGCAGTCACTAAACACAAGTGATAAGTGCCTGTCGGTGGAAAGTCACTCGATGGTGAGCTCACAAGGTTCTAGTCCGTCATAAACCTTTTTCGCCGCGCCAGCATCCCCACGGAAGCGAACGATTGAGAATTCGGTCTCAACCATTCCTGCACAGTATGATTAATTTTCGTAAGAATGCACAAACCATTTTTCTCGCACCAGGTTGGATTTCAGTCACCCGAATGGGTGTATTGACTAGCTCCCGCATCATGGAAGCTGTGAAGGCATGAACCGCGTGCTTGGTCGCAGTGTAAATGCTTCCCCCTGCGTACGCTTCCCTTCCAGCAATAGACCCAAGGTTGATGACGTGTCCAGATTGCTTAACTTTGAAGTCTTTGTGAAATGGGAGTCAATTATCAATCGTTGTTGAGAATCGAGAGCATGGTACCTTTGAGTAGCAATTGAGTGACGGATATAAGTCCGAGAACATTTGTGGCGAACATTGCCTCTATATCTTCATCTTTAATGTTACCCACTTGATCAACACCGAGAACGAAGCCAGCATTGTTGACTGCAGGGAATACGGGTCAGAATTTGAAGATTCGTTCCGATGTCATGAAGGTGTACTCACCAAGAATATCAACATTTCGGAGATCCTGAGGTACCTTATCCCAAAATGAAGCAACTTGAGCCTTATCCGACACATCAAGTTGGACGGCGGCAAATCTTCCTCCTTCCTTTAAACCAGAAGCCTCAAAAGCGGCGGCGCACGCGTCGGCTACAATTTTAACCGCCTCCGCACGACGAGCCACAAGGATAACATTGGAGCCACCCTGGTAATGTAAAGAGAATATTCAAATCTCAGAGATACAATAATCATATACCTTGGCAAATAATAGAGCAGTGGCCTGTATTCGGTGTGAGATGTAGGGTAATCTTTTCAGATTGATCACTTACTGCCCCAATACCTGCAGAAGCTCCGGTTACGAGCACCGTCTTTCCAAGGATACGGGAAGCATTGAATATGGACATTGTGGGATGAGAAAAGAAGTGAAAACTTGTTTTATCTGTCTTCCTCTGTCTTCATTGGTGGTCGGATTTGACGGCCCGCTGCAAAGACATCCTGCAAAGTAGCACGCCATCATCCCCTGTCTCCCTCCCTGTTAGGCAGATCCTGGGCAAATTAGACGTACACACTTAGAGGCCGCGCGCTGCGCGACGTGCGGGAGTACGGGGCTCCGAAAATCACGTTATTTCTCCACGTGGTCTTGTCGCGTCGCGCTTTGTCTGTACCACCGTCCAATGTCCATGGATGTCAAATGGAGAAATCTCCTTTCTTGGCTTAATGACCATGGAATGGACACGAATGAAAATTCCTTGCTCGTTGAACGTAGGCTGACATATCCAGGTAGAATTGCTTTCTTGCTACTTGGCGGTCGTCTGATTTTTAGGCAGGAACAGAATACTATGGTTTATATGCTAAAAAGGCACTTTCTCCGAAGACGACGTTGTTTACTATTCCGAGAACGGCTCTGTTGAATCGCAAGACTCTTTCGTCCTATTACGGCACTGCTGCCAAATCGCTATCAGCAATGCAAATGATATCTTTACATCTACTATTACATCGTCCTCTTCCGGGCAGGGAATCTCTGGATCCTCTTTTCGGACCCTACATTTCGACTCTACCTCAAAATTTTGACTATCATCCGTTGTCGTGGACAATCAAGCGCAATATCGGACCATCCCTTGATATCCTTCCTCCTGATGCCTCTTGGGCTCTTCAAGATCTTTCTTCCAAGTTTCGAAATGATCTAGCGGCCGTATCATCATTCGTGGTTGGTGCATCGCCCGCTAAAGGACTGACGCAAATTTGAAGCTTCGCGTTAGCATGATCATCCACAGATTTTGAAGGCAGCTTCGAAAGCCCCTAGCGAGTTTATGGAAGATAACGAGTCGCTAGTCCATGATTATCTGTGGGCTTGGTTGAATGGTTCGCAGACTTAGATCTTGCGCGAATAGCTATGAACTGATGTTCCCACTCGTGCAGTGAATACGCGATGTATATATCACCAGATCAAAAACTCTCCTTCAGATCCTGACAACATAACTCTCTGTCCGATCTTAGACTTCGCAAACCATTCGTCTCACCTACCTGGCATGAAGCCTCCATCTCCGGGCAACGGAAACCTCCGCTCGAACTTGTATCGCGATTTCTCCCTTCTATCTCCTTCTGATTCCTCCGTTGATGCAGATAGCGAACTGCATCTGCAATATGGAGCGCACTGCAACCGTGTGCTGTTCATTGAATACGGGTTTGTGCTGTCACCAGATTCAATTCCTGAAGATCAACGCACTTTGGAGGTCAATGTCGATGACATTGTGGAAGCTCTTGTCGTTGAGAAAGGCGAAACAGGCGTGTGGATGAAGAGCGTCTTAGTTTTGGACAATTACTGGAGGTACATTTTTGTATCTTCATTGATTAATTTCGGAGAGTAATATTTATTCCACAGGGATTGGACAATGCATTATGCGTCCGGATCTGCATTCCCTTCGTATCGACTGGTCATGGCTCTGCGCTTAATATCTATTTTCCCTTCGGGGCCACTACCTTCATCTTCAGAGGAGATGCTCCGCCCTTGGAAAAATGTCGTACTGGGGAACTGCGACAAGCTTTCATCGAATCTTGAAGAAGCATGGTGTAACATTCTTAGGAATGTCTGCACCACGGTGATCGAACGTGCATTTACGGCGCTCGTGACTCCCGAGGTCAAAGTTCATGATTTTATTGTTGCACTCTGGACAGAAGAAAGATTTGTTGCTGAACGTATATTAGACCTGATAAAAAATGGGGAAATCTTTTAACCTTGTCCCAACTACTTGTTTGATGGAGCAGGGCGTTAACAAAAAATTCGTTGATCTATAGATAGTCGGAACTCGAAGTGAGAGGATGTCGGTGGTAACTAGTGTCAGTAACTTCCGGCGGAGCGCTCGTGCTGGATTGATCGGTGTTGCTGTGTAACATTGCCGGCCGCATCGCCTAAATCTTTTTATATACTTTCAACTGCTTTCGACCTCAACCTTTTTCACTTGGATTCCCTTTTTGATTTCTTTCGCCATCTTGACAAGTCAAACATGTTCATTGAGGCCTTACTAGGGACCAGGGCCCAGAGGCTCTTCATGGCGACTCGTACGTTTCTCTCAGACTTGACTTGCCACATATCATTGAACAATTGCTATAGTATTGATTCGTCAGTACAGAATCAAAGCTTTTTGATACTAGTCTAGACTGAAAGGAATCTACAGAGGCTATCGTGGTGCTTGTCATGGTTGGAATAACGTTCAGAATGGTACGATCATAATCACAACTTTTGCTTCAAATCAATACTGAACATAGTCGATAGGTGGATGAACATGTATCATTCTCTACTTCTGGATACAAAGTAGGCTATCTGGATCCTCTTACAGTGACCCATGTGATGAACTCTTTCAGACATTACCTTGTTACCTGGCATTGTTTGCTCTGGCCGAGTGAGTGTAAACCAGTTACCATATGTCTGCTGACTTGACCATCCCAGAGTATTTGAAATGTTCATGGCTGCCGATGCTTTAAGGCTCAGAAATATCATTCAATTGGTCGGGATCTTGTGTGCGTTGGCCTTATTCTGCCAAACAACTTGCCCTTACGTTTTGTTATGATTTAGTGTTCCACCTTGCTCTGATAGTATCCGCGGCTCTTCAAGTTCACCAAACTCGAGATGCCCTAATAAATGGGTCCGTGGACTGCTCCGACCCAGATGCTACTAACTACCTCATTGTGTGTCCCCCCTGCTGGTTGTTTGTTGAATGTCTCATCAGTTGCGTATACCAGAATTGTGATGTTCCTGGTTCACTGTGGAGGAAGATAGAACCTTTCCTGATCGTCACACCCTGTATAATTGCGGCCTCATGGCTGATTATGATGTTCTGGATCAAGCAGCTCTATGGCGAGTTTGGGTCAGTAGTTGTTAGTCCAATTCCTTTCGTTTTGTAACGGGAGCCATTACCTCAGATGGGCCATCTTCCATATTGTGGGCGCGAACCCTAAAACCAAGAGTGCGTATGTCTCAATTTGCCGTTCGCACGCAGCTGATTACAATGCACCCTCTCAGCTATGTACCAGTATTATCAAGTCGAAATCTGTCTTTTAAAATTCGACTTTTTCTTCTTCACCGGTGTGACAATGCAGGTGAGTAATCACCGTTTATGCAACTTGAACACATGTTGACTTGCAACGCAGCTTCTTATCGTCGTCCTTTCCAAAAATAGTGCGGAGTTTGGGTAAGTCTTTGGGGCTGCGAAAACTTAGATATCTTTGGGTTTATTTTTTAAAACCAGGATAACCATCGCCGCTATCCCTATCGTTTTGGGGCTCCTCATGGGCGCTGCTTTGGCTGTCCAAAGAGAGATTAAGTGGTAAGGCTTTCTATTCACTTTTTCTGAATTGAACTGAGCATCTGTTGCATTAGGCTAATGACTATATCGCTGGTGGTGCGTCAAAATTTTTTTTGAGCATGATAACATTTCAATTTTGGAGTTTATAATAGATGATGTTGGCAGCTGAGACGTATTGTAAGTTATTTTGGAATCCGATCATTCCCCTGGATACTGACCTCGATTTTTTCTTTTTCACAGTCAGTAAGCAAATTCTACCGATATTCTCAAAAACTACTCTCAACAGGCACAGTATATAAGCTGGTCCGTTTCTACGAACCTTCATCAACTTCACAATACAACACGACGCGAGCTACGCTGACAGTCTTCAGTAAGCCTCCTTCTTCGCTACCTACAATAAATATCTCATTGTTTCTCAGCAATTGTTGCATTCCTTCTTCTCTTCGGTGAGACGACTCTCATCGTGATCTATTCTGTCCGTCGTCAACTTTGCGTTTGCTTTCTAGGAACTTTCGTCGTTGGTCTGAGATGTTTCAGTGACTTCGACCGAGGCTTGCTCCCATCCAAAGTCCATGGTCAGTCCTACAAACCTGTTTCAACAAAGGTGGATCTATTTAATAACGGTAATAACTTTTCTAGACGTAAATAAACGCCCTAAATACTCATTTTCGGGCAATTCTTCAGGAAATATGAGCCAACGACAGTCTTCCTACAATGGAGGTTCGGTGCTTGCCCCTCGAATATCTATCGAGTAATCTATGTAGTTCTTGACGCTTATGTGGGGTTCCGACATTTTTCCTTCGACGGCAACAGGTTTACTATTCCATTCGTTCCCTTCGCCCATCGGGATTTTCCTATTCACCTATTTATGTCCATCTGAATTCATCTACTGAACGGTTCTGTATACCTAATATCATTTCCGTACACTTGTATATCTGACCGCTAGTGACCGAATGTCTTTTTCCACTGGGCACATCCTTCGATGCGACGAGAAGAGAATAAAGTATATAGATGTTCATCGGCCATTCAGCGAGATTTCTTGATACATTGAGTATAGAATGCTCATGGCAAATGCTCTGTATATCCCGCATGAATGAGTCTCTCAGATGCAGCCCATACCTTAGGAGGGATCTCCTGCGAGATTTGGAAGCCCTTGGCGGGATAATCCCGGATGCGTACCAAATCGCCAACCATAACATTGATCACCAACTCACGAGGGTTTTCCTTGTCTGGATACTGATCCCACTCCAGCTCTGGACTGGTCACACTGAACTTCACCTTTTCCTCTATCTCCGCGCCAGGCCACTGCTTGAGGAATGTCGCATATGTCCGTCTCTCCATATATGGCTTCTGCACGAGAATGAAAGACTTGATGTCCTCCAACAGTCCCTGCTTCTCTAACAACATATATGTGAACCGGACATTTTCCCCAGTGTTTGTCGACCGGGGCTCTACCACAATCGCTTTATCTGGGACGCCCATGTCCCGTGCAATCGTTGCAAAAGCTTCTGCCTCTGAGACACCGTGATAACGACCTGCAGTCAGGGATCCAACTCCTCCAGAGAATATAAGAATCGGCGCAAGGCCAGAGAGGTAGAGATTCGCAGCCCGAACAGCGACGCGCGTGTCGAGACTACAGAGACAGAAGATTGCAGATGCGGGGCTTGGCTGGTGGTGGAGGCGGTGGTAATTGTAGATCAAAGAGGCATCGGTGTCGATGGATGGCGCAAGTCCTGTTTGGCTCATGTGGATGCTGATAGTTTGGAGGAAAATTGGGAATTTATTCGTTAAATGAACAGATATGTCGTAGCGCCCATATGACCATACGTATGACAACGACTCGGAGTGGTGCTGTCAAAACATTCATCCTTCATGGCAAACCAGCATGTTGATACAGAGTCACAAGAATGGAGGCTTCCTTGGTGGTTGAAATTTTTGGATAAGGTCAGAAATTTCTCTTCGAACCCGCTGAAAACAATGTACTAGGATCAGAAATTCCACAGACGAATACGACCGTAACTGCTCTAACAGCCGGTTTCATATTATATACCCAATCGTCTGGAGTAGCCTATTTTGCTTCGGGTGCAGCAGCTTGTATGATAGCGGTGAAGATTGTCAAGAAAATGATTCGCCAAGAAAGACCTGTAATGCAGAGGCCGGGGAAGAAACGGAAAAAGACTTATGGGTAAGAGCTGGCCGTTATCCATATATCCTTTCCTTGACATATAATACCTTTAGAATGCCGAGTACCCACTCCACTACTATCACATATTATGCGACATACATCCTCCTTGCCAGTCTCTATCTTCCGATTCACCATACCCTTCCTCAACACTGGACAACACGAATTGTCCCGCCGCTAATCGTTTTGCCTTGGGCTGGTTTAATCGCTTTGTCTAGAATATGGCTCGGACACCACACCTTGGCTCAAGTATCAGTCGGCTGCTCGTTTGGCTTTGCATTTGCTTGGTTGTGGTTTTATTTGTGGACAGAAGCTCTGAACAAATACGGAATAGAAGCAGAACAGCTATGGCAAGCATATTATTTAGCCCATTGGAAGTAAGTATGTTATTTCGCTGGACAGCAGGCGTCTGTGGTCGACCAATTGATATCATTGCTGGTACTGTAAAGTTGTGAGAGCTTTGAACCAGGATCATCACGCCACACGCAGTGTCACATCACGCATCACTGTACTCAATAATGGACCACGATGACCCAATTTTCACCTTCTTTCCTGCCGAAGAATCTGTCGACTTATACGCTGTACTTTCCGTCTCCAAAGACTCCAAACTCGATGAAATCAAAAAGTCATATCGCCGTCTCGCTCTGAAATACCACCCTGATAAACACGCAACTGCCAGCGAATTCGCGAAAAGTGAAGCTTCACTCAAGTTTCAACAAGTTGGATTCGCATATGCTGTGCTGAGTGATGAGAAGCGCAGGAGACGGTGGGACCTCATGGGGAAGACGGATGAGGGCTTTGATCTCGCTCCAGGAGAGGATGGTTGGGAGGCTTATTTTGAGCAAATGTTTGATCGCGTCACGAGAGGTAAATTAGACGAGATGAAGAAGGAATATCAGTGTATGTATGATAATTGCTTGTAGTGATGCATTTATTTGATTTGCGATAATCCAGGCTCCTCCGAAGAAGTCGCAGATCTCAAAGCTGCCTATACCGAAACCGAGGGGTCTATAGGCGACATTATGACTTTCATTCCGCACTCTGCTCACGAGGATGAAGCCCGGTTTATCATCATATTATCCAACCTCATATCCAAGGGCGAGCTGACTTCTCTTCCGAAGTGGGAGTCCAGCATCAAGGACGAGAAGGCGAAACTAGTACGACAGAAACAGAGTGAAAAGGAAGCGAAAGAGGCAGAAAAGCTAGCGAAGGAGCTTGGCGTTTGGGACGAATTCTATGGAAGTGGTAAAACGGGGAAACGGAAGGGTAAAGGTAAAGGTAAAGGGAAGGATGATCAGGAAGACGAGGGGGAGGAAGATGTGTCTGCACTCCAAGCTCTCATACTGAAGAAGAAGCAGAAGAACACCGATAGCTTCTTTGATAGTCTAGCAGCTAAATACGCGGAACCCGCTGTGAAGACAAAGGGCAAGGGGAAAAAGAGAGCGAAACCTGTAGACGACGAGGAACTGGAGGAATCTCCGAAAAAACGTTCAAAGAAAGCTGCGCCACCGCCTCCGGATATCGATGATGCCGAATTTGAAAAGTTGCAACAGAAGCTCTTTGGCGACAAGGCGAAGGATTCCTCACAGTCAGGAGGGAAGAAGGGGAAAGGAAGAAAGGCCAAGTAGTGCTTTGGGAACAAATTGTTTTCTCTTGTCACTTTGTATATATGTTTTGATTATTTTGTATGTATCATTGTATGTACATATATCCTGTGATCCAGATATTTCGAAAAACGATATGCGTAGATATGTGATATGACATGAGGTATAATCAAAGACTCCAATTATGAAATCCTAAAGGTATCTTACAGAGTCTATTCCTAAACTTCGACGGGCATGAATAATTGCAACGAGCTCTTTGATGCTCTCTTCTAAAATCACGACGTTGTCCAGCAACCTCGAAAGCGTCACCGTTGTGGTTTTCTTCTCGCTCTCTTCCTCGTCAGAATCATCTTGAGTCGTGTGAGCTGGTGTCCTTTCGCTCCAGCCAGCACCAAACACATCCTCCTCGTCTGGATTCCATTTGCGTGGCGTTTTGACGGGCGTCCATGGACTGGAAGCGGGAACAGGTGCCACGAAAGGCTCGACTACGATTGCTCCAGTCTTCTGGTAATGAGGCGCAAATGGACTCTCAGAGAAAGTTTTGTTAGTGTCCTTTTTCTTTGGCGGTGTGGAAGGCAGCGGTGCCATTGCAGACTTGGACTTGTTCCTCTTTGGTGTAAAGAGAGACACGAGACTCGAAGAAGTTGATTGCCTTGGCTTTGGTTTAGAATGCTGAACTACATCGGAGAGCGAAGGGAGTCTGGGAGTATTTTCATTAATCTCAATGGCAAGTGTTAGCGCATCCGATAGATTCTCAGAGAACAAAAGGCCCTGGCGACGCTCAAGCAGGAATCGGTCAAAATTGTCCACACTACGACGATAACGTTCCAGCTGAGCGACGAGACCATGAAATATAGCATGCACGACGGGACGCGATTTCTCGTCCATGCTAGACGCCGGCAGAAAGCTATCGTTGTTGGCGAGTTTTTCCTCAATACGATAATCGATGGAACGGTCGTCACCATCACTATTGGCGTCAAGTCCTGCGTCAATGTCATCATTGTTGCTCGGAGTAGAGTCGTTCGAAGCGAATGTCAGCCACCCAGCGAGGGATCGGTCAGGATGAATAGCCAAGGTGGACAATACACCGGTTAGAGCGATATTGTGTTCAGGAGTGTTGGAGAAAAATCGGCGAAGAGATTCGAGGACAGTAGAAATGATGGGGTCGTTCACGTTTATACGGTGTTTGGCCTTTTGTCGTGCCTCTGTGTCCACTCTGTCAATGTCATCCAGTTGATACGCAGGCTGATCTTGGACGGAGAAGAAAGCGTCCCGCAGATAGTTATCATATCCAGTGCTGAATGGATCAGAGTTATGTGAAGGATCCACCCTTGAAACGAGCGCAAGATAAAGATCCATCTCCCGTTCGTGAGTAGAAAATGTCGTATCGGGTTGAGGGAACAAGGGTTCGCCAGATATAGGACTCTTTTTCTCTTCCCCGATACCAGGGTATATAAAGGTTTCTTCTTCGTCGTCATTCTCGTCTTTTCTAGATTTGCTAGTTATCAATATAGGGTGTGGGAATGCGGTGGCTAAAGGGTCTGCAACCACTATGAGGAGTTTGTCAGTACAAAGATGGGGGTGTTGTAGAAGCATGGCTTGCAACAACTGTAAAGCAGCTGTTGATGTAGGTTGAGACGCAGATCGTAAATTAGAAAGTATCAGATCCTTCAACGTGAATCGAGCCATAGCAGTGAAGTATTCCGATTGTTTCCGAGTCTCAGGGGCTTCTATCTCTAGGAGAGCCATCGCACTACTCTTCCGACGTCTACTTTTGGTCTCCTTTTCGGCAATAGCAGAGCTAGACTGAGGAGGAGCATTGTTTAACATCATGAGGGATTGAGGGCGAGGACGTGGTCTAACTTCCTCGTTATCCTCACTAATGAGGAAGTCGACCAAAAGATCTGCTAACTGGCCGTCCTGTAGAGTGCGGATCATGATATCGATGTACGACATGACTGCAACGGCACTACCATCAGCGTCTGAGCATTCAAGGATAGTTGGATATAGAACATTCTCCAAAAATATCCGGCGAACTGCATCCAGGATGGAGTTCACGATTGCGGTACCAACAAGAGAAGACGCGTCCACATCCTCCTGGATTATATTTCGTCGTAAAACATCCTGAATGAATTCGAGCATTTTCAAGAAATGGTCCAGCCTGGATTTGAAATCGGGACTGTTGGCATCTTCGACTCCCATTGCCCATGATTTTGTCCGGAAAACTTCCAGCACTTCCTTCTCGTCCTCTGTTTCGAGCCACATGCTTCCTATGACCATTCCAGTCTCTTGTGAGCGATCTGCGTTGGTAGGCGGTCTGAATTCGAGTTTGGAGGGCAACATGGAATACACTGCGCCTAGACCAGCGCCCAAAACTTCGGAGAAATCACCATCAAGGATGTATTCCGCTAATGCGAGTGCTGCATCTGTTATAGGATCTGCGGTAGCTTCTGATGAGGTTTCTTCTCCAGTGAGACGGTGAACAGGCTCTCCGGGAGACATGGCAACGTCCATCAGTAAAAGTAAACCAGCGCGAGCGAACTCGCCGATCTGGCCTTCGCGATGACCGAATCGCAGTAAGTAATTGAATAATAAAAATTCGTATTCCGGTTTTTTGGTCGCCACTGAAGACACTGGCATAGATGTTACTGTGGTTTGTGAGGGCGTAGGGGAAGATGGACGATGAGGTTCGGCCACGGCATTCGCAATGCTTTCCTCTTCATCTTCCTCTTCTTCATCTTCATCCTGTTCCTCTAGAGAGAATAGAGGTTCTGATCTGTACCAGTGCTTATCATGAAAGAAAATCATGAGAAGTTCACGAAATGTGCGTATGCGGCTGCACAGAATGCACAAGAGATTAACCACTATGATAGGGTTCAGAAGATAGAAATTGAGTGTAATGGGAAGATGCCAACGTACGATCTTCCTCGAATTCTGAAGGTTGTGTTTGAACAGCGTTGCCAGCTGCACCCATAACTTTCTTATGTCGACCATCAAGCTGCTCATGTAGATCATCTCCCGCACAGTTACGGAGTAGTCTAAGGACTGCTTTATGAACGGCAGAGTGGACAAGGAATTGCTCGTCTAGTAGAACGACCATATTTTGGACCGCACGAAGAACCTCAGCTTGAATGCCGAAGGGCCTGTCTGCTTCGCTCAAACGAACGAGTGTGCCGAGGACATCTGGAACGTTGATTCTCAATCACAAGGCAATACCAAATTTTCAAGACTTACCGTTCTTTAGGAGATATTCAAGACATCCACCAGTTGTACTGCGAGATCACTAATTCAGCACAGTCCGTCGCGGGGAAGTAACGCGTACCCCTCGTCGATCCGGGTAGACTCTGTAACGAGGCTGTTGACCATAGTTTGCAAATGTGCTGGAACATCTGTAGATTTAATTCCCCTTGCTAGCTGACGTTCATCTGGATGCTGAAGAGTGTTCTGAAGTAGAAGATACGGTTGAGAGGCTGGAGAATGAAATTAACAAGATAAACAACCTTGACGAAATTCCAGGATTTGGTGAATTCTTGAGTATAGTCTGGGACTTCCTTTGGTGCAGGTTGAGTACCGGGTCTTAGGAATTTCTGGAAGTAATCCATCGCGTTCAGGAATCAAATTAATCCGGTAGCTGCTGGACGATGGTGGAATTTCAGCGCCAATGCTGAGCACGTGCGGGTGTTTCCAGCGCTAATACTTACTGTGTTACTGCAGCTCTCCGAGTCTGCAGCTGTCGTAATAGTAAAGGTTCAACGTTCAGTGCCTTCCTTCTTTGCTATGATGTACATTTCAATTTTCAGCACAAGATCCACACATGCGAGGTAATATGGTACATCACTCTGAGCGCTGTTCCTATGTTTAGAAAACATTTAGTCCAACTAGGTCCAACTATCACAGTGCTCATTCGAATCCGGTGACAGATGACTTCCGTGGCGTGTTCCCGTAGCCTGTAGCAATATCCACCAAATACTTAATTAACAAGCTTTGACAGTTGTTGAAGCACGCTATATCCATTTGAAATCGTCACTCTTTCAGCTACTCTTTTCTACTTTGCAGGTCAAGCTGGTTTCCCTTGTTGAAATGCAAGGAACTTTTCCTCCCCATCTTTCTTTGAATTTGGAGTCCTTATCGACGAATTCCGACTTTCTTTCACAAGTTAAGCTCGTCTTTTAATCTAAAGATAATTACTCATTGCATCCACAGAATATCACACCTATAATAAGTACACCATTGTCTTCTTTGACTCCGACAACACCTCGACTGCCCATGGCTTCAGCTCATATACGGCGAAAAACTGACGCTGGGGATCTTGCGGTAGCGACTCGGGGTGTAATACATGAGTATGAAGAACGAATTGCTTTGCTAGAGGCTCAGAACTCCAGAATTTCTGTTGAACTGAATGCTACCCAAGATGCGCTGGTCGATGAACGCGAGGATAGACGGATTGAGCGCCAGTCTCTAACGATACCTGAAACGTCAAGCTTTCCTGCTCAGGCAGCGCCTGACAAGCATATCAGCGAGCGATCTGAGCTTCTTTACGAGCGCAAGCTTCGTATGGAGATCTTAGACACTCTGAAGAAAATTCGCGCTCAAAATACGACGCTCTCTCAATCCCTCAGAGCAGCTGAAGAAAATTACAACTCTCTTGACAGCGTCCTGAAAGCTGAACATATAGAGAAGGAGGAGCTCCGCGGCGAGATCAAAGAATTATCTCAGAGAAATTTCACGTTGTACCAACATAACAAGCTTCTTGTAAACCGAGACACCGTTTTGCAAGAAGAGATTTCGTCTCTCATGACGAAATCTCAAGCAGATGACTGGATGCGCGGCATTTTGGAGGAAGAGCTTCGGAAACAGCGATTGAAACAAAGCTCTCCCGATGACAACTCTCATGATATCTCTACTAGTCCCCATGTCCGCCAAATCAGCGTCCCCGCTATCACTTTGGAGCACCAGGGTCCCTTACGAGCGCAGCTTGTAGCTGCCCAGGATAAACTATTTATCACACAACGATGCCTCGAAGTTTCTGAGAAACAATGCGAGGAGTTGCAGAATAGAATCTCGGGCCTTCAGCGTAATATAACCCAGTGCCTAGACTCTTCCGCTCAAGCCTTGGAACTGGAGCGAGAACTGCGAGCCGAGGTCGAAGAATATTCTCGCAGTCTGGCAGAGGAAAATTCTCGTCTCCAAGATAAGATTCGGGATCTGCAAAAAGCAGAGCGACAGAACGACACAGCAGTTCCAGAAATCAAACCTGCTCTCGATGACGTCTCCGACGCTCTCAAGGATACGACGAAGAGGCAGGAATCTTTGACGCACGCAGCTGTGCTATTCGAGCCTCATATACCTCACCATGATTTATGCGGAGACGTACAGAACATCAGTGTAGACGTAAGGAATGTTACTTTGTCACCAGTCGTCGACGGTCGCTCAGATGAATTTCAAGCGCGCGACGAAACTGCTCTCAAAGCGCGACATCGAGAATTATTATTCAACCAACAATTTCGCGTATCCTCCACAAAGGTGAGAACGTGCTGTTATCACCCGTGTTACAGTCATTGACCGGCGAGCTCTTCAGAAAACATTACAAAGAAGATTTTCGCACTCTGCCTTATTTTCTTCAGTGGCTCCACCAACAATTACTGGTGATCTGCCTGGCATGTCCCAATCGGTCATGGGTAACACTTCTCCTTCCGCATTACCGCGGCGAATCGTGACACCGGTGAATCACGGCCATAACATCAAAAGCTCATCTGCCACCGCACCCGCACGTTATTCCCGGCCCCCACTCTTAGGCACCTCCAATCCTTTAGCTGCAGAAGCTCAGATCCCTACTAAGCGTGATTCTATTGTGCTCAAACCTCTGCATTTAGTTTCTTCTGTTGAAGTGACACCCAAACGCCTGACCCTATATGCTCCTTCTCGGCCGATGTCTGTCGTTGAGCCCTCACCAACATTTCCTCCTGCACCTCCATCTACGCCCAAGAAGGATCAGACCACTCAAGGCAAACCGAATTATTGGTTTCGAAACAGTTCTACAGCTTCCGCAGATTATCCGTGCACTCCTGATTCTTCTTCTTCTACCCTGGTTGCATCTTCTCCAGCACCAGCAAGCGTCGACAAGGGGAAGTCCAACGTGATAGCTAATACTCTTTTGAGAAAGCCTTCGCTCGATTCCAAGCTGAAAGCGACGACTACTCTCTTCGTGAGTAGTTCTTTCTATCAAATTCGACTCGAATTTTTGGCTGACAGCGGACGCAGCTTGACATGCACGGGGATCGTGAAAAATACCAACTAACAGACTCCATCGCAACAAGTATTACACATATTCAAGTTCTCCCTTCTTCCACCCACATGCGAAGAGCATCCAAAGTGCTAGTGAGTCACAATTGATCGTTCGAAAATTCGGTGGCTTGATACTCAAATGCTCTCAGGCTAGCATCGCCAAGAGGACTGGAATTGGCGGTCTTGAAGACTGGTTTGTTGTATAGTACGTGTACTTTTAATAATGTATACTCTTCGGCCTCACTGTGCGGAGGAGCCATCAGTTTTTGTGAGTCTCGCATCTCAATCATCGTTATCTGCTTTCCCCGATGGTTCGGCACTTTTTTGCGCTGGTGGCTAAGATCAAGAGAAGAGTGTGCAGGTAACTTGGCTGTTGATTTTTTTCTGATCTTAGGAACGGAAAGCCACTGGGCGTGGTACATAGAAGGAAGTGTTTAGTTGGTCTCTTAAAATTGCCCCAAAGTATCATATATATTACGCCGCGCACTGCTCTCAGTAGTAGTTAGGTCTGGGATTCAATATTCGACCTTCCGTAAGTGTACGTATATTTGCAGTTCACAAAGCTGTGAAGTCGCTTGGGATGACCGCCCTGAAGCTCTACAGAGAAACATTTAATTTACAGTCACTCCACATTCGGAACTGCATAGGAATTATTCTCTATTATTTTCCTGGCCCTCCCCCATTAAGAATATTGTCTTTCACTTCAAGAGAGGATTCCGGAATGACGACATACTCCCTTCGAGGACCTATGTACAACTTGAAGCTGTCCTTGGATAATTTCTTTTACTCATTTTTTGTTCGAAATATATTTTGGGCTGCGCCTCGAGGAAGCGCTTATTCAGCGCTTTAATCCTGCTTCAATCGCACACAGCCACACACTCACCTTCTTCGATAAACCACCGGGTTGATGATGTCGTCGAACGGAACGGAAACGGCTGTCGTTGCTATTCCTCCTAAGAAAACTAAAATCAAGAAACTGAGGCCAGCCCGAAAGCAAGTAAAGCCCGGCGATGTTGAAAAGAAGGAGACGCCTCAAACAGGAAAGGAATACAGTCAGTTTGTTACTCTTCTCTTTGAAACAGTTCAACGATTGACATATTTATTCCTAGACATTTGGTACAACAAATGGGCTGGTGGTGACAGAGAAGATAGTTACTCAAAGTGAGCTTTACTTGGCCCGGCACAAACAGTACCTTACCGTATTTCACTTCAAGCAAAACCAAGTCTCAAACGCGCTGTAATATCAAGCTGGACTCTGGACTAACTCGCGCCAACACAACTGGGATGAAATACTGCTGTTTATTTTTTTCCCGCGGGTGCTGTCCTTATGGCTGGGAATGCGAGTACCTACACACACTTCCGGATCCATCCACTGCACTACCGGATAGTTCGAAAGACTGTTTTGCGAGAGACAAGTTCGCAGACTATCGTGATGATATGGGTGGTGTCGGGAGCTTCAACCGTCAAAACCGGACATTATATGTTGGGAGAATTAAAGAGACCGGTACCGGACTAGAGACGGAGGAGGTGGTTAGAAGACATTTCAAAGAGTTCGGCGAAATTGAGCATGGTACGTTTATCTATTTATTTTGTTTCGAATACTTTCTCTTACACTATTTTGTAGATGACTCGGAAACAGGATGGGCCGTCAAGGTGTTGCAATACCGCTCCGTTGCTTTCGTCACCTACAAATCTGAATTTCACGCTCAATTCGCTAAAGAAGCAATGGCGTGTCAATCCCTCGACAACGACGAAATACTCAACGTCCGATGGGCGACCGAGGATCCTAACCCAGTTTCCAAAGTGAACGAAAAGCGTCGTTTAGAGGACATGGGCCAGGCTGTAATTCGTGAGAAGATGGACCCCAGAGTGGTAGATGCCATGCGGACCATTAGGGCCTTGGAAGATGGTGATGTACTTGACGAAGATGGAAATCTTCTCGAAAATGGTCCAATGGACGCGGACAAGGAAGACGACGAAGGCTCTGACCGTGGAGCTAAGCGACGAAAACTTGATGTAGACGATCGAGTTTCGATTTCTCCACCTCCCCAACAAGAACTCCCAAAACTTACAGGTTTACTCAGTGCTGATACTATGGACAGCCTCAAGTACTTCTCAGAAATTCGAAAAAGAAATGGCATTCAACCTTCAACCGCAGTTCGAATAACAAAACCATCTGCGGGGCTTGGTCTTGGGGACTATGGTAGCGATGACGAGGATTGAACACTTGTAAATAGAACATCAACACTTGTATAAAAAAACATATATTTTTGACGAAGTAATGTACATGTTCTTCACAATTCCTCTTTATCTTTACAGGTGATTTTTGTACCAGTATTTCATACCAGTCTTCTCTTCGTAATGCTTCAATACCTGGGCTACTCCACTTGCTTGCAGATATCTATTTGCCATCAGCATCTACCGACCCTATCAGTACACAACTCATTGAAGAAATATTTCAGCATGCCCACCATGAGCCAATATCTTAGAGCACTCCATCCTGCTGCCTTGTGAATCATCATCCAGTGCTGGTCAACAAAATCTATGGTTCCAACAAGATAGTCTTGAATGAACCGTCTCCTGTTGACATCAAGGTTAGTAACTGGTCACTTCGTTCCTCATTTTCAAGACTCGATACCTGTTCATCATAATCCATCTTCCCCACAGCGCATGCATTACTTTCCATTCGTCACTTATATCTTCGTTCTCAAAAATTTCAGCCTCCCGATCTAAAACGAGCCAGGATAGTACCCCAAACTCATCTAAGGGTAAAAGACCAAGAAGATCATAGAGGTATGGTCCCCCAGAACGACAACTATATTGTATGACAATCTTGCCATCGTCTGAGGTTGCGGGTAGATAGGGACGCTGAGCAGCGGGACCCAGAGGATCATTCGCTGGAGGTGGGGGAGGATATCGTGAGTCTAATGTTGATGGAGGCGCTTCTTCTGCAAAGGTAACCGATCGACCTCGAAAAGGTGAAAAAGTAATTGAGGCCAAGGACGGAGATGAAAGGTCAAGGATTGGTGGCGACATGGCCGGAGTAGGAGTATTAGGCACTGGTGTAGCTGGAGACATACGAACATTGACTGCGGCATCGTCATCCGAGTCGAGCTCATTCTCTAACGATAGACTAGTGATTGATTGATTTCCGGGAACTTCCTGCACTTCTTGTACTGTTGTGTCTACTCGTACAGCTTCCCTTGCTGATGCATAAGGAAAGAACGGAGCGATAGGGCGACCTGTATGAGACGTCGAGGGCACTGGGAATGACAGTATTAAACGCCACTGCAGGGAGAATTCGTCAGCTAATAACCCAGCTTCAACATATAAAAGAAGAAACCTCATGTTCTTTTTCCTTCAGCCACAAAATTTCAATTCCGGGATGATACCACTGGATGTGACTATCAAGCATTTGCCTTGAATCAAGTCGGCCGAGGATATGACACAGAGGACAGCTCCAGGAATCAAGGGAAAAGCTCCATCTACTTTGATCAGATGTAGCACGAAGTAGGACTCGCAGAACAACTTTATCTAGAGGTGACCCGGCGTGACTGGTCTGAAATGATCTTTTAAACGCAGTACGAAGATTGCGCCGTAAGAAAGGAAGATTTCGGGGAGGAAGCTGGGGTAAGAACGGCTTAATTGCTTGAATAAGTGCACTCGATGGCACAGGCATAGACTCTATACCAATGCTGTCTCCAATTACATCTACGTCGGAGTCTCTATTATCTTCCTCGGATTCGGATTCGGATTCGGATTCAGAACCGGGAACGGACTCTTCCTGATCGTCATTGAGTTCTTCCACAGTATTGCCCTCGTCGCTACTGATTGTGATATGCGCTCTTGGAAGGGCCGCTGCAGAGGTCTTTCGAGCCGATGATTTAGGTTGTATGATATCCTCATCTGAATTATTAACAGGCGACGAGGGTGGATCTAAATCCATGCCGTCTGAATCAGAATCAGGGTTCCTGAGACGACCGTCCTTATCCATCCAAATTCCCCCGGGCTGTTGTGGTGTGCGTTTACGAATTGCTTTTTTATAGTGGGCTCCGGACTTGGCCAAGAGCATTCGCCTGCGGACATTGTCAATTCCTATACTAACAGTGCCCCTCTTGGCCCTCTTGGCGAAACTAGAAAGGTTCGGTTGTGAGGAAGCACGATCTCTTTGCCAATAATTGCCTGAAGGGAGAGTTTTGGCTGGGAAAGGAATGTGAGGCGTCGGAAGATGAGTGGATCGTGGATGGCGCCTTCGGGCGAAGTCATCTCCAATTGCACTCGATGGACTCTTCTGGGAATATGACACAGGGAAGGTTTTCCTTCGGTTTGATAGGAAAACTCGGTCTACAATATCAAGACATGGTTCGAAGAACAGTCTGCTCAAGACTCACCATTTGGGCTCCGCGGTTGCTCGAAGACATGTCGATGGCGATTCTGTTGAATTTGAAAGTCCTGCTTACGTGCTCCTGGTTGGCTGTGGGAAAAATGGCTTGACGGTGTAGAAGAAGCAAACGGTCCATAAGGCCTCGAAGAGGTCGGATCCCTTGCATTAGTTGACATCGTTGGCTGGGAGTAATACGAGAATCCAAAGTGCAATAGGGTGTATCGGTCGCGTACGTATAAAATAGTGCTATGTTCTAAGTGCTTCAAACTTCAATTTTATCACATCGACAAATTGAACGTAATATTTAGTAGCTGGTGGGGAAACATTACCTGTATATTTTACTTCAACCACGAAGTCAATCGAATACGGGTTGTATATAGTGGTACGAGAGTGATACTGAGTGATGCTTATGTACATGACCGAGGAAAACCAGCCCTTATGTACCACGTTGCCTGATGGGACAACAAATCTGCTTCGACCTCTATATACCACGGATGTGTTATGCACGATGCAGGTACTTGACTAAGAATTATTATGAGGGCTGAAGCACAAGATACATGAGAAACATATTCAATGAACCTCTGACCCATTCAGTAAAGGGAATTTAGGCTTCAAGTTCCAACGTCTCTTGCTTAGTTCAATCTGCACATCATCATCTCACTGAAGGTACAAAGCATCTACCATGTATTGTGTGGTCCGAAACAGGGTATTGATTAAAATAATGTATAATGTCCCGAGCTGTAAGAGTTACAAGGAAAACGCTGGTCCAAACGCAGCGATATGCAAGATCAGTATGTGAGTTACTTCATCAACGAACGCATATAGAATATTTTACGATAGATCATTAGATGGACTTGCAAATCGAGCAACTGAACGTGATTTCGTTCCGGAATAGTGCAGCTGTTATATAAGGGTTAGCCGGATGAGTCACGTAGAGCACACACGCAACATACGGAGAATGACTAGTGCGAGCAAGAAAGCTACAATGACAGCGTAGACAAACGTATATTTTGCGACCTATGGTAAATAGTTAGTCAGATACGAAGATAACTCTAGAGATACGTACAATCCAACGCCGTGTCCGCTTCTGTTTTGTGGAGTACAATGGGGCGCGTATCTGTTTAGAAGGACGGAGCCACACTATAGTTGTGTCAGTTTAATCATCAAATAGGAAAGGGACTACCCACAGAGCATGGTCGAGTGAATTTGGTTGACGAAGGGTATGAGGATGGGTGGAGTTAGCGCAATGAGCAAAATGTGACCCAGCAAGAAATCTGAGCTCCAGAGCGACATTTCCACAATCTTGACGATAAATTCTCTGGCAGGCTGGGAGATAGCTGAAGAACCAAGCCCTCTGCCATACCATTTACCAGTCCACCATGCGCGATTCGTCTCGTCATGTTTGTATTCACGAGTCAAGAAGACTGCAATGAGAATCTTCTGGATCGTCCTTTGAATAGCAACGATACAAATAACCCCAAGCACAGCATGGGAGGCATCCCAGAGCTCCAAAAACCACTTAAGAACTTATCAACAACGGGAAGTCTCGAGTGTAGAAATAAGACGTACGAAAAATTCAAAGAATGCTATGATTCCCAACAAGGCCAAACAGTGAGCGATTGCAGCCATGACAGATGCAAACTTGGTCCATGAATCCATCATCGGCCCGAGCATTAAGGAGATGAAGAAAAGTGCCAACAACACGGCAGCGTTCCAGACGATGGGCCCAAGGGCAATAACAGCAATGCGGATTAACGGGCTGGGAGGTTGGTTACCATTGCTGTCGGGGAACGATTTCACGAACATATAAGCGACGATGAAGATGATCGAGACACAAATTGGCCAGATAATCTCTGAAAATATGACCGTCTTCCAACCAGCACGAGGAACGTCTCCAGAAAGCTTTTCCGAAGGATGTCCCAATTTCTTCTTCTTGTATCCGGTGATCATGGTACGCGAAAGACGACAATATCCATACCAACTGCTAGCCTTTGTTCTCGAGTTTCCACGAGACATCCAACGAAGGAACTCTCGGTAATCAATGATGAAGTCGACGAAAGAAAATTGGTGAGGATTGAACAAGAAAGGCGCAATACACAGGGAGAAAATGGAAATCCAGAAATAGATCAAATGCGGTATCCAGATGGTCATAGTAGCGTAGAGGAGCAGCAGCAAATTTCGCATTCCCATGTAAATGCTGGGGCCAGCAAACCGGGAATAGAGAATGCTGAAGTTTATGCGGGTTGTCGCAAACCCACGACCAGTAGCAATGTAACGGGCGCCACCAAACGTCAGGTTACTCAAGATCGCCTGTGAGTAAATTTGCGTCGAGAACACTTCGAAAATGGGTGACAGGGATAGGAAGTGCTTGCCCAAACGCAACATTGCCTTTCCAGTTCCACGTTCAACCAGTTCTAGAACGAAGGGTCAGTCACAAGTCAATTATCCTGGACGGAAGATTCACCTTGCAGGAACAGAGGGAGGAATGCAATGAAAAACACCAAGAAAATGGATACGATACAACGCTTGATCCAGTCAAACACCGGCTGCAGATTATAGCAACCAGGCTGACCACCAATAACATTGCCTGATGTATCGACCTTGCAAATAAGAAGTTGCTTGTTAAGAGTTCCGAGATACACCACTGAATCAAGCAAATGAGCTGAGATCAAAAAAGGAGAATCAGAACGTACACGTGAGCATGAAAATCTGAATTGAATAAATGACGAGGATGTTATTGATGTGGAAACCGGGGTGACCGTAGTAAAAAGTGAGGAATCGGTCGATAGGAAGCTGAGTCCCTAGATAATAGTACTCTCGACTCAACATCTGCTCACCCATACCAGTTCCAATTTTGGTCTGGAAGTTCAAGATGGTGCCGAAACCAAGATCACGACCTTTACCACATTGGTAATACTCCGAATGTTTGATACGACCACCACGACCAAAAGCATTCATACCAGCGAAGATATCCTCGTTTAAGTGTAATCCCTTCTGAGCTTTGGATACTCCTCCTCGAGTGTTCATGAATGTGGCGTTGAGGAAATCGGGATGTCCGTAATGAAGCTTTCCACCAATCCATGCTAATGCACGGGCTGTCATGGTACCAAATGTCTGTTCCTTGCCGGCAGCAATATCACCAAGCACACCGATGTTTTCTGAAAAGATGTATTCACGAGTACCGACGATGGCTACCGGAGCTTTCTTGAACTCTTTGTGTCCCCATTGCGCGTAAGGACTCTGGCTAGATACGGAGTATTCTTCAAACTCGCCGAGGATGTTTCTGATCTTTAGACATTCCTCGAGGTAGTTATCTTGGTTAGCGTCGATGAGTTGCAGATACTCTCCTCGGTAGAAAATAATGGCGTGGTTTTGATTATCGGACTTTCCGTCACCAAGTATAGGATTTCCAGGCAATTCGACACGGAACTTCGGTTTCCTTTTGCCAGTTGCCTCATCTAGCTCCGAGTGACCATCGATGAGAACCGAGAACAACCTCGCTTCACTCCCCTTGGGTCCGGGCTCCTCGTCAAGGTAGGCAATCTGTAAGTCGGGGTAGGCGCGTAATAAGAATTCAGCATTCTCCTGCTCCTCTTTATTGAATTTGGAGAAGCGCTGCATGGATATCGCAAATTTGAATTTACGCCTGGACATTCTCTCTAGTTCGCGTTCTAGTCGTTCAGTGTTACCGCCAAAGTTGTGTACTATGTCTGGATTCTCTACGCGATAGAGGAGCTTGATCGCTTTGGAGTAGTTCATCATTCCAGAGACAGTTCGGTAAAGAGTCTGAGCTCGTAACGAAGCCCATATTCGAGTACGCAGAGTGTATTCTGGCGATGAGGTTTTGAAACCAATGCAGTAAAAGGGAAGATCATCAGCTTTGGAACCTTTCTCGTTAGGGCCTGGTATACTGCCCGTATCTCCATCGATCTCCTCTGCCAAGATCTTGGTGTCCTTCACGAAATTATCCCATTCGACTGGGTGCAATTGTTTAAGATACTCCAGCATTGTGACGCGAGTGTTTTGATCCTCCTCGCGGATGATCTCTCGAAGGCTGAGGAGAATCTTTTCAGAGTAGTGAGGAACCAGAACGGTGAACGTGGGCATGGCATCGACAGGAAGCGGCTCAGGAATTGCGGTAGTAAGCGAGGAAGCAAAGAACGATATACGACGCTCAGCTTCGCCACCAGGGGGGAAGAATGTTGCATTGTTGCCAGTCTGATGAGTGAAGAATGGAGGAGCACGAAGTGTCCTACGTCCATCAGCGCCATCGACTTGATGATAAAGAAGGCGTTGTACATGGTCTATAGACAGCAAGTGTTCTCTGTACATTGAGATGATCACTGCATTCCAGATTTGAGAGACTAAAACCTATATACCCAATAGTTAATATTGAGTATTAAATCCTGGGGTAACTGAACCCACTTTTGGCTTGTATTTTACCTCCATCTCCCCCGTCGCGAGCAATTTTGCATAAATTCGCTTTGGGAGTCTTGTGAAGATATCTTTCCAAGGAGTCCAAATACTCAGACCTAGGCTGAAGCTACGCCCGATACTGAACACCACAGACCAGATAATGTACCAGAGATACGTATCCAAAAAGAACAATATTAGATCCATCAAGTACATGATGGCCAGCGCAAACGGAACCTGGTTGGAACAAAGCGCGGTACCAAAAAGTCTATCGTTGCATCCCTGTACTTTGGTCCGTGCCATAACAGCGATAGGAGAGGAGAAGGAAGTGGTCAAGAAGAAATATGATTCAACGAATTTGCAGCTGAAAATCAAGATCCAGAGGATGATAGACGCAGTCCTAGCGGTACGTTCCAACGCGGGGTAAGAGGCGGTGAAAGTCTGGGAAGCCATATATTTTCTGGCCTTTCCCGCGACACGGTCACCAAACATGCGGCCTGAGGGAATTAGACCGAACGCAAGGGTGACGACCACCGATATGAAGAACTGCACGATTCCAAGTATAAGAGGTACTTGGTTGAGGTCCGTTCGACCGTCTACCGAAGCGATATAGAAAGTGGGTCCCGCCGTGAGTGCTAAGATGACCAACAAAATGATGAGCCGGGTGGTTAGGTGAGAAGCGTTGTTCCAAGTTGTGGGGATGTAGCTGAATTCAGCCAAAGTGGCGAGGATCATGATACCAGTAGAAACAGCACCTCCGAGAGCGACGGCGGACCATTGCATTTGGGGGGAGGGAGAAGTCGTGTTTTTTGGAGCATAAACTTTGGGCGAATTGAAAGCTGTGTAGAAATAGTACAAAGAGATATGGAGGATCCAAATTCGATTGAAGTTGACAACAAGGTGCAAGGTCGAACGCTTCTCAAAGTAAGTTTTGAAGAAGACCCGGTTCCAATCAACGCGACCAAGCTTCATGAAACGTTGAGCAGGAGCAAGATCAACAAGTCGGCTCTATCAGGTGGAATGTATCGTTAGATATGTCTGTAAGGAGCATTAATGCACGCACATTGTCATTCAGGACTATTTTGGACAATCCTTCAGGATACCAGAACAACTGGTTGATGTCATCGTATCCTATAATCTGGTCATGATCCTTTTCCTTCCTCACAAATTTTCCATCCACGACCTCGTAGCCTTGATCTCGCATGAACCGATACAAAGGTTTGATCACAGTGTTCAAGTACAGACCCTCCTGCACAGGTTCGACCCTGTTCTGGCATTCAGGACTTCGGTAGTAGTCGTCTGCACATTTGAAGATGAAGCAAAGCGTTTCGGGTACAAAACGAACGTTCCCGCCTTCACCCCAGCAAAGTAGAAATAGCGCTATCTGTCGCAGCCGGTCATATTGGGACATGTTATTCATGGCATTTCGCCACCGGTTCAGAGCAGAATCAAGATGCTTGCTTTTTCCGCCTTGACCTTTGACAGATTTCAACCGTTGAAGACCAGGATTTTGCGACTGTCCAACGGCGTCGTCAAGATTGAGCTGAGCAGCAAAATACCATTTGCGATAGTTTGCGTGCTGGCCGCCGATGTAGTCAGCATGTAGCGTTAGCAAGGCTTGATTAGGTGTCATGCGGGAAGCCCGTGAATCGAGCAAGTGCATGAGAAAATCAAACTGCGGTGCAGAGCATGATTATCAAAACCGGAGCGAGAAGCGAAGTCGTAAAACGAACGAACCATATTGCGCATAGAGTCCCTTTGAAAACCAAACTTTTGGGTCAAATCGATGAACACGTCCTCGATTTCCTCTGTCGACATGGGTATTTGACGGTCTGCAGACCAGGCAGGATATGGCTCGCCGGAACCAAGACCAGGGTCGGCAAAGGGAGAAATACTGGGATAGCTGGAATGGGAATCAACGGATGCTGCATATTGCTGATTGTAATCCGAGCCAGCTAAAGTATAAAATAGAGGTGAGCCAGGTTGCGAGTGCCACACTGATGATACTGACAATTATTATTTTGGTCATAATAAGCCGGGGCACCAGCCAAACGAGTAGTACTCGAATTTTGAGAGCCATAAGGATCATTCGGTGAAGCCTCCGGTTCACCGTATCGAGGTTGGGAATAAGAAGAAGGAGGAAGGCCGTAAGGCTGCTGTTGTCTACCAGGGCCTGAAGGTGGATTGGCGAATGGGTTAGTCTGGCCATAGCCAGGGTTACTCATGGCAGAAAGGAGGAAAAGGTGACGATGGGAGTGAGAAGAAGAACAAAAGAATGAATGAGGTTTTGCGTCGAGCGATACGTCAAAAGAGAAAGGATATGTGGGAGAACGGGCACCGTTGCGTAGCAGATGTCGCTACCAATTTGAGAAATGAGCACGTGTAATCATTGATTAGTAATCCAGATAATTGAAATTACTAACGCGGTGTGATGCCGGTGGTTTACTTCAATGAGTTTACCTGCTTTCGCTGGATCCTCAAACAATTGTGCCCTGTATCCCGACACAGACCTTACAGAAGACGCGATACACCACTATGTACCATCGCTGGCCTGCCTTTGTATCCGTCAACTTACGTCGTATCCAGATCAAGTTTCCGGAGTCGCGTTAAACTACGCGCCTCCTCAGGACAACACCGAATTTGATATTTTAAAGGCACTCATACCTTCCTATACTGAGGATTCATTCAACTTATCAGTAGTTGACCCATGTCTTTGGGCTGTTCTTGTCCAAATCTATGGCTTGTCGCTTCCCAAGATTTTCCACACATACCCTATTGCTCTCGCAGATACCCACCTTCCTCTTTTACAGAGTATATCCTCTACACCTACCTTCTCCCTTATCACAATTCTTGAACTACCCGGCTGCCCTCAGCTTACAGATGATACGTTGACAACTATCAAGTCGCTTCACGCGTTAGCCGCCTTCGACGCGTCGGAGACTCTGATCTCATCTTGGGGATTGAAAAAGTTGATGATGCCTGCACTTATCATTAGCGATGCAGAAGACATAAAATCATTGTCGAAATCAGGCCCGCTGGGTCTTCGTATCCTTCGTTTGCGAAATTGCAAAGCTATTGATCACACAATCTTCACATCCCTCCAAAAACTGCTGTTTCTTTCAGTGATTGGTACGTTCTCTTCAAATACTATATCATCCCTTCACAAATTTGTCTCAGATTTACGCGGAACTAATTGTGATCCTTCGGCTATTCCTTCGCCTTACAGTCAGTGGTCTTCCGCTGATCTTGAAGAATCAATGCGTCGGTCGCTATACCATCCTACTCCTCTCACCGAAAGCATATCCTCATTGCAGAAATTGACTACCACACTCGCCTCCGCCACGACTACTTTCCAAATTCACGTCGACTCAGTCAAGGGTCGCTCTGCACACCTGACAAAAGTCAACAGTTTTATGGGAAAGTATCAGACATTTCCAGCTGCAGCCGCGGTAGAGAAGGATTTTGCATACAGAAAGCGACATCCTCCTCGTACCCCAACTACAGTAGGAATTCAAGATGAAGCATTTACATTCACTTCAAACGCCATAGTATCACACCCTCCCCAGCCCCCGGATGTGAATCAGTCCGGGAACGCCGAACAATTACCTGGCTATATGCACTCCGTAGCAGAACGAGAATCGCGCCAGTTGGCTAAAGTCCGGAAGATACGCAATTTTTATGCCTCTGCAACTGGTTTGTTTAGCCTCTCTGCTGTCACTAAGCAGAGATATTCTGCTGAAAAATACTATGCGGAGTATGCTATGCGAGAACAGCGCCGAGAAAGGTCTTCTTTACGCTCAAGCTCGCGCCGTGCGATCTGGTCAGAGTTCGACAATTCCGACCGGTCGAAGAAAAAACGTAGACTGACAGATAAAGAAACGACGACTACCCAGTCTCCCTCAGAGCCTTTCCTATTAATGCTATACCGTACTCCGCCGCCATGGCATCACGCAGAACCTCTTCCTCCCACTGCAATGCATCATCAGAAATCCAATCGACCCCAGACCTCCCGCCCTGCCGATGTCACGAATGCTGCCACTGTCAATAGATCGCGTGTCAAACTGCAGATGGTCGCAGACTTGCAATTTAGTGTAGGTACTGCAGCACGCAATAGAAGACTCGGAGATCCAATGGCTAATTTCGATGGGGTCAAATCCTCTTACGATGAAAGCACTAGACTCCGCAGCAAAGACGCCATGACAACAGTCCAACCGATTCTTCAAGGGAAAAATCCTTTCAGGCGTTCGAATACGGAAGCCACGGTCCAGTCAACTCTCTCCGAAGGTTGTTCTACGGACCCGGTGTTAGTGGACTCATCAAGCAAAGAAGGAAGGGAACAAACTCATACATTATCGATAGCCACGGCACAGTCTAAACAGAAGCCACCAACGTACCCTAGACCATTTCTGAAACCGATATCGAGCGTACGCGTTCCTGAACTTCCCCCGGAAGAGATGAGAAAGCTGAAAGAATCTATGGTGAAGTAACCGCCTTCTGATTTTATATCGAGAAAGTCTCTGCCAATTGGAACAGATATTCGTCGACCGACAGCTGACGCTCTCAGCTCCCGCAAACGCAATCCAGATGGAAACTCGAAGATGATGCAGCTTCCAAAAGATGGGAAATCATTCAGATCCGGAATGGGAACCAACGCAGAGCGCAAGATGGTATTTGATTGGAAATCCTGGGGAAGTACTTGAATGACGTACTCTTACTTACTGTATCGATTATACTGCTGCTTTTATGTTCTTATTTATATGTTGCTGTTGAATGTTGCTGTAATAATGATATACATAAATGTTGACCCGCTTTCAAACAGCTCTGCTTTCCTTTTCTGTTACAATTGCGTCACAAAAAAAATTCTTCTCTTCATCTCGCACACCACTTTCAACTCTATATCCTACCGAGAAAACTCTGAGAAAATTGGATATTGAGGACTGATGCCTACACGGCTTCCTAAAGAGTTAACAATGACACGTCTCGCTTCAAAGCGTCACTGTCTTCGAACTCACAATGCCTTCCATTCATTCAGCCTGGACAACAGGTTACTGCCAAGTTCAAGGTCGCAATCCTTGTCATATTATCGCCAGCTGTCAGCTTGTTCTTCGCGAAAGTCATCAAATCATTCAGATATTTTGATGCCTTCACCGGTTTATCCTCATCGCCCGTATACGTTTCATATAGCCACCAGCTGGGCAGGAAAACCATCCACGGGTGATGATAGAGTCACCGATGACCAGCCTTTCCCGCCCGAGAGTCCAATAGGGCGTTGGCGAGAAGAAATGCTTGACAGAGACATTGGTCTAAAGAAGAAACGTAGAGGCAAAGACTGGGTTCAGGATGCGGGAGAGGACTTTTTCTATGTACAGGAGGTGTGCAAGCTTCATTATATCTCGTGGTTAAACAATTAATCTACCTTCTCAGATGCGAAATGGATCGGTAGGTATGCGTTCGCTTACGGCCGTCTCTGCCTGGTCGGTATTCTATGTGTACTCATGATTTGTCAGGGTGCAGCGTTTGGTCTCGCAGACGGGGTTGGAGGGTGGATAGAAAACGGAATCAATCCTGCATTATTCTCGCAATCCTTAATGTATCACGCACATCGATATTCACGAAATGCTTGGGCCGGAGAACCAGAGATTGATCCGACACTCGACTATGAGGAACGGGAACAAGTAGAAGGATGGGAACTCACTCCATACCACTGTTTAGATCTGGCGCTAGGTGGCGTTCTCCGAGAAAGATATGTCCAGGCCGGTACGCTATACCATTACCTTCTTTGAGTGACTTGTTCTAATGTCCTCATGCCTTATAGGTTCAAGTACGGCTTGTTTACTGACACTCAACTCCTCCTCTGGATTATTGCGTTCCGCAAAGTCAGTTATGTCATGGACCATCTCAAAAAAAAAGCTCTGAATTTTCTGTTTCAGTTTAGGCGATAGTGGCTACTCTATAATACGGTCGTCAAACGTGATCTACAAAGAGAAAGTACAGACCCATTTCTTCAATTGCCCAAAGTACGTCATTGTTTTACTTGTAACTGCTGCGCGAAATCTGAATATACGGACAGGCAGTTAACGAAGCTTCCTGCAAACCCTGGTCGCAAATTCGCTCGGGTCTGTATAGACTCACCCAAAGAAGCTAACACACATTCGATTAACCTACGCGACGGCGACCTTGTTGTCGCCTATGTACGTGTCCTAATTTCTCTGTACATCATCCAACGAACTGAAGTATCTCAACAGACCGATGGTTTCTCCGACAATGTTTTCCCATCGGAAATGCTATCAATATGCTCTCTAGTAGGACGAAAAGATGCCACGGAGGATGAGCAAGTGCAGAGTATGGCCGACAACCTGATTTTATATGCACGGCAGTGCATGATGGATAGGCAGAGAATCAGTCCTTTCGAGAGTGAGCCTCTCGATCCTTTCTTTTTGTCTTGTTAAAACCTTCTTGTAGGGGAAGCTGCCAGAGAAGGGATGTTCTTCCGCGGAGGTGTAAGTCGCTCTATGTTATCGTGTTTGGGTCGATCTACTCATTCACTGTCATTTATCATAGAAAATCGACGAGTGAGTAAACTCCAGTATCGCACTTTTCTAATACTTATTGATTGTCTTCTTCCCAACAGTGTGACCGTCGTTGTTGCACTCGTGCGGGAGACCTCGTAGACATGCAGGTATAATATCAATAATTAATTGAGACTATCGATTCGCGACCCCCTAGACGTTCTTCCCTTTACTGACCTTTGCGGATGGGACACCTGTAGACCTCTATGTACATTAACCGCCTTCGCGGTAGTGGCATATATAAGTAATCCTAAGCCTTATGATAATCGTGCCAGAGAAGTTGAGTAAATATTACAATTTATATTGCGAATAAGATTCTAGTCCATAAACCAGCCAAGTTAGAGCATATACTGGGTATACTTGCACATCCCACACCTTCACAAATTTGGAATCTTTACATTACATCAAAGCTGTGGTATTCAACTGGTTTCCAGTACATCGTAAATCGTCAGCAATGCAGTAGCTTTGTGAAGAACTCTATACAGCAGTAAATGGACAAGGAGGACGTGTTGAAGATTGAGCTGGTATATAATCATTTAACTACAACTTTATCTACTCCCGTGTACGTGTACCTCTACTTTGCTCTGCCTTGGCATCCGGCCAGCAGTATACCTTCTCTTCGCAAGTTGAGCTGGCTATTGTTCGGGTGTCCACACCGACTGTTAGGTGTAATAATCTATCTATCTGAGTCCGTAGGGTATACCGAGTAGGTCGGATGCTATAGCAAGCTTCCATACTCATCACTCTACAAGCCAGCAGCTTCAAGCATTTTGAGGAAGTTCGGTGTCCCCAAACCGGCTATTTGGTGTAAGTACTAGTAGGGAATACGATCGTCGATTCGATGAAGTACTTACTAATTGGGTCCCATCTGATTATGAATATTTAATAAATGAAATAATGGGGACTCAGATATTGCAGTACTCACCCGGTAGTCGCGTTGAAGCCGCCTGTACCACCTACGAGGGGAAAGAGTTGTTAAAGTTCGGAACCGAACTTTGAATGAGACACCTACACCCTGCATTTGGCAAGCCAGCTGTGATGTCGGTGAATATTTGCGTATTGTTATAAAGGCTGATTCGGAGCAATGAGGATGGTATTTTGATGAATACATACTTCACTCACAATGGGTTAAGGAAACCTAGCACAGGCTTTCCTGCAGCTATTAAACGATCGTTGACGAGAGCCACCATGCTCGCAAAGATGGGTCCAGAGCAAGAAGTTCCGTTGATGTAGACAGTCTCTCCTCCAGTGATAATCTCGACATTGTGTGATTGGGCAGCAATGTCGGGGAAACCACGTCCACTAGCGTTGAACAAGCCAGAGTAGGTATCGCCAAGATTTTCGAGGAATGGTGCTACAGCTTGTTCTTGATAGGACGGTCGAGCAAAGTAGCCGGAGAAACCTGCAGAAACACATGAAATTGGGAAACGGAGATAAAGAATTGATAGTACTCACCCCCGCTACTGAAATTTGTGGATAATTCAGGATTGATGGAGTATGTCCCACCCACAGAGGTAATATAGGGACAACCTCAACTTGGGCGTCAACACCTCACTTTGGAAGATTCGAGTTGTGCTCACCTCCCGGGAAAGCCGGTAAAAACTCCGTGCAGGTGTCATCTAGAAATTAGCATTAATTTGGGATAGATAGGAATGTAAAAGGAACGGAGATTGAAATGGGGGAAAGTTGGAACATCCAATTTGAACCAGTGACACCAAGTTTTTGGACACTCACTTCGCTCTGCACCACTCACGCCTCCATCTCCCGATCCGAAAATTAGTGAAACCTGATTTTGTCCTTTTCAATAGAAGGTATGATGAAAAGAAAACCGCAAGTACTCCACGAGCACCTAGAGCCATATACACGTCACAGATCTGCCTAAAGCGAAGGATTGAATTTCAGCTTGTGTCAACGCCGAGTTCTTGGTACACTGACTGCGCTTGCGACGGAGTAAGCCACCACTCTTCGTATCCATAACTCATAGACATAACTTGAGGTGGGTCAGTCATATTGTAAAGGTATTCCACTATATCCAAGAAACCGATAGCAGCACCATCGGTGTTATTTGGGCCGATCGATATGAAGGTAGTGTTGACACCTGTAGCTAATCCAACCGTATACTGCGTGTCTAAATTCTGTCTTGCGCATGAGTGAGGAGCGCCTTTTCAAGTAAATGGGCGTACTGCTTCGTATCCTGCATACTCTGGACCTTGTGGGTTCGTTCCTCCATCTATAGCCTCCACTGAGAACGTTGTATTCGATGGCATGTCGGGCCTAAGTCTTTCGAGGAAAGCCTCAAGGTCGGCATACTACAAAAATACGGTTTTAGATTTGGTCTCGGGACAAACGCGCTGGTTCACTGACCTGGGCCCAGTACTCGATCATCCCTGGTACAGCGATTCTGTTCGAGGGCTGAGTGGCCGGAGTCGCAGGAATATCATACAGATCTTGAAGACATTGAGGAGTAATGGTGTCAGCGCAGGATGAGTTCAAGTTTGAAGATTCCGATGATCGTTTGCCGTAAGAGACGGATATACTCAACGGCTTGGCCAAATCAAAGGAAGTAGTTGGGTGAATCACATTGATATGGGAAACAAGGTCCCTTGGGATAGAATACTGTAAAGTGCGGATAGCGCGTTTCCCGGAAGGAATGTGGACGAAAGAATGAAAGTCGGTATCGAAGAGATCATTTGCTGCGTGGACAGGCGCAGAAAAGGTCAGGTAATCATGGACAGTGCTTTCGAGTTGCACGTCTGTGATTCCATATTCGGCAAGCCATTCGATGACTGCTGCCAATGAATGCGGGGAAGCGGAAGTATAGCTTTTCACCTGCATAACGTATTCGTCAAACGGTTAATAAATTCGTGGCGGACTTCCTTGAGAACCTACCTCCTCTGTGCTGAGGTGCTTTCCATAAAGAGGGCTGCTTGGAACACTGACATCGTAAAGGGCTCTTTCCAGGCCGCTCCTATCAATCGAATGAAGCGCAATCCGGAAGTCGACTAGGGTTTCTGGATGAGGAGGTCCTTCACGAGCATAATGTGTGGGGACCCCCGTGCGACTCTCGTGGACCGCCATGGCACGGCGACTCAAAATGTTACTTGCATGGACGCCCTGGAGCAGAGGTAACCCCACTGTGATAAATCCTGATATCCCGATCCAGAGGAGCAATTTCATGATATGTTAGAGAATGGAGAGAACTATGTAGATATCACATAAGTACAAACTTCTTAAAAGTCGTAGCCTAGAAGGGTTGACTTAATGGTTTTCCATAACAGTTGAGTAAGTATATACTGAGAACGGAGTACACTTGCTGACTGTTGAACGTTGAGATAGCAACCGGTACCAGTATTTCGTTTAGAAGAGAGATGTTGATAGTTAAGTTGTGAAGAGTCGAAGTATTATCCCGGTTTCAACGCGTGAATCCCAGACTGAGGTGGATAAAACACTCATAATCAGAAGATATCACGTGTATTGGTTCTTCGAGCTGGAATGGTCGCCTGTGGAGGGACAAAACCTCATACTGTACATGATTCTCGACCGCACCAACTTGGAATGATAGGGTGCTTAGTCAAACCATTTGACGATATATACCTCTGTTAGCTATCATATCAAGTCGTGCCAATCTTTCCGGAAACCAGGTCGCGATAAACAGTCCTTCCACATAAACCAACTCAGCTACAACAATTACGTTCGCACCTATACCTACCCAAGCCTAAGTTTGAATCTTTGACTTGAGCCGTGTATAATTGCCCCATATAATTTCCCAGTCAACTTTCAATGTTTTGTCTGCGGGCTTGCCATGTTCCTCGCTGCTCCCCGCAAGATGAACGGCATGTTCGTACGCGACCAGTGCAGCTTTAGGATCCTTAACTTCCAATAGAATGCCTGTCAAATTCCATGCCTCTGCAGCCGTCCTTCTGGAGTCTCTGTAAAGACTAGTCGCAGGCCTTTTCAGCGAAGCATTATTTAAATATGAGGGTTGAATGGTATTGGCGGGAGTGACTAAAGCCCGATCAGTACCAGTGTTGAATGGCGATCCAGTCAGTACTCGTATGACTCGCTCTGAAGACTCCGCAGCAGTCGATAGCCATTGAGTAGAAACAATTGTGGGTTTGTTTTGGGCGTAAAGAACTTCGGCAAGATGGATAGCCAAAACCGATGAACGTTGGAGTAACGTTAGAGCATGGAGAGCATGTGGTGGTGAAATAGATACGATAGATTCAGGCTGACGGACGGATCGAATGAGATCAAGTGACGCTTCAGCGGTGGATTGAGCTTCAGTGAGTTTTCCTGTCGTCGCATAGAAAGCAGACAATGAGGAGAGTGCGTATAAGAGGGAACGCTGGGCATAAGGGGACGAAGGCATCGACGGAGGAACTCCAGAACTCTCAGACCGAGACGGGGTAGTATGGATAGCACGATTCAACCACGCTAAAGCCCCGGTATCGTCGCCCAGCCGGCGATTGAGGTCACCGAGTTTCAATGCAATACGGGCAGATTGTGGGGCAATGAAAGGTTGAGCACTCCACGCGCGCTCATACTGTGCTTTGGCAGTTATCATTGATTCAGATCCCATTCTATCAAGCACCGAAGCATGCAGGCTAAGCAATTGGGTCATCGTCCATGGCCGAAGTTTTCCTTCGATGCTTTTCTGCTCGGCGATGAGGATCACATCACGTAGAAAGTTTTCTGCTCTGACCAAGCGTGGATCGATGATGACTAGACCTCGTGGACCCAGCAGCCCATCATCGTTCTTGACCGAGTCAGAGCTTACGATAACTGTACTTTGATCCACACCCCAGTGTTGTGCCATCCAAGCTGCTCGGACTAGATGTCGTCCGCGAATGCCTAATGCAGGGTCCGTCCCTGCAGCCTCTAAATCCCCTGTCCAATTCTCTCTCTCTAAATTCCATTCCCATCTCCTCGTTTCCTCGTCATCCTGGGGAAGGGCAAACTCCACGTTCTCTACCCAGATATGAGTGCCTTCAAAAAGAAGGCCAGTGGTAAGCCCAAGTGACACTCCTCCAATGATAAAGAATTTGATGAAGCGTTTGGCAACATTAAGGACGAAGATTGGACCTTGAGCAAAGCCCTCTTGTACAGAATGAGTCTGAGCAGGTGGAAGATCTTCGGGCCGCGAAGAATTTGAAGAATTGGAACGGATGAAAGAAGAATTTATGGCTGGACGTAGGGTTAACGTCCTTGTTGCTCGTAGCACAGTCCTCGCTCTGAACATGGCTGAGAAGATAGCATCATGTATGGAATCAATGTCGGAAATGTCACGGGCGGCTTACAATGCATGACCTTTGCACGCGACTTAATCATTGCTCATAGGATAGGCTCGAAAGTGTACACACTGCGGGGATGAGCCGATTTCCTCGAGGCGAAAATGTGGGTTTTATCTCGAGGTTATGTACAAAAATATGGCAGCAGATATTTTGAAGGAATTGAGCTGAGGTTATGGTAAAATTATGAAAAGATAATTTAAAATAAGCACGGCCCCCCGCCAAATTCACGATAGCTTCACAATAATCGCCACACGAAAAGTTTTAAAATTCGTGCCCAGGATTTTTGATGAATTTTGGTAAAAATCCTTGCATTTTCTCTACATTTTCACCGCGAAGACATTGGCTCATCCCCACAGTGACAGGAATAGAGCTTATTAGCAACACGTCGAAAACTTTTTGAAAACGAAAAATGAACAGTCATGCTTTGAAAAAGCACGGTTTGATCACGCTACTGACATTGTGACCACAACTCAAGAATGTTCCGCCCTCTACCCTTTGTAACAAAGTTGCCCAGCCTCCGGTTGCGCTATAACAATCCATCCGTGTAGGCCATCAAAGCCTGTCATATTCGTGTACCCTCTCCTCAAAAAATTATGTCGTACGAGCAATTACTAGAAGTTGTACAGTACATAGAATATAGACAAACCAACGCTAATGCTGATCACGTTCTCGTCACACTTTTCGACTTTATCGCAGGATCTTTTCGACGTGGAGCAACTTTTCGACGTGCTGCTAATAAGCTCTAATGAGTGTACATTGAGTACAGAATTTCATGCATACATGCTCACTATTGCTTCTTGCACTACCCACTATTCCCTTACACCGTCAACATTGAACAAATGCAAACTGAATACAAATAAACTTTCCAGCCTGCAGCCATGTCCCATGATCCCTGCAGCTGGCTTCTTCCTGGCAGTTTTGGCTAGGGGTCACGCAAATTCAAGCCCGCTTGGAATCTGGTCGAATGCTTGCCGTATTGCAAGTTACCTAGCGGTAATTAAAGCGCTTTTAAGCAACATGTTACAGCAGGTTACCGTATGGCGTACGTCTGCGGTACATCTAGGAGGTTTTCACGGAGTGAAGTCTGCTAAAGTCGAGATCAGGGTGACAAGGGAAAACAGTGATTGTTGAATTGGAATTGGAACTTTAGGCTTGTAAATTAACGAGGAGCATTCTTCGCGCCTGCTTGTTGTACTTAGCCACCGATCTTCAACACAGCCACGCAGTAAGCTAACCTCCGACCCTATTGCGCTCACGGGCGGCCTTGATATTAACCACACTCAGTCCACCAGAGTCCACCCCAAAGCACCCTCGTCCTGAAAAGGGCCGAAATGCCTAAGTCCACCACCGACTGACTCTAACGAGATGAAAACGTTCAAGAACTTAAAGAACTTCGATTCTGGATAAGAGAGGAACCGAGAGGAATCTATGTATCAAGTGGGCGCTCAACAGAGCTTAAGGCAGTGTTCCAAACATACCGTGTGTATGAATTGAATTATTCTGTGACTGCCGAGATTTCGGAAAAGATGATCAGATGTAGGTTCATTCGGTACTTAAATGAGCACGCACTTTAGGAACGTTCCGTCGTCGTTTTTTCCCCTACGGCACATAGGCAACTATGCAGCTAACGAAGGTCCTCTCGTTATTGACCTGCGCTCTCTTGAGCTCTGCCACAGTGCCTACCAAGACTGTGAAACGAGCCGACTCTTCACAGTTTGTTACGACCCAAGGTTCCAAATTCTTTGTTAACGGAAGGTGCGTCAGATTTGTGCGCTCTAATCCCAAAAAGCTGATGTCCTGATCAGTGAATTCCCTATCATTGGAACCAATGCGTATTGGTTGCAAGCCCTGAATGAAGGTGTGTTATCGTCTAATGTCGCTGTTGTACCATTATCCTTACCAGAAATTTACAGAACAGGACATTATCAATACTTTTTCAAATATTTCCGCTCTTGGAATCAAAGTAGTAAGGGCATGGGTGCGTATCCTTCGAACTCTGTGTCTTTTCTCTCAATTCTGATGTTTTTGGCAGGCGTTCAATGGTGCGATTATCTCGAAATTTTACAAAATTCCACCGTTCTGAATCGAAGATAGATGTCACTGAAATCCCTGAGACCGGGACTTGGTTCCAACTTATCGCTAATGGCACTACCTCTGTCAATACCGGAGCGAACGGTCTTCAAAAGCTCGACATGATCATAAAACATGCCGAAAGCTTCGGGATTTATGTTCTACTCACTTTGACCAACAATTGGGCGCCTTTAGCCACTGACAATTTGACTGAATCCATCGGTAAAAATTATACTATTCATTCAAACATCGTTCAACCGTCTGATCTGAATAATAGATGGTCTTAAGTCTTCTGTTCAAAGTCGCGCGGTCGTGGACACCTTCAATGCTTCCCGTCCCAGAAATTTCCTCAGTAACGACTATGGTAAAGCCAACCTTATCCATCATCGTTTTCAAATTCTCAACTTGAACGTAACTAGGTGGAATGGATGTTTATGTTCGCCAATTTGGGCTCCAGAACCACGACGAATTTTATACGAATCAGACTGTACTAAATGCTTTCATGAACTACACTACCCAGATTGTCACTCGATATGTTGACAGTCCTGCAGTGCTTGCTTGGGAACTTGCCAATGACGCAAGGTGTAACTCATCGGTTGCTGCATCTGCGACATGCACTCCCCAGACCATCACTCAATGGCACTCGACAGTTGCCCAACACATAAAAGCGCTCGATCCCAATCACTTGATCTCTTCAGGGTATGTCAATACCTTCGCCATTCCTTTATAACATATATATATGTGTGTATCGTTTTTAGGACCCAAGGCTTCCTATGTATCGGCTGTCCGAAGCTCTTCCCTCGACAAACCTCACCATCTCAACCATCTGCTCGAGCGGTTGTCGGTCGTCGCAGCGTTGCAAAGCCATTGACCAGAGAGCGTATAATCCAGGAGCGCAATGAGCAATGGAAGAAGACTAGGGCTTTACTACCTAAGTCCGAACAGGACAAGGGAGAGGGTATCCGTGTTCGTGGTCGATGGGTTTCTACTCGTAAGTCGCATGTGCTACCCCTCTTCCTTGACTAATCGTGTTTCCTTCTTCATCAAAGCTACCAAACGTCAAAGTGATTCCCAGGGCGTTGGCTCCGCGTTCGATGGGTCTCAAGGCGTTGATAGCGAGGACATTCTTGGTATTCCTCAGATTGGGTTTGGTTCTTTCCAACTATTCCCTGATCAAAATAGTTGTATGTCCATTGTTCATTCGCTGCCGGCCTTTTGGATCTTTAATTCTGACGGAGAAAATTTGACAGATGGTCCAGACGATCCCAGCCTCTCTGCTTTCAATAATACTTTACAGACTGGAATCAACTGGATAACCACCCACGGTCAACTTGCTCAGCAGTACGTAGAACATCTTTCTATCAAGGGAATTTCTGACATCCAACTATGGAATACAGATTCGATAAACCCGTGTCGCTTCTTGGCTTCGGTTTGGTGACTCAGACGAATGCTCCTGACTTCGTGCCTTTCAATAGTACGGTAGCTCCGTTTGCCTCTGACACGACATGTATGTGGTCTCCTCTCTTGGATGAAGCAACTTGTTTGACCTATTTTTTGTAGCTACAGTATCAAAGGCTAGCAGCACGAGCTCCTCAGCGAGCGCAAATTCTACGCAAACTTTCGGTGTTACGGACAGTGAGCAGGCCACCGCCTATTCCACATGGTTGAATAGTGAGTTGAAGTCCTCATACACGGTTTAAGGTACATAGATCTGATATGTCATTTGTTTAATAGCCGGTATCAGTTCTGGAGTATCTGGACTTCTACAATACCAATGGTCTCAAGGCAACTTGACTGCCCAAGCTAACACTACCATTTCCCCCAACGACGACACCACAGGGGAGAGCTCAAACGACGACACAACTGGAGAATCGCCCAACGACGGTTACTCTATCCAGGGGGTTGGGTACGTTGATTTGATCATACTATCGTATTCTATTTTGGCTTTCCACTTACGCAATTTTGATGCACAGAGAGGACACTGTCCAATCCATCCTTCAGAATGCCGTCCAATCTGTTTCGAGCACCTAATAAGGCATGGTCGTTCGTGGGGAGTTTCAATCTCCCCCTTTCTTTTCTTGAAGTTTCAAGTCGGGAATAACCATCCTGATTCTTCATGCAATTGAATATTGACGCTTCATCTCACGTTTCATATGATAATGGAAAATACGCTATCTACTTACATACAGTACTTCTGAAGAAAGGACTAACTAGTTATGCACCGAGCTTTGTACTATAAGAACTTTTGCGTAGACACCTGTAAATTATTTGGGTCCTACATTTGTCAATAGTAAAGAGCGTTGTCGGTTTTCTATGAAGGTCTGATTCCTGACAAAAAGCTCAACAGTCTGCTAATATCCCGTAGCCTTCGCTAATCTTTGTACAGCCTCATTATCCAAGCACCAAGACATAAGTATAGGTTCGGTCAACGCGACCATTGTAGCTGGGGACACTGGCCGTATCTGTCCTGAGTTGATATTTGGTTTCTTCAGACTTGTCGCTGTACTAGACTTCCTTTGTTCGAGTGAATCGATGTGGTGGGCATTCATGGTCCCGTCAAAGGTCATTCTGGTAGAACTATCTCGAATGTACGAGGAAGAACAGCAGCCATGGACATCTTCTAGGTTGGAGAGCGAATAGCCCAAGTTTTCCTTTCCCTCAAGTTGATATTCGGTGCACGCGACAGATGCACGATGGACTTGACTCTGAATTGTCAAAACGCGTCAAAGAAAAGCGATCGAACAGTATATATGCGTGCTATTTACCTGAAGAGGGTGAAGCGGTTGCTCTTCAATAAACTTCCGCTGCAGCTGTTGAGCTAGTGGGAAACTTGGTGAGCCTTCGAACGACCAGGCGTTAGATCCAGCGTTGAAGCACAATGTGGATTTACCTTGAGCTACATGCGGCTTGTTCTCCGTAGCGACCAAAGCATTCAGCACCGTTTCGCTCCTAGCCGCGAAAGTTTTTGGTATCGGAGCAGCAAGAGTCATGCCGTTTCCTGTATTTCTTGTATTTCCAATGTCTGGACCTGAAGTAATGGCAGAGCTAGCCTGAGAGCAAGGAAAGCTTTGAGTTGGTCTGTGAGCGCGTTCTGACACAGGTAAAAGGTGAGACAAATGCGAAGAGGGCTGGTAGGGATGTGTGGACGCGTGAACCTGTGACTGTGGTTGCCGCAGCTGCCTTTGAAAGAAATGACCAGGCGTTTGGGCAAGAGCAGCCTGATTTCGAGGTTTTAGGGCTGCGGTTATTTTCTCTTGCGCATGTCTCGCGATAGCCTGGTTGTATTCAGAAGACGTATTTGAGACCGGATGGGCACGTTTCGAATTGAAGATGAGTTCATCGTTGTAAGGGTGATATCGATGAGCAGAGGCTACAGAAGATGATTGGACGCGAGGATATTGGTGAGCGTTGGTTGTTCCATGTTGAAATTGACTCAAGTACGACGTGTCGTCCATGACTGAATCTTTGATTTTCGTGGCGACCGTTCGGAGCAGGCTCGGAGTATGTAGCAAAGCTGGAGCATTGCTAGGCGCTCGTATAAGCGCACGATTTCTACATCTTGTCTTGACTTTTATAGCACACAAGATTTCTATGCTTGTGCGGTACCAACACTGAAATGAAGTTCCACATTGACAATCTGCCTGTAAGGCGCTCTAGCTATGCAGTGACGAGGTCCCTCATTAGATACCGCAGATTATTTTTCCCTACGACCGAATTTATCCAGGTATGGATTCTTTGAAGATCACACTTTCATAGTTTTACGGGGTCCACAGAACAATATGCCTACATGTGCGACCTCAAGCGGACTCTCGATGCTACGGTAAGATTGGCACAACGCTTTAAATCATGTCGCGTCAATATACTGTTTAGGGACATTGTGTTTTAGAAATGCCTTCTGGGACTGGAAAGACAGTCTCGTTGCTCTCCCTCATTGTCTCCTACCAACAGGTGCGCCACAAGCTCGTACACTATTCGGGAGCCTGCTCATATCATCGATAGTTCTTCCCAACCCGTCGAAAACTGATCTATTGTTCGCGAACAGTCCCCGAAATCGAGAAAGCGCTGGCGGAATTGAAACGACTGATGGCGTATCGTATTTCATGTGCTGAAACAGAGGAAGAGAAGGAGAAGGAGCAAAATTTCACAGGATTGGGACTGACGAGTCGAAAGAATTTGTGTATTCACCCGGAGGTACCGACTAGTTATACAGCTTCTTCGGATTGACTCTCACTATATCTACAGGTTTCAAAGGAGAAGAAGGGCAAAGTTGTGGATGCCCGATGTCGTGATCTCACGAATTCTGCCGTTTGCGAAAAGGGTAGAGCAGACCCCGGTTCAGTCGACTTGTGCGATTGGCATGAGGTCCGCTCTTTTCCCCATCAAGATGAATCTTTGTAGAAACATCCCTTGTAGAACCTTGGCAAGCTCGAACCGGGGAATCTAGTACCCCGAGGCATAATGACGTTAGCGGACGTTCTGCAACACGGGAGAGTTAACACAACATGTCCATATTTTACTGTTCGTCGTATGGTGCGCGCTTCCGAGAAGCTATTGCACTACTGTAAATCTCCTGAGGGCCATTTTAGCTGCCTTTTGTTGATATCGTAATCTATTCCTTTCATTATCTCCTGGACCCCAAGGTTGCGGAGCAAGTTTCCAAAGAAATGTCAAAAGATGCAATCGTTGTTTTTGACGAGGCTCACAACATCGGTCAGACACGTACACTCCCTTCGCATTATGAATAACTGACGCCAATATTAATAGATAACGTCTGTATCGAGTCTTTGAGCATCGATCTTACTAGGCCTATGCTAGACTCGGCCGCACGGAGTATTGGCAAGCTAAGCGACAAAATTGAGGAGTTAGTGGGAATATTATTCTTCGCTGTGTAATTCAATCTGAATTCATCCTCAGAATCAAAGTGACCGATGCCGCCAAATTGCAAAACGAATATGCAAAGTTGGTTGAAGGACTACAAGAAGGCTCTGAAGATCCGGAAGACAATGACGGCTTCATGACCACACCAGGTAAGACTCTTCCGTTCATTAAGGAAACTGAAAACCCATCATCAAAAACCCGCTACTCTCAAGTCCTTCCTGACGACCTACTACATGAAGCTATTCCTGGAAATATCAGAAAAGCCGAACATTTCGTCGCTTTTCTGAAGCGTTTTGTGGAGTATCTGAAGGTTTATTCCGCTAATTTCGGAATGTCAGCCAATGTGACTCAGCTGAACGTAGACTAGAATGCGTGTTCTACATGTCGTAGCAGAGACACCTCTTTCCTTTTTACAACACCTCAAAGACATAACCTATATCGAACGGCGGCCTTTGCGGTGAGTAGCTCCGACGACGTGCTTGTTCTCTCTTCTTGATATAGAGACATATCAGATTTTGTGCAGAACGTCTCCAGTCTTTGATACGAACACTAGAGCTAAATCGTTTGGACGAACATGCATCCCTACAAAAGGTTGCTAGCTTCGCCACGTTAGTCTCAACATACGAAAAAGGTACTTAGTGCGGCCCACGAGATTACCGGAAATTGCTGAATTGATCTTAAAGGGTTCTTACTTATTTTGGAGCCTTTCGAGACGGACTCTGCAACAGTTCCTAATCCCATATTTCATTTCACGTTAGTCACCTTTGGTACTAACTCGTATCAGAATTAACATCAACTGCATCCCATCCCTCCAGCTGCCTCGATCCCTCTCTAGCGATTAAACCTGTTTTTGAGCGCTTCAGTAGCGTGGTAATAACTTCTGGAACGATTTCACCTTTGGATATGTATCCCAAAATGCTACAATTTACGCCAGTCGTACAGGAAACATATCCTATGACGTTAACACGTAACGCGTTCCTACCTTTGGTCTGTTATGTTCCAAGACAACTTGTTCTCGCTGAAATTTTAACTCTTACATTTCCTTGTGAAGGTTATTACCCGCGGGAGTGACCAAGTTGCAATCAGTTCGCGATTTGAAGTCAGAAATGACCCCGCAGTTGTTCGCAACTTCGGCAGCATACTCATCGAGTACAGTAAAATCGTTCCCGATGGTATTGTGGCTTTCTTTCCAAGCTATCTGTATATGGAATCGATTGTTGCTGCTTGGAACGACATGGTCTGTCGCGATTTTATTCATTATTCGTATCGGTCCTTAGTGTATCTTGTCCACTTCTAGGGCATTTTAAACGAGGTTTGGAAAAACAAACTAATCTTCGTTGAAACCCCCGATGCAAACGAAACCAGTATTGCATTAGAAAATTACAGACGAGTAAGTGTTTTTCGCTTCATCTGCCTGGACACGGTTTTCTACGACTTTTACAGGCATGTGACAATGGACGCGGGGCCGTACTTTTGTCAGTTGCACGAGGTAAGGTATCCGAAGGTATCGATTTCGACCACAATTATGGTCGAGCTGTCATTATGTTCGGGTGCGACTTTCGCCTTGCGATTTGGATTTGCACATACTGATCAAAGGTGGCTGCTAGTGTCCCATATCAGTATACGGAAAGCCGAATTCTGAAAGCGAGACTAGAGTATCTGCGAGATGCTTACCGAATACGGGAGTCCGAGTTTTTAGGATTTGACGCGATGCGAAACGCAGCACAATGCGTGGGGCGTGTCTTGCGAGGAAAGACCGATTGGGGTTTAATGGTCTTCGCAGACAAGGTTAGCAAGGAATGGAGTGGGTTTTCAATCGTGTTGATTTGCAAATATTCTAGCGTTTCGCTCGAGCGGACAAGAGAGCAAAACTTCCTCGTTGGATAAATCAATATATCACAGAAACTGCATCCAATCTCTCAACAGACATGGCTCTAACTTTGTCGAAGCTTTTCATGCGCACCATTTCGCAAAACCCTAATGAAAATCAAACCGGCGTGTCATTGTGGACCTTGGATGATATCCTTAAAGCACAGGCGAAACAGGCGGCTGAGGCTGAGAAACAACATAACGAGGAAGAGGAATACGGAGATGGGGGTATAAGTGACCAAATGATGATTGATTTCGAGATGGACGGTTGACTCGAAGTACTCTATGATACAGACCGAGAGATACATAGGAATATCAATAATATAAACGGACAGTCGTGGGCAAGTCGTGGTGGGCGTGGCATTCCGTATAAGCGATCGTCATGAACACTGTGCGCATTTCCCTGGGACCTACTCATCGCGATGAACAGAGGAGCCACGCGACTTTTCACTGGGGAACTCACCTCATTGGTGACTTTTCGTTCTGGCTGGTCGTAATATCGTTTACAATTGCAAGGGGCCCTTTGAGAACCGCAAGAAGACGGGTGCGCAGTACTCAGGTGGCAATGACGAGAACGACAGTCGATATTGGTTTCTCCAGTAAAAGTCAAGTGGCCACAGGCCGTGGATTTGACGAATCTGAGCTGCCGATGACACATTCAGAGAATAATAGGTGCTGCTGGGCGTGCTCAGAAATACTGAAGGTAGAATAACTATAAGAGAAAGTGAAACGACGAAGAGAATAGTGACGCACAAGGGCAGGAGTTGGATCTCTTTCAAAGCTACGTCCACAGCAGTCTACAAGTTCATTTTATAAACGGTCAAACTGCCTAATATTGTCTGTACGGCCCGACCTTGGGATAGTCGTAAGGGATGATTGAAAAAAAAAACTCTGGAAAAGAATGACGATAATGGGCAGTTATGGCATGAACATGTAAAGGTTCCAAGGAAGAATCTTTTGACCTGAAAAAAAAATACTGATATCTGAGATCATGGTTCAATTTATTTCCTAATTTAGATGATACACTCTGATTTTCCTTATACAGTCTCTGAATAGTAGCGCCATCCCTCGAATCCGTGGCAAACCACGAGTCCCCTTCCGAAGTAATCAACGATGAAGTTGACCTGGAAATATATTTGTTCGCACTCAGGTTCATTTCAGGTTCTCTTCTTGTTCTCCTTGTTTTGCTTCGAAATCCTCGCTCGAACTCTTGAGTTTATGGACCATTTCATTGCTTATTGAATGCCAGTCTTCCAGTGGATCGACTATGAAGATGTGTGTCTTCGATTTCACAAGGTTCCTGATGCGTGAAGAATACCCGTACTAGTCCTAAAGGGGACACATCAGTGTTCTCCTTTCCATCCTGCTTCCATCAGTTCGGCATTCATGTGTAAGCCTGTGTAAGCGCATGCCTCGGTGTACATGTAAGTAGTAGTAATAAGTTATGTCTGCATGTCAAGCACTTTAGGATCTTTGCGCGACAGACATATATTTATACCCTGAGATGCTGCGGCATATGCTTGCTGATAAACACACTCCCAGAGAAGCGTGCGCGCCAGACATGACTGCATTAAGTCGAGAACGTTTGAATCAGGTTTGGATTGTGCAACTTGGGCTTTGACCCACGTCCCCGGGTTCGAATAGGTAAATCATATCCTGATTAGTTATCCAGAAATCCAGAAAAAGGTATCCTTATTAAGTTTCATGTAAGATACTCACAATAATTCGACGGCACATGCGCAAACTATCTATGCAAACAGATTCAGAGCACAAGGGAGCCCAAAAAGATTCGTGAAAAGACCTTTCAACTGCATACATTGGATTTAGATCACGAGCAGACCCAGCCGTAGCGTTGACCAGGCGATTATCACGAGTTTGAGGATTTTGCAAGCTCGTCCTTTAGAACTTCTGATATGGCCCGTATACGTTCACCTTTGATAACACGGCGAACTTCGTCTTTGTCTAATGTCTCGTGCTCGACAAGAGCTTGTGCGAGCTAGAAATTGTTGAACATTGTATTGAAAAGAACCAGGCTAAAGATATCAATTACTCACCAGATGTAATTCACCAACTTTGGATTTCAAAAGATCCATTACACGGGCTTCGCTTGCTTTGATGATTCTGTACAATGACCACCAGTGAATCAAAGGGAATATGCGGACGGGAAGACCACCCACTTGCTGACTTCTTCTTCGATTTCGTCTTTTCTCCGAGGGCTCAGATCCACGGTGTCGTCATAATATATAGGTCCCAACTTCGAGAATCCACAGTCCTACTGATTGTTAGGTTTTCCTGCTCAAGTTGTTTATGAGACAAACTTGCCTTAACCATATGCCTAGCGGTTCTGCTGGCATTCCTGATATCAGAGCTTGCTCCACTGGTTATCCCATCTTCGCCATAAACTACAAAACAAGTGGTTGGTCAGAATGAGAGAACATATATGGATAGATGGCAAAGAACGTACTGATTTCTTCTGCAGCCCTACCGCCCAAGGAGACGTCAATACCCGCCAGAAATTCTTTGTGGTTCATAGAAAAGCGGTCGTTTTCGGGAAGCATTGAAGTCTAAATGCGATGTCAACTACACTTGTCAAAGTTGGTTGATTAGAACAAGATCTACATAACCAAGAGCATGACCACGAGGAATACAAGTGACTTTGTGAAGAGGCATAGCACCATCAGTGTACAATGCTACCAAAGCATGCCCTCCCTTGGAGCGAAATCAGCATCGAACAGAACACACTATTTGTAACGAACCTCGTGATAGGCCGTCGCTAATTTGTTCTTGGCGTCGATGTATGCGCTTTTTCGCTCAGTGCCCATGAGAATTCGATCCTGATGATAACAAGATCTGCCTTGAGATGGGAAGACCGTTCAAAAACGAGATTTACCGAACCTTAGCCCATTCAAAATGGTTTAAATTTACTTCAGTAGCCTTTTCCTTTGCAGCTCTGACAGCCGCCTGACTATAGCGAAATTAAGGTCATCAGTCGTATACCTGATTTCGGAAACTTACTTGACCATATTTTGCAAATCAGCACCAGAAAATCCCGGTGTCCCTCGTGCAAGTTGCATGGTCTCAACATCTAGAAGAATCACAGTTTCGACAAACAGAGTTAGTCGAGGGGACCCTGAAGGACGAGAACAAATCCTACCGCTACTTGTTGTGACGTTCTTCATGTGGTGTTGTAATATCTGGACACGCCCACGAATGTCAGGTAAAGGTACGGCAATGTGTCGATCGAATCGACCAGGCCGGACCAGTGCACTATCAGAAGATTCGGTTTAAGCTTTGCGAGATTTTCCGTACGTATGGGAGTACGAACGGGTCAAGCGTTTCCGGGACATTAGTGGCCGCAATGACAATCACACCTTCAGACTGCTTGAAGCCATCCATCTCAGTGAGCAGTTGGTTTAATGTCTGCTTCAGGTACTGTTGATGTCGATTGTTACGCTTGCCGCCAACGGCGTCAATTTCATCGATGAAGATAATGGCGGGTTCCTTCTTCCTAGCGGCCGCAAAAAGCTCTCGAACCCGCTTCGCGCCAACTCCAACAAACATCTCTTCAAAGTCGGAACTAGACTCGAATAAGCCAGCCATGATGCAATCTAAATAGACAAATTTTACCCAGATGCAAAGAAGAAAGGTACGCCGGCCTCTCCTGCGACGGCTCTTGCGAGCATTGTCTTTCCAGTTCCGGGAGCACTGACAAATGTTGAGTGATGCTGCAAGGATGTACTAACCAGAAAAACATACCCAGTCAAGAGCACACCTTTCGGGAGTTTCCCACCCAAACTAGCAAACACAGAAGGATCCTTTAGGAATAGAACAATGTCTTGGAGTTCCTACTAATTATCAATGAAGATATTCAAAAAAGGACGTTTTGCATTACTTACGTCCTTGACTTCATCTACCCCGTGAACATCACTAAATGTCACGGTCTGACCAGGAGTCGGCTCAAATTGTGCTTGCTGAGGTGCGTTCTTCATCAAACCACTATTCTCAAAGAAAACAGATAAAATGACGAGGAAGACTTTTGTAGAAATTTAATGATGTGACGATCAAAGAGAGAAAACCACGACATACAGAAAGAAGTGACTGCAACGATGACGACAAATCTAACGAGACGAGGTACCCAAGATGCTTTGCCTGCGTGAAAATTTAGCGTAGTAGGCATGAGAGGGAGCTGTGCGACAAACGTTCAACAATGGTGACTTCTATTGGTGACCCTTGAGTAGCAGCTGCACCTGTCGCTAATGCCAGAGGATTTGGTGGAATAACATTTTTCAGAGGAGTACGGTTTTGGACGGGATCTTTCATTCCCGAGAGTACACTTTGAGCAATGTCGTGACTGGAAGAAACTTTGACAGCGGTAGAAGGAGTGGGCGCCGGGCTTTCTGTAGTCGGAGACACTGCCGATTCCCCTTCCAAGTAAGGAGCGCCAGACGTTGTTTCGGAAGATGCAGGCGTCGAAGACCCGGATAGCGGATGTGCGCTGAGTAGACTATCCCGACGTCGAACGGCCGGATTAACGGCAGCTTGCTGACCAGTATTGACGAGACACGAGATATAGACGCGGAAAGCTTCCTCTGAATGAAGCAAAGGAGAAGATGGATCCTGAAGACGTTCGTGAATACATTGTAACTTCTGAACACTGCAAAGATGTATACACACAAATTCACACATTTTCTCCCAGCGGCTTATGATAAGTTCATATGAGGCTTTCAGCTTGGTGTCCAAGAGGGCATCGAAGAGAGCCATTTGTTTGGATACATCGTGGGGATAGACATTTGCCTCTGCTTCCAAGCGAGTGATGTTTGCTACAACAGTAGGAGATGGGACTGTAGCTTTGCGAGAGAATAGGGAGCTAAGAGAGATATTCCGGGCCGCTAAGAGAGTGAGTGGAGTTCTGGAAGGTAGCGGCCGTATAGTCCTTAGTTGTGTCTGCAAGAGTGAGGAGGTCGACAGAGTGCGCCATGAGAATACCGGGGTCGAAGTAATTTTAAGAGCGATTGAAGGTCGTGCTGAAGCACGTATTGAGCTGCAAAGCTGCATTGGACATCAGACGCAATTGAAGGAGAGAATTTTGAACTACGCACACAAGGCGGCAGCATAAAACGAAGATTTGTATTCGTGGGAATTTTGACGCCGTAAATTAGCTGACTGAAGAAGTTTGGAAGAAGTTCCTCTTTAATTTTTTAACGATGACCAACAATGACCAACAAAAAGGCAAGTCACCATCTATTTCAGCTTGTTCCTTTGCTCAAGCTGTTTCAGCCATAACAGCAATCGAACTTCTGGTAGAAACTTGCAAAGCCGCTAGAGACTCGATATTTAATCATCCACAATCCACCGAGGATCCTCCTCCATTGCCTGTTCTACATCAAGATCTACTTTCCTTGTTATCTCTTGTATATGGATCCGTCACAAAATTATCGTTGACTTTGAAGCCATCTTCTCCTACATATTCTGCTTGTTTGGTCCCACTACAAGATCTATCAAACTACATCGCCGCCATTTCACATTGCGTCAGTATGTTTGATGCTTCCGTTCACGGCGCGACACTCGCCAAAGAAGTGGCTTCAGTGGCGATTGACGTAGTGGAGACTGTGCAAACTTTGACCACAGTATTTCTACAGATCGAAGGTTCTAGTGAACGCTCTAGAACTGGAGATGAATACTTGGTGAGAACAGGCGCCGTACACAGCGTAATAGATATAGCACGGCACGCAGATGGTGGTCTATCAGAGAATAATCTCACTGCTGTCCGCCGGCTTTGGTTCAAGGATGCCGGTGCGCTTGAGGATGGCGTAAGAGAAGTAGTCGAAATGATTGAGGATGTACAGTCCGGAATTACCACAGAATCTGAAGACGGTTGGGACGAGCTTGGGCTAGAACCCAGTCAGCCTCTCACTGAGCAAGAACTGAAAGTAGCTCAAAAGGTGAATATTGTTAATCCTTTGCAAAACTAAATCAACGTCTCACCCAATTTCGTGAGGTCCTCATAGTTTTACGACTGTGCAATATCCTTCACCAAAGGGTGATATCTGATATATTGTCCACACCTACTTTACTATCGAATTCTTCCTTGGACGATCTTGCACCGTTGTCTCCTGCCCTCCTTGGCACGGTAGATGAACTCATTTCCGCTTTGGATTCTCCTCAGGATCTGGATTCTGTTACAACAGAACTAAATATGCTGAAGGGGGTCATTGATAACATTCGGAATCGATTGTCAGTTCTGAATAATCAACCCGTCTCGTTAGTCACCTTACTGCAAAAGACCTCTTTGAATGAGGTTACTGTATCCACCAATCGAAATTCGAGGGACGGGTGGTTCAATGCCTGCTTTGACCAAATAGCTAAAGCAATACATTCTGCCGCGGAAGCATCGAATTAGGATTTTGACCGGTCATCAACCGTATCGTACTCTATTGTACTACTTCCCGAGCGCTGGTTTACCCGGATGATTGAATGGAGAAAGGGTAATAATGTCAGAACCCCTTATCTGAAACCAACGACTCTGCTCGACGAGTGCGTCGAGTGAGGATAGTCTGGCATCTAGTGATCATCATTCTGGGCTTCCTTCCATTATTCCCATATGGCCAAGAAGTTGCCTTCTAAGGTCTCGTAACCTCGTGTTCCCGTCGACTGCTGATTTTGGCTCTTCATTTATGCATGTGTCTGTTGTTGCTCAAGCCCGAAGGATTCTCGTAAAAATCCCAGATCAGTGCAATGATTAGTCTTGCCGGGTCTAATTAATTCTTGCATCGGATTATTCTAGATTGAACTGGGTAACTTACTCTTCTCAACCGTCAATCGTTCCATATCAGAGCGCTCCTTTGCCAAACCGCGGGATCTGAATGACAAGTTCTCTCAACTTCAACATGCATATGTACTTTAAACATACATAAGAATGATTTTCTTTCCACATTACAACTCCTCGGAAATGAAGCTGGACAGCGTGGTATGGCCTGGTATGACGACAAACATTCTGGAGAACACTGCATGTGAGGATGTATTCATTTGTGACCTCGGTACGACATATGAGCCTGCCGAAGTGTACACTGATTATACTTAACAGCTCAAACTTGAAGACCCACGCAGTACATACAGTACTCCATATTTCAATCCTTCAATCCGCGACGCCTGGAACTTTTCTGGACTTTCCAAAGGAATTCGCTGTATGTACATTCTGATCTCGTTTATCATCACGATTCTCAAAGTTGACAGGTCGTGTGCTTCGAGGAATGAAAAAAACATATCTTTTTCAAAAGTAGGGTCTGCTTCACAGCAAACAAACGCAGTAAATCAAGGAATATGTAGGTGACAAAACACTGGGTCTGCACATGGGTCAATATTTGGTTGATATCGATACGCGAATGTACTCGAGACTACATAGATAGGTTCTGAATTGACACAATCAGCGTCATATATCGTGAATAAGCAATAAACGAACCATGGCATTATTTCCCCCCTCTCCCTGAGGTTCTCGCCTTCTTCGCCCCTGTTCAAATGCTTCCCTCATCTTCGCACCAAGAATGTTAGGGTAAAGCACACAGCTATTGGCTAGTCTAAGACGATCTTCGAATGCAGATATCTTGTCCATTTGTGCCTGTAGGTCGAACATCTGCTTCTGAGCTTGGGTCAGTCAGAAAAGGCGAACCTAAAGAGCGAGGCCTACCGCATCAAGAGCTCTTTTGGCTTTGTCGGCTTCTCTTAGACTATTGAGGTACTTTCTACGTTCCTCATTCTCCCGAAGACTGCCAGCGCGAGCATTACTTCCGCCCGTCTAAATTTTGCACGAGATTCAATAAATGAAGGAGGATATATACAACTGTACGCACACTTTTGAAAAGCATCTCATAGACATTACGGTCCTGGAGATTGAAGTCGCCTCCTTGTGAACCAGCTGATGCCCTTGCGGCGGGGGTGGAGGGAACACCATCCGCCATAGTTGTCTTTGAAGAAGCATTTATCGAAGCAGTAGGCTTCGCAACCGTGGTAGGAGTCCCGGAGGCTGCAGTCTTATTCTTCTTGATAGATGGAAGCTTGCGCTTTTTCTGAGGGATAGGACCGTCACCTTTTTCTGCATCGGGTGCTACAGAACCCATGCCAGGATTCGTGACAGGAACGGCGTCGACATTCACAGAGGGCTTGATACGTATCTTCATTGATGAAGACGCAACTCCCTGTCGCTCATCCCTCACTGTGATCTCCTTCTCTTGAGATTGTCCCTTGCCCTTTACTCTTGGATTCTTGGTGCCTTTTCCACCCTTTATGCCCTTCACTTTCGCGGTGGACGACTTACCCTTGCCCTTCTTTGGGACATCATCCACAAATTCTTCATCGTCGTCACGTTCGTCTAGAATCCCTCTTCCCAAATCGTCCGACATAACGCCAACATCAAACTCATCGCCCGAATCGTCCGCCCAGCGTTTCTTAGATTCCCGAGACCTTGTAGAGCTTGGATAACTTTCGCGTTTCTTGGATGATGACTTTTGCTGTTGAGGTGGGGTAAAGCTACGAGAAGGGGACAAGAGACCTTCGCTACGGTCATCATCCACGTCAATCAATATGTCTTCCTCCGGTTCAGTTGGACTCCTAGAGTACCGTGTTCTTTTCTGAGGCGGAGAAAATGGAGCGCTATCCTGGTCATCTTCATCTTCTGAAAGGAGAACATTGACTCGACGCTTGTTTACAGATTTACGGCGTAGGGAGACAGACTGCCGTCTGTAGCTCAGAAAATGGTATAATCTTTATTGCGCAGAAATTCACCTCGTCCATCTTGACTAATGTTCACTAGTGAGGGTTTCGAAAAGAAGTGGCAAACAGGAGTACGTAGAATGTAGGAGTGTGCCGATGATGAGCGTAGCTCTTGACTCCTGATGAGTGCGTCCGGCGTTTCAGTTAAATATTAAGCGCCAATGGGCGCTTCTATGTACGGCTTCCGCTTCTATGTACGGCTTCCTTATGCACAGAAGATTAATCATTACACAGTATGTACTACATTTGGAATCAGATATTCTTTACACCGCATAGAACTTCATGAGATCCTGCACATCTTCTTTACTACCCAGGAAAACCGGGCAACGCTCGTGTATGCCTTCAGGAACGATGTCCAAAATACGCTTGGTGCCTGTGGTCGCAATCCCGCCAGCCTATTATTACCTATCAGTAAAGGAATCCTAATAATGGGCTGAACAACCCCACCTGCTCCGTGAGAAATGCCATAGGGAATGCCTCATATAATAATCGCAGTTTTCCGGTCTTATTTTTCTTGTCATCCGGGTAACCAAAGATTCCACCGTAGAGAAATGTTCGGTGGACATCGGCTACCATCGAGCCAATATACCGAGCACTATAAGGTTTTCCGGAAGCAGGATACTTGATAGATTTCAGGTACTCAAGCACTGGTGGGTGGAAGAACATTGCATTTCCTTCATTGAAGGAGTAAATTTTCCCACGAGGGGGGATTTGAATCTGGAGAAGCGTGGGTGAAAAGGTGAAGGTGAGGGATAAATAATGTGAAAGCAATGCACACATCGGGATGGGTAAGGATGAACTCTCCAAGGGCGGCATCGAGGGTGTAACCATTGACCCCAGAACCGGTCGATAGAACGAGGTTGGCAGACGATCCATACCTTCATGATGATAAACATAGACGTAATAGTAGAAGAACGTATGTGCTTACATGGTATATCCAGCTGCTACCATTTCACTACCTGGCCTCAGCACATCCTTGATTGAACCCTCAGAATTAGGACGCTGAAGCTTTCATGAATAGAATTTAGCTTAACATGATCAGTCCACGCACGAGCTTATAGATTCCGAAGATGGTTCCAATGTTAACACCCGCGTCGATGTTGCTACTTCCATCAAGAGGATCAAAGACAACACAATATTTTCCTCTGTTCTTTTCTTCTATGATGATAGCGTCCTCAAGCTCTTCTGAGACAAGAACGGCCGTCTTGCCCGACGCGCGCAAAGAGTTGACCATGATATCGTTTGAGAGGACATCGAGTTTCTTTTGTTCGTCCCCTGAAATATTTGTGTCACCCGCCAAACCAATCCTGTTGTCTATCAATAAGCATTCTATAACGTACATCTGGAAAAGAATGAACCTACAGATTGATCAGACGAGCTTTCCGGACATTGGTCGCGATGAATTTGGAGGTGACTTGGATGGCAGTGAGTAGCAAAGTCAGATCGCCGGTGGCAGCAGCTCCAAGCCGCATCTGGTCGTGCAGGACATGTCTATATAATAAGTGGGGCTAAGGATTAGCCATTCAAAGCAATGACTGCGTACCTGGTGAGTGTTATTATCTCAGAGCTCGGGACAGATTCAGTAGCCATCTCCAAAAACAGATGGGTCGATAATGCAGAAAAGTGTGATTGGGAATAAAATGGGTCGTTCGAGTGATTGGTTTTGCCTCGATATAAGTAGTGGATCGCGGAAGGAAACGGTTGAGGCGGGATAATGGATTCTAGTTGTTCCTCTTCGCCGGCCCGTTAGTAAGTCACGTCCGGGTCACGTCAACATGTGAATTTGGAGCGTCGATCGATAAGAGCCGCTGGATGCTGGGAGTAATTTGTAACGATGGAGTGCACTAAGCAACAAGGTATATCTGTAGCTGACCTATAATTCATTATTGATACAATATTTATTTTTTACGCTTGTTGGAATTGTTCTTCAATGCTCGCAATTGTTGGGGAAACCTCTCATCTTCAAATTCCGAGTCTGCTCTATGCAGTCTGTCCTCACCCAAACCCCTGATGCCGCTTGTATTTAGTGTGATCGTCTCGCGGGCTGGCATCTCCTGCTCATAGTCTGATTCCTCTTCATCGTCTTCAAACACTCGTTGGTGAGCTTGAGCTATAGCGGCCGCGATTTCGGCGCTGATACTCGCTACACGGTCCAAAGAATCCGGCCCAGGTACAGGTTCTGGTGCAAGGGCGTTGGATTGAAAGAGATCGGAAATCGTCCGGACCGACTCAGAAAGCTCTTGTTCCTCTTCTTCGCTTGTCTGCGCTGCATTGGTTGCGCTAAAGCTATATCGACTGTAAAGCAAACTGTCATCCGTGAAACTTGTAGAGAAAGGAATTGACAACCTACACATTCGGATCCGGCTCCCATTTAGGATCGTGAGTGCGCATATGCTGGATTAGGGTAGTCCGCCTGGTGAACGTCTTTTCGCATTGCAAATCTTCACATTTGTAAGGTCGTTTACCGGTATGCGTACGACGGTGCCGAGCAAGACTGCTAGAGTCACCAAAAGTCTTTCCGCAATCCGGATATTCACAGCAATGAGGCTTTTCACCCGTGTGCACCCGTGAGTGTACATGCAGAGCGGAACGCTAACCAAAAAATCAGGAATGAATATGCAACTGAGATCGGAATATTCAAGCGTACCTGGATAAAGGTTTTCCCACAACCAGGATGACTGCAGAGGAAGGGACGCTCGCCGGTATGTATTCGCATGTGTCGCAGTAGATCACTCCGGCGGGTGAAAGCCTTCAAACAGTCGAGTTGTTCACAAACATGTGTGTTCTTGAGTTTCTCCCTCGGCTTTTTGGCTTTCTTGGGGGTATGCGACTCAAACACGAAGCTAGAGGAGGAGGCGACGGGCTGTATGGCACTGCGATTCGAGGGTGCGAGAACTGTGGACCCAGCTGTTTGGAACTGCAATGCTCGGGGGCTACTGCTGGGATCTGCTTCGAATTGAGCGGATAATTGCGTGGATAAATGAGTAAAGATGTCGTTAATGTCAGTGAAGTCGGCATGAGGCAGAGGGTTTGCTGCAGGGTCGTCTGGTCGCGTCTCTGATCCACTGTCTTCTGTCCCATCGTCTTCACTCCGACCATGCAACTCCGTGTACAAAAAATCTTCCCGAGTTTCCTCGAGACCTCTTCTTCTCCTCTTACGCGACGGTTCCCGCGAGTCATTAGCAGCTGTAAGCGAGTGAAAAGATGGTGCCGCCCGAGTGCTCCGATTACCTTTGTCCCCCAACACAGACAAATCTTTAGCCGAAAGGAGAGCATCCAACGCAATACGATCGCTGTCGTTAAGTTGTGCCTGGGCCTGAGCCGCTTGGAGAACGACGGCCAGGCCAGAAAGATAACTTCCAATATCTGTAGCTGGCGGCGTCTCTTGTTCTCTTGTAGAAGGACGGTCGGATTGGTGTTGCTGAGCGGCTGCGCTGATCAAAGCTGCGTTGGCAGCGGCGGCGGATGCATTCTGGTGAAGCAGATTGACAAGCTCATTTTCTAGCATTTCGAGCGATGATAAAGTAGGTGTCTGGCCCCTGCTGTGGACCTCGGGGTCTTCTTCAAAGGGAGGCTGCAGAGTTGTTAAAAGACCCGAGTCCGATTCAAAGACCGACGTGGAGCGTGAATCATGTTGGCCTTGAGAAGTATGAGGATGAGCATCTTGCCCTAGTGATTCATCATGTACGACGTCTGAAAGATCTAGAGGGAGAGTGTCACTCTCCATGGCCATTAATTAACTCGAGTACTGAAAATGGTCAACATGGCCGGAGGAATAGCAAGGAATAGCAGCAAATTACCTTCCTCCAACAGCGCACGAGTGCGATCCCCAAATTGAGCCCACGGATACGACGAAAGGACTAAGGAATAACTTCGCAACTTATTCACGAAAAGAGATGTTGGTGGTAGTTGGCGAACTCTGTAGGTATAAGCACGTGCAGTGCCTTAATAGCCGGGCCGAAACCCGGGAAGGCTCAGAGGCTATGACAAGTGGAAGGAACTGTTCGGTGTTCCTCCCCAAGAACAATCATGCCCACCTTTCCTACCAAAATTGATCTCAAACCAAAACGGCGTCATGGCTTTTCGGTTCTGCTTTTCATTCTTGGAACCCTTCTTCCTCCTCTAGGTTTATTCTCTGATCTACGATATATGATGAATCTCTCTCACTATGTTGCTTAGCTGTCGCCGCCAGATTTGGGATTGGGACCGACTTTTTCATCAATACACTGCTGACAATCTGTGGGTATATACCTGGTGCGTGGTCCTCTAATGTAACCGCCTTTAGTCTCATGAAATTGCAGGTCATGCTCACAATTTCTACATTCAAGTGATTAACAACCATATTCTACCCGCCTTTCTAGTCTCATTAGTTTGTCTCTACAGAACATTCGCAACAACAAGAATCATGCACGAACTCCAAAATGGGCCCAACGATATGGTCTCGTTGATACCTCCGAAATTCGACGCAAGGAACGTAAATCCCAATGGGCGAATCGTTATCAAGACCGACTCCCTCATTCAACTCTCGAAGGGCAAGCTCTCGAGGAAGGGCAAGAAGGTGGCTCGAGCATGAGCTTATCGTCTGATGATCATAGCTCTCGACCACAGCAACAGAACGGTGCTCTATGGGGCCCTGAGGATGAGCGTTACTACAGCGCTGACGCATCGTCTTCCTCTGGCGGAAGGTGGCGATATCCAGCCAATTTCGATGATGCTGTACTCCCGAGCAGCGGCTCCAAACGCGGGAAGAAGAAGAAGGAGAAGAAGGATCGTTGGGCGAGGACAGAGGATGCATATTCAATTTCTGAACAGCAGTCGAGGAAAAGAGTAAAGAAGAAGAAGAGCAGGTCTTCAGTCGCCCCGAGCGTGATTTCTGCGGATGACTCTACTGCGGGTTATCCTGAAGATCCTGAGGGTGGCCTTTATGGGAACACGCAGGCCATAGAAGAGCCTCGTTCGATGGAGACCAATGGACAAAGGCCGACCAACGACGATATCTTCAGCCACGAGTTTTGATCTTATGATTCTATTTAATACTGTCTAATCCACCAGTGCAGTTTGCATAGTCTATATTTATTTTATTATACCAACTCACATGTCGATCTTGGACAGTTTCAAACTCAACCGGAATGGATATCTGTCGTGTCTTCAATGCTCCAGATGAAATGCGTACTATACATATGCTAGGGTAGATGAGGTAGACTATGGTATATCGATTAATTGAGATTCTGCAGCTTCATCCACTCCTTATCATTGGCATTGAAATCGATGCCCTTTGCTTGCCACCATTTTCTGGTATTGTCTCCACCGCCTATAGCGTCTTCGAGCGCCTCTTCGATATCACACATGCGATACTGAATGGGCAATCCGGACTTGGCCCACCAATCCAGTACTTGTGCTCGATTATGACGAGTCGCAGTTTCCATGACCTTCCCAATTTTGAGACTAACCCTGTTCAATTTATGCTGTTGCTTCCACCAATCTAGCACAGCGAGCTGATTTTTGATACTTGCAGATTCAAGCGCAGCTTCTGTAAACTCGAAAGGATAGCCACAAGTCATCCACCAATCGAGAGAAACTATCTGACCACTCCGAGATGCTGCATCAACAGCTTCTGCGATGGATGCCGCTTTGATTTTGGGAACAACGCCAGATTGTTGTTGTTCGGATTCGTGTTTCCACCATGTAAGCACAGCTGTTTGACCATAATGAGAGGCACGAGTGGGAATTGCATCATGAAATTTGGAGAGGAAGATTTTACGATGACGGGAGGAGACGAATTGGAGGACGTGAATATAGCCAAAGCGAATGACAATGTCTACTCCGATTCTAGAGGGGGGATTGACGTCAAGATCGATTTCTCGAATACGAGCAATGTTGCCAATGATCATTGCACGATCCGTGGGTGAAGCACAATACCAGTCAGGTGGTGGATGAAGAGAAGTTGGGATACCCAACGCTTGGGTAAGCTCCCAATCACCAAGAAAATCCAGAATGGTGCTAATAATTTCGACGGGAAGGTCTGGAGCGACTGTGCGAGGAGGTTCTAGTGAAGGAGTGGGAGGAGTTGATAGATCGGATTGACCATTAGGAAAGTGATAAACGTGAAGATCGTGGTTTGCAAGTCGAGAAATAAAAGTCTCATCTGTGCCTGTAGTTGGCAGACCTCTGATATGCGAAAAAAGACAGAGTTCTTCACGACTCAGCTTTTGATACGCTGCCTTGACTAGTTGTAATGGAGAAAGGGCAACATCCTAAGCACAGGTTGAGTTAATGAAAGGGAGGTTAAATAACATCACGCACGTCCATACGGCTGCGGGGGAGTATTAGTTCTCTTTGAGAATCCACGTAGAAGTCGCCAGCAGTGTAACTGTAAGAGTGAAAGAAATTTCTGCCTGCACGTGCAACGAGAATCAGTAGAGGCTAGAGCGCATGCCATTTCTACCGGCATTATTTTCGCTTCAATTTTGAAGCTTGACCAGTTAATAGATAGATAGAAATATGTCATTGGGATCCCACTTCCATTCTGGGTCAATGGTCGTCGACGTCGAAGCAGATGTGAATAACGACTTGCCTTCATCATGTTCAACACATTTTGCTGCATCTTTCTGATTTTGTCTTTAACAAGCGGAACCGTTATAAGAGACTTTCAAGTCGCACAACCGCCGGTGGTCCCTGTTTACGCTAAACGTTGTACGGTAGAAGTATTCAGGTGTGAGCCAAACTTTTTCTGGAATTCGCATCTGATGACAATATCTAGCCACGATTTCGCCAACTCATTTGTCGAGTAAGAAGTATTTATGATGTGTCACCTAAAGTATTTGCTCAGATTAATGACTCAGTGGTCCTGCGATAACTCAGCTCAGGTGAGTTTGATCAGAGAAAACATCCGCTATCCTGATATGAGGACCACATTGCAGTCCTCCTGAAGATTGTGGTCCAGTCGGTTCATGGGCTGCGATCACTCTTAACCTTACCGTCACCAGTAACGGAACCCAATTCGACCGTCTTGGTATCTTCACCTTCCACAACGTCGAAATCTGGCGTACCTCGACTTTTGAGCCCACGATCGGAGACGGAATCGTCTGGACGTACATCAAAGATGTAACACAGTACATGCCGCTCTTCACTGAATCTGGTGAATTTTTGCTGGAATTGGATAACCTCATCGAAACTGGCTTGGATGGTATCTACTCTAGTGAGCACGATTAATATGAATATGTGATTAGGCTCACAATCTGACATACTTTCACAGCGACTGTAGCCGCAACCTATTTCGAGTCATCGGCCGAATATCCTCCTGCAGAAAAGGCCGATATCATTATCCCAATATCCACCCTATCAAACACGACTGCAGATGATGCTTCCGTACCCCCTGCATTTTCGGTGAGCTTTGAATGGGTTCTACTTGCGTCAAAATAATGATATGCCAGCTCAATATTACCGTGCCAAACAATACGGTTGCGATATACGCTGAAATATTTGCTAGTGAGTTTCACAAACTCTACTACTCTTCCTTCCTACTTACTTGATGCAGGCGGCAATGGCCTCGAAGAAGATTGGGTGCTGGACTTTTCCTCTCAGTTGGTGACAGTCCATTGAATGTAATGACACAGTTTTTCAACGTACCCGATGAATTCTTCTCGAACATTTCGCCCAATATCACCAGCCCGCATGATGGTTTTCGTGAAGTCAGACTGTTGATCGACGGTCTGGTGGCTGGAGTCGCGTTCCCGTACATAACTGTTTTCTCTGGGGTTGGTACATATAGCACCTTCGTACATGCCAAAACATTCTTATCAAATAGTTCTTCATAGGGCTTCATTCCATCCTTCTGGCGACCAATAGGGAGTTATGGTACTGCAGGTATTGGTCATCTTGGACCTCAATTAGTTGATAGATATTAACATAAGTGTTCCAGAATTGCCTACTTATTTTGTCGATGTCACCCCGTTTGTTCCATTATTGATTGATAATTCTCCACATAATTTCACCCTCGACGTTGTTTCTGCGGAGACAAACCATACTATCAATTCAAATTGGTTCGTTTCGGGTAAGAGTTTTTCCAGCTCTTGGTTTTGTTCTGACTTGGTTGTTGAAGGAATCTTGCAAGTCATCCTTGATACCAGCTCTAAGCCAACTATTGGTAATCTGACCGTTTACTCGGCGAGCAACTACGCAGACACCAGCATCACTGGCTTTGTCGAGGAGTTTGGGCAATTCAACGCAACAGTCACTGCAACGCGCAACATCCACATTGAGGCAGATATTTTGAGCGGAAGTGGTCAATTTACTCATATCATTTGGACACAAGATTTGCAATTTTCGAATATCCAAACATATCGAAACAATGGACTGCTCGCGGTAGGTATAAGAGAACAATGTTCACTTTACTTATCTATGTATCATTGTCCATTGATATTGTCGTATAGACTTTGAAGCAAACTTCCATCGGGAATTCCTCTTCGACGCATAATGGCGTAGCGATTCTTTTGGATGTCTTTTCGTATCCGTTCAGCACGAACTTTGACTACCTTGATGAAACTTTGTCCAATTGTAGGTGAAAACTACATTACTTGTGCCTCCAAAAGTTGAGGATTCGGCGTTGTTCCAGGGACTTCATCTATTGATCACTCCTACAACCGCATTTTACTCCCAAACCCTTTGAGGATAGCTTCGACGATCAATAACCATCAGACCACGGGTGAAAATTCTCTGGTCAGCTGTACGCTCCCGTTTGACCGGTTATCATGATATAGATGGTTTCTTCCAACTTGGTTCAGAGAAAATCGGGAATTTTGGTAATGGGACGAATAATAACACGGTAGGTGGTCTTGTACTCGATTTTCTTCCTTGCAGCCTATAGTCTACTCTACTCTATAGTTCAGCTATTCCGATGTCAAAGGTGACACATATACGAGAAGCGTCAACGCAATCAACAGCAACTTCAATGACACCATTGCAATTCCTCTTGACGAGATCGGAGGGAATCTTGCTCATTAAAACCTTCCTACCGTGCTTTGGTTGTTCGAACTTTTTCCATCTATTTGTGTTTATTTACTTGCCCGATATATTTTGCCCTAAAAAGGATTTCAGCAATTTGCTTTGTACAACTCGGAACGAGCGCAACAAAGTTGAACAAACTACAAAGAGTCTTCGAACATGCACGTGATGCGAGTTCGTCGCTCAGCGTCGCTCTTGCCATGAAGCACCATCATGAATGATCATGTCCATTCGTAGACTCCGTGCAGAGAGTCGGTGCATTGGCATGTCAAACTCTGTTTTCTTTCCACACCCTCCCACCCATTCTATAGTAGATATGCAAAGCAGTAGTTGCACCTGCATGGGCAGAACTGATCATGAGCTTCTCATCGTGCATTGCACAGGTCGCTGCTAGTGAGCTACTAAGTCCTAAACAAGTAGCAGTTACCTGGCATATTTTCATCGCAATTGAGATTCAGTGTACCTCCTGATCTACATACAATTTGAAAACTGAATTCCCCAATGTCAAAATCCCAGAAAAGCCAGCTTTCCACTGGTTTATCAACAACTCCAGGGAAACACCGAGGTCTAATTTTGCTATCCTGTTGTACCATAATCATATAAACCCCCTCGTTAGGATCTGTACTCACATGTTTCCTGGCTCTACTGCAGACCTGTTTCATGGTCAGTCGTTGGGCGACTTATACGCCCAACCGATTGACCAACCCGCAGTTCCGATACCTGGGCATCCACCCGGTCTATATTACCGATTGTTGACCTTCTGCCCCGCGCAGGGAATCACCGCAGCGGTGATAGAGCAATCTCTTCAGCCTATGAACGGCGAAGATTCTTGGAATGTACCACTGGGTCCGCAGGACCCCAGCATGCAGTTCCTCTTCGCTCGTGTTTGCGAAAATCAACTGAAAACTTTCAGCCCTGAGGTATTTTGATAGTTGTGACATTTGTTATGATTCTCACTTTTATTTGCAGATTCCTCCACAATGGAAGAACCCGGACTCGCTTCTCGTTAACATTGGTGGAAATGTTGTTCATCTCCTAGCTTGGGATGATGTTGACACGGTCGTGTTCACAATGCAACTGTCACCCAATGTGCCCCACGGGATATACCATATCCCGCATAAGGCTGGACGCAGCAACAACCATCGTCCACCCCTCGATATCCTGAAGATGGGAAATCAAAAGTTCAGAAAATTCGTGAAGATGTGGGCGGTCCAACAATATCACCGATATGTTATGCATTAAGGCGGTATGAGATCACGCATATGCTTGGTGAATGCACCTACCGATGTCCATTCTCTTCCAGGATTTCCAGTCGGTCTAGTGGTGGATTTCATGTACATCAGATGCTTTACAGATATCTTCGTTGGTTGTGGTCTGAACAATTACTGTCTATTAGTGTTTTCATCGTTGTATCCTTCCGAGTCGTCGCGTTCTCCATCATCTTTCGAATCATCATACTTGGCATTGTCAAGTTGTTTGCTGTGAGTACCATGAGCAAGGGAGCTTCAGAACGTTAAAAGCAACACTAGCTTGGCAATATCCATAACAAAGAGGGCAATCAACAATATGTTCAAGGCAGTAGCGTCCTCTCTTTTAAGCCGATTTTCTTCTCAAACTTTTCTTATGCATCTCTTTCAGCCTACTTAGACGCAGCTCATACATATCGGGATCATTGGCTGCACGCAGAGTGTTTAGTTGCATCTATACCAATACACTTGTCATGATCATGATGAACGTTGAGAGGAAAGAATGTAAAAAATGCCATCAGCAAAAGCGGAAATTATACAAACGAAGGCTGTTTGTCCTCGACATATGATTGGTTGCTCTCATTTCTCACTGCGCGGGGGAAGGGAGCAATGCTCCGCCCCGAGCGAAACTGCACTTCTCATCGTGCGTCGCAACGGGCAGTGACGGGTCGCTACTAGTCACTTGTACCTTGAGGAATGCACGTGGCCTCACATTATCTTTACTAGCTTTCATGGGCGGTTCCTATCTGCAGAGTTCGACCATCGATGCCTCAAATAAAGTCGAAGTTCTTTCTTGTACCTTATCACACTGAACAGCACTGAACCCACACAGAGTATTCCCGTGCACATGGCCATCAACCGAAATGAGAAGCATATTCCTATTACTATCTTCTCGTTCACACTGCCCCGTATATAACGTGAATGACTTGCTGTGATATCCCTATCCCTGACCATGCATCAGGAACATAAGCTCATCGCTGTATTCTTGGCATTGACGATCTCGACGTGTATCAGTGCAGTTCCTTTGGTCGACTTTCAGGTTGTTCAGCCTCCCCCGGTACCTCAGGATGCTCAAACGTGCACCATACAACTGTTCCAGTATGTAAGGCGTCTCTCGACGGACGATATAGATGGCTCAAACACTCTGTTACCAGACGAGATTTTGGGAATTCATTTGGAGAGTGAGTACTGCAACCATGGTTCATCGAATTTCACCCTTACAACATGGAAATCTCAGTCCAGAAGTCGTCGAGTACACGTAAGAACGTGCGCTTCATGTCGAGGACTACTTCTGAATCAAGTTTTCAAGACCCCTTACGGATTGTGGAGAAGTAGGATCATGGGCTGCAGTCACTCTCAATTTCACGGTCACCTCTAGTAGGAATATTGCTTACTTGTTTGCGAGGAAATGTTATATATGGCGGATGTAGATGGGACACAATTCGATCGTCTGGGTATATTCACTTTCCAAAATGTTGAAAGTTAGTCTTCAGTTATATTTCACGATCAGTACTAATGTACAATCTCAGTATGGCGAACGTCTACCCCGGAACCGTCACTCACTGGAATTATTTGGACATATATAAAAGATGTCACCCGCTTCATTCCATTATTCTCGAATGAGGGGCGGTTAATCTTACAGCTTGATAACCTGTTGGAAACTGGTCTCAACGGTGTTTATTCAAGTACGCACAGATGTCCCCACTAACCTCACGCCTAACATTCCCACAGCAACTCTTGAGGCCACTTTCTTTGCATCTTCTCCGTCAATTCCAGCTGCCCAGCAATCTAATGTCATCATACCTATCTCAGCTGCTTCTGACGCAACCAATGCTTCTGCAGATGCGTCAGTAAGTCCGGCGTTCTCGGTAGGTTCCAACCTGTAGCTTCAGACGGTTTCATGAAGCCCTATTATTATAGGTCGACGTTACACTCCCCCAAAACACAATCTCCGCTTACGCAGGTATAATTCCCAATGAACTCGTCCTTTGCACCAATCTTAGCATGAACTGGCTCAGAACTTTATGCCTCAGGGAATGGCGACGAAGAGTTTTGGTACTTCAATGCTCCCAATGCCTTTCTCCGTGACCTTCCGTCAGGTAAAGCTCGTTTTCGTAAAATTCAACTGTAATCGACTCATCAGCGCGGTGTCATAACTTAAGGATTTACTTTTGGGAACGGTCCTTTCCGAGAAGTCAGATTACTTGTAGGTCTTGGAAAATTTGCCCGAATTATGCTGATAATAACTGCCATTGAAGATTGATGGAAAGGTAGCTGGGACAGCGTCAGTGCATTATAAGTATTTTATCGAGGGTGGATTCGTATTCACTCGAAAGTTCTTTAGTTTCCCTTATCCTGTGGTTTTCACTGGAGGAATCGTGAGGAATAGCATTATTCTGTCCTTTTGTGAGGCTTTCTAAAAGCCAAAGTTAGCTTCCCACAGCATGGCGGCCCATAACCAGTTACGGCGCTTTGGATCGTACGTTTTCTCTTCTTTTACCGAGATGTCTGTTGATCTTCCCCTCTCTACTACTTACTGCTAGTCCCAACATATGGTTAGAGCGTTATTATATTCTTTGAGTTACGAAATGACTGTTCGACTCAGTTCTCGACGTCACTCCCTTTTTACCTTTATTAACGGATGGAGGCGCTCACAATTTCACTGTTGATGTGATTTCTGCTGAAATGAACGGTGCCATAAACCAAAACTGGTTTGTCTCTGGTAAGAACTCTAAAACTTGATTTGATAGCCTAATTGTCATTCGGAACTTTAGGTCTCCTGCAGGTCGTCACTGCATCAACAACCAACCCCACTACTGGCAATATGACAGTTTATGAAGCGGAAGATTTCCCCGTTACAACCGCTACTGCAAACATAGCAAGCAACGGAGATGTGATCATAACGGTGACCGCGTCTCGTACAATCCACATTGAATCCGACGTGTGTAGTGACGACGTATGCACTGCAGTCGTCTTCGACCAAAGCCTCAACTACTCGAATGTTCAAACTTATCTTGATGGCTTCAATATCCAGAACGTTCTACAGATGGCGTCTGGTTCTGTTGTGTCCACTCATAACGGTGTTGCAGTCGTGAAAGACGATTATTCCTATCCGTTTGCCGTCAATATCACCTCTTTGAACAATGATGGAAGTGTCTGTGAGTTTCAACCCGAGTTTGCATTAATTCATTCATGACTATCGTTGCTCTTAGTTGAAGCTGTATTTGACCACTCATACGATCGAGTGTTGCGTGAGTAGATTTGATTCTGCTGTGGTGTAGGTGGTTCAAGACCACTTCTTTAGTCCCTGCTCCATTCATATTAGGTTCGACTATCCAGGAAAGACAGATAGCGGGTAAGTTAAGCTTATGTTTAAAGCAGAGTGTCCATGCATTTTTTGATCCCTCTCAAAGGTGGATTTTTCGAAGAGTCATCTTCTGGAAACACAGGCAATGGGACGTCGAATAACACATTCTCATATGTTGACACTGCAGGCAACACCTTTTCTCGGACTGTCAGAGCAGCTCTCAACAACATCACTTTCGACTCGATTTCGGGTTCTTTGGCAGATATCGAAAAAACGCCGACATCCAATGCTTCCCCGCAAGCACAATTCGCTGCGGTTAGAATGCCAGGTGGTCGCACTGTTGGAGTTTGATGATGTTCTGTACCAAGTATAGCATTTATACCATTAACTACACGAACTACCATATCCACTGTGATCTACGTCTGCTCGAACAATTCACTATCCACTTCTGCGGGACTAGTACAATCGTTGTCCCAATCCTGTGTTGAACAGTACCCAAATCCGTGTTGAGAACGGGCATTCGATATGGAGTCTCTGATCATGCCCAAGGCCGGACGTGCTCATTGAGGTTCGTTGAGAACACAGATAGAAGAGCTGGAGAGGGGAATCTCTGAATATGCGCTTCCTGACGCTTCCTTCGGACGGAATATCTTAAAATAGGCCGACAACTCGGCCAACTTCATCGACTCCAACTTCCCAGAACCCTGGACGAGTTCCAAGACCGGGCATGGTTTGCATGTCTCCAAGAATGGGATAGCTACAGAGAAGTAGATCCAGATTAGACCACGGTAACAAGGATGCGATTGTTGAAAACGACGTACAGGAATCCAGCTCCAGCTGATAACCTCACTGAGCGAATTGGAATGGTGAATCCGGAAGGAACACCTTTGAGCTTGGGGTCATGAGAAAAGGAGTACTGCGTCTTCGCCATACAAACTGTAGAAACATATTTAGTATATCAAAATTCTCTACTGATATTACGCACTCGGAAGGCCTGCGTAACCTTGACGAGTGTAGGTCTCGACCTGTTGTCGTGCCAAATCACTCAATTCGATTCCGTCAGCACCGTAAATCTCTTTGGAGATGATCGTAATCTTCTCCTCGATGGGCAAATTAAGGTCATACAGGAAGTCGAAGTTCGATGGGCCTTCGCAAGTCGTGATGACAGCTTCAGCAAGAGCACGGGCTCCTTTACCACCCTCTGCCCAGTGATTACTGACAACTGCGGCATCGGCTCCACCAGCGAGAGACTCGTCACGAACAAGTGCAAGCTCGGCAGCAGAGTCACTCCTATATTTGAGTTAGTATTTGCACGTCTGTCGAGAACAAGAATACTAACGCGAACTGATTAATCGCAACAATAACCTTGATTCCAAATTTGCGTGAATTCTTGATGTGTTGGACAAGGTTCTTACATCCTTCCTTTAGGGTGACCAAGTCTTCTTTGGTGTACGTCTCATGGAGAGGCTTTCCGGGAGTAACATCAGGTCCTCCTCCGTGCATCTTCAAAGCACGGGTGGTAGCCACAATGATAGTAGCATCGGGTTTGAGTCCACTAACGCGACATTTGATGTTGCAGAATTTCTCCATACCCATGTCGGCACCGAACCCGCCTTCGGTTAGAACATAACCGACGCGATCCGACGAATCGCCCTCCTCAGTACCTGCCAGTTTTAAGGCGACTCGGTCTGCCAGGATTGAAGAGTTTCCATGAGCGATGTTGGCGAAAGGACCTGCGTGAACAAAGACAGGTGTGCCCTAAGAAAGTTGGGCATTCAATAGTCTTCGACACCAGTTGATGATAAGAGCTTTACCTGCAACGTTTGCATGAGATTTGGCTTTATTGCATCCTTCATTAACACGGTCAAAGCACCGGTAACGCCAACGTCATCGGCAGTAACGGGTTCGCCTTGTTTACTTGTCGCAACAACCATAGCGCCAAGACGGTGCTTCATATCTTCGAGACTAGTAGCAAGAGCTAGGACAGCCATACACTCGCTGGCGACCGCGATGTCAAAGCCAGCCTCACGTTCATGACCTTGCTCAGTAGGGTTGCGACCAATGGTGATCTTCCGGAGAAATCGGTCATTAGTGTCGAGTACACGGTTCCAGGTGATTGTTTCTGGGTCAATATCAAGGCGGGCGAATTTGGTGATTTCCTCGGGGGTAAGTTCATTCGGGTTCGTCTTATCTATCCCGAGCTTCCGAAGACGTTTGAACATCAAAGGGGCAAATTCTCGTTTGCCTTTCTTAGTTGGGACGAGACGACTGTATAATGCCTACGCAGGCATTAGCAGCGTAGATAATAAGGAGTTGGGAACATCTACACACCTTATCAGATTGGGTGGCTTCGTGGAACATACGAGCATCAAGAGCAGCCGCTAGAGGGAAGTTAGGTCTTCCGCTACGGCCACTGAAATAAAAGATTTACCTAGCAAGTTATTGGCGGCAGTGACAGCATGGATATCACCGGTGAGATGCAGATTAAACTGTGCAACTGTTGATCAGTGTACTGTTCATACAATCCAAGTAACAGACCGAAGGACGCACTTCATCCATAGGAATGACTTGACTGTATCCACCGCCAGCGGCACCACCTTTAATTCCGAATGTTGGTCCTTGACTGGGCTGCCTAACGCAAGCAAAAGCGGGACGACCAAGTTCTGCTCCTAAAGCTTGAGCCAATCCGATAGTCGTGGTAGACTTTCCTTCGCCGAGAGGCGTTGGGGTGATACTGATTATAGACATGAGTCATTCAAAAACCAAAAGAAGGTAAGCTAGATTATTACCCAGCAACAACAATGTATTTTCCATCCGTACGATGGGCAAGGCGATCAAGTACACTGAGTTCAACCTTGGCCTTGTACTTTCCATAGCTTTCAAGCTCATCCGGTGATAATCCGATTTCCTGAGCAAGCTGAGTAATGGGTTTAGGCGTTTGACCCATGGCGATCTCAATGTCACTAGGAACTTTCTCTAGAATGTTCAAGGGAAGAGGTTGGACCTTCCGTTCGTGTGAGAGTTCCCATAGTCGTTCCGCTGATTTGAGAGTATTCTCCATGAGTATCGCAACCGTCATAGGCCCTACACCTCCTGGAACGGGGGTGATATACGACGCAACTTCAGCAGCTGAAGAGTACTCTACATCACCAACAAGTCTCTGGCCAGACTTCTTCGAGGAATCTGGTCGTCATTGCGTTAGCCAATCGCGTACGCGGATAGCTGAACCAGTGTGGGACTCACCGGGGATGTAATTTATCCCGACATCAATAACCACAGCACCGGGCTTGATCCACGAGCCTTTCACAAGCTCTGCTTTTCCAATAGCTGAGACAACAATATCAGAATTTTTGACCTGATGATAAAATCGGATTAGACGGGTATAGAGGGAGATGGTGAACATACGATAGCTTCAATGTTCTTGGTTCGGCTATGACATTGGGTGACAGTCGCATCGCGATTACGCAACATCGAGGCTACGGGACTCCCAACGATATCGCTACGCCCAAGAACGACCGCGTTTGCACCAGAAATAGACTGGCCAGTGGATTCGAGGAGCCTGATCACAGCAGTGGGGGTACAAGGTGAGAAAAGCGGGTCCGATGCGCGAGAAGATAAGTGGCCAATGTTGTACGCGTGAAATCTAAGATATCGTGCGGAAGTTATAATAACGCTCCGTACGAGTCAGAGAAGCTGATACATACCCATCGACGTCCTTTTCAGGTTTGACTGCCTCCGTAACCTTGCGCTCCCCTTCAGCAGTGACATGTCCGCCAAGGGGGAGCTGAACCAATATTCCGCTTACGGCGTCGTCGTTGTTAAGAGTTTTTACGGTCTCAACAACCTCTTCCACTGTAGCTTCAGCAGGAAGTGCAACGTGTCTGTACTGGATACCAACTTCCTGTGCAGCTTTGGCCTTCATGCGCACGTATACCGAAGAGTCTGGGCGCTCTCCAGCCTGGATAATGACCAGTTGAGGCTGGAAACGAGGGTGTTTGGTCTTCAACACCTGGATTCGCGAAGCGACATTGTCTCTGATAGACCTGAATAATTGTTAGTAGACTCATAAAATGAAAATGAAAACGAATACTTTGCAATAGCAGTGCCGTCAATCTTTTTTGCGGAATTCGACGACATGGTACGAGAAAGAAAGTGGGAAAGAGCCAAGAAAGAATAGGATGGATATCTACTGATGGCTAGCCTCGCGTGCACGTTATTTACGCGGAGACGAAAACTTCGTCCGCCACCAAAGCAGAGCATTTTCGAGAAAGAATGTGATCAACGATAAATGCTTAGTGTTCAGCCCCTCCGAATCCGAACAAATTGAAAAACCCATCCAGCGTAAGCCTCACGAAGGCCAAAGCTGCGGGCCGTCCTTCCGGAACAAAATTTTAGACGCCTAACGAAGCGTGGTGGTGTACTATGATGAGCTCTGTATACGCCCGCCAGATATTTCGTTCATGTTCGGCTTCGCTGTCGTCCAGGTCGCTGGCGCGTCCCTTACCCTCTACCCTCCCTTGTCGCTCAACTTTACTCAACCCGAAGCGAGGTTATTCAGAAACCAAGTCTACGTCCGCGCACGAGGAGCAGAAGAAGGATGAGCCAAACGATGAACCAGAAAAAGAGGCACACCCTCCTTGTCCAGATACAGAAAAGCTCAAGGCTAAGGAGGCTGAAGTTGTCGACTTGACAGTACGTTATCACAACTTTCATTTCTCTTCACCGCCGATTTATTTCTTGTTATTCTAGGGTCGTCTGCGATATCTTCAGGCAGACTTCTTGAACCTTCAGCGCAACGCCGCGCGAGAGAAGGAACAGACGCGTGATTTTGCTATTACCCGTTTTGCCTCTGACTTGCTCGAGACAGTCGACGTTCTCGCGCTGGCACTAAAATCCGTACCTGCCCCCGCATTGGCCGCAGAAACGACCCCTGCCTCCGAACCCCTTGCCTCGTCTTCTTCCTCGAAAACTGACACTCCTCCACCAAAATCTGCCCAAGAATACCTGCAGGAGCTGCATACTGGTGTTGAAATGACACAACGTCAGCTTCTACAAACCCTGTTCAAATACCACGTCAAACCCTTTGACCCCACTGGTGACAAATTCGATCCTAATCGTCACGAAGCGCTATACCAAGCGCCTATTCCTGGCAAGGAGCCGGGTACAGTGCTAGACTGTCAGAAGCCAGGATATATGATTAAGGATCGGGTGTTACGGGCAGCGCAGGTTGGCGTTGTTCAAGACATATCATGATGTTAGTGTGTAGGCTGTCACTGGAGCATTTCACGGTGCAGGGCTAGAGTATATTGTATTCCACCATATAATGAATCAACGAATCTCTACTCTAAACAAATCGGTCAGACGAGTGACTACGCCCTTTTGTAATTCGTTAACTTCTTCATTCGACAAGGACCTGAATGTTTTCTGTTAGAACGAGTCGGCATCTTGGAATCACGAAAATTACCTGTCCATGGATCTGTAGTTGATTCTATAACATGAACTGGAACGATTTGTCTTTGGATGTACGAATGAGTCAATCTATAGCACGTCAATATACCCTCTAAATACCAGTAAGGGAAGCAAGTACCATTTTCACATCCTCCACGAGGTCCCCAGCAACATCACGAACGAGATCACAGAAGTCATTGTCGTGCAATGGCGCAGAACCTTGTGCATTCCAAAAGCTAACGTCTTTGAAACACGAAGGGAATTTTGAGTATGGCTTGAACGTTGTGATTTCTCCGTCTTTGAACTGCGAAAGGAAGCGTTCGTCCGTTGACCAGAAGAGGCGTATGTCGGGAATTGAGTATAGAATCATGGCGATACGTTCCAAACCAAGACCAAACGCCCAGCCAATCTTGCCTTCGACATCTATGAAATCGGGAATCTCAAATGTCAGAACCTCGAGATCAGAAAGTGGAACTCACTTGAACTATCCAACGTAGACTGAATGACAACTCCACATCCCAAAATTTCCAGCCATTTTCCGCGGAAGAAGACCTCCACCTCGAAGCTAGGACTCGTAAATGGGAAATAAGCCTCTATCCATCGTACTCGCAACGGCTCTTCGGAAACTGTGCTTCCAAACAGTCGTAAGAGTAGACTGTTCAACGACAGCTTCAGATTCTTTGCGACGAGTTCCGAGTGCACTGGGTCGTGGGTACGCTGGACGGGATTGGTAGGAGAAATATGCGGTATATCCTCAATGATGATATTAGACATTTTCAAATGCCGCGAAAGACGCTCGTTGTCTTCCTCGACCTGCTTCATACCCGACGCATCTGCGGAATACAGTCGCGCACCCTCCATCTGGTGAAAAACGGGATAATGGGAGCCGTCGATCTCGTCGCGTCTGTAAACGTCCGCCGTAAGAAGCCATTTGTCTTCTCCTTTGCTGAACACTTCTACTTCATGAGCTGAAGTATGCGTTCGGAGCATCAGGTTTTTGTTAATGTAGTAACTGTCGGTCACAGATCTACCCGGATGGTCCTTGGGAAAAGCGAGTTCATCGAAGTTCTTGAAGGGGGTCACGAGAGGGTTGAAGGATGAGAAATGTGAAAAGTAAGGATAATGGGATTCGATGATTGACCTGAGGGTGTTGAGAGGGTGGCCGGTTTGTTTATGCACTTGTAGGGGAATTTTAGATAAGATTGATGGAGTGACATTGGTGATTTCGTCTGTATGATACTTGTCACCGAGGATTTCGAGTGTGTGGGCATATTTAGACGTTACAGAGCTGCTGTGGAAGCTGCGGTATGAACACCGGCAATTTTGTACAGCAGAGAATATTCGCAGCTGTAGCATCAAAATACGAGGTCAAGGTCTGGGAGTATAGTAGAGAGTTAGACGCATCCAGTCTGAATTCAATCATGTCACTCCAGGATAGCCTAAATACAAAATCGATTTCAGGGACGAAGGAGAGATGATACATATGGGTTCTACCATAACCTACATTACTTACATCATTGAACGGTAAGTAAAGTCGTCAGTCATCTATCTTTGTAGCCGTAAGTACTCATATCATAAGTAGAAAAATCAGAGAAAAGGATTTCGGAGTATAAAAAGGATAAAGAGCAAGTACTTCCAAGCCAACAAAGTGAAAGACAAGAGCAGGCGAGCTAGCAGTCAGTGTAAAGGAAGCATAAAAAAGGTGTAGGTTCCGCGAGAAAATAGAGATGGAAGGAGGTTCGAGCGTATAGTAAGTAAAAAAAATTGATCAAGAAATAATAAGGAAACAAGCAAGCAAGCACGTAGATCATTACACTAACAACGTTACGAGACATTAGAAAACATTCAGGCCAAGCCAAGTCTACCAGCCAGGGAACCATTTTGCGGGAGCCTGACGTGCGGTTGGCCGAGCACGAACCATAACAGGCACGTCTTCCTCCGTAATGTATTCAACTGCGGTGGTCCGAGGAATTGAGGTGGTTGGGGGCATCTCTACAGCCTCTGGTGTAGGGAATGCCACGACACGAGTGGCAGATGGGGAAGGAACGTAGGACGTCTGGGTGACAGTTTTCGTTTCAGTTTCGTATTGTACTTCGGAAATGACCAACGGAGGAAGCTCCTGATACTACATGAAAAGACTAGTCAGTAAACGATTCACACAAAAATATGGGTGGAACGCCCTCTTGATGGCCAGTCAGGAAAAAACCCCATCACGTGGGGAAAAAGAACGCGTCGCGATCGACAAATAAACAAAATGATCATCAATCTCGGGGTCAAAAAACTGCCCTTCTTCCTGACTGGCGAGCAAGAGGGCAGGACAAGGGGGACAAAACAAAAACACCGTTGGTCCCCCAAGCCCGGACGAAGGAGGGAGGGGCACGGAGGGGATTCATACGGACTGTAACATGAAGCAAGAAAACGCTCGAATGAAAAACCTCCTTCGTCTCAAAGCTCGGAACGGCGCGGGGAGGGCGGCGGTACCTTGGGTTTACGCTTGGACCCCACTGGCTCGTAGACGTATTCCTCTTCGACGGCAGGACTATCATTTCCGAGAGCTCTAAAAGAGACATCAGCATCTATAGATAATCCGGCCACTGCTAGACTTACATTAGTTGTTCCATAATCCAGCTCTCTCGACGAGAAGCATCATGCTCTCTCCTGTTAACACCCTCTTCACGCTTGCTGATTTCTCGCTCTCTTTCGGCAATTTTGAGCTCACGATCTAAAATATCGTCAAATCGAGGACTGGACCATCCAGGCGGCGTAAGAGAGTCCTCCTTGACGATTTCCTTGATTACAGTCTGTATAGGTCCAGTGATGGTTTCGACTGTGGTAGCTGCCATACAAGGAGGACACAAGACAGGGGACGGCGTCGCAATAACACCGCCTGGGGCACCAGCGAGAAGCTCAGCCTCTCGACGAGCGACCTCAGCTTCACGCACAGCGACGGCACTCTCCCGAGCGATTAAGGCCTGGGTACGTTTCGGCGTAAGATAGTTCCAAACACCTGATGTAGTTGGATCTGCAGGGTTCGTGCTAGCAGCATTGGAAGGAAGAGAAAGCATAATTGCGAGGACTGCGAGAACTAGCGACAAGACGAGAAGAAGTGTGGTAGAAGAGACTGTTCGATGGTGATGGTGAGATGAGCGTTCGCTACGGTGTTGTCGATGCTCGTCACGGTCACGATGAGAAGAAGAAGGTTGAGCCATTCTGACGCTGGAAATGAGTACTACGGTGAGGACACCGTTATTTTCACTGGTTAAGAAGTCCACAAATACCTGACAGAAGAACTAGGCGACAGAGACGTGGCTGTTTGGGGACGTAAAATGGACGTCGTGAAGGATTTACGAGTTGAAGGAGGCAGGGTGACGCGAGGTTGTAAAAGTAAAAAGAATAAAAAAGTGAAAGTTCAACTTGGCCGTTTTTAGAGATTCAACCGGCCTCGTGGTGGTCACGTGCTATTACGGCATTACGTTGCATTTCTTTGCATGCAAACTGCTTTTGTCAACTCTTTGTAGAAGGCTCGGCGCGTCCGATAATGGCTTTACGACGTTTTGCTCAGGCGAATAATGCATCCACCGCTTCTCCAAATCGTTCTGGAGCTTCAAGTAACGCGTCGCCAGTCTCTGTGACACCTGGTCTTCCTGTTACGCCGAAACCACGAGGCCGCGTTTCCATTGGCATTCATCAGTCTCCTGCGAGCACTCCGTCGCTTTCTTCCTCGATTCCTTTTGATTGGGAAGCTGCAAGATCACGACGACCTCCGCCATACGCAAGTCCCTCCCAGAATAGATCCCGTGGAGGTCGAAATAGCGGTTCAAATTCTTCTTCCCTGAATGGCACACCTGCAAGAAAAGCTGTCGTCAAGAAAAAGAGCATTGTTGAAAAGTATGTGCTACTTATGTCTAGTTTGAATTCGTGCTCTTATCCTTTATCAATCTTTCAGAGTGACGTCCATTCCTTCACAAATAGCGTTCGAGATATCGCAGTTTCCTAACAACGTGCCACTCCCTACCCCAAGAACGTCTGCCTGTGTAATTGGCGGCTTCTTACATTTTTTGCATTTATGCGTACGCGTTAGTCAAGCACGAAGTGCACAGAGTAGTGACTTGGAATGGAACGAAATGTTAAGAGAGACAGAAGGTCGTTCATGGTTTGATTGGGTGCGTCCAACTGAGAAATGGCTGTTTGTCGCATTTCTGACAATGCTACAGACGATGCCTATGACCCTCTTTCTGATTGCGGCGTCTGTCACGAATGCTGTATACACTTTTACTCGTATCAAGCTTTACCGCTTGTATCGTCGAGTAGAGCCGGTCTCATCTCCGAACGCAAAGTTTGTCGATAGCGATGATCTTGATTTTGACAAACTAGAACCGCCATCTCTTGCGATGAGATTTCGGGCAGGTGCTTGGAATGCCTTGATTGCTTTTTGGCGGTTTTTACTGGGTTTGAAACCCTCTACAAAACTCCCATCTTCAACACGAAAGTCTACTCGAGTGCAACAACTCCAGATCTGGACTCCAGGAGATTTAGAAATGATGCTTTTCAACATCTACTCCCCAGTTCACGCACTGTTGTGGATGGCCACAAACTCATCTAATTGGATTATAATGCTATTGATCATGGGCACTGTCGGCTTACAGGTGATGTGTATATCATTGTCTTCTGTACACTTGCTCATGCTTATGTCGACAGCTTAACACCATGATGTTGTCATACAAAACTTTGATAAAAGACAAAGACATTCTCCATGCAGAAGTAATGAACGAGTATAACGAAGGAGTAAGTGCGTTTACATCATTCCAAAAGCTTTTGCTCACCAAACCCTCAGTTTGTATACCCCCGAATTAACCCTATTCGTAAGGACGTGGCTATAATGACCCATCAGTCAGAAGTGGTGAATGTATGGGAGGATTGAATCTACTTGTCTAATGTACTACGCGTTTATTCTCCTTGTCTCTGGATCTTCAATCAAATTAACTAGATCGACGCTACTAGGAGACTGGGACCATCACATGCCATAAACTTTAGAAGGGATATGCAAATGTCACTTGGGTGCGCGCTCTTTTTGAGGTAGAATCCAATCTTCATTGGCGCACTAATCGATCCAATCGTCGAAGTGGTCATAAGGCCTCCAATTGAAGTGTCCTCCCCTCAATCAAGCAGACTTTTGCTTATTAGAATACCTAATTATTACTACTCTGTGCTTACCGTAACATTCTTATAAGTTTCACTGCCTCGTTTGTTCTAAAATTCATTGGAGAACCTTCAAGTCGCAAGCACTCGCTCAGTGCCACGAGCTGAACTCAAGATGGCTTGGCCGTGAGATCACCAATCCAACTTGATCCAAGCTCTGTCAGATGGGCGCCTGAATTACTTTCCCAGCTGATCGTTTGACTCGACATTGGCCAGTACACAGCTTCGACCGTGGACCGTGTAGCAGTCGATCTATGAAAACCAAACGTTGCCATGTATGAAATGTTTATTCAGAGCGATTTTTTTTCTTGTGTCTGACTCTAGGTTGCAGTACTATGACTCTTTGGGGCAGCCCAGGACCTTGCAGCGGAATGGAAAGCCCTTTGATCCAAACACGGATTATGGATGTAAATGCCGCCGTTTTTTTGCGCATCCTGAAGATCCCGAATGGGCTTCACTCCCCCCCGTCCCTGCTCCACCCTTCCTGGTCGGAACTCCATCGCCATCTCCTCCTCCTCAAGCTTCCTCGAGTATCGGTGACCATCCAATGCCAGTCAAGCAGGATAATGCGAAGTCAATGTTGACACTCATTGAGTAAGCTCAGCCTCGACAGAAACTTCATCAGTCAATTCATATTCTCTTCTCTCAAGGCTCAAGTCAGACTATGAGAGCCTTTTGACACAATATAGAAGATTGCAGCAGATTCTGAACAACACCACACTGTTGCCTTCCTCTCATCCTTCGGGACAACAATTGTCTAGAGCACAACTGGTTTCACGTCGGGAAACTGTTGAAAAGAATATGAAGGAAGCCTATGCACGATTACAGGAATTCGACCAAAACACCCCATTCGAGTTTGGCAGCCTCGATACTACACTTGAGCCGAATATCTCTGTACTCAAAAACCTGCTTCGAGAGCTTAAGCTTAAGCTCGTGGAGGCTGAATCATTAAGGAACAGAGTTGAATCAAACTTCAAAAAGGCCTCTGTTGAGCAGGCTCAAGTGGAGTCAGATGGAGACATCATAATGAATGCTCCTTCGTCGACATTTCAGAAACAAGATGGATATTCACCCCCTCCTCGTGTTTCACTATCAACTGAGAAACATCTTGTCCTCCTGCAGGGCATGCTTGATAGAATTTCCAAGCAAGTGGCCTCAGTAGGAAGCAATGTAATGGAACAAGAGGATGTGATCAAGAGCATCATCCAGAGTTCACATGAAACAGTGACATCTTCGGAGAGCATTGTTGATGGAATTCACCAGGATATTGAACATTTCGATGATGAACTCTCTGAGCTGACAGCAATGACTGCTGAAACCATTGCTGAAGATAACAGGTTGGATATTGAATACCAAAAGTTACAGAAGGAAAGAGAGAACCAAGAAATTGAACTACAAAAAGTAAGTCAGCCTCTTCTTCGACCCATGACCAACTTTTCTGACCATGCAAAGCTTATGGGGTGTCTCGAAAAACTTGAGAAGGAACGCAAGAAAGATGAGAGCGATTTAGCTACCCTCTCCACTGCCCTGACAGCCTATATGGAGAAGTCGACTATGTCACCTCCATCTTCACCTTTCATACCTGAAGATATTGTAGTCGCTTTGGAGGAACAGATTACCCCGCTGATTCGGAACGCAATCAAGCCCCACATAGAAATCCTACGCTCAGAACTGGAACAAGAAATAACGAAACGCGAGATGGAAACATCCAGTACACTATCACCCATCTTCACGGTGACACACCAGGCCTTACAGAGTGTATCAAATGCTACATCCAAAAAGTGAACCCGAACGTGATGTTCTTTGTTAATTATTCGTTGTCATCGTATCATATTGTACTTGGATGTTATCGGAATGCTTCGTATAAAACACGCGTCATGGCTACACTGGTGGATTAGATTCTTCATAGGAACTGCCATCCGCGAACTGTAGGAACCGTGTCCCAACACGACCCGCTTGCTCAGGGGAATGCGTTATCCAGACGATCGCTTTCAGCGGGCTTTCACTGGATTTCAAAGTATCCAAAATATGCCGTTCGACTAGGAGACAAGAGTCCTGGTCCAATGCTGACGTTGGCTCTATATAAAGTGTATCAGCGACGGACAAATGATATAATGATTAATGAAACGCACCATCTAGAAGCAGCACCTCGGCGGTATCAAGCCCGATACCAATTGCGAGCGCGATTCGCTGAATTTCTCCTCCACTGAGATTTGACCATTCACGGTCCCATAACTGGGTATCAATCCCCCAGGAGCTCGCTATCTTCACAGGATGTTCCAGATCTTCATTCAATCGTGAATCCTTCCTGCCATTTCTTCTGCGAGCCTTGAACGATGATGCGGTAGCGAGGAAGGTTCGGGGAGTACTCGCAAGTAATGGGGGTCGCTGGGGTACGTATGCAACCTTCGTTCGATAAAGAGGAATACCTATCATCACGTTATGATGTCTATCTAGATTGAAAAGATGTGGTGAAAATATACCATATGACTTGGGTGTTCTGTTATGCGCGACGGAAAATCATCAGAACTATGTAGAACAGGACTCGGATAGTGTCACGAACGCACTCACTTTCCGCAAAACAAAATGTGACCATTATACAGATTCAAATGGGCAAGGCATTTTAGAAATGTTGTTTTTCCGCAACCGCTCTTGCCTTGGACGACTACAACATCACCTGTTCCAATTTCTCAAATACATGCTTTGTGCGGATAATGCAAAGAGGATTTAAAACTACCTTCAGCCAAGGTTAGCTCTACACCGGAGAATATTTGTGTACCGTCTTCGCTTGTACAGCTAAGGTCGCGGATAGCAAAGAGATCTGACATGTGGGCAGAAGCTAACGTTCGGAACCTTTATCAGCTTCAACGTTTTCAACTAGTCATGTAGCATATGCAAGAGACGTGGATATTACAAAAATGAGCAGGTCCCCTATGGTCATGAAGTTACGGCAAAATCTAATTATGGAGGCGATGTTAATGACTGTTGCATCTGCATCTGTTGCATTTGCATCTCCATTTCCTCTGGGCTCAACGCTGAACTCTCAATCATCACACCTACACCGACTTTAGCTGAGTTCTATAAACACAGGAAATAGCAACGTCAGCGAAGATCATTGTTGAAAAATAGTAGAAATACTTTGAGGTGATCAATCTCTCCCGACATCAAGAAAGCGAAGGTGGGGGTAAACCGTTGTTCAAGCAGAGCAGAGACTTTGCCAGTCGAATCCAATTGGGCCCTGAAAGTCGAAAGACGAAGGTCGAATTTAGCTCCTAGTGTAGCTACCGCATCTCGACGCATGGGAGTAGCCACAAGCTGCAAGTCCGCCGCGAAATCAACTTTTTCACTGAGCTTGTGCCAATACGTCGCCTGCAATATACCAGCAGGTTGCAATTGAGCAGTAGCAATCCACGATTTGTCGGAGCTGGTGTACTTGGCTAAGTAAGTAGCAACTAACTCCGCAGTGCTGGGCGTTGGACGCTGGAATACCATTTCAGTACCACAAGCGAAGTTTTTCGTGAGGGATTGGAGATAACTGCCGACAAATATACCAGTCAAGTCGGAAGGCCACGGGTTCACCGCTTTTAAGTTGACATTGAAATCTTGGCCGCTGAAATCTTGCTCTAGTTGGAGCAAATTATGACCTGGCGTTTGAGACAACTGACAAAACGTATTATAGCCGAGAGTATTAATGTCCAATGGCCACGCGCACCTGAGCTTGAGCTTTCGAGACGTGTCCGTTGGCCCATCCCTGGTTTACACGGGCGCTTACATTTCCGTCATGGTCAACACCACCTTGAAGGAATACCTAAAATGAATGTAAGCCCATGAGGGCAGATGAAAGTGGGTTATGTGACATGCATTCTCGGTTGCATACATAGCACCAAAATTGTAAGATGGTGCCATTGTCTGTGAGCCCAGGGCAAACGAATGTGTCACTTGAAACAGCGGACTCATTGACATGCTTTTTGTAAGGTCAGCACGACCGCCATCAAACGCGTAGTTAGTTAGGTGGGTTGCTAAAAAGTCATTTGAGCTACATAAACTAGAAAGTCCACTGTAATGGACGTACCTTTGACCTCCTTCTGAAGGTTTTCGACAGAACCAGGATTAGGCAAACCAAGTTCCGCTCTCCATTTCGAGAAACGACTTAGGTAGTTCGAGAGTGGAGAAAGTGATTTTGGACTAGGTGAAGAAGAAGGGACAGCTGATAGCGGCGTGTATGGATTAATGGGAGAGACAGTAGAGGCCATGGCAATCCAAAGAAAAACGCGTCACGACTTTTCTTTTCTCAGTCACGCTAGGTAATCCGGCCGTACCCGGCACGGTCGAATGTTTCTAATTCCTTTACTCACAGCACTTGTGAGACTGTGTGCTTGAAAGTTGCCAAATCTCACAAGAAACTAAAATCAAACCATCCATTGATCTTCAGTCGCATGTCCCTCGGGTACAGGGGGTTTCAATTACTTCGCCTCTCTTCGCATTGCTGCCTCTCTACCGTTGTTCGCGCTGTATATCCTGGACTACTGGACCGAATAATGATAGTGTCCAGATTGAGGTTATAATTAGAATTTTGTGATTGTTTTGATGCAGAAAGTGGCGACTCCACGCAACGTAAAGTATTTCCGGTATGTCGCGGTTCCGCAATTGCCAATTACTGCGCTTTGCTTCTTTCTTCTTACACAACATATATATACGAGAACAGGATTCTCTTTCTGCTTAAACCTCCCCTGAACATCCCCTATCCATTATGGCTGTCCTCTTTCCCTTGTCTACACCTAAACGATATATAATCACAGTTCTTGCCACCATCGTGAATTCTGTGTCTCCCCCTTCATCTATTAGCTTGCTAATGACCATGCGTTCTAGATATCCCTGCATTATCTGTTGACAATCGTTTATGAGGATTACGGCCGGATTTCTTCCTTTGGCAACATCAATGAACGAACGGGTGAAAGACATGGCAATGACAACGTTTCCATGCTGAATTACAACAGTCTGCAAATATTCCAGAACATGACAGGTCCCCGAGCCAACGCGACATTCGTGTTGCTGGCGAGAAATAGTGATTTGGCCGGAGTGGTGAACAGCATCCAGTCGGCCGAGGATCGCTTCAATAGACATTATCATTATCCCTGGGTCTTACTCAATGAGGAGCCGTTCACAGATGAATTTAAAGAGTATGCTCCTTCATCCTTCCTCGATGCTCGTCTCTCATGCGCTCGTATCTAGACGTGTAAGTGTGCTGACAAGAGCACCTATCTTTTTCGGTCTCATCCCGAAAGAGCACTGGTTTCAACCCGACTGGATCGATGAAGACCGTGCCCGTGCTGGTCGCCAAAAGATGATGGCACAAAGAATTATCTATGGTGGTAAGTTACACCATATGATCGGCAATACCTCATCTCATTGTTGCACAGGTAGTGTTCCGTACGTGTCATCATTCACAGAACAAACCGATGTAGGAATATTTACAGCGGTCCGCTCTGGTCCTCAGATATCGTAACATGTGTCGTTTCAATTCAGGCGTGAGTCGTTGCAAAGGTTTTAGTATGGCAGTGGAGCTGACGTCAAGACTCCAGTTCTTTTTCCAACATGAATTACTGCACCCATATAGGTGAGATTCAGTGTCGAAGTTTCCTTGGCGGTCCCATGTTGGACTGAACTGGTTTTCTCGACTTGTTATGTGCCACTGGGACCGCAAGGAATCGTGGCGCAATACTTTAATTGAAGCTCGTAATTGATCTGTCTCTATTTGAAGATACTACTGGAGGCTCGTTTATTTACCCTAGTTATCAACCACTTCTGACTTTTCTAAACACGGTCTTTATTAGAGTCGAGTAAGTAAACCGTGATTTTCTCACTGTCCTCTGCTGAATTTAGGCACCCTCAGACCCGACGTCAAATTTTTTTGCGACTTGGACTATGATCCATTTTTGTACATGCAAGAACATGATAAGGTGTACAGTACGTCTCACGATCCCTGTCGCCGTAATTTTCCAATCAAATCGGTCTTCTTTAATTAGGTTTCACGATATCGCTCTTTGAGTGGGAACCAACAATACCTACATTATGGCAAACTGTGAAAGGTGATTATCTGCCTTGGCCTTATTGATTAGTGACTCATCATGCCTTGTACAGATTTCATCGGCGAATACCCACAGTACGTGGAAAACCATAATGCTATGGATTTTCTCTCGAATGACGGGGGTAAAACATATAATCTTTGCCATTGTACGTCTTGTCCTTCTATTTTCTTTTCACAAGTATTAACCCTCCAAAATGCAGTTTGGAGCAATTTCGAAATTGCGGATATGAACTTCTGGCGAAGTGAAGCGTACACCGCTTTCTTCGAGTATCTTGAAACCAAAGGAGGTTTCTACTACGAGGTAAATGTTAGATCTTTTGTGACGGGGAGCTGATTCAATCGCTTCACCTTAGAGATGGGGGGATGCGGTACGTTGCTCCTGTCGGATGCTTTTAGTGAATGCTAATCAGTAATCCACTTCAGCCTGTACACTCAATAGCTGCAGCATTGTTTGCACGCAGAGATCAGATACACTTCTTCCGTGACATTGGCTACAGACACGAGCCGTTTCAACATTGTCCATTGGGGGAGCAGTGGACAAGGGGGCGTTGTTCGTGCGATCAGAAAGATACCTTTGGTATGGAATATCTTATCTTTACTCGAAGTTCAACTTGCCTATGTTCATCCAGATTACACACAAAATTCATGTCTGAAAAAGTTCGAGAAACTCTTTGCATAGCGCTAAGCTTAGCTATGGTGCAATCGGGTATAACACAACCAATCAGGAACAGGCGCCATTTGGGGTCAGCGAAAAATTTTTGTGCCTACACTTGTTTATTTTGACCAAGAAACAACAGTTCTGAGAGTCACAAATAGTGCCCAAGCATGCAATCAAAAGCTTTTGACTTGAAAATAATGTGAATGTAATATTTATCAAGGTACGATGAGAGACAATAAAAAAAGTAAAAGGATTATAAGCATAACCCTAACCCTAATAGCTTCCTATTTTGGAAATGCGCCATTCGGTGGGAACTTATTTCATCAATTTTGAAGGTATCAAAAATCGGTCTTACAGTTTTGTTCCCTCTATCATTATATGCATTTCTGTAATAGGGATAAGAAATTTAAATAAATTCACGTGAGATAATTCAGTTGTTCCAAATTGGTTGTGTTATACCCGATTGCACCATAGCTTCGGCTGTACTGTTATTGATTATCGCTTAACCGTTGTGCGAAGGCTTGAACAAATGCGCTACGGCGTAGGTAGTTTACGCATGATCATGCCATCAAAGATACATCGTTAGGCAGAGTAAACAAGTATGTATACACTGGGTTTCTTGACTTTCAGAAGGAGGAGGTGTAGCTTTATTATGTGTGTTAACGCTGGTCACTGCTGCTCATCGCGCGGGTCATTACATGTATTTGGCTCTGTCTGATCGGCTAGGACAAATACTATCTTTTTGTTGCTCACTGCACGGGCGAAGGGAATGAGTGTGCGGAGTAAAGCGACGCCCCGAGCGGAACTGAGGTGCTCAATGTAATCGCACGGGTCACTGCTAAGTACTACATGATGGTGCTATAAATGGCGCTTCATCACGTGGCGACTGCGCCGAAAAATGGCCATTGGCATTCTAATTTCTCAGTGTTTATCCTCTTCATTCTCTTCCACAACATGATGACGCCTATGCGTTATGTTGTACTCGTGCTGGCCATAGTTGTATGTGATCGCTGCAACTCTTCTAGCATGCTGTCTCTTTTGACAACTTTCAATTATAGATCAGTTTACACTACATCCTAAGCTTTACTCACGAGGGATATGGGCAAGTCACTTCAATCTCGAATCTGAAAAGTCAATGGTCTGCTGGTAGGCCGCCCTACAAGACCCCAGTGCCCGATGAATACTATGTGTCGGACAACGTTACTGCTCCATCAGGACGGAAAGCAAATGCTGCAATTGTCATGTTAGGTGCGTCCGTGTGTTTGGGTCTTTTAACTTACGTCGTTGATATGTTTTGCGCAGCGCGAAACAGTGATTTGAATGGCATAGTGATTAGCATGAAACAAATGGAAGATCGGTTCAACAAGAAGTTTCGTTATCCTTATGTCTTCTTGAATGAGGAAGACTTCACCGACAACTTCAAGAAGTACCCTTATATTCAACAATACTTGTCGCCTGCTCTGATACAAGTTGATTAGTCGTGTCACAGAACTTACCGATGCCCAAGTGGAATTCGGTTTGATTCCAAGGGAGCATTGGTACCAACCAGATAGCATTGACGAAGCGAAAGCTTCCGCTGCCCGTGCCAACATGGTGAAGAACAATGTGATTTATGGTGGTATGTGGGCGTATTTCTTTTTCCTTTGTTAAACATTGACGTTCTGCTACAGGCAGCGTACCGTACGTACCAGAATCGGCTTACATTCTCGATTTTGCTTCAACCCTCCTGTTATTTTCAGGTATCGAAACATGTGTCGTTTCAACTCTGGTGTAAGTTTCTCCTTACCCCCTATTGCCGCGTATCATTCAACCATATGTTAGTTCTTCTACCGACACCCTCTCCTCGATAAATATAGATATTACTGGCGTGTTGAGCCCGACGTCAAGTTTTTCTGTGATCTCGACTACGACCCTTTTTTGATTATGCAAGACCAGAACAAAGTTTATGGTGACTTCAGATCTCTCAAACTTCTACGTTTGTTTTAATGATGGTGGCTCTAGGATTCACCGTATCATTATACGAATACGAGGCAACGATCCCTACTTTGTGGCAAGCAGTCAAAGGTCAATCAAGCATTACCAGCGCTCAAAACATTTTCTTGATATTCTTTTCATATAGAATTCATCACCGCGAATCCAGACCTCGTATCTCCTGACAACGCGATGGCCTTCCTTTCAGACGACGGTGGAGAAAGTTATAACCGATGCCATTGTGAGTGGAATGGAATCCCGCTATCCTCAGAAATAAGTTTCGACTCGCTTAGTCTGGTCCAACTTCGAAATCGGCGATTTGAATCTATGGAGAAGCGAAAGCTACATGAAGTTTTTCGAGTATCTTGATAACAAAGGTGGTTTCTACTACGAGGTACCCGTCTTCTTTCTAGGGCATATTAGTGAACGTTGATATAACACGATCCTACTAGCGTTGGGGAGATGCCCCAGTTCACTCCATAGGTGCCGCATTGTTTGCGAAGAAGGAGCAGATTGTGAGTCTGACCACTTCCAACTGTGAAATATTGCAGCCGACACTTCTATTTCTTCGACAGCACTTCTTCAACGATATAGGTACACTTTCATCCGTTTTCGTAGATCTTTTTTTAAATAACATACCACACAGGCTACCGGCATGAACCTTTTCAGCATTGCCCACAAGGTGAAGCTCATTCAAAGGGAAAGTGTTGGTGCGATCCAGCTCAGAACTTCGGTCAGTATCGATGTTTTCCAATCAACTCTAATCTCACGATCCAATCGATCCTTAGACTATGAGTGGTATTCATGTCTAGCTCGATATGACAAGATGTTTTCATAGAAAGTGGAATGTACATTGTACTTAACTACTCTCTTTCCTTGTCCACGTATACACCTTGCATGCAGACCTCGTAATTTATTGTTTGTCCGCGCTGCTAAAGGGTCGTTGAGACTGTCATTACTGCTACTTCCTGTCACAGATGGTGACATGACATATCATAATATGGACTGAGAGTAATATTGGTACTGGATCGCGGAAAGGTAGAGTCATTATGTCAAGGACCATACAACCAACTGAACTTACCGAATCGTACAGCCTGGTCCAGTGAGATCCCAAGGATGTGTCAATCAATCGTTCAACCAACTCCCCCACCAATGAATGCGTCAATGCTGGTTGGAAACGGTCTCGAAGTTGAGCGGCAGTTTGGTCCCCGAATGCTGCGAAACAAGGAAGAGTGGATTCTGAGGTGACATGAAGGTCTCAGGACACTGCTACTTATGAAAAAAACATGAAGGGCGAACACACCTTTCTGCATCAACTCCACCATTGCTAGAAAGTTTGAACGTTAGTCAGGGAACAACTGAAGAAAGGGATCGAGACGCACTAATGATTCGATCGCAGTGTTTCCTAGCGGCTTCAAATCCTTCTTTGAACAATCTGCGGAACTCAAGGAACGGTGCACCATCAACACCGCCCAACACTTCGATGTACTCTGCTGGTAACTTGAACGGTGCGGCTTCAAACCTGATATTACCTGGCGTATTGGACAGCATGAACCCAAAATCTATGTGTATGAGATGCCCATCTCTATCTAGCAGGATATTCCCGTTGTGGCGATCCTTAATTTGCAGTAGATATGTCACAACTGAATATCCTGTGCACAGAGAAAAAGAGATGTTGATGTTAATGAGATAACGTTTTGGGGTTGGTACATCACCATACCTGCCAATGATTTCGCGAAGTTTCGTTGAGCTCTAGCGAACTTTGCTGATGAGGGATCGCCGTATGTCTAGGAAATGTAGGTCAGGGCGCTCTCGTGACCCAGATATTGCCCATGTACAAACCGATTTGAAGTGATCAAACAGCGTTACATGTCCAAACCGACCTTCAGCAATTCGCCGAGCGTATTCTGCCTTTTTGATAGAGTGAATCGACACCGCATCTGTGATTGTTTCTACCAAACCAGACGAGCCACCAGTTATCAGTATTCGGAAACTTAGGAAATAAAATTTGTGAGATTCATAGTGCTAGTACAACTAAGAACAAAGAGGTACCCACTATCGGACCCAGCACTGACAGTTCTCTTCTTCCCATATTCGTTGGAATTCGTGAATCAATTGAACTGCGAGTTGTTCTTGTCGAAGATCTCCCCCGATTTTGACGATCACTGAGACGCAATCCCAGTTTGCTAAATCGATGTGAAATTCATTGTGAGGTGACTGAGCAGCATGTGTCCTCACCAAGATGACCATAGGGCGATACATGCCGAATTCGACTCTGTAATCACATCATCCACATCTAATTTGGATGAAACATATGAAAACCGTTTCCAACGCACCTTTTTCGCCGTCCAAGACTCGCTGAACACCATTGCAGAAGGATCAACTTTGCTAAGTTCCCTTCTAATTATCCCTTCATCTTCAGCGGTCTTCATACCCCCACTAATGTCCCCAACCCGAATTATACTCTCCGTCTCCCTGTGCTCCCGCATATGCGCCATCCTCTCCTCCTCTAACGCCAGCATCTCCTGCATGATTCGATCTCGAATAGCTGAGGCTTCAGAGGCTTGCAGTCGCATCCGACTTGGTTGTGGTTTTCCGAAGTCCTGAGAACCTGTTCCTCTTCCTGTGAGATGTGGCGCGGTTTTTGGTGGCTCGTTGGAGTTGGAGAGCCAGCTGGAGCCGGGAATCCAGCTTAATGGACCACTAGAATGCGCGCCGTCTGGAACAGCGGAGCCGTTCGTGGGTTCTCTGACGAGGTTAGCGTTCAACTGTGCGAGCATGATTGCGGCTGTCCGCATTCTTTCAGAATATTCGTCGAGGGAGATTGAATAGGGAGTCTCAACAGGGAGTGGTGAAGGCTGTGAGATGGTGTTGTCTAAGTGGAGGTTCAAGGGAGGTGGTATTCTCGGTGTATGCCTGTCGATATTGTCTAGACTCGGAGAGGCATGCACAGACGAGGGTCGGGACCAAGCTACTCTGTCGAGGTCTTTATTTTTCGGGGGAGGTGGGAGGACAATTGATTCTGAAAGATCTATTTTTTGAGATAAAAGAGATTGGCCAGGACCATATAATTGCTCGACCAGATCCATCTCTTCATCATCATTAGGAGTTGTAGGCGTAGGAGGAGTAGCAGCTAATGAATTCCCGAGGAGAACGGAAGATCCGTCGTAAACATCGGACTCTTGGAATGATTCAGATTTGGCTTTGTGCTGTTGAAATGGTAGGAGGGGAGTAAATGGGTTGAGGTCCCTGGGCCCGGGTGCTCGCTGATCTTCGCGTAGAACAATTTTTTTCAAAACGTCCTTGTTTATCCGTTTCTGCGGGTCAAAGTCGAGGTCATCGTTGAGGATTTCGATGTAGAGGAGATACGGTGCTCGTTCAGCGGAATTGAGGACGACGCTTTCGCCCGGTGGGATCCGTACGATACGATGATGAGGATGAGATAATTGAGAACCAGGGGGTGAGTCGGATGATGTACACCACAGCGGCATACATACCTGACGAAGATATATGTGAGAAAGGTCGAATACGGGAATAGAAATGGGACCACCTCCGCTGGTAGTTTGTGATTGAGAGAAGTCAACTCCGCTCTGAGGGCGCTGACTCGAGCAGGCCTCGGTACGACCAGTAACCGTTCGGATATGTTTTCAAGGGAGAGAATGAATTGAACCTGGGAAATGTATTAGTAAAATTTTGAAAGCTGGGGTTTTATCTGGCCAACCTCAGAGCGACAGTAATGACCTTTCAATAGATGTGTTTGAGATGAGGTGTCGTAGGTTTGCAATAAAGTGTCTGCATAACTATGCGAAGCGGTTCTAAGGGGAGGGCGAGCAGAAGAGATGGATGGGGAGGATTGGTAGGGAGTGACAGTTTCTTTGTGTTCAGCATCAAGCTGACCCAAGGGGTCCTCGGATCGACGAGACCGCTGTAAACCGCGAAGATGCAGCGGAAGGGCTGGGACGGTTTGGGCAGGGCCCATTGCACGTCGACGAGTCAATATTGCGGGCTCTGATGATGCTGAATCGGGAGATGGTGGACTGTCTTCATTACTCTCTGGTTCAGGCTCCTCATCCATGGAAACTGAACTTTTGATCCGACTGGGTGCTACAGCCATATCATCATCATCCGACTCTACGCTTCTTTTCACCTCTACCGTCGCCTTGTCCTCCGCTCGGCCCTGCTCAATGGCCACTTCACCCATGATCTCCGTCAGCCGTGGCATAGCAGGCACGCCGGCGAGAACCAAGCCCATACCGATGATTGCTGGTTCCGCATGGGGCCTGATTTTCTTGCGCGGAAATAGAGAGCGAAACGGAAGGTTGATGGTTGAATATGGGGTTGTTGGCGGAGGCAAATCACCAAATATGATTTCATGGCACTTGTGAAGGACGCGCTGGCATATGATAAACGATGGAGAATCATGAGGCGATGCGGACAAGTCCTTCAATGCAGCCTGCATGAACCACAGAGTCTGGAAAGGCTCGAGTAAGTAATTGGAGGAATAAACGAGATGATATGGTCATACGATCATGGCAATATGAGTGGATTTCTGGGCAATTTCGACGACAAAGCATTCCAGTGCTCTAGACTTGGATGGTCTGGTAAGTAGAAGATGACTAGAGATCGTTAGTTTCACAACAGATTTAAGCATTCTAGATACACAAACCAGACAAAGCCCCAAACGTCGCGTAACTCAGCTATATCGAGCTCACTGAGCCTGCGAGTAATATAATACGTGATGCCAATGTTATCAGCATAGACAGTAAGATATTGAAGAGCGACATGGACAGTGAAGAAGGATGGCGTTAGGAAAAGTCGAAGCAGTAATGCATGGCTCATGTCAAGGTATAAATAAGCGCTCAGGCGCGGTGGTGAGAAATTTCAATTTCGCCCCTCTTAACATCCCTCTCAGCTCCATTTTTGGCAGCGACAGTGGTCGCTGTCCCAGTCGTTCCCTGTAAGTACAGCCTTGAACCCGTGTGTTCTGCTCTAACAATTTTAACAAGCCCTCATGGCTAACAAGTCGCTCAACTCTCCCTCTTTTTCTCGCTTTTCTCGTATGGGTTTTGGGCTTCGGATAAAGTCCCAATCAGCGTCTCCCAGTCCCCGAATTCGTGATTCCGCGAAGTCAAATCAGGACAGCGACTGGTACATTCCGTACAATGGTCCGTACGAGCCTCCTCGAGACACCTACGTACGCAGCAAGGAGCCTTTGAGAGACAGTTGGGGAGACCCAGTGGTGGATGCTCAGGCAGAAAATGACGAAGAAAATCCCATATTCAGTGATGCCGAACTTCATACTCGATACGGAAACTGGAATCCTGCAGACGAACGTAAAGGTCGCCCTAGAGCTCGTACCCAGTCTTCTTCTTCTGGTACTGTGGATCCAAGTAGAGCCAGTATGGCCACTGGGCGGCGCTCCACCGTCTCGCATGTAGGCAATCCTCCTCCTGTACCTTCTTACATCAGTCTTGCAGGCGGAGTTGGGGAGTCTCCGGTTCCAAATCCGCGTGCTGTTCGCGAAACTGCTTCGACCAAGAGGAAGAGTCTGGCTAGTCTGTTCACATTTAATAGTACGAGCAGAAAACTTTCATCGTCTTCAAAGGCAGAGCGCCAACACACTCCCAATACTCCTTCTCGCCTATCAGATCAGGGCCTTCACTCTATTGGCCTTTCCAAGCTACCACAAACACCACATTTACCATCAGATCCTGTAGCTGCAGTTGAATTGTTCGGAGCTTCTGCGGCAACTGGTGATGAAGAATACTACAATTCGTATTATTCATCATTGATAAATCAGCCTCAAAATAACCATCAAACTGCTCGTCAGCCTCCTGATACATCATTTCAACATACTCTGCAGCAACCGTCTTCACCTCAGAGCCTGCCAAACTCCGAACCCTCTTCTGCCACACATCCTTACGCCTACGCCTATTCATCTTCGACTCCTCCCGCTGCCGAAACTCCCCGTTCTGCACCCCCTCCTAAAACCCATTTCGAGCGCACACCTATCCCTCATATATACCCAGAGAAATCCCGAGTAGTATCTCCGGCTCAAATTCTAAAGTCCAAGTCAATCCCACAGACTAAATCGCATCTCCCGGGCCACGCCTTGAGTCTGAAGAACTCCATCTCCTCTCCTGATTTGCGTTCCAACAATCGGAGCAAGTCATTAATACCGAAAGGGAAGGATAGATGGCTTTCTGCGGAAACCTGGTGCGACGCACTACTATTTCCTCGTCCTCGCTTCAGACTGAAGCAGGATAAGGACGCAAGTGCGTCAAATCATGCAGGAAGTGGTCGTATCGTCAGTCCACCAGGTAGCCCCGTTTTGGGTTATTTTTCCAACGCGAATGCCGCTAAGCCAAGTATAACATCGCGCGTCCTTGCTCATTCCCGGTCGATGGTCGATTTGAGCAAACCAACTGTTGCGGAACCATCCAACCTACCTAGAACCGAAGCACATCCACCTCCAGACCTACTCCAAATTGCTCGCCCATCTGAACAGTCTTCTCCTTTTCGTGCCCCACGGCCCAAAAGTTGGGCTTTAGACGACCTTGCGCTACCCAGTCCGGTTCCATCATTAGCCAGGTAAAGTCTGTGCAACGAAATCAAATCACATTGAGCTTGACCATCTTTTGTTTTTTTTTTCTGGTTTCAGAGTTTTGGAAGAAGGTCAGATCCTCGAACATCAGCGGAAGAAATGGCAGGCACAGGCAGTCAATTCATTCCAGAATCATCGAGCTCGTTCTCTTTCTCGAACTCGAACAAAATCGCTTTCTTCGAAGCAACCCAAACGAAAGGATAACTCAAAGCTAGACTTTCTTGCTGCTCGCGGTCTTCTGGGTGACCAGAATGTTATCCCGGTCAACGTAGTAAAACCTCGCCAAAGGTCAGATAGTCAAACAGAAAGCCGTGGGACTACAGTTGGGCAAACCTCTTCCCATCATCATCATACATCCTCACTTTCGAAAACCTTAACCAAATCATCTAATAAGACCCACTCACGGAACCATTCCCGGACTGAATCTATTGGTAGATCTGCCGTTAGAATGGTAAAAAATACGGCAAACCATCTATGTGCATTCGATGGTGAAGGCGTCAGTCCTGCGGAGGAAAAGATGGCTGGACTCGAAGGGGCATTGCAGAATAACGCGACCAAGGTAATCACTTTTGCGGATCCCGCTCAGATGTATATCGAGTCGCCGTTGCCGAGTCGGAACGGTCATTCTGTATCGCCGACACCTTCTGGGATTAGCGAGTCCAGGATGGGCATCGCACTCACGACACCACCTATGACAGAAGAAACTTTTGAACCTATAAGAATGCCTGCTCACCCTTACGCCCAAGGAGGCTTTTCGTTCCTCACACCGCACATTGATTTTCAGTCCAATGCTCGTGTTGATCTCCCGTCAGCTCAAGCTAAGCCATCCCATGAATCTCGGATACAGAATCCAATCCCTGTTCCGACATCATGGCATCCCTATGCCCAAGCCGGCTCGTCCGCTCGTGACTCATATCAGAGCGAGATGAAAATCACGCCCCGCTTGCGCTCAGACAGTGACGTTCCACCGCCACAGAAGATGTGGGCTCAATGGTCCTCGGGTGTTGTCCAGGAGATTCTACCAACCGAACTTCAATACTCTCCCTATCTGCCTGATCAGAAATCTATGGTAGAGGATGACTCGCAAGTACGGAAGCAGGTCAGAAATTCAAGTCCGATTTATAATACTGCCGGAGTTGGAGAAGCACTTGCATTTGCTGCTATGCATAGATACAGCAGGGATAGTGGGATTGGAACGAGCGAGGAACATGCGTCTGCCCAGGCCGAGTATGAAGCAGGGTCGATCAGCAGTAATCGGTATCGAAAAACAACTCAGTACGATGTGACACGCCCGTTGTATCTGCAGAAAACTGTAGCCTCAAGCCCGCTCCAGGCTGCCATCATTCCCACTCCCACTCCTCCATTAGAACTGATGAGACAAGAGTCTTCAAATTCGGGTGGCAACCATTCTTCAGATTCTTCGCCACCAATGTCGCCACCACCACCGTTAGGAAATGTGGATGACCTGGCCACTTTTCATGATTTGTTCTATCGTCCTAACATCTCGAGGAATGTTTCTAATGATGGCGCTACTCCCGCTCGGATCAATGGCATACCTTGGGATGTTGCCAGCGCTGGTCAACGAGGAAGCGGTCTTACCAGCATTGCTCGACAGCTTACAGAAGAGCTTAGCGAATCGCGGGACTCTTTGAAGAATTCTATTAGTTTTCGTTCCCAGTCTAGTTTATCTGCGTTGCGTCAGAGTCTCTATGAGGCTCGTACACCTCCTGCTGATGCGAACATGCGTTTTGTGTTCTCGGACTTGCCAGAGACTGCTTCGCTCAACACAAATGGAGAGAGAAAGAACTTGCAAGCAAACATCCTGACTTTCGAACCATCGGTCCAAATTTCAGAAGACGTAGAATTATCTAGAGCTTCCTCCCCTACACGATCGCCCGTGGATAAAGATGATGATTTAGGTGAGTACGGTGTTTATAATTGGTAGCAAACACAGATTGACGGAGACGAAGACACAGATGAATTCCGAGTTGGTCAAATCGAGTCGAACATCACTCCCCCCGCTGTTTCTGGCGTGAGTCGCGTCTCTCTTACTGGTCAAATGGCGTTTGCCATAGGAGATGACGCACTTTCTGAGCAACACAATAATGAGGATGTTCCGCCATCAACCGCTCATTTGACCACTGCCCACTCTAGTCTACAACCCCCTTCTGCCGGTCTCACACGCTCGAGCTATATGACTACCTCAGATGGCTCCCGAATGTCTGGGTTATCCGATTTTCCCGATCCTCCTCTCCAACGTCTGACACCCGCTCACATGTCGTTGCTCAGCTCGTATTTTGACAATACGATAACTGAGAAGGAGATTGCTGACGTCCGGGCCTACGGACATGTGAAACCCGCTACTCGCTCTCGTTCCGGGTCTGTTCTCACGTCACGCCCGGAGGCTCAAGGTAGTAGGCCTCCAATAGACGTTCCTGACAAACAGGAAGGCGTTTCTTTCGACGGAAATGAGGAGATTGACAATCTCATTGCTAGTCTTTCTCCCTCGTCTCATTCGTGAACACTTAGGTTGTCATTTTTACTTTTGCCACATATTTCCGTGTATAATTTTGCGTGGTTTCAGCAAAATGTGTATGTATCTTTAACTTTATCCTACTTATTTTGTACTGTCATCGCTTTCAATTTGTACTTTAGATGATTAGATCATGAGCATTATTCTACAGTTAAATACCTTTGCTACCTTCATACAACTTGGTAATTGCACAAGTTTGTTCTCTCTCACTGTAGGGTAATTGGAAGACGTGCTGTCGGGTGTATGGCATCCCACTGGACCAAGTAATGTTGTGGAGGTTCGCCAATACAATTCAGCGCATGCGTAGAATTATGAATAGTAATAGGAATCGCCCGACACTCGATTTAGCCGTCGAAATAGGCGCTCAATACCATGTTGGAAGGCGCTTATTTTGCGTCAACAATTTCAAATTCTTCCACGTTGACAATGAAGCTTCTCGGTTTCCTTCCATTCCTTGCACTCCCTTTGGTCTTTGCTGCCACAAAAGATAGCAAATCCCAACTTGTCTCCCTTGCCGCTTCAGGGAATGGTGTGATCAGGCTCGATGCATCGGCTTTTGATTTACTTACTGCCCCCAACCGTGACTGGTCCGCATCTATACATTTTACTGCCCTAGACAAGAGACGACGTTGTGCACCCTGCAAGTGCGTAAAATGCTCCTTTGCATGCATTCTATCTCACCTTAACTATTTGAACCGTTCGCAGAGAATTTGACCCAGCTTGGAACTCTGTTGCAAAGGCTTGGGCCACTGTCCCTGCGGAACAACGCGACAATCATTTCTTTGCCACTCTAGACTTTGATGAAGCACCAACCGTCTTCCAAAAGGTTAGCTCTGCTTCGTTTTTCTGCGCTCTAGTGGTGACACGTCGACTCTACAGTTGAATTTGGCCTCCGCTCCTGTTGTTTGGGTTTATGGTCCTACGGAAGGTCCTCGTGCAAGTGGAAGAAATGTACCTTCCAAATACGACTTCTCCAAGTAAGAGAATCAACTCATGATAACCATCTGTACTCAATACACTTTTCAGCGGATTCGAGGCAGAGCCTCTCGCCCAGCACTTGTCCAATCACACCCCCATTCCTATCCCATACAAGGCACCCATCGACTGGGCCCGCTGGATTACCTTCATCAGCGGACTTTTGGGCTTCGCTCTTACTCTTCGATTCATTGCACCCGTCCTACAAAACCGTTGGACTTGGGCTATCATCACCATCGTCACTTCTCTCACTATGACTGGTGGATTCATGTTCACTCGTATTCGCGGTTCTCCGTACACTGGGGCAGATGGTTCTTGGATCGCTGGCGGATATCAGAATCAATTTGGACAGGAAGTTCAAGTTGTTGCTCTCATATGTATGACCTACACTATATTTGTTTTTGCGCTCCGTACTGACTTAACTATAGATGGTACCTTGGCTTTCTCTGTAGTCATGTTGACCATGATTGTTCCCTATCAAACTTCACCGGCTCGCCAAAGGCTTCAAGTCTATCTCTGGAGTGGAGTTCTCATGCTTGTTTATTCTGTATTGGTTACCCTCTTCAGAGTCAAAAACAGAGGATACCCTTTCAAACTACTCTTGTAGAAAATACGTACAAGAGAAAGTTAACATGTTCATTTGTTCATATGCCTGGTGGAACTTGCTGGAAGGACTGTGCCAAAAAAACAAATAAGTAAAAAGTACATAAGTGAGTTATTTATTTCTCTATGAGGAGCTTTCTTGTTGGAACACATCTACGTATCGACTTCGAACGTTGCGTTTTGAGGCCTGAGACCTTGGCCGCCCGGGTGGAGGGCCAGGAGGGGCTAAACGAGACCCAGTAGGTGTACTTGGCGCAGAACCAGGTCCTCCTTCGTCTGAGGGAACCAAGTTGGACCTAACTCGCATGGGAGGTTTACCAGCAGATGGTGGATTGTCCATCGCCGAAGCCGCACGCGGCGGCGGAGGTCCTGCGCTTGGAGGCCGCATTCCTGCCAATGGCGGCCCACTTGCCGGTCTTGGAACTCCACCCGGAGATGTTGTCTGTGCTCTCGACGGAGGTGGAGGTGGCGTCGCGGGTTTGGAAACATCTTCCGATCCGACCTGTTGCACATAAATTAAGTGTGGTCATTCCTTTTTGAAAAAAGAATCAACATACTTTTTTGTTCACCCATTTCTTGAGTTCTTTGTCGTAATAGAAAGAACTCTCCTCCCCTAAACTGGCTTTAACAGGACCTGGTGTAGATTCACGCTTCCATAACCGACTAAGCCAGGATCCAGAGCTTGGCGCTGCTTGCGCTTGCGAAGGATTTATATCTGGGGAGATCAGTTATTGAAACGTGACAGTGTATTACGCAAAATTACCTGGACGAGCTGGCGCAGCCTTGTGTTCTTCCGTTTTTGCAACTCCAGACTTGTCCGCGTCGTCACTTGCAGATTTTGGTTTGGGCTTCGAGTTACCAAAGCCAAGATCCTCTTCTTCTTCTTCTGCATTGTGGATCGGTGAACCATCGGATTTCGCCTGATATGTTGACCCGATAGAATGGTCGTGGTTGTCCATGAAAGAAATGAATCCATCGACGGTAGGTGTGAGAGCGCTACCACTGAGTTGGACAAATGATGCTGTAGTGGGCGTCGCAGCATTGCCAGAGCCCCACCAAGTGACCTCTTGCCCTTCGTCTTCCTCTGTAGTTCCAAGAGCAGGCCGAGGCGTCAGCAAATCGTTTGGACTAGTGGGGTACTTAGCAGCAGTGGCTTGACCAAACGAGCGAGACTGAGCTTGTGAAAATGTGGTTGTGGAAGCATTGGCAGAAGTCACCCTTGGAGCCGAAGGTTGAAGTCTTTGGCGCGAATGATCTATAGCTGAAGAAGCTCTTTCTGTTGATCCATTGGGAGGAGCTAGTGAACGAGTTGACAACGCAGATCCAGTGCGGGGTGGAGGCGGAGCATAAGCGTTCAGGTTAACAACCGAGCTTTGAGGCGATGGCGTCGTGGATGTAGTGGTGGAAGAGATTGTACTATATTGTGAGAATGGACCTACAAATCCACGCTCATCAGTCTTTTCGCGTTGATGTTCGGTGGCAGTGGGTGATTCCATGTCCCCAGTGACCAGTTTAGCAAAGCGTCCCTCGAGCCAGCCTCCAATTCCATCAAGACTGGGTTTAGCTAACTTGCTACCCATCCACGAACCTCCTTTGTCAGCCTGAGTGACGCCGACGATCCTATCAGATAGACCTTTTAACTGCTCCAACATGACGTTTGTGTAATATGCTGACGGTCTGTTCATGGATGCAGTTATCGCTTCACAATACCTAGAAAAAAGTGATGAATGACGGTTGTTTCCAATGACCATGTATAACAGACCTATTCGAGATCGAGACCTCGCCTAGTTCAGCAAGACCAATAGCTCGGATGAAGCGATAAACCTGAAGATGTGGTAAACCCCCAAATGCTTCTTGACCTTTTGATACTGGTGCAAGCGAAAGCGCGAATTCGTGGATCTCCGACAGAATAATTGGGTCTGGGTCACTCAAGAAGTTTGAAGACAAATGAGGGTTTCGAGCACCGAGAAGTACGATACGAGCAGAAGGATGCTGTGATCCAGCCACTGTAGATGTTTGAGGGGACAGAAGGTAACTGGAATGCAACGTAAAAAATTAAACTTCGAACTATCCGATCGAAGTATAGACACTAACCAGACATGAGCCGCTTCGGTCCATCCGTTACCTGCGAGTTGATCGCCCAACGCAGTCATCGTAGCGGAAGTTTCCGCGTTCACCGTGCTTGAAAGCATCATCGCTACAATCTCAGCCCACTTCGATAATGATTCTGCAGGAATGTTCGCTGCAGGCATGGGGACGGAGAAATTCGGTGTCATCGGAGTTGCGGATACTGTCATAGGGGCCAATAGTACAGCAGCGGGATTTGACAAACTAGTCTTTGGTACCAATTGATGAACTTCCCAAGCAAAAAGGATTAATTAACCTTTGGAAAATTGGTATTTTCAGGAATAACGTTACCTGCTTTGGCACCTTGTCCAGAGAGTAAGCTATACACGACTCTGAGGCTTTCTCTTCCATTAGAAGGGCCCATCGAAGGAGCCTGAGTTCCTAATTCTGTTTTGAGGAATTCATTGACAACCTCTTGCCACGCCTCCTTGTCAATTCCGCTTGCAATGATCATTGCGTGCGACCACAGTTTTTGATCAAGAGCGTAATGATACGCTTGTCGACGTTCTCCGTGAAGAAGAAAGCGCTCGATTTTATTTAATGCTGAAGGCCGAAGAGTAGTGATAGAGATAGGGGTCTCCCCAGAACTTGAAGTATTGGATAGACCCATCAATGTACCGTCTGCGCCCTGTAAGTCAGCTACGGATGTGAAGTTGGAACTTTCTGCGCCATTGGGATCCGCGCCCGTTTGGGGCACTAGAGCTGCACGAACAGCGGCGTCCATGGAAGGTCTATAAAGTTTATGTGCGAACCAGAAATCAACAAAGATAAAAGAGAGAAGGGTATACTCACGTTCCAGACAATTTTCCATCGTTCTCGACCAGCACTTTCAAGATCTTGAATAAGATGAGTTTACTCTCTGTTCGACCCTGATCTTCACTTCCAGTTGGAACATAACCTAGCCCCTGCGAGAATTCCTCGACCCGATCTTCCAAGTATTTGACAACACGCGCTTTCTTCGTCTTTGCTTGCGCAGCAGCTCCGGGTCTAACTAAACCAATCGTTGGAGATCCCGGGTCTGAAAACAAAGGCCCAGGGAAGGAGACGGAAGACAGATTCAAGGCAGAATTTGGGATGATCTTGTTCAGTGCTCGAATCTCTACTCCGGTCGAATTTCGAGAGGCTAGAGCAACGTCGAATCCGGTGTTCATTTTATCAGCACCGTGGAAGCAGGTCACAAATTTTCCACCAAACCCGAAGCTAAACACCGGAACCCGGGCTCCAGCACGACCGAGGGGGTCGTTAGTCCCTAAAAGGGATGGCGAAGGAGCATACGGCGTGTATGTGGGAGCCTTGATGTCTTGAGGTGGACCAAGACTCGATATGCCAGACGACGCAGATCCAGGGTTCGGCGAAGCTTGATCGTTGTCTAGATAATTATACCTAGACGTATATGATTCGCCAGACTGAAACTTGGAGGGCGCATAAGGGTCTTCAGAAAGTGTCGACAAAATCGACCCATTAGACATGGACCGATTATGTGGAGGGGTTACTGGTTTGGAATTCGGAAGGTATGGATTAACATCATAAGACCCACGTGATTGAGGAGGGGGACGAGGTGGAGGTGGTGAAGATATTGAAGAGGCCTGATTGGCTGTGGGAGTATAGGGATTGGAAGGATTCGGTGAACCAAAAGGTAAAATTTCTGGGGACGAAGGCAATGAAGCTCGATAACTGGGCGCATAAAAATCAAGTGACGTCGCCACACCATTGGACAAATTAGACTCCTCTGGAATTTGACCAATCTTAGGGCTATACAAATCGAGAGAAACGCCACTATGAGGTTTCAAGCCTATGTGTGAAGTACGTATGCCTGAGTTGGAAGACCTCGGTCTTGACAGTTCAGACCCGCCGGATAAAGGACTTTGGGTACGAGGAGGAGGAGGTCTGAAGGAAGCAGCAGATGAAGCTCTTTTGGGAGGACCTCCTGCAGGAGGAGAATGTATTTTGAAAGGACTTTCCGATCGCGGAGGCAACGTGGAAGTTTCGGGGGAGCTATTGCGGTACGAAGTAGGAGGGGATGCCGTGTTCATACTGCTGTTAAGCGCGACAGGGATATTATTAGGACGTTGATAGTCCTGGACACCACTCGAAAGACCAATATATGGATCTTCAACCGCAGTCTCATTGATCTCCGGTTCAGTTTTTTCATGCGGTAAAGCATAAAAGTCATCATTAGCCTGGTTCAAGGGCGTAGAGTGTTGTGCATCCAGGGTAGAGTTGGTTGGAGATAGGGCATAGGTAGAGTATGTCGCATCGAACCCGTTGGTATGAGGTAGTCCATCAATCTTCGACTGGGAGCCATTAGACACGGGAGAGGGTAAGCTGTAAGTGTTTGAATTTGAGACAGGCCGGTCACCACTATGGAAAGACTGAACAGGGGTCTGTGCGGCGCGAGGCGGGGGCGGCGGTACAGAACGCTGGACAGGAAGTTGAGGTGGAGGTGGTGAAAAAGACGAGTAATGATTAGTGGGGGCAGCGGAGTTCCGAGACGATTTCCTTGATGTTGTAGTTGGAAAAGGCGGATCGTAGGCATTCGATACTTTTGGCCGATTCAGAGGAACTTTAGGCGCCGGAGGAGGGGGGACTGCAGCGGTAATTGCAGCATTCTGATAACCGTATACATTCTGGGAAGACGTGTAGGAAGGGACACCATAAGTGGATTGAGGAGGTGGAGCATACGTATTGTAGGTTGTCTGGGGGGAAGCCGCAGGTACTGGGTTGTACGAATGTGCAGCGGTAGCCTTTTGTTGCGCAGGTGGAGCGTAAGGTTCATATACTGATTGCGAAGCCGGGACAGAAGTTGGAGCATATGCCTGTGACACATTTGCTGCTGTAGACGGAGCAGGCGGTGCGTAGGAGTCATAAGTCGACTGTGAAAGTGTGCTGGCTGTATAAGACTGAGACGCGTTGTAGTGCTGAGAGGGAGTATATGCATTGTACGTCTGAGCAGCTTGAGTGTTGCCATTGGTAAAAGCTGCAGAATTTATTGAGAATCAGCGACCTGAGAATACGACAAAAGCGTACCTGGGGCATACGACGCTGGTTGCGAATGACTTTGCCACTGTTCATCATAGCTGGACTGAGCTCCGTAACCTCCATAACTCTGCTCTGAAGTCGGGGGAACACTCTGCAAATTTGGGTCATAACCATTTGTTTCTGGCCATGAACTGTGCTGTTCTGCGGGCTGAAAAACAGGATCCTGCGAGACAGCTGGTCCAGAATAAGCCTGAGAGGATACCGAGAAGTCCGGTGCTGCAGAAACGTCGTTTACAGAAAACAGGTCATCATTTGCTCCATGGGCCGCAATTGGGGGTTGATCGTCCGAACCAAGAGATGCAAATGGGTCAGAGCCGGCATCTTCTGATCCAAAAAGCGAGGCAGCAGCTTCCAAGCCGCTCATTTTGTCCTTCCAGAAATTCGCGACAAGTAAAGGGCTAAAGGGAACAGAGTAATGACCAGTACTGACGTGGTCACTATGACATACTCAGGCGCTCAAGCAGCGTCAATTTTCAACGGCAAAGAATCAAACTTTCACTTACGCACTCATGTCGAAAAGAAGTCTTTGAGCCATTATTCAAACGGCTTTGCAGCGCAGTTTACAGATAGCGAAATGGATCTATAAACCCGGGACACCACACGAAATCCCGTAATACTCAGCGCAGTGGTCTGGCACCTAGTGGTACGACTATAGGTGAATGTCTGGTACTGTACCATATTTTGATTTGTGTTAGACTACAGACACAATTACCTTGGTATTACACACGAAATACATAAAGTGTGTCACTTGGTACAGGCAGACATACTGAAGAACGTACAAGTGACATAGAGAAATTGGAGGCTCTGGAGGGCGAAGACAGCTTAGGCTCGTGTGACCATCCGTTCTCCGATTTGATTCGTGCTGACCGACACCAAATTTGGTGACTGCCGAACGGCCAATTGTCAATTTCATTTCCTTTCATCTTATTCAAATCACCCAAGGATTCAGAACTATTACGATTCAAAATCAGGACTAGAGGTAGGACTGGCAAGTATGTACATAGTATGCGCAGGAGGTATGTAGCAAGGAAGTAGCAACTGTTATTTGATCCTGGTATATATGAAAAGCCCTCAGAAAATACTACTTGTAAATGACGGGAAGAAGTATATATAAGGTTGGGGTTGGTGTCCGATTCCACTATAGACGGTATTAAGAACGAAGGTGTATATGCTATCCAATGGCTGATACTGAAAGCAAGCAGGCGTATTGATATGCAAATGAAGGAATAGACGGATATATTGGGCGGATTATAGAAGAATGCTGTATGGATTAGCATTGGGCTCGCGATGTTAGCATATTGCGGGGGTTAATGAAACAGTTGAAGTAGTGAATTAAGCAATAGTAGCAGCGGATTGAGGTGGAGAAAAGTCTTGAAGACATCGTTCAACTTCAAGGTAGTAGCTATTAGAACTCGGGACCTCGTGTCGTATATTCAGAATGAAATGCTCACTGGAAACGAGATGTTTGCTATAACCATTCGAGATTCGAAGAAGGACGGCAAGTTGAGGACGAATTTGATTGATAAGACTTTCTCGCTGGTCTGCGTCTGCGATACGGACTGCACTTTGCAAGACATAGTCTATGTAGGTGGTGAATATCTAAACGGCACCACGAGGCATTTCGGCACATACTAGCATATTGGTCCTTCATCATCGAGAGGACAACAGCGCCCTCGGGCCTCGGGGATAGTATCTCGTCAATAAGTTGGCGACGAGTCTCTGGATGGGCGAATGTCAAAGCCTTCTCGCAGACGTTCGAGGCGAACTTGTGTCGAGCCATGACAAGGAGTCGTCCGCGTAATTTGCTCACGACAATAGCACTGTCTTGCGGCTTCGCATGTTCAATCACAAACTGGATAACGTAGTTCTGTCGCCAACGTGAGTAACTTGGTAATGTGCCAGAAAAAAAAACGTACACCAAACTGGTTCTGCATAAGGAGGAGAGTGCTTGCATGCAATTCTTCTATCAATGGAGCAGTTATGACCTCTGGTAGATACTCCAAAGCGCGTTGAAGAACTCGGCATCCAAATGTATGCGTAGCGAGTGATTGTACGTTTCCTCTGAAACCATACACAAATCCGAGCCGATCCGGAGACACACGTTCAATAATCTTCTGAATGACCTGTCGAAAAGCCGCACTTGAATGGAGGAGTCACACTGGAAATGGTTTATATACCTACATGGTTTCCATTGGCATCGTGAATGCACTCCATGATATGCGGCTCCAATTCATGAACTATCATGACCTGCTGTTCGGGAAGGATGTATTCTATCGCCTGAATAACAAACATTGTTCAGTTCACTGATGAACAAACTGTGTGCATAGTCTAGACTGACCTTTTGTACCACTCGACATCCATACATTTGCTTCGACAACGGTAATATATGTCCTGTGGAATTGCACGTCAGTCACTGTCGTAAAACCAATGCCCGCGAACTAACCTTCCATTGCCGCCGCAAGTCGACTCTTTTGGACCTGTGTTCCATGTTCAAATAATTTTTGTATTACCTGTTCAATTACAATCAGCAAAACTTCCCCCAAAAAAGTTGCTGGATACACACATAGTTACCGAATATATCTTGGATTAGTTGTAAAACGTTGTTGGGAACAATCTCTTCGAAAACCTTTTGCTTCTCCTCGCTGGAAGCAGACTCCAGTTTATGTTGAATGAGTCGTGAGCCGTGCTGGTCGCCACTAAATTCGACAACATGATTCATGATATCCTAAAATATAAGTAAGCTTCAACTCAAAGATTTATAACACTGCAACCCACCCTTAATTCCCAGTTGCGCGTCTTGTTGGCATGAAATTCGAGGAGAAGGGGGCTCTGCAATATACCACGAGTGTTTTGTTGCATGCCTTGGTGGAACATTTGTGCCGCTAGATTCGAACCATACAGAGAACCATTGGGCATCATGAGAGGCAGCTGGGAATACTCCATGTTTGTCGGATAGATAGGTAAGTGAGGAGAAGAGTTTGAACGGGGAAACATCAAAGCCTGCGCTACGAGCTGCTGCTGTATATTGAGAGTATACTGACCCAATCAGCGTCATCAAGATATGTTGAAATGTGAACTCACTGAAAGCTCGCGCTTCTTATCCAATAACGCAGGAGGAAGTTGAGGAGGTATCATAGGAGACGAGGTAAGTGGGGGGAACATAATCCCTTGTTGAGCAGGGTAATAAAATTGTGACGCAGGAGGACGGGAAGCGAAATCGTAGAAAACATTCGGTTGGCGAAGGTCATTGCTTGGAGTGGGAAGCAAGCCTTGAGGAGCCATTCCAGGGTAAGGTGCATTTGTTAAAGCAGGTGAACCGTAGATGGACGGGTCCACAGGCGCTCTAGATGTATCAAAGCTATAGGAGTATTCGGAAAACCCAGGATAATTACTGTAAGGTGGACGAGGAACGGATGCGGGAAGCGGACGTTGCATCATATTGGAAGGCATCGATGCCGGAGGAATACTCTTGGACCATCCAGAATAATCATCCTCGACAGCCATTCCACGGAAAGTCAACGAAAGATCATCCGCAGCGGATGTGTTCGTGATTAACGGGTCATACCCTGAAGCTCCTGTAAGCGTAGGCGGCTGTGTTGCTGAATGCGACGGGGAGTACGGACTCGACACGAATGTGGCCGAAGAAGGTGACGTGTTGTAGCGAGGACTGGTCGATTCCGGGTTGAGATTATGATCGTATGCTTGGGGCGATAATTTTGCAGGTCGGTTTTCCTGATAGGAATTATGAGGTCATGATAAGTACTTAGCATTGAAGGACCTTATATGAATAGTCAAAAAAACATACCGCCCTGGGGCCGGAAAAAGGTGTCGCAGAAGCTTGTCTTTGCCTCGAGGGCAAACTCAGTGGCGCTTGAGCTTCATGCTGCATGAAACTTTTAGCTGGCACGCATAAGCGTAAAAAGGTAAACAAACTTACCGACTGTGAAAATTCTTTCAAAGGGCTCTGAGCGACATCCTCATCCCACGTGCCACTGGCAGGCCTAGACGACGTCCAACCTTCACGGATAGTTCCACGGTACCCGGAGTCATTTTGTGAAGGTATGTCTCCAGCACTGGCTGCAGAAGATATTGAGGGATTGCGCTGAGAAGAAGGAGAGCCGGAGCCCCAAACCTAAAAGAAATACGACGATGAACAAGAATAGTAAAAATATCAACGCGTCGTTTTACCTGCCATCCCGAATTATAACCCATAAGGCCGCTCCCACCGCCTACACCCACACTGAGCATGTTCCCGGTCGTGGTTGGAGTAATCCGTCGACTAGAATGAGGTTGCTGAAAGCCAATGGTCATTTTCTTTGGTTTTCGCGATGGAATACCATGTCAATATACGAACATTGCTTGTTGAGGTGGGGGAGTGCGCGCTGGATTGACTAGACGAGCCAGACGGTTTTCGCGACGAGTCTCGAGACATTGAGTGGCGTTCAAGAAGAGGAGAGAAAGAAGGAAAACAAAAGAATGGCGCCTGTCTTTAACGTAGGGCGACAAGCAAACCCGGAAGTCACTCCAACTTGTACTAGAAGATCACAAAATGGGGAAGAAAAATTATATATATGGACGGAGTAATATTAAGTGTTTCAGTGTTGACATCAAATGAGGTCAACGTACACATCTACAAAAAAGGAAGGCGGTGACCTCAATGCCAGTTATTTTTTGATCTCTGTGACTTCCCGAACCTCCCGCTTCTCAGAAGCGCGTACGGGGCGAAGATCTCTTTAATTTTGGCCACTTATAACATGGGGCGGGCTTGATTCTGAGCGACTCCTCGACTTTCGCTCTTGAGAAATTTCATGGCGGGGTTTAGAAATGTGTTACTTAGCCTGTGATGAGAATTTGTTCAAATTCTTTCAACTACTATCTCGATCTCTATTTACCTTCCCACAAGCGATTTACAATACCTAAGTATTGCCTTGGAGGATTTTGGGCGGCCTACCCTAGCCCTTCCGTGACAAAGGGTATGATCCAGCCAGAGCGTTTCTGTAGAAATTCGTTTGTTGCACGATATACAATCTATGTTAGTCTGGAAATGTTTTTGTTACAGGCCGCACACCGCCGTTCTCATTACGCACAATTTTGAAGCGAAATTTCAAAGATAATCATACGATTGCGTGTCGTCCAGGGTCGAGCAGACACCAGGTTCAAAGCCACTCAAGAAGAATCGTATAGCTCCGATTGGTTCCTTACATGGGTGATATGTGTGCCCATCTGGCATGCATGTGGGTAGTGACCTGGTTGTGGGCTCGGTGGTGGAAAGAAAAGGATGTCTACCTATCCAAGCTTGATCCAAGCTATTCTGTTATTTGTATGCGTGAAATACAATATGGGTATGTATGCAGGAATGGAGACTATGTGAGGAGATATAAAAATGGAGAATGAGAGCGACTTCATCGCGAGTTGAAGAACCATGAGGCGCGCTTTGCTATATTGTCGTTGAATAGAGTAATGTATGGGGTAGATTCGAGAAAGCTCACCTCCCGACCTATGCGCGATCAGGTACATAAGGATGGAAGGGAAATCCATGAGATATCTGTGAAAGTTTAAACTCAAAACTTGTTGCTCACCCCGATTCTTCATTCTGTAGTCGTCCCAAAGGACTGGATGAGTTTCCTCCACCGGTGATTGAGGTTGGGATAGATGTTGAAGCTGTAGCTGCGCCGCCTCCACCCCGGAGAGGTTTCGCAATACGACCAAAGTTGAGAGGAGACGATGCTGCTTTCTGAGCTGTGAACGTGTATATGTATCAATAAAAAAAATCCTCCGTAGAAGAAAAAAAATCTGACCTCTAGCTTGATCAAGACGCTCTTTCACGGCCTGCAGCTGCGCTTCGAATTTCTGGTTTTGCACAGAGAGACGGCGATCCGCATCTTGTAAAAGGGCTTCAAGGTTTTGAATACGTTCATTTCGTGCAAGTAATTTGCGTTCCGCTATCCCAGCCTCCTTCTTCAGGGTGGAGTTCTGGTCGACAAGCTGTGATTGAAAAAAAAATCAGAATCATGATTACTGTAGACGGTTGGTGGGTGTTGACCTGCTTCTGAACCACAGTCAATTGTTCTAAATTTCGTTCTAAGAAAGCCATCTTCTTCTGTTGAGCCTTGCTATTGCTGTTTCTAATTACGTTGTTGTACTGCTCCTTGATTTCGTCTAATTGAATTTCCAGCTCGACTACCTAGAGGACAAAAACAGAGGCGTATTCAGTACTGCGCAGAAAACCGAGATCAAACGGCGCACCTTCTCGCAACGATTCTGCAAATCACGCATGAGAGACTTTTTGACTCCGTCGAATTCCGCAAGCTGTACGTTGATGGCCTTGCGTGTTCGCTCAAGATCTTGAGCGCTTTCAGCTAAATTCTTGCCACCCTCGATACCCGCGGACGTTACGGCGAAAGCACGCTGAAAGTGAAAGAAAGATTAGAGAAAATAGTTAGTATAGGTTTAAGAGACACAGCCGACGCCACATACCTTGAGTTCTTCATTGACGCTTTTCAGACTGTCAATGGAAGCATTGAGTGTGCGGACCTCATTGGCTTTCAGTTCAATTTGCTGCTTGAGGTCGGAAACCTCGCTGGCGTGAGCATCACGCTTCGCGGCGTATTGAGCTTCGAGTTTGTTCTGTATCTCGCTCATTAAAATGGAAGACAGGGAAAAAAATGAATGACAAGAAAATACCTTGAAGTCCGCCATCGACTCAGCAAGGTCGACATTGCTAGTCTCTTCGTCGTGAATTGTTTTTTCTGTGGTTGCCAAATCAACCCACTAGGAAAGCGAGCATAATGTGGTATTGATCTCACCTAGAAGTTCTTCGTATTCAGTCTCCAGAGTTGCAACACGGCTCTCTAGCTCATCCCTTCTCCTCGTGATCAGTTCATTCTCTTCTTGGCTCTGCCTAAGCCTGTCTATCGTATCTCTAACCAGACTTTGACCCTCCGTCAACTGACGCCTGATAGCTGTAAGATCATCAGAGGTCAGCGCCGAACCATCAGTGTCTATAGTATCTAGCTTGGCGAGCAGTGACCGCAATTGTTCATCCTTCTCAGAAAAGGTACCTTGCTATGGTATGTAGCTCGTTAGCTCGTTTGGAATCAGACAAACGATTGACTAACCGCATCGAATTTCGCCATCATGAGAGCCATCTTCTCCTGTTTGCGTTTCTCCTTGTCCTCAGTAGAGGCGTCCTTCTGTGAGACTTTGAGTTCGGAGATCTGTTTCTTCAGCTCCTCCAGTTCGCTCTTGGCATCAACGTTTTGCTCTTTGAGAATGTCAATAGTAATGACGCCCTCCTTGTTGTCGTAGTCGAGTCGTTCAACTTGCAAACGAAGCTCGTTCAGCTGGCTAGACATGGACTTGTTTTCCTAAGGAGTATATCAGCAACGTTCTAAATAAGTTAGAACGGATTGAAGCACTAACTTTGTTAACAGTAGCCTCTTGCTCTTTCAGGAACGTGAGTTCTTCCTTGAGCTCCTTGACCAACTTATCGGCAGTGACCAAAGCACTCTCCTTCTCAGCGAGCGCATCGCTGAGCTCGTTCTCCCGGCGCAAGAAATCTTCACGTTCGTCCTTCTCCAAACCAAGGACAGTTGGAGTTTGAGGTCGGCTGCCCAGCTCTGAACGAAGACCTTCGATTGCCGGGTTGATGGGAGTCATGCTACGCGAGCTAGCGGTTGTAGAGGGCGTTGGTGAAGTAGGTGCCTTGGGTGCAGCAGCAGTTGACGGTGCGGCAAAGGCCGGAGCACCAGCCTTAGCTGTAGTAGCCCATTCCGACTCTTCAACCTGGCTACCAGATCGCCAGATAGCTAACTCTGCTTCCAGAGCAGCGATATACTTTTGATACCCTGTATTGGATGACTGTGCTTTGGTAAGGAGATTCTTCAACTCAGCCGGCGATAGCTCAGCATTGACGCGAGCAGAGTTCTTGATCGATTTTGCACGGATACCGAAACGAAGAGTCGAGAGGGTTTCTGATTCGTTGTAAGATGAAGGAGAACAATTTATGATGAGGGTAGTGCGGGAGTTGCCTCCAAGTGACTCTTGGAGTATTCGAGTGAGTTTAGAGTCTCGATATGGAATGTACTTGACCTATCGAGACAAGTCAATCAGGACAAACGAGGATAGTAGGGTCAAGAATTGACTACGCGCCTTAGGGTCTGTAAGAGCATTGATAACCATCCCGAGTGCCGAGAGAGACTTGTTGATTTTCTTTGCCTCTTCCAAAGTCTGGCCAGATGCCCCTGTTTTCCCAACCTTCTCCGAACCAGCCAAATCAACCAAATAGAGATTTCCTGTTTTGGCTGCTCCACTTTCGGTATTTCTTTGCAAAATAGTAATGAGAAAGATGGAATGTGATCGAGAAGACTCGGCGTTCATATCTAGTGAAGATGTTAACAGTCGATCGTGTTTGTTGAGAAATACACACTTGTTGATGAGACTACTCGAGCAGCGCCTCCCGTTCGCATAATCTCGTATACCTCCCGAGCACTACTAACATAATAATCCGAGAGATTTTTCACATAAACTCCTTTTGATTTCTCTTCATGCACTTGCAGATTGTCGTTTTGTGCTGGGAAGAAGATTAGATTATTTTCAATGAATAATGATGTCGTTGACTCAACGTGCTAGAAGATCACGGATCTTCTCGAGATAGATTTCCATGTAGGATACTTTGACCATATATTCCAAATGCGCATCACTCTCCACGATGGATTGGAAGATTTGCTCAGTTATTCGGGGGATGATACCCTTCAACTCATCTGAGTCGATGTCGGCACCCTGGAATTCGAGATGAATAACATGGAAAGCTTGCACGATCTGGGCTTGACAATACCATCATGGTGAAAGTCTTTCCACTTCCTGTTTGACCATACGCGAAAACGGTTCCATTGTACCCATTGATTACGTCTGATTCCGAAAAAATAAGTATCGCAGAGACAGAAGATACAAGATAACGGACCCTTGACGATACTGAAACGCAAGATTAAATGCAAGTAAACGAAAAGTTAGAATGACGCACTCTTTAACACCATAATCAAATACTTCTTGTTGCTGTGTACCCATCGGAAATACTCTATCGAAAGTAAAGCCATCCCTGTCGGGACCTGTGGACGACTGAAGAGATCGGAGTTGGACGGTCGTCAGGTCGTCATTGAAAGCCACCACATTCTCGCCTCCTTCGCGTTGTTCAATGGAATTGGGCGGACGGAAACTTCACTCAACATTAAATGGCCGTAATACTGGTTAGAGGAATTCAAGCCACATACCGACAGACGACCTTGATATTGTTGCTCATTGCGAAATCGTGCTAGCGGAGCACCGCGTAATAGGGATGTACAGCTGTAACGGAAATATTGGGTTTCAAGAATACTCGTAGCGTGAAGACAGCGTAAAGACGAGATTGATGGAAAGGAAGAAAGAAAGACTGAGTTGCCTTGCAACGCGGCAACAAATAAAACGCATGTCATTTCAATTCAAATGCGCCAGTTGAAGAAACAGTTTGCATTATTCTTCTATCGAGTACAATGATATGCTTGTAACAGTACATTCTAATGCATGCCATGGACGAGATACAGACTGGAAAGATACGACAGAAATGATAGAAGATTCGTTCAATTAATCGCTGTCATCTACTGAGGGAGCGCGTGCTGGAACTGGCCGACTGGAGGAGGCTGCAGGTCGTCGAACGGTAGATGATTCACCCACTCTCTGTGCTTCATCTGCAGCGTCGATCCATTCCGAATAGATATCGATGGGTTCTGTGAGATCTAGGCACAAGACATAAGTAGAAGTTTACGAAGAGTCATCGTAGACTCACGGTTAACCTTGCTTTGGTATCTCTGGTCACACACTCGACAGATTAGCTGAGCAACACCTTCCTTTCTGTCAATTCGAACGGTTACAGACTTGTCGTGGTGGCAAAAGAGGCAAGTAAAGGCAGTATCTGGACCGAGTGAGAGTTCTGAAGACCTGAAGAAATGAAGGAACATACCAAGTGGGACTTTCACTCGGGCTGGACCTGGCTTTCGAGAAGATTTTTTGCGTTTGCCCATCGTGGCGAACAATATGCCATCCCTCAGTTTGTGCCAGTGGCAGCGAAATATCAAATCGTGGGAACTTTACGCGAGCACGTGGTCATACTCAGTTGATCATTCATTGACATTGAGCTTCACCAGACACCATCTCAGTTGATGATGAATACCCGTCGTCCTCCCTCTCGCATGAGGACGAACTCTTCCACTTCCATGCCTCCTCCAACTCTGAGGCCCCGTTCCGTAATGACCAAGTCAGCTTCTTCTTCGCGTTCTGGAGAAGAACAGTTGGAACATGGTGCCGCACCAGCCGTACACAAACAGCTAAAACATACAGATGATCCCGATACAAACATCCAAGTCATCATTCGCTGTAGGCGTCGCTCCGACCGCGAAATTCAAGAGAACTCGCCGATAATCGTCAATTCGAAAGGTGCAAAGAGTAACCAAGTTTCCATCGAAACAACAGCACCAGTCTCCACTCTTGGAGTAGTCACACTTCCTCCAGTCCGAACATATCCGTTCGACTTGGTGTATGGTCCAGAAGCAGATCAAGCAATGATATACCATGATGTCGTTGGTCCAATGCTGCAACAAGTTCTGGAGGGCTATAATTGCACTCTTTTTGCATATGGTCAGACCGGAACGGGGAAAACGTGCGCCGTTCATTGATAAATACTAGAAAGTCCTCTGATTCCTCATAGCTACACAATGCAAGGCGACTTGACCAAGACACCGTTGGGAAACCCCTCTCCTCATGCAGGAATGATACCTCGAGTTCTCTTCCGTCTCTTCCACCAACTAGAACAATCCAAAGTTGACTTCAGTGTGCGCGTTTCCTTTATAGAACTTTACAACGAGGAACTGCGTGATCTCCTGGCCAGTGAACTATCTGCACCAATTGGTTCTACCCAGCCGATGGGTATGGCATCGAAGGATGCCACCAAGAATGCTGGTTCCAACATCAAAATCTTCGACGACTCCAATAAGCGCGGAGTTATCATTCAGGGCATTGAGGAGGTTCCTGTCAAGAGTTCTGCAGACGCATTAGCTCTTTTGACGAAGGGCAGCGAGAGGAGACAGATCGCGGCTACCAAATTTAACGACCATTCTAGTCGTTCTCATTCTATCTTCTCCCTCACCGTGCACACAAAGGAAGCTGGAGTAGTGGGTGAAGACTTGTTAAGAATAGGGAAATTGAACATGGTGGATCTTGCCGGCTCAGAAAATATAGGAAGGTCTGGCGCAGAGAACAAGAGGGCCAGGGAAGCCGGTATGATTAACCAGAGTCTTCTAACGCTTGGGAGGGTAATCAATGCCTTGGTGGACAAGGCACAACATGTCCCATATCGGTGAGTGTCATGCATGTACACAGTGTTATAATCTGATATGCCATGTAGGGAATCCAAGTTGACTCGTATACTCCAAGATTCATTGGGCGGTCGCACCAAGACCTCGATCATTGCCACTATCTCTCCTGCGCGCTCAAATTTAGAGGAAACGCTCTCGACCTTAGACTACGCGATGAGCGCCAAGTCGATCCGCAACAAGCCTGAAATCAACCAGCGCATGACGCGCAATTCCCTTCTAAAGGAGTACGTTGCGGAAATCGAACGCCTCAAAGCTGACGTTCTTGCTGCCCGAGAGAAGAACGGAATTTTCTTTTCTGAAGAGACCTGGGCACAGATGGATACCGAACGTGAACTGCGGGAAACGGAGATTGAGGAAGCAAAGAAGCAGGTTGAAATCATAGAGAATCAAATGAGCGTGGTTCGGGAGGAGTTCGAGCAGAGCATTGGACTGTTGATGAAGCGTGATGCCGAGCTCAAGGATACGAAGCACCGCTTAGATGTCACAGAGGTGGAGCTGAGTGAGAGGAAGGAGGAGCTGAGAGGGGTGAAGGTGGCCTTAGAAGAAGAGACCGTGATACGCCGAGCGCATCAGAAAACCGAAATTACCCTGGATGCTGTGGCTAACGGATTGAGAAGTGTAGCCAAGGAGAGCGTTCACGACGTGTCGGCCCTGTTCCAGAAACTTGGTTTGTTTAATTCACTTATCTAGTTGTTTTTTCTTCAACCTTCTTTTCTGTAGAACGCAAATCTGCAGTCTTGGGGTCAAACTCAAAAGCCGTCTCCAATCTCACCCAAGCTCTGTTTACTGCCTCTAAATCGCTGACTAGCTCTCTCGACGGCTTCGTTGGTTCTTCTGGCCAAATTACTGCTCAATTACGAGAAACCACCGAGTCGTTCAAGATCAAAGAGATGAAGACACTGGAGAACTACTCAAAACGAATAACTGAGCAGTTGCAATATATCAAGAGTAACATACAAACCATTCGTGCTCACGATGGAGCTGAAGACGAGGCAATAGCCTCTCTCGAAATGATGCTGAATGACACCTACGAGACTTTTAATACTGGTTTCGCTTCGTGGTCCGAAAGCTTACAGAAGACTTGTCAGCAGACGCACGAAGAATTGGACCATGCATCCTCGCAGACCTTATCTGAAGCTCACATGGCTGTGAAGTCCATCCACACCACTATGGAGTATGTCTTGCAGGAGACTGCGAAATATTTCGAAAGTGAGCAGGTAGTGCTCACCAAAGCCAGTGCCATTGTCCAACAGTCGACAGACGGTGAAGTAGGGCGACTTCGAGAACAGAACCGTACTTTGATGGCATTGGTCGAGAAACAAAAGGCTGACGCGAATAAAGCAAAGGAAGACTTGCTGCAGAAAGTTTCGGGTCTGCTTGTGAACTTTGTCAATGAGCAGGATCGCGGACTTCGAGATGCCGCTGCTTCAATAAGGGATGCCAATATTGCTTCAGAAAATGGAATGAGGTCCCATCACCAACAGCATAGGCAGGTAATCGATTCTTTGGATCAATCAAGAGCACCGTTAATTGCGTTATCTGAAAAATCCCGGTCTGACGCGAAGAGAATGAGGGATGGCTCAGTCAAGGTGCAGTTCATAACCCAATTCGCGGTCTCACTTACTCACTACCGTCTTACAGACATTGAAGGACGCGAAGATCGCAATTCACGATCGAATTCGGAACAACGAGAAGACGATAACGGAGTCTTTTCACGGTTTCTCTACTGAACTTCAGCAGCGAACGCAAGAAATGTCCAATACTTCCAAGGATGGTGCGTGACTATATACGACTTTGGAGCTCGATATAACCTGACCAATGTATAAGCCTTTGCTCGTCACTTGCGATCCAAACGAGCAAGACTCGACGACACGGAGCGCCTCAACACCGGACTTCAATCCCATTATACCTCTCTGCACCGCGGTTTGGGATCCATTTCAGAAGATATCGGGAACTTCGCAGCTCAGACTATAGACAATGTGAGTCCCTGTTGTTGTATAACTGAATTGTCGAACTGATTGCTCCGTAGACCTCCAACTTGGCAGATGTAACGTCTGCGTACCATACAGCCAGTACATCACAGCTAACCGTTGTGGAGAAGACTACAATGGCGTTGTCTGACCAAGGCACGAAGGAAGACATTCAAACCGGTTCTACGCCTCGAAAACGCTCATGGCGCTACGTCGATGAATGGGATCTTACGGAGGATCGAAAGATTCTTCTTGGAACGTGGAGAAGTCACGGAATGTCCGGCGTCGGTAGCGAGACGTTCTTGGCGGAGCACCTTCCGCTCCCTGCTGAAGATGAGGATCTGCCTGAGGAAATTGAGACAATGGATGTAGATATCGAACCGATGCCATCAAGGTCCCAATCACCATCTACCAGCGAACAAGAAGTCCCCATTGTGAACTCTTTGCAATCTTCCTCCGCTTCATCGACCTCCTCTGCATTACCCGTACGACCAACTCATACCCGACAGAAGTCAATACCCATTCTCAAAAAGGCCTCAGGCAAGGCCCCCCAGCCTCAGCCCCCCCTTATCGATACGCGCAACGTCTACACTACTCGGGGGTCAAGAAGACGAGGATGATATTAGCTCTCTCTATGACCTTTAATCACTCTGCTGGCATTTTTGTGTGTTTTCTCTTTATTACAATTATGTCGTACACATGTATAGATATTGTATGTATATGCTACAAGCGGACTGTGGATAGATTTCTCACAATTTTTGTTCGCCTGCGTCCTGAGCTTCTTCCAGCCTTCGCCGTTTTCTCTCCAAGTAACGGGCCCGGGCACTCTCAACATCCTCTTCATTATTCCTCTTTGCTATGATTCTCTGGGCCATTTCGTACTCTTCTCGTTCTTGTTCTTTCCGGGCACGCTCTTGTTCTTCCTCCATCTGAAGTTCGATTTCCCGCATCCTCCTCTCCTTTATCTCTTGTCTGCTCGCCGCAACCCCTACCGCTCTATGCACTTGAACATTATCCGAATCGGGTTCGGGTTTATTCGCAGACCGTGTTTTGAGATTACGAGTGTTGGTACCGGACAGGTTCAAGCCGCCGCTCAAGAGATCACGTTTGTCGATAATCTGGTTATCGTCGTTCAACTCCACATCTTTGCCTTCCCCACGTGCTATTCGAGCACGTTCCAAGTCCGATAGTGGAGTAAGATCTGGGGGCTTCGTTATGGTCATGTTCGGCATTGGTCCTTGAGGACCAATGATAGGTTTCTGAGTCGCAGCTACTGTAGCTTCGTGGCTTTGTTCCGAGTCTTCAAGCAATCGACGATAGAAGTGGGCCATTCCAGTACCTCTACCCTGCTTTTTTTTGAGTTCTAGAGGGGAGAGAAATGTCAGTCTAGTCCGCAAATCGGCAACAATGTCAGACCCACCATCTCTCCTTTTCTCTTCTTCTTCAGCCTTGCGTACTTCCTCCATTTGGTCCTTGTATGCCTGTGTCACGAACGCCTCTTTGTCCGCAAATTCGTCGCCTTCAAGCTCCCGTTCCCGCTGCATCATTTTCTCTTCTGCTCGAAGGTGATCCAATCTCCGCGTAGCAGCAGCGGTAAGGAGGCCATGGATATACTTAGGCTTGTGAAAGCACGGAATCTGAGCTGACTGGAAGTAACGATTAACATTGACATACCTTTCGCTCTTTTGACTCTGCTTCCTTTACCTCCTTCTGTTGCAATTTCGCCATCTGCATCTTATCCCATACCTCATCATATTCGTATACCGTTGAATCAACTTTCTTCTCCTCCTCCATCTGTTTCTTCAGCTTCTTAGACGTAAGGGCATTCTGAGCGAGCAACTTTTTGTTCGCAGAGACGCCTTCTCGAGAAGAACTGGCTGTGGGAGCGGCGTCGACTGGCTCATCATCGTCAAATGCAGAAAATGCGGCAGGCTGCTTGAAAGTGGCAGTAACAGCAGGGGTAGCTGTTTTCGGTTTGTTGAGAGAGAAGGAAAGCTTGGACATGACCTAATCTGGCAAAATATAGCGCACACGAATTACTTATTAAATAAGTCTTTCAAGTTCTTCCATATCTCAATTGACGACCGTCGAAAGCTGGACCCTTTGGTCCCATGGACACCCATGTCTTTGCTAACTTGGCTCAAATTCGTATATTACTAGTTCCTATTGGAGCAATTCCACAGCAAACTTTTGAAAAGTATGCCTCGGAGATTCGCAGTTTTGACGCTATCAGACTTGGAGACATTGCTGTAGAGGGTACAAAAGACGAGAGAGGTATGTGGAAGTGGGCGGGCTATAATCCCCTGGCATTAACTTCTTCGATCAGCGCGTTTTCAACCCAAATCGCTAGCCACTGGATATCTGCACCTCAGTTTCCCTTCTCACCCACCCCCGCACTCGCACCAAGCCCTATCGCTGCTACGACCATCACATTTTCCTCTCGCAGTCATTGGCGTTGCTACCTGCTCTCGCTCCGAAGCCCTGCCAGAAATCATCTCTCAGTTCCATGGCACCGCGCTCGACATGTTCCCTCCGACTGGAATCTATCCATTAGCAAGAAACTGCTTTGTTTTTGAAGAGGGTTCCTCTTCCGGTATATCTCCTAGTGGGCAGCATCCCGAACTTATCATATTCCCAGAAATGATGGGAAACAGAAAGCTTCACATCGGAACACTGTTGGGCGAGATATGCTCTAAGATTTTCGGCGAGTTTGGAGTTCTGGTTAGTCTTGCACCCTTTGGTACACTCGTTCTTCCTTTAGAGTAATCTTTCAATTGGCAGATCCAAAGATTAGAAAGTCCTCTCGGAAATGAATACCTGAACGCGTCACTTTTCCCTTCCCTCCCCTTACTAACAGATTTGCCACCTTCCCTAGGTAGTAAAGATACACTTCCCCCTCTTCCGTCACACAGCAGTCAACCTGAGATCTCCAAGTCAGCACTATCCAAAGTAGCGCCGGCCATGAAACGAAACTCTTCGCTTGGTGTACCAACCGTACGGAAACGATTAAGTGCCATTGGGGCAGCGTCGTCACATGGAAGATTGTTTAAAGTAATGGCGGATCTCTTCTTACTTGCTGGAAGAACAGAGGACGCGTTGATATGGTAAGAATCTCCAGTACTTATCCTTTCCTGACTCATATCCTGCAGGTACACAGAAGCGCTTCAACTCTTGAAATCGCCTTTAGATTCGATTTGGAATGCTTCTGCCCTGGAGGGAATGGCCACAATCCCGATCCTCGATGCGTGGTCCGCTGGCCATGGCTTGGTACATTTTTTAAACCGATTGCACGCATTCAATTAATTTTTTTTGCAGCAAACTTCGACCAGTGTAGGGCGAGAACCCTGGTCAGATATTGCGGATAAACTCACTCAAGCCACCACGCTATACTTCAAAGTCCCTCCTTCCGAGGTCGAGAACTACCAGTACTTGTCATACCTGTATTGCTGCTGTGTTCTGAGACATACAAGCTTGCTATTTGCGATCTGGTCTGCCAAGGGCTGGGGTCCACTGGCCTTTACGACCATGTTGCAGCCCGGACCCACGCCTTACCTTCCTCCAACTCTCAGCCACAGCGAAAGTACTACCTGGGCGAACCTGGAGCGCCTTAGTTCCATGTCAGGTATACCACGGACGACCATTTCCTCACTCCTCGCGCAGGTGCACGGACCCTGGCTTTTACACTTAGGACCTCGTGAGCGTGTCAGTGTCCTCGAAGCTATAGCTAGCACATATTCATGTTTGGGTTATCGTCGGAAGGAGTCTTACATTCTACGGGAAGTCCTAGGTTGTATTCTAGACCTGATCGTGTGCGGACGGGAGGAGGACGCTCACACCAACATGCGGTTGTTCGGGAATAAGGGAAATGTCGGGATCAGGCTAAATGAAAGCTCAGATGGTAACGAGAGCATTTTGAAATTGCTTAAGCATGTTTGCAAAGTTCTCGGCGTTAATCTGGATGCTATCCAAATTCTGGATGATAATAACGATCCGAAGAACCATCCTGAGGCGGATGACGATTCGGATGTCTATCGAGAACCATTTGGATGGCCGGAGCTTCAAATAGGTGTTGTACGAGAGTCCGTAGCTGTCGCCGAGGCTCTACCAGGTCGGTAACCAATTTCAAGAATCGTGAAATCTTGTTCAACATTTTCAATAGATTTCCTGGCTGTAGCTCAGTATGCTCTATCATCGTTGAAGACCTTGCAGGAATTTCTAGAACCTGGTGATCAATATCATCTCTATTCAACTGCTGCACGCGCAATGCAAACCGCGCGACGGAGAGGCGCAATGAAAGCGGTCGAGTATTGGTCAGGACGACCCGTCGTAAGTATTACACTAGCGCCGTGAGTCGTGTTTGTGTAGTTCAAGCACAAAGTCTAACAATTTTAGAAGTTTACCATTTATCCGGCTTCCTATTGAAAAACCAATATCAGCTTTGATACCAAGGACATCAGACTCCAACGCGATTCTAAAGGGCGGTACAGACCCATTTCTCTACAACCCAAGGAAAATGAACGCCACACAGGTTGTCCGATCGTACATCTACACCTCATTCGTCACTAATTCAGCTGAATAGGGAAAACCATTGGTTGTTCAAGGCGAACTCTTGGAATTTATAGTCATTGTCCAGAATCCTTATGTATTTGACATGGAGCTGCAGTCGCTATCTCTAAGGTCAGTATTGTTCTGTTTTATCAAAGTCGCATATCGGACGAATTTTTGCAGCACTTCCGGTGTCCCTTTCGAATCTAATCCGATTTCTGTGATTATACCCGCGCGCTCTTATCATCGAGCTGTGCTCTCCGGAAAGTCACTGGCGACAGGCTCCCTTGTCGTCCGAGGCTGCATTGTCCGAGCTCCAGGCGGTGTTGCTCGGGAATTTGTGCTCCCTCTCGCAACCGAAGATGAAGAGGAACGCCTCGCACACAAACGTAGTGCTGCTCTATGTGAAGCCGGTCGTTTCAAGTATTCGGGTCTCGACAATTTTCCTTGGGAAAGGAAAAAGTCACAAAGCTCGGGCTCAAAATCTTCACGGTCATCGAAAGCCATGATGTTTTTGGAATGCAAAGTGGTACCAGAACAGCCTCTACTCAGGATACGGAGAACAACAGTCACGCACGGTGCTCTAATGCTTTATGATGGTGAAATGTAGGTAACTTACCGATAGGCCTACTCGTACTCATTGTCACAATCAAATCTAGGTCTTCAATACGTGTAACGTTTGAAAACATCGCACCCCTTCCAATCGACTTTATTCGACTTGCGTTTGACGATTCGACTATGACTCCGGCACAACAGGCACTGGCAGAGGGCGAAATGTCCGTTTTCGAGACCTACGAGACAGAGTATGCGTTGATACATCGACCCGTCTTTTCCTGGATCAAGAATGATTCTGTCACGATTGCTCCCGGGCGGAAAGTGACCCTTACTATCAATTGTTTTGGGAAGGTTGGCTGGTAAATATTCTTCATTACATTGACGATCCATTGTTGAAGTGCTCTTCGTAGCACGGAAGGCACAATTCACGCTTCCTATTCTTATATTCATCGTGATCCATCTGATAACAAGGAGGCCTCAGTCTTTCACACTCGACAATTATCATATCCGCTGATGGTTACTGTCTATCGAATGCTTGAATCTCATGGAATGGACATTTTACCGTATCCTTCTTATCCAATGGGCACAGATGACAATCTTGCGACAAATAAGTCGAATCTCTTCGTTCAAGATAATGGAGCCTGGTGTCTTTTCTCCGTGGACATCATGAACACATATGGGATTCCTTTTGAGGTATCCATAGAGCGTGTCCAGGAAGGTGAACAGTTTTTTGTCGTTGATTGCTCGAGTCTGGGCTGAAATCTTTCATAGATGTCCCATGGGGAGAAACCCTTGTCAATGTTCCTCCTGGGTCTACTTCAAGGTACAATGTCGGCCAATCTGTTTATGCTAAACTCAATGCACTATGTAGACTGGTTATTCCGTTGAAAAAGTTCCTATTAGGGGATGAACATATTTCTAGACCAATACCCACTCTTTCTGATAGGCAGTTTGTGGTCGACAAGACAAAGCTCTCAGACGCAGAACAGAAGATGCAACGTGAATTGTTCTGGTATCGCGAGGAGCTTTTCAAAAGCTTGCGATGTCGATGGCGAGAGGTGCGATGCGGACGTTGGGCTGTTTTTTCTTCTGTTCACTTTTTACAGGCTGGAGGAACACGATACGGCGATCTTTCTCTTCGGCAACAAAGACTGACATTGACGATGTTGAAAACATTGCGTACCGAGAAAGCTGGGATACAGCTATCTCTGATGCGGTCTGGTAATCCAGTGAAGCCAATTGAACAAAGCGCAGGAAAATACCATCCACCGTGTAGCGAACCTGTATATCTGCATATCAAAGTCACGAACCTCACAAGTAAGCATGCCCTTTCATGGTAACAGGAGGAGGTCTGATCGCAGCACACAGAAACCACCCTCGTTTTCACATTGGACGTGAACATAGATCCACGCGAGCATGTCATACATGATGGGATTCTGTGTGCCATACCTGTTGGTAGATTAGAAGCCAAAGAAAGCCGGGAGGTCGAAGTGGCTATCTGTTTCCTCTGCCATGGTCGATTTGAAGTATTGGCTTCCGCGAGAGTATTAGACAGTAGTGGCAGCTCATCAGAAACCGGTTCCGCACGACTAATTGTGATGGTTAATACAGATGCTTGAGGCAGCCATTTATCGTCCTTGTTCTGTTTGTTTCAACAGCGGCACACACCAAGAAGTTGAGGTGCCAGGAAGCAAAATCCCTTTGTTCTAGTCTTTCTTGATGTCTTGGATCTTCGGTGAAGAGAAGTGGGGTGAGCTTCTAGGTGATACTCGAATTTCAGGTACCCGGGCCATGACCAATGCTACCAACCCACTGCAACGTTAATAACTGTGAACAAATAATAATTGGATATTTCACATGCTACATAGTACACCACTGTATGTCCAATGTAATCACAGTATGAACATTCAGGCCCAGGACCGACAGGTCAGTCAAATTCGGATTCATCCTGTTTGAAAGCCTGAGAGTAGGCTAAGATGGTACCATAAACCAATCTGATTGACTGGGTTAGCGCAGAACACGAGTATAAGCATGTACGACGCACCCTCCCCCCATTATAGACATCACGCAAGCACTTGTATTGATCACTCCAGAGTGAGCCAAAATGATTGGAAAAGCAAATCCAGTGACTACGATGAGGGACGTGAGGAAACGGCCCAGATCTACTGCGCCCGTAGATTCATAGCTGCCAGAGAAGTCGTCGGCGCCGCAATGAGAAAATAGAGCATTCGGAAGAGGAGCAATGACGAATGTGATGGCTATAAGGTTGCGATGAGGTGCTGGATTCGCAGTAAGGAGAAGAGATGGACACACCAACGAGTAATGGTAACCAATTGTGCCATAGTGCGCAAGATAATATTATGAGCAAGAATCCCACCGCAAGGACAAATGAAAGAAGAATGACGGCTGCAAGCGTTAAGTCAGTGTGCGTCCATGGAGTAGGAGATACGATAGTGTACTTTTCAATCCAGCAGCCATTGTCAATGGTCTTCACACCGTGCAGAGGCAAATAACAGGTTTGGAAATGGTATCTCAATCAAGAAAAGGACATTTCCCAGCACGTGGAGCGCGTCTGCTAGTGTTTTGCGCGCTTATCGGACGCGTATAATATTATATAAAGTATACATACTATGTAGATGAGTGTAGTGCCTAGCAGTCATGGACATTAGCAGAAGTGAGGTATCATCAATAGCCTTTGCGGAGAAATAGAAGAGGTCATATGGTTAAAGGCATGCATTATGAGTTCCATGGATGGGCGTTGAGCTGGGTCGTCATACAACATGGGCTTGACAAGTTCAATGAGTTCAGGTATACAAAACCCAGTGAGCTATTCAATACAGATGAGACAAAAAGATAGAAAGGACATTTATTATACACACCTTGCATGCACGTAAAATGAGAATTGCCAAAGCCCACACATCGACTTTATAGGGGTCGTAGAACGCTTCATGTCCGCATTCCGGAGGCAATTCTGTTCCTCTTCTTCCAGACACTCTGGCATCACTCGCATCGAACCTGCGACTGAGTTCAAAGTCTATATAGGCATAGTGGCCTTGGTGGTCGGTGAGCACATTTCGTATAGAGATGTCGAGATGGGCTATTTGGTGCATGTGCATAAAGAGACAATGCTATCCGATGTGTACATCAATCCTGGAGTGTAAACACAAGATTATAGACTTACTTCAATGCATTGGCGTACGGCGGAGAGAAATAATTGTAGACAGCACGGAGCGTCATTGATAACTAGATGAGAGGACCACTGTTCCATGACAATAAAAGCTATATCGTCTTCTGGGACATCTATTAAATCGAGAACCGCTGTAATGATGTTTGAGTGCTGAACTCAGAGGGAAAAATCGGACTCACGAATGCAGTGATTCATTGGTTGTCGTCTCATTGCTGGTGAAGATAGGAATCGAATGATGTCGAGCTCCCGACTCTCTCGATGTACAGCTTTAACCATGACCTTGGTTCCATCTACTATTCTGATGCCTCGAAAGAGGTTGTCTGGCTGATCGCATATTGTGAGATAAATTCAAAGTCAAACATTGGAACAGAACTCACTAAACCAGCGTCAGGATATAGTATGTCTTCTTCGAGTTCTTTAAGCCGTTCTGCTCTTTTAGGCATACCAATAAACGTGTAGTAGTCCTGCACATCGCGAACAGTCTCGAGATGAAAACCACGGTGTTTCAAAATGCTACGATACTGAGACCAGTACGGTTTTACTCGATAGTTAACTTCATCTTCGTCGAAAGAGGACTCTGAAGAGGTTGGAGAAGGGCAAGATATATCAGAGATCCAGATACCGTGGGACATAGACACTGAAGAATGCCACAAAAAATCTATGCGGTTGTATGGAGTAGGCGCATGAATGAAGGTGGGTCTCGAAGATTAGGACAAGCAGGGTGAATGTATGCCTATAAAGGCTGTCGCCGCAGTTGCGTAATGATTGGACAGCTCAAGAAAAGATAGCCTTTGGGGGGTAAACAGACTGTTCCGACTCTCGCGTCCAGTGTTTCGCCCACTCTATAGATTTGATCGGGGACAGATGGGTGACAACACCGTAGCAGAAGGTCCTTCCTCATGTAGTAAGTCAGTCTTGGTGAAAGAAGATGATAGCGGATAAGGTATGCGATTCTCAGGCTACAGCGGACTAGACCCGAGATTCAGGCTTATGCTTACTTGGCCAGGAGTCAGTAGTAATTCATCTTGCTTGTTGAGGAAGCAACCAGTGATAAATAATTACAGACGACCTCGTTCTGTAATGAAGAAAGCCGTCCACATGCCGTTCACATACCTCTATACAGTCTCCGCTCCATTGGAAGAACGTCCTAACATCCAGATTCCAAACTAAATGGATATCAGTGGATATCGCATTGGGTTGTTCTGCGGGCTTGTCGGAAAATAGTGCCAGTTTCACAAAGTCCCAGTCATAAAGAAGCCTTCACGGTTCCGCCGCCGAAGACAAGAGGCTATTCTCGGTAGTACAAAAGTAGGCCGATATGCAAGTGCATCGGAAAGGAACCAGGTCTGACTACTTGGGCAGAAAAGCAGCACGTGGCACTGCCAAAGCGGTTATCGCGTGAACACGATTTCCGTTCTTGGTTCTTTTACCAGTCACTCTCATCAGTACCTGAAATTCATGTCATGGAGGAGGGTACTAAGGCAAAAAACCGTGTTTGTGGGTGGTATCGGCGACGATGTAGATGAGAGCGTTATTTACGAACATTTCGCGACATTCGGTTGGTGTTTTCGAAATTCGCAGGCAGTCTAATTCTCACTGACAATACATACATCCAGGTGATGTTATCGAAGTTCAGCTCCCCTCTGCAGCCACGAATCTTCATCAACAAAGCGGTTGGTTTATTTATCGTTCTCCCGCATCCATTGACGCGAACTTTTTAAATAAATCTAGAGGCTAAACATCGGGGCTTTGCTTTCGTAACTTACAGCTCAACTTCTGATGCTCAAGATGCCATTGACAACATGGATCTAAACGAGTTGAGAGGTCGTGTCATCAAGGTTAATCTCGCACGACCTATGAAAACACCCATGCAACTAGGAGGCAATAGAGCTGGTAAGTAAAGTAACCTTCTTCGCGTTAGCTATTGGCTCATTTTAATATGTGTGTATAGTTTGGGAATCTGAAGAATGGCTTAAACAACACGTCAAGCCCTTGAATCAGAGTGGAGGTTCGTTTTATGAGTTTCTATTGGACAACATATATACATCACCCCTGTTCAGGTGTTCAAGGTCGCAATGCTGCTAAACAAAATGCAGGCGGAGAAGTTGTTCCTTCCGAAGATGGTGATGAAGTCATGGAAGAGTAAAGGACACGGACGTCTGACCGACTTGGAGATTTCATCTCAAGATGCTATACGATCCTTTGCATCACATCAGTATGAAACTATTGCCTGGATAGGCATATCTGGACTCTATATGATACAATAGCTGGACGAATCAGCGTCGAATCAGCCTGACGGTACCGAAATCCTTCCCCTGTTGTCATTCGATGATAGATGGAAGTTCAATAATGGGAATGTTAATTTCGTAGCGTCTTCAATCTCATATTACAATGTGTGCTGTATACATACATGGGGGTCGAAAAATACAGATCCTTGTTTACTGATATGTACTATGCCATTTTTGGGTCTGTTTCGAACTGCTGCCTTGCCCGCTTAATATCTTCTTGAGCGAATAAGAGTTCTTCCATACGAGCAAGCTTTTTTGCATCCGCAGGACGAGAAAGAGCTTTTCGCAAGTCCTCAATCGAAAGTCGGTTTTTACGGCCTGGTCCCGCAGCAGCCTGACACTGATATTAAAAAGAATTAGAGTTAGTAGAGATCTATGAAAACAAACACCTGTGATACGCACCACATCAGCGATATATTCTACTAGAATTTCCTCCATGACATTGATCGTGTCATTTGCAGGATTACGGTCATCACCGAATCCGTACATTAAGTTTCTCACTAAGGCAAGACCAGATTTCTCAGAGATAGCCAGGAACCTATATCATCTAGATACTCACGTTCCTTGGTGAACAGCCCTTTAGTGCTGGACTGTTTCCTTGAGCTCCGGCCCGCAGTGGATGTGGATGTGGCACTCGTGTAAGGAGTATATGGCGTGTAAGTGGATGGTCTCGGAGTGGTCGATGTTGTGGGTATCGTAGTGGCAGTTGGTACTGTTGCTGTTTGAGTTACAGATTGAGCCGAGCGTGAAGGTGTCTGCTGTGGTACAGCATAGCTGTAAGGAGGCCATTGATAGTAGTATGGCTGATAGGCTCCATAAGAATACGTTGTAGTCGTTGCAGTCGGCTGAGCTCCAGGAGTTACCGGAGGCACATAATAGGACATCGTGGTCGAGAGCGGAAATATCGTGAGAAAACGATCGTCACGCGTCCCACTTGTTTACCTGCAAGTGAACGAATACCATTACGAGGATTCAGCAGTGCTATATACAGTATGTAGTGCTAGTGTTGCCGGAATACAAGATGGCTTAAGATGGCTTATCTTAAGAAACGTCTCAAGGTGAACATGTTTGTTTAGTAATTTTTACCAATCGCTCGTTGCTGCCACAGTCCACTACTTCCAACGCTGCGTTACTGATCAATGTGAAAAATCTCTTGTTATTCTACCGGATTGTCAACCTTGACATTACATTAGCCTGTTGGTGTGTTGGCGCGTCACTTAGAGAACACTTGGAGCAATCGACTTTACTTCACTCATTCTTGAGTTGCAAGAGTGGATGAATCACGGGGCACCACTGGCATGACCGATATCGATGCTTCTATACTACATGATCTTCTTACAAGCGGTGAAATTGACAGACTTGTAGACCTCATTGGGTCTTCACGCAAATGAACAAACCTCTACAATGTACTTTTTTTTGAGGATCAAGTCTGGGTGGAGTTGTGTATTGTATTAAGCGGCCATGTGTATTTTCACTGATAAGGAAAAATGATCTTAATACGTCTTGTGAAAAAAGTGTCTTAAGATGTCTTAAGGTGGAAAATTCGTGATCTTAAGACTGTCTTCGTCTTGTATTCCGGTAACACTATGTAGTGCTACATGCACACTATAGATAGATTCATGAAGGTTTTGCATTGTGCGATGGAGGACTCCCGGTTTTCAGTAGTATTACTGTAATTCTGAGAAGATTTCTTCGGAATTCTCTCTATTTCCCAGAGCAATGCTATGATACAGTGTCATAATCATAGATATAGTACACATCAATCTGCATCATCCCCTCTCTTAGCTGCAAGTTCCAATCCACGCGCACGCTCCATGTAGCCCTTCAACTTTTCCCATTCCATTTCAACGACTTTTCTTTGGTCAAGCCAATCACAGATACCGTCTGCGTCTTGCAGGTCCTTGGGAGGCTGTAGTCCCTCGGGCCAAGCGACACGGACAAAGCGACCAGCGCCCTTTTCTTGCTTGGCGACATGCAAATCATCAACTTCCTCGTTGATGGTTTTGAATAGCATGTACTGTGCAAGATACATATCGTCAATCGCGAAAGGTAAGATGTTCATATACGTAGGCTTACCTCCCAATGAGAAAGATCATGATATACGCGCGTACGCCGAGCGCAAAATCTGCCTAAGTGGAAATCAGTCCTGCATTCACCTTCACTCAAGGACTCGTCGGAGAGATCCAAATCCTGATATGGGTTTGTGAACAAAGGGGACGCTGTGAAATTGTCTAGGCTTACTTCGAACCCCAGACGATCGTAAGGTTCTCCTAACAAACGACCGTTCAATGTGGACATCCTTGCTCCTAGATTGCAGGCATCGCAACCAGGCATGGAGAATTCGAGCTGTACCAGATCCAGTTCTGGGTATCTCTCCAGCGGACCTTTGAACTCTGGCTTCCAGACTGACGAAGCCACCAAGGAATCTCGAAGTCCTATGATCTTTCTTCGCGCAGCTAAAAGAGGGACAGAGAAGTACACCTCATCTTATGCAGTCGAAGCAATATACTTGAGTTGAGGAAATGAGAAATTGCAGATCGCGACTGACTTTTCATTTGCATTTCCATGAATTCATGTCTTTCGATTGGAGGATGTACTGCAATATGGACAAAGAATTGAAATATCTTCTTGAAATTGTGAGAGAGATCTTGATGAGATTCCATGCTGAACTCAACGGGAAGTGCTGCTAAACCTGCCCCGTCGTCTTCCACAATGAAGCTTTCAGAGCCATCCGATTCAGAGCCGTCGAAGAGACTATTCTTGTCGCTGTCCGGCCTTGCAGCTTTGAATGGAGCTTCTTCTTCTTCCTCCATCTCCTCTTCGTCTTCGTCGTCGTCGTCTGATTCCATAGGTTTTCCCTGTTTCTTCCCTGCTTATTGGTAAGCGAGAACGCCGTATGATAATGATGAATCGTACGTTTCAGTCTTTCAAGGTTCTTTTGGTATTCTGTCTTCTTGTCTCGAGAACGGAAGCGGCTTTCAATTATACCTGAAGAACGACAATACTACCGGATGAGGTATAAACTGGGCGTAAATTCTCGAAAGCTCACGTTCTGGTTCTACTTCATCGGACTCCTCCGAGTCACTTTTTGCAGCCGGTCGTTTCCCTTTCACCAGCTTACGACGACGGGGGGGAGATACACCACCAGAATCTGGATCCGACGACATAACTACCGGTTCCTTCCCCTTCCCTTCGGCATGACCTTTTCCGATTTTATTCTTCACAGGCGCATTCCTCTTCTTCACCTTGTCTCTTTCCTTCCGCTTCACACTTCGTGTTCCTCGCCTCGCGATAGGGACATCTTCTTCTGATTCCTCTGTATCACTACCCACAACGAAACTCATTCGTTTCCGTTTCGCAGGCGGAGGGGTTAATTCATCATCATCTTCGACCGGTCCCTTAGGCTCTAGCTTAAAAGCGCCGATATCAGAGTCATCCGAAGGCTCGTTTTGTTCATCAGACAAATAGTCGATGCGTCTCCGTTTTGCGACAGGTTGACTGGGGGAGGGCTTGCTCCTTCCGCGACTAGGTGACTGTATGCTACCGGTTAGGGTCGTTTGCTTCAATTTCTTTGACGTTTCGCGCGATTTCCTCTGGCGCGGCATACTCGAGGGAAGGCGCGCAGTTTACGAACGTGACGGTGTAGCAGCTTGCAAAGGCATTTCCTGGCATTTCGAATACGGATGGAATTACATAAGTGATGATTAAGCGCCCATTAATTGGAAAGGTACAAGTTACAACTCATCTTCACAGTCTTGATTGACACTATGGAATCATATCAGTCCCCCAATACTCCTTTGCGCATTGACACAGAATGGCTTGCTAACGCCAACTCACCATCGACCTCCTTTTCTCCTACCGGTCCCAGCGGCCGCGACGTGCCTGCTCTCCGCGTTTCGACTTCGCCTACAAGAACCAGCTTTGAGAAACCTCCTCCTTCTCCACGTAAAGATACTTCCCTCAAGAACACAAGTAGAGGAAATGAATCCAAAAAGCTTCTTGCACATGTACTGGAGCAAATCAAGGATCGAAATATGCCACCATCAGTATACGATGCGTTGTCGTCTGCTGCGGAAATCTCGAATGAGAAAAAACTAGGGTCCTTTATAGACAGGGCAGTTAAGAGGAGGGATGCAGGGAAGGATCGGAAGGCAGCCCTATATGCAGACGATGAAAGCGAGGACGAAGATGAAAGAGTCTTTTCCACAGATACGACGTTGGAACTCATGACACGACTTCGAGAGCTACTTATCATATCTGCCTCGCAAGGCTGGCGAATATTCGATGATGGGTAAGTTCAACTGAGCCTATCACATGAATACTACTCAGCCCTGCTATTTTAGTATATCCCAAGATCCCTATATGCAACGCACCTCGAGCGGTGGCAGGTTCTCATCACCCTTTCGACGCTCCCTTCAGCCTGGGGGAAAACGTTCTAGATCTCCCTCTCCAGATCCTAAAGCTCGAGATACTACTTCCACAGGTCTCCTCACACAATGTATCAGTGCCATTGCTTCTGTTGTCTCAGAAGATTGTCGCTTTCAGATAGCTTCTCCTTCTCCTTCGCGCCCGCCGTACGCATTGCAAGCCGTCACACTGGAAGTCGCCCAATTCTTGTTACATACTTATCGACGCGCCTCCGAGATCGTATCTCAAATCGTCTTCGCTCTCATACCCGCGTTCTCGACCTTCCCGAGAGAGATGCACGCGCGTCTCTTAGCATTTTTTGAAGAATGCGTAACGAGAAACGCGTTAGAAGAGCTCAGCTTGATTCAAGGCGTTCGAGGTCTCAAATCAGCTCAAGGCAAGCGGTCTAAATGTCTGTTTCCACCATTATACCTAATATCTGGTATCAGGTCCTCGGCAGCAAATTGAAGAACAGAACGAAACAGTGGTTTCTATCAGGGTTGATGAAGCATTTGACGATCCACTGTCTCCCGGCACTTCTGAATGGACACCGTGGACACGTATTGGCGCTCAGCTGGTGTCATTAAGGTCGACGAATTCACCGTTTCAATCACCATCCACGTACGATTATGCTTCATTCTTCTCGCCGCTTCTAGCAGCTATTCTTGAGAACATAGACTTTGTTCGTAGCCGTGTTGAGGTGCTACAACGCTTGTACAGATTACTTGACGCTATCATTACCCTCAAATTGGATGCCCATCTCGATGTCCTAGAAATCATTGCATATCATACACCCAACGCTCGACGGAGCGCCACTTGTTTGCTTACAACTTTCTGGCCCAAGGCGGTTGGTCACGTCATTGTGAGCAAGTCGCCCGTACTGAGGAAATTTTTGGATCTTCAAGCTGGGACAAAGCTTCCTGCCTATGAGACTTCATATCATGTCCATCAATTCTCACCCTGGTTCTTCCTCGATCTGGGGCAGTCTACATTAGACAAGCCGGAATGTGATGCATGTACAAACCCGGTCCAGGGATTTGGGCTCTTTTGTCCGTTCTGCATCTGCACTGTTCATTTCAACTGCTACCATTATCCAGAAGGCAACGTTAGCATCAATTACACTTCAAACACCGATGCCAACGTGACACAGGTCGCCATGTATCGACTATCACCAATACTAGACCGCAGGACTGTAGCAGGCGCTGGGACTGTCCAGACACAATATCACAATTTCCGGCTCGTGAATACCTTCACGCTCTGCCTTTGCATGCTTTGTCAAAAGCCCCTTTGGGGTAGCCATACGCAGGGCCTGCAGTGTACAACATGTCACCGATTCTCTCATTCCGCTTGTGTTTCGACGAGCCAGGTCCCGCCGTGCGGTAGTATTCAGAATAACTGGAGCTGCGTTATGATTCCTCCATCCGCACTGGTACAGTCTTGCGTCGATTTCTATCAAACCTTGTTCTCGCTTACGGAACAAAATATAAAAAACGGAGGGTATGAAGATGTGTCGATTATCTACTCTTCGCTGTCCACGCAATTGCAAATCATCAACAATGGCCTTGAACTAGGTTCCATTGTGCTGGGTGAAGGGAACTCGTCGCGCTCTCAAACGCAAGAAGTCCCATTATTCCGGCTTCATGATTTGCTTGCATGGTGTGAACATTACCTTTCCTCTGAGACACTCCCTGTATCCCCTGTCATCTCGGAATATCTCGAGGAAAATCATGTATTCAGAAGGAATCTGAATATGATGTTTGAATGGTCTAATCTCGTCTATATCGCTTCCGCAATTAAAACCACCTTCACTCCCAGAGGCCCTCTCCCCCTTACCTCTGAAATGTTATCCGTTTCAGCTCTTCAGGAGAGTTCGCTCGATCCTGAAGAAAATAATTCTCCTTTTGAGGTGGTTTCTTTGGCCCACATGAGAGACGTGCTTGGATATGAATTCAACGTACACTTAGATGCTGCTGCAAAGCTGCTCTTGTCGCACATGCATCACGTTGGCCTCTTCGACAGAATAGATTTGGAACCTAAGTTATTCCTGTCAGAGGCTCAGGATACTTACTGCTCCTTCCCTCTCCCAATTGGTCTCGATGAATCGCCAGATGTCGAGGCTCTGTTTGCTTCTGTAGAAGCCTGTCTCTCGGATCTAGATCTTTCAGTCAACGAAGTTGGTTTGTTGCTTCTTTGCCGCAGACTTTGGCCCAGCGGAATGGCTTCGGATTATGCGCTGACAAGACTTACAAGGTCCATCATTTCCTGGGTTCTGTCTGAGGCGAGTTTTATCCTCTGTCCCTAAATTCGCCGAATAATGTTTTCTCGCATTACCTTGATAGGACAAGGATCTTGCAACCATCCTTCGTGATTATCTCGCCAGGCAGAGGGCATTGCCTGGGGTCAGGTCAGCCTCCGACCCTTTGCCGTGGCCATCAGTGCCGAATGGTCGTCCGGCACCGTCAAGTTCTGTGAATAACGGTGGTGATTATGTAGCGTCGAGAAAAGCATTAGTTAGTCGATATGCAATCCCATGGCTCCTCGCTCTTCATCATCAAAACTCAGAGAATTATTGTAATATCCTGTACGATATCTGCGCCGAACTCGTCGACGACGAGACAGACTTGCCAACTGACCTCTTCAGCGAAGTCCCTGACCACGATGTCAAGGTACGCTCACTCTCTGAATTCTTCTCAGTAAAGTCAATGAGTCTCTGCAGGCACATGCTGCGCAATACCACGATAAGGTCCTACGATCTTTAACGCGACTACTCCATAATTCTCTCACCTTCACCGTATCCGAAAAACTTTTCGTGCGATGGTTATCCTCCCTTTCAAATTCCGGTATTATTTCTTATGTGAGTATCCCCCCTCCGATCATGTACCCATTGTTTCTCATTTTTGTACAGCCTATACCGTCTTTGGTACGACTATTTCAGAGAGACCATCAAGATCACCGATATAGTATCATGGACAAGCCTTTACCAACATCTGAAAGTTCTGAATTTGATCCCTGGCATCACATCCTTGCGAGCGCGGAAACCTTCAATGGCTTGACGAACAGCATTTGCTGGCTCTCCGTTGTGGCGTCTTCTGGTGTCGATGTGTCGGTGGCTACGTACTTCCATTTTGCCAATCTGGTGGAATCTTTTAAGCTTCCCGTGTCATCGTCACTGGTTTTCATGAACGCTATCTTCAAATCAGTCTGGCTTCGACATGCTGGACGCCAACAAATGCAGAAGATCATCTCCGATCTTCACTTTCGTTTGGATTCGGAAATTGTACAGTCTTTGAAGAAAAAGGAGATGTGCCACGATGCGTAGGTCCTCTCTTCTTGTTTAATGCCTTACTCGGGGTTTCATTTGGATATCTACAAGGGTTCTTTTCATAAAGCAGTCACTGGTGACCTGCTTACTCCTGTATGGCTGTGACCGGGAAAAGCTTCAAAGTACGGATCTCGTTACAAAAGATGACATCAAAGACCTCCCCCATCGGTGAGTCCTCGGAAATATTGGATCAATCCAGCGAATCTCATTGACATTCCAGGAGAATATTGGGTCGAGAATCGCAACTCTTGGATCCAATAGTTGTGGATACCGTACTTATGAACGCACTTGCTTCTTATGTGGCTGCCAATGTGGACGAAGTAACGTGTATCATTGCGAAATTCCTAAACATTTTCATAACGGAGTCACCAACTTTGGAATCACATGAAGTGGACAACTTCATTCTTCGTAACGGACAAATGATGACTAACTGGTAAGGAGATGCGTAGGAAAGTAATGTACTGTTGTTTGACTTAAATTTCTCTCGATAGTGCTTTCAAGTTCTACGACATACAAAGCCACGATATATCTACTCTACGGACAAGCTTTCTATTGCGAGTTGCTGTGGTCGATACGCAACCTCTGCAAGAGCTACTTGAGGAATGGTTTCGACCTAATGAAGACTGGAAACTGAGGTAACTCGTTTATAGCCTTTGTTTCACTCAACTATTCAAAAGAAACAATATCTAGGCTGTCTGCTCTCGTAAAACTATTCCGTATCATTCTGGATGTGACCAGTCCTGCTTTCACTGTTGAAGGAAGGCAGTGGAGATCTACCATCACTGAAGTGTTCTATTATTTCTTCAGCACTTTGTGGGCCGATGAAAAGGTGACATCTTTCACGTTTTATATATAGTCATCTTATTCTTGTCTAGGAAGAGCTTCGGCTAGCAGCTGACACATTTTCATCTAATTTACTTCCTGCTCATTTTGAACAAATCTCGCTATGTTGGAGCGAACTTCTTGCGAAGTCTCCAATTGCAGACCGAGTGAAGCTCGTATCCTTCCTTATCCAATTAAGACCTCATTTTCCGTCGTGGCATAGTAAGTGGCATTGGATTGGATGTTGTCATCGTTTAGTCAATCGGCTTGATAGTGGTCTCTTGGGAATCTATTGTCGAAATCATAGCGGAAGACCAATATGATCAAGATGCCGGGAACGATGGCCCACTTTCTGCACATTTGGTACGTTATTTCAGTTCACAGCTTTGTATTTACTTCTGTTCACTGCGTGTCTTCCAGTCTTTGTATGGGCTCTCGTCGAAAGAGGATCCTGTTACAGAGAGATCCAGTGCTGACTCCGAATTGATCTCTTTAAGAGTACGCACACAATTTATCCACGACCAGAACTTCTTAAACTGATTGACTGTATAGATTTCAATCGTTCTCCTCAGTTTAGATATGATCGCAGAAGGGATTCGGATCGACTACAACGATCTGCTGAGAATCAAGCAACACGTTGCACAAATTCTAGGTTTTGCAGATGTACATGCAATCCCAGCTGCAAACGGACATTCATTTTTCGTGGAGTTTGGTGATTGCAAATCGATTCCATCTGTTGCATACCCATGCATCAGTCATTTGTTTGTCTTATTAGACGCACATCATCCGTTACTTATCACAGACGCGGAATTACAAGGCTTCGTCAACGATCGCGCGTGGCCACTACTAGTAGGCTCTCCTTACGTCGACATCCTGCTCCATTTATTTGATTCAGAAATCCACGAATTACCTGGTTTGACATTGAAAAGTCTGCTTGAAAGCCTCGGGGTCATCATATATAAACACAACATCGAGAATGTCTATCTGCGACACTTGCAACCGCAACTCAAACGTGCTGTCTCTCGAGTTCAGGAAATTATGCTAAAAGACATAGACTACGAATGCCGTCAGGTTGCGTTGTCCGTTTTGCAAAGCTACATCAAAAAATACCAGGGCTCTCTGCGATCATTTGTTCAGTCAGTTTTCTTGTTCTTGTCCAACTTCAGATGAATGACGTCATATTCAGCTTTGCTATTGAACAGGTGGCGAAATTAGTGGTTTCGCAAAGTCACCTCAACCAAGATCCATTAGTTCTTCAGGCTAAGGCATTCATCGACTCAATGTTGACAGCGTAGGTCTTAACCTCACCTTACGATGCAATCGGTAGTCCTAATTCTAAGCTAGGTATTGCAACAACGGAATTTTCATTGGACTGATCAGAGTTAGTTGCAATCAAAATTTCGATTGCACCGAATTGACTCTTACAAAAATAGAGACAACTGGACCGCAGCCTCTTTGTTGTATTGAAGCAGGTTCTGGATGCAAATGCCAAAGAGAGTGGTTCCCAACATCTTCTTGATACAATTCTTTACGATACGTTCAGACGCGCTGTCGAAACCGACCAGAACTCCTTTCAAGTCATGTTGAATAACCTCCAAACATTTGTTGAAGTGGTGCATCACCAGAATTATAGCGCGGAAACTATGACCTGTGAGTATTTCGCACTAGAAAATCGTCTTTGTATTAATGAATGCTGTACCGAAAAGTCGTTGGTCAAAGCCTCACATACCTTACACGACGAATATCCGAGTGGTCTCCGGAGGTGGTCAACCCAGCTCCGTTACTTCTTATTGCTGCACTTCTAATACAACATAATAAAGCCCAAAGTCGAGTGAGCAAGACATTCGGTACCTCGGAGGCCCACTCAATAACTAACTTCTACATTTTTAGGATTTCCTATCTTACACAGACACAGTGCTTAGGGCAGTACTAACACGAATGCTTGTGGATGGCGCTACTCTTTCACGCCTTGTACAAGTCACAGCAACACTCTACCGCAAAGGCCCTTCGGTCAATGGCGAACCTTCAAATAATATCATTCCTGTCATCTTTGAGATATTAAACGAGGGATTACGCGTGAAAGCTCGCGTTCTTTCGGGTACAATCAACTCCATGTTAGAGGTGAGTGTTCCGTTGTCATGGTTCGCCTTTGGATTCTAGTATACAACCAGACAGTGATGTCTACGAATATCAATGGCTCAACAACACCTGCGTTGTCTCATTCAAATTTGTTCGTGGGGTTAGCATTACCAGGAATACACTTCTTATATAATTACTCTTGGACGGATCACCGCACGGATAATGACTTTCAGGCTTCACTGACAGTCGCTAAGGTGTTGCTCCGAGTTTCGAGTAAGGATCCAGACATTCTGATGAAGTTCGTCGATGTCAGCACAGAGGTGAGCGCAATCCACACCACTACTTCCATTGCTTTCGTAAATAATGCGCATAGAAAACTGGACCACAGAACACGTCTATTAGGGCATGGAATATCCTTCTTCTGGCTGTCTTACAAGATTCTTCAGGGGAATCAATCAATATGATATTCTCTCATCTTGCGACATTCTCCCTTGTCCATCATGCTGCATTGCGACCGTACACCACTCGTCCAGGAGCTCAGATACCAGAATCTGCAATAACAGATATAAACCATGCGTACATTGCTATCAAAGTTTGGTTGATTGTCGCCCAAATAAAAGCGGCGAGGGATGGAGCAGGAAGTACAGATGCATTGATTGTTTGGAATGAACTTTATTCGGTCTTTGAAAGTCTGATACATTTCTTCGAGGCTGAATTTCGTGCTGGATTGTCCTCCGTGAGTTGTCAAAAGATTCTTAATTCACACAGATTGTTTTACAGTCCCTACTAGACATTGGCTATGTTGACGTGGTCTACGGTGGCCGATCTCTTCTTATTTCTAAGACACCTACCATCCCCAGTTGTACTGCACACATCTTCACAGATCAGCCTCTTGGAACGCCTGAAACCCCTCGGTCGAGGCGAAGCACACACAGGAAAGGTAGGAAAACATTGTTTCTTGATCAGGGAAGACAAACTGAGTTCGAAACCGTAGTTGGCGCGAACGATACGATCTATGGCAGAAAAGCCGCTAGATATGCCCTTTGAGACAATGTCCAACCAGGTTGCGAATGACATAGTAGCAGCAGAAAAGCTGCGAATCCTGGAGGCGTTGAACAGGGAGGTGATCCCGGAGCGAAGAGGAGCCAGAACCCAGATTACGTTGGATAGTAATAGATAATGGATATATTATTATAATAGGATCATGGTATACATAATGAAGTTAGACGGACATATTCGCTCTTTAGGCTGTTCGTAAACGAATTTTCTGGGCTGCTTTTCGCTTTTCTTTCATGATAGTGAACCCGACAAAAAATCCGATTGCAGAAAGACCGACAATGAGGACGAAGAGAGGCAATTGAATAGCCCATTCTCGAGCTGGGAAGTAGCCGTGCAAAGCACTTGAAGAATCGAAAAAGGGCTAGAAAAGGATTCACCGTTAGGATGAGCGATTAACTCAATACAAGACAAATCAAATACGCACCAGCAGAATAGCCCATGTTGTATAGTAAGTAAATACCAAAGCTGCGGTGAGCAGCATCATCCCTCCTAGCATTTTATCACTGGCACCCTGTATGTATGACTTGTTATTGAGCTGGAGGTTGTAGGAAGAACATGAATTCATGCACCATTTTCGATGGAGAAATTACAGACGGAGGAGTAGCTAAGTGAGAATGACACGTCGCCAGTGCGACATTCGCGCGAGCACGTGCAAAAAACCCTAATCTCGAGCGACCTGAGGGAGTGGTCTACTTGTCCTCAGTTTATTAACTGCAAGTGTTACGATACAATGGAATTCATGGAGGGCAATTATAGGTAAGTAAAATTTGTCTAAAGCATATCGTACTCGCTGAGCTCCCGGTCAAAATTGTCCTTCAGCGAAATCGTAACCAACGGATAAGTCCAATGAATATTTGAGCAATAATTAAAATTCGAACTCTTCCGACACCAACTCGATGTGACCTCGACGGTCACCTCGTCGGATACGGGCGGGACTGATTTCAAATGCAATAGCTTTTCTCACCATGGCGTTGAAAGAGGAGGGGCCACAACCTACGAAAAAATCAAAATTGAGCAAACCTGAACCGTTGCAAGGGAAATATAGATCTTACATGCGACAACGACGGACCCTCTTGCTGTCTCGACTTCTTCACGCAATATCCGATCAAGTCTTGGCTTACCCGGCCTGACTTTCACCGAAACAGCAGACACATCCCGCATTTCCTGGCCTTCCACAATCAGTCGAGGCCGAGCTCGATGTTGAGAGGAGGGCGAAAGGTGTGTATCATCAGTGTACATGTCCGACATAGCACCGGAAATAGCAGAAAAGGGCTGGGAATGTCGTATGGAGCTCGCAGAGACGTCAACATCCAAGTCAGATGTATTGAGTGGACGTAGGTTGACGAGGGGAGAGGACTTGATGGGTGCATGCGCTGATTGGAGGGGCGGTGAATTTGGCCGGCTTGACGAGGGATATGATGAGGATAGCGGTCTGCTCTTGGGAGAGGTGGGAGGGGAAGTAGCTCGTGAACCGTGTGATAGATGAAACGCAGAAGAAGATCGATCGGGAAAGGTAAGTGTAGAAGTAGAAGCGTCTTCGGGTACGAAAGGCAGAGGGGAAGACGAACGCGAGGAGTTTGGGCTACCGGGACCGATCAAACGTGGCGGGTACTCTGTTGGTGAGTATAGTGCGACAGATCTCATCCCGAGGTCGACTGATTCGTCGTCGGATTCATTGGAGTCACGCAGAAAAGCAAGCGTATTGGGGTCAGAATCTAAACCACTCGAGTGCCCATGACCGTGGACTTGTTTGTTCGGATCATTCATTCCGTTCAGCATCACCCCCCGATCGCCATCCTGTGTGAGATTGAGAATCTGTGAGAGCTTTCTGGACTTTGCGCGTAGTTTTTTGCCTTGCTTTTGCACCTTCCTGTTGAGCTGTCGTTCGCCGGGAAGAGAATCGTCATTGTCACCTTCGAAGTTGGTCAAGTTGAGGGTATAGTCCTCTCTCTCGGAAAGAGGAATAGAACTGATGTCATTTTCTTCGTCTCCGAATGCATCTGTGTAGTAATTGAAGTCGACGAAATTATTATCAGCGCCATCGCTATCATAGAGAGTCGATTCTTCGGACGAAATTCTTTTAGAGCGCGCGTAGGTGGGGGTTGGGGCCAAGAGACCGGGGTCAGAACCATTTGGTGGTGGAGGTACGTTCTTCGCAAGCAGTGGTTTGAAATTTGTCACGAATATATCAACGTCCAATCCAGGCGAGGGAATCATGGCCATACACCTCCGTAGGATAGAAGCGCACCATTGTATATGTGCTATGGATAGATTTGTAAAAAAGGGTACATCAGGAAATCAACCAAGACAATGCAGAAAGTTGGATATTTACCAAATTCGCGTATCATCCAAACGAATTTCACACGACGGGTGTTGAATCCTTTGGAAGCCCAACCTCCCGGACGCCCACCAAGATACCTCCCATCTCGACCAGCCAGACATAGACAAACATATTCCAATATAGACAGTCCAAAACTAACACCTGATCCGGCTACAAAAATGACAACAGTCGAATGTTCCCCCCATCTTGCACGCACTGCACTGCCAAAAGGTCCATCTACATACATCTTTAACAGTACACCGGTTGATGGCATAATGGTGCTACTTGGTAGTTTCTCCCCTTGTATGTGCTGCTGATTGTGGCTGACCATATTAGCGACGTGGTTCCACAGGTCTCTCGTCCATCCATTTCGACAACGAACAAGAAAGACGATTGCACGTCCGGCTACTGAAGCAGCTTGTTCATCGCAGATTGAAGCTTGTAAAGCCCATGATCGTATTCAGTCATCTGCTACAATTTCAGCACGGAATTTACTCACCGGTGGTGAAGGGGTGCGTAAGAAATCGAGAGACAGATGGAACATTGATGAGAAAATGTTGGCCAGGAGCCCAGGACAAAAAACCGGGTGTAATGTATGTAAGGCGAACGGTAGCACCGGAGAGGAGCTCGGCATGAGCAAATCCAGGTGGTGGAGAGTACCCAATGGCAGATGCAGGCGCAAGCAGGTTCCCGTCGGCATATGTCGAGAATCTAGAATCAAGGTAGGGCGACGAAGGAGGATATATTGAGGAGCTCGTCGAATAGCGCCATGGTCGCAGAGCCTGAGTTTCGGGATCTGCGGGGGCAGTAGACTGGGAAACAACAGGTGCAGTGTTCTCCTTTCCAAAGAAGCCGTTCATTTGCAACCACCAAGTACCACGCCATACGCGTTCTGCCGCCCAGATACCTAATGTGAGGTAGCACCAAAATCCTACGGGAGGGTGATGCAATGCTGACATGACCAGTGTGAGGGGAACAAGGACGATATGCGAGATATAGAATATTTCATAATGCGCCTTTCTGATAAAACGCGATGAGACGAAGATTAAGAGGGTCAAAAGACCAAATGCCTACGATAGATGTGGATTAAAAGGAAATTAACACAAAAAAAACACAGGAGACGCACTAGCCAGCCATAGATAAACTTTTCGTACTGCCACGCATACGTATATCCAATCTTTCCAGTACTCGGGCGATGATCACGTAACAACTGTGCACTCCACAATAGCACATGCAGCAAGGTGATTAGCCAAATCAGCCTGCCAGACCACCGATGTAGCCAAGCGAGCTTGTCGAAATACACCTGAGTGGTGAATGAGATAGCAAATATGGCAAATGGCGGAGCTTTCAACGCAAAGAGTACACATAGCGGTAAAAGCGCGAAAGCAATAAGTCCTGTCCTCCCTCCAGAGGTCCACCAAGCTTTGTTTATCGTGTATTGAGGTTGGTACTGGTAGAATAACGATGCATCGTAGCCTGTACCTCTTGTAGCTAAATTGGGGGAGTCCAAGTCGAATAGTTTCGGGGAAAGGTAGTCCGGGCCGACAAAAGCCAATAAGAATGCGATTATAGGAAGGGCAACGAGACAAAGGATCTGTGAATTTGGAGGAAGAATAACTGGTTGAATGTTTTTTCCTGTCCGTCTAGCACGTTCCAAGACAGAGGCACCTCTCCAAGTTCTTCTTCGCAAAGCCCATTTACTCCAAGCGGCAGCTACAAAACCGCCTCTGTTACCACTCAGATGGAAGAGGGTGAAGACCAATAAGACAAAACCGACGCATATCCAGAGAAGATATGTGTAGACCTTCGAGTTATCGCTCATCATATGAGCGACCAGATATGCGGTAACCCATTCTAAATCGTCGGTGTAAGCTGGAATTGAAGGATCCGGTGTCAAAGCAGAAGTAGTGCGGGCAGCATGGGTACTGAACATAGTCTGCCACCTTTTGCTACATGTAATTTCGTAGAGAGTGATGAAAGTGATGAAAGTGCAATAATAGGCCTGGATCGACCTCGAGCTAAAAGATATACCGCAAACGCCGTGATATCAAGCGACACCGCAGCTAATACTTTTCGACTACATGCCTATGTATATCTTTTTCCGATCGCACACAAATTTCATACACGACAACGTCAACTCAATGGTGCTCACCCATTTGTCAAGTTTCAACAAAACTCATCAGCAAACGCCAAATGGAGCCAACCAACACCCGGCGGTCACAGCTTTTACGAAGTCAAGGATGATAATCCATCTTGTGTCCATAGATAATATGTAGAACAAGTCGAAGAAGTAGTATGTACATTCCAATCTACGCCGGATTTATCGTACATCCAGAGAAACCCCGAGCCTGATATAAAACCTAAACCAGAATCTCGCCACTTCGGACCTGTATGTTGGATTAAGCAAGAACATCGATAGTATATCAAACAACACAATACCCACCTCCTTGCCAGTCTTCTTGATCTTGGCGTGGATATCTTCGTAAGGCTGTGTGCTCTTCACGATGACCTCCTGGGTCTCGAGGTTGACAGAGAACTCTCCCACCGCTGTGAAAGGTGTATGTAGGGTAATATGATCAGGGAGCCAGCCAAATTTAGAGATCTCAGTCTGTCGACGGACCTCCGTCACGTTTGGCCTTGTCCAGAACTCGGGTAACAGCGCCAGAGCAGCCAGAGCAGGTCATCTACAGCGAATAAGCATTGGGGTTGATAACTGAATCTGTGTTATGTCGCACCTTCACATCGAATTTGTAGGTATGTTCAACGTCTGCCTGCATCGCCGAGGAGTCTGATCAGTTCCCAAATGCCCATTCGAATCACCAACGTATATACCATTGTGTGTAGAAAATGTCAAAGTCTGCGATGAAGATAATTAGACGATTATTTGAGTGGGAAGAAGTAGAGGAGAACTCAACGAGAATGACTTGGTCTTAAATGAGAAAGGTGACACAGCAGATACGTGGAGATGCTTTATAAGAAGGTCCGGGAAGAACAAAATTGGCAGCCCGATGATCAACATGAACAACATGAATTGCGTAGAGATTGGAATTGCTCTGACTCATGTCCGACTGAGCGCTTACTCAGAGCTATGCTCAAAAACCTCTCGAATGTCTCTCCATTTATATCCTCATTAAGTGGTAGTCAATAATATTCTATCATCTATCATACAGTCATTGTCAAGCACTTTCATGCGTGACGCATCGCCGTGTCACCGCCTCCCTTCCATCATCTCTACATTTTCATCACCATCGGTAGACACTGCTACCCAACCATCCCCATGCGCAGGTTTTCCCTGTATTCTAGCAATCAAAGGTTTAACCCAACCTGAAGAAGAATTGAGTTTTGCGCTACAAAATACGTAGTGGTTGCTAGATACTCACCCAGTATTCGTGGAACATCCTGGTCGTTTCTATGTGTAATATAGTAAACGGGGACACCAGCTAATATAAACACTAAGAATAGGTTTCCTCCTCTCAGTGCGTGAATTGAAAAAAAAGTACTTGGAGAATACATACCCAAAACTGCAACAGCCTCCAGCGGTGCTGCGATAATAGGCATGACCAGCAGGAATAGTGCCACCTAGCCATAGATATTAATGAAACAGCTAGTCGAAGGCGAAAGCCACTAACTCCACAGAATATGAGAGGGGTAATAATCCAAGTCTTGTACGGGCTTCATTCTGTAGCTTAGTTATGTGTCATAGAAATAATTCTGCAGACACTTACCGCTCCAGCATCGGCTCCTTGATGCGAAGAATGACAAGCCCGAGAACCTTTGAGAGCATTCAATATTTTCATATCATCGATTCCGTGTAATATGCTTACAGTCAAAAAATAGAAAGACCACGATGCAACCACGGAGAAGTTGACCAGTGACCGGAATCCTCCGCCTACAAGAACGAACACGAGTGTGAGCACAGTTTGTAACAGCGTGGCATTTAGTGGTGTTTTTCGAGTCTTGTGAAGGCGACCGAACAGTGCAGGTAGGTAGTTTTCGCGACCGGCGGCATATATCAGGCGAGAAGCAGTAAAGAAACCGCCTAGGAACGTTGAGCTATCGTTAACAAGTTTGACTTAAAGACGCACCGTTGAGGGCACCAAAGCAAGAGAAGGCTACCATAAAGGCAAATACTGTTCCACCCCATGGGCCAAAGATCGCTCGACCAAAGTCCATAGCCACAGTGTTACTAAGACCTACAAGATTCTAATCGCGAAATGAGCATATGTGAAGCCAGATAAACATGTCAGCCACACTTTATCCAGCACGGCAAAATATGACACATTGGCGAGGAGAAACAAAACCTGTGAAAAAGTTTCGGATGAATTATGTATCTTAGACTTGGAGCTTGGCTCGAAGACTTGTCAACATACAATCACGATGACCATACTCGAATGTATCGCCCGAGGTATATTCTTTCCTGGTTGATGCATTTCTCCAGCGACGTAATTGGCTTGATCCCAGCCGTCAAAGGCCCAAAGGCCAGAGTAAAAGGCTAACGAATATTCTGAAGGACTCGTGCTGGAGCCCTTGAACCACGGTTCTCCTAGCGACGGTGAAGCTTTCCCTCGAGCAAGTTGGACTATTCCAAGGACGATGATGAACACCTGCGCCACACAATAAATCACTGTGATGGTATGGGATATAAAGACGCACGGACCAGACACATAATCTAATCAGGTCATGAGCATTCACTCCAACAGCAACTCAAGTTCCATCTACTGACCTTGACGCTAGTAAACACGACAGCTGCACGAGCACCCAGTTTCCGGTCCCAAACACAGAGTGCTGTAACTAGCAAAACCGCAATACAGGCTGTGAGCTTGATTGCCCAGGCAGGAATATCATCCGGGGAAATATTGTCACGGGTACTGTGCCAAAAGATACGGTTGAGGTATTCAGCAAAAATTAAGCTGATCACTGCGTTTCCACCTAGAGAGAAGATGTTCAGAGGCCATAGAAACTGGAGGTATGTTTTCAAATACCAGGTCTTAACGCGATGATTGCTGTCCATGCAAATAAATAGGCGAGAAGAGGACCATATGCATAAGCTAAGTATGCTTGAGCTCCGCCATTTTGAGGTATTGCCGATCCAAGTTCAGCAAAACTACTGGCACCGGTCCGGCCGAGTAATCCAGAAGCTATCCACACACATAGACTTGCACCAACAGTTCGCGTGTTGGCAACTACGACTCCTGGCGAAGAGCTATGGCCATTGAAATCGGGAGTACAACGAAAATCTAAAGGCTTACAAAATCCCGGAACCAATCTGTAAGATGTAAGCAAAAAAAATCCATTTAATAAGTAGAAGAAGCACACACTTGCATCCCGACCACCAATGCTATGCCTAATTTTGTCATTAGATAACAAAGTTCAAACCCGAAAACCTTCAGCCAAAAGTACCATTCAAAAGGCTAATATTCTTTTCTCCATGTTCTCCATGCACCATGTCCGGGTCAGTTAAACTTGTACTGAGCGGGAGAAGATCAAAATCAAAACTCCGCATTGAAAAAGATCGGTTGCTTCAACACATGTTAGCGTCAAAGCCATTAATAGAGGGCAAGCTGCTCACCGACTGTGATGAGACGGCTCTGCGAGAGGAACACCATCTGAAATTTCTAGAGCGCGAAGGGAGTCTTCAGAGTCCCTTGACTGCCTCCGGGGAGATGCGGGAGATGCGGGAGGTGAGTTAGAGAAGGATAGATTTAGAGGGGATTTAAGGGCAACATATGAAGAGCTCATGGAAGTGGTCCAAACGCGACGAGTTAGGCTTCCATGTAAACTGCTTGCAGGATTAACGTGAGATTAAATTGCCATACTGGGAGCTCGAGAAGTTCATGATCAGCTTCGGCCCGTAGATCCGAGGCAGAAATTTTGGCTGTAAACGCGAACGCACTGGCCTTTCACATCTTGATTCGGCCCATACGGCTGGTATCTTTTCTTCCTCTGACAACTTTAAGATCCATGTCTTCTTCGAGCACTACGACTTCCCCACCTTTCCCTGTTCCCGATGGCTTCAAGTTGCACACGGAGAACAACGCTCACATTCTTATGTCTGAAAATGAGGCCTTCTTGAATCCAGTTCAGGAATTCAATCGAGATTTGAGTGTCGCGTGTATAAGGACATGGAGCGAGGAGTTGAATAAAGCAAAGGATGCGAAAAGGGCGCAGGCTCGACAGAAAAGAGCTTCAAGGGCTAAAGAAGAATTAGCCAAGAAGCGGCAGCGAGGTATGAGTAGATCTACATTGCAAAAAATGGTCTACTCACATTAGACAATAGTGAACGAATCAGACGCGATTGACATAGAGCCGGAATCGTTGCAACCATCGGAAAGCACGTCGGAAATTCCGCAGGCAGGATCCAAAGAAGATGTTCAAGTAGAGTCTTCTGCTAAACCAGAGGCAAACCTATAGTCACCCTTTCGAGAAAAATATTGTTGACTCTATAATTTCAGGAAAAGTTCAGTTACAAAATCACTATCCTAGAAGCACTTTCTGCAACTGGACTTCGTTCAATCCGTTATGCAAAAGAGATACCGCTGGTAAAGTTCGCACCCCGTCTGTCCGAAATTTTGCGAGGTAGACTTATCGTGGTTCTTGCTTTAGATATGTTTTGGCAAATGATCTCTCTTCAACTGCTGTTGCGGCAATGAAAAGGAACGTTGAGTTAAATGGCCTTGGTCCGTCAAAAGAGTTAGAGGAGACAGGGTCTGCAAAACAAGCAAACACACATCTTGGCAAAGTCAGAGTAAACGAAGGAGACGCTTGGTAAATCTGGAGTTTTTCTCAAACCCAGTTCGTGCTCATCACATAAAAAGTGCTCTAATGTATAGTCACCGCACTGATCGAGTGGATGTCGTTGATCTCGATCCGTATGGCACTGCTGCCCCGTTCATTGACGCTGCTGTCCAAGCAGTGAAAGACGAAGGTGAATATCTTACGTTTGTTGCGTCGATGATAACGACTTAATAAATTTTCAGGCCTTTTGTGTATAACATGTACCGACCTATCTATCCTTGCCACGAATAACTATCCCGAAAAATGGTATCCACCAAATCATATTTTTTCGCAAAGTAATCTGCTCACTGAAGAGCTAGCTTTTCCAATTACGGAGGTTTACCCTTAAAGGCTGAATACAGCCACGAAGCTGTACGTATGTCCTCCCACCTATACGTCCAAGACTTACATGGTTTTCAGGCGCTCAGACTTGTTCTCCACGCCGCATCAACGTCTGCGTCAAGATACGGGCGATACATTGAACCTTTGTTGTCACTATCAATAGATTTTTATGTTCGACTATTCATCCGGGTCAATTCCTCCCCATACCAAGTCAAAAAAGCCTTGACGTGTGTATTGATTATTCTCGCCGAACGACAACACTGATATGATCCATAGAAAAACTTCTTCGTACTTCGTGTGCACGTCTTGCCAAAGCTTCTACGAACAACCTTTGGGTAGGGTTGTAGAAAAGCAGGGATCAAGAGAGAATGTGAATACAATCTATAAAACACAACCGGGGCCGACTGTCGGAGGAAAATGTCCTGAATGTGAATCGGGCCTTCATGTACGTTGACGTGCGTGCTCAATATTATGGCGCTCAGTCTCCCTCTACAGATCGCCGGACCAATGTGGTCTGGGCCTATCCATGATACGGACTTCGTGTCCAAAGTCCTCCAGCACACTGAATCACATAAAGACCTTTATGGAACGGCTAGTCGTATGCAGGGTATGCTCACTGTAGCAAAAGAGGTGGGTTAATCAATATCACTGCCTGGCCTCTGACGGTCGGTCTCGTGTCACAGGAGCTCCATACGAAATTCTACTTCACTCCCACAAAAATCGCAGGCTTCTTCCATTGTCAAACCCCATCTTTGGAAGAAACAACGTTAGTATTCTACACTCATTGTTGATCAGTCCTGCTCAGCTAAGTCGTATTTTAGGTCTGCTCTTCTCCATGCAGGTCATCAAGTCTCTCGTTCTCATGCATCGCCAGGCTCTTTGAAAACCACGGGGACATGCGAAGATGTTCTGGACGTTTTTCGCTCCTGGGTGAAGAAACACCCAATAAAAAACGTTTCAGAAACGTCACCATCTCTTCGTCTGTTGGCGAAAGAGCCCAGGTCAGCGATGATTAGTTGTGTGCAAAGATTTGCAATGGACTGATAGCAATGGTAATCTCTAGAATGGAAGCGAATTTCTCGAAACACCCAAAATCAGTCACGTCTTCATCCAAGGTGAAAATCGTGAGGTATCCAGAAACTCCAGCCAACTGGGGGCCTGGCAGTCGACCTGTGACTGGAGGTAATAAGAGAAAGAGAAAACACGACAATTAGTACGTGTAAAGGAGTGGCCGTTATACGTACAAGAATCCACGAAAGGATTGTTTACTAGGTACAAAAACAAAAGATAAGTAGCGTTATATAGATGAGGACAACATAGGTAGGTAGTGGCAGGGTAGTGGTGAAACAGGCAAAGGCAAAGGATCCGATCGACATAATAACCAGTATATATAGGGCAAAAGAACTTTCAAGACTTGCAAGTAATGAAAGGATGTTGCAGTAATTCGGATGCAGAGGGTCTAGCCTCATAATCAACATCAAATGTACGGGTAAGAAAATCGTGCGCCTCAGAAGAGATATCAGAAGGGATTGTAGGCTTGGCTGATGAACCAATCTAAAAAAATTGGATTAGTAGAAATATACAGTGAATTGAGCGTGACCAACCTTGAAAATGGCCTGCATTTGAGTTAGTTGAGCCCAAGGGTGTTCCCCCGTAAGCATCTCCACCACCAAACACCCGACGCTCCATATATCCGCCTTTTGGGTGTGAGCGCTTTGCTTGACAACTTCAGGCGCCATCCAGAACACGGAACCTTGCAGCGATGGGCGATGCACTCGTGCACCGGTAAGAGCCTCTGTCATATACATATGAGATCAAAACGTCTGCTGCGAACAGTGCTAGGATGTTGATGACTTACGAACGTCAACCTTTTTCGAAATACCGAAATCTGAAATCTTGACACCTCCCTTGTTATCTACGAGAATATTGGCGCCTTTGATATCACGATGTATAATACCACGCTCATGTAGGTAACTCAGTCCCTGCGATATCTGGCGGGTGAAATTGGATACTAGGGTTTCCTCGAATGCTCCGTAGTTGCGCAACAGAGCCGTAACGGATCCACCTGGGACATACTCCAGAAAAATGTTCAAGCAATCGTCTTCCAACGTTGAATCTAAACACGATATTAGGTGATGTGCAATGAGACAAAAAGAACCTGCGAACAGAGATATTGCACAATGTTATCATGTTGTAAATCCTGGAGCAGTTCAATCTCGTGTTCCAAGGCAGTAAGCATGCTTTGTTTTCGTTCAAGGTTCGGAGCGGAACCATTAGGTAGTTCGACTTGTTTGACGGCCATTAGTCGACCAGTAGAAGCATCCATACCAAGATAAACCTTGCCGAATGAACCGGCACCAATCAATGCACCCTTGATCCATTTGTTGTTGACTGAAAAGAATATTAGTGATGTATCGTTATACGCTTATTTGAAAGGCTCACTTTTCTTTAATTTCGCTGCATCACCAGCCGCCCCATCCTCATCTTCATCGTCTGCCTCCTCACTGGCAGAACCTTCATCATCAAGATACGTGTCCTCGTCATCGTCATCATCATATTCCTCATCCCCTGCCTTATCATCTTCATTCAAACCCATTGTTGAAGACCTCCCTTCTTCATTCTCGACCTCCGTCCACTCATCCGTATCAGATGACTCCGGAGGTCGAATTGCCATACTCTCCCTCTTACTTATCCGTCTATTTTCCATCTCTTTCGTGATTTCGTCGACGGTCATGAGGCTGGCAGTGTCCGAACGATCACGTTTACTTCGTAGTTCCGTCATGAAGCTGAGACGATGGGATGCATTGGAGGAGGTACGAGACATGCGTGCGCCAGGCCTTGCACCAGTGAGATTTTCGAGGGATTCAGAGAGGGATTCACTGGGGAAAGGTATGGGCGGAAGGAGTTGTGGCTTGTCAATCGAACGACCCGACGTGTCCTCGACTTCTCTGTCTAAATCGATTGATTTGCCATCTTCTGTAGAGAGTGACATTCGAGGCAGTTCTTCAGATGAGGTGATTATCGATGCGTCATCTCTCAACGTTTTGTCGGGCAACGGTGGAGGGAGAGATGAAAGAGATGCTCTGGGTGAGTAATGTGAGGAGGCTCTCCTAGTATGAGCAGAGCCTTGTGTACTACTGCTAAATCTGGAAGGTAATGAAGGATTCCACGACGCCACACTATCTCTTTTAGACGCAGTCGAGACTCGAGAAATTCGTGACATTCGCGAGGATGCCGTATTAGAGCGAGTCATCATGCTCTGTCTCTTGGTGCGCTCCAGAACCTTCTTCTCGGTGTTGGGGAAGAACTCAGTTAGATGGTTTGTGATGAGCTCACTGGGCGGACGCTGCCCGAAAAAGTTGCGTAGTTTCGAAGGCCGGCTAGTGCTGGCAGATCCTGGACTGAGACGACCCGGACTGAGTGATGCAGTTGGTGAGGGAGGCACTAAAGCTCGTTCAGGATCTTGCACTCCAAGGTCATTGAGTATACTGTAAGAACTTGCACGTTTGGTCGCTTTGCTTGTCGATTGGGTGAATTTGGATTGGGAAGGTGACACATTGCCGTCGCGCCTTGCACGAGCGATCCGACGTAGTACGAGAGGATTTTCCCGAGTAGGATGGTCGAGGGGAGCGTGGCAAACTGACAGTAGTTCGCCTTCGCTCAGTAGATCACCTGAACCATTCTCTAGATACACTCCCCAGCCGTCTACGCTCAATCCGCCATCTTCTGTAGTGACATGATCCAACGTTCCTTCTGCATCTGCATCAGCTCCTATACCTCTTCCACCGCCTTTTCCGAACTTTTTCAAAACTTTTTCCAAAATCTCGACACCCCCGACACAAGTATCCACGTCGATGGTGTATGTCAGTCCCTCATCCGGCAAGTAGAATTTAACCAATTTGCGTCGAAGATCTTCCAACGAAGGAGCGTTCGAATGTGATGGTGTGCTTGGGTTGAATGGCCGGTTGCCAACAAAGTTCTGATTGGGCGGAGATACACCGCTTGGGTTGGTGAACTGTTCCTGGATGGGGGATAGATTGATGACCCCTTGGCTGTTGGGTGCCTGTAAACCAGAAGAGTACGGATGATTAGTGACACTGGGAGAGGCACGTTTGTTATTTGGGCTCGTTGTGACAGATACAGAAGTGCTCCCGTTACGACTGTTGGGCCGGGCTGGTAAAGGTGACGTGGAACGTGAAGATTGGGGCGTCTTTCCGCCGCCGGGATTTCCTGGTCGAGGATCGGCAGGGAGGTGATAGCCTGCCCAATTGTTGGGTGATGGTGAGAGCAGATCGCGGCTGGGAGCATTTTCACCGGGCGTGGGTGTGCGCCTACCGTTGACACCGTTTATGTTATTCCGTGCAGGTGTGCGATTTGTAGGAGGGGGAGGAGGTTGGCCTCGCGGCGGCGGCGGCAGTGGAGGAAGATTGGTGCGAGTTGAGTGATTGCTGAGGGGGGTTGGACCAGAAGAAGAACCAGTAGAGGTGGTAGATAACGGAGTTCCATTGCTGGTAGCATGCGAGGTAGGTTGCGGAAGAGGTCGCACAGGATGATTTACGAAGCCGGGTGCATTAACACTCCGGGCGGAGTCTGGCTGTTGTTCACGGATGATACGAGGAAGGTCGTTCTGTATGGTCGGATTGAGATGTAAGGGCGCAGGTCTGACATTCCTTTTCCGCGTCGTAGGAGAAGTTTCGGGTAATTCACCATTGGTAGAATCTGTAAAGATATCTAAACGACTTGGCAGCGATGATTTGGCAGTTCGAAGCCTCAAAGCTTTGACCGCAGCTAGGATTCGAAGCCGGTCACCTATACTCGTAATATCCATCTCCTGTAACGTTGTCTGATCTAGTTCAAGTAATATATCTCCTCGTATATCGTTGGCAGAAAACGTATCAGCATGATGGCCGCATTTTATGTCAGTTAACCAGCGAACTACGTGACCATCGGTCCAAGTTCGAATGAAATCAGCATACGATACACCCGGAGGTGGATCTAATGGATTTGGCATCTGGCCTGTTGTCGGGGTCGTAGGGAATGGAGAGATTTGGCCGCGAATGTTGGGAACAAAAGAACGAGCTACTCCAACTTGAACCTGAAACGAAGGTGAAACTGGTGGTGATTCGTTGTCAGCTGCATTATTGGGAAGCAAGCCGTTGACGGCTACAGCGGCCATATGATTATGTATAACTTGACAGGGAGTTTAGTGGGAGAAAGCAAGCTGAAAGTGATGTTAATTCAACGAATAACGAGAAGAGAATTCATAACGCACCATCCAAAGAAAGTAGGAAATAACAACAATTCGACACTTTCAGCGTTCACCAACACTGAAACTCAACGACGACCACAACGAACAGAGGTAAGGAGGGATAATTAGGTAAGATTAAGATTTGGGCCGGTAACTGTAGCAACGCCAGCGCCTCTTTCTGTTTTGTACTTTAAGTACAGCGGGGTTATGTCTGACCAGAAACTCATGTGATGTTCTGTTCCAACTTTCTCTCACCGACCACGATGTTCAAATTTGGTTCTTCTGCGAGAGCTCTCAGCCGTGTGCCATTCAGTCATCGTCGTCGTTTTGCGGTCGGCTCCGGTCCCCAGACCATCAACCAGAAAGAGCTTGATGCATGGATCGCTGAACCAAAACAGTTCACTCTTTCGGATACCTTACATGCTGAACGTCTTTCGGATCTTTTCATAACTATCCCTTCTCGGGATGGAACTAGGAGCCCTTATCACGAACCGAGAAAAGGTCAAAAGCTACCTCCTGGTTTTGAGATTGCCTTCTTCCACTTCAGGACGCCTGAATCTCAGCTTAGAACGGACGGCACTGATGGAGAGTTTTGCCCACCGAACCCTTTCTCACGTCGAATGTGGGCCAGTGGGAAGATGTCTTGGGACACGAATAATCCGTTGTTAATTGGAGAAAAGACGACAGCTACTTGGACAGTGGATTCGGTTCAGAAAAAAGGGTTTGACGCTGGGAAACCAATGTTGTTCGTCAATAAGAAAATTGATTTCACTATGGTCGGAAAGAGCACTCCTTCCCTTGTCGAAGAAAGGATGCACGTATATCTACCTGACGCACAAGTACAAAGTCGCGTGTCTCGAGAGGGTAAGTGTTTTTACAAAAGCATCGTAGTCCATTCACTTAGATAATACCAGTCAAAAACCTTCCTTCTTCTTCTGATTTTTCTTTTACATATGTTCCTTCTCTAACAACATTATTTCGATTTTCCGCCATTATGTGGAACGCCCATCATATTCATCTGGACAAGGACTACGCTATCCAACATGAAGGATACCCTGGTTAGCTCTCATACCATCTACAAGTCGACGTGCTTTCTTATGTCTTTTTCCAGAGCGACTTGTTCATGGACCCTTGACTTCGCTCATGTTGCTCGAAGCTGTCATGCACCATGCTCCTGCCTCTGTCATCCGTACTTTTGAATATCGGGCGAGGAACCCGTTGATCGTAGGGCGCGCTAATACGATACACGGCAAATATAACAGCGATAAATCCATTCAGCTTTGGTGTGTAGACGAAGATGGGGTAGTGGGTATGACTGGCACAGTGGAAATTGTATAACCGAGCTGTTTTTAAAACATCACCGCAAATGCATACTTATATTGAAACCTTTCTTATCGCATTTTGAAACAGACGACGCGTCGCGAGTCGCGACTCACAAATATTGTTGCACGTGATTAAAGTCACGTGGACCATGTATACCGCGCCGGTGTTGATTCGAATTTTCGCAAACCTCTCTTAACCTCCTACCACCATCATCCCCCGCTCCTCTTTTCTACATTGGTTTGTTGCACAACTCTTGTAGCTTCGAATTCTTTCACTTATATCATTACACATTCTCCAGAAATGGCCCCAAAAGTTTGTCTCGCTCATTCGAATGGCACCGAATCATGGTCTAATCATAACGCCAACAGCCTGTTTCCACCGCCTCTAAAGCACCAGCATCCACTGCTGGCAAAGCTCCTGCGAAAACTGAGGGTTCTAAGGCTGCCAAAAAGACTGCGAGTAAGAGTAAGCCAACTGCTGGCGTTGATGGTGAGAAGAAGAAGCGTAAAAAAGCAAGAAAGGAAACCTACAGCTCTTACATCTACAAGGGTAAGTTCGCTTTTGTTTGAGATGTACAATCATCGCGTTTGACACGCCGTTCCAGTCTTGAGGCAGGTACACCCCGATACTGGTATCTCCAACAAGGCCATGGCTATCCTAAATTCCTTCGTCAACGATATTTTCGAGCGCATTGCCACCGAAGCTTCTAGTACGTGCTATTAATTTGATTCGCTGACTATATCGCTTAGCGTTCTGGTTTTATGTTATGCAGAACTCGCCACGTATTCCAAGAAGTCTACCATCTCTTCTCGTGAAATCCAGACTAGTGTTCGTCTCATTCTTCCCGGAGAACTGGCAAAACATGCTATCTCCGAGGGTACCAAGTCTGTCACCAGTATGTTGACCAACCTTTGTTTGCCTACGGCTGAATAACTAGTGATCTTTTCTTAGAATTCTCTGCTGGTGCAAAGTGAAGGGGACGAGAGTTGCTCATTCTATATATTTCTTTTCTGTAACATCAAATCTTTGTATTATGTTGGCCAGATATTAGTACTGTAAAGCATCCAGTTGTCAATATGGTTATATGTGCCATATCGTTCAAAGGTTGTACATAGATATGAGTACAAGGGCAACGCAGACATAAGAAGCCTAGAAGCCTACGATTGAATCAGTAAAAGTAGGACAATGAGCTGCATAGATAACACACCATATTTGTTTCCCGCTTCTTTGCGGTTCCGACGACCTTCTGCAATCTTTTCCTCTAATGCATCCCGATTTTCATACGCCTCATTCAACAGCGTAGCCAATTGGTGCCTTGAGCGAGCCCTTCCACTCAGCTTGGCAGCCTGGCAGGATGAGTGGAAAAATTAGTTTCAGAAAGAAAGACAGTACTTGAAGACTAACCGTAATATTCATCTTCGGCTTCGCCAACTCCCCTCCAGGATTCTTTGATACGGCCTTCCTCTCCTCCCGCTCCTTGATCTCTATCTTAGCCCTCTCCATTTCTTTTGCAGCATCAACATCCGCCATCTCATGTCGATCATATCCCTCAAATCCTTTTACCGCTCCCTTCTCTAACGCACGCACATGGTCATTGTATGACTTCTCCCATCTCTTTCGAAATTTCTCGTAGTATTCCAAATCGTGCTGTTTCCATTCGCCGGAAGGAAGTTGGTAGTATCCTGGATAAGGATCGTTCATGGAGGGCTCTGGAACGGAGAAGGTGGGGATATCCGGAGCAGATGATACAGTGATAGATGCAGAAGGAGCTGAAGAGATAAAGCTGCTTGAGGGCACTGAAGATTTCGAAATGGATGAGGAAGAGGATGACGTAGAGGCTGGATAGGTGATCAGTATTGTGTTATAAGCAACCACACATGAATGAGCATACCGAGTCCAAAAAAGTCTGCAGACATTGTGGACGTTGGGTCCCTGGATTTCAGTGTGACTCTGGGCTTTTCCTCTTCCAAAGATATATTCGCCTTGCCCCTTGCCACTGAAGGTGGCCGAAATGCGAATGAAGTTGATGAGGAAGTAAGTCCCTCCAATGTTGGTTCGTCTGCGCCTGAAATGCTCTCCTCGTCCTCCGTAAATAATGCAGCCGCTGTCGTTGCTGGTCTCGAGGTATTAAACACCAGTCCAGGGCCATTTCCACCACCCAAAACCCGTTCCGGAGCCGAAGGAACAGGAGCCTTTTGTTTTGGAGCTGGTAACATAGATAACAAAGACGAAAAACCTGCTCCTGTGCCTGTTTTTGCTTTTTTCGCAGGTAGCATTTCTAGTTGCATATCATCGTCGTCGCCGTCATCCGCATGCTTTAAAGTAGGCAAGCTTATTGCAATAGTCTTCTTTTTCTTTGCTGGACCTTTCGTTGAGGATGGAGGGGGTAGTGAGATTGAACTGTTCTTGATTTGGATAGGCTGTAGACGCTGGGATGTTCCTTCGCCGTCACTGTCGCTCCCGCTGCCGTAGTCTTCAATACCGAGCATTAGAGTGAGCGATCTTTGAATCAGGTATAACCAACCATTCACGTGGCTTCGACGCTCGGTACCCGAGGGCCGAGGATCGCTCGCGAATTAGGCGCCAAAGCGCTTATTCAGAGCTCGATCGAGTTGCTCGCTGAGTCGCTGTTGTTCTTCTTTCGAGTTGTTGGGCGCGCAAATCAAGCTGCTGGCTTCGAGAGGATGCGTGCTTGACTAATGCTAGGGGCAATGCCTGGTAAATGCATGCCACTTGCTACTGCCAGTGAACTGATACTACAAAGTAATAATAGAATTCCACAGTATTCTTGACGATGCAGATAGCGATTGTTTTCGCAACTTTTTCCCCCCATTCTCCAGCTGGCGAGTTGCATTAGTGATATCAGTGTCCTTGCTTTGATGCTGAGTTCCAAAAGTACAAAAAACTCAATGATAGGCAGTAAACGACTCTCAAAATTAACTTATGAACGTTACAGACTAAAATACTAGCAATGTGTACAACAGGAATGACGATACCTATCTGATGCATGTAACAACCCGAATGAAGAGGAAAATGCGTATGATGATAGAGTTCCGTGCAGGGTTCAGTTGGATGCGAATCACAAGCAGCGAAACAGAAAACAGGGATATTGATAACGAAAGTCATTGTGCAATTGCAACTACGGTCGTGCTATCGAATATTCCAGTTTAAGCCAACTGGACGATATGAGCCAAAAGGAGAAACGTACCGAGCTGCTCTTTACGGTAGAACCAGAAATACCCTACCACGATAACCAGTTGACAAAACAGAGCCAGCCAGAACATTGGCTCAGCCATCGGACTCCCTTTGAATGTGATATATCAACGATTCGGCATAAGCTCAGAAGAGCAGATCTACATACCTTTCAGCCCTTCTGAAAAGTCCCACTTTGCAGCGTCAGGGAACACATTTCCAGGTCCGATGGCGTTCGGTGCAGTTGCGCGGGCGATCATCACACACACAGATCCGATGATTTGGGAGAACGCCAACGTAGCACAAACGTGAAGCCGCGAAAGCGTCTGTAGAAGTATCATACCAAGGCCAACACCTTGCACTGCGTCAAGCACACCAAGCCACAGCCAGAGGGATAGTCCAAGGTAAGGACCTGAATGACCAGCCCAAGGAATGTAGAGAGCCAAAGAGGAGGTTCCCCAAAGCATCTAGAGTTGATCAAGGTCAGACGAAAACTCAACTAAATTGCTTTTTGTTGAAGTATACCTGACACCATCTAGGAGCACCCAATCCTACGGCAAATACGGGAAGAAGCCAAGTATGTGTCTTACTGAAATGCGTAAGAACGAACAGCATGGCAGCCCATACCCCGACGAAAAATGTGAGGACAAGGAGTAAAATCTGCCATTTTGGCACATTGACTTCCCACAAGAATCCCCAATTACGTCCGTAAGGCTGCGATACGGTGTTCAAACGAGGATAAAAATCAATAAAGGTGAAAGCTTACACCACTGAGCCAATAGTCTCGCAGTATCTCAGATGCGAGGAACCAGAGAACCAACTTCCTACGGAAGAGTGTTTTCAGGAAGTGGGGGACTTTCGGAGGTGTTTGACGATAGTATTCTAAAACAATCACGGTAAGGATTGGCATGAATTGAGAGAGCATATACTCACCGGGCAACCCAAACAACATCAAGTAGAAGAAGATGAAACTCAACACGGCCAATGGCCAGACGATTAGAGCTATCCACCAAGGCGGGATATAATCATCCGTTTGACCGTTTAAAGAGTTACCCCAATACCAAAGTGCGGCAACCCAAACTTGCTGTGATCCTTGCACGATACATGCTCTGAACGTCCAGACTTCCGTGGCAGCGCCCTGGAAAAAAAGACTAAGGAACGCTGAAAGCCACTCATAGATGAAAACGGAACGTACTGCTTCTTCTCCAAAATTCAGACCGAAGAACAAAAATGCAGCGGCAGAACCGACAGCATAACTCCAGGTGGCAATGTTCGCGATGATCCGATGAGCTGGATGAAAAGCGCTTGAGACCGAAGGTAGCCCTATCATTAAGAACGCGAGTCCAAAGAAGAGCCAAGGGGTGGAAAGAACATAGATAGATGGCTTCAAGCGGAAAAGCGGATACCAAACTGCAGAAGCAGCCAAGAACACACCACCCAAAACGTATAATTGAAGATTGTCTTCCCAGCTTCGACCGGTGAGAAGGGTGATTTGGAAACTCGTAGCACTTATCATCTACAACCTCCTTCAGACTAGGTCATGACATCTGGAATGAAGAAAAACTGGCCTGTCCAAGGGCAATAATGATGGTGTACAGTGGCCATCCTTTGATTTCGCGGGAAAGTGCGATTTGTAGCCCGGTCATTGGTACAGAATCTGATGGTGGCCCATTGCTATGTACCGTACCTTCGTCATACATAGGAGAGAAGGCTGATTTTGGTGCTAGAAAAAGAACGCCAGGTAAGCCCAAAGACCCAATATTCAGCGGATGTCGTTCGTACATTCAGGCCGGGAATAAATGGACGGGGAAGGAGTGCCAAATACAGAATCTCTCTGCGACGAGCGAATACTTGCTGCGCTTGACAGTTTGTCCTTTTTCACTTTGCCGAAGAAAGCTTCTTCACTCTTCATAAGATACTTCTCGATAGAGAGTTCGTGTTCAGAATTTTTGGCGTTGAGAGCCTGTAATTTCTGAATGAAGTCGGCTGCTACACCGCCATCGGAATCCGTGAACTAGATACGCGTTAGCATGGTGCAAAATAAAAGGGGTCTGCAACTTACAGATGCAATAGCTTTGTTCAAAGGTGAATTGGATTTCTCATCCACGATAGATGATATCGACTCGACGGACGATATCCGAGAATGCAACCCGAAAGGCCGACTGGGGGTAACGCCCCCATCAAGGAATGGATCTGGAGTATATCGATGGTCTCGACCAATCACCCGATTAGCTTTCTCCAAGAAATCACCATAACTTTGATTGTGTTCAAGGCTTGCATTGGGGTGTGAAAAGTAATCAACTTCCCCATTTTCAGTGGAATAAGAGCTCCTGTAGCCATCAGGTTGAAGGAGGCGGGGCGCAGCGTTTGGTGTGAGTGTGTCCTGACTCCAACGTCCGGGGGATCCGGGGCTGTTCGGGGCCACAGGACTGGCCAGAGAGGCGCTCGTCATACTGCTTCTGTTGTCCCATTCAGGTTGTAAGGGATATGATTGGTTGACAGGGTCCCAGTCATCTGTATCCACCATAGGGCGAGCACCTTCGCTGTTACAATCCGATTCTCTCCAAGCATTTGCACCAGATAAATTTCTACTGACGGTGATACTCCGTTTATGGAAATCTTCTGTACGCTGACGCCATTCGACTACAGGAAAACGTTGGAGGGCTGACCGAGCTCGAAGTATTGCGCGCTCCTCTTCAGTCGATTTGAGTGCCAGTTTGACAGTTTTGGTAAGTTGTGATAACATATGAGCGGTCGAGGTGGATTCTACAGGAAACCACTATGAAGAATTGATATTGATTCAACAAGGCAAGCTGCGAAATCACTTACCCAACCAGGCATCAAACCAAGACCACCTAGACGACTGCCAACTCCTAGAGCACCCTTTCTCCCGAATTCAACTGCCACTAGACCGAACGGTTCATCCCGAGAAGGGATCAATGCGAAATCTGCCCCGCTAAATAGGTATGGGGGAAGTGCAGTGAACTCAGGCTTGGAGTAAACACGATCAGGATAGATCTCCATAAGTCTAGCAAGCTTTTCAGCGGCAAACCGACCATACAGATCAATGACGGGTCCAACGGCGATCACTTGGATGGAAGGCCGTTTCTCAAGTCTGTGAACAATTAAGGCAATAATTCAGTGTACCAAAATTGCATACTCACAACGATGGCAAGACATCCGCAATGAGATCGACGCCCTTTTGTTTCGACCAACGACCGACGAAGACGAACAAGTCGGAGTCAGGATCCTGTTTGATTCCCGCCCATACTTGCGCTTGACGCTTCATCTCCGGACGAGCAGCTTCGGAGACCTGATCTATCTGGACGTCGTGAGCATCAACAGGTTTTTCATCCAGAGCAGCAATATCAGTAGGATCGGGATTGGGCAAAGAGTCAACGTGTTTGAGGGTCCAAAGAGCAGGATATCGAGCCCAGCTACGCTTTCCATACTTGTCAGATACACCAGCAACCCCGACACTCTTTTGGTGGGTACTAATGAAAGATGCAGCGGCATGTAGGAGGTTGAACGTGTTTCCAAATTGAACGTATTTCGTACAATGCTCTTTGCTGATATTGAAGGCCGAACAGACCTCTTTCATCTCCTCCTTAGTACGCAAGGGCCAAAGACCTTGGAATTCTGCATTGTGAAGAGATAAACAGATGGGAAGGACTTTCGGAAGAAGGTAGATAGGGGCGAGAGCCCCGTGATAGTCATTAATATGGTAAATATCAATGAGGGGGAAACGGCGGACTGTGGCTGCGATGGCCTGGTTCCAAGTTGAGTAGAAGATGGCGGAACTAAGGTCATCCATACGAGCGGGATAAGGATCGGCTTTGGTCTGAGCACGGAAAACGGGGCTATCAAGGATGACATAGGTAATGTTATCCAGGATGTGCGTCTCGACCTCGATTAAATAGGGCTCGCCGAAGATGATGACTTCGATGGGCTGCGCTGGCTCACCAGGGGGGTACTCCAAATCCTTAACTTTCGGTACAACCCAAACTAAATCAACGTCCGTCATTGCTTTGCCCATTAAACTGGACATAACGCCGAGGCCACCGATTTTCACTTTCAGCTTCCAGTCGATGATTTCATACTCCAGCGTAGCGATCAATACCTTCCGGCGCTTGTTCTTATCTTCCGGCCAGCCAATTATCTCGTTGTTGTGCTTGTGACCGAACAATTTCTCCGAAACGGCGCCTCCGTCTTTGAAGTCGGTATTCGATCTGTTATTGGAGAAGGCACTGAAGATCGGGAAGTAATTGGAATTGGAAGATTTAACCTTGACACCATATTGATTGTACTTGATGCCGTAAAATGACCACATGAAGATAAGAACCGCGAGTGAACCAGTAACGAGAGGAATCGATAAAAGAAGGGCGTACATGGTAGCGCCAACTGAGGATTGACCGCGGGGGGATAAAGACCACGTCATAGTCGCGTCGTCAACAATGAGGGACCATGCAAGATGAGGAGAGGGTGGGGCAGACATATTAAGGTAATTAGGCGCCGCAGTGTTGGGAGGAAGACGATCAAGAACACCATCACCATCGGTATCACCGTAATAGAAACTATCAAAGCCGAACACTGGATTATGAAATTAGATTCGAGAAGGATTTGCATGAATATAAGTTACTCGCCATTCAGCTGAACATATGTTGGCCATTGAGCCATGATTTCGAGTTCCCATTTGCCCTCCGAATTTTGAGTCATTTGATTCGCAAGACCCTTGTCGAAGCCCCAGTCGTTGAACGGACCACGTGCCAGGAACTGAGGAACTCTCCGAGGATATCCGGAATACCCGTAATCAGCATGGACAACTGCCGCAGTAGAAAGAGCAGCTTGACTCCAGTCTGTGAAACATATTTTAAGTAAAGTATGTCTGAACTGTGTGACCATTCTTACATTGGACCATAATATGATCACCGTCCCAAAACTGACTTGTACCATCAAACAAGGATGTGTCGATGGTGGTGGTGTCTTCCCAGTTAGTCCAGTTAGTCCAATTTTGCCCGTAGTTCCAGGAGTAACGGAACTGATCAGCACCGTACGCAGTGTGGCTGAAAATATAAGTCCCATCCGAATAGGTAAGAGCACTGCTATTATAATCGTTGTCAGGAAAGACCATGACGTTTCCAGATGTGCCCTTCCTCAACATGAGATGATCGGTCGACTGTATAGCACAAATAAGAGATCAGGAAGAATGGATACGAATTATGACTTACCCCAGTACCATTTCCACCCGAGGAAGATGGATTATTGACGGTCAATGTCAAAATGCCATCGGGGAAGTTGGCCAATGTCGCATTCCAGACCCACTGCGTTTGTGAGACACCTGGGACGTTACCCGTAGCCGGATTGGTGAGAGCACCACAGTTGACGTTCGTTATTGATGGAGTCGACGCACCGCTAAAGCTGGACATATTCATTGAGATGCTGTTAGTAACGCTGTTACAATCCATCTCCGTGTTGAACTCAAGCGAGATATCGACTGTGGTCGCATTCGCATCACCTGGATTAGCAAGGATGCGCGCGTCATGCCCAGGATTGAAAGCCGTGAGCGCAGGAGGAGGGGCGGTCCACTCGTTTGCCGGAACGAGCGCCTTGAATCCATATGGTGCCATCGTGACGGAGCTCAAACAACCATACCATACCGATTGATTATCGTTATTATATGACGAAAGGGAGTCCTCAAGCGTATACGTCTCATAAGGTGCAAATAGGTTCCTGACAGTGGTACCAGAAGTGTACGGTGAGGAAATCCACAAATCACCCTTGCAGTCGTAGGACCAAGTTTTGGTTGTATTTTCGTTCGTGAACAACAGCCACACTTGATCCTGATAGGTTCCACCAAGTGTCTGGACGCCACTGATTGCGGATCGGGAGATGGACCACAAGCCCATTTCAGTGGCGCTACCATTTGAACCCGGACGCTCGATATAGTATGTCCAGTTTCCTCGTTCCACAAGATTGAACCCATCCTGGAGAGAGCCATAGACTGAGCGGAGATGATTGAACTGCCCAAACAGGCGGCGTGAATCTGTGGTAGGGTCGAAGTGATCGCGACCATTCCATTCGTCGTAGCACCCAAGGGCCCCCTTGTTGAGAGGCATATTGAAGTATTGCGTAGAACCTAATTTGTAACATCCGTGTCGTTTCCAAGCTTGAGTTCCTGGCATTGCTTGACGCCTACAGATTGCGATTCAACAACTGGCATCAATGTTAAACAATGCGAATTTCATACCCATAGAGATAATTGGATGCTCCTGTATCATACATATATATATTCTGTTCTTCGCCATAAAAATACTAATAATGATGATCAATTGAACAATTCTTGGATATAGCTGGGGCAATAACTCACTAAAACCATCCCAGGCATCACCAACGATGTCATAAAAGTGGCAAGTGCGCTCCTTTGCGTACCATTCTCCAGACTAGGCCAACGGAACACATCGAAGTTACTTGTCCCAAACATGTGTCTGGGGTCCAGCAACCCACTTTGAGAGTTGACAAAATCATTGGTAACGAAGATTTGATTCCACGCAGTGACGAAGTTGGTATCTACATCATATGCCACTTGAAGATTTCCGTCCATTCCCAAAAACCGAGTGAGCGATCGATATATGGAGTAGTGGAAAGCCACCCCGTCGAGCGCGTTGAGAGGGGCATCACGGAGGAAATACTCTGGCATGTTCGAAGTGACATTGGCTGCTGCGAGGAAACCAGGAGGAAGCATGGTAGGAGTACGGCCACGACCGCTGTTCATGTCCGGTTAGTTCCATGAAGAAAGAGCATGATGGGAGAGTTTCCGCGATCTTACATGTATAAAGACCCAAAAGTGTTCCCACCGGTAACTTCGCCTGGAATAAAGAAGTTGTTTTTGCCTAATTTGTTAGCACAATTTCGCGTACTACTGGCCCAGGTTGCAAGAGCATCGACTGTGACTTGAGTAGCCTTGTCGATACGGATAGCGTCAATGTCGAGGGCAGTGATTGCGAGGCAGGAGAAGGCGGTGAGTTTATCCATTACCGAGGGTTTCCACTCTCGCAGACGATCTTGAACAGAAGCGAACTTGGACAATTGACGCTGCCAGTCAGGATGAACACCGAAAGCCTCCATATCACCATACTGGTCGAAATCGGACTCGAGACAACCGTTGGTGTCCACGGTGACAATTGTACCATCGTCGAGCCAGAATTTGGGAGTTTGACACGAGTCGTTGCGTGTGTTGCTAATCTGTGACAAAGATCAAACGTCTTGATAACGGGATGCCGAGTTAGGACTGACCTGAAAGTCCTTATATTCGGTAAAGTTCCAAGGAATATAGTCGGGATGTTTCCAAACGCCATTGTATTCGTTGAGATCGAAGGGAGCAGTCGAATTTACATAGCTAATGCACCAAAAGAGTCAGTTGAAATAGCTCACAAGCATAAACGCGTAACAAACCCGTCAAAACCAATCAAATCACTCATTGTACCGACAGTGAAATCAGCCATGAGGTACATTCCGCGAGCATGAATCTCGGCGATGGTATCGACCCAATCATCCCAGGTTCCCCAGTGAGGATCGAGTACTGTAAAGTCGAGGGGAGAATAACCTGATATTCAAAGAACAATCAATAAAGGGCGAAATATTTGAAGAAGGCAGCCTTACTGTCGGCCTGCCACAACATATTCAAGAACGGTGTACCCGAAATGAAGATGACTTTGATGCCCATGCCTTGAAGGTAGTCGAGACGAGCGACGAGGCCTTTGAGATCGCCACCAAAGCGAAGTTGAGTTTCACGCCAGTCGTTTTCGAACATTGTACCGAAGTAATCATTATTGGAAGGGTCGCCATCGGCGAATTTATCAAGGAGAATAGTGTACACAGGAAGAGCACGCCAGTTTCCGGGAGAAGACGTGTAAGTTGTATTTTGGCGAGTGGTAGAATACTGAGTAGGATCTATAGCGTCCTTGTTGGTGTTAAGATTATAGTTGACGAGATCTTCTCTATACGGAGAGGCTGATACAAGAGTGCGGATGCATGTTAAAAGAGGGAGGAGGTAAAAGAAGGCGGAATTGAACCGCATGGCGGAACTAAACGAAGGGCAAGAGCGAAAACAAGTGAAAGAACTTGAGGCAAGAGTTATTAGCTGGATGTCTAGAATTCTGGCCTATTTTGGCGGTCGGCCAATCTACCCCGCATTAATCCGTTGTGGGAAGATCACAATCCTCGATCGAAAGTCCGAGTCCGACTTTGTCAATTTTTGATCTCTTGGCGGTTAAATTTCTCGACTGGGACGACGATAAGAACTCAGCTCAACTGAGCTCTCTGAACAAAGTCCCTCAATAGGCCTCCAATTTGAGCTTAGCACGTATCCGTTTGTTCTTCTTGCATTTTGGCAAATTTATCTCGTCTTACTACTGAGTAAGTACTACTTGGGACAAAACACCGCAAGTCATACATAGTTCCAGCGTCGCGCCAAATACCTTCGACCAGCTTCGACCTCAAACTTGCAGGTGTAGCACCACTAATGTTGATTTTCGCTATTATGTATCTGTCATTATCCTGAATGCCCAGGAGGCTACTTTTCTCTCGATCAAATTCCTGCCTAAAAATCAAATTCGGCGTACATTCTTCGGTTCATGTTTCGACTGTTTATTTTTCAAAGCGCTGGGATGCAGTGGGACGCTCACAGATGTTCTCTTTGTACTTCGAAGTTGTGGCGCCTCTTGATGCTTCAATTGGAAACGGAGAGCGCAATCAGAGTTATATCATAGTTAACATTGACTGCAATGCTGAGGGGTATATGCATTCATTGTATATAAGATCGGGCTGCGTAACTATGGTACCTACTGTTTGCTAGCTTTAACATCATCGAAAGGCGCGTTGTAATAGCCATACGAGCTGAGTAACGTTGCAAGCCGAGGAAGAACTTCCACCTGGAACTCCTCAAAAGGATACGATTCACCATCAATGGACAGATATCCCTTCTTGGAAAGAGGTTTTATGCGGTAGGCTTCTGCCTTCAGGTAGTGCAACTGTAGGTCGATAGTTTCATCTCTACAGTTGGGGTCGATAAAGCGCGATAAATAGACGTACGCTGTCATTCCAATATAATTCACCCTTAGGAGCGCCCCCAAACGACGCGAGGACGTCTGTCCTTGAGAAATTTGTCTGGAAAGGTACGGTGAGCGCCAACAGATTGCTCGACACATGAGACTTACAGTGGACTGAGCTACGATGTCGATCAATCCATCATCGGGTAGAGATACAGGGAAGGCCATGAAATCCCTAGCGACATAAGACCATTCCCGAGCAGCGTATGCGATTCCATTTGCTCACCTTGCAACATACGGTCCTTTACCAGCGTACAGATAGAGGAGAGGTTCCGAAAAAATGGTCCATCCTTCAGTCTCGTCCAAGCTCACTTTTGACTTTGGAAGTGATGAATCGGCATCTTGAATTTCTTGAGGGATCGACTCTGAGCTAGTTTGTGACCGGCTAGATTTGAAATTATCGAACATCTTTCTCTTGTCCTGCTCAACGACTTTGTAAGATAATTGTACATTACATGACTTAAATTTGATCACTGTCGAATGAATTAAATGCGGGAAAAGACAGGATTAGAAGAATCGACCTACAGCCGCGGAATAAACCATACATGAAACGAGAATCACCCATCCAGCGCAAATCCTCGGTACCAAGGTCTAAATCAGCCATGAGTCCCAAAGCTTGAGACATGAAAGAGACTGTTTGTTTCCCGTTCTGTACGATTGAGAATACGTCGACAGGCATGGGTGAACCTGCATAAAGTATGAGGCAGAGAGAACTTGAGTAGATAGACTAAAGCAAGCACACCTTTTATAGCGTTCAAACTTGCCGCGACCACGTCAAAACCATCCTGAAATTCATATTAACAATAACATTTCAACTGGATAGTATGGTATCCATGCCTCGATACCAAGAATATTTAGGGATAACCCGTTTCCAGACCCAGTCGGAATAGGTGCGACTGGTGTTTGGAAAGCCTTACGAGGATAGGCGTGATTTGCAAAACCATTCAAGACTTCATGAATCAAACCGTCTCCCGAGACCGAAAGTAGAGCATCGAACTCGCCAAGAGGTAGAGATTTCGCAATTTCATATGCATCTCCGGTCTTTTTGGTGTCTGTTCGTTTGCTTAGAGGACAACTCCGGTTATGATGAAGGACAGTGCCAGAACTCACAAACAACATCGAGACTACATCCCGCTGTCCGAAGAACTGGCTCAACTAACTTATTGAATACAGCAACTGCTTTGCCCTGCCAATCATTCCAGTCAAAAATGTATCAAAGATTGAAAGTGGAACACGAACGACGCCACCGTGCGGATTGATTAGCACCTTCAGTCGACGGTGAAGTTTTATATCTATTGAAGAAGGTAAATAGAACAGACAGCAGCTCAATATAGCATAAATGACCTTTATATGCCCAGTCTAGCATTGTCTTTGCCAATTTCCCTGCTGCTTCGGCTCTACTTCCTTCAACTTGACCGTCCAGGTGTACTAACTCCAAAGGGCCCTTTTTCTTCTTTCTGAGCACGTATGCAACTTTTAGCAATCGCGCATCAGGATGGTAGGAAGCTGCAATGACATTGTGTAAGGGGACTGTCTGCGGTTTCTTGTTTCCTAATATGCGATGTGTGAATAAGACCCTAGGATGGTAATGTATTACCCGCTCTTTGCTCACCAATGGTAATTATCAAAGCGGTAGAGGTAAGACAGTACCTGGTGACCTTTCCATGTATTTGTGCCTCAATGTCTATATCTGACATGCTGGTGGATGGAAGAGCATAGGGCGCAAGTTCGGCCATGTCTGGACCATGTTCGCTCGCTGCCAAGACTGGAGGATCAACACATTTTCGGCCCCCACATCTCCGAGCCCCGGCTACGTATTACGTTGTGACCAGTGCTTATCTAAACCGTGTCTGTCACATGATCTGGATCGTTTACTAGTATTTAAAAGTTAGGCGCGTCTTTTGCCTGTATTCAACTTTCTTTCCCAACTTCCACCGTGCAATCGTGAGTGCTTTGCTGCCCATCTGCACCCAGAAATATTCTGATGCATCGCTTTCCATGATAGCACTACTTTTGTCAAAATCTAGTTCTTGATGGCCCCCAAAGTACGCTTGCGTCCCCGATCCGGTTGTGATTGACAGTCTGACGGGTTTGCGTAGCCCGTTTCGACTGCTTCGAAGGCACCTGCCTCCACCGCTGGGAAGGCACCTGCAAAAACCGAAGGCTCCAAGGCTGCCAAGAAGACAGCGAGCAAGAGTCAACCCAGCTCTTCTGGGGTGGACGGCGAGAAGAAAAAGCGTAAGAAGGCGAGAAAGGAAACATATAGTTCCTACATTTACAAAGGTGTGTCTCGCTGCTGTTGTTATCAACCGCCTCGCTGAATAGCGTTTTTTTCTCCACAGTTCTCCGACAGGTTCACCCTGACACCGGGATCTCAAATAAAGCAATGGCCATTCTAAACTCCTTTGTGAACGATATTTTTGAGCGTATTGCCACTGAAGCTTCGAGTATGTGAACGTTCTATCCAAATTTCAGATGACTGATGGGTTTCCAATCAGAGCTCGCAACATACTCGAAGAAGTCGACCATCTCTTCACGAGAAATTCAGACCAGTGTACGTCTGATTCTGCCCGGTGAACTAGCCAAACATGCCATCTCAGAAGGAACCAAGTCGGTTACTAGTGAGTGTCTGTTCGTTGCTTGGTAAGATTTTTGACTGAAAATATTGTCCTTTTTACAGAATTTTCAGCCGGGGCCAAGTAGGTGTACACTAGGCTGCTATGCTCCAATTATCCTTATTGTATTTCTGAATCTTTATATGTCTTGTTGATAATACGGATTTGTTGTAACACATTTTATTTCGCTTCCGCCCGTCGTCCCTCCAATTCTTGATTTGAAGGTAGTCACTAGTGCAATGAACTGGTGAACCTATGTATCATCATATGTGGGTTATATGTTTAGATTGAATTCGTTTCCTATCTTATTGCTCTGCATGTAGAGGATGAAAAATTGTCGTCTAGCGGGCTTCGAATTGGACCACTGTAAAAGTGCAGATCATTGGCAGGGGTATATTCGTAGAACACTGAGTACTTACTCCTTCTCGTCCTCCTCTTGTACATGATACGATGTCCACATTCTCTACATCTGATAGGCTCTCGAGCACGAATTTCGTTCTTGGCGTTACAGTCTTATTAAAATTTGTCAGATCGAACTACAGAGTAGGGGCAGATAAAAGGCGCACCAGCACATAGATATTCCATGTCTTGTCTTGGCGCCTGCATTGGAATCCCAGCGCTGGTCGAATTCGTTGCTTGCAGGTGGTCGTCGTTGGTATTCATTGCTGAAGGAAACAAAGACAAACATCGTGCGAAAAAAATAACTTCTATACAACTCTTAAGTTCTTAGTTTTTCCTAGTCTTCCGACTCGCGTTCAATTCTGATGGCCAGCTTCTCGCCTTCACCTGCTCCTCGTCGTTCTTCTCGTTTACGGGGTGATGCTCGTCCGAATTCCCCCACACGGCGTATTAGAGTAGCCAACAGTACATCACGCCTCAGTACGCCAAACAGGAATGCCGATGGTACTTCTGTAGCATCTTTAATGGACGTTGATGATGGTCGAAGTTCGGTTGGCTCAGAAAGGGGTTTTGCAAAAACTGGAGTCGAGCATATTTTTGCGAAGTCGGACCAGGTGATGGTGTCATTCCACGCGAATCTGCCTCTTGAAGTTACACAAATTTTGAGGAATGCTGGTAAGCAGTATACTTTACACAACATGATTCACTACCATATGTCGGTTGTAGACTTCTATCGCGACGTGTACTCTGGAGAGATCGATACTTTGACTGGATTCGCGTTGATTGCCTCGATGAAGACGTGCTTTGTCTGGCAGCATGCTATGGTCTGTCTGCCTTCTTCTCCACCTTCACATATTCTAAATCGGCAAATAGGCTGTCAAGGGAACTCCTACTTGCTACATCTTTACTTGTCCTTACGATTTCAATCAAACGAGTCCACCTTTCCATAGTCTAGTGCCATGGGGTTCCAGTCGGGAACCCGGTCTCATTCTCATATCAACAGCGGGTGAAATTAGATTATGGGATAGCGTCGGGATCGGTCTTGCTGGTGGTGATCGCTACTCGACCACGTATCTTGAACTGGTCTCGGAAGATATTGTCACCGGATTGAAACGCGTAGATGTAAGTGTATCGAATGATGATTGGGATTCTCGCTCGTTAAAATGCCAGCGCGACAGACTCAAACCTACGTCGTATCCACTACGTCTGGCAGTCTATACAAGCTTGTCCTGACTTCCACTGGTGGGAAATACCATTTGACCTCACATCCTTTCTCAAAACCCTCGAAATCATTATCGCTGTCCAGGCTGATACCTTTCCTCTCCTCATCTTCCTCAACAACTACAACACACGTGGTATCGGAACCTGGTAATATCAGCGCTATCTCCCTTGGACATCAAACGATTGATGGAGGCCGAGATATTTGGGTACTGATCAATTCGAGAGTGCAGCGATGGGTGATGAAATTAGATGGATGGGAAGAATTGATTCAGGACGAGGATATTGCTGATCTTATCCGGAACGCTGTTCGAAAGACGTTCGGCGACTCCATCGAAAAGGTTGATGCAAAACTGGACTTGGAGCTTGTGGATCTTGTCGTTGATAGGTATAATCTAGTAGTATTTTTTTCTTTCTTAATATTTGTTCATGGTCTTACAGCACAAGTAAACTCGTCATTCTAGTGTCGTATGCGGGTCCGGAGGAGGTTGATATGATGGCTATGGATATCACTGGCATAAGGCGCATCTATTCTCTTGTGCAACTATCACCATCGGGCGATTCGTTCAAGGTGGATAATGTCAGAAGTGTACCATACCAAAGTGTGAGTTATTCCGCCCTCTGCCTTTTACTGCCACCTTTATACAGACTGCGATGTAGACCTCCTCTTCCGGTGCTCCTATGCACCCTCGAATACAATCTCTCCCTCAAGGACAGCTTGTCAGTATCCAATTCGGAGATGCTGTCGTGCTCTGTGCTCGAGGTCAGTATAATTTGGAATAGATAGAATTGGATCAGTCTAACACTTCATACTAGCATCTGACTATCAAGAGCGTCTAGAACTAAAATCTGCTACCGACCGCACGTTGGGTGTAGGTATTATGCAAAGCGAGAGCGTTGTGTTGGTCTTGACAGCAGGAATCATGATGAAAGTGAATGTCGACATCGATAATGTCTTGACGTTTGAGCCCGAGTAATTGCAACTTTTTTTCGTTCCTGACCTACGACTCCAAAGCTTATGGTACGAGGACAGGAATGGAAGGGCACACTTAATCAAGTCGGTGATGACTCAAGCCATACTGTACGGCTCTTTGCCCAATGTGAGACTCAGTTTATCAGCCTTGGTGGACTAACCACAGCAACCAATGTTTAGAATCCTTTGCACTTCAGTTTTCCGCCTGAAGTCGACGAAGAAAGTCTTATGCGTGCGGCGGAACAACTCAGTGATTCCATCCTCCACTCGGGCAAGCACTCATTCTTTTTTTCTGCAGTACCGCCATTCTTACCATTTGCAGATCCCGAGCTGGTGCGGGGTAACCAAGATTTGAGTTCGCAGCTCAAAGTTCGGAAAGAACGTCTTGCCTGGCTCATTCAATTTATCAACGAAAACACTGCTTTGATCAAGGCGAGTATCATGCTATTGGTTGGTACGACATATCGTTGACACATGGGGATAGATGTCTCAACAGTGTCGACAAAAACTTGCAACTGATGCTGAAAAATTGGACGCGTCATTCGATCTTTGGGCGATACACAATAATCTCCTCGCGTAGGGGACATCATTTGATTTTTTCAGGAAACACATATCTGAACGAGTTTAAAGCACAGGCCCAACACATAGTGTTCTCAACGATGCTATTTATGCATACATGAATGAGCACGAGGCTAACTATCATGAAGACTTTATGCGCGCGTTCTTCAAATTCCATTTGAACGATCTAGGGCTGGTCATGGAACAGATACCCGACGTGTGTCTCAATGCTGCTCAACAAACTGGTAGGAATATCGGAGATTTATTACCTGAAGCGAACCGTATTCTTTTGGTACGCGACATTCTCTTGAGACCTGGTACGGACGTGATATAATCAATGCATTTGACTTAGACCGTCTTGACGGCAGCTTTCAAACATCGCGACCACAATGTCATAACTTATGGACTTGACCTTCCTATGATCAATCCTTGGACGAGCACATCCTCTATCATCGACGGTATTATTGCTCTATTCGACACCACGACTGGGACTTCCACTGCTGCTACAAAGGACTCTGAACTACACCACCAGGTGCCGGAGCTTGCAGAAGTCCTGTTTGCCTGTATCTCACAGCGTGTGGAGAGGCTCGTCATGTCGGTGTTTCATGTTTCATGTTTTCATGTTTTCAATTCATTGTATACCTCCTTAATAGTGACGCTAAAGGCGGAGCTATTGGCATTGAGAGGGAGCTGTACGAGCTTCAGCGGAAGTTTGACATGCTCCGACCGGAGGTGCTAGAAACCCTCAGTATGTGTTCTTCCATAACAGCCTGTCCCTTGTAAAGGCTAATTCTTCTCATAGGGAGGAGAGGTCATGCTCAAGCTGCTTTCACATTGGCTGAAAAATACCAGGATTTCAGCTCGCTTGCTGCGTTATGCCACAAAGAGACCATATACCCACCCGAGGAAAATCCCAATTTCGATCGTATCAAAGGTTATATCGAACGGTTCAAAGAACAATTTACGAACGCCCTTTATCGATGGTACATTCAGCATGGCAAGTAAGCTTCGCTTTCTTTCACTGAACATGAGGACTGAGTATATATAGGCGAAATCCGAACGATGTTTTCTCAAGACGAGGCGTATAGTGCCTACATGGACAAGTTTTTCGAACGGAACCCTACGACATCGATATCCTGGTTACATGACTTGGGCAAGAAACGACACCGGGAAGCCGCAGAAGCTCTCCTGATTGAAGCTCAGCAGACGGTAAACCTGGAGGTCAAACATGTATGCTCATTTCCATTTCATTTTAAGTGATAGACAATTCAACGATGACGCTCATAGCTTGAGCTCAGTATCGGAAAGCTTGCCAATCTTGCATACCTGCGCAAAACGGAAGGGACTGCAGATGACGGTCTTTATGATGGTGTGACCCATTTGCTTTTCTGGTTTTCCATACTAATTCAGCTCTTAGCTTTCCATGATGCTCTTGACGTTGTCAGTGTGCATAAGGCTCTACTTGACGAATTCACTGCCGTCGTTGCCAACATGCGTGGAAGGCGGTCACTCGATACTCAGGTTGATACATTAATTCAAGAAAAAGCTTCGCTGTTGTCTGAAAAGCCGGAACTGACAAACGTATGTGTTCTTGAATTCTCGTCTATCTCCGATTCAGTCTGATCCCCTATGGTAGATATTCAAAAGTCTGGTGAAAGACTTACTACAAGGCAAATCGTTATCGATTGAAGATACGGTGGACGTTTTAACTCTGAAAGACAACTTCGACTCCGTTGGAGATTATGCAACTGCCCTTCATTTACTTGCCCGTTGCAATGTAAGACAAGTCGGAATTAAAACCATGTAGAGAAAACTCATCCTTCTTTAGTTACCCGAGGCTCGCAAGCATGCCGCTTTCAGGACCGTATGGCGGAGAATATACCTTCATGACGAGTGCGTTCCTCATTCAGCACTGCAACTATGCTCTTGACCATGTAAATAGCTGGAGCGCGATACAAAAAACAACCGGAATTGGCGACGCAGAACTTACTCAAAGATTCAGAGAAACTGCGTTGTACACAACTTTTCTCGACATTCTATCTCAACCAGACCAGGACGAACCCGAAGGTTTCGAAACTGATCCTGATGTCGCGCTTGTTGTTCCGACTATCGAAGAAATCGCATCACGGTGGCCAGGCATCCCACAAGATCAGGTTGAGAGGATACACGATGACTACACCAGCGAGTGCGACAAGCTTGGAGAGTTTGAACTCGAAGAATCATATCCCAGAGTAAGGGAGCTCGCTGAGTATGAGCTTTCAATAAGGGATTGAATATCAGAGGGTCAAGTCACTCGTATCGGCTGCACTTTTCGTAGTGACCAGCTTATGATGTTATTATCGTAACTTTAAATCAGTTTAAATGTAACTTGGAGCAGCCCACCCTCCGATATCACGATTTTTGTGTAGATTTGAAAAGGCCTGCAGGGAATCTCGAGTATTTCACTCGGGCAGCGAGAACAATATTAGCCCAATTTAGAGCACGCCAAATGTTGGAGTATTCGTCCACACGTGCGCTCTCCTGCAGCAGCCACTGCTTGTAGAATTCTGATAAAGCGTTCTCCTTATCTAAAGGTGTGGAACCAGGAGGAAGGCTAGCTAAGACAGCTTCTTTGGCGGTTTCGAATCGAGTGTTACTCTGTTGACAAGATTAAGAGAAGACGGCTTATGAGTGAAACCAATGACACACGTCTAACCAAAAATCCTGACTCGTATCATCCAGCTGCTGCCGTTGTAGTTTCCATTGCATTTCGTATGTATTTGAAATTCGGGCAGGTTCTGGATCGAACTCCTGCAGAGAATAAGGATGATTGACGACTGCCGGAGCTGGCGGAGGAGGAACATCGTCGTAGATAATAGGCCGTAGATGAGAGATGGGATCAGGAGGACCAACTAGATGCCTCTGCATCTTAGCGGAGCCATGAAGGAGACGGAAACAAGGGCAGCGCGATAACGATGATGGACGTAGGGGAACAAGCATATTCACAGTCAACATACTTCAACAAGAGGTATTAGCATTACTACCATCTACAAAATGGCGAACTTGAAGTCTTATATAGCTAGAATTCGAGTCTACAGTACTACTAGCAACGAGCACAGTACCATGCCCATGACACTGAATTTAGAAAAATTTCAAGACAGACTTTTTCATGTCTCTAAAGTGCGGCAATCCCATATCCTCTGCCAAGTCATCCAGAATACCACCTTTACCGCGAGATACAGTAGACGGCGTGAACTCCTCAGGATCGGAGACCATCAATTCGTCGAAGAGATGGTGGGTCGGGCTCGCGCCACCATACGTTTCTTCACCGCCAATTACGACCATCTTTGGCAATTCTTGTTCTGGCGGAGACTCTACTGCAGTTGTGGACGAAGCTAAGAAATCAAAAGTATAAGGCTGATATAAAGTCAGATCTGCATACGCGTTGAGTATGTATTCGTGTAACGCACGATCGAAACCGCGAGTTCGGGCTCTTCATAGGCAGCATCGGGGAGAACAACGTTAAGATAATAAGGTGTAGGCGCAGCAGATTGAGACGCCAAAGGGATCCCAGGTGTTTCGCCCTCTTTAGTAGCGTCCACTGAAGGTATTTCGGGAGGTGTGTTTACGTTACTTGCAGACGCAACTGCGACCGAGGAAAGAGACTTTTCATGTTCTTGTATTCTCGATATAAGAGATGCTTTATTCCCCGATCTTAACGAATTATGTTGGTTTTTCAAAATTTGAGAAGGACCATTTAAAAGAAAACATACGGAGATAGACCACGACTTCGAGCTTCTTTTTTGAGGTCGGAAGCAGGAAGTTTATCCCAGGATTTAGAAAGAAGGACAGCAGATACAAAACCTCTGCGTGTCTGTGCGAGAGAACGAACGGCGTGATTGTTCACAATGCTCAGTGTTGAACGCAGCATGGCTTTGGGAAATTGTAAGGAGTTCACGTGTTTCAGACGCGATCGACCCGGTCCGCTACGGGGCCATTTTGGTAAACTTGAACTTGAGTTTTCGCGTTCGTTACTTGGTCGTTCTCGTCAAAACAAAACCGTAGAATTACAATCATTGAAGCTTCTTGGAACTTGTAGGCGTTATCAATCTGCATCTGGCACTACAAATTCATTCTGATCGTTTCCGATAGAGGTCCTGCCTCGTGTATTCCTGCAGGCCATCATTAGATTCAACCATTTCGAGGAATATGACTCTTGCTCTCTAACAGCCTTGGCCATCTTACTTATAATCATCACTGCTACGCCTGAATATGCTTCTGTCTCCAGCGTAAGCCTCCCCTCATCACTCATCATCTAGTCGAGTTTAAAAATGCTTTCCTTGCACTCCAGAGGTTCCAACGCCAGTCTTACGTCTAATTCATTTTGGAACAAATTCAAGTCAAAAAATAAGGAGCCCGATTTGCGTGAAAAACAGGCACAGATGGCCCTCACAAGGACACGATTATTGACACTCGCCTTCGGTGAGATGGAAACGATACGAACCGTGCGTCCGTTGTTTTTTATTTGCGTCCTCTAATCCGATACTATGATATTCAGCTTCCAAGTTCATTTGCTGTGAGCGTCTCCGGTCGTTCGTTCCTAGATCAAACATTCACTCCCTTCACTATCTCAGGAGCTCGAACAGGCAGCAAGAGAATGGGCGCGGCCGCCACCAGATGCTATATTCAGTCTGCGGGTACCCGTAGAATATGCGTCCATTCACGCTGCAGTGTGTATATTTGCTTATAAGGTCTGTAGGCGCATTTTTTGATCTTTGCGAAAGCGTTTGGTAGCAGGACCCTACATCTACGTGAGTACCACACTCCAACAGTCTTGGTCATTGCGCTGATAGCTTTCTACTAGCTGACTAGCGAGGACTCGTTCCAAATAGCGGCCATGGGTGCCCAAGGTCTTCGCGTCGAGATCGTTAGCGACGCACCACCACCTCCAGACGAACCTCCGTAGGTCTCGTCCTCCGTCGCAAGATTCGTTATACTAATGTTTAATTTATAGACCTCCTCCGTGTGTACACCCTTTGTTTATTCTCTCACACAAACTCAGCCTTTATCTCCGTCCTTAGGCCGCCACCGGTCCTGGAAATGCCTGCTACCTTCAATTTGGAGCTTGTGCCTGGTCAACACGTAGCACTCGATACGACCGTCACATCCGACGAACTCGATATGGCTCGAATGGAAGATGGCACTACTGTCGACGGCATGTTCTGGGGCAAGCTTGACATCGTTCACAATGGTGACGACCACAGGATGGAATTTAGCGGCACACGTCTGACAAACCAACAAGATTATTCCCCCGATTTCATGTTCGACTCAAGAGTGATGACCAAACTAGCCGTAGCCGCTAAGCCAACAACCGCAAAATGCAATTTGAGCCTCCTTACACCAGAAACGACTTACTGCGACGTGACGTTAATGTTCTCGCCGTATTGGAAGCCGGGGACTATCTGGCCCCCCGCAGAAAGTTTGGGAGACAACAAGGTCAAGTACTTCCTACGGGTACATCCCGGAGGGGCTCTCGAGCATTTTGACAGCGAGGTAGTCTCCACAGCCTTGTATTATGAGGCCATGTAAGCTTATCCGCAACATTAACATCTTTTCTAGAACTTATGATACCTATTTTAGACCAGACGCCGGTATGCTCGACCCCGATGATGTGATTGGACCCAGAAATGGATACGCAATGTCATATCGGGACTTCATACCCCATCTAATAAATGTACTTGACCAGCTGGGTATGTCGTTATACGCCAGAACCAATTTCATCAAGTGTGTACTATTATTTCTGCTGTCGATTCATCTGTCCTCCTGACCTGTCGTCTCATTCTTTTTTCAGCAACAACATTGCCGCCTTCGCCGCGCACAAAAACATCGCTTATCGATTCATGAGTCCTAGCAAGATCGCTGCAGCCGTGGATATCACTGTTACATCTGAACCCTGCGTATTCACGCGTCTATTCCTTATCTTCCGGGGACTCAACGATGATGAAGTTGGGATCTTTGCAGGTGCCGGAGAGAAGGAGGCAAACACTGTGAATTGGCGAGAGGTTGTCACTTGGTCAGAAGATTCAAAGGACCCGACGATGTTTCGGGTGCTCGAGACGAGTGTGCTAGAAGTAACATGACTGTCACTTTTCTACTTTCAATGTTTTTGGCGGTCGTAAGTTGAAGTTTCTCTCAGGCAGTATCTCTTATAATACTATCATATAAAAGTCCCTCTTCCTTATCTCCCCGTTGTTAGTCTGCTCTCCAATGCTGTAGCCTTTGAATTTGTATAATTGTCACTCGTCCATATGCCTGAGATGCAGCCTGGCCAATCTTGACTATTTTCGTGACTATTCGGTGTTCGCGCCAATGATCGCTAGTGGTAGGTATGCCCTATCAGTAACATTGGTGGCTCTTACAGCCGATCCGGAAAATAATGGGAATGTCTGAAGTTTTTTTCGACGTGTAGACGGTGACGCGTGTCGCTCGTTTTATCCAAATTAGAAATTATACGTTTTTGTCTTGCTACTTATCATGGTCAATCGCCGTATCAGCCCTGATATGAAGCAATGTGCACTGAGGCTATGGGAAACCGGTTGGGATCGCTCTGATATTTGTTTCGCTCTCGGTATCTCAAAGTCAAGCTTGTACCGTTGGAGGAGCACCTTCGAACAGATTGGTGCCGTTGTAAAACCACCATCACCAATCCGAGGACGCCCTAGAGTCATTGGCCTTGCTGCATTCACTGCAATGAAGGACATCTATTGAACCAATGCCGACACATACCTCAAATTAATCAATGGACTGATGTGGTATCTAGCCATTCATCATGATACTGTCATCTCGAAATCTTCGCTTCATGAAAATCTTCGGAAAGCCGGCCTCACTCGAAAACTTCTACACAAAATTGCATTAGAACGAGATGAAGCCTTACGGGCTGAGTATTCCAACATGATTCGTACTCAGTTCTCGGGCTCAGGCTTTGAATTTGTCACTGTCGATGAATCTAGCAAGAATGACCACACTCTGTCTCGACGCTATGGATATTCACTCTGTGGACAACCTGCCGAATCTGAGGAACCATTCATACGGGGTAAACGATATTCATTGGCTGCTGCTTTGAGCCTGAAAGGATATATTGCTGTTCGAGTGGTTGAGGGTTCTTTGGATTCATTTGAGTTCTTCGACTTCATCACAGAAGATGTGGTACATTTATATCTTGTCTGTCCTTCAACTTGTTACTCATTTTTGCCAGTTGCCTTGTATGAAGCCATATCCGGATGAGGAAAGTGTTCTCGTAATGGACAACTGTCGAATTCATCATACCGATACACTACTGGAGGCGTGTAATGGAGCAGGTATATATCTTTTTCATGCTTGAACTGTCGCCTCAATAGAATACTTTGTCAGGAATCTATATCCGCATTGGGTCTGGGGAGGTATCGACGTGCATAACATGGAGGACGTTACTAAGTTATTATGATTCTATCTTATCACTTGCTCCCCATTTTGTACCTTCTACACACCACTCACTATCGAGTGGTGAGATTTGCTTTGTCAAACCTCACTCTCAGATTCTACGACTTTTTTCCGCTGATTAGTCTGTACGTCTGCACACTACTCACTATCCAAGTTGTGAGATTTGCTTTGTCGAACCTCACTCTCAGATTATGTACTAATGGCACATACTGTATATTGCCAACTCTACAGGAGTCATTGAATTTCCCACTGTATTTGCTAGTGTCTGTTTTGCTCGACATTAGTCGCTCTCGCCCCAGTCTTCCCATGCCTCCCCCAATTCTGAATCAGAGTTTTGCCCTTCTGCAGAAGGCCTAACCTCGTTTGGGTCTATGTCATCATCCAAACCAGCTTGCGTACTTTGAATTTGCATTCTTTCCGCCTCTGCTCGTTTTTGCCGTTCGATCTTTTCCTCTTTTTCAACCTCCATTCGTGAGGAAGCAGTAGCTCTTTGCTCATTGATTGTCCGTCCGTCTACGAAGAATTGGAAGATGCTAAGCATAAGTCTGGGTGAATGGGATTAGAACGGACCATCAGATTGGTATGCTAAAAATCGATGAGTACGTACTCTGCATCCCATCCAGAGCCGTACTCTCCCTTCCCTAACATTCCGTAAAGTGGTATTCCACCTCCACCCAAATTAAGTTCTCTTGCCATTCCCTGTACACTGTCCGCACCGGTATGAGAGCCTGTGGAGGAGTAGAAAAGTGTCTTGAGATCAATAACATGAATTTGGAGGATCGGAGGCTGTGATTGCTGGGATGTTTGCTGGCTCGATTTGGATTCGCAGGAAGGTTCCTGTTTGGAGACTGAGCAAGAAGAAGAAGGCGAGTCCCCGCGTTTAGTAGCGTTGGCGGCGCTTTCACGAGGCTCGCCTTTGATCCGGAAACCATTTTCTTCCTTCTTCGCAATAGGCCTTTCATTCGATTCAGACGCGATTATATCCTCTTCCCCTGAGGTAGTATCATACCCATCCTCATCAAAACGATCACCCATATGACGGTCTTTTCTAGGCCCTCGTTTTGGCCGTTTGAATTGTCTGTGTTCATCGTCCCCGCGTTCTTGTTTAAATTCGCGTTTTCCGTGCCATCTCTGGTTTGGATTGTTGTAGTCGCTGTGACGTTCGCTGGCGCGAGGTGGCATTGAACGATATCCACGTTTGTCGTCGAAATTAGAGTCGTGGTTATAGACATGATCATTATGGGGTTGCCCTCGATGATAACTATGAGGGGAGGTGGCAAATGAAGTCGCAGTTGAGGAGGATGGAAAGGGGGTCGAAGAGCGCAAAGTATAGAGCGATGACGCAGAGGAAGAAGGGGATCTTCTGCCGGAGTCTCTGGGGTATATAGAATTGCCTGTACGAGAATCGTATTTGGATTTGTATCCGTTGTCGGATGGACGATTATGAGTGTTAATCACGTCGCGAGTGGGGTCAAGATTGCCATATGAGTCCTGGATCCCGTACAAGAGTGATTAAAAAACAGATTTGAAAGAAAATAGAAGATATACTCACATCCCTTAACAAATTTCTTAATCCTGCGTCCTTGATCCATCTCCATCCTTGAGTACCAGTTCCGCCCCCATTGTTCGCATTTGAAGTATCAGCACAGGCAACGTCAACGCCAAGATTAGAGAATACAGCACGAGTGGTTACTTCGTCGTATACAAGGAGAATGAGGTGCTCAGCATCCGAAGGAATACTGACAGACATTCCATCTGGCATAGAACTGGAATGATTAGTCGACGAAGAAGCATAATTTGACATCTGGAACCCCAAGAGCTTTCGGAAGAGCCACGGCCCAAAGTCGGGATCCTTCTGAGCTTGTACCCTTGACCTTGGAAACGTCTTCTTGATCAATCCTGACTGGTTTTTATACGAATTCCAGCCAAAGTCCACTTGTTCCCCCCCTCCGTCACGAGAAGCTCGCAAATCATGCATGCCCCCTTCAGCTCTCGCCCAGGCCACATCAAGGAGATCTAGATTACCCATACCAACAGACCAGAGTGTGTACGCGAATGCCGCGACTTGGATCCGAGGCAATAGAGTTTTATCCAAATTCTGGGGGACTGAAAACTGAGCATATGGTTCGTGAATCGTGTTTCCTAATCCTGCAGTAGAGGGAGGCGGCGGAATTCTTTTTGTAGCAAGCTGTCGAAGCAGTCGCACATTTTCAAATACTCCACGTTTGCTACCTTCCTGTAGATCGACCGATTGGCAAAAGCCCTTGTTGTCTCGAGACGTATCTCTTCGATCACCTCTGCTCTTTGGTGCTAGCGAGCGTAACTTGGCCGCTAGCGAATCAATATCATCGAATTCGATTGGCGATAAGGATTCGAATACGGATGATTGGAGCGCTTCATTAGGAAGAGGTAAAGAATAACGCCAATAGGAACATAGCTGTTTGACTTGAGTAAAAGTAAGGAGGAGAAGGGATGCGCCCGAAGGAAGGATTCCGAGTGTTAGTTCTATCTCTTCTTCCATCATTTCTTCATTATAGTGCGACTGGGAATTGGGCTGATACTTGGATTCGCCTTCGGCTACCTTGGAGCTCGAGGTAGACACATTGAAGGCCTCGAATACCTTCTTGGCGATAATTTTCTGGTCATTATATGAGCCCCCTTCGTTTCGTATACGGAAGGCGTTATCCCTAGAGAAAGGAAGGAAACCGAAAGTTGGAATTTCAGATGAATCAGACCGACTCAAAGTTTTCCGTTCATAGAAACTCGTTATTTCCCTCCATTATCGACACAAGACACATGCAATATAGCAATTGCGACCGCAGTTCCGAATCTCTCTGAGCTACAAACAACCATCCTTTCTTTATCCGCGAAGCTTCGAGTTCCACTCACCACCGATGTCGAGATTCGCGGAAGCCACCAAGTTGAAAGTAGTGCATTACTGAGCGATGCTTCGTTGCTACTGAGCAAATCAGATGAAGGCACCTTGAAAAGTCGGTGCAGGACTTACCTTGTCAATTATTCTCAAGTAAGGCAACTTCGTGAAGCCCTCAAAGTTACGAGTCCGGAATGAAATTCTGGAATCGGTTTGCATATGAATATGTATTCAATATCTGCAAAGGATTTATTAGCACTCACACCAGAGTCAGCATCTGCCCCTGCCCAAACTTTAGATAAGCATTTGTAAGTGTTTGAAATCATTGACTGGAAAATTCATGCAAGCAAATATTTATTGTTGATACACTCAGCTAGGCAGCCAAGCGAACAACTCTTTTTTCCCTGTCCTATGGGTTGCAAATGTTGAGCAAGTGTCCAAGGTAGATTCAGAAAGTTGAAGCTAAAAATTTGCTGCTATAATATATATGCAACTTTATACTAAAAAGGTAGTTAACTGTAAACTGTGTACAATAGAAAGGCTGAGATCTGCCTTCACCATGCTTCAAAACTAAAACAGTTCTTCACAGTTTCTTTGTTCTGCGCGGCTCGTATGAGTAAGTTGTCAATGCAAATGTGGCTGTGAGGAGCTGTTCATTTTGTGGTTTTTACTTTACATGTAATTTTGGGAAGCCGAGTATGTAGCATTACTTCCCCAAAACTGATTGTTTCTTATTGTCGATAAGTATATACATACATACAATGCAACCCTGCAAGGTGTCTTCAAAGTTCAGGGTACTGGTTTGTGGTCTGTACTTGAATGTTATTGAGAACTGATGCATTAATAAGCATATGGCAGTCAGGTCAAGACAGGACCAACTAAGGTCATGACAAGATAAGGTTTCTATTTTGATATAGTGGCGTTCATCGAGGCTGAAGCAATAGCATCACTTAGACTATGCCTTCTCCGTGCATCAGCACTCTCTGCCCTCTCTTTCAACCCAGGAAAAGTATCTTTCAGTACCCTTTCCAGCTCAGGCCAAATTTCATCAGATGTAGTTCCGGATATTGACTGCATCATCAGGCGATGCGGCGGCGTGGTGTGGAAAGCAAGCTGATGCGGGTGCTGGTGAGGATGACGATGCGGAGGTGTTGAAATATGGGCCTGAGATAGACGAGCGTAGAAATCTAGTAGAGGTGAAGTTGTCGAGTAAAACTTTTCGAGACGGCGAGCAAAGATTTCCTGTATGTGGAGGTATGAGTACTTACGAGTAAACCTGCGAATTGGGAAAGACCGAGATATATACGTACGGGATTATCATCAGGTCTTTTGGTGAGGGGTTCACCAGTCTCATCGTCGAATCCTTCGACTTTGGGGGGATAGATTATACACCCGACCGGAAGGTAGATGCACCCAGCGATCCGAGATACGGCTGAAGATGATGTCGTCCGGAACATCAAGATTCACGACCAAACTTAACGGTGTGTTTTGCTTACTGAATAACGTAATCAGCAGCAACGAAGGACTAATAGAATGTGATTTGACTCACTTGAGATGCGTGTTTAGGAGCTCTCCTTGCGCGAATGTACGAGGAAATCCATCCAGAATCCAGTGCTTGTTGTGCAGAGGTCTAATTTACTGGTAACGACCTGTAGCATGAGTTCGTCTGGGACTAATCCCCCCTGAGCAACAATCTCCTCGGCCATTCGTCCGACTTCGGTTCTAAAGAAATATTCAACTAGACGTTTGACTGGAACACTAGATATCTTTACCTATCATTTATATGCATCCTCAACAGATCCCCAGTGGAAAGCGAAACAATATCGTATTTCTTAACAAGACGTCCACTGTAATTTCCTTTTCCTTCCAGAATCGCCTATGTTTCTGTAACCCATACAACGACTTTGTCGGGTGCTTTAGTGATGTGTTCACCTCCCCGTCAATGTCAGTCTCACATCACATCACACGTCCTTATTTTCATGATATTATTCAATGTTATTTCACCTCAGTTAAGAGTTATCCGGTGTACCAGGGTGCACCGCTCTTGGCCAGCACCAAAGGTTAGATATTGCAACACTTAACTGGGAAGCTTTAGACACTGAATAATAGACATGTGCTTCACCTATAGCTTCACGATCACTTTGTTCAACTGCGCAACGATAATGTGATAATGTGAATCCAATCCTGATTTCTGCATCATTCTTCGGCCTCAACTGATCAAGGCTCCCAGACTGACATCAAACGCCTCACTCCGTATAGGCATTTCCGGTGTATGAAACGGATTTTGCATCACTTTCTCCGCGTAAGTAGTGTAAATCTTTTGAAGAAGGACGTCGATAGATGACGCAGGTTCGGCGGGAGAGGTTAGCAGAATAAATTTCGTCCCTACGGCACGAGATCGGTGGAAGAATGCAAAAGAATAGAGATGAGGATATGTACCTGTAAGCGTCAGCAACACACTAATCTTAAAGGTTTCGCCCTCGATGACTTGTGCGCCCGAGCTTTGACCAGGAATAGGAGAAAGACGAGAAGTTATGGCATGAATACCGTGCAGCGTTCCGGCAAGGACGAGATATTCATTTGAGGTCAACTGTGCAAGCCCATCTGTGTCGAGGAAATGCAATTTATTATTGTCGATTTTAGATGGTGACATACAGTACCTGCAAAGCTCCGTTGATAGACTAATCCGCCAGCTTTGTTGATGACCTATGGGATATTGAGAATTCATGATCTTCCGGAACTAAGCAAGAAACGAACCCAGAGCCCGAAGATGGCCATGAAGATAAATTGCAGTGAACTAGTCCTGTTGTCGCATACATTCGGTGGCTTTTACATAGCTGTTTTCAAACGCACCACCACGTAAAGATTTCCGATAGAGTTCTTATAAAAGCTGCCAATGTTAATGAGCGTTTAGAAGAACCGGAGAGTTGAGATGTGTTTGGACCGGAGTTCCTCGTCACGAGCACCGCGTGCGTCTTGTAATCAATGTCAGTGTCATTGTCAAGCATTTTCTTTTCATTGCGACCGCAACGATTTGCTTACCATGGCCAAACTATCAGCCTAGTATGACACTCCTCAACTTCAACCCGAACACAAGCTAATTGATAATGCAGCGAACGTGAGCGCGAAGTAAACATCGCCCGCAATCGAGCTCTGCTCGAACAACTCGAACTAAAACAAGCCGTCGACGGGCTTGGTTTCCCAGACAAACAACCTCCTCCAAAAACAAAAGCAAAACCCGTGCAATCTACAAAGAAAGTAAAAAAGGAGACTGACGCACCGAGGCGGCAGTCTGCGCGTCTTAGAAGTGCTGCGACCATTGATCCGAACGAGAGTCTCTCGAATAAGAGGAAACGCGAGGTATGTTGAGGATCAATGCTGCCAGTCACCAGGAACGCTAGCAGTGCTTGGTAAATTTCTTTCAATTACTTACACAAATGCCGCAGGCAGCAGATCAGGAGCGTCTTGCGAAAGAAGCAGAAGAACGAATCGAAACACAGGAGCGGGAATGGTTTGCGAAAAAGCCACGGCACGAGGAACTAGATCTTATCACTCTTACGGACGAAGTCTCTGCTAAAGCTGCATCTCTATCGATCGCGCTACAGAACATTTCTCAGACGCCTCAAGCCAAGCGGCCAGCTGATGCCGAGGCTTTCGTATTCGAAGAAGATGCGAAAGATCAAGCGCAGGTTGAGCAGTTACGTGAGAAGCTTCAGGCCCTGAAGGTGGTCGCTAGGGCTAAAGTCACGGAAAATCGCGTGTACAGTGCTGTGTTTCACCCTGATTGTACAAAGGATTTGATCTTCTTTGGAGGTTCGTGGCGACTCTGTCAACGTTACCAAACACTCGCCGACACGGATATGTAGACAAACACGGGCAATTAGGTATATGGGATGCTAGAGCACCACAAGATCAGATCGACCACGACGATGAATCCAACGCTGATACCAGAGAAAGTGGTAAATACTGGCGATTACAAGTTCACTGGCCTGCGACATCCAAGTCGGTATGTGCATATCCTGTGGAATAATACCTTCCAGTCAATAGAGTTCCAACGAGCAGTCAATATCCTCTGTAAAACTGGACCCTATTGACTCACATACGGTAGGTCATTGAATTCCTATGTCCTTCCGCATGTAACAGCGTTGTGTCTCAAAAACAACACAGGTCTATACCAGTTCATACGACTGTACGATTCGGTCGCTTTCATTCACCTCTGGAGTTTCTCGCGAAATATTCACCAATGACGAGACGTTGATTTGTAGCATGGATCTTGTACCCAATGGACATGAAATGTGGATATCAGATGCCGCTGGTGGTGTTACCCACCTTGATCTTCGACAGGACAAATCTAAAGCCAAGTGGTACCAATTGTCGGACCAGAAGATTGGTTGTGTCAGCGTCAATCCCAGTCGACCCGACTTTCTATTGACAGCGAGTAATAGCAAAGAATTAAGGTATGTAGTATAGATGTACTTTTCTCTGATAATTTATACTAAATCTTACCGCATTAGAATATGGGATACGCGCAAGTTGCGGTCCATGGCTACGGCCTCGTCTTCGGATGAATCAATAATTGAATTTGATTCAGCATTCGTCACTAAGTATCGCGAATCAAAGGAAGGTGTAGGATGCCTTCGTGGCGAATGGAGACACGATAAATCCGTGAGCTCTGCGTACTGGGATCCCAGAGGTAGAAGTATCGTCAGTACAAGCTATGATGATGCTATTAGAAGTAAGTCCTCGATTAAAACATTTTTCGTCCAGGTACTGAGGTAGTTTTTAGTCTGGGACATCCATTCTCCTGCTTTCGAGGGTTATAAGCCTTTCCCTTCGGCTAGGCCGTTCTGTCGCATCTCACACAATTGCCAAACGGTATGTTTCATTGCCTCCTTGATAGTCAAATGTTAAATCGACCTGTTTATACACCAGGGAAAATGGCTCACTATTCTTCGAGCACAATGGAATCCAAATCCAGAAGTTTACCCTCATTTTACGGTAAATTCATCTTAACCTCTGCGCTATCTGCAGTATACTAATGATCCCAATTGAGATCGCTAACATGAATCATTCACTGGATATCATCTCCTGCAAGGTCCGCTTGTTGTAGTACTTATATATTTCTTACAGCTTACGACTTGCCGATCAGGGTGAACGCATCGCTAAATTATCGGACCCCTCAAAGTAAGCATGCATGTATGCCCAGATTGTGATTGTTGAAACATGATTTCTGAACCAGAATTACCGCTGTTCAAGCAGTGACTTGCTCACATCCGTCCATAGTGGAGCGAGCTGCCACTGGTAACGCCAGCGGGAGATGTGTCCTCTGGGCTCCTGAAGATGTTTAGCCTGCAGTCCACCCACACGTACCAACGAATACACATCGACTGCCCCCCGTCGAACCTCGGATCACGAAATGACCACTAGGTGTTGCTATTACATGTTTGTGTATTATATAGATCAACGTCTTGGAATTGCAATCTCTTTATTATCGGGTCGAGGAAGATGACCTAGAAGGATCCCTGGCTATATCGGATCCCATTTCTTTCAATCTATTCTTTATTTCAAGTCTCCTCTGTTCCCCATGCTCGGTTGCTTGAAGCCTAGCTTGAGTGAGATTCTGTACCGCCTCGTTGTGCTGCCTTATGTGTCTCGGGAACAGAATCAGCCCCGGAAACACACCAATTACGATGGACTTCGAGAACGGCCTGGATTAGATGTGACGCAGAGAATGACCAAAATGACCATACCACTATCCCGAAGCCCAGGATCATATGGTCCTTCCATCTATCATCTGCATTACTATTCCATTCGTACCGTGATTCATAACCTTTGGCGACATTTGGTCCTCGGTTTCGATATTGCTGATGCTTGTAGTATATGTTCTTCCGTCTTGCGATCTCATCGGCATATTCATCGAACAGGTGAGCATTTTTGAGGCCAATCTTGTCGCCCTTCCTCAAAGAATCATATGCGGCTCTTATAGCTTGGAAACGAGCATGTCGCTCGGAAGCAGGAGTCTGTCGACAATAAGGTGAATCAGGGTGATACTGCCGAACAAGGTCATAGTCTAATGCAAGGTTAACAACGGCTTGTTAATTGCGGAGCAAGGTTTACCAACATCTTTCCTTGATTTGTTGGGAACTACATCCGTACGGAAGATGGAATATCTCGTACGGAGAAGGTCTCGGCTGAGTGGGGAAAGGGAACCCAGAGCTAGAATTTGATGAAACACAGCGTACGCAAGACGGCTTTGAGTACCATATCTGAGAAGATACTAGCCAGCCTCGCAGTGATAGAGCATGCATAAAGAGGAGATAAGTCACACGTGACAATGGATCACGCAATTCGGCTGCGAGAAAACTGCCCGGCAATTTTCCTTTTTCCTTTAACCACCAACTTTTTTTTTCTTCCCTCTTTATAGAACATGGTACAGTGCCTTTCGCTCGCACAAATACATACATCATCTTAAAATTTGACAGAGTCACAACGGCTATGGCGGAGGCAGCTACGGAGGAGGAGGAGGAGGCTGGGGCGACGACAGGATGAGCAACTTGGGTGGGGGTCTGCGTTCGGTTGATTGGAACCATACAAAACTCGAACACTTTGAAAAGAACTTCTATGTTGAGGACAAACGAGTTTCCGCCCGAAGTGACCGAGAGATAGAAGAATTTAGACGAGCTAAGGAGATACGAGCAAGTCCTTTTTTTCTTTCCAATCTTTCCTCTCAAACATTATCTTACTTTACTTAGATTCAAGGCCGCAATGTTCCAAGACCTGTTACGTCGTTCGAAGAAGTGGGATTCCCGGAATATTTGATGAAAACCATTCGTGCCCAAGGCTTTTCTGCGCCAACTGCTATTCAATGTCAATCGTGGCCTATGGCGCTTACCGGTCGAGACATGGTAGCCATTGCTCAAACTGGTAGTGGAAAAACCATTTCTTTTGCTCTCCCAGCGATGCTACATATCAACGCGTGAGTAACATGCTTCGCTGATAAATACAACGTGTCACTGATCCTTGACTTTGTCTGCAGTCAACCACTTCTTGCACCAGGAGACGGACCGATTGCATTGGTATTAGCTCCCACGCGAGAGCTTGCTGTTCAAATACAACAAGAATGTTCTAAATTCGGGTATGGTGTTTCCTTCCTTCATTGTCTTTATTCTCTCATCACAGTCTCACAGCAACAATTCACGTATACGCAACACTGCAATTTATGGAGGTGCACCCAAGGGTCCTCAAATTCGTGATCTTCAACGCGGAGTGGAAATTGTCATCGCCACCCCTGGTCGTCTCATTGACATGCTTGAAACCCAAAAGACCAACCTTCGTCGTGTGACCTATCTTGTGATGGATGAAGCCGATCGTATGCTCGACATGGGTTTTGAACCTCAAATCAGGAAAATAGGTCTGTTTGCCTATCATTCGACGAAGATACTCTAATCCGATCGAAAACAGTTTCTCAGATCCGACCCGATAGACAAACTTTGATGTTCAGTGCTACGTGGCCGAAAGATGTGCAAAAGTTAGCAAGCGTAAGTTTTTTCTTCTTTATTTACTGTTCAGATCTTGAATGGCTGTTTTTTATGTAGGACTTTCTTACAGATATGATTCAATGCAACATTGGTTCTATGGAGCTCACCGCCAACCACAACATTGCTCAGGTATCTTTATTGTTCCTTCTATATCATATGTCATTCTGATGGTGCAATGAAAGATCGTCGAAGTGTGTAGCGACTTCGAGAAGCGCAACAAAATGATCACCCATCTGGAAAAAATTAGCTCCGAGAATGCGAAAGTTCTCATATTTGTTGCAACTAAGAGGGTAGCGGATGACATCACAAAGTACCTAAGGCAAGATGGATGGCCTGCCCTTGCTATTCATGGTGACAAGGAGCAGTACGTACTCACAATATCCTTGTTTATACACTATTTGCTGAACGACCTTGCAGACGCGAACGTGACTGGGTTCTCGGTGAATTCAAGGCTGGTCGTTCACCTATTCTGATTGCCACAGACGTTGCGTCTCGTGGTCTTGGTATGTTTTTATCATTTGTGTTGCAAGCGCTGCGTCTTTTTTTCTGTGCTGGTGTCATCCATGTGGCCGTCGGGTTTGCTTGACGTTTCCATAGCTGGTGATTTCATCACCACTACAACACTTCTCAATTTCCTGGTGTCACTTTCAATATCTCAGGGTGCGTATCGAAAGCAAGAACAGGCGATAATGGACCGGAACTAAGAGCAAGTTGACAATCCATCCCTCTAACCCCTCCACCATGGTACTCTCAGCGCTGCTCGCAGCGTTCTTGGGTTCAGCCAAGCGAACAATTTCTGCGTTCTTTCCTTGGTTTGGTACGGTTACGGACTCTGGTTTTGTGAATCGCTTCTCTTTAACCTCCGCGTGCAACGTCTTCCTGTTTCTGATTTTCGGACTCGACCGCCATCACTTCAATGCGGTTGAGCCATCCCTGGGACCTGTCATGACATTTGCAGTTGAGAAGTATTATTTTCCCTTCAACGAAGCGCTTGTATATTTTTCACTCTGTGGCGTTTTATTGATCATGCATGCTCTTCTATATCGTTGTTTCCTCTCTCGACCGCCCTCTCGCTCCTTTCGTGTGTGGTCTGCTCCTTTAACTGGCATTTCTGTTGGCTGTCACTTTCTTCAGACGTCAAGGATGTCGGATACGTCATCGTAAGTTTCTTACTCCCTTCGTCCGTTCCCTGCGCAACATTCTCATCATTTATCACAGAATTACGATTTCCCTAACAATTGCGAAGACTATATCCATCGTATCGGACGAACTGGACGTGCTGGCATGAAAGGAACATCTTACACCTACTTCACGACCGATAATGCCAAGCAAGCTCGCGAACTGGTTGCTATCCTGAAGGAAGCTAAAGCCACTGTACCTCCTCAACTCGAAGAGATGACCATGTTCGGTGGTGGTGGCGGACGTAGTAAGTTCCCTTAAATTCCTCGTCAGATATTGACTGACTTGACTCTGTAGGCCGCTTCGGAGGTGGAGGTGGAGGTCGTGGTGGCCGAGGTGGAGGTGGCTATCGCGGTGGAGGAGGTGGTGGTGGGCGCTGGGGTGGAGGTGGAGGTGGAGATAGCGGATATGGTGGTCGTAATGATCGCTGGTGAAAGGGTACGCTATATTCTTGGGACAGCTATAATGCTGTTACTCCTGCTGCCGTTTGATTGCATCCATCGCGCTCCTTGACTTGTTATATTCTGTATATGGCATAGAGATGTAGCTTTTTACATACACCACTCTTGGTCTAAAGTCCCAAGTTAATTCCTAGTATTACTCCCCTTATTGCTGCAATACATAGTTGATTCCGACTACTTTTAGCAATACATATCGTCGAAGCCTCGTTCTGTAGTGGATATTGTCTGTGCTTTCGAAGGTGTTTCGGGTGTGGTCCCAACGGCGGAATGATCTTTCAAAGCTGCCTGCTTTCGAGCATCCTCTGCTTCCGTCTCGTGGCTGATTCCCCACATTTCATCATCATCATCTACAGCTAGAGTAACACTGCCGTTCGCGTTCTTCGAAGGATTAGAATTAACTGCGGTAGCGAAAGACAATCCTGTTGGCGCGGCTGTTGAAGTCAAACTTCGACCATCCATTGCTTCTTCCATTGCTAGCCAACCCTCTATATCATCATCAACATCCATGAAACTCCCCTCTGCACCATTGGCATTAGTAGAAGATTGTACATCTCCGTCTCGACTCGCTACATTGCTCGTTGTGGTCGTTGCACGACGAGCTTCGTTTGCCTGCTCTGTTTCCATCTCCTTCCAAATTGCTTCCATGTCTTGGTCGTCGAACTCGTCTCCTCCGGCATTCGACGGTGTTGTAGAGGAAGGTGGGTGTGTTGGTGGAGAAGGCGACGAAGAAGCGTAGGCTGCTGCGTCGGATTCAGGTGCTAGAGATGAGACACGTCTGGAAGCAGCCCCTCCTTCTGGGTTCACATCAGTTATTGGGCCGTCATCTGCATTCTCCTCTGTGCCCTCGTCTTCAGTATCAGGATGTGCCTTTCCGTGAGCCTCGTCGCGCCACATACTTAGCTTGTTCTATGAAAGGCCTTTCAATGGATGACAGGCATAGTATGCAAAGGAGTATCGCGTACATGCATGAGCTTGGAATGACATAACTTCTCCACGCGATCAACTGTATCCTTGAACTGTGATTTTGGGTACATTCGATGAGTCCAATATTGATATATTTGCAATAATCGGTTGAGGTCTGTAGCCTGAACACCCCGTTTCAGGCTGCGATATGAGATCAGGTTAAAGCCACAGACAATACCTCGTGTCCCTTTCCTTTGATACGAAAATGTTTTGTGTCCTCTATCAATTGAGGAAAGCCGGTGGGCCCCACTAATCTAGCCTCATCCAATCTCATAGGCTTCCGTCTCTCCTTTTCTCCGTCGTCTTTTCCTCTTCCCTTCTTGCCTTTTGACGCGTCATTCCCAGTATCTGGGGGAGGAGGCGAGCTGCTGAGGATTTCGCGTAGGGGAACATGTGCTTTTGCCTTTCTCTGCGCCTCACGTTCGAGATTAGCATAGTCGATCTCTCGATTCCGCGCTAGGGGCACGTAGTCAAAGTTGAGGTCGTCGCCAACCACGCTGTCAAAAATTTCGTCCACGTTGATATCCTGTTGTTGAGGAAGATTTTTCTCTGGATCATTGTTGAACTCGTCTTCGTCGTCGTGGTCGGGAAGAAATAGAGGCTGACTAGAGCTAGATGAACCAAAAGATGCAGTAGAAGCCGAAGTAGAGGGACGAGAAATTATCTCGACCTCGTTGTCGTCGTCAAAGATGTCCATGTCGTTAGTCGCGTTGAAAAAAGGTGAAATTCGCGCGTCGCGCGTTTGGCGCGCTATTTTGCCGGCCCGAAAGCCGCGACTATGGCCACAACAAACAACTTACAAGTTCCTGTCGTGGAGGATGGGATCCGATACTGGACTGAACAGCCTGCAAGCGTGGATGGCGTACTAGGTCAGTTCCTTGGCTTTTATCAAGTATTTTGTTCAATTTATATGTCTAGGCGGCTATGGAACTGGTGTACATATCATATTCAACCCTCTGAACATCCGAAAAGAGCTGATTGTCCCTCCCTAGTCTCTGCCTCGTATAGATGCCCTTGGATCACGTCTCTTTTTGCTTCACCTGTACCCCGAACTCTGTACCGTATCATCAGCATTAAAGCCCTTGGAAGCACAGCCCGTGTCCAATCCAATCCGTGCATTGGATGTTGGAGCAGGAGTAGGACGTGTTACTTCCGATGTTCTTCTCCATCTTGTCGATACCGTTTGCCTTCTAGAACCTGTAACTCCTTTCATACAAGAAGCGCTCCAAAATGCTCGCAAAAGTGCCGCAGCCAGTTCTTCGACACAAATCAACGGCAGACATGCAATTCACTGGCCTGGTCTCGCTGATCAGACGAAGAGTGTCACATTTTTGCAAGGGACCTTGCAGGCTTTTGACCCAGCTCATCCGATTGTCAGTCATGATTCCTCCTCTTCGATCGCTTTTATCGACCGGATTGGGAGCCCGAATCCTGAGGACCCAATGACTGACATTGACTCTGGATTCGACGTGGTCTGGTGCCAGTGGTGCCTCGGACACTTAAACGACATCGATTTGGTTGCTTTCCTTCGACGAAGCTATGTCGCTCTTAGGGATCATGGGGTAGACGGTCACAACGGCAAGAGCTTGATCGTAGTTAAGGAAAATGCCTGCTCAGATGCAGAAGACGGTGGACCGAAAACCGTTTTTGATGAACAGGATTCCAGCTTTACGAGGTAACTGCAATCGAGATACGTGTGCAGCTCGTACTGTCCTAATCACTGTCACCAGATCTGATATGGCCTGGAAGGCTGCATTTCGGGAAGCGGGTCTTCGACTCGTGAAGGAACAAGTGCAAGAGGGTTTACCAGATGGTTTGTACGTCGTAAAAATGTGAGTTTGTTTTTTGATTCCTTAATCGAACACAGAATGTTCAATGCAAAAGGTCTTAGGTATGCCCTGAAATGAAAAATTTAGGAGTATTAGACAGAGTTTGAATCATGGACGCGCGCGCGTGTACTAATGCGTTGCACATATGTAGCTTGCAGAGCGTGCACTGTACCTACTGTATTGTAACAGTCAAAAAGTTGTTGGAAAGTGGGTGACCTTGAGCAGCCTTTATGCTGTTGGATTATGGACAAAAATATTACAGCGCTTTGGGAGTGCTAAATGGATTTCAGCGCCAGCTCTGTCCCAAAGCGGGGCCCCGTATAATCTCGGCCTTTCTAAAAATGGCGTCACGCGATTATATCATTTTGGGGGAAAACCCGGCTCCGCGCATCCGCGCCCCAAGCTCTCGAATCTCTTGTTCCCTGCACAGGGTAATACGCCGATTCCAGGCCCTCAATCCTGTTCCTTTTCATCCTTCTCTTGCTGCCGTTAGTGCTCATGCAGATAATCCGCAATGCCAGTCTAACTTCACATCGAATGTCTATTCGTACTAGTCCCACACGGTTATCTGCATGGTCCGCTGCGGCCAGGTCCTTTTCCTCAAGCTCACCGGCTTCTCTTTTTCGAAATTCGCTACAACCAGTTGCCCACGACGAAGCTCATTCTGACCCGAGGCATGCCCGTATGTTGCGCATGCTTATGTTTGGCAAGCCCGGAGCGGGCAAGGGTACTCTAAGTGGACGTCTTGTCAAGAAATACGATATTGTCTCGCTTTCCACTGGGGATCTGTTGAGGATGCATATAAATGATAGGTAAGATATCTAGCGTTCTAGTCAAACGTCTAGTTGAATATTTCTTTAGAACCGAAGTCGGACGAATGGCCGAGGAGATTGTTGCTCAGGGGGGATTGGTCCCAGACGAACTCATGCTACAGGTCGTTACCAGTAAATTAGACCGTCTGCACAACAAGCACTGGATTCTGGATGGATTTCCTCGTACATTCGCGCAAGGAGAGCTCCTAAACACGCATCTCAAGTGAGTCAAATCATGTTCTATTAGTCCTTCATTGCTGCTGATAAGGTTATTCAGTAAGCAAAACACACCGTTAAGCTTGGTCGTGAATCTTGATGTTCCGGACGACATCATCCTCAGCCGTATCTCGGATCGCTGGGTGCACCTACCTTCCGGTCGTGTGTATAATCTCTCCTACAATCCACCCAAAGTCGAAGGATTCGACGATGAGACTGGCGAACCCCTCACCAAAAGACCTGATGATAATCCCGTACGTATATATCTCGGTCTTTCCCAATTCACAGGTTGGCTCATACCTCCACAAACAGGAAATCTTTGCTCGCCGACTCGAAAAGTTTTACTCGACAACTTCACCTCTACTAGATTTTTACGCTCGTCTATCTCAGGCCCACGTTTCAACACCTCCGCATCGTCATCCTCATCAGCACCCGCATCAGCTTGCTTTCCACACCTCGCCGCCACATCGCCTGATGATGCAGTCAGTATCCGGAACTACATCCGATGAAATTTGGCCTGAGCTGGAAAGGGTACTGAAAGATACTTTTCCTGGGTTGAAAGAGAGGGCAGAGAGTGCTGATGCACGGAGAAGGCATAGTCTAAGTGATGCTATTGCTTCAGCCTCGATGAACGCCACTATATCAAAATAGAAACCTTATCTTGTCATGACCTTAGTTGGTCCTGTCTTGACCTGACTACCATATGCTTATTAATGCTTCAGTTCTCAATAACATTTAAGTACAGACCACAAACCAGTACCCTGAAGACACCTTGCAAGTTGCATCGTATGTGTATGTATATACTTATCGACAATAAGAAACAGTCAGTTTTGGGGAAGTAATGCTACATACTCGGCTTCCCAAAATTACATGTAAAGTAAAAACCACAAAATGAACAATACCCCTCACAGCCACATTTGCATTGACAACTTGCTCATATGAGCCGCGCAGAACAAGGTAGCTGTGAGGAACTGTTCTGTTTTAGTTTTGAAGCATGGTGAAGGCAGATCTCAGCCTTTCTATTGTACACAGTTTACGGTTGACTACCTTTTTAGTATAAAGTTGCATATATTATAGCAGCAAATTTTTGGCTTCAGCTCTCTGAATCTACCTTGGACACTTGCTCAACATTTGCAACCCATAGGACAGGGAAAAAAGAGTTGTTTGCTTGGCTGCCTAGCTGAGTGCATCAACAATAAATATTTGCTTGCATGAATTTGCCAGTCAATGATTTCAAACACTTACAAATGCTTATCTAAAGTTTGGGCAGGGGCAGATGCTGACTCTGGTGTGAGTGCTAATAAATCCTTTGCAGATATTGAATACATATTCATATGCAAACCGATTCCAGCATTTCATTCCGGACTCGTAACTTTGAGGGCTTCAAGAAGTTGCCTTACTTGAGAATAATTGACAAGGTAAGCTCTGCACCGACTTTTCAAGGTGCCTTCATCTGATTTGCTCAGTAGCAACGAAGCATCGCTCAGTAATGCACTACTTTCAACTTGGTGGCTTCCGCGAATCTCGACATCGGTGGTGAGTGGAACTCGAAGCTTCGCGGATAAAGGATGGTTGTTTGTAGCTCGGAGCGCAATTGCTATATTGCATGTGTCTTGTGTCGATAATGGAGGGAAATAACGAGTTTCTATGAACGGAAAACTTTGAGTCGGTCTGATTCATCTGAAATTCCGACTTTCGGTTTCCTTCCTTTCTCTAGGGATAACGTCTTCCGTATACGAAACGAAGGGGGCTCATATAATGACCAGAAAATTATCGCCAAGAAGGTATTCGAGGCCTTCAATGTGTCTACCTCGAGCTCCAAGGTAGCCGAAGGCGAATCCAAGTATCAGCCCAATTCCCAGTCGCACTATAATGAAGTAATGATGGAGGAAGAGATAAAACTAACACTCGGAATCCTTCCTTCGGGCGCATCCCTTCTCCTCCTTACTTTTACTCAAGTCAAACAGCTATGTTCCTATTGGCGTTATTCTTTACCTCTTCCTAATGAAGCGCTCCAATCATCCGTATTCGAATCCTTATCGCCAATCGAATTCGATGATATTGATTCGCTAGCGGCCAAGTTACGCTCGCTAGCACCAAAGAGCAGAGGCGATCGAAGAGATACGTCTCGAGACAACAAGGGCTTTTGCCAATCGGTCGATCTACAGGAAGGTAGCAAACGTGGAGTATTTGAAAATGTGCGACTGCTTCGACAGCTTGCTACAAAAAGAATTCCGCCGCCTCCCTCTACTGCAGGATTAGGAAACACGATTCACGAACCATATGCTCAGTTTTCAATCCCCCAGAATTTGGATAAAACTCTATTGCCTCGGATCCAAGTCGCGGCATTTGCGTACACACTCTGGTCTGTTGGTATGGGTAGTCTAGATCTCCTTGATGTGGCCTGGGCGAGAGCTGAAGGGGGCATGCATGATTTGCGAGCTTCTCGTGACGGAGGGGGGGAACAAGTGGACTTTGGCTGGAATTCGTATAAAAACCAGTCAGGATTGATCAAGAAGACGTTTCCAAGGTCAAGGGTACAAGCTCAGAAGGATCCCGACTTTGGGCCGTGGCTCTTCCGAAAGCTCTTGGGGTTCCAGATGTCAAATTATGCTTCTTCGTCGACTAATCATTCGAGTTCTATACCAGATGGAATGTCTGTAAGTATTCCTTCGGATGTTGAGCACCTCATTCTCCTTGTATACGACGAAGTAACCACTCGTGCTGTATTCTCTAATCTTGGCGTTGACGTTGCCTGTGCTGATACTTCAAATGCGAACAATGGGGGCGGAACTGGTACTCAAGGATGGAGATGGATCAAGGACGCAGGATTAAGAAATTTGTTAAGGGATGTGAGTATATCTTCTATTTTCTTTCAAATCTGTTTTTTAATCACTCTTGTACGGGATCCAGGACTCATATGGCAATCTTGACCCCACTCGCGACGTGATTAACACTCATAATCGTCCATCCGACAACGGATACAAATCCAAATACGATTCTCGTACAGGCAATTCTATATACCCCAGAAACTCCGGCAGAAGATCCCCTTCTTCATCTGCGTCATCGCTCTATACTTTGCGCTCTTCGACCCCCTTTTCATCCTCCTCAACTGCGACTTCATTTGCCACCTCCCCTCATAGTTATCATCGAGGGCAACCCCATAATGATCATGTCTATAACCACGACTCTAATTTCGACGACAAACGTGGATATCGTTCAATGCCACCTCGCGCCAGCGAACGTCACAGCGACTACAACAATCCAAACCAGAGATGGCACGGAAAACGCGAATTTAAACAAGAACGCGGGGACGATGAACACAGGCAATTCAAACGGCCAAAACGAGGGCCTAGAAAAGACCGTCATATGGGTGATCGTTTTGATGAGGATGGGTATGATACTACCTCAGGGGAAGAGGATATAATCGCGTCTGAATCGAATGAAAGGCCTATTGCGAAGAAGGAAGAAAATGGTTTCCGGATCGAAGGCGAGCCTCGCGAAAGCGCCGCCAACGCTACTAAACGCGGGGACTCGCCTTCTTCTTCTTGCTCAGTCTCCAAACAGGAACCTTCCTGCGAATCCAAATCGAGCCAGCAAACATCCCAGCAATCACAGCCTCCGATCCTCCAAATTCATGTTATTGATCTCAAGACACTTTTCTACTCCTCCACAGGCTCTCATACCGGTGCGGACAGTGTACAGGGAATGGCAAGAGAACTTAATTTGGGTGGAGGTGGAATACCACTTTACGGAATGTTAGGGAAGGGAGAGTACGGCTCTGGATGGGATGCAGAGTACGTACTCATCGATTTTTAGCATACCAATCTGATGGTCCGTTCTAATCCCATTCACCCAGACTTATGCTTAGCATCTTCCAATTCTTCGTAGACGGACGGACAATCAATGAGCAAAGAGCTACTGCTTCCTCACGAATGGAGGTTGAAAAAGAGGAAAAGATCGAACGGCAAAAACGAGCAGAGGCGGAAAGAATGCAAATTCAAAGTACGCAAGCTGGTTTGGATGATGACATAGACCCAAACGAGGTTAGGCCTTCTGCAGAAGGGCAAAACTCTGATTCAGAATTGGGGGAGGCATGGGAAGACTGGGGCGAGAGCGACTAATGTCGAGCAAAACAGACACTAGCAAATACAGTGGGAAATTCAATGACTCCTGTAGAGTTGGCAATATACAGTATGTGCCATTAGTACATAATCTGAGAGTGAGGTTCGACAAAGCAAATCTCACAACTTGGATAGTGAGTAGTGTGCAGACGTACAGACTAATCAGCGGAAAAAAGTCGTAGAAAGTACAAAATGGGGAGCAAGTGATAAGATAGAATCCTAATAACTTAGTAACGTCCTCCATGTCATGCACGTCGATACCTCCCCAGACCCAATGCGGATATATCGAGCAAAGCGAGACGCCTCGCATGTATACGTGAAGAGCAAGTATAATATCCTTGGATTTATTTCTAGTGGAACCTACGGGAGGGTATACAAAGCTGAAGATGCCTCTGGTAACCTGCACGCGATAAAAAAATTCAAGCCTGACAAGGAGGGAGACGTGGTGACTTACACAGGAATCAGTCAGAGTGCAATTAGGGAAATTGCACTCAATAGAGAAATTAGCCATGAAAACATTGTTTCGCTGAAAGAGGTCATTCTGGAGGACAAGTCAATCTACATGGTGTTTGACTACGCCGAACATGATTTCCTACAACTTATCCACCACCACTCACAAACTTTGCGCTGTCCAATTTCAACTGCGGTGCTAAAATCCCTCACATATCAACTCTTAAATGGCCTAGTCTACCTCCACTCTGCTCATATCTTACATCGGGATTTAAAACCTGCAAATATTCTGATCACATCCAACGGTCAAGTCAAAATCGGTGACCTTGGCCTAGCTCGCCTTTCCGCGCAGCCCTTACAACCACTGTTTGCTGGGGATAAAGTCGTGGTTACGATCTGGTACCGTGCTCCAGAATTGCTGCTGGGCGCAAAGCATTACAACAACAGTATTGACTGTTGGGCCGTTGCTTGCGTTCTGGCTGAGTTAGCCAGTTTGAGACCCATATTCAAAGGTGAAGAGGCTAAGCTTGATTCGAAGAAGAATGTACCTTTTCAAAGAGACCAGTTGCTGAAAATATTCGAGGTTTTGGGTAGTCCTACTGGTACGTGGGTGGCGCATCCTTTTCATATATTGTCTAATTTATCTTTGCATTTTCAGAGAAGGACTGGCCTTCCGTGACACACCTACCCGAATATCCGTCTCTTAAACGTCTTGATCCATATCCAAATCGTCTGTACGATTGGTGTCAATCACGCCTTCGTTCTCAGGCGGGGTACGACCTGCTCCGGATGTTGTTTATTTATGATCCAGATCGACGGCTCAGCGCCAGAGAGGCTCTTGTGCATCCGTGGTTTCTGGAAGATCCATTGCCTAAGGCTAAGTCAGTCATTACCCTAACGAAAATCCTTCTCTTCCCGTTGCTCATTTGTTTTTTCACAGTGCATTTGCATCTGTTGCTTCCAATCAAATACCCCCTCACCGTCGAATAACTCAGGACGATGCGCCTAGCATGTCAATGACCATTCCGTTACAGCCAGGACAATCGGGCAATGCAGGTCAATTTCTCGTCCTCACCATTCGTTGCTCAATGCACTGATTTATTTGGGCCGCCTTCTCACAGCGAATGCACCTGGCCCACCATTCCCACAGTCTCAGCAAGTCCTATCTGGCTCTTCGCAGCAGGCACAGGCTCAAGCAAAATCTGGCCATAGCCACCATACTGGTACAAGTGGAAGTCTAGGAGACGCAGGAGGACCAACAGTGTATGGTCCACAGGGGCACGGGCAGGTACATGGCACAACAAAACTGAGGAAGAAACCAAGGTTAGGATAGGGAACAGAGTACATAGTATTTTACTTCATGCAAGTGCAAAGTGTAACAATTCTCAAAGGCGACAACATTGCAATCATCTTCATTTAAATACCTCAATCATATATTCATTTACACACCCGTCTCTCTCGTATATTCGCACTTACTAGATCGCATTTTGGGTGGAACGGTGTTGATCTTCAGGCCACCAACCAATCAGTTCCCTCATACGCCCCACTCCGACTACACCCCTGACAGTACTATCCTCCAACGCGATGACGATTGCCTCTGCAACGTGGTCGACGTGTATTGGCGGGATTGTTATCGCATTCGCAATGCTATCTAATGGAGAACCCAATGAAGCGTCCTTCAGAGGCCCACGTGCATTGCGTATTGAAAGAGATGATTGCGGTGATAAAGCAGCACCGAGATAATGCAGAAGTTGCGAAGGTTTTGGAATCCCCTGAGGTATCTTACGGTGCAGCGACGCGGACAGGTCGAATATTGCAGCTGCAGGAGTTGTCAAGGGGCGATAATGCGCGTGGTATACAAGGCCTGCATGTAAGTGTGAGTAAAATTTGGACATGAGCTCAAACATAAGCGATAAGTCGACATAAAGAGCTGACGGTCTTGACAACCGTCAACTACAAAGGCTCGTGCAAGAAGCGAGGCGGATAAGGGCGGATATGTAAAGAAAAAGCATAATCAGACACGTACTAGGTCTGATATACACGCCACGATATTGGCCCGGAGGAGACGTCGACAGCATAGCCTCAATACCCATTTCGGCTTCACGTTTCGTTTCAATATATCTTGCTGGAATTATGGGCCTGAATACGTCCTCCGCAGAGATATAGACAAATGGTCTCGGTTTCGGAGATTGTTTTCCTTGTCCGGAAGAGAGAAATGCTTCACATACACGGAGAGCTAACGCCACGAGTTGGTCATACCTGTAATGCGAATCAAAGAATGGTGGACTTACCGCTGTCGCGATTTATGTCCTCATAACTCCCTTCAGAAATACCCTTCAAAGGATTTTGGAACCCGAAAACACTGCCTAAGGCACTTCCAATCATTTTGGTAACATTTCCCTCTCTTATTGCCTGTTTGTACTTGCCGCCGTCTTCAATCAGAGTTCCAAGCGTGTGGACAACTCCATGGACGTCAGCCAACACGTCCGAAAAGGTAGTTGGGTTGTGTGCGGAGCCTTTGAGCCAAGTTACCTGTGACAAGACGCGTCATGCGTAGGATAACGATCATTGGCGTTTGTGAAGAGAGAGAGCGCACTTTCGATGTCCATGCGGGAGTATGTCCTTTCGGCGTGGTGTATGGGCGTCCCGAGGAGCTGAAAAATGATCATGTCAGTCAAAATCTCGAGAATAAACCGAGGAAATAAAGATATACACCTGACACTAGTAACCTGTATACCCTTTGCTAATGCAGCACAACATATCGCCGAACCTATCCGATTTTGAGGAACAAACAGAGGGAGCGTGTGCTATTAGCCCACCAATGAATCCATTACCCCCCACAACGAGTAATTTCCGTACAGGTGAAGCAGACATTAAGGAGTTCGAATACTGGGATTATCCGAGAACACGCTACCACCGCGAATGAAGGTGTTCCTGATAGAACACAAAAAAGATGAAAGGGGTTTCGAAGAGAGCAACAATATAAGACGCCAGTTCCCATTGTAATTATTGAACACGGTATATAGCACTACCGTGCGTCGATTTGAGCCCAGCTTCTGGAAATGTTTACACTCTGCACGGCATTCACTGAAAATGACTTGTTTTCAACATCGTAAGCTCAGCTTTAAATACCTTAGTTAGGATAGCTTGTCACACCAAATCGAGATCTGCGAAAGAGCACACAGTTCATACATAGAAGGAGAATGATAACAATATGCAAAGAGCTATGTAATTCCAGGAAAGGATGATGCAGCAAGAACTTGAAGAGAAAAACACAACATATGACCGACTGTATGCGGTATAGGGAAGGAGGGGATGAACACAAAGGCGGATCACTAGGATAAGAGTCATAAACACTAGGTCGTAAGAATCTTGAAATCATAAACATTGGCTGTATGCATGTTATGCCGCTTTGCCGTTACTATCCATGACTGGCCTCCGAAGACGAAAAAGGGCTAGCCTGCTCGTCAAGAGCGTCACAAGATATTTAAAAATGAGAGGAGAATGCGCATTTAGTCGAATGACCAAGAGACTGACCAAATAAATGAGAAACGTAACTTCAGAGGTGAAGGTTGACTTACTATCGAATTCACCCACATCCAAGCTAGTGAATGACTGGAAAAGGGCGACTGACATGTCGAGGGAGTTTTCGTTGTCACCTAATCGACGAGGATGAATCATCAATGAGAAGGTACAGAGATGAAAGGAATATTCACAAGTAGGACAGTCATCGGCAACCGTAGCTTGCATGGTCTGTATTCGGAAATGTAAGTTAGACACAGCTTATGGAAGGGGAAACACAGCAATTACCTTTCCCAAGCCGGTGATGGTGACCGTCTTGCCACAATACTGGGACGTTTCACCAGAGTCGCCATAACGATCTTGATCTAAATACGTAGTGAGATCGAGCGCACGTAAAGACCATGGTAAAATGACTACCTATAGCGACCTAGGAGACAAACAAGTATGAATGACTGAAAGAGGACAGGAAAGGCGACAACCTACAATGAAATCATTATCCGAGTGTACAGTACCACAGGCACCAGCCACGCTGCAAATACGATCAGTACCGGGTAAGCAGTCAAGACCAAGAAAACCTATACCCGTTCTGAGTGAAATATGTGGCACTGCAAATGTACAATGCATTAGCGCTGTCTATGACTAGTGCCATTGGGAAACTTACTGTCCGCCGGTGAAAACCTCGGAGGAGCCGGTCGAGGAATCAACAGATCCGGTGGGAGTCGCCTCAGCACTGGAAGACGAAGTTGTAGGGGTCTCCTGAGTTGAGGTAGGAGTGGGAGTGGAAGAAGATTCCGAAGAAGTGGTGGGCTCAGAAAAAGCGGATGAGGACGTTGGCGAGAAAGCTTCACTCGTAGAGGAGAGAGTGGCCGTTGAAACAACAGAGGTAGAAGTTGAGTCGTCATCATCGCCATCATCACAGTCATCGGAATCATCGTCGTCGTTGTCATTGCCGTTGTCTCCATCAGCAGGAGTTGTCGCCGTGGATGTCGCCTCTGCGGCGCTTGCAGAAGCGGAAGCAGAAGTCGAGGGAATGCAGTAAGATGGACGAGCAGTCTCAAGAGTTTCTGTTGCCTTTGAGATGTAGTATTAAGATCAGAGGGAGAAAATGAAATTTACGAAAGACATACAAGCATTGGATGGCAGCACGCGTTGAAGAAAGTCGCGTTATTATGTTGGTACTGGCATCCGATGGCGAGATACCTGGTATGATATGTTTGGTAGTCCTCTAGGTAACCAACAGCATAGGTGGAAGGTGTTTCTTTACGGGGAACAACATAGCCAACAGCAGGAGCTGTGACAGCGGCAGAAAGAAGGACAAAGGTGGCGATGGATAGGGCGTGCATCTTGGAAGTAAAGATGGGGACTTGCAAAAGATGGTGATCTGTGAAGGATGGATTGGTGGGCCTTTTAAAGGGCAAGCTTGAAGGAAAAGGAAAAGGAAGACACGAGGAATTCGCGAAGAATCCAAGGATTCAAAGAAAGAGGAAAAAAAGCGACTGAGGCCTGGGAAAATTTGTTTAAACTTCTTATACAACAACCTGCCGTAACGCATACCAAATTAGGCACCACCCACTTTTGACACGATACACGATGAGTGAATATCCCGTTCACCGTGTAGGTGTCCTTCATTGACAAAATCTCATCAGGTTACAACGAAAATCCTTTTGCTTCTTCGCATTCTCTCGATACAAATCCTTTCGAAGACCCAGCGACATCGCAGGCAGATGCCGCAAGGCTAGAAAGTATCCGTCAGCGCGAAGCCGACCTTGAACGGTATACCCTATTCTCGTTTCCTCAACACTTCTGAATGCTTACACCCTGCATCTGCAGACGTCAACGCGACCTGGATCAAAGAGAACAACAGCTCAAGCATCATGGAAAGAACAACTGGCCATTCTGTATTTATGTTCTTCTTTTTTCAGTTCTACGTCTGATCCTCCGCAGTCTTCCCTCTTATTTACCACGATATTTCTGTGGAGATCCCAGAAGCATCAAGGCCTTTGATAAATCGGCTCTACCAACTCTGGCTCGTACTCCTGGGAACCCTCGTTCTCAACATGATTGCCTGTATCTTCATTCTCATAGCTGGATCCTCAGATGGTGGAAGAGATGTAGGCGCAGCTATAGGGTATGTGCACTAAACAATTAATTTCTAGCCGAAGAACGCCTTCTAACGCGTCGTGAACTTCTAATAGATATCTTTTCATCATCACAGTCACGTCTTTCCTGTTGTGGTATCGGTAGGTGACATTCACTACTTCATTATCCCGCGCTAATATCATCGCGCTAGTCCCATTTACAACGGTTACATGAAGGTACGCAAAGCCCAGCTCGCGTTAAACTTTATAGGCTGTCTTACTTTCATTGACACTTCTTAGGAGCAAGCCCTGTATTACTGTAAGGTTCCTTTCCTCCCGAAGCCGACCGTTTCGTTCATCATGTTCTCGAAGACTTCTACTTCTTCTTTTGTGGCTTCCATTTACTCTTCAGCGTGTACATGTGCGTTCATCCAGAAATTCCGATCCTCCTCTTTCAAACTAACTTTCTTTTGTTCGTTCAGGATTATCGGTGTTCCTAGGTATCCGACACTCGAGGTTTTCCGAGGCAATATGTTTGCTCACCTCGGCTTCCCTTCTCTAGTACCGGATCAGCGGGTCTCATACAGACCATCCAGATGTTCGCTGGCCATCATTGGGTCGCTGCGATACTCGGTCTCGTTGCCACTGTTGGCTGGACTTTACAGGGGCTGGGTAATGCATTTTATTATCGTCAAGTAAGTTTTTCATTCGGTTTCCGCCCCGACGTCCGTTAACCTCCTGTAAAGATTTATACTCATCATACTGCTGCGGGCCATACGATGGAAAAGGCAAGCTCACGAATGTTCATATTAGCTTTAGCTTTTTGAGCCACTTATATTCCAATCTTTTCAGGCCAAAACGGAGTTGGCTTCTCATGGTGCGAAGGCCTACTTTACACGAGGATGAATTGTTGTTCAATGTATCAGACGTTCCTGTAATTATCTTGTACGGACGATGAGAATGAGAACATTACTTGTTAAACTTTTATATGCTACAAGTCAGTGACTGGGTGAAACGAGACAGAAGTGTGTGAACATGCTGGCGATCAACGGTCTTCCAGTCCCGGGGTGTGGAAACTTGTGGAGATTATCCATTGCTTGAACGTTGACGTCCATTCACCATCACAACATACTCTACCCAGGCTTTTTAACCTTCACATATCGTGGGCCATGACAGGCTTAGTAGCCTTGACAGTACCATCTGCGACTAAAGTGCTGTTGCTGCTGGAATTATTGCCCCTAACAGCCGCCTTTAGCTGGACATTCCAATCTGCCCCAACTCAATGCCAAAACCTTTCTATCTCTATCTCTGGTGGAGGAACTCCCCCATATAGCGTCCTCATCATTCCTTCAGGCTCGACACCGTTTACGAATGGTACAGAAGTTCGAAAAATCATTAGCCAGCAATTTTCGTCAAATTCAGTCAGCTTTCAACTAGCTTATCCAGCGGAGAGTCAGCTAGTTGCGGTGGTAAGCTTTCTTTGACTGAATTCTAGTCGGCTGAGTCATATCCTTGTTTAGGTTAGTGATGCGACCGGATTTGGCACTGGAGGCACTAGTGCTGAGGCCGAAGTTGTCTCTTCATCCGACAGCAGCTGCATAGACGCTAGTAAATCTGTTGTACCCGATTGGTACTTGAACCTCGACCCGTCTAATCAGCTTGTTCAATGTGAGTTCGACGGTAATCTTTGACGATTCTTCTTGAAACAAAACTTTTGTTTTTGCAGGCACGGCCACAAGAATATGGTGGACTGAAAGCAATGTTTCAGGGTATGATTTTGCTGCCTGCGTACAGACTATTTGGCTTACGCGCTGAAAGAACCCCATTCTTTTTTGGTGTTATTCCTGGCGGTGATTCCTTTGTGATTCCTGAAAGCAATGTCAATACCACATCCGATACTGGCACTGGTTTCTCTTGGACACCCAATGTCCGTGAGGGAACAACTATGCATATTGTCGGTAATGATAATAACGGCAATGGCACGGGTGGTAGCTCGCGTCTGACGGTCGGCCAAAACCTCCAGAATGACAATTCTTGTTTGAACAACAACAGTCCGAGCTCAACGGCTGGAACTCCAGCTGGTGGCTCCTATCCCACGGACACAAGCGGAGACTCGTCTGGCGGATCTAGTACCACTAGCAAGTAAAGATTCTCTTCTATATCCTCGAATACGCAGACTGATCATGGTCTCAGTACTAATGTAGGTGCAATTGTAGGCGGTGTAGTGGGTGGTGTTCTCGGGCTCCTCGCACTTCTCTTGACTTTCTACTTCATCCGTCGTCGCACCAGGCAAAACCGCAAAAACAACGAAAAACCTGTGGATCTGCTTCAATCCGATGAAGGAGACGAGCGACCTAACGGACCTGGCGAGCCTCCAGAATACTACCGTCCCGATCCATTCATTGTTCCTGATCCTACCTACGATGAGTCTTCAGCCAGCGCGAGTGGAAGACCATTGAGTGCGAGCGAACGGCCCACAAGTAGAAGCGGCACTCCAGACGTCGCTTCCTCATCTACCGGCACGAAGAAAACTGGAGCACCACGAGTACTTCGCCCCGTGAATATCATCCAGCATGACGACGCTGGCCCCAGTGAAGTTGGTGGAAAGAAAGAAGAGGAGCCCGAGACCATTGAGCTGCCTCCTGCTTACACCAATATCAGGAAATGATTCATCCCTTGTGCAAAATCTACTCGCAATGCATGTAAGAATCATTTATCACGCTCTACATAATTATGTTGCCTTTTTATACTCATATCTTTTGGCGGTACTTGAACATTCGCATCTCTATATCTTCAGTTGTAATTAATTGGATACCACTTTCGAAACGTTGTGTAACTTATGTGGATCTTCCACGTAATCATCATTGGTCTCCTAGTCATAGTATTGCTACATAAGTTGAAGGCTGTTCTGTATGTAGTCAAGCGTCGCTGTCCTACTTATGTATGTGCAACAGTAGAAGCTGAGTAGAAGTATCGGAACAATGCAACAGCCACCATGTCACAATGCCATGAGGCCGTGGGAAACCAATGATCTATCAAAAAGGCGACCTCAAACTGATTTCTTCATCCACCATCATCTTAAAGGTATGCTCCTCCATTTCGTGGATTGTGGCAAAGCTTTGCTCATTTCACGCTTTTCCATAGTTAAAAAGCTTCTTAAAAATCATATAAAACCTTTTTTTCATAAACAAGCGGTTGTTTGTTGCTCTCCTGTGTGAGTCTTCTTATCCAACTAAAATCGGCGCTCTTCACAAACCAAGTACCCTAGTCGAAGAAAAGTTCATAAAGCAGTAACGACGTACCTAAATTTCTGAAAAAACCCCTTCGAACTGCGCACATCCCCCGCCTCAACGCAATAAAACTCATAAAACAATGTCTGCTCCTGTTGTAGCTGAAACATCTGCTATATCGACCGTGGAAGCTGCTGGTGTCCCTGCCGTCGCTCCTCCTTCTGGTGCGGCTCCAATGCCGGCGATAGCTCCTGCTCCCGCTCCCACTTACGCGCCTCAAGGCTCGGCTGCCTCTACCCCCAGTGCCTCCCTTTACGTAGGAGAGCTTGACCCCACTGTCACTGAGGCTATGCTTTTTGAAATTTTCAACATGATCGGGCCCGTCGCCAGGTATGTTCATCATCCGTGTTCTCAACATTATCGCCACCTACAAACAGCCCAGTATCCGTGTTTGCCGTGACGCAGTCACCCGTCGTTCGCTCGGTTATGCCTATGTTAACTATCTGAATACTAGTGACGGTAAGTTCTTCGGTTTTCTGCGCATATATTTTGCCGATTTTTTGGTGTTAGGTGAACGTGCTCTTGAGCAGCTGAATTACTCTCTTATCAAGAATCGTGCATGGTTTGTTGTTCATATTGTACCTTTCCACGTCTTTGATATTCACTTCCTCTATGTAGCCGCATCATGTGGTCTCAACGTGATCCCGCTCTCCGCAAGACGGGTCAGGGCAATATCTTCATCAAGAACCTCGACGAACAAATTGACAATAAGGTGCTTAATCCAATTGTTCACTTGCACCACAACTACTGAATACTTTGAATGCAATATATAGGCTCTTCATGACACTTTCGCGGCATTCGGAAACGTTCTTTCCTGCAAGGTTGCCACTGACGAGCATGGCCGCTCTAAGGGCTACGGTTTCGTCCACTACGAAACCGCTGAGGCAGCCGACGGCGCTATCAAAGCTGTCAATGGCATGCTTTTGAACGATAAGAAGGTTTATGTCGGTCATCACATCTCTCGCAAGGTGAACAAGACCACAACTCAAAGTATTTCTCTCATGCTTATCACTGTAATGCAGGAACGTCAATCTAAACTCGACGAGATGAAAGCACAGTTCACCAACCTCTATATCAAGAACTTGGATCCCGAAGTCACTGAAGAAGAGTTTGAGAAGCTCTTCGAACCATATGGCAAAGTCACTTCTGCCATTGTTCAAAAGGACGAAGAAGGAAAGAGTCGGGGCTTTGGGTTCGTCAACTACGAGTCTCACGAAGACGCTCAGAAGGCAGTCGACGCTCTGCATGACACCGAGCAGCATGGCCGCAAACTCTTTGTGTCTCGTGCCCAGAAAAAGGCTGAGCGCGAGGAGGAGCTGCGCAAGTCATACGAGCAGGCTAAGATGGAGAAGCTGTCCAAATATCAGGGCGTTAACCTTTACATCAAAAACTTGGAGGATGACGTTGACGACGAGAAACTGCGCGCGGAGTTTGAACCTTTCGGTACCATCACCAGTTGTAAGGTAATGCGCGATGACAAAACAGCTTCCAAAGGATTTGGTTTTGTCTGTTTCTCTTCTCCAGACGAGGCAACCAAGGCTGTTGCGGAAATGAACAACAAGATGATCGGTTCAAAACCTCTGTATGTCTCTCTTGCTCAGCGTCGCGAAGTTAGGCGCCAGCAACTGGAGAGCCAGATCGCTCAGCGCAACCAAATTAGAATGCAACAGGCTGCTGCTGCCGGTATACCTGGAGGATATCTCAATGGACCGATGTATTATCCTCCTGGTCCCGGATTCCCTCCTCAAGGACGTGGTATGATGGGATACGGTCCGGGAATGATGCCTCCTCGCCCTCGTTACCCCAACAATGGTCAGGTCGCCGGTCTGCCTATTCCTGCGCCTTATCAACAACCTCCCCAAGGATATGGTATGCCTGGTTACCCCGGTCGTGGTGGCCCTCGTCCCCCTGCTCCACGTGGCCCCCCTTCTCCAACTCTGCAGAATGCTGTTCCTCCGCGTCCCAATGGCGGCGCCCCTCCTAATGGCGCCTCTCCCAACGGTGCTCCCCGTGCACCCGGCCCTCAGGTCCAATCCCGTCCTACTGGTGCTCCTGCTCCACCTGCCGGTCGTTCTCCCCAAGGCCTGCAGCCTCAAGGCCAACCGCAGGGCTACAAGCTTAACCCTCAGACCCGTAACGCTCCTGGACAGGCTCCTGTCCCCGAAATTCCGCCCTTCAACACGGCTGTGCTCGCCAACTCCAGCCCGATGGAGCAGAAACAAATGCTTGGTGAACAAATCTACATGAGGATTGCTGGGTATGTACTATGAATGGCATGTTTCATTTGGACTCACTGACATATTTTAACAACAGAACACAGCCCGAGCTGGCAGGAAAGATCACTGGTATGCTTCTTGAGATGGATAACACTGAGCTTCTTCAACTCTTGGAATCTCAAGAAGCCATGAACAATAAAGTTCAGGAGGCTCTTGTTGTTCTTCAAGAATACAGCAAGGATGAGTAAGCGCTTGATTGCGCTTATTTGACTACTGGTTGTGCATGATGTTAGCCGTCTCTTTTTGGATGGATACAATCGTTCTACTGAAGTATCCATCCGTCCATTCATTTGACTACGTCGAAATTACCCACCCCATGCTGTGTTCTGTATTCGCCTCCTTTGTATCTGGTTGTTCATCTTTGCCTTTCTTGTCCCCTCGGGTCATCTTCACTGCAGGTGTTCGGTTGTACTTACTGGATGTCGCTTAGGGATTTTATCGGTCGTTCCTTTGTGTTACTTAGTCAAGAAATAGAGATGATCAACTGCTGCTTGAATCATAGACCCGTTGCATTGTATAACACCTGTCGGTGTCGAAAACAACTTGGTCTCCGTTCCATCTTGCCCATCTTCGTTCGGGTATGCTGCGGTGAGTGATCTACTCACAGGATCTATATACCATGTATGCCTCTTGAATGGTCTGTTAGCGCCATTCAAAACAAAGGGAGTCGTGTGAAATGGTACAAAGTGACTCGGACGTGAGGGAAATGCTTTCTTTCTGTACTTCTTATTCTGGGGAACAATGAGAACCATTCTCGTCAGAGCTTTGACGCTTCAGCAAACGGTAAGTATAAAGCCTTGTTAATAATTATCTCTAACGCTATCAACCGACCTCGACGACTCTATGAATACATTGGATATACTTCTGCGCAACTATTCTGAGCCCAATGAATGTGCATACATTGTTCATTTTCCGGGTTTAGGCTGTACACCGCGGACCGCGTTTCATCGAACAATACCTCTCCCACCTTTTGAGACACTCACCGCCCAAATCATGTTTTTCCAAGACGTTGTATCGGAGAAAATGCCTCTTTCTCGGTAAGATTCACGACTCCCGTTGACAGAGATATTTTACTTTTCTTTGATTCTAGAATGTCGCGAATCTTGTTCCGTGTTATCTCTCGCCTTGTACAACCTCGTTGGAGTCAAGATGGGCAGTTTTCAATTTCCAATGTGTCTCTCCTGGTCTTGGATTTGAGTGCTGAACATTATCCAACTCATGCCCTGTTCGCATTCTCGCCACGCGACCCATCGCGGATGAGCATGTACCTGGTGCATTCTATTGTTCTAGAGATGTTTTGCCCTGCCTTGCATGCTTCCCTTCCATTTTCACCAACTTCCTGTATGACTTTTACACCAACGGTTCGTCCCCGTGTAGTTATCGTTCCCGCCCACCCGATATGCATTGCTTATCCAGAAGCATTTGGTGTCCTCTTACCTTACTTTTACGACCGAGATACACATTTTCTTGTTTCCCAATGTCTACCCTTGTCAAAGTGGATCCGGACCTCCCAAGACCCTTTCGCTGAATTGGAGGACGAGTCTTCAAGAGTGTCCCTTGGCTACTTCCTCGCCCAGATGGCACCGTACATGACACTCATCGAGCACACCGTGAAGACAACCATGTTAGCGAGAACCGCTTGGCAATTGATTGTCCTCGACGATAAATTGTGGAGGGTGCTCAAATGTTGTTACGACATATTGCTGAACGCTCTTGCATTTACTACTACGGGCCAGTCTCTGAAGGATTTTTTGAACGAGGAATAGCATTATTCAGGTATTACTGCTCCTACCTGTGTGCTGTATGACTCGTACACTGTGGTGCAGAGATGGGGAGGGTAGGGATCGACAAAAGCAGGTCAACCGTTATGTAGATGGAGGAAGAGTATTGCAAATCAGATTGGTGTATTACATAGCAATAATGGAGCCCCTGTTGCCCTTTGCACACACTACACACACATATGACTGAAATGTGCTCGGACTCGGAATTATCTCTGACCGTATCCACTTTCACTCGGTCCGCAATTCATCCCTTTCGTCGAAAGTAATCCTCGTGAACATGACAGCCCCTCAACAGCTGGTGTGGTTTATCACAGGTGGGATAAGTTGATCTTCAAGTTTGAATATGATCTGTACTGATCAGAAAAAACTATCAAGGCACCACTTCAACACTAGGATTTGGTGCTCGTTTAGTCTCTACTGCACTTTCGCGAGGTGATCTTGTCATCGCAACCGGCCGGTCACAAGAAAAACTGGACAAACTCCTCGAGAAACACGTCAAAACAGATAATCTACGAGTTTTACAACTGGATGTCACTTCCAGTCCAGATATCGTGAAGGATGTGGTCAACCAAGCTGTAGCCTTTTGGGGACGTATTGACGTTGCAGTCAATAACGCTGGTAATGGTGAACTGGGACTCATAGAGGAAACCGAGTAGGTCTACGTACTTCTGGCAGGTACACTGTCACTGACCTATATTTCTCAAGTACGTCGGCGATGCGGCGTCAATTTGAGACTAATCTATTTGGACCTGTAGAAGTCATGAAGGCCATACTACCCCATATGAGGCCTCGAAGAAGTGGGACAATAGTCGTGCTTGGCAGCCGATCCATTTGGATAGGCGAAACACCAGGTCTAGGTATACCGAGTCTTGATCCTTCTCAACATTAAGATTCAAACATAGTTACCTTGTATAGTTCATTACTCCGCTTCAAAGGCTGCTTTGCATGGTAAGAGATCATGTCGATTCTCAAAGGAGCTCCACCTTACTCCCCTGCAGCCATGGCGGAAGGTCTTGCTTCAGAAGTATCCCACCTGGGCATTCGTGTCTTGCTCCTCGCTCCCGGAGCTTTTCGCACAGACATCTACTCCAACAGTCCATTTCACCAGGACAATTTCATCTCAGACTACGATGATCTTCGAGCAGCTTGCACTAAACGCTTTGCGGGAATAGCTGGCCATGAGCCCGGGGACCCCGTAAAGGCCATGGAGGCTCTCGTCGACGTGGTGAGAGGCGAAGGTGTTGCCGTAGGCAAGAAATGGCCTGAGCCCGGAACGTCGCTCCTTTTGGGAAACGATGCAGAAAGGGACTTTTACAAGAGGTTTGAAAAACTGAAGGCTGCAGTATCGGAGTGGACGGATGTTGTGAGGGGTATGTGGTATCCTGGTAATGCAATTTAAACCGGGGAGAGAAGATTCATAGTGTAGTCTTAAGGGTCAGATCCCACAAAATCTAGTAGTGGGTTGAAGAAACTTGGAAGCTTGGTGGTCGTTGTATGCTATACTTGATATTGACAAAAGTTCATAGAAATATCCACGTACTAGACAGTGATTACAAGGGAATAATTACAGTATGACTATTACTGTCCCGACAAACTTGAAATTCGAAAAAAGTCCATAGCGCGAATAAAATATCGTAGTTATATATGAGTAGTTTCCTGTAGCATGATGTACCACTATTGTTTGATCCGAGCTTATAGAAAGTGCACAAGGTTTGGGACAGAAAATGTATGCAGATGTAACTGCAATAACTGTACAGGAGGAAAGACAGACAGAGAAAGGGTCCTACATCGCTTCACCAATACCTCCAGCAATCGATCCTGTTCTGCTTCCGGGTCGGCTTGGTGTAGGTAACTCTCCCCACGAAACACGCTTGTTGTGCTTCGACGTTCCTGCGCTAGTAGGAGGCGAAGTCATGTGCGGCGCACCATACGCACTCACCAACGACGATGCAGAATTCGCAAACGCCGACGGCGGAGCAGATGAGCCACCGGTGCCACTCAAATTAAGCGGAGGAGGAAGGGTCAAAGGAGGATCTCGTGGACTAGGCGTTTTGGGTTGACGTTCCAGCCAGTTTCTGGGGTGTATTGAAGTAGGGGAAGACACCATCGTGCTATTGTTATGGGCGTCGAAAGAGGCGTTTGGATCAGTTTGCGTTCTTGTGAGGATAGATCGCGGCGGATCTGGTTTAGAAAGCATTTTTGAGAGGGGACTGGATCGCTTTGGAGTGGTGGAGTTTACAGAGGAACCACTTGCACCTCTGACATGGCTGGAACTATTAGGTACACCTACTGCACCAGGAACAACAGCAGGAGCAGCACCTGGCGGAAGGCTACTAGCATGAGCAGAGATATCTGTACCCATTATCTGATCAACGATACTACCCAATTCCGAATCTTTGCTCAACTCTCGGGCAGGGACAAACGGATCCACAAATTGTGTTCCATGATTAGGCGGAGGCCAAACGCCTTCTTCGTGGAACATGGAACCTGAATCTGAAGCTCGGGCACGATAGAGAGTTGGCGCAGGATTGTACGGATAATTAGCATGTTGGCTGTTTTGTGTTGGACCTGACAGCGAAGCCATACTACCTGCACCAACGGACGGCTGTGGAGAATGTGCACTGGTCGTCCTTTCCCGCATGTGAACACCTGCCAATTCGTCTCTGTATTCTTCATCGTCGTCGAACTCTCCATCCAACAAGCCTATCCCACCTGCGCCTTTGCCTTCTTTAGACCTTCGCGTCAGAGCCTCGATAAACCCAAGTTTCCTGTTTTTCCTCCGGCGCCAGCAGAAGAGAGATACTAGGACAGCGAGAAGGATTGCAAAGAGAGCACCACCAACGGCTGAGCCTGCGATGATAGCTGTATGTGTGTCGGCCGATTTTGAGTCGGGGGACTGAGAAGATAGGGATGAGGGGACGACAAAGGTGCTGACGCTTCCATCGGGCTCTGTCGTGACAACGGTCACAAAAGTTATCGAAGACTGTATCGAACTGCTGGATTCGCTTGAGGCGGTAGAAGTGAGAGTAGAGGATGATGAAATCGATGTGTTGCTCTGTGATGAGGATGTAGATGAGGATGAAGTCTGTGAAGGGGACGATGAATCCGAATCGGAAGAACTAGTGCTGGATGAGCTTTGGCTCGGGCTCAACGAGCTCGAATCTGGGTTAGTGCTAGACTGTGATGAGGTTGTCGACGATGAAGTAGAGGTGGGGGATGTTGATGATGGCGGAGCCGAAGTGGGCGGTGTTGAATCGGGTGACGAAGTTGGAGAAGAACTTGTACCATTTATTGTCAGTCTGTGAAAGAATTCTTCGTGAAATTGACGGGTACTCACTTCGAAGACGTAGATCCACTTTGGCTTTGACTTGAGCTTCCATCTCCGCTTGTAGCTGAGGCTTGACCAGTGGCTGTTGTGTCCCCAGTATCTGTTGTAGAACTCCCCGCTGAAATTCCAGCATCTCCGCTGCCATCACCGCTCACTCCAGCTGAGGCCCCTACACCCAAATTCGAATCAGAGGCCTATCGCGTTCATACTCAACAAATTGATTTTGTAGCCAGGGTACATAACTTACGGTCTGTCGAGGCCTAAATTGAACGTATTGCCGACCCAATAAAGTAGGCCATGGTGCAGGTGTAATAATTGGTTCTGCAAGTTGTACCATTTGTTATGGTCATGAAAAGGCGTAGTTTTGAAGCCGTGACCAAGGAGACTGGAAAGAAATGGAAAACTAAGTTATTTTCTGTCGTTACAATTCATGTACGGAATTTCCTGCCCTTCCTCAGTGACATCACACAGCCCTGTTCATTTGTTTATATGCTTACTAAGCGCTATGGGCTTCAATATGCGTAGGTTCATATTAATTTTGAGTCAGTTTAAAGAAAGTATTGATACATATGATACTATATACTAATTGCGCCCAGTTCTTACTGCAATGAGTGCATGTGGTTGAGCTTTGGCGCACCAGACAGCAACTTGGAAGAAACACTATATGTGTATTCCCTTCCACACGTGCCAATGCCGACCTTCCGGAGACAAACCCTCTTCCAGTTCGTCGAGCTCCTCATCACCGTCGCAGAGACCGAGGTTTTGAACAAGCCTCAGTCATTTCAGGACAATCGCCTACAATTTGCATCATCATCTTGATTCTCGACCAAAAAGGGTCCGCGCAATAATATCCAGAAAATGACAAGGGACCATGGCCATCAGGATATCAAGGCAGAGATGTCAATCGAATGGTTGGAAGAGCTGGAAACTTCGATTGGGAATATTGAGGCCAAGGTAGCATCATGTGTAACCGTAAATTCAGTGATATTGACGGTCACAGGCTGGAATTCCAAAACCGTCCCTGTACAAAGATTCGGTGAAGAAGCTTGCGTCAATGCTCCGAAATATCCTTGTTCATATCATTATATATGAGCATGATGCTGCACCTTAATCCAGAAGAGGGGAAATGTTGGTCCATCTTGGAGATAGATTGAAGCAATTTGACCAGTATGTGCATTTGATGTGGTGTATCGTTGCTCAAGCGGAGCAAGTACTGACTGAAAATATAGGACTGTGACCAAGTGCGAACGGTTCGTGGACATGCTGAGTGGGAGGAGTCTAGCCGCGGCAATCATATTGAGAGGATTCGACATGAAGATGATCAATGTGCTCCACGAAGAAATAAAAATGAGGGAACAGGATTTAGAGGTGAATCACTGTTCAGGCTGAAATCTTGAGTAGGCTGAAAGTCGAGACGGGCATTCGTAAACCTAGAGAGGCATTACTCGTCTCAAAATTCGTTGGAACACCTATCTTCAGCCTAGGCAAAATCTACTCAGCGATAGGGAACAAACTGAAAGCCAGCTTGAACAAAGGTCAGGAACAACGAGCTGGAACTCACTTTCGCCTCGTACTCGACCCGCATTCGCCACCCAGTCCTCACCATCGAGGAACACTACAATCCAGCCGTCTCCGCCGCCGTCCCCAGCGCCCATCACCATATCATCGACGACACCGACGAATACGACTATTACCCCAACAGCTACTCTTTCCCATGCCCTGGTCGACGATTCTTCGTTTAACAACGCTGGAAACGACATGCATAACACAACAATAAACGATCACTCACGGTGGACAGGGACCACAAATATCTATGGGATGACAGTGGTACATAACCACTTTCGGAATGAGTAGAACGAGGATTGCAGGAGGTTGATGATCTTAAACCACCACAACCAATCAGGCACTTATATTAGTGATCCCCCATTGCATTCGATAAGGCGACAAAGAACTCATATTGAGTTCTTCCTCCCCACACAGGAGGACACTTCCAAAGGGAGTGAACATCAAATCAACTGATGTTAACTGCTTTAAACAAGCAGACATGAGTGAACACTCATGCTTAGTGCGTAACCTTGCATAACCCCCCCAGCTTAGCCTCAGATAACTGTATTACAGACTGGCCAGTGATCAATACGGAGTTTATAAACATAATTCCAGCAACCCACCCCAACCAACATGAGCCCAATATGAATGTCTGGAGTGAAACTGACTACCTCCAAATATTTGCAACATGCTGAGTACATGAAGTGCTGAATATAAAGAGGAACACTGACCACAGAGAATAACCAGTTCACTGTGAAACTGGGCAGGAACCCATCTGTGCAGTACATTTTAACCTAAGTCAGTAACTAACTTAAAGCCACAGGGTACCAAGCACTGTCAAACCAGACAAATTTGACACAGAGAACAATATCAACAAGAAAACCAAGTGGGACACCTCACAGTCTGCTCAACAATTGCCAGGTCACTCTTCTCCCTCTGTTGGAGACAAGTAGTATGGAACTGAGGCATGACAAAGAATGATGACAGCACAGTGACAAGGCACAAGAAACAAGCTCAAAGCACAGGTAAGGGAAATAGTGATCTCAAACAACAGTGGGATGGTGTCAGAGGCCAATCACACCAACAATCTAGTTGCCCAATAACCAAGTTAGATAAGGAGCAGTATATAGGGAAATACAAATATTTGCCTAGTTGCCCAATGACCAAGAGGTTAAGATGGGGAACAGCTATCTATAGGATGCTTGATCTAGTCGGCACCCACTTCTGGTGGCCAACATGACACTTATTTATAGAAAAGTATTTAGAAGAATGCAAAACCTGTGCATGCATGAAGATGCAATGATACTCACAAGCTGTAACCCAACCACTGAATATACCATCAGGTCTATGGGAGGAGTGTCATGAAGTGGCAAAGGCATAGTGAATAACAGAGCAAGAAAGCGGAGTGACTAAGCAGAGCAGCGAGGCGGAGCAACTGAGCGAGGCAGCAAGGCAGAGCAACTTGTCAAGTCCATGCCTCGGGCTTCCATTCCGCCGCTCGGTACTCCGAAGATCCACTCCTTATTGTAATCTCTTCTTATTGTTCTTTCTCGCTACACATACCCTTTCGTTCTAGTCTCTCCTTATTGTCTTTTACTTTACCCTGCAGGACTACACGTATAACTCCTAGTAGCTAGCCTGGCACTCCGCACCGCTGCGCCGCTCCGTAGATATAAATACTGCTTGTACGCTACTGTAGTTCCTCAGTTTAATTATCGACTTAGATTCCCTCCTTAACTCTGTGCTCCTCTAAGTCTTCAGGCTCATCGCCTTGAAGTACTCACTACTATAACCTTAGGACTTAGACGTCCTCTGGTTTGCTCCTCGTCACCGGCGCTACCGCTAACGAGCTTGCCTCATTTTTGTGTGAAAGAGAAAGGAAGGAATCTAATGGGCACTCCAACCAACCAATCTAATACACAATATGCGAGTTCACTGCTATCAAATTTATTTAATAGCAAGGGGTAGCGTTGGCAAAGGTTCCGCAAAGCTTTGATCAATCAATTTGAATCGTTCTAAGGATTCGATATATTCCTTTGATCAAGGTAGATTTAGCACGATTTGTGCCTTGGTTTGTATTGATTTGGGTATATCAAGAATTGGGGGTTTGAATCAAAGTAAATTGAAACCGAAACACACAGACCCCTACAGAGGGCTAGAACTATGTGCTGGCACAACCACACAGCGTGATTTGCCCTTAAGACCAACGACTGATCCTAAGTTCGAAGAATACCCAACAACTGGATAGACTTCTCGCAGTCACAAGGAGCAGAACACGACGTTCCTATACTCACAAGTGCCAGGCCCGAATGGCTGCTAGCGAAGAGGTTTCAGTCTGGCGGGAGTGTGTCTTTCCTTTTTACGGATTAGCACTGCAACGTCGTCCCAAAATCACTTGTATTCCAGATACATCGGATCGCTATTTATACATACAGAATATAGAGTTGCATAGTACAATTAATTTAATACAATCAACGTTCGGAACCGCAAGGAAACTTCTACACTCAGTCAGATACCATTTAATTTGAATCTACATGTCCTTATTTGGTCCATATTGGTTCCAAGATTCTAGTATACCTCCAAACATAGGCAGGTACTTCAATATTCATTTAATTTAATTGTTTTTTGGAGGATGACTCAAATGGTGTTCAACTGTCATTGCTGTTCAACACTTACTTCGATCGTTTGTCACCTCGTCCGGAGGCAAATCAGCTCTCCTCGATTCTAATCCTATCAATCTGATTCATCTGGATTAAACTAATTGCTTCTCTCTTTCAATAGACACCCATTGTGCCTATACTCAATCAAGGGAGTTACGCATAGTATTCATTTAATTGCATTCTTCAATATTTTCTACGTCAGGACTCTTTGACATTCATTTGATATGTCTTCGGAGCCTCGCAGTCTTTCGATCGTTCTTCTAGTCATTTTACTCAACCATGCAACTTGATTGGTCTATTAGACTAAATCGCAGTCTTTTAGATTAATGCATGATCTCGTTCTAGAAGGAGTATTTGATAATTCCTGAGTTCTAGAAAGTCATTTCGAGTCAATCCTCGGTTCATGGTCACTTGAGTAAGTTCTTCCAAACTCCTGCCAGTGTAAGGTCCAATAAGAATACCCTTGGTATGTCATACGTGAATGGTCATCCTTCGGATGTAGTCCGAGTCTGGTATAATCCTGCTTGACAAACAGGTAGACTGCTATCCGTAGGTAGTATCGGGGATGGGTAAACTGACCAACTTGTGGTAGTATGGGTATATGGTCCCTTCAACTTATTAGACTGATTCAGTATTGACTTTGACTGTCAATCTGGGTCTCAATTACAGTCCTCTCGATACAAATCTATACGTGAAAATTTCACAATTCACAGCATAGACGTCTAGCCAAAATTTAGGTGTGTCACCGAGGACAGGAATGACCTAGTAGTGGCTGGGATTGCGAGATATGACCCTTGAAGGGACTCCTAGAAGGTCCAGGGAGGTCCCTAGGATGTGACAAGGGAAGGTCGAATTAACGGGGACCGGTAGACATAAAAGCACTATGTAGTATGGATTGTACTAGCTAGGAACATCAACATAGGATCATTGTAGATCATAGTTGATGGGGGTCTCAAATGTGTGAGCCCGGGAAGGAGGTCCCAGGAAGTGGGGTAGCGGCAGACGTCCTCGAGTGGTGAAGGTAGTAATGGAGAAGCAGTATGTAGTTTGACATTACCTAGATCGAGGTCCCAGAACTTGTAGAGCAGTTGGGGAGCTTGAGAAGGCTTGGGGAAGGTCGGCTCACCAAAACGGTAGACATTGGGGAGCTTGAAGACTCACTTGGGTTGCTTAGATGTGAAGTAGAAGTGTATATTGGATCGTTTAGACAAGAGTAGAGTAAAGAGAAATCCATATGGTTAGCAGGTACAAAGGGACAGGGACTGGACCTATGCAAAAGGGTGTGTGTTCAAAATATACCAAGCTGCCGCTTGGGAACATTGTGAGGCTACTTAAATAGGTATGGGAAGTGAACAAGGGAACATGAGGCAGTAATCGAGATTAATACTTAATGGAGTTGGTGATAGGGAGGTTCCATACGTGTGTTGGGGAAGCCTTCTTCAGGGCGTTTGGATAATGGGAAGGGTTATAGAAAGGATGTTAGGGGAAGCTAATAGATGGAGGAGGTAGTGGGAGGTGTTACGGGTGCACTTGGGGAGCTAGGAGTCAGAGAGAATACGGGATAGGGCATGACAGCAAGAATACAGGAGGGAGGGAATAGAAAATGAGACAAAGCTACAATGAGCAAATCAATTATATTGCACAAGAAGTATACAGCAAGAACCTGAAGAATGAGTAAAGAGTGAATGAGATAGATAAGAGGAAGAAAATGAGCAAAGAGGAGAGGCGCTTAACGTGTGAAAAAATGCACGGGCGCTTGGCAAAGGACCTAGCAAGCAAGGTGATATGGAACGAAACCTGCGGTCAATTATCACAGTCCGAGAAAAACCTAGCCAAGCAAGGCGATGTCTTTTGAAACTGTCGATATTACGGTCGGAAATTCGACCCAAACTGTATCTATAAATGTAAGAGCTTGAAAGCTTTCATTAATCTAGCTTTTAGCAATCTTTTTAGATGTCGTTATGGGCCCGAGATGACAATCCTGGATGGCGCGCCTTAATAGAGGCATACTTCGGCCAGCGTAGTACTCTAAATTCCCTCAAAACCAGGGAGCGACCAGTTCTCGAGATCCCGATTGCAGAAGAGTTCGATCTTCCCCAGAAAATCCTTATTCGCTCAGAGCTGCAAACGATGTATAAAAGAGTCAGTGCGCTGTATCGGACCAAAGCGAAGGCCGGTGCAATTATCAGTGGGCAGCCTGGTTGTGGTTCGTTTTTTACAAGTCTGTTCAATGCTTCGAGACTGATGACTCGCAGGTAAATCGACCTCAATAGCTTACTTTTTGGTGGAACAACTCGCCGATAAACGGCCCGTCTACGTGATGGACAAAAGCGATCAGGTCTACTTCATAACTAACATGGGTACTTGGGTTAGCTCGGCTGACGCTCTTCGCACGCATTTGGAATTCCCAATGCGACGAAGACAACATCGCCCTTGGGTTCTAATAGATTCGAAGTCATCAAAGGTTGAACCCAAGAGGCTAGTCTTGAACGCTAGTTTCGCTGTATATGTCCCGTCCCCTGCCCTTGAATGGTATAAAGATTGGATGGTTGAGCACGGAATACCTATATATTTCTTGAATCCGTGGGTTCCGTCAGATCTACGAAAATGGTAATGTCAAACTTGTCGCTGATCAAAATACTAAGCTTCTTATAGTCTTCCACTCATTCTCGAATCCCTCTTTTCCCGAGTACAACCTCACAATCAAGAAGTCGAAGAGCAGGAAGAAATCTGTTAGAGAAGAATCCGTACGCTCTGTCCTCATCCAGCCTTTCTGACTTATTTATCTATGCGTACTTTTTCTTCTACTCGTTGCTGCTTACATACTCTACGATCGAGTACTTATACAGACGCTCCTATTTCACAGCTTTCCCTCAGTTGTTCTCTACTACAACTGAGGGTAAGTCACACTCATATTTAAGTTAATTATCCATACTGATCCTGTAGTAGTATTCGTTATCCTACAGGTACATTTATTGAATATATCAGTTGTTCTCTACTACAACTGAGGTATTCGTTATCCTACAGATTATGAGACTGGTTCCCAACAAGCTAAATAGATAAAACCAGAATCGTACTATGTCTTCATTAACCGGAAACCAAACAGCAACCCTTCCTACATTCCCGGAATCGTCTCAGCTGTCCGGACAGGATACTTGGAAGGCGTTCAAAGATAGGGTCGAGCTGAACGTTGAGTTTAGGGGCCTCAAGGGTTATCTCCATGGCACCATCCCTAAACCAAGTCCAGCAACCTATGTCTATACGTCCATCACTCCCTCATTCCCTAGCAGTCTACATCCATCCCCAGAAGAATGGAACCAGCGTGAGCGCTTGGTAGCCGCAATGATTTATCTCAATTGCACTGATCCCATCGGGGTCGGTATCGACCGAGACAACCTTGCGCATGTCACCTATGCATTCCTAATCAACAAATACGAGAGTCGTGATGAAGAGCTGATTCTTCTCGCCGACACTGCCCTCCGCGAACAGAAGTATGACCCCATGACGACTACCATGGAAGACCACGAAAAGAAGATGAACAATCTTCTCAAGAGGCTCCGTAACTTGGGTGGTGCTGTGGATGACTTCCAGTATCGCCTCATTGTCATTAAATCCATGCCGAAAGAATGGAAGGAGAACGTATTGAACGTTCCTGGCCGCACAAGCTCTGAGGCCTTCACCTATCTCAAGCACCTCTACATCAACAAGGTGGAACCAGTTGATGATGAGGACCAGCGCATCCAGAAGAAAGTAGCAGCGCTGGTTGCCCAGCACATCGCAGCACACCCTGTCATCGCGAGCGCTGTACAGCGCCGAAATCGACCAGTCTGCACCAACCCTTCCTGTCCTAGGAAGCTTGGTCACTCCATCGAGAACTGTTGGGCAAAAGGTGGAGGTGGAGAAGGTAATGCCCCAAAGAGCTGGAAGGACAAGTACGAAAATCGCACCGCCGCATCCAGCTCAACCACTACTGCCTCTAGCGCGGTAACGAGCTTGCCTCGTTTTTGTGTGAAAGAGAAAGGAAGGAATCTAATGGGCACTCCAACCAACCAATCTAATACACAATATGCGAGTTCACTGCTATCAAATTTATTTAATAGCAAGGGGTAGCGTTGGCAAAGGTTCCGCAAAGCTTTGAGAGCTAAGCACGAAGCTTTGATCAATCAATTTGAATCGTTCTAAGGGTTCGATATATTCCTTTGATCAAGGTAGATTCAGCACGATTTGTGCTTTGGTTTGTATTGATTTGGGTATATCAAGAATTGGGGGTTTGAATCAAAGTAAATTAAAACCGAAACACACAGACCCCTACGGAGGGCTAGAACTATGTGCTGGCACAACCACACAGCGTGATTTGCCCTTAAGACCAACGACTGATCCTAAGTTCGAAGAATACCCAACAACTGGATATACTTCTCGCAGTCACAAGGAGCAGAACACGACGTTCCTATACTCACAAGTGCCGGGCCCGAATGGCTGCTAGCGAAGAGGTTTCAGTCTGGCGGGAGTGTGTCTTTCCTTTTTACGGATTAGCACTGCAACGTCGTCCCAAAATCACTTGTATTCCAGATACATCGGATCGCTATTTATACATACAGAATATAGAGTCGCATAGTACAATTAATTTAATACAATAAACGTTCGGAACCGCAAGGAAACTTCTACACTCAGTCAGATACCATTTAATTTGAATCTACATGTCCTTATTTGGTCCATATTGGTTCCAAGATTCTAGTATACCCCCAAACATGGGTAGGTACTTCAATATTCATTTAATTTAATTGTTTTTAGAGAATGACTCGAGTAGTATTCAACTGTCATTGCTGTTCAACACTTACTTTGATCGTTTGTCATCTCGTCCGGAGGCAAATCAACTCTCCTCGATTCTAATCCTATCAATCTGATTCATCTGGATTAAACTAATTGCTTCTCTCTTTCAACAGACACCCATTGTGCCTATACTCTATCAAGGGAGTTACGCATAGTATTCATTTAATTGCATTCTTCAATGTTTTCTACGTCAGGACTCTTTGACATTCATTTGATATGTCTTCGGAGCCTCGCAGTCTTTCGATCGTTCTTCTAGTCATTTTACTCAACCATGCAACTTGATTGGTCTATTAGACTAAATCACAGTCCTTTAGATTAATGCATGATCTTGTTCTAGAAGGAGTATTTGATAATTCCTGAGTTCTAGAAAGTCATTTCGAGTCAATCCTCGGTTCATGGTCACTTGAGTAAGTTCTTCCAAACTCCTGCCAGTGTAAGGTCCAATAAGAATACCCTTGGTATGTCATACGTGAATGGTCATCCTTCGGATGTAGTCCGAGTCTGGTATAATCCTGCTTGACAAACAGGTAGACTGCTATCCGTAGGTAGTATCGGGGATGGGTAAACTGACCAACTTGTGGTAGTATGGGTATATGGTCCCTTCAACTTGTTAGACTGATTCAGTATTGACTTTGACTGTCAATCTGGGTCTCAATTACAGTCCTCTTGATACAAATCTATACGTGAAAATGTCACAATTCACAGCATAGACGTCTAGCCAAAATTTAGGCATGTCAGCGGCGATCCTTACCGATCCAGATCCTGTTGACCTCTACATTCACACCAACCATGTCAATGTTTCCGCTAAGCCGGGTACGTCCATCCATCCGACCTTCACAACACTATCCCCTAATGACTCCAATAGACCCGAAAGAACTACCGTTCTAAATTGCGAGAGTCAGAAAAGGGAGAGTGTTAGTGCTAGCGATAACGTACCTATTTATTCCCTTGTATCGAATCCTATCGAGTGCACCGTTTGCAATGGTAATATGCCACTCTACTCTCCACCTGAACCAACCGAGCCTGAGACGTTTCTCGATTCGGCGGCGTCAGAGCATTGCTGGGTAAAAAGGTCGGATTTCATCCATTACGAGACCGTCAGTGGACAAAGTGGAAACAGCGCGATAGCGGGTGATTCTGGCAAGTTCCAGATACCAGGAATTGGTGATGTGAATATCCCAACCCTAGTAGACGGCCTGGAGTGCAATGTGAAACTCAAAGGAGTGAAACACACCCCGGAATTTGCACACAACCTAATCTCAGTATCAACACTCGATAGAGAGGGGAGCGGAAACTCACTGTAAGGACTTCCTCTGGTAAAGTGGTCATGGTTGGGACACAAATCGGAAACTCAAAAATGTACCGAGTTGACCGGAAAATCTATGCAAGCTCAGCCAGGTCCCACGAAAAACCAACTGATATACATACTTGGCACCGTCGCTTCGGTCATGTCGGAGTCGCAAGAATCCTGAGAATGGCAAATCGAAAGTTAGTGGACAGATTGCAAGTAACATCGAAAGAGACACGAGGAATGTGCGAACCTTGTCTATATGGCAAAGCGACGAGACGCCCATTTGACGAGAAACTCATGCATGAGACCAAAGTACTCGAACGGGTGCATATTGACTTATGGGGACCTTCCAGAACTCAGAGTCGAGGCGGGGCCAACTATATGATGCTCTGCTCTGACGGCGCATCCTCCATCCGAGTCCCATATTTCATCTCCAACAAACGGGCAGAGACAACACTCAAACACTTCCATGAGTTTCGCATTATGGCAGAGAACCAGACTGGGGAACGCCTTCGAATCATTCGGATAGACGGTGGGGGTGAATTTGACAACAATCTAATGCAGTCCTACTGCAAAGAGCACGGTATCATCATCGAGAAGATAACCCCCTACTCTTCGGCGGCTAATGGTATGGCGGAACGCGCAAACAGGACAGTGATCGAGGGTACGAGAACTCTACTCGAAGATTCTGGATTATCACCGTCATTCTGGGCAGAAGCAGCAAGTACCTTCATATACGTCGACAGCTTCGTCCCTACTGCTCGTTCACCTGATGTTGTCCCTATGGAACGTTGGACCAAGAAACGCCAGGACGTATCCCACTTACGGCCTTTCGGATGTGAAGCCTGGGCAACATTACCAGAAACCAGAAAAGATGGCAAACTTGCGCGTCAGGCGATTAAAGGTCGTTTGCTTGGATATATGGGCCGCCGGGGCTACAGAATTTGGGTGCCAGAGTGGAAGACTATTATTGAGTCAAGGGATGTCAAATTCGAGGAAGGAATAGCTAAGAGAACTCGGTCTGATGACGAGATCTCTTTCGGTTCCAACGGTGATGCCGAGGACATTAAACCATCAAACGGTGATGCCGAGGTCATTAAATCCGGGGCGCCACTCAAATTAGATTTAGCGCCCTCACCATCAACTCCTCCCTCTCTCTCTCCGCCGTTATCTCCCCTTACACCTATACCTTCTGAACCGGAATCCCTTCCTCAATCTCCTCCTCCTGACTCCATACCCACTACTAAACCTCCAGCTCCCACATCAACACGTGTCTTACGCGAGCGAACTGGCGGCTCAATGAATGTAGACCAACTTGTCCGGAAGGAAATGGGATGGAATCAACCCGATACCGCCTTTGCGCTCGTCGCCCACGAACCATGGGCTTTCGCATCGACCCATGATGAGAGATGGACACCAAGGAACTTCAAAGAGGCAAAGCTCCGCTGGGACCTCTGGGGTCCACCAGCTCAAGCCGAATACGACGCGTTAATGGAGAAAGAGGTGTGGGAGCTGGTGCCACTACCTCGGGGGGCAAACCTCATGGATGCAATGTGGATATTCACGTCCAAGTGGGGATCACAAGGGGAACTGTTGAAGAGAAAGGCGAGATATGTGGCGAAAGGATATACACAGGTTTATGGTATGGACTACGACGAGACATTCGGCGCCGTGGCGCGAATGGAATCCTTCCGAATCGTCCTAGCCATCATCGTGGTTCTCGGCCTCTCACTTTTCCAAGTGGACTTCAAGTCTGCTTTCCTCAATAGCCCAATAAAGCACGATGTATACATGAAACAACCGGAGGGATTCATCAAACCTGGCACCGAACACCTCGTCTGCAAACTCAAGAAGTCGATATACGGCACGATGCAGGGAAGCCACGATTGGCAAGACACGCTAGCGGCGGGATATAAGGAAGACGGTTACACCTCGTCCCAAGCAGACCCGTGCGTGCGCTGGAGACGCCAGAACGGGAAGTATACCATTACGAGCACGTATGGAGATGATGTTCTAGGAGGTGCAGAAGGGGATATCGAGAAGAAGAACACCGTGGAGGACCTTGGGAAGCATTGGGAGAGTAGCGAGGTGAAATCCGAAATACTTCTGGGGATGAAAATCTCGCAGGACAAGAAGACAGGAGCCATTACTTTATCACAGAAAGCCTACTTCACCCGCATGCTCGAACATTTCGGTCTCCAAAATGTCAAACACCGCTGGACTCCACTTCCACCTGACAACAAACTCGAAGCCGCTCCGAATCCCCTACCAGACGATGAACGAATTTTCATGCACGACAAGCCTTACCGACCGGTCGTTGGATCTATGATGTGGGGTCAAGTTTGTACCAGACCAGATATCTCCTTTGCGGCTAATAAACTCGCCCGTTATCAACTCAATCCCGGGCGTCAGCATTGGGAGGCAGTAGAATGGCTAGCAGGATATATTCTAGAAACCCTTGACTATACTATCACTTACAGGAAGCCGCCGCCCGATTCCGAGCTAACCAAGGGAGAAGGCCTGAAACCCTGCGGGTACCTCGACGCCGACCACGCGGGATGTATAGACACTCGGAGGTCAACATCTGGAAACGTATTCTTCATGGCTGGGGCACCGGTCACATGGAGTTCGAAACGACAGCCAACAGTAGCACTATCGACGACCGAAGCCGAATACATCTCAGGGGCAAGGGCCAGTCAACAGGCAAGTTGGTTAATGTCATTCCTTGCAGAAGTGGACCTGAAACAGGATGGTCCACTAACGCTTCACTGCGATAACTTCGCGGCGGTTAGCCTCACGCAGAACTCCAAGAAGAATATGTTGGTCAAACACATCGAAATGCGCTATCACTTTATTCGGGAAAAAGTAACAAATGGCGAAATCACAATGAAGCCGATTAGAACTGGGGAAAACGTAGCAGACATCTTTACGAAGGCCTTGAACGGTACAATCCACTCGAAGTGGGTCAAATTCTTAGGTCTGGATCGCACGGATTAGGGGGTGTGTTAGAGAAGAATCCGTACGCTCCGTCCTCATCCAGCCTTTCTGACTTATTTATCTATGCGTACTTTTTCTTCTACTCGTTGCTGCTTACATACTCTACGATCGAGTACTTATACAGACGCTCCTATTTCGCAGCTTTCCCTCAGTTGTTCTCTACTACAACTGAGGGTAAGTCACACTCATATTTAAGTTAATTATCCATACTGATCCTGTAGTAGTATTCGTTATCCTACAGGTACATTTATTGAATATATCAGTTGTTCTCTACTACAACTGAGGTATTCGTTATCCTACAAAATCGTCCTTGATGCGCTCTATTACTGTGTACCAACTCCTCGCGCTTTGCGCCTGTATTTCGAGCCCTTGATGCTGGAGGAGCAGTGCTCGGAACCTGAACAAGATTCCAAACAGACGCCCTTGGTACAGGAGGTGCAACCCTTGGAATCGGGGCAAACAGCCTTAGGAACCAAGCAGACGCCCTTGAATTCCCAGGGCCCGTTCAATCCCGCGAAGAATAAGTATGGGCAAGCTGTAGTAGATGCTATAAAATGTTTGAACAGCCTCCAGGAGCTGGCCAAAATCCTCGAAATTCGCGCAGAGGCGGGGTATGCCAGCGAAATATCTCATCAGCTATTGTGCATCTATCGCTCTGAGCCGGACGGTAGCCCTTCAAATCGCCTTGTAAAAATCGCCAGCGATACTGCGTATATGGATTTCGCCTCTCCCTGGGTTGGCGAAGAGTTACTTCGACGGCACAACGAGTGGCAGTTTTCCGATTTGTGCCAATTTTATCATAAAATCTCTCAGACGTCGGAACTCGGTGTTGCTGCGGGAGTGCTGTTCGAGCGTCTTTTCGTCAAGAGAATTATCACTCCCTCCCGGACCAACCTACGGTTCGGTCTATACTCTGCCCTCAACACTCCTCCCAAGCGGCAGACCAGAAAGAGCGCGAAAATTTCTCACACCAGATTCATTGGTTTCACCCTCGCCCGGCCTTCTTCAAAATCCGTTCTTCATTGGTCAAATTCCGAGGCAGACGAAGTGGACAAACTCGACCTTCCTGATGCGGACGATACAAAGGAGGACGATGGTGATACGGACGATCCTAATCCCTCGTCAATACCGCAACCGCGCTGGAACGACACGTTTTCTTTAAACCCATACCATATGATCCAGGAGGTAGAACCGGTACTGTGTACCCTTCACGTTCCATCCAAGCGGAACAATCCTCTGTTCGATGCACTTCTTTTGCAGGAGGACATTCCTAGCTGCGTCACGCTGTGGGTTATTCAAATCACTTCTGCCAAGAAGCATGGGGGAGCAAGCGCTGGCTACAATGATATTCAAGACATTTACAATCGAAGTGTGGAGAAATATGGTGATGGTAACGTGCGTGTAGGGTACATGTTGTTGGTACCGCCAAAGTATCACCAGGTCGAGTGGACCTTCGAGAATATCCATCTACTACCAGAAAATCTCCGACCTACTAACGGTAACGTTTATATCCAAATTTTCCAAGTCGATAAATTGGGAACTAGTGTATCACACGATGAAAGTTCGCCGTTTTGGCTAGGTGAAAATCAATACATTGTGTGATCTGTAATCGGTGCGCTTGACCAGGCAAGGTATAGGGCCCCATAGGGGAACACTAGTATATGACGGTCCGACTATGTACCAGTCGATTTCAGGGAAAGTGCCTGCCTCTTGTTCTGGAACCAACTTCCCCTACCATGGTCCATAAACAGGGGTGCTGAAAACCTCAAGCCTATTTGGAAGGCTAAGGAACTAACCTCCCCTACCATGAACAGGGGTTCTGCCTTAGGCCTGGTAGTAGTACCCCCATCCAATCTGACTAGACTGACTGAGTGCTTCAGTTAACGACTGTCAAAATAGAAAGCTCAACGTTATTATTTCGCCCAATTTGTATGTATGTATGTAGGTGCTTCACGTATAAACTATGATTATCCCACATTCTCAGTCATGTCCCATCGAACAGCTCCGGCATCAGTACACCAAGGATGCGATCCAAAAGTAACATAGACAAGTGAACATTACACTCCCTGGTCTCCAGAGGCTGTAACGCCATTGATATAGTGTCTGAAGGACTTGGGCCGAGAAGGAGGGGAGCTAGCGCTGTGATATCGAGCAAGAGGCTGAATTTAGTGAACATTTCCACACGACATATTTGACACTCACCGTTATCATCAAAAAACTCGACCAGTTTCCGCCTCGTCTCGGCTTGTTCCTCCAGCGTTGGGTCTATTGGTGGCGGAGCAGGATATCCGTTGGGAAAGAGTGTGCGTTTGGCGGTACGTGTCATAGTTTGCATCAAGCTTGTCGAAAGGGTTCGCGTCAAAAGGTATGGTAAGAACCTAATGTAGATGGTCAGAATAAGTATGTAATCCCTAATAAGAGAATAGACCTACTTGTCAAGCCATTTTCCTGCTACGCCCTGACTAGTCGCCATTCCGATAGTACTCATGATCGTGTTGCCCGCATAACGAGAGTTAGTGGTGAATATTTCCGCGAGCATGACAACAATGTACGTGGCGTAATCATGAGGGAAATCCGTTATTGTATCATAATTCGCTTCGGACGAAGAAGATGAAGGGACACCGGATGATGATGGGTCAACAGATGAAGATGATATAGAAGGCTCCAGAGGAAGCGCAGAATGGTCAGTCTGTGTCTGCGTTACCAACAGGGGGTCGATCGCGACTGTTACAGAAGGTGAATGTGAGGCAGGTATAGGTGGTTCCGGTGGTGGTGGTGTCAAAGAAGTTTCATTGATACCAGAATGTTGGTTGACCTCCTTCATAGTAACGATGAGTTGTCTGTAAGCGTGCACGAGCGCCAGACAAACGCCGGAGATGGATTGTATGAGTGTCAAGACGAATACGAGAAGTGTATGCGTGGAAAATCCGTTCGAATGGGGGGTAGTGACTTTGGGTTTCGTTGACGGTATATTCATCAACTGGTCCAAGATCATCTTCTCTATGAACCACGGTTGCGTTATCTTTCCCAAAATGTCCTGGGCGACTATCTTAACGATGATCTCTCGGACAATCACTCGCTCCGTTTCTGGATCCCAGTCCTCTGTCGGTAAGCAGGTTTTTAATATATGATCAACCAAGAACCGGACATAATCCAAGTCGATTTCGCCTCCTGGTTTGACTGCCATATGCGATTGACTCGCATGAAACAATGCCGGAATAGAAAGGGCACCTCCCGCCGCATATGATGAATTTAATTTGCTCCGAGCAAATCGAAAGTCGCGGTAATGTTGAGTGATTATAACAGGAATATCCCGGAACACCAACTCTGCTAAATCTCCCCTCTGATGCGCTTTAGCCAACCGATCCTCGAGTGTCCGAAAGACGTGTGTAAGAATATTGGTTATGATAGGCAGAAACTCTTTATCATATCGAGTGATTTTCGTCCACCAAGGTTGCACGAAAGCTCGCAGTGCGAGAGCGATAAAGTCGTATAATTCGGCATTAAATTCTGGTGATACTGAGGGATTTAGGAGCAGCGGCGGAAGTTCAAAAGAAGCTGGAGCTGTGGGGAAGAGAAGTCGTTTGAACAGTGGGACTGATCTATTTGCTACGTGGCTTGAGTTGCTATTCGAGGCCACAGAAGGAGCGACATGGCGACGGTTGGACATTAGTTACCGTGGGAAAGACACCTTTAGTAGATTTCTGGAAGAACTGAATGATGTCGAACTGCATAATGATAAAGCCTGCATTGAAATTGTGGACGTACACAGCCAGTCATATGTAGATGGATCATACAAGTGAATCTACCATGTCGTATATTATACACAGTCCATGTATTCATTGAAATTGAGATCTGTTCTTGGGGTTATTAAACTTGGAATAAAGTTCACAAGAAGCTTCCGAGTTCTAGTCACCTTGTTCACGACCATTGACCGCGCCAGAGCCTGGGGAATCTCGTCTGTGATATGAAACCTACTGCAGCATAAACTTGAAAACTCCGGTCCAGCTAACTGATCAGAGCAATGATCATTTCAACGCTTGCTGCGTTGCTGCCGCAATAGTAGTGTTGTATGTGAACCCAGGTGCATAAGATTGATCAAATTCTACCATACTTATTCACAAAAGTCATTCCCATAACCGGCCAACCGGACTATCCACACCATCAAGTAAAGGCTGGACATGTCCCCACATTTCCTCCGTGACCGCGGACATATCCCTTCCAGCATCGACTACAACCCACCTCCCGTTGCCAGCTTCCTCAACGGTGGCACCCACTTGCCGACCAATTTCTTCGAACACGTTTCTCACTCGCCTTTGCATGTCAGCCTTTTCATAACGCTCCTCGCCATAACCGCCTCGGGTGAGAGCAACCTCAGGGGAAATATCGAGGAACATTGTCAAGTCTGGCGAGGGAAGAGCAGAGTCCGGAGCGCGCGCCCAGGGCAAAGTTATAGGCGAAAGCTTTTCGAGTGATGATTCTGAATGACTTGCAGTAGAAATTGGCGTTTCGGAGCTCTTGGCGACGGAAAATGCAATTCCAGAGAATGCGTATCGGTCACAGAGGACAAGTTTGCCTTGCTTCAGGTAAGACAGAATTGTCGAGCTGGTGGAGTAAGTCACGTCGGAAACGGGAAACGGCGCGTTATACAAGCCAAGCAGATCGATCGCGTGTTGAAGATAATGGTGCCATTATTGACATTAGATAGAGAAGTAAAATAAGAATAAAGTACTAACGCAAATTCCCAGCGATTTGCGGAAAATAGCAAGTGTACGACATGGTCATCCAAGTCGGATTGCGAGTGCAGATACGAGTCAATCATCTTCCCAATGGGAGTAGAACGGTCTATTTCATTTTTAGCAACCAATATCTGGCGATCAGAGACAATCAGAGGAAAAGAGAAGAGATCCGAAAGATGAAACTCACCTGGAAACTTGATACAAACAACCTCTCTGCCGCCTGCCTGAATACGCCGACGCATGATTTCTGCTTGCGTTGTCTTTCCTGAACGGTCAAGACCCTCTACAACAATAAATGCGCCGCGTCGTGCCATTTCAAAGAGGTTGTCAAACGAGATTACTGTAAGATCAAAAAAGTAGCTCCAATTTGGTAAATGGCCACCGGTCAAAGCTGTAAATTTCGTTCCCACGTACTCTCAGCTCTGTGTTATTTGAAATTGCTGCCTTGCATTTGTACTGCGTTGTCATTTTTGATGTTTGCTCATAGTACAAGGACCCTTTTCCTACCGGGGGGCGAGAGCGGCATCAACTGTCATTGAATCTCTTCATACCTGGTCCTTTCGGGCGTAGTAGTACTAGTATATGATCTTGTTAAATTTGGGTCCTCAATCAGCGTTTCGTCCTGGTAAGTTCATTTTCAGGTTTTGAACTTTTGAGCCAACTGTTCGAACTACCTTTACGATCTACCTCGCTTGCTTCGTGCGGCCATAATCACTGGTGCGTTTCCTTTGGCGTATATACATCTTATGTGCACAAATGTGCTTTTCATCCCCTTCTTACTCCAGACTCCATCTTGATAAGACATGACACTATAGACTTCCACGCTTCTCTATCTAAACTAGCTAACGGATATAGCTGCATAAATATGGCTCGCACTTGGCTTCCATGAACGATCAGACCTCTGCGCGCTGCTTTCGCGCCTCCTTCGCCTGGAGTTGATCAAGAGTAGACTATCAACTCCGCTATGTTCACCTTCAACTTGCCAAGAGACGAGTGTACTGACGTTCGAATGGACTTCGAAAGCTGCCGCTCTGGGACTCAGACCCTAGCAATGAATTGCGTCGATCGGTTAGTATTCACTTTGAGCCTGGCTTCTCTCTCTCTGATCCTTCCTCTATAGTAAGCATCCACGCGGCTTTAGCCTTATCCTCAACTTCCTAATTCCCCAAATACCAATGGGACAGATAAAATAATGCCATCCTGGCGTCTCGGAGTCTCTGATCAGCTTTACGAGGTGCCAGGGCCTTCTTCATTCGGTCACGGAATTATCGATGTCGAAAATGGTCTGCTCAGTGTGGGTGATAGAGGAAGAGAAAATTTTGAGCCTAGATTGGAACGTAAAGTGATGAACTTGCCTCCTGTGAAAACACCGAACTCCTGATTTAACTTCCCCCAGGTGACATTTAGCGTATCATGTCAAGGGACGGGACAAATCCTAGAAAATCTCGAAGTCTCATGCTGCCACTAATATTGCGGACATATTTATTCTGCAGTTAGCACCGAACAATATGCCCACATTTCGAGCTTCTTCCGCTTCTTGATGCCAAATCGCATCCTGTGTGTGGCATCAGTCATTTCTATGGGAAAGATTTATACTTGTGTTTTATTGTTCTTTCCCGATTGTAAAGAAAACTAATTCATCGAGGTCGCAGGCAACATTCCAGAAGGAATCGGCAAAATAAGGCTAGTGCCAGTCACACATGTGCAGGCGCATATAAGAAAGATGTCCCCATCAGTACCGTCTACCAGAATACTTCGCATATCTTATCCTATCCCATATGCATTGCATACTTCAAAATGGCCGCGCAAAGCCGCTATATGCCAGAAGTCCGAAGCTACAGGTGCTTTGAGGCATGTACGATATTGATGTGAGTTGATAACTCAGCTACAGGGTGGTACAGATCGCGTTGCGCCCCCGTGATTAGGGATCGAACCTGGTTCTCTGTCAGCCCATGGAAGAGAAACATAGGCCTGAGTGCGGGAAGAAGAAGATCATAATCCAGCCACTGTAATTGTCCGACGCTTAATAAATGTGGGTCTAAATTCAAATCAGCCAAGAAATCTAGAAATCAGAAACTAAGGACACCAACCTTTAGGCCAGAAACCGACTGGGATATTGCCGTCTCGTTTCACAATGTTTTCAAACGCACCCGTTGCAGTGAGCATATCCGTCAGTCTTTGGGGGACCGTAACATCAATATCCTGCCTCGTCAGACAGCCACGATATGTTTCCCAAAAGGTAGACCACTCTCCGGCTGCAAGATTGGCGGGAGCCCGAGCCACGGGTCTTCCATCGACTATTGGAATCAAATCAGGCTCTATAAGGAGTACAAGCCCTCCCGGACGCAGTAGTCGAGTAATTTCACGTAGAAACTGAGGATAATCACGTATCTGAACGCCCTGAATGTGTGCCAGCTCCTAGTTGAGAGTTAGTGGAATGACTCACCCCAGTATGTATAGAACGGGCATGTATAAAGTCAAAGTATCCATCAGGATATGGTATTCCAGATTCTAGGTCGCACAGTTCGAAACTGTAGGAAGAAGAAAGCAAGTTATAATTCTAGACCTTATGTCGAATGTGATGTTCTTACGTGCAATTCGGAGGAACACTCCTGGAACGACCATTGATAATCAGTGCACAATGGATAGAATAATTATAGTGACCCATTACCTAGGTTGTAGAGGTGCTAGGTCTATTCCGATGACTTCAGCCCGCGGAAATTCATCCGCCATGTTTATAGCCCTGAAAGAGAATGAATAGTTCTAAGTTCGGAAGATTCGGTTTCAGCAAATTAAGAACTGAGGTTTCTTTACCATAGACCAGAACCAGTTCCAAGGTCAAGAACTGAGTATGTGTTGAAGGCGACTGTTAAACATCATTCAAGATACAAGAAGCCCAGTCGAACCTCTTCTATGCTGACCAAATTGCAAGGCCTCCTTCACTGGGCCCACATAGTTATTACCTTGAAAGACAAATTGCATCATCCGATGGTGCAGCTCAGACCTCTATAGTGCATACAACAAGGTTGTAAGAATTCAGCATGCTACATTTCATTGCCTTGTGAGACACACTTACTTTCACCTCATCCTCGTCCGCTGGTAGCAGATACCTTGTGTTCAGATTGTTGAATGTTCTATCGAATAAGCGCCGAAAATACTCGGAGTCATCCTCTCCAATGAAAGATACATCTGCAGATTGAGACATTTTAAAGAATGCAAGCCAACAAATGGCATGGTATAAGTAATGGGGAACCTCAAACGATCCGTTGACCTCCGCAAAGAAGGGAAACAGGATTAAAGCCACGTCATACGGTTCATTGGCGCCATCTTGCCGTTAGTAAATAATCTATGCGGTTTGTCGGTTGGAGCCACAGATACAGTTCGCCATAGCGGCCAGGGCATAGCTTTAACACGCAAGGTCTGGGCTGCTTAGTTGTGACGATAACAACCATCGTATGAAATGATAGCTTTCGTTGCATGACGGATGTCAGGTAAAAGTAAGTCCTGAGTTTGATATTCGCGAAGGATCAGGCAGAATCGCTCATCAGATCACGGTCTACTTAAAAAATCCTGAAGCTTTAGGAAGGCTCGGCGCTCGAGCTGGAAATATTGACCCAGAACAAGGGTCTAAAGATTCCGAAAAATACCCAAAGTGTCATTGAACATGTTGGATGTCATGAACAAATACCGTTCTAGTAGAGTCACCTTGGGACTCGCGATTGCTACGATTACTACTGGCGCTCACCAAGAACCTCGATCCCGAATCTACCACTACAACGTTGTTCAGTACATCACTCGAAGGGACGATCGAGTTTGAAATTGACTTACACATTTGGGATATGAACCCTCCATGATGTCCAGGAATGACTTTGAATTGGGTCCCGCCTTTGGTTCGACCTGAAGTATCAGACTCTATGGTTTCCGCGTTCCATAGACGTATGTTGTCAATAGAAGCACTACAGTTAATATAAGGATTCATACCCTAGGATAACAAGCAAAGAACGAACCAAGCTATATGTCTATTATCCGGGAATCCAACAACGCATGAGACAACTCCGGAGCGTGAAGGATTGCGAAGTGTTTTGAGCAACCTCGGGCCATCGGGAGTAGCACGTCCCGATTGTCGAACGTCGTAAATTTCAACTGTGCCATTTCGCCTTCCAGCATAAATCTGATTACCGTCAGCAGACCAACAAGCCTAAGTAATACAAAGGTTAGAAAGACAGGAAGAATGATTAGAGAGAGAGACATACGGAAAGACACCACGGAGGAGTTTTCTCACTTATCCAGAGTCTCCCTACTCCTTGCCCAATTGTATTTACTCGTTTGTCCCACAGCATGATTTGACCGTCAATAGCAGCAGTCATAAGTATATCAGGAGAGAAGGTTTTGTATCGCTGAGAATCTAACAATGGTGGTGCGCCTTTAGGAGGTGCAATAGTACTTAAACTGGGTTTGGCGATTGGGACAGCTTGGGAAGTTACTCCGTCCACGAATGGTTTATGGCCATCTTCTGGCTCGTCATCGAATAACGGGTCAAATGACACGTCGGATCTAGTATCGGAGTCGATACGAGTGTTTCCAGTAAAAGCGGGTGGATCGACGGTTTGTGTGTCTTGGGGACCCTTGTCTTCATATCTGAGCATGATCGGCGAGCCTGTGTCTGTATAAACTGCATTCTCGGGTCGCACGGCGATGCATGTGAGCTGTGCTCCATGTGAAGTGAAGGTTCTACTCTTTTGCCCTGTATTTAAATCCCATTGCTTGGGAAAACGATGTTGACGACGACGACTTTGGATAAAAGAGAAGGGCTTACGATAGCCTCGCCATCCCAACTCGCACTGAATAAGCTTTTCTCGTCATGATTCAAAGATAGCGAAGACACCAGGTCGCGATGTCCGACTAATGTATGGCACAAACGTCCAGGTTCGTGACGGACCGTGAAGAGGTTTATAGGACCACACTGGACCACTTAATAGATTAGCTTGAAGGAGTGAGAAAGAGCTAGATTCATACATTGGTACCAGCCAAGACCCATAAAGCATCAGAATGCATGGCCAGACTGTGCACTGGCACTAGAGTGCGATCTTCATTTACACCCGAAAAGTTTGAAGAAAGGTTGTTTTCCCACCAAAACCGATGATGGCCGGCCTTCATGAGACCTTCTACAACACCTGTGTGTTGTCTTTGAGGAGCAGAAAGAAAATTCTTTGAGTTCAAAGCCGTGAAAATGTCATAATCGCGAATGTAGCCGTCTTCTGAACCGGTAAGGAGATGGCTCATGCAACTAGAGGCTGCAAGGGCATTGGTAGGAGCAGGATGGGGAATGGCGCAAACTGCCTCGACTACGAAGCCTCGAGGTACCTTCGCAAGTCGAAGAGCCCTTTTGCGGGCTCCTGAGGGTGAAATAGGCCGATTACGGAGACGCGGAGGTGGTGCAGGAGACGGGACTTATTATAAGAATAAGGATACAAGTTAAAACGCATATATTCGGGACGTTCTGGTGAAGATACCATACCTTTACTCTGTTCCTGCTTGTCGAATTCGTCTGGCTCAGGAGATCTGCTGGAACTGCCAGTATTCTCTGCGGCAGCACTTGCTTCAACTTGGGCAAATGCCTCGCTCAACAAGTCACCAGTAATATCAATTGCTGGCTCTGAATCATCATCTTCAGCCTCTTCAAATCCATCTTCGGTGTCATCAGAAGGGGAATCCTTGAAGATGAAGGGGCAATAATGCAGGATATTAGAACAAGAACATTGAAATTCCGAGGACGAAAACACACGTCGTCTCCGTCTTCAGTAGCTTCCTCAGCAGCATCCAAGTCCTCAGGATCTTCCTCGTTATACTCTTCGACATCCTCAAAAGGTTCCTGTTCATCCTCGGAGTCGCTGTGAGCCATATTTCAATTGTTCGGATGAGCCATCACTGAAAAAGGCAAAGAAGCCTCTAAGCCTCTGATCTCTACCACGACATGGTCTTAGCAGATTTAGGGCGAAAGCTCAATGCTGCTCTTTCATCACTCAATAGAGCTCCTATCGTAGACGAGAAAGTTGGTACTAGCCCTGCTCAGCATCCAAGCTGCAAATCATTCTGACTTCGTGCCTTACTTAGGTTGTTGACGCAACATTGAAAGAAATCACTGCTGCTCTCCTCGAATCCGATGTGAATGTTAAACTAGTGGCGTCTCTACGACAAAAAGTCAAAGCAAAAGTCAAAGCCGCTTTCGAGTCTTCCGATAAGTCCAAGGATGCGAACCGGAGAAATACGATACAGAAAGTGCGTTAAACCTTACATCTCTATGTTATGTTTCTCCCGCTGAGCTACACCTAGGCCGTTTTCGATGAACTCGTACACTTGGTGGATCCTGGCGTAGAACCGTACAAGCCGACCAAAGGGAAGACCAATGTGATCATGGCTGTCGGTCTTCAGGTGTGTTCCATACGCTAATCACTCAGGCCGTTTGATTGAACCCGCTACACAGGGTAATGGTAAAACAACAACGTGCACCAAGCTAGCTGTATACTACCAAAAACGAGGTTTCAAGTCGGCAATCGTTTGTGCAGATACCTTCCGTGCAGGCGCATTTGACCAGACTCGACAATCCGCGACAAAAGCGAAGGTTGCATACTTCGGTTCGTACACTGAGACTGATCCCGTAGCAATAGCAGCTCAAGGTGTAGCTAAGTTCAAGAAAGAGAGGTTTGAGGTTATCATTGTGGATACATCTGGCAGGCACAAGCAAGAGTCAGAGCTTTTTGAGGAAATGGTGCAGATCGGAGAAGCGGTGGATCCGAATATGACCGTGTTAATCCTAGATGCCAGTATAGGTGATAGTGTTTTCAGTTCATTTCATCACCGGGATGCGACTCATCAAAGGTTCAAAGGTCAGGCCGCTGAGGCTCAAAGTCGGGCATTCAAAGAAACTGCAGATTTTGGTGCAATTATTGTCACCAAAATGGATGGCCACGCAAAAGGTGGAGGCGCAATATCTGCGTGAGTTTGATTTGCATGCGAACCATTGAGCAAATCTAATACCGTGTATAGAGTCGCAGCCACTAAAACCCCCATCATCTTCCTTGGTGTCGGCGAACACCTTCATGACCTCGACAAATTTTCTCCCCAACCTTTCATCTCGAAACTACTTGGCCTCGGTGATATGCAGGGTCTCATGGAGCACATGCAGGATTTGGCTACCCAAAACCCGGACAAGCAAAAAGAAATGGCCAAGAAACTCGAAGAAGGCAAGTTGAGTATACGGGATTGGAGAGAACAGATATCGAATGTCATGAATATGTAGGTGACTTCGTATACATCGACGAAGTACAGTTGCAAACATCATTGATAGGGGACCAATAAGCAAAATCGCATCAATGATACCTGGACTGCCTCAAGAACTTCTTCAAGGTTCAGATGAAGAGGGAACACTACGAATGAAGCGCATGATCTATATAACGGACAGCATGAACACCTTGGAGCTCGATTCTGACGGATCACCCTTCATGGAAATGGGCAAGGACGGGAAACCGATAGGTCTAACTTGGCGGGTCACTCGTGTTGCCAGAGGAAGCGGTACTAGCGTTCGGGAAGTTGAAGAACTACTTTGCCAGTACCGCATGATGGCAAATATGGCAAAGCAAGCTGGTGGAAAGAACGGATGGTTCGTCATTCCGTTCTCATGTTATTTTTCACTAATTTGCTCTATTAGGTTATCCGCGATGCAAAAAATGCAAACTGCCGCTGGTGGGAAAGGTCGTGGCGCCAACGGTATGCCGACACCAGCGCAGATCCAAGCCATGCAACGCGCAATGCCACCTGGAATGCTACAACAAATGCAGCGTCAGATGAGAAGCGGCGGGGGCATGCAGGAAATGATGAAAGCCATGATGCAAAGCCAAGGAGGTGACCAGATGGACATGGAGGAAATGCAACGTATGCGTCCCCTTCGTCCTTCATAATGAATTGATTTATTCAGAATTATCCAGGAATGATGTCGCAGATGGGCAATGGAATCGGAGGGTTGGGTGGACTAGGTGGACTTGGTGGGTTGGCTGGTGGGATGCCAAACATGGGTGACATGTTCAAGATGATGGGTATGGGTGGCGGCGGAGGGCGGTGAGTGGTCATTCACCTGAGCGGAAAACGTGTAAAATTGACCATGTAAATATATTATGATGTACACTACCTCAGCAAGTATATATAAATACTGTAAACTACAAAACGGACGTTCATGACGTGTGTTCAGTTTTCTGTTGCTTCAACCATTCCTTCTTTTGTTTAGATGCTGCAGACAGGTTTCCGAAGATGAAAGCCGATGTGCGTTTATCGGCACCAGTCTTTTTGGAAATACGAACGGAAGATCCAAAGACCATCTTCAAAGGAAAAGATATCAATATTATGTTTTTCTTTTGAAGTGGTCACCTACAACCCAGAGGCCCCATAATCCAACGACAGCGGTCAGTAAGCAATGTATTGTGGCAAGAGAGCCAACGGAGCGGGTATTGTAGGATATGAAAGAAGACAGCAGACATGCGACAGTGAAAGGCTTGAGCAATGGATGTTCCGGCTGGCTAAGTCCAAGGAGTGGCAGCGGAGAGGAAGAAGGGATCTATCGCAGCTTGATCATGCAAAAATACGAGATGGGAGGCATGTAAACATACATTCAAGAGCAGCGCAATAGCAATAGTGAATAACCAAATGCCGAAATGAATCGAAAGAAAACGCTCCAAAGGTGTCAACGTTGAAGGCGTGTTTGTTGATAGAAACAACAGAAGCTGGGGATATCGAGAAGATTGCAGCAAGTAAAGTAAGCCTAATAAATAAATCAAGCGAAGACTGAATGATATCGGAAGAACAATACGGACAGAAAGGCCGTCATCATCGTCCAGGCTGATATAGCTTCATTATTAACAGCTTCAGACAAAGGTTGGATTTCATGGTTCTCCTCAGCTTCTTCCTCAACCGAGCGTTTTGAGAGATCCTTCATTTCGATAGAGCTCATGGTGGTAAATGAGACAGGTGCTAGGGCGCCTATTTCTACACTGATCGTTTTCATGTTTAACTATAAGCATGGGTGTTGTAGGTAGAAGTACACAGTGGGTACAGAACAAGCTATGAGCCAGCAGGAACCAAATATGCGAGATAAAGAAGTACGAAATGCAAGAGTCTATTATCTGAAACGATTGTTGCCCACAGAACCCACGGAGGCATTCATCATGGCTGCTCGTGCAGGATTCATGTTTCCCATGGATTGAGCGGGATAACCACGAGGAGTTTGATAGCCAGCATAAGGTGGTTGTGAAGGTGGAGCGCCATAATTTGGACCTGGCGTGGTACCTCCGTATGGGTTAGGCGTCCGTGAAGGCCGCACAGAAGGGGTGGCATATCCAGGACGTGCAGGCGTACGCTGCCCAGCGCCATATGGGGTTTTCCCTCCCCCGTTTCCTAAATTTTGTGATTCGTGCAAATGCCTGGACGGGGTAGATAAGATTATCGGAACATATGAAGAGACCTAATGATGCTTACCGAACTTTGAAAGCATCACATAATTCTGGGACGCCTACTGCAGGGGCCTCAAACAGATAGTATGCCTCAGGGGTGACTCGGACAGGCTAGTAATTGATTATTTACTTATGGGTGTAAAAGAATAACAGACCACGTACCCATGTTTGAACGGTAGAGTCTTTATTTGCCAAAAAACACAAGTTAAAGTGTCCTGGTCTCTTGCGATTCAGGGTGAAACCGTACATACTCTTCGCTGGATTGGCGAGAAGTTGATTTTTCAAGAAGAGATCTGGAATACGGAATATCATTTGAGGATGAAACCCATCATCGAGGGAGCTACTTACGCAATTCGTCCTCGGAACCAGGTTTGAACCGGTCATGCGCCATGAGGTCTTCAACACGTCGACTCATTGCATTTACATGTCTGACGATTAATTCATCGAGATCGATATAGGTATGGCTAGCATCCACGACAAACTGAGTGTCCAAACTCTGTCCGGTAGGATCGTAGCCCTTTTCAGTTATATCTTTCAATGGAGTTAGTCACAAGTAATGATTAAAAATTGTCTCCTACGCACCAATATGCTGGTACAACTTGTCATCCACTTTCCAGGTTACTGCCAGGTGGTCGATGCCCTTGGAAGACGGTCGTATGACAACATCTCCACGCTGTTGACCATCCAGATACTGTTCTGCCTGAGAGGTGTTGAAGTTGTGGAAATTAGGATGCTTGATGATACGACGTGTTTTTGTGACTTCAGCTCTCTGTTTCCTAGCCAGGATGTCCAAATCCTTCTCGTGCTGAGCGCGATTCCAATACACATCAGGCTGTTTCCTTCGGAACTCCGTGTCGTTTTCTACAACATCACTCCAACGCGAAGACAGTTCAACTTCATAAATGTCGTTTTCATGATCAATTCTGACATCGATGATGACTCCTTGTATCGTTTTGCCCTTGACGGGCTTCTCGGCGCCGGGTGTATCGTCAACCAGATATTCTTGCTTGATAATGCCCTCCAACCCAGAGTCTAGACGAACATGAACGCTATCAGGCCGTGTTCGGAAGACCAGAACTGATACGATGAGACCGATACGGAGCGTTTTCTGCGTCTCGCCACTCAACATAGTCAAAACATTCCAGCCATCGATGGGTGGAAATGGTGACCGCTGCTCTGAGAAGGGTTTGAGTAGCTCATCTCGGATCACGTTGAGAGTATGACGCTTCAGTTCTTGGTTTGCATTGAACAAACTAACGGCGAATTCGTCCAGGTTGAGTTCTGAGAGCTTCTTGTCATTTTCGCGGTCCTGCATGATGAGTCCCACTACGTGCGAAGGGTGCTCGTCGTGAATATCTTCTTCGTCCAATTCCAGGGCGTCAGTCGCCATTTTTCGAGCGAGTTCATAGTCCTCAGGGTGAATACGAGTGTCATCTAGGGGATCTGGAGCTTGTTCATCGTCTATACGGTGTTTGACTTTCATATCGTCCTGTTCTTGAGTAATGCGTAGGAATCCTGCCGCATTCAAGAAAATTTTGGTAGTGAGTATACCGCTCTTAATGAACTGGTTCCGGTTGACCAGACTTCCGCCCTGGTGAAGTGTTCGTAAAAGTGCAATCATTGGGCCAGATGAAGCTTACCAGTCCGTCAATCTTTGAAATCAATTCTCGGGCCTTTCTTGGACCGAAACCACATACGAAGGGCAAAAGATACTGATAGTATCGATCTGTAACGGTTCGATTGATATCCACTCCGACTTTATTGACGATATCGACAAGAGCTTGCTCCAGGGCGACAAGCAATTTATCTTTGGGGACCTGTCGAGAAACATGAATAATTACGGCATATGAGGAATGCGTTGACTCACTAGGTGTTGGTCGTCATCATCGAATGATAATGCTGTGATATCAGATCCGACTGCAGCGTATTCGTTGAGAGGGCTCTGAGCGTATCGTGCAAGACCAACACAGTATCTAGCATTAGGCGGAAGCGAGCTGAACTCGACTTTTGACCGAGGACTGTGATGATAAATGCGCGCGAGTTCGTCCGGGACGTATATCACGGGGATATCAAAGGAATCTCCGAACGTAGAATTGGGATCATAAGAAGAACGGCCTGAGACAATTTCTTTGACGCGCTGGGATAATTTGGCAGTAGCCGTGGTGAATCCTCCAACAATGATAACGTCCGGCTTTCTTCGCCTAATGATATCAACGAATTCATCTCTGGTTTCGGTGTCTACTAGATTGTCAATCTTGATCCATTCACGCATACGCCCACCGTCGTCCATGAACACCACACAGATGGCATCCTTTTGAGGGTCTCCCTTGCCCCAGGACACAGCCAACACCGAAGGCGTGTCGCCAAGCTTCATCGGAGAATTCTGTGGATTGTAGTAGGGAGAAACGTCGATTCGCTTGTGTTTATAACATTGAATCATCAAATATCTGTTACATTGAGCAAAATGACTCACCTTGCGCAACTGATCACCACAGCGATTGGCAACGTAGTCTTCCTCCTCTTCTCTGAGGAACTCCCTTGTCCATTTGACCGCCGCAGGTATTAAGTGCTGTTCCATGACTTCCTGAACTACCCGTGACCGTTCCTCATTCCAAGCCTTTGTTGACTCCCGGAGCAGATCTGACGAAAAGGCATCTATCAATCTTCGCTCGAAATTGGCCTTGATGTCAGGAGGAAGATAGATTGAAACAGTGACCAGAAGTTCCTGTTCAGCTTTGAGGATGTACAGAAACTGCGACGATCCTAACACGTTCTCGATAGGTTTGTTATAGAGATACTTGAACGGCTATGTGGGCGATTTGATGAGCAACAAGTCTAGAATATGTTAGGGAATACACTTACATAGTAGACGTGTTGCTCATCAATTTTAGCTCGACCTCGCTCGGTAGGGCTGACAGAGACAACAGCGTTCTTCTTAAAAAGCTGTCGCATGTGGTCGCGAAGAAGAGGATCTTTGCCCAACTCAGTGGCAATGATCATTCGAGCGCGGCGAAGAAGCTCCTCAGGAGCCAGGGCTTTTGCTGGATCTGGATCTGCAAACTGCTCTGCGTAAATTAGAGGATCAAGGTTTTGATTGTCGACATAATGTAAGCGTGTTTCATTCACAAAATTGAGTACGACTTCATGTGAAGCGATACCAAAGCCCTGGTAAAAGAGGTCAGCATCTGACAGATGAAGACAGCAAAGACAGGAATTGTACATCAGCAAGCCGTGAAACAATGCTCTTCTTCGCCAATTCGTATGCGGAAATGCGACTGGGCATTTTGTGTTTCTTCTCTACTTCAGCTTCGTCGTCATCGTGGAAACGGAACGCAGCGACGTTCTCCTTCTTGTCTTTGTATTTCATGAGTAACCATTCACTAGTATCCGCGACTAACTCCACACTGTCAATCGCAGGAAAGATCTCATCTGTGTAATAAGTGTCGGTAACCCCAAGGCGGCGATATGAAGCTGACAATGCGTTTCGCCGCTCGACAAGAGACCGGTACTTCTGGCCTAGTGCATAGATGCGCCATAATTCTGGAAGGGATAGGAGTTCAAGACGAGGGGAGCGCGTGTCGTTGACGTCGAAGTGGGATATATAATCGCGTCTATGTGTCCAAATGAAAGGTACCTCATATTCCTCGACAAACATTGCTCGAAGGGCAAAGGTAACAGCCATGACCAATTCTCCTTGAAGATGTTGATAAGCCCCGTTAGCACTGAAGAACTCCTTCTGCTTTTCGGGTGACAGACGGAGAGTAACCCAGCGAGCACCATCCTTGTTGAGATCCTCTGCAATGATTGTTTGATGCAGCGATATACTCGCAGCTTCCGAGAGGGAAGAAGTTGTTAATTGCATACGTTCTGGCGTGTCTCGAGCTCGAATGAGATTGTCATCCTCAGTCAATAGATGTTCACGAATTTCAGAAGGTTCGAATACCTACATTAAAAATATAAGGAAGATTACACGAGAGTCTGAGAAAGAACATACATTTTGAAGGGTCATGTCTTTCTGCGTCTCTTGCTCATACTCTGCCTCCTCATCTGCAACCAGAGCCCAGTCATATTCGTGGCCATCTCCGAAGACATCGTGAATCTCGGCCCAAGCACTGCGAAATTAGTTAGCAATAGGTAGAAGTATACAAAAATGGTGGCAAAACAAACTTCGCATCAATGCCAGCAAGCTCAGGATGAGCTCCACGACTTTTGCGTCGAAACTCTTGCTGCTGTCTCCTTCTCTCCTTGCGCCTTTCCTCACGAGCTCGCTCGTCCATTGGCATACCACCCTCTTCCTCGTCGTCATATTCAATAAAATCATCTATATCCCCATCCGCATCGTCATCAAACTCGTCTCGCTGATCATCCCAGATTTGCTGAATATCTTGAACTTTTGGTAACGGGTCGTCATCCAAGTCTTCATCAGAAGACTCTACAACTGCGCGACGTTTGGAGGACGATGCTGTCGGAGGCGATTCTGACGCTCCTCGCCTAACAAGACGCTTCAGCCTCGACTTCTTAAATGTTCCACCAGTATTTTCCTCCAATAGATCGAGGTCATCTTCCTCTAAGTCTTCTTCCTCTTCACCTGTTATTTGACAATATTCATAAAGCGAGTACCTTGAATAACGAAACGAAAACGCACGTCTTCGCCGATGATGTTTCTTACGTCTCTTGCGTCGTTTCCGTTCTTCCTCGTCATCCTCATCATCCTCGTCTTCATCCACGATGAATCCTTCTCTGATGCGCCTTTCTTCGTCCGCATCTTCCTCTTCTTCTTCCGAACTATCGTCTGGCTCTCCGGGTCCAACAATATCGCCCTCTCCTTCCTCCTCCTCCTCAGCAGCGCCCTGCATGGGATCATCTTCAGGCGGATACGCAGAAACAGGAGAGGCCATGTTTACAGTCAAAGTTTACAATGACTGGAAGCAAAGCGCACTTTTTCGTGGTATTGGTGCTTATGTAATTGCCCTCCCACGTGTCGTTAATGCCATGAATCTTCTTTCCTATACGAGCCCTATACCGATGACTTCCGAAGGCCAGCATCTCCAATTCTTACGACTCGCTTTGGATGAGGCCAAGAAATGCACACCGACCCCAACAGCCTTCTGTGTTGGTTGTGTAATCGTATCTTGCCTTGAAGCTGAGCCAGTTGTGATATCTGCTGGATATTCTCGCGAACTTCCAGGAAACACACACGCTGAAGCCAACGCACTATCCAAATTCCGCTCCTTATCTTGGGACCAACTCTCTAAATTCAATGCTTCTGCCCAGTCACATGCAGATATCCTTGCGTCCGCTGATGTCTATACCACAATGGAACCTTGTTCAATCAGGACATCCGGGCTGTCGCCATGTGCGGAGGCACTTATTGATGCTCGGGTGAAACGTTGCTTTATAGGCGTCGGTGAACCCGATGATTTTGTACACTGCGAGGGAGCTCAGAAATTAGTCGATGCTGGGATAGATGTTATATGGCTCAAGGGTCTGGAAGAAGAATCACTGAACGTTGCTCGTAGAGGCCACTGATGTATTTATCGCGAGCGAAGCGAAGCAATACTGGCTAAAGGTATATTCACATATCCTACGAGGTCACAGTCACATCCGTTTGCACGTTTTCTCTCTCTGCCATGGAGGTGTGCCGGCATCGACAAACCATCTAAAACTAGAATTTAGAAGCACCATATCCTGGAGCTCACATGCGAATGCACGTAACCATCGTGTCTGCAGGCTTACATATGTAGGGAGAGTTGCAAAATTGGCTCAAAAGAGCCTTTCCCATCACAAATTCCTGTCAGTATGGCTCAGAATTTATGCTGATACCTTGTATCTACATACACCATACCAGCTTTTTTTTCAATGGAAAACTCATCTCAGAAAGCATTCCATTCACTAAGGGTTACAGCTTTCTTACAACAGCTTCGTGTAGTATAATTGTAGAGCAGGATTAAGCACATAAAAAATACATGCATATGCTGCTCTTGAGAATTTTCCGGAAGACCTATTCTGGAGTATTAAATTATAGATAAATATGTGGTTCTGCCTAAGGCGGTGTCCCACAAGGGGACAGCCCAGCCGGGTTCAACCACCTATTCCTTGAGAACGAGGTATGCTGAAGAAAAAACCTTTTTTATTTTGGAGCGTTCCTTTGATGTGGCCATTGTACGGGTCACATCAATAACGTTTCGGTACGGGATGAGACCGCCGGTTCGGCCCTCGCCGCTTGCGGCACCCCCAGTTTTATCAATCTATCTGCAACAGTCCACGATGAGAATTGAAAAGTGCTACTTTTGCTCAACAAATGTTTATCCGGGACATGGTATGCTCCCCTTCAGATCTTGATCCTCATACTGATCCTTTCCATAGGTTCAGCGTTCGTCAGGAATGATGCCAAAGTTTTCCGATTCTGCACTTCGAAGTACGAGGTTTTTTTTCTGATCGTCTTTCCTGTCCAACTCGTCCTTTCTCTCTTATTAGATGCCACAAAAACTTTAAGTAAGTCTCAAAAATGTGTTCGTTATCACCTGTATTCATGAACATTTTCCAGAATGAAGCGAAACCCGAGAAAAGTGAGATGGACGAAGGCATTCAGGAAAGCCGCTGGCAAGGAGATGACTATTGTGCTTATCTCGTCTTTCAATGGCACAAAGTCGCGACTGCTGATATATCTGACAGGATGCTACAATTGACTTCGAGAAACGTCGAAACGTTCCTGTTCGCTACGACAGGGAATTAATGCAGACTACAATAAAGGCGATGAAGCGGGTTGGAGAGATCAAGCAAAAGCGAGAGCATGCTTTCTGGAAGAACAGGTACGTTGTGTGTTGACATGTTCGACACTTACGCTCTGATACATCCACGTCCCATTTAGGATGGCCATGAGTCGCGAAAAGCAACGTCTCCACAGAAAAAAAGCGGTCGAAACAATAAAATCCTCAACAAAACTCGTCCAACCCATAGCAGCATCTTCGAAGAAGCGGGAAAAAATCAAAGTTCCTGCGAAATCGCGGAGTGCTCTTGTGCAGGGCGAAGGGCGCTCCATGACTATGGATATAGATTGAGCTGGTATGTATCTAATGTTCCTTTAGCTACTTATATCATTACAGTGTTAGATTACTCGAAAAAATCTTTAAAACGCAAAGGGACCGATGTTAGCGATGTTTGTATTTTGCATCATTCTCGTGCCGGAGATTGGGATCCAGCGTATTATGAAGACCGAGCAGGGTTTTGCTCACAGCTTCACTAGCCCCGATCATGGGTTTGAGAACCGCAATAGGGACAGCTCGAATAACTGAACGAACTGGGCCCTTTAGAATCGCTGTCAGTCATGGCACGAATCTTGAAACAGAAACATTTACTTCGTTTCCAGATCGTTCGTAAACTTCCATAGGAACTGCTAGGATGGTTTGGGCTGCAGAATTGAGATTTCTCTGCAGACTCTTGTATGCTGATTGCACTCCCTCTTTGACATTTGTTGGTTGGTCAGCATACTTACTAATAAGATCAAGAGCATTCTCTTCTTCATCACTACTACCCCCAAACCCAATATCCAAAAGGTCATCTCCGAAGTTAGGAGACCGAAGTGTTTCGGTCGTTATGGGATACTTGAATTGTGGACCCAATACTCCTTCAGCTTGTTCAAGAATGACTTGAGTACCTGTCGCCAACTTGGCACCAAGCTTGATTGCTTCAATGGCAGTTGATTTGACAAATGCAGTCGTGCCCTTCTGCACTCCGCGCACAATCCGACCATCTTTTTTGTACTGCGCGATTGGCAGTAGAACAAGGTCGGCAATGCCAGAGCCAACATTTACCACGGAGCGGATAGGTGCAACACCTGAAATGACGTCGACCAATTGGGTTGCTTTCACGTCGGGTGTCCACAGGTCGTTGAGTAATTCACCCAGGCGGGGCCATCCAGTAATCTATCTTCGAGCTCTTCGTCAACATCAAGACTGAATTCAAGGAACAGCGTACACCAGACAAAGTGATATGCCTCAAAGTCATCTCGGCGCCGTCGAAATGGAAGAAATTCATGAGTTCTATGGTTTTCCCTTCTTTCAAAGCACGATAGTCCACCCTCCGAGGCTTATAATCTAACTTCAAGTCGACAGGAAATATCTCTGCCAGTTCTGTCCAACTTCAGTTAGAGGGATTTGACACTTGTATGACGGGTTTAGCCTACGGAAATATATCCCTCCGTCAGGATCAGTAGGCGTAGATGGTCTGGTAGGATCGGTAAAGCTGAAGAACTTCTTCAAAAAGTCCAAAGCATCTTGATCGACATGCAGCCGGAGAGGCAGAATTTTGGCCTACCTGGTTTCAATCACCAACTTTAAGACAAAATACAAGTTTGACCTACCTTCAACCTTGCTTCCTCTGAAGGATCATTAACGACAGGACGGACAGTGCGAAGTTCCACCTTGACCATGTTAGAATCTGTTTCACGCACATTACCACGAGAGTCAGATCGCAACGCGGTTAAGAACTTTTTCCAGGTAGAAGATTTAATATGATCAAGAATTTCGAGGTCTTTCATAGTAGCAAACACTCGCGAAACCAGAGGATCGTCGGGATGATATTGAGCGATATCGGCATCCAATCCAGAAATCCGAAATTCAATGCTAGGACTCTTTGCGCGCGCCAAACGCTTGCCATTCAGCCGAGTGGCAGGTGCTGAAGTTTTAGGTTGAGAAGGAACCGGCAGTGATTGCCAAGAGCTCTCGGTCACTGTATCTATATCCTCCTTTAATTCTTCATCTATGGCTGCAATTAGAGCATTTGAATCAAGTTCGTCCGTGTCTTCCTTGAGACCGATGTATACTGAATTGAAGAGGAGTGCACTCGTTTCTTCACCTGCGAACTGCTGGGTCTGGCCTTTGGCGACAAGTTGTCTGATCTTGGCTAGCCGTTTACGCATTTCTTTGACCTCGTTTTCAATGGTCCTGCGAGTAGTCGACCAATCATAGCCATCATAAAGAAAGACATTAATATCAGCGTTGTGGACTTCCACGTGAAGAGTGGTGTCTCCCATACTAGGATTCGGTCAGTAAAGCTTTCGAGATATAAGATTTACGAACTTCGTCGGGCTATTTTCCGTTATTGGTGGGAGACTATCGAAGTGAGATTCCACGAGCTGAAGACCTTCAGGTCGAAGTATTCGGATTGTTTCGCCTCCAAGTCTTGAAACAACACCGTTGATATCCTCATCACTGGATGGGGTTGGAATGACTTCCTCGTCATCAAAATCATTCAGGTCTTCTTCGCGAAGCTCTCTCAAACCTCCAGCTGCGCCGAAAGATTCATCAAGATAGTCAGGATTCCTCGGTAGGTCGTCGTAAATCATATCTGGGGCAGGTCCAATTTCGGGTAATTTTTTGAATGCAAAATTGTCAACAGAAGCTGCGGTTTATCAGTAAGTTGGAATATCAATATTGGCGAACACAAGAACTGACACATTATACCCCTTGCGTTATGCTGTTCTTCAGATATGACCATAGGCTTCCTCTTGGGTTTGGGAGTTCTTGATTACTACGATGTCAACATTGGAATTCTTGGCAGAGAGAATTCCATACTGATGTTCTGAAGTGGGATTCAAGGCCGTGACCAAATCGCTGATGAATACACTTATTGCGCTCATTGTATCAGCACATAAATGTAGCCGCAGACCTAGGTTTTGTATCACGACCTGATGGCATTTAGGTATTACATTGGGCAAGTAGAGATATGGATGCGCACGCGTGTATCGGGAGCTGTTGTGCTTTTGAGAGCTTTGAAACTAAGCACGACGTTCATTATTTCCGACAGTAAGACGAAGCCGCATTTCTAGAAATTTATTTATTGAGTTGTAGCAAATCGACAAGTGCGAAAACAGACCTTCCAGAACAAGAAGCCTTCAGATGAGGTAGGGCTCGCATGAAATTCAGCCAAATCATCAATGGCGAGCAATGTAGCGGTTTGGATTCTGAGCATGAATTCCAGTTCAGGGGATTCTCCAATGAGATCGGTGGAAAAGTCTAGATCCCCTATGTGAAGAACTAATGCTCCAGAATGGGTAGGGGCTAGGACTTTCATTGATCCATCTACAACTCTAAGTGTGATCTTCGTTCGTTCACTGGGCACGACAGTCTCAAAAGCCTATAAATAGGAAATGAGCGAAAAAATATTCGCTTTCTGAAACAACTTGCAACATACTCCTGGAGGCGCGTTGGCGAAAAGAGTAATATCTGATATCCAGCTGACGTCTGTGAAGAGTTGGTAGGTAAAACCCCAAAGATGAAGTCGTATTCTGGACTCTTTCGCTATTGTCTCAGGTAAAATTACCGATGTAAATCTTAGCTTCAAAAGTGGTTGAGGCGGAAGTCGCTGAAGAACGCTTAGCCTAAGAAATACCTTGACAAGAGGGTGACTCACCAGATCTCGAGGTTTTGTGAGCGAGAGCAACGTGTGAATGGTTCCTTGGCCAGTATGGTCATTGATCAACAGGTTCATAAGTTTTATAGTAGCTGTTGTTTCATCCTTTGAGCAGTATAAGCTATGGCGTGTTAAATTGCAGAGAATAAATTATTACCCTGCCTTCTGGTCTTATCTGTATTGAGACATCGATATCGGAAGCCATCATGTCGAATGGTCGAATATTCATAGGTTGTTCCGCAAGCCTTGGAAGGTGAATCCTGCAAAAAGCTATAAGGACCTCTGGTTAGTAGGTGTTTAAGCGGATGCACTGGCATCCTCACTTTCAACAACAAAAACTTGCACAGTGATGATTGTTTTGAGCTCGCGAGGATTTGATGCAAGACTAGTGACTTCGCTACTCGTGTTCGATTTGGCAAAATAGTGGCTACCAATAAGACTACTGTCACGGCTGGTAGGCTTCTCGGTATCGCCATCACTGTCAGAATATCCAGATGACTTTTGTACCAGTTGGGATGCGTCATCTGCCCAATATTGTAGAGCATCGAAAGAATCTTTATCCATACTCACAAGCAAGGAAGGCAAGGACAACGTTATCATCGTAGTAGAATTGAGCGCTTGTGAGAACTGGGAAAGAACGAAACGAGGTAACAATGCCTGGGATTCGGGTCGGTCACTTGCTTCTTCGTTTTGTAGGTGTCCCAATGACACCACGACGGAAGCCTTCGGACTTCCTGCTGAAGACGAAGCAATGACCAGCCTTCGAAACTCGCTCGTTAAGATTACGTTTCCTGCAGGTTTCAGTCTTCGTGTGGAAGATGGAGATTCAAATGAAGCAGTTCTTCGTGAAGTTGGAATTTGCCTATTTGTGAGAGCAAGGTCCTGAATATCAACCACGACGGCGCCAGAACGCGAGGGCTGATTATAGTTCGAGCTGCATCGGATATTTGTCCGAATGAAGGGGAACTGCACAACCACATTTGTGTTTTTCTTCTGCGAGCGACGCTAAACATCGAAAATCAGCTACAAACTATGATCCACACACATTTGTGACGACGTACTGTGACGGGCTTAGCAGCACCACTGTGTTTGAAATCTTTAGACGTTGGTATTTGCCGATAATCAAGGTCTAAATCGAGATCCTGTAAAACAAGTTTTTCCAAACTCCTCCGCTCTTCCTCATGCTCCGCTGGGATATTATGATAGCGGTTGACGCGCGGAGTAGCTGGAGGTGTATCGCCATCATTGTCACTACCCGAACCGTTCATCTCAGTCTCTAATTGAGTCGCACCAGGAGACTTCAAAGCACTCATCAACTCGTCCACATAAGAGTTTATATTAGTTGCTCCGAACAGATGCCGCAAATCAACGAAAAACTGAAGAGGAGAAAATTCAGCTCTTATGTCGTTCTTCAATAATTTGCCTTTGTGCAGCGGTTTCTCAAGGGACTGCCGCTCGCCCTTCACCGTCAACACTGGGATAAGACTGTCTCGATCAGTCCCTGGAGGCGGAGCATGAGAGGAATGGGACGCCTTGTTTTGTTTCTGTTTCGTCCGCCATGCAGAGGGCTTCATTCCATGCTTGCATGCCGCTTCCGTTGTCCAGTCCATGACATCAAAGTCGAGAAGTATAGGAAACTCCGAAGACGGATCCGGATGTTTGTGTTCGGAAATATGTTGAGAGGGTAATAGAGGGTCGGTTATCATGAGCGGAAAGGCCAATACTTCCGCCTCGTTATTATTGCTTGAGAGACGCGATGCGAATACAGATATCTCGTTTAGCGAGAGGGAAAAGGTGAGAGTGGACGTTTGAGAACCAGAACCCGAATCTGGTTGAGGAGCCTTTGAGTTCATCGTAACGTTTGAAGCGGTGGCTGAGAGGTTATCCAAAAAAAGGCGAAGATATCCTTCGGATAGGGAAGGGGGTACACGCGGACGAGAAAAGTAACCTCCGAGGGAAAACGAAGACGAGGCACCATTACTCGAGGATGCAAGCAATAATACAACCACAGCCTTGACGTTTAGGGATAATCTTTTGTCTGTTCCGAGGCTAAATGGCGAAGTAGACGCATTTGAGGGTTTCGGGGTAAGGGAAACACGACTAGGCATGATGGCGTCTACCAATCGTACGACACTCGGTACATGCCAAGGACGAAGAGCACAACTGATAATCCCTATGTCCATAGATATATGCAGTTCCTCTAGAACCGTTTGCGAGGGTGTCCGACCACGTAGGGATGGCGTAGTCAGCTTGATGATAATAGGATCTACTCCAAAGGACAGGAATACCTCATCGTCGGCTTCTTTAACGTGATCAAGGTCATGTTTAGAGGCCGAAGCTGGAGAAGACAAGGACTCCTCTATTCTGCCTGTATGCTCAGCATATGACGCATGCCCAGAGATAGCGCTTTGATATATACTGCTCGCAACAGAACTAGCAGGAGAGCCGGGGCGGGGGGGTAGGAACGCAAGAGATTGAGACATTGCCCATTGAACTTGTTCATCCATAGATGATGACGACGAGGAAGATGAAGGTGAAGGTGAGCGCGGAGTAAGCGAATAAGATGGCGTTCCTTCAAAGGATAGACGATCTGGCGACAAGGGAACAGCAGAATGAGGGCGCAGGTCACAGCCGCTTAGAGTGATACCAGAAATGGATACAGTGCGTGATTCGCCGGCGCATTCGAAACCATCTGTGATATTTGCATTTGAAGGAGCTTCCGTGCGATAGTTAATGTCTGCAATGGAAAGTGACAACCTACTCGACTGAGGGTGAAGAATGGTTACTTTCGTGTCGGTCGCGTCGAATTCGAATTTAGCCAGAAGACGTTCAATCAAAGTGGCGAACAGAGAGACCCCATCGGGATCCATGTCGGCCAATTCTTCCTCCTCCGAAAGATCCCTAAAGGGATTGAGACCCCCTGGCACGTTTTCGTCGTCGGGTTCATGGTGTAAAGAAGCCGAAGGATCATAACGAAAAGACTTTCGCAGGTTAGCCTCTTCTCGAGGCGTCAGTTCATCCTGAATGAAGGATTCAGCATAGGATGCGACAGATTCTGAAAGATTAATATCAGCATGGTTTGTTGACTCTTGTACGGGAATGACGCGTAATGTGACATGAAGGGAGGAAAGAGAGAAGCCAAGGGTCGAAGTGAGTGGATTAGGCCAGGGAATACGAGCTGTAACAGAAGCTAAAGAGCTATCTACAAGCTCAAGCGGCAAGCCAGTTTGTGATACAATACTGTTAATTGCCTTAGTAAGACAATCAGTACAAAAAGAAAGAGTCATGGAATAGTCTACACACATTGTTATCGAGCTGAAGATCATTGACCTGCACATATCCAGACCCAATCTGAGAGTCTATCTGCTCAACATCCAGCTGTCCAGGTTTGAGTAGATGTCCTAGGGAGCGTTTAAGGACGAAGGATATGAATCGGCGTTGTATGCTGGATGGAACGGCGAAGGAACTAATAGATGGTAGACTGGGAAGCCACGAGGAGAACCAGGACATCTTTGCGTGAATCTAAGGATAGTTAGAGGGTCAAGTCGTGAAAAGGGTAAGGTCTGTCCGATAATGGTTTTAGGCTTTACAGCCTCAACAAGTCCATGAGCGGTAGAGTTGCGAACATTGCTGAATCCGGACGAGGTGAAATGAGGACTGATATTCATCGGGCCGAGATACGCTACACATGTTTTGCTGAGTATATTCTATATTCTATTATTCTATCTGTATCTCTATGGCTTTCGTGCAACGCTAGATAAAAAATTGTACAGATCGAAGGCGAAGACATCATGGACCTGAGATTACTTAGAGACAATACTTACCATCAACTCAGTGACAATGAGACTTACCTTAGACGTGGGGTGCAAATGATCACACCAGATTCCTCTGAACATATGTATTATGAGCAGGTATTACGGGCATTGAAAGGAGAGAACTTTACCGGAATGGTGTACGAAGATCATCCTGCGTGAAACCATATTTATGATAGTTGTCCAAGAAGTTATTGAACGTCGCATGAGCAGAGAACAGAAGAACAGATGCATCAGTATGAGACTGAGCAAATGGAACAACACCAGAACGCAGGCCGTTATTCCAGTCAAGATATGTTTTGCTGGCTTCTTCTGCTCTATCTGTAGGAACTATGAAAGGTATATCAATGTCTAAGTCCCTCGTTTTCGCTGAATCAATTGCAAACCTGCCGGTGATCTGGCGATGGGAGGCACATCGATGAAGAGAAAATTTCGTGCACCAGCGTTGTAAAGTTGCTCTTGTAGATTATACAGTTTTGCCATGGCTTCGACATGCTTTGTACTCCAACTGCATTTCAGATTAGTAGTGGCGCAGACAATGAAGCGGTGATTTTGCCTACGCGCAGTCGTTTATACCGACCCAGGTCACTACGATGTCAAATTATATGCGGCGCATTTAGGTATAAGAGAGGCAAGCTCACCAAAGAGGGTCTCTTCCGAAGACCAACGTGCCCAGTCTGGATTAGTCCCAACGCCAGCTTGCCCTAGAAAGAACGTTTCCACCTGAACCTTGACTCCATCGATAGTGGCGCCTCCGACAGCATAATCATAAACGAGTATTGGATTTTCCGCATAACCTTCGTCTTGTCCATCTAAATTTGGTTTATATCGTGGTTCTGGCATGTACTTGGTAATCAGATGGCCGACCCAGTTCGGAGCCCCTAGCGTGGACGCCTATTAGAAGTGAAGTGCGTACACGAAAGGTAAAATGGAAGCCCACCTTCCTCATTCCACATTTGAAGAGGATATCCCGGAAAATCCACTCCAAGTGGTTTTGCAGCGCGCGGTGCTGTATCGCCACCTTTTCCCTGATATCCTACCGAGCTATACGAGTCACCGCTAGTATAAAAATTCAGTCACTATTATGGCAGGTATAATGATTTATGCGAACAAAATTACGATCTTGCGAATGCTAGTAATACTGGGCCAACTATTGCTGATCTGGATTGCAGTCGAGTTGGTGCTAATAAAAGGAGGATACACCATTGAGTCTATGATTCTAAAGCCTTTGGAATGTATGTAAACAGTGGAGGAAAGCGCAGCGTGACGACGAACGCGTTCTGAACAGACAATGTGACCCGCGGCTGTATGTATACAAGATTGGCTAAGATTGGTATCAAAGTCTGGTGATTTACACTTGTAGATAGATAGACAGATATACGCGGCTCCGTCTAAGACGGGGTCCCGCAAGGGAACAGCCGGGCCCAACCATCTCGACTGCAGCGAATGCTCATCCGACAAGGGATGGTAGGGTAGTATACTACCACCTCATCATCATATTAATCAAGTAAGTCAAAGTGGTTTTCATCAATAGTCTCGTAGATATCAGCACGATCTACGAGACATCGCAACGTTTCGCTATCGACTTACAGGTTAGTCATATAGTGGATGTTAATGGCAAGGCTTGACGCATACTTTACTTGGCTCAAAGAGATTGATGGAGTGCGGTTGAGCACTTGTTCCACAATGTCCCCTCTCCTGATGCCCTCATATGTGAATGTGGGCCTTGACGTGCGCAAGGCAGCCATACTGTCACTGATTACGGACAGGATAATTTGCCCCAGATCTGACGACTGTTCTTCCCGTAATGGTTTGAGAGTGGTAGGAGGGTATCTAAGTCCAGCTATTCTGGAAGGACCGGATTCCGCAGAATCACCTCTACCTGAGGACAACGTATGACCGTCACGTCCTCTAGCTGCCCGCCGTGGTCGAGGGGTAGGTGAAGGAGGGGGAAGGTATCGGGCATTCCTGACTTTTGCCGGGGTCTCTAAAACACTATCAACGTCGACAGATCTACTGACGCTGTCTGTGAGTTCATCGTCTTCAGTGAGATCAGGGGATGCTTCTGAGTGAAGCTGGAGATCTTGTAGGTCACGACTGATCTCGGAGGGAGCCGGTCTCGCAGAAGCCATTGACTGAAAATCTTGTTGGCAGCGGAACCCAATCAGAATCCGAATAAGGACATACCGGTTGGCCATGTAAAGCCGTCTGCGTGTCTACTATGATCTGTGCAATGTGGTGGAAGACTTCATGAGGATCTTCAATATATTCCAAGCTTTGTAGAAGCAAGGATCTAATTTTTATGCCCCGAGCAGTTGTCTTGAACTCGTTTAGTTCTCCCACAGCTCGCACGAAGCGGAGTTCACTGACTAAGTTGAATCAGCCCATCTTGATCCATTTGGCGGTAATACTTATCAATAACACGCACCTGGTAATATCATCATCCACAAAATCCTGCTCAAGAGTAGGATCGCGCCAGAACCGTGCCATTATGCAACCACTACCATCGTCTAGCTTATAGGCAATCTGATTGGGTGTCACCGTCTTCTGGCGCACATTACCGACGACAATGACCTGCAGAGTTGACATCAGGGATGGTGGAACTGGAATATGGAACATAGCTTCACTCGTTTAAAGGGCTTGTCGTTCATTGAGAACAAAGCTTTCTCGTAAGGCAAATCAGCTTTGAGAAGCTGCCGAATTGAAACATGTCGTATACTGTGCGGTGCCTCCTTAGCAAGGTGCTTGGACCACATCTGAAATGAAATGAAGCCTGATCAAAGATGGAACAACATTAGACATTAGAGTTACATGATTTGAGTCTGAATCTGGATCCGAGTCCATGCTGATAGTGGTAGGAAAGAAACAATTGAACAACCATTGAACATGTGAGCAAGCACTTATACACACATCGTAGCGATCGTCAGTACATAACGTTTAGTACTCGAGACTAGTGAGCTAGTATACAGCGTGCCTATTTGCCTATCTGAGTCTCAGGGCAATGAGGAGTTGCTTATTTAGGGTAATCAAGAAGACGAGGATGGCATTTACTGTTCGTATGTAGTACATATTCTCAACAGTCCCTTCGCCATTCCCTCTTCCACCTTCTTACGGGAGTCACTTACTCTTTTAATTATGTTCATGATAGAGTCATGATCAATCTGCATAATGCCGAAATTGTCAGCAATACAGATCGAACAGAAAGACCAATTCACCTCTGATGATTCAAACCCACAAGCATCAACAAATTCTCTTCGTCTTTCAGATGTGCCCTCTTGAGTACTCATGCTCTCGAGTGCAATAGTCATTTCTTTGAGCACAGCGATGCCTACAGCGCGGATTGGTTTAAATTTAGCCACCAGCTGAGGACATCGGTTAGTCTCTAAATCGGTACTCGAACACCTAGCAGCGTACGTTACCAAGCTTGTGGATCTTCACAACCGAAGCAGGCTTGAACCTTATTGTTTCAGTCACAAAAAGTAGGAAAGCTTCTTGTGCGATCGTAGCTATATGGAGGGCTTCATTGAGATGCCCAGCGTTTTTGGCGGCTTCAAACCGAATTTTCATGTCTGTTGTTAGGTTCTGTCAGTAGACGTATTGAGACCTAGACCGACACTTACTTTCAAAAAATTTGATGAGATCTTCGGGCGCATCAGTGATCGGTGGTGTCTCCTCCTCCTTTTTGACATGGCCATTCAAGGGAGGGGTGATATCCACGCCTCTGAGAGGCAGTCCGGTCTTTAACTCCGTATTTTTGGCAACATCTGCCAACACCACAGAGGCTGGCGGTCGGACGTAGTCATGGAAAGGCTCCAGCCACTCTGTTAGGGCGTCAGTGTATGAAATCAGTGACAGCTCATCTGGTGTGAGCTAAATAAATTTGGATGTGATTCAGCAAGGCGAAAGTTGAGAGTATGTAGCCCACCTCAGCCATCTCTTCCTTTTCCCTTCGAGCCAGTCGTTCTTTTAGGGATCCAAGTTTAGGCGAGATCTGTGGACGATCACCAACGAGAAGTTTCTCTTCCACGACGTCGGAGAGGTCGCTTGCCTGCGAGAAGACTTTGATGTATGACTTCAAGAAGGACCATACCCATCCATGCTGAGAGAAGGTGAAAAACGTCGGTTCAGCGCCTAAATACTATCTGTAGTGCGCTTACACCTTCTGATTTTCCAAACAACAAAGTCTGAGTATTGAAGTCTTCCACACTTTTGGGTTGATAGTTAGGGAGAATCTCAAAGTCTCGATTGTCATGATGTACTGAAACGAAATCAACAAGGATTGTTAACTGAAGTAGTAAATGGATCATACAACGGTCAAAGACGAATTTAAGCTCGATAAGCTCGAGGTCGATAATGTCGGAGGATATGACTTCATGGGTGATTCGCATCCGGAGATACTCCAGCTTCGTGATGTCTCGTTGTAATGAGTTTTCTAACCAGTCCTCAAAGAGGATGAATTGTGGAATCTTGCCGTGGGGCATGAGTCGCTGAGTTTTGATTCTGAGACCGCGAAGTACTTACTTGCGAATATTTCTCAGCAGAAAATGCCCGGATAACGTAATCATTCGTCTGACAATACTCTTCAACTCAAACAGAACTTCGCACTCGGGACGAAACCTCACCTCTTGAGAGTTACTGACGTAAATTTGACTGGATTCCAAACATTCAGAGGTGAGCGTCAGGTCGCCACTCGCTGCGAGGGAGAATGTGGAACAACGGGAAAGGATGAAATGGGATAGTGTGTCGTTCTGCACCTGTTTGATCCTCAGCAGGCGGTAATGTTCTAGTGCTACGGACGGTGCACCTAGGGGGCTAATCGTCAGTGATCTGCTACGAATGCTGAGCGGGGTTTTGCTTACCAAGGAGTCGATATATTCGTATCAACATCAAACGTATCTGGAATGCTTGTTCGCTTTTCGATAACGCAAACTCTAGGAGGACAACCGCCTTGTATAGGTATTTGATGTCTCCGCCCATTTTCCATAGATTCACAAACACGCTTCCGGCGAGTATAGCGAGATCGTCTACGTATTGTAACTCTGTGGTGGGCAAATTTCGACCTAAAGGAAGCCCTTCTAGGTACTGCGAAATGTAAAGTGCTGCACGTGAAGTTTCCGCGTCGACTGTCAACTCTGATGCTGACAAGTTATAACGGGATAGTTTGTGGGAGTTTATTGTACGTTGCACGGCTTCCACTGTCGACTAAGAGAAATGGCATTATGGGAGGAAGGGCTATATTAATAATAAATTTACTCACCAAAGATGAAGGACAGGCTTGCAGAACCTCCGTCCAGGCAGCGAGGTCGTTCCCCTCAAGGCCCAAGTAAGGCTTAAGATCTTCAAAACAGCAAGCTTTGTCGCCGAAAGTCTCGAAATATCGCTTCAGGAGATGCAACAAGCGCACTGTATCTGAGTAATGCTCATGATCAATTGGATCTTCAGATAGGTGAACATTGGGACCGACCGGTAGAAACGCCGTGTCTTCTTGCACGGTGCTCGAGTTCCAGCAAACCCAGCAAACCTGAACGATCTTTCCTGCCGTCCTGAACAGAGATATTGGTGAAAAGCGCCAATGTATTTGATATTTTGGAACTGCATTGCTCCTTGGCGTCCTCGGAAGGTCCAGCATGAGCCTCCCCTTTTGATTCTGGTAGTGATGCAAAGGTACCGTCGATTACAGAAAGAAATTCAAGCCAATTCCGATCGCTAAGCGGTGTCAAAAACAAGATAAGTGTTGGATTATACATTGCAAAAAAATATATGATATTCACTCACCCTTTCTCGAGAATACGTTGCTCAGCGCGTTTCCCTTCCTCTTCTAGAGCACCTCTGGATCTCATTAAATCTCGACGAATTTCATTGCAGGCCAAATTGGTTTCACAGATATTACGGCCAGCCGGTGTCTCAAGTAGTGTCATAGCTTCATCGTATTCCGAAAGTTCGCGTAAGACAGTGAGGTGAAGGTAGAAACGATCGGAATGGACAGACGACGGAGTTGGCGCGGAGGTTATGAGACGAAGAGCTAACTTGTAGAGCAAGGTCCGCATTTCAACAGGGGTGTTATTATCATTGGCCTAAACAAAATTTGAACGCGACAAACTACTGAGCATAGAGAATGTCATTACCTGAAGAACATTGCTCATGACGTTCCAATACAAATAACGGTCCTCTTGGAATTGTTTGTACATTTTCGAAGCGACCTAAGACAATTAGTGATTTCCAATAACAACAGCATAATTACGCACTTGCTGGGCAGATTTCCAGTTGCTAGCACGTACGTTAGCGAAGAAGGTCTGAGCTCCGAGCTCCTCATTTGTCGGTTGTTTTTTGTAGGCGGCATCGTACATGGTGATCATGTCCTTGTCTAGCAAAGTTAATGTAGGATCTAGCGCGACCTGTCATTTGTTATTCGTACGAAATCGGCTCACGTCGTCCGAGTCCGCGCAGTACATGCATCATTGCGTTGAGGGTGCTGTCGTCAGTAGGTTTGGATTCCAGAACCTCGTCACAGAGCACCAGCGCTTCCTCCACCTTTTGATAGCGAACCAACGCAAGGGCTTTCAAGGCCTGAACACGGGTGAACAAAGATCGAGAAACCACGACAAAAGCAACCCACCTTGACTAAAGCATTCTTCGGATGTTTCTTGAGTACCTTGTTGCATTCTGTGATTGCAGACTTGTGGGAACCAGTGTCCAATGCATCTGGAGCAGGAGATTAAAATTTTGAACAACTGTTTCACCACAAAGAGCACCAAACCATAGATTGGACGAATTTGACGGTCGAGAGCAACCGACATTCAAACGGAGAGGTAATGGAAGAAGCGGAGGAACGCGGATGGTTACAAAATTTATGGCGCTTTTTTACATGTGTCCGAAACGCGTTGCCGGCGGCAGTCAATACTGTAGTTCTCTTTTCCTAACCGTGACTACAACCAATGCGGTTGCTCCAACCTTTACTCTCGCGGTGCAGCCCTGTTTCTTCAACTACATTATTCTGCATGCTAAATAGGTCATTACAGAGGTCTCGACCCAGTCCTGGGTGTTTTTACCGGGTTTCTCGCGTACTATCTTTATGAAACCCATCCTAGAACCTCTCTGCCGCAGGAACAGAGGTTGATGGAACTTGTTCGGTGGAAATGGTCAAAATGGCAGGAAGCGCGTATAGCAAAATAAAATGCAACAAAAGTTGATGAAATAGGCTCAGTGCGACCTTGTCCACAGCTAGCTGTAGGAAAGTGAACGACACCTGCTTTCGTAGCCTGTTGAGCGTGCATCAGCTCGAGTCCGCTTCTCAAGTTCTCAGTAATGACGGACTTCAAGCGTGACGCAGCAGTTCTTGAATGGCAGACATCGCCCCGTAAAAAGTCTGTCTCTCCATTTCCGTGAGGCCTAATTCTCCGGCTTGGTCCGATCTTCGTAACGCGATACCGACGACAACGTTCTTTCGGACGACTTGGAGGGGATTTTCTGTTTCAGCAAGCCATATAATGGTCGCAATCTGCGATGCGTAAAGATTGTGTAACGTCTGTATTCGGTCTGAAGGAGCAGAGCCAAATAGAGGGGTGAGCTGGATAGCGATTGGTGGTGGTGGCAATATAGGAGCATTGGGCTCGGTAGTATCTGGAGCTGAAGGGGTAACTGGGATCGTTGCCGGCAAGGATACCTGGATCTGTGAATGTTGAGCATCAATTGGATGTGATTCTGCAATATCACCTACGAGATTTCCGACTTTCCCAACTTGTGTCACTAAGATCAGGGTACTATCTCCATAGTATTGTAAAGATATTTCTGTGGGGACTCCGTACAAAGTTTTGGTACAGTTGCGAGATGGGTGCATGATGAACCAAGGCGATAGAGTTAGGCGCTTGTGCGCGCTTAGTGTTGTCAACCTAATCATCTTTCCTTCATCATGGAGGCTACGTGGAATAGCGGATGGTGGGACTTTCATCCTCTCTCAGAGTATCCACGCAAGTGCGTCAATCTTCCTTGGTCTGCGAATACATATCAATAATCAATTTCAGACCCGTGGAATGGTCAAACTCATCAGTAATATTCACTGCGCATGCACTTCAACCTCTTATCATCGCTCGACATTTCTCCTCGTCCAGACAATTCAGCATTCCCTTTCCAGCTCCAATTTCATCAAATTTGAATGCTTATGATCCTCCCACCATCATTACCTGCTCACCGGATGACCGTTGGCTATTCGCATTTTTTCCTGGCAGAGGTGAAGATGGTCTGTGCTGCCTGTGGCACAGGGGTGTCGAGCTTGACAATTGGAGTGTTAAAGAATGGTGGCTGTTCGCTCAGAGTGCCGGGGCTGTAGCTGCTCGCTGGTTAGGAGGTCCGAGAGAAGTAAGCAATTGCTTTTACTCGCAATATCTCTGACCTGTAATGGTTCCAGTGGACCATTGACTCTTCTTCTGGCGCTCCGACGCGTCTGCCTTCACGCGGTCCTTCAACACCAGTCTCTAATCCGACCTTAGTTCTCGTGACACAAGACCACCGCCTTTTTGTATGCTACCTCCGATACTACAAGCCAAAATTGAACATGTTCAGTTGCTCCCTTCTACGACCCTCAGTGATCGTCGAGCAAGAACCCGATAACTCTCAGGAAACATTAGACGATGTGGACTCTGTCAAAATTTGCATCAATGCTGCTATTGGCACTACTTACAGCGGTATTGCTGTTCTTCAAACCAATGCGATATTGTCTAACATCTTTTCCAGACTCCTCAATCCTTGTCGCAATGCGATCTCAAGTCTTTCCGATATCATTCTCTGTCCCGACTCCTGATCAGTTTTCGCTGGACCTCGGTCTGCCGCTAGAAATGGAACCTGACCAAACGGAGGTTTATCCCACTGCCCGTGAAGATTCTGCAGAGGACTCCATTATCCAAATAGCTGAAGTTCAACTGCAATTCGACGGAACCCGCATGGGTAAGCAAAGGTTTCAGCCCCCGCAATGCGATTGATGTTTACCATCGAGAAGTACTATCCTCCAAAGTGCACCCTGTCATCGAAAACGCACCCAATCGGTTACGGGACTTGTGCTTTGTTTGCAAGACTCCCTCGAATGAGAATTTATCCTCAACAAGCATGCATTTGGTAGCGAGTTTCATTGATTTCAAAGAATGTTAGCGTGCACCGCATACCTGTTATGAAACCACTCATCGTTTCGACTAGATGTATCTTTACCAATCTTCAGTATGAAGTGTTATTCATTCATAAGAACAAATGCTTCCGGTGGAGAAAAGGGTACATGGGTATAAGTTTCTGTAACGTCTTCACAATTAACTGTCATTTATCCAGTTTCTTCACAGACTATGCAATCAGAAATGACCCGCGATTTCGAGCCTGGAGCGCTCGCACAAGTAGCGGTTTTTCAACCAGCATACACGGATCATGGTATATACGTCTCTATTTACGATACCTCGGGCATGCAGCCTCGCCACAAAATTCAGCAGGCAGAATTATCTGTCGGTCACCTAAAAATGCTGAAAATGCAAGTGATAGTAATGGCGGATAAAGCAGTCTGAATAATCATGCTAACGCTGTTATAGACCTGATTTAACGTACGATGATACTTGGGGAGCTTCCCCAGTCCTTGCACCCATCCGTACCCTGGGAACAGAAGGTGCGAATTCAAACAACACTACTCATTTTGTTCATGAGTTTATATCACTTTAGTTCCGATCAATTCCATCGTCTCTCCTGGACAAAATCTTTTATGCACGATTTTCCCCTCACCTTGGTCCTCTCAGATGTCGATTCAGAAGTTGCCTCGACCATCGTCGAGCAACCTTGCAAGCAGCTCTAGCTCTATTCCCTTTCTGGCATTATCCATAGTCACAGCTATTCTCTCAAATCGTTCCACAGATGACCTTACTCACTCCTTCCTGCCGTCCTCAACACCTTTGATTGAAGTTGCTGAGGTCTTGCATCATGTGTTCACCCTCTTAGATCGATATGTACCTGGATCTTTTACTTTACAGCTTGGAATAACCGTAGAATCCTATCGGGCCAGGACCTTGCGTACCTCTTCGAACATTCATGATAGGGAGAGGGCAGACGTCATCTGGCGGACCGCGCACGATATGATCTCTGTGGCTACGTGCAACGCCGTTTTCAATGACTGCACAGACGGGCAAGAATATCAAACCGGTATGGATAATCATTGTCGTCCGATCTCATGTAACTCACTTGGCCAAGATCTTGTTTGGCAGATGATTGATCTTTCAAGTTGGATATTGGGTCTCGTAGAAACGATTGTTAAGGAGTGTATCCTGTCATCCGACTTTGCCGACTCCACTGAATCTACTGGTTCTTCCGGAGATGACCTTTTCGGTTCTGGTGTGTCCAATTTATCTTACAAGTTTCCCCGAGACATTCATTGCATGGCGATAACGATGTTAGATTCACCAATCAAGGACACGAATCTTCGGTCATTAGACTATCCCGTGTTCATGCATCTTGTACATATTCAAGCACTTCGGAACCTTAGAATTGCACTTGGGCATGTTAACCGGTTCCGCAAGTACCTGATTGGACTCACACCGAGGACGGAGAATTCCCAGCTTTCAAAAGAAGTCCTACTTGATCTCGTCGACTATTCTGGCATTGATATTTCAGGACTTGACAAAATATTTCAGGAATTGGAAAATTTTGTTCAAAAATTTGATGGTATGACAACGGATCTGAAACCAACTTTTGGCTAACTTGCTGTTGAAACGACGCAGATGATGAAATGCGAAAAGCATTGGCTTCCTGTTCACCATCACTGTCTATGCAAATTCCACTGAGGGAAGCTGTAAACTCCATGTCACGATCTCCGGCGTTGAACAAGGCGCGGTTGTTTATCAAGTCCTTTGAGATGATAGACGGACATAATCAAACAATGTCACTTGACCGTTTGCAGAAGGACAAAATCAAGAACAGAGATGTGGTGTCAAAAGGAGTTCTGTTATATCGTGCGCAGGGAACAGAGTGCGTACGATGCGGCGGAAGGTCAGAATATGGGAAAGATATCATGGTATCACGTCCGTTAAACAATTGGGAAAAAAGTTGGGCGAGGAGATGTATTTGTGGGGGGTTGTGGACGAGGACGTTACCTTAGCCTTACTTCCTAATTAGTCTTATTACGCACAAACTAAAAATGCATTCGGGCAAAAAGGTGATCGGCCCGTCGTTTTTCCTCCTCACAACCAAAAACGGCTACATAATTCTGTGCTTCAACGTTCAACATCGACACCATTCGCTCCAGAATTTTGTGGCCCAGACGAGCCTATCTCGCCTGGAATTTTTGTGGTCGGTCCCATCCGTCTATCTCAAGCTGCTATGGCCTTGAATTCGCACCGGTGTTATCCCGTAGACAGTCGCATTATACTGTTTCCGAGTCAATAATGCCCAAAATCACTGTTCCACCTCTTCCTGTGTCGTGTCTACTTGGCATGATCAAACCTTCGGGACCAACTTCAATGTCTTTACTCAATGACATGCAACCGCTCCTTTCCAAATCACGGTTATTCGAGCAGCCCCCCGTAGGTGCACCCAAAAGAAAGAAAAAGCGCTCCAAAAAGGTAGGTGATGTCAAAGTGGGTCAAGGAGGCACGTTAGATCCTCTTGCGGATGGGATTTTGGGTGAGTGGATATATGTATGTTGTATCACAGAAGATCTCAATACTTCTCCGAAGTGCTTGGAGTTGGTAAGGGTACCAAAAAACTCACGGAATTTCTTGATTGTACCAAAGTACGTTAATATTCAAATACTGATCACCGTTAATACCCATGCCTATGAAACAACCAACAGGAATATTACACGACTTGTCTTCTGGGCTGTGAAACGGATTCATACGATAGTGAAGGGGCTCGAGTCCGCCTTGCACCCTGGAAACATGTCACGAAAGAAAAAGTGGTGGAAGCATTAAAGAAGTTCAGAGGAGAAATCAAACAAACACCGCCCATGTACGCATCCCTTTCATATCGGCGACAGCCAGTTTGAAGCTTGACGTTCTTTACCCACAATGTAGCTTTTCCGCTCTAAAAATGGATGGCAAACCGCTCTACGAATATGCGCGCAACGGAATTCCACTTCCTAGACCGATAGAACCTCGAACAGTGACCGTGCATAGTCTAGAGCTGGTTGAATGGAAAGGAAGTGCCCACTCATTTTCGTGGCCCGAAAAAGCCCTCAACGAAGATCAGAAAAAAGCGATGGAAGCCGCGATACGAGGAGTTGACAAAACTGCGACCATCGAAGACGATCCGGAGAGTACTGTACAGGATGAAAAACCGATAGCCTTTGTTATCAAGATGAAGGTCTCCGGTGGTACTTATGTTCGTTCGTTGGTCCACGACCTTGCGCATGCCCTTGGTTCTGCAGGACATGTTGTGACCTTGACTCGATCTCGTCAGGGACGATTCGTACTTAATTCTACAGAAGATGGTGACCGAACCTGTATACCCTGGTTAGTCTTCGAAAAAGCCCTGACTGATCCTGGTGCAGCTGATGAAGATGGATGGACTGAGTGGGAACGGGAGGTTTTACAGCATATGGAAGTAATATGAGGCCCCCTTTATGTATCCGGGACGAGAAGGTCAATAGAGGTCAGAAACTCTTACAGAGAAACGCCTATATATAGGTATAGGTACTATAGGACGATGGGTATGGAACCTTGAAACTGGAATACAAGCCTTTCCCGAGTGCCGTCCAATTATGTTGCAGACTTTTGGCCTTAGAATCTGGCCATCGGTTTCAGCCGGTCACTTCCACGGTAAGCGGAGTGCCTTTCTCATCTGACTCGAATAGCATTCCCCTGCTCAACACGGGCCATATCAGGGTCTATCGGTGAAGTACGCCCGCGGAGGCTTCCCGGAACTCGGGCATCGCGAGCGGTCCGTGCGCCCAATCAACCGGTCCGCAATCAGCTGGTCCGAAGGCCCGGTCCGACCAAGTTAAAGTACTTATAAGAACAAATGTACCTTCCAATACTTGTCCATATCCCCCCACCATGACCGCTAATGGATTTTCTAATGGCCAAACTTCTAGGCTCCTAAAGCCTGGTATCTATGCTCCCATTCCTACGTTTTTCCTTCCGGAGTCTGAGGACTTGGGTGAGTCGAACTTACAATCCTACAGGAAAAGGATAAGGCTCACATCCAAAATAGATCTTCCCTCTTTCGAAGCCCACGTAACCCGGGTTGCTACTGCAGGAGTTGGACCTTTGATTGCTGGATCAATGGGAGAGGCCGTACATTTGTTGCATTCGGAGCGGGTCGCTCTCATTCATGCAGCGCGGAAAGCACTGGATACCGCCGGTTTGAACCATGTACCCTTAATCGTCGGAACTGGAACTGGGAGCACTCGCGAGACGATTGAACTTACTAAGGAAGCGGCCGAGGCTGGTGCTGATTATGCCATCGTGATCGCTAGCGGATATTTTGCTGGAGCTTTGGCGGGAAATAAAGAAGCATTGAAGGCATTTTGGACAGAAATATCAGAGAAAAGTCCGATCCCCGTCATGATATACAACTGTGTGTAAATTCTTCTCGTTCTTCTTCCATGGTTATCAATATTGCCGCAGATCCAGGAGCCAGTGGAGGTATTGACTTGGATTCGGACATCATTTCTGAATTGGCGTTAGAATGCCCGAACCTCTGTGGTGTGAAACTCACGTGGGTTGCTTTTCAATCTTTTAAGGTTGCAACTGAGTTTGTGCTCGTAGGTGCGGTAATGTTGGCAAGCTTACTCGAATTGCCGATGTTGTGTCCGGGTCAGACTTTTCCTCGAAGTATCCTCGCAAGAATAAGAACGCTCCTTTCCTCGTCCTCGGTGGTTTTACCGACTTTATCACGCCCTCTACATACGCAAACGGGCATGGTGCGATAACTGGTCTGGGAAATGTAGCTCCGGTATGTTCTCATTCGCTGTAGACCAAATCTGTTCTAGTTGATCTGTTGATATATTCACAGCACTCGATCGTGAAGCTATTTGAAATCTCTGTAGCGTCTCGCGAGGACTCTAGTCTTCTCCCGGAAGCGCTCCGTTTACAGGGCATCATTGGTCGTGCCGACTTTACGATTGCTAAAGCTTCCATATCGGGAACAAAGTACCTTCTCGAGAAATTGTATGGATATGGTGGTCTTCCACGAAAGCCGTTGCCTCCTATATCCTCTGACGCTGCTCAAGCCCTTTGGGATCACCCCCATACCCAAGATCTGGTTAGGTTAGAACGAGAGCTTAGTGGGAAAGTGAAGGTAAAGTGATGAAAGATATTAATTTAATATTATACTTGAAACTACATATATGTATACATTATCTGCTATATCCTTTCATCGTACGATTCCTTGATGCCTCCCCTCAGTCATTGAAATCATTGCATAAAATGTTGAGATGGGCAGAGATGTGTTGAAACCTGTGAAATGGGGTCAGTGCAGAGTGTCTGTCGCTTCCAATGAAATCTCGTGACTGCGTGGAATAGTTACCATCATAGGAATTCATCGATACGCCAGAGTCTAGAACTGGATGCCAGCAGATGCCAGCGCAGCTCTCAAAGAAACACCGTGAACAATACATACATGGCAAGGCGACGCTGTGTGCAGGCAGCATCTGCTGACCATAATACTGATGATGAGATCGGAAGAAGTGCAAAGTTCGTGTGTTCGAAAATTTACAGATGCATTAGCCATTCTACCTCAATTCTCTCCTCATAACCGGAGTTGCAACAATATCCAGAAGCTTCAGTGAACTTCTTTCGCAGCAGCAGCAGCAGAACACAGCAGTGAGCCGAAAACTGTCGAAGAAACGAGAAGATTGTTCCTGTCGATCAGATCACTGCGGGGTAACTGGGGAAATCCGGTCCGTAGCTCCGATAAAGCCGAAGCTACGATTTCAAAGTTGACTCCGCCGATTGGAGGTCGACACGTCTCCGTTTACTTACATCTTTGATATGGCTTTTCAGCCAGTCAACATCACATCCGCGAAGGCCAGTCTATGTAGACTAGCCTGCTCAGCTCCATGGAGGCCTCGAATCGCTGGTATGACTCGAAAATTTGGCGTAATACAGGCCTCAATTGACAATCGTCGTATACAGGGTTTCATTCATCTGTACGGCTCAACGAAGGGGTCAAATCTGATCTGAAACCACAAGGGATTGCTTACTCCTCTCTCTCTGTTGGTGTCCCGCGCGAAATATTCACCAACGAGCGTCGCGTCGCACTCACTCCCCAGAACGTTCAACTGCTTCGAAAGAAAGGATTTGGAAAAGTCCTGGTCGAGCACAATGCTGGTGTTCACGCGCAATTTCTCGATGAGACATACGTTGAGGCAGGGGCTACGCTGGTATCACGAGAAGAACTGTTCAAGGACACGGATATAATGCTCAAAGTACGGGCACCTTTATTAGGCCAGGAAGTGGAAGATCTCAAGGAAGGAAGCACTTTGATCTCATTTTTGTATCCTGCGCAAAATAAAACAATCGTTGATGCACTCTCTGCTCGGAAAGTGAATGCTCTTGCTGTGCGTCGTTGAATCAGAGGAATTGTACGAAATCAGTTCTGATGTTCAGCAGATGGATATGATCCCCCGTATATCCCGCGCACAAGTTTTCGACGCATTAAGTTCCATGGCAAACATATCAGGCTACAAAGCTGTTCTAGAGGCATCAAATCACTTCGGACGATTTTTGACAGGTCAGGTCACGGCAGCGGGGTGAGCAGTGGTGTTTTCTTTATACAACCTTGTTTTGACAATTTGTTTAGAAAAGTACGTTTACCTTTCTACACGAGAATAGAACGCATCACTCAAACGCTATCAGATTCCACCAGGCAAGGTCTTAGTCATTGGTGCAGGGGTTGCAGGTCTTAGCGCGGTGACGACGGTATTTTTACGAACTTTCAACCTCAAAAGACTTCATTCAACATGAATTATCTAGGCAAAGCGCATGGGTGCCATCGTCAGAGCCTTTGACACGAGGTCTGAAGCGCGAGAGCAAGTCCAATCCCTAGGTGCCGAATTCCTCGAAGTATCAATCAAGGAAGAAGGCGGAGGTGGTGGAGGTTATGCCAAGGTCAATTTCTATCTCTATAAGAGTAAATGTCTCTGCTGATGGAGTTTGAAGGTCATGTCCAAAGAGTTTATCGAAGCGGAAATGGCACTATTCATGGAACAATGTAAAGACGTTGACATAGTCATCACAACGGTCTGTCTGACATGCAATATTTTGCAGTCCGTTAGTACATCTAATGAATGTGAATTTAGGCTCTCATTCCCGGAAAGCCCGCGCCCAAGTTGATCACAAACGAAATGGTAGCTGCTATGAAGCAAGGATCAGTTATCGTCGATCTTGCCGCAGAAACTGGAGGGAATTGCGAGGCAACGAAACCCGGGGAGCTTTATGTGAAAGATGGAGTTACTATAATTGGTACGTTGTCGCGCTACGCTATCCCGGAAATTGTATGTCGAACCCCCTTCGCTTAGGATATACCGATCTTCCTTCTCGCCTACCGACACAGTCGTCTACGCTATATTCAAACAATATTACGAAGTTCTTGCTCTCACTCGGAGAAGACAGCAAGTTCTTCCTCGATCGCAACGACGAGGTCGTCCGGGGATCACTGGTCGTTCACAGGGGCGAAATCTTACCTCCAGTGCCAAGAACTCTTCCTCTTCCTGTGACTCCTCCGCCGACTCCCGAGAAAGGCCACGAGATCGGCACTAAAGCACTCACACCTTTCCAGAAGACTTCCCGGGACGTTGCATCCATCACTGCTGGAATGGGTGGACTAATCGGTCTCGGAAAAGCCACAGGATCCGCGTTCATGGATAATTTTTTCACGTTTGGACTAGCTGGACTTGTTGGCTACCGCGTTGTCTGGAATGTTCAGCCTGCGCTTCATTCGCCGCTGATGTCTGTAACGAACGCAATATCAGGTATGGTTGGTATCGGAGGTCTTTTTGTCATGGGAGGCGGGTATTTCCCGGGCACCATTCCTCAAACCCTCGGCGCGTTGTCTGTTTTGTTAGCAAGTGTCAACGTCGCAGGAGGATTCATTATAACGAAGCGTATGCTGGACATGTTCAAACGTAAGGAAGGTTGTACCATCGTGGCAAAAGAAGTTACTGATTGTCAGTGCAGGTCCCACAGATCCTCCAGAGTATCCTTGGTTGTATTCCATTCCGGCAGTCGTCTTCACTGGTGGGTTCTTGGCTGCTGCACATACAGGAATGGCTGGTCTAGTACAGGCCGGATACCTGGCGAGTAGTGTCCTCTGTATTGGTGGGTCGGCCAAGTTTTATAAAATTAAGACAATAGTTCCACTAAAACTCGCGCTCAGGCTCCCTTTCTGGATTGGCGTCGCAGACCACTGCGCGCCAGGGCAATGTGCTGGGCATTTTAGGTGTCAGCTCAGGAATTCTGGCCTCTCTCGCTGCCGTCGGATTCCCTCCTGAGGTCCTGGCTCAATTTATCGCTGTGGCTGCTATGGGCGGCACTGTTGGTGCAATCATTGGCAGACGGATCACAGCTACCGAGCTTCCCCAAATGGTTCGTGAACACGATCCTGTTCCTATATTAACTTTGACGCGGCATCATAGGTGGCGATGTTACACAGTGTAGTCGGCTTGGCCGCAGTGTTGACTAGCATTGGAAGTGTTATGCAAGATCTTGGTCACGCTAGCACCTTGCATCTCGTAACTGCTTATTTGGGCGTTGTCATCGGTCTGTGCTACTATCGCATTTCTCTTCCTGTTTGGTTATGCTAAATAGTATTTTAGGTGGTATTACATTTACTGGCTCGATTGTTGCTTTCTTGAAGCTGGCCGGACGAATGTCTTCTAAGCCGCTCGCCCTCCCGGGCAAGCATGTCATCAACAGCGCGATTCTTGGTAGCAACGCAATCGCAATGGTGAGTTTATCCGAGGTCTATCTGTTACAACACCTATTTCATCTTCCTTTACAGGGGAGCTTTGTTGCTGCTGCACCGGCTGTTCCTGCCATCGCTGCTGCCTATCTTGGAGCTAGCACGCTGCTGAGTTTTGCTCAAGGGTTCACAACGACTGCTGCTATTGGGGGCGCGGATATGCGTATGGCCTTTGCTGCAGCATATTCATTGCTGAATCTCATTGGCTTGTTTTCATCCAGCGGTCGTCATAACTGTATTGAACGCATATTCTGGCTTTGCATTAGTCGCAGAAGGCGAGTCTCGGTCAAATTTCTTGCGAAGGTAGCTAGATTGACATATCTAACGTAGGATTCATGTTGGATAATTCGTTGCTGGTGACTGTAGGCTCTTTAATTGGGGTCAGCGGCTCAATCCTATCATATATCATGGTCAGTCATCGTTGTGACCTTTGATGCCGCATTCATCTGATATTACTCTTTACAGTGCGTTGCAATGAATCGATCTTTGACCAATGTACTCTTTGGGGGTATTGGGACAACCCAAACTCAAGAAAAGAAAATAGAAGGCACTATCAGTGAGACACACGTCGAAGACACCGTTGAGGCGTTGGCAAATGCAGAAAATGTCATCCTGGTTCGTCTGGTCCTAGTCGTAATCATGACAAAACTTTGATCCTGAATCCAAGGTGGTTGGTTACGGGATGGCTGTTGCTAGAGCACAATATGCTATTTCCGAATTTGTATCAATTCTTCGCTCCAGAGGAATCAACGTCAGAGTACGTCGCCCCACTAATTCGCCGAATGTACGGTGCTCACAATAGACTAGTTCGCAATTCATCCAGTCGCAGGCCGGATGCCGGGACAGTGTAACGTTCTTCTAGCTGAAGCTTCGGTTCCGTACGATAGTAAGTTTTGGCATATCACTACTCTGCCTTTTACTCATTCAGATTCTCCGAAGTCGTGCTTGAAATGGACGAAATCAACGATGATTTTAAGGACACTGATGTGACTCTAGTGATTGGCGCTAATGACACAGTCAATCCAATTGCTCTGGAACCAGGCTCGGCCATCGCTGTGCGTGTGATGAATTCGTCTGAATGTAGTCAGTTTGCTCAAAAATTTGACCACGACAGGGAATGCCTGTTCTTCATGCATGGAAAAGTAAGCAAGTCATAGTGATGAAGCGAGGAATGTCTAGTGGTTATGGTGAACATATTTTTTTGAGTAAATGAGAAGGGGCACTGATTTCTTTCACAGCCGATGTGCCAAATCCGATGTTTTTCATGCCGGGGACAAAAATGTTGTTCGGTGACGCGAAAGACACATGCCAAGGTAAACTTTTCACCATCTCGAATTTGTTCCAACACTGATCCACTTGCAAATAGCCATCAAGCAAGGGCTTGAAGCTCGAGGATCCTAAGCTCGGACATGGTGGAGGTAATTTAACAATGTAAAATAAAGGATACAGAGACCTGGGTGCAGAAGATCGTTGAAGATGAGTATATATGTAAATGCTCATGGAAAGGGGCATTCTGTGATTGATTTTCGAAGCATCGCGACTTGAGTATATACCCTGAATGATCGTGTTGGATTGGAATTAGGTCACTAGTAGAGTGGGTATATATGTCCGCATTAAAGAGCCAAGGCTCAAAGTGTCATAGGCTGCACAAAAAAGAAAGCTACGCAAAGAAAGACAGGAGTCCGGAAATCGAAGTGGTCGATGCGTAACGAATGGATGGATATTAATCATATAAAGATAGTTAGCGTCCATATAAGTATTTTTCATGCAAATCTGACGAAGATGTAGATGCGGATAGAGAAATTAAGGATCCTGTACGAGAAATCGAAGAAGAAAGGACCTGATATACAGGGCCGTCGGCAAGGGAGCGTGTAGAATTCTCTCCCCTCCATTTTTCCTGCAATGATACAGTCCAAGCTTTCAAGTCGCGACCAGTGACAATTCGAACCCGTTGAGGGTGTTGATTATACATCCAAGTCGCATTGAGTACGACAGCAGAGCCAATGATGAAAGGCCAAGTCATGCGGAAATCGAAGAGCGCCACGGACGCCAAGAATGAAATGACAATGCTCAAACTCGTGGCGAAGCCCTTGAGGATGTTGTCAGAATACTTGATAACCATTGCGGTCACCAAGCCGCCCAGTACTTGAACCAGTACTGTCGCCCAAGCCCAAAGTCCAAAGTTGCTAAATAGGCTGCTGAACCATCCTGAAGAACCGAATGGAACTGCTGCGGAGTCACTGAAGACAATGTGCGCGAGGCAAGGGAGGAGGGAAAATAGGGATAACTGGACGTTACGAACCCAGAGATCGGCTTGAGAGTTTTTGAGCACCATCTCAAAATAGACTCCTGCCAGGCCTGATGTGAAGCAAGCTGCTACCACTGCGAGGAAGCCCTTGCTAGCGTTCATAGTTGACAGCTCGAGAGAGGAACCATGATGCGCTGCAACACCTGATTGAATTTGCACAATACCAACCCCGATGGCCAACGCCAATAAAGAGACCTATCGGAAGGTAATTGAACATTGACGGGTATATTGAAATTGATTTCTCGCTCACCCATTGCAAGGAGGTCAGTTTTTTCCGCAGCATGACGACCGAAAACGCAGCAGTAGTCAAAATCTTCATCTGGTAACTTACTTGAAATGTAGCAGCTGGTAAATTTGATGCAGCGACATATTGCAGGTTGTTCTGAATGACTAAATTTAGGGTCAGTATTGAGAGGATAGACGAACAGAGAATCGCGCACCATATAACACTGCAGGTATGGACAATTTCCAGCAATCCGTGCTGAAGATATCTCTTGACAATTTTCTGAATTTGCTCATGAACACTCTTGGTCGAAGGCTGATGAATACTGAGGGCTCTGCGCTGCTGCTGGGTTCTATGCGACAAAAGGCAATGAACAGTGATATGGAGCCCTTGAGGACTTCATTCATCAGAACCGCAGTAGCAGCAGAGTACATTCGCGACGAGGGTATTGAAACTCTTGAGTAGTGCATTATGATTGTCAACATGGAATTTTGCACGGCCAGCGTCACCAAACTGAAAATCCCGCTATCAACAATGAAGACATGCGAATAGTGACATTGAACGTACGACACATATTTGAGAGGGATACCACCAATTGAAGGTATAGGAGCTGCGGTCGCCAGACCGAGATCCTCATCCTGAATGTCGTCAGGCTCTACTTGGAACGGATGATTGGCCGTAGTATTAGGAAACTTAGACATGATTGATGGGCCAAGAAGAAAATGTAGAGCGAAAAGAGCTTGATCTACAAGTTCTCAGGTGATGATGGTTCAAGGAAGAAAAACCTAAAGTAGAGGCCGACGGAGCATCAACTTTTATCACCCCAAATACTTCCATCATCAGATCAAGGACAGCTATTATACAAATTTGTATTAGGCTAAGGTATCAATAATGTCATGTATTGGCCTGTAGTATTTGCCTATCCTGTCTTGCTATGCATACTCAAACGACTCTTTCTATCTTCACCATAGAGACCAAATATACTATACGTCGGGCTTCTATATTCAGCGTATGCTTCCGGGTTGGCATGTTCCAGCCCCATCTGCGCTAGCGAAGGAAGATGCGGAGGTGAAGGAACACGAGGAGGCATATCGTGTTGGGTCTGGAGTGGGACTTTCTTGCTGGAGCTGAATTCAATGGAATCTCCTAAGCGCGCAGCGAGTCCTGATACCGTGGTCCCGAAATCCACCAACATCAAACTTCCCAAGGCAGTGCTGGTATCCACTATTGCGGGTTTCTTGCTGTGCTTGTGACTGGGCATCCTCTTCACGTCAACCACAGACAATGAGTCGTCAGGATAGAGGGTCTGTACTGGAGATAGCGCGATCGTCTCCATGAGTGGAGAGGCTAAGCCCAGAGCAGATGTGAGCGCTTCCGTATCCCTGTCCTTGCGTGAATTTGTCCGGATAGGCGGCAATTCTTGGATATTGAATTCGATGATATCATCGGCTTTTGTTTTCGTGGATGTGGAAGAAGGAAGAGATGACATCCGGGGATACGATCCTGGCGTATAATATGACGACTTAATACGAGTTCTACCTACAGGCACAGTAGGAGCTTCAGACTGGGAATGAGCCAGGAATTGAGGTGATTTGAGGTCCGCTCCGTCATACGCAAGAGAATCCCTTGATAATCGACTAGTTACTTCAGTCATATCGCTGCGGCTTCTTCGTAAACCTAGCTTAGAGCTGCGTTTCATGATAGGATGTCCATCCGCAGTGTAGTTCCTCCCGTCGACTGCGGGTGTCACTGGGGAGGCTGGGTATACAGACACGGAACGTGCAATCGAGAATCTACTGGCGGCGGTAGCCAAGACACCGGGTATTCCAAAATGAGAAGTATTCGATATTAGCGTAGTGGGGACACTTTGAGACGGGGGTGGACGAGGAAATAGAAAATCGCTTGGACCAATCATTTCACCCGGAGAGATGGGGTTTGGTGCATGCGGAGTAGCACCACGGCGTGAATCAGAGTCTGAAGCTTGGGAGTAAGGAAGTGGAGGAACAGCTTCAGGTTTATTTTCAGAATATTGTGTCCAAGTCCAAGTCGGCGCACCGCTCTCATTCTGCGATGAGAGGCGCTCTTTGCCACCAAAGATCGGGGAATCTACTTTTGTAGGGCTATACAGATCATCATCGGCGAACGCATCGTCTAGAATTGGCAAAGACGGTTTTGGTCGGGTAGGACGCGCTGGGCGCGTGCAAGCCTTGATAACAATGAAAATACCTAGCAGGAAGAATGCTGAGCCCACGGCGAGAACGGCAACGACAGTCATGGGTAGTTTATGTGCTGATGCAGGATGAACAGCTGTACTAGGCGAAGGGGACGAGATTGATGATACAGTAGAATGCAAAGTTGTTGACAAGGAAACCTCGGTAGTAGGGTAAGGGCTGGATACTAGATTGAGCGTAGTGGGTCTGAGCGAGGAAAAAATTGTCGGGATTACAAGAGAAACTGGAGTTACACTGATGAAAGGAGATAGTGTGGTGCGAGATACGGATACAGTATTAGACAAGGCGGACAAATCGTTACTCGTAGTGATTCCTGTCTCTGGAATTGGGACGGGGACGTCTGTGTATTTTCCGGAAAAAACTTTTTCGTTGCTCTTCGAAGGTGCGTCCTTGGAACCCGTGTTGGTCTTGATTTCATTGTCTACAACACGTTGATAAGGCCGAATTCGGTGCAGATTAGGCATACTTGATGGATTAAAGAGTGTCGTGCACGGCGACCAGCGCAGTCAAAGTGAAAATTTGGTGTGGTAGTTGAACGTTGAAACTTTGAAACTTTTAGGGGGGTCAGGGTTGAAAAGATAATTAAGCACGTGCTTTGAGATCGACAATTGATTGCAGGATTCAATTTCCCAACCACAGTCAATGCTGCCCGCGTTTGATGATTTATCCCTGGTTGCCTTAAACCCTATACATAAGACGCGTTCAATTCCTGTGAAAAATTGGTCTCCATATAAAACACTCTTTTCTGAGGCTTTACTTTATGGGCCCCACCCGTCGACAATAATATGCTTGACTGCAAGTGAGTTTCTGGCTTTCTATTCCAATTAAGTTCACGACAGACCCACGTATCGTTCGCAGTGAGACGGGAGAATCTCAAACATCACAAGAACTAGCAAAGTTGTTGGCGAACGAAAATCCAGGGACCATAGCAGAGGAGTCACAAGTCAGCGAGGAGCTTTCAACTAAGTATGAACCTTCAGATCCTGCTCAATCAGAGCACTATTCTCCACGTCAACAATATAGCTTGCTGGGTCTAGGACAAGGCAGCCCGATGAGTCAAACGCAGCATTTTAGCGATGATGTAGAAGAAGGGACGCACGGTTCACAAAAGGAAAACCATCATTCTTCGACCGAACTTGAATCGTCAAAGCTTGAACCGAATGACCCTTGTTCATCAAACGAGAATGCTTTTACCTGGTCAAAGAATGTGCGTAATGTTGCCATGCGCCCTCTTTTCCCTTTCTCAAGTTTTACTTTAAAGAGTCCAAACGCACATCCTGACCCTGACGAACAGTCTGAATCCTTACAAAGACTCTCTGTTTCTCTTGAACGTCGTGACGAACCCTCTGTCGAGGCCGCTGGGAACGTTCCATCTCCACCCTATCAATTACCTGGCGAGAGGCCTGAATCGGAAATGATTTGCAGTGATTTCGGTGCCAGCAGTCCTGAACGTCTTGACGGTATTCGAGAGGCTCTTTCAAACCATCATGCCACTCCCATCTCACAAATTGTCGATTCACAATCACAGAATAGCGACAAAGCCTCTCAGTTTTCAGAGATAGGCTCTCAAGATGATGAACCACAGGCCCAAGTCGTGCCGGAGTATGACATGGACGCGTTGCGTCGAATGGAGAACGAACTCTACCCAGACTCTCAATCTCAAGCTACGCAGAGCACACAGCCTGCAGCTTCTTCTGACGATAACGTTGTTATCAATGATAAGGACTGGGCGAATTTCACCGGCATCCAGGTTCCTCCACATCGACGCCACAGATATTTGGCGTCTGCCAAGGAAGGTGCAGCAATTGCAGCGGTTCGAAACGACACTTTCTATGACGGTTATGATTCCTCTGCACCTCCTCTAGATGATGGATTTATGCGCCAATTTCCGGCCGGAATGCCAGATCCTGGTGATTCCGACCAAGAGACACAACCGGCCACGCAGCCTGTGGAGAGCTCTCAGCAGGAGGGTGAATGGGTGCCACCCGTTCAGTTCCCTGCTGGGCATGGGTCGACTTCCCAGGAGGAAGGAGCGGCTACTCAAATAGTGGAAGCTCAAGACGTCGCGAACCAGATTCTAGATGATTCTACAGTGAATTCCGATGAGGTTAAACCTGGCAGCGTCGTCCATTCCGTTATTCCAGCTCCCCAGCCCCCCGTTCGTACCACCTTCACCCGCGCCAAATCTCCTATCAGCGCTCTAGAAATCGTGCCGGACTCCGAACCTCCTGTTCCGTCACCAGTCAAATCGACGAAGCGCTCATCGTCAGTTCACGCTGTGACTTCCCCCAGACAGGTCTTTGATACCCGTGCCATAAATCAGCCTGTCGGAACCCATCCGCAACCGATGGAAGTCGATGAGGTCGATGAGGTCGAAATACCGCTAGCTGCTGTCGTGAAATCTGGCATCAAGAAAGTTGACAATGTCAAAGGCTGCCCGTCCGCTGTGCATATGCCTCCACCGCCCCCTAAAGTCGGTCTTTCTTCATTGACAAGAGATCTGAAATTGATTTTCTACACTCCCAGCGTTCAACGAAGGCCGAAGAGAAACGTCGAGATAATCAAAACCAAGAGATGACCGCGACAGTAACCCAAATTCGAACTTCCTCCAAGCGCAAGGCTACTCCGGCCACTGAGACTGTAAAAGACGAATCTTCGAAGAAGAAAGGGAGGGTAACGAAAGCCAAGACAACAATGCCTCCTGCTCGAAGAAGCACTCGTCCGACAAGGAACCGACGTTCGTTAGTGGAGAGCGATAGTGACGGGGACATTGATGACGAGATTGTTCTCATCAAAGAGGAAGATGATGTTGTTACAGTCTCAGGGGACGGAGTTGACATGACACCTAGCCCTTCTGCTGCTGGTGAATCTCACCGTAAGCGCAAGCGTAGTGTCGCTATTTCTGTACCCCGTAAAGCCTCGAAGAAAGAACACACGCAAACACCTGCTAATCATCCTCGTCGCCACAGTACTGCATCAGTTAACGGCAAAAATACCATCCAGGTTGCGTCACTTCGCGTACTGGTTCTTTACACAGATGGCTACTGGTATCCTGGTACGGTGCGAGAGTTCCAAACACCAGACAGTTACAAAATTTTATATGATGACAACTCAGCGGGATGGGCGAAGACGGGAAGTATGCGCCAATTGGAACTCAGAGTGGGCGACGAAGTGATGGATTCCAAGACGAAGAAGTCTGGAACAGTCTCAGAAGTCAAGGAGGACATGATCGTTGTTTCCGGCTCCGGAATTACTTTCGATCTGACGTATCGTTACCTCCGCATCCCTTGCGACAAAGTCGAGGCTCAGTGGAGCGATAGGGAGTTGACGATTGGCGTATTAGCTGGTATTCATGACACGTCCAGACAGTCCGCACTTCCTGAGGGTGCAGACAGCTTTCTTCGAGGATGCGGGATCATCATTACATCCAACCCGAATGCACTCCAGTGGAACAAAGAGAAGAATGAAATTCTTGCTGCAATGATAGAGAACGGTGCTACTCTAATCGAAGATTGGTCGGATGCTCTCCAGACATCTGGCACCTACATTTATGACAAAGGCAAAGGCAAGAAAGGGAAGGGCAAAGACACTGGCAACCGGAATCCGAAAAGCTGGAAGATAACGAAGGAGCAAGCTCGATGGTTTGAGGATCCAGACGAGGGTAGTATCCGCCGTGTCTTTGTGCTCGCAGATGCTGTCTGTCAAAAGCCCAAATACCTCATCGCCTTGGCTCTAGGTGTACCATGTCTCTCCACCAATTGGATGACGGATAGTCTTCAAAATGTACGTTCTCTTGTTTTGTACACATTATCTCTTCATAACTAACTCCTCGTTCTGATGCAGCGTGATGCCAAAGAGTGGAGTAGCTACCTTCTACCAAAAGGAATTGATAACTACACATCGCAGAACGTCCGATTGTCTCAATCCGTGAACCTAGACTGGGGGATGATGCCTGAACATCTCACGAATATCATGGATAATCCCTATGCTCAAAAACTATTTTCCGGATCGTCTGTCCTTTGCGTAGGCGATGACTATATTCCCGAGCAACATGAAGAGAGAATGGTAAGTCTTTTGATTTCCTTCAGCATGCATTGATTCAAGAACTCACAGAGTGCTAATAATTATGATGATCATGGGCTCGGAGCCCTAAGAATTGTCACAAACCGGAGCAAAATCACGTCTGGCGTTCCTCTAATCATCTTGGCCATGGGAGCGTCCCAAGTTACTGCTGTTGCTAATCTTCAAGATGCTTCCAAGGATGAACATTTTGACTATGTCCTGTTCAAGGACCCGAAATGGAACTCGAAATTCCCTGCCCCTAAAGAAGGAACGATCTATGCATCCTGGTCTTGGGCGAAGCAAAGCTTGATTCGTGGGCAGATGCTTCCCTTACCTGAAAATAACTAATCCAAATAAACCTTTCTTGCAAATCCTGTGTATATCATCTATCGCTCGTTGTATCTTTCTTATATCTACAGTTGTGTTGTACTACACATATTTTGTATTTTGTATATACGTATTGCATGTTTTGAAGTTCATTAATCTTGATCATTAATCATCATGTATTGATATCCACATCAGATTACTGTTTTAAAACTCTTGCAGTATAAAACCGTTGAGGTTCAACTGAAACGCGAGGTCCATCCTCAGGTGTTGAGACGTGTTGAAGTCAACCCTCATGCTGTGAAAATATCACACCGCTTCGGAATTCTTCTCATCAGAGCTCGAGGTAGACGGTTGATTTTGTGGTGAGTTTTGCGCTTGTGATTCTTGATCGTCGGAAGCACGTACAATCTTACGCTTCAGCGAATAAGATCGTATACAGAGGACTTTCATCGGGTGAGTTGTGCGCTCCACAAAAATAAGAGGCTGTAAGCCTACCAGCAACAAGGCCAACGAAAAGCATTGGCGTGCAAACGATCCTATGTAAGGTGATGCATTAACGCCCTTGCCGTAAAGCATGAAATTTTTACCATAGTGTAGCTAAGCTCTTCGTATACGCATGAATCACTTCTTGACGCAGGCTGGGCGGCTTCAGATACAGAATCAGCGAGTGAGCCGGTATTCGAGATTTAAAAAATGTCTCACTTGAATATCCACGAGATTTCTTATATCATTGGTTAGCTCACTGACGGTCTTGTTTGAAACGTCGTATCCGGAGACGGGACGAAGGCGCTTCTTCAAGTCGGTAGCAAATATGACATTGCCAACGCTGAGTCCGACAGATCCACTTATTGTTCTGGTTGCCAGTGTCAGATAGACTGATTCCATAAACACTTTGGGAATTCACCTAATAAGTCCGAAAGCGGCTGTTGAACTTGCCATATCAGCTACGGGCATGGCGGCTTGAAGAGCTGCAGAGTGTTGAAAGAGGGTGGGTGAGTGACAAAAGATAACAGCCTCGTAACATTCTGTTCACCAATCATCGGAGGTTGGAATAGGCTGCCCACTCCGATTGCGGCAACAAGTAGATACAACTCCTTTTCGGCCCTGTCGGAATTCGATGAACCTTCATTCAGAGTGTATCTCGTAGATGTGACTAAAGAGCCTCACCGATTGGAGGTATCGCTGAGTTGTATCATCAAGCCGTAACCTAACGTCATCACAACCTGTAAGCGCGCTTCAGCAACAGTCTCTTGCAAAAAGGAAATGGCAGTACAAAGCCAAACCATATAGTCGGCCTCGTTTTCCCGGTAGTTGTGACCACTCGTCCTGATATGATGGAAAGCATAGAGCTCCCAAAAGAATAAGGAAGCATTTCAATGCCAGACATTATGGCTGAGCTACCAAGAACTTGAAAATAGACAGGGATGACTAGACATTTTTGTCAGTGTGAGCTTTGACCAGAAATAGAGTAACTCGCAATAAACTGCCATATAGTAAGCAAAACCATGAATGAAAACAGAGATGAGTAGGCCAGCAGTAGTCCGGGTTTTGAACAACCGAGGAGGAATGATTGGAATTCGCTTTGTGTAAATTTCATTGATGCATCCAGCTACAAGCAAAACGCATGCGACGACCACAAGTGCAATGGTTGTCCGTGACCAACTCGTTTCGCCCAGCTGAAAGCCAACAAGTAGGCATATGACACCTGCCATGAACAAACCCAAACCAAGGAAGTCGAATTGGGATATGTATACCCTGACTGATTTCGGTGGAGTAGGGTTGAGCTATGTAGATGTATTAGACCGTTGACAAGCTACGAAGATGGTTTGAAGAGCATTTACTTTGAGAAAATACAAGAGACCAGCAGCAATTCCACCAGTCGGAAGATTCTATGGAAAGTTAGACATCGAATGGCAGGACTGTTCTTGCACTTGCTATCCAGAATGCCCATCTCCATGAGACTTTATCAGTGAATGCGCCACCTGCATAGCATGTATCTTATTAAGAGTCCTGAATACTGATTTTTGGGAACCTACTAACCAATCAGAGGCCCGATGACGGAGGCGATTCCCCAGACGGCCCTATGAAGCACAGAACGGAGATGAAAAAAGGAGAATCGGAAAAGAGCAGAGTTCCTTACCCCATCATTCCAGCATACTTGGCCCTTTCTTCCAGCACAACAATATCGCCAATTGTGATGAGCATGAGCTGGATTATACCACCACCGCCGACCCCCTGAACGCCTCTGCTAATGAGGAACATGATAAAACTTTGACTTGCTCCGCAAAGCGCAGATCCCACTAAGAAAACAGCGATGACAAAGAATAGAAGAGGTTTGCGGCCAACAATGTCCTATGCAGAAAAGTTCATTTTCTGAGTTGCGACCTAAATCTTTTTGTATACCGATAGTTTCCCCCATAATGGCGTAAGACCTAGCAAGCAAATACATCAATGACACTCAGCATTGTACTGTGCTGAGGTTTTCTCACACGCCCCAGTGAGAAGATAGGCTGTTCCGGCCCATGAATAAGCATCCCCACCACCTAACTGCCTCACAATAGTTGGCAAAGCGGTAGAAACTAAGAGTATCGGTGAATACGCTCAGGAATTCGACTAGGCAATGACATTTACAGACCAATCGTTTGATCCATCGCGGCAAGAAACACTATATGCTCTACTCAGCGAGGGCTTTCAGAAATAAGAAAATGTACTTGCAAGAAAGCATAAGACTGTTTCAAAGTTTATTCGTATGCAGAAATGTCTTCCAAGTTGCTTCAAGCTCACCCAGTGAAAACGATGGCCATGTTACTACACCTTATATCAGGCGACCTGCCAGTAAAAGCCCGCAAAGATCAAAACATACTTTTTTGGAATTGTGTGGATCTCTTGCTGACGCCAGCTCTCTTTTTTCGATGGATCCTGCTCTTCGACGACTGCAGCGGTTTGTGGCTCGGCAGCAGCAGAATCTTGGGCTGCTACCGCAGTCGGGTCAGTGGGAGATTTTTCGTCTATGCCAGTACCAGACATAGTGGTCGAGAGGAGACAGGATAAGAGCGATCAAAGAAGCCCAAGTGTACCATAATGCAACCAGTACTAAAACGTCAAACTCTATACGGAACAAGCGCCGGTACTTGTTCGGGAGTTGCAAGGCAGCTATCACCTGATAATGTTGCTTCCGAGTCTTGACTTCCATGTTCTAGAATTCATAAGATTCTGAATCCCGTTTCCCTTCGCTCCCTTTCATTTCCCATATTACTGCCTTTGGAGGGACAGGTAAGGATCCAATAAATCAAACGAACCAGCTCAAGCTTACAGCGAGTGGATGAATCAGGAAACCTGTCCATTAAAGCTTACTCTCAGGACCGGCACTCGAGGAAACAATTGAGGTAACTCCACGTATCATCCGTTTGGACATTAATCCTTAGGAATTTCTTCGTATAGCAGCTCATACTTCATGTATGATGAAAGATGTTTCACGTAATTAGACTCGCTCCTAGGGTCCTCTCAATCCCCTAGCTCATTGCGAACCGCGATGCTACCCTTTAATGAATCTCTCTGCCCAAAGATACATGCTTCTTACAATTAGGCGTCATAGTACCATTACTATGACACAATACAATCACGAACTTACAATGGAGCTCATTGTACAATTTGTGACCTGAAAGACGACCTGAAGAAATCAGACTGAGTATGTATTTGCTTCAGGTGACCAATTACAGATCTCTATTTACACAGGTCCCCTCCACAAAATTCCTGCCCAACCCAACGATACTTTGAAATGCCCGTCGCACTCACAACCCAAAGTGGTCCCCTAGCTCCTGCTTCGGTCTGTGTTTATTGTGCTGCCTCTCCCGGAAATATCCCTGCTCATCGCGCCGCCGCCGTCTGTAAGCAATCCACCACAATGTAGCCTTTGGATTACATGCTCATCACTATCGGTAGCTGTCGGCACCGCTTTAGCGCGCGCGGGACGAACACTCATCTATGGCGGCAGCTCTAAAGGCTTGATGGGTATCGTATCTTCCTCTTGTCTTAAAGCAGGTGGAGATGTGACCGGAATCATACCTTACGCAATGGCAGCTACCGGAGGTGAAGGTATTGGCGATGAATATGAGCAGAAAGGAAAATTGAAAACAATAATCGTGAAGAGTATGCATGAACGTAAAATGAAAATGGCCATCCTGGCAGAGGGTGGCTTTGTCGCGCTTCCTGGTGGATACGGTACTCTCGAGGAAGTGAGTTCATTCCTTGAGGATTGCTGCAAATTACTAATATGTATTTCTAGATTTTTGAAGTCACAACTTGGTCTCAGCTAGGGATTCATAGCAAACCCGTTATTCTACTCAACGTTGAAGGGTATTTTAATCCGCTGAGAACGTTCATTCAGGATGCCGTGGCTGCAGGTTACATTAGACAACAATATGCCGAGCTCATCACTTTTGTCGATGCTCCTAGTGATTGCAGCCAAGAGAGCTTCGACTGGGGTCTAGCTACGCTACAATCTTTGTCGACTTGGAATTCGGCTAAAGAAGGACTGTTTCAATGGGCAAGGACAAAGTTATAGTACCTACAGTCGTGTGGTAGTAGTACACATCTTGACCCAATTCTATCCGCAAATACCAAGACCAAATCTTGCAAGAAAGTTTTCATTAAGTGGGACTGAACATTGGTACGCGAAGTCGTAATGGCCAACGTGTATTGCGATATGCTGAAAATCGACGCATTTGAGCCATCTGGTTAGTCTTTACTGGCGGCGTCGCTCCGTCTTCAGGGACCCCAAATGCGCGATTGAGATAGTAGAAATTTGCCAGGTTCTGAAGAGAAGGTACCCAGTGCATGTATCGAGCTACATATCTGGTAACTTAATAAGTTCGGAGGTACTGTTTCATGTTGGCTAATAACCAAGGTTGGCGGCGAGTACTTGTACTTCTTTGTCTTTCTTTGTCTGCTCAGGAGTGTTACGGAACATACCTAACTCCGTCCTTGGCTCCAGAAGGAAGGAAGGGAAGGAAGTTTATTGCACGGTCGGCAAATCATGGTAAGTAAGTAGCTCAGTTACTGAATTTTGGATTTCACCGCAGCTATCGGAGTCACTTTGTTATGTACATATATGATTGTCATAGAACGGGTAATCAAGCCAGGCTAAAATTCACATTCTACTATGGGGAAAAACGGCATCAATTGCTTGACTGAAATCTCCAATGATATCTTCGATGCTTTCTGTTCCTACGCACACCTGCCATAGAAAGCGAGATTAGTGATGAGAAACATCCCAAAAACAAATCTTTACCCGTATTAGGTCGGCAGTTACGCCCGACTCAGAGAGCTCTTTTGGTGACAGGGCGCCGTGAGTTGTAGACGCAGGATGGATCACTAAGGTTTTCGAGTCACCTTCGAAGAGTTGTCAGGATCCGCATACTGAAAATGGGACAACAGAAATCCTCACCGATGTTAGAAAGAAGGCTTGCTAATTTGAGTTTGTCCACAGTCTTCTTCCCATTCGTAGGATCGCCTTTTACCCCGAAGCTGAGAATACCTCCAAAGACGTTCGGGCGCATTATTTCCTTCGCGAGGTCATGTGAAGGGTGACTTTCAAGACCGGGATAGAGGACCCAAGCTACGCACGGATGCTTCTCGAGCCACCTGCGATGCAACATTGTCCGGTTAAAGGTGCAGTAAAAAGGGGGGAAGATTACCTTGCAAGCGCCAAAGCATTCTCCGAATGTTTCTGCATCCTCAAACTCAATGTTTCAATTCCTTGCAGGAGCAAAAACGCTGCAAAAGGATTCAGGGTTGCACCAAGATCACGAAGGATTTCCATTCGGAGTTTGACAGTGAACGCTCGTTGGCCAAATTGATCGACGAATTTAATGCCATGAGAAGGGTCGGAGGGTTCAGTTAAGCCTGGAAATTTACCGGAGGTAACCCAATCGAATTTTCCGCTGTCGATTATGCATCCACCAATTGTCGTTCCCTTGAGTATTGTGATGAGTTAAAATGTTTTGAGCCGAATGCTCCAGCTTACATGACCTCCGAGATATTTGGTTGCACTCGTAACTTGATATGAGATCAGCACCATACTCGGTTTTGAGTATGAAAGACGAACCTATGATATCTGCTCCATGGTCAAACGGTCTAATTACATAGCCTGTATATCGACATGAGTATCGAACATGATTCGGTGTGGTACAGACATACCGCCTGCTCCACAGGTATTGTCAACAATGAAAGGGATCTTGTGTTTCTGCGCAATCTTTCAAGCTATCTAAGATCATTTGGGCATGCGGTGTAAAACTGTCGTAAATCTACCTTAGAAAGTGAAGGTAGTGGCGAAATTTTGCTGGTTGGATTGACTATACTTTCGACGAATATGGCTTTAGTGCGCTCATCAACAGCTGCATCGTATGATTCCGGGTTCTCATCCGTAATGAATTTAAAAGTAATCCCGAATTTCTTGAAGAGGTCTTCAAAATGTCAATCAGCGATCTATGAACAAGATTGACTTAAAAAACATACATTTGAATTGAATAAACGTCTTTGGCGAATTAAGAATCACGATTCTTCTCATGAATGAGATGGTGGACTTACTCCTCCGAATAAATTTGCCCTGTCAGAACGTAACGGTAAGATCCGTTGTGTGACCTAAAAGGTTAAAGTTGTACTTACGAACTGACAACATTATCCCCAGTGGCAGCCAATGTAGCAATAGCCATAAACCCGGCAGCCTGTCCACTCGCAGCACCAACAGCAGCGAAACCGCCTTCTAGAGCAGCTATGCGTTTCTCAAATACATCCTAGCGTGACAATTAGATATATAGAAGGGATCCATCAAGAACATTATCCAAACCACTGTGGGGTTCGACATTCTAAACTTGTAGTTGAATAACGCTCGTACGTGCTTCAAAGGAAGTACATACCTGGAATATGCAAAACCAGGAGTCTCCATCCCGAATACACTGGCAGCATGCTAATATTCTTAGTCAGTTGCTTATTAGCCTTAGACACAAAAAACGGTACATACATCTGTGTCTCGAAAGACAAAGCTTGTCGTTGCAAATATAGGTACAGCTCTTGATTTACTTGAAGTTATGTCAAGGTCATATCCAGCATGTAGCTGTCTTGTTTCGAATCCAGGCTCCCTGCTTCAAGAAGAGTCAAGTGAACGTCACCGAATTCGAAAAAAAGATTTCAAACACACCTTGTAATGGCATTTTTGGAAATATGAGGGGGCGGAGGAGGTGGTGGAAGGATATCGGGCATGATGGATGTAGCGACTACAACGTCCAAAGACGATTTTCTTCTTCGTAACGGTCCAGTTATATAGGTAGAAGTTCGTATTGCATTGAAATTTGCCCTAATTTGCCGGTCGGTCGGTCAAGTGAAGCGTCGTCTCGATGTACCGTTTGTAAGTACCTAAGGCTTCCTCAGCACACAAAGATTAATCTGATGGAACGATGCTAGACAGCATTTGCAGGCATTTGCTCCGTTGAGAACTTGAGAAGAAACAGGCCATGTCAAGACACAGTAATCACTTGACGGTGTGCATCGCGCTGCATCGCGTCGAAGATGATTGGGCACCTTCCTGCACCTTCTAGGAAAGCTAATCCAAATGGACATCGAGTAATCTTGCTTTAGATTAACTCCAGCAATATTCCAAGTGGCGGAGGTGAGCAATTCACCTTGCTTGCTAGGTCCTTTGCCACCCCGTCTTTGCCAAGCGCCCGTGCATTTTTTTCACACGTTAAGCGCCTTTCTATCGTTTCTTTCCTGACATGTCCCTCTGTAGTATGTACTCATCTTCATTATGATTATCCTTATTTTGTGCCTATTCCCACGTACTCGCTCCATAATCCCTTGACCGCCATTTCCTTCCTTCTATTTGGACTTCTTTTAACCCAATGCACAACTTTTTAAATGTTCGGAAATATTCATTTGTCAAAGATGTTGTGGGGTGATTGTGTACTGGAATGCGTGAAATTGCCCAACGTGCATCAACTCATTGTACGCATACCCTTGGAAGACGAGGGGTTGAGCAGCAGGTCTTTCAAGATGCTTTACGAGATGTTATTCACTGTCTGAAAGTGACCGGGATTGTTTCTAACTTTGTGTTGGACATCTAGCTCAAAACAAATAACATGTAGCGCCATGCTTTGATTCATTTGCAGCTCTTACTCGTTACCCTATGAGTGAATAAAAATGGTTTGAGAGAAGAAAACATACATCAAGCAAGGTTTGTCGTGCCCCCCAGGTCTTGCTTTAGATTAACTCCAGCAATATTCCAAGTGGCGGAGGTGAGCAATTATTAGCCTAATTTGTACTCAAATGATGCAAGTTCGATGAAGGTGTAGTAAGGACCTCGGCTAAGTGTCATGTGCAACTCACATATAATGACCAAACCAGGACCAAACAAAGCCAAAATTCTATACACGTGTAATGTAGAGTTGCCCGCAGAATTGCGATGGCCGATGTCTTTCGATTTACTAATACTCTCTTATTATTGCTACCAACATCATGGATAGCCCCGATTGTCTTTTCCGTTCTGCATATGGGTCAGGCAAAACTGGCATTCTTGCATTGATAGCACTTTGCATTGTCAAGATTAGCAAAGAATTCACTAGTTCCCACAAAAGCTCCTTTGAAAATCCCTATGTAATAACCCTATCATCTTTGTTGTTTGTCCAACTGATGCTCTTGAGATGGACTTGGTGTGTACTAAATCAATGCTTCGGTCAAATGGTGTATTCGGGCACAAACTCAAACGAAGGAAGTTGTAGGAGGTTGAAAGATATCATTATGATGGTCAGTTCTATTAGATTGTGACGATAAAGGGGGAGACGGAGATGAAAAATTAGGGTGGGTAAGGATTAAGTTTTGGAGTCTGGGGAGCAGAATCCATAGTAAGAAGTCGAGAACAGCAATAACTCCACGTATTCACCTAAACCTTGCTCAAATTGTTGAAGCGATGAAAACGACGCCTTCGTTGATTAGTCAACTGGCTCAAGCGCTCAGGGTCAGGTCATGTGAATCGTCCTAATTGAGAAACTTTACGAAAGATGTACGAGTTCTCCGAGGGTTTAGTTACGCGGCGCGTCTTCTAGCAGGCTCTTGCTACCTCGACTCGGGGGTGCCAAGGGGTAAAGATTCTGCCTTTGGGAGGGGCGGACTAAAGTTTGACTCATGAGTGTCATATGATACCAGGTGACCCCGTGCGTCTAGGTGCGTCTGAATCGGAATCAGAGCCAAAAAATACTGAGTTGGTTTGCTCTCTTCGTTCGTTCGTTCATTTAATAATCAATCCAGCTCATCAGTTGCTCTCTTCGTTCGTTCGTTCATTTAATAATCAATCCAGCTCATCAGCATTGCGAAATGATAAAGAACCTTTAAATAACAATGTACGCAGTCAGAGAGTGCTCATCCAAACCTGTTCTGTCATTTTTCACTGAAATGTCGACCTTAAGCACCCTTCCTATAGTCGATCTCGACATATTCCTCGCTGATCCCCTGTCTCCTGCTGCTGTCGCTGAGGCAAAGAAGGTTTCATGTACCCCATAGTGGACTGATCAACATAACTGATAACGCTCTTCCGACACAGACAGCCGACGCCCTGGTCACATACGGCGCTCTCGTCATCAAAGACAGCAGGATCAACGAAGAAGATAACGAGAAATTCTTGAATCTATTAGAAAATTATTTCGCTCAATCCGAAGAGATCATCAAGTAATTGTTTTTCTGCGACACTAGTAAGTCTAATGATCTGATTGTTTTTGGCGTATATGTAGGAAGGATGTTCGCAAAGAATGGGCCTATCAAGTGGTATGGTGAAATGGATTGGACCTCTACTTATTCGCTGAATCACCCCACTGCACATCCAGGGTGTTACGCCGGAATTAACTCTAAAACCAAAATGCGTCTTCGAGGAATCATGCATGGACATAATCGAGAAACTAGATCCAAACGAAAGGCCTTTGGATGTCTCGGGACGTCCTTCTGATCCCAAAACTAGGTATTATACTGAGAATGGTATAATAATTGAAGCTGAAGTACGTCGAAGATTTTTCTGGAAGATGTCGACCCCTCCACCCTACGAAACGGAATTTCCTCTCTCAAGTATCCCAAACATTATTCCAGATGCTTTCGCTGATGTATGGCAAACCACATTGGAAACTTGGGGGAATACTCTCAAAACTGCGTTCGTACCGAATTTTAATGCTTTCAACTAACCGATTCTCATAATTTCTAAATAGCGTCGAGAACGTGGCAGAGCTTGCCGCGTTGGGTTTTGGATTGCCTCGCTCAGTTTTCACAGATGCGGCCAAATATGGGTAGGTGTTTCAAACACCACATTGCTCAACCAAACTCTTTTAATGATTTCGCAAGACCACATCTCTTGGGCCCCACCTCAAGCAATTTAGCAAAGTACGGAAAAGAAAACACGATTCTTGCAGGTTTTCACTCGGATTTAAATTGCTTGTAAGTCTTGTTGAAACCCAAGCACTTGACTTACGATTTCAGTGTGCCAATACCAGAACCATACATGGCCGCGCGCGTTACCCTGGTCTACACATCTGGGCACGCAACACTGGCAAGCGCATGAGTGTGAAGATTCCTCCTGGAAAATTCATGCTCGTTCAGGCCGGAAAACAATTCGAGTATCTAACCGGAGGATACGTCAGAGCTGGCTACCACGAAGTAGTCGTCAACGATCAGACGATTGAGGTATGCTTTTCCCCGTCATGGTTTCAATATCACTATTTTATTCACTGATGTGAATGAAATAGACAATCAATCGCAGGAAGGTGGATTATCCTGACCGTCCTTTGATTCGCATCTCAAGCACATTCTTTTGGCACCTCTCCTCTGATTTCACTCTCGAACCAATCCATGAACTAGCCATTCGAGTGCCCGAGGACGAGAAAGGCAAAACACAATATCCGCCCATCAAGGTAGGGGCTCAAGTTCGAAAGTAAGTAATATTCAGAGATAATTCTCTTAATCAGTCACAGATGGTTTTTTCCTCAGCGAAGTAAAAGACATTAATTTGGGACAAGGCAACGTATAAATGGGTCAGAAACAATATGTATAATGGTAGCACCTAGTATCACCTTGACTCCAGACAGGGACATAAATAATCAGTTTTACCTGCTTTACGTGATCATAATGTGGGGTTGGGAACGCTTGTCCGATTTTACCCATCCATCTCCTTTCCCGTAAATTCGTAGGGCTTGATCTTGCTACTCGGCTGAACCGCACCAGTTCGATGACTCGATCGAAGCTATGGAGTTTAAATAACGGAACTCTGCAAACGTTTCGAGGCACATGTACGGCGTATACTTCATTTCGCTAGTTCCGCCAGTTTCGCCGTTGGGATCTTTGAGTTGAATCCTGATGCACCTTATGCATCGATCAGAAAAGTATAAGGAGCTATCCTCTTCTAGTGCATCCAAGTTTTCCCTTCCCCTCTACTCCAAACCACTATGTCTGGATCCGACCTCCCTGCCATCGACATACAACAGCTGACATTCACTCACACCACTCCAGGTGCCCTTCTCTCCGACAAGCCCTTCGTTGCTCTACGTGATGTGAACTTTAGCCTACCTCGCGGCAGTCGCACACTCCTTGTAGGAGGGAACGGAGCAGGGAAGAGTACGTTACTGTACATCTTAGCGGGAAAACGCATGATACAGAAAGGCTCTGTCAAAGTGCTTGGACGCGATGTGTTCAAAGATTTTCCTCCGGTGAAATGATCCCATGCTCTTCAACATGGGTTTGATTTTGACTCCTTGAATTTCATACCAGAATGTCGTATACCTTGGTACAGAATGGTAGGTCTTTCTTTGTTTGAAGACGCATGGACTAATTAATCGTTTTTGAGGGCGATGAATACAGGGACTCGAGGTGATATCGTGGTGTCCGACTTTTTGAACAGCGTAGGTGGATATAGACACAAGGAGCGCCGAGACCACCTCCTTGATATTCTGGATATTAACCTTGATTGGTTAGTGTCACCCTCGTCTTATACTCAACGCGTAGCTTCGGCTCATTTCTTGTCATTACCATCACGATGCAGGCATATGCATCACATTTCAGATGGCGAGAGAAGGCGAGTTCAACTTTGTATGGGACTAATGGGAGAGTGGGATATCTTGCTACTAGATGAGGTCAGCTGAAATCGGATACATATCAGAGAAAGATGTGAACACTTTGGGTATAGGTTACTGTCGATTTGGATGTGCTTGTCCGAGATCAGCTCCTGGAGTTCCTACAGCAAGAGACCATAGAGCGCAATGCGACTGTTGTGTGTACGTGCTAATGCTTTGTATGCTGAGCAGATCCATTTACGCCATTCATTCCTAAGATGCAACCCATATCTTCGATGGTTGGTTTTCTGCGTCGCCTCGCAATAAAAGATCAAATAAGTTAAACACCTCACCCTTTTCTCCAGGTCTGAATACATTTCCGACGCATATAGCGCACATGTGCGACGGGCAATTCACCTTGAACCCAACCCCGTGGCCGCTCCGGGACTTGGACAATCTACTTGAAGATCCAAAAGCCAAGGAACACTTTTTAAAATCAGGATCGTCAATTCATGCTTTGGCACTTACCTGGCTTTCAAATGATAGAACTGTAAGAGTGCAAGCGGAAAAAGAAGGGAAACGACGTAAAGTTAGAGGTGCTCGGGCTCAGGTAGGCCTAGTGAAAGCTACCTTAGGAATGATGCTAACGAGTACGCCGTTACAACCCAATAGACGATTCCCTCAGATTCGGAAACCTTTTACAAAAAGTGAGCAGTCATCCAAATAAGTGTTCTACTGTTCGCAAATCGATTGCCATCAGATATGATTACAGCCATTGACCCGCCACGAATTTGAGGCTGTGGTAGATCCTGAGAGGGGCTTGTACAATGGGTTATAGAACGATATGGATACAAAGGGATACAGTGATTACATTTTACCGTAAGTGAATCGCGGAAAAGCGGTGGGGCCAAAGCTGTGTATATGAAGATTACTTGTCCAAGCGAACTCCACACCTGTGGCATCGCTGTTCCGTATCGGTACTGAAAAGTAACACAGCTTGAATGAATACGAGCTAAGATGGGGTGAATTTCAATCTCAATTGACGTACAACAGGCATATGAGGCCGATTGGGAAGCCTTTGCAGAAATTCGAATGAGCGAAACAAGCGCAAGTTGAATCTTCAAAGGGAACTCACAGACAACGGCGGTTATGATCCCACATACGCCTAGTGAGGAGTATGTCAGCGGCACTCTATTTACCGAACAAAAGGACTCATACCGTACTTTGTGTCTGGGTCATGAATGCCCTGAGCACATTGGGCGAATACTGGACGGATTCATCAAGAAACTGTCGAAGGCACAAACTTGTGAACGTACGCTGAGTCCTATACTGTTCTCCTGCTTGTTCGACACTCATAACATGTGGCGGGAGCATCTGAGGTTGAGGTAAAGTTACAGGAGGAGGTTGCACGAAAGGTTGTGGCTGCACCGCTGATTGCGGAGGCTGTATGTGTATCTGTGGCTTAGGAGATTCTACGTTGGACGGGTTTTGGATGCTAGTCGGCGTATAAGCAGGAGGGTTTGACATGTCGAAAGCTGACTGTGGTGAGTACGAAGAAAAGTGATAAACTTTGAATCGCTTTTATATCTCATCGTTGCACATTCCAAGGCTGTACATACTGTATATGCGATGAACAGGAAAGAAAGAGATTCAATGAAGCGCCGTGTGAGTCCGGACCGGATGTTATACCTCATTACGGCACCGAATTTGCAACGACGCGTTGAACCAGTTCAAGCATGAGCGACGATGAAGAGTATATTGTCGGCAAGTCTATATTTACGCTGTTATTTCTAGAGCTCATTGGCCTTTAGAATCTATCATTGCTGCTCATGTCAAGCGACAAGGTCGAGGTAAAGCATGGGTAGGTATCCTATTCACTCCCAAGTTACATTGCAACTAATTTTCTTCCAGGAATATCGCGTTAGAGTGCGTACCATTTTCATTACTACAAGCACTTGGCTGAAAAATACTTTTAGTGGAAAGGATATAGCGAAAAAGATGATACGTGAGTCTATCAAGCTTTGGCCCTACCATAACGCTGAAAGGAGATATCCATTATTCACAGATGGGAGCCCGTCAAGTCTTTTGCAGAATCAGAGCACTTCATTGACAACTTCTGGTCGAGAACTTCAAAGATGTTGAATGGGCGGGATATCAAGGATTTGAATGCTTTCAAGATTGGAGAGGAATTCTTCCCAGTTGGTCCACGTAAGTGCCAGACGATAAGCTCTTGGTCTTTGCTGACCTCTCTTCATCACAGCATTGAAGAAGCGAAAGTCTCGGTCTGCAATCAAAGACAACTCTCCTGTTGCTAGTGGCTCAAGACAGACCCCAATGAACAACAAAAGACTTCGTACTCCTTCCCCGACTATACCAGAAGAACCTTCGCCAAAACGAGCGCGTCAATTAACCGATGATGGCGTCGAAACACCGTCTGGACGCAGAACAAACCGGACTCTGACCAGTATATCTCCCCGCCGCCCAGTCAGAAAACTTCAAAAGGAAGCGTCGGTCGTTCCTGCATCTGAGGGCGAAGAGGAGGATGAGATCGAAATAGTTGAGACCGCGATCGCCTCTGAAGCTCCTCCGCGCTTTAGACGGCGTTCAGCTGACAACATCGGCCAGAATTCATTAGAGGATAACGAAGCTCAGTTAAAAGCAGATCCGCCTGTTCCTGCGCACAGAATGCGCGCTGCTAATCCTTTGGTGCATATGCTGGATGACTTCGGTGATATGGACGGAGCGATAGGTGTCAAAGCTAGAATCTCAGGAAAAGGGAAAGCCGACGCGAGTGGGTCGTCTAAGCCTTCCACCTCGAACTCCGTTCACAGGCGAAAACCTGGTCCCGGTCGCTCATCCGAAGGTTTCGGGAAAAACAAAAGCACGAGCTCACTTTTGACCTTTGACAAAGGCCAACTGAAGACTGTGAAGGGAAAGTATGTCGCAACAGAAATTGTTGCGCGACGGGAGCAGGATGATGCAGGTGATGGCACCCCCGATATTTTGAATGATTCGTCGCAGCAGCCTCCTTCACATGTGCTTCCTCCGACAAGTGGAGAGTTAGTCCAACTCGTCTCTCGCGTCGCGGAAGATGCAGAGGAGCTACAAGCTTTCGAAGAAACTGAGGGCGCTCCTTCTCCTGGACCTTCGAATGGCCCCAGCTCTATCTTGCAACGCAGGTATGGCAATATTTTGGGCAGCCCTCGCAGTAGTTCTTATACTGCCTTTATTGCAGCCTGTCGCTTGCAAAAGAGAGCTTGTTCCCATCTTGGTCTGCAGTGCCATTTGCGTCTGCCGCTTTCACCAAACGCCCAACAATTTTTGGTCCACTGTAACTAGTTATCATTGTTTTTCATTTTTCCGCACTTATCCGTTTCTTAGTGGCTCTGGGTCTGACGTTCGACCAGCATCTAACACGAATAACCCCACCAACGCTACTCAAGTGTAAAGTGAATTCGCTGTGCGCTAAGTATTTCACTCATTATTCAAAGCAGTGTACAAACTCAGCCGTTCCTGGTGACTATCGACGTGGCAAAAAAAATTCCAGTCGTCCTGACCGATCTTTCGCCCAATGATGCTTCAATACTTGATAAGATCGTCCGCAATGCATCAGGGGGACCTCCAGGAAAATTCTACTCTAATAATGCTGCACTTGCTATCCTGGATACATTACGAACAGGCGGTGCATCGGCAAAAGTGATTCCGTCCCCCAATGCGACTGAATCCGAGACCCAGGAACTTGCGAGGTTCAGTGAAAGATTGAGCCTGAACGAATTGGTGTGTTGATTTCTTCGACCTGATGTATTTTTAGTCTGAATCCCATCCTCCCTCTAGTTCGTGCTCATGGTGGGATTCGATCTTTTGGTGTTTTGCTCGTCGAGTGCCACTTTGATCACACAGAGGCTGAACATACCTACCTCACTTCTCAGTGAACCGGCAAGCCTTCTAGTCGAACAAGTGAGCATCTCAAATCATTCTGCCTATGCCAATGCGGTGTTGCAGGCGAATGAGTAATTCTTGCCATAAAGATACGTAGAATTCCAACCAGATACAATTTGCGTGCATATCATAATGTCTATACGCATTAGCTTTGAGGAGAAGAGCCAGAACAAATGGCTAATTACGGTAGTAAATAAGAGCAATGCGACAATATGTACAGATTCTACTATTACACTTGATACCTGTCAGGGATGCGTCTGCTCCTGGATGACGTTCGAGTTCTGACTGCAGTATCACGACCACTTGTACTCGCGTTTTTTGCAGCCTGCCTCTTGAGCTGTCGGACTTTCATCTCGCGTAATCGCACAATATCAAACACCCAGTCAGTTTCCTCGGCGAGTTTCTCTGCTTTTTCATGTAGCTCGGCTTCTTCAAAGTCGGAAAGTAGCTCGACCGAAGTTCGATGACCATTCCGCCAGAGTAGAAGTTGCAACACGGCTTCTGGAAGGAGGACATTAAGACAATACTGTAAAAAGAAAGCATTATTTTATGGAATCAATAATCACTTATTGACTGACGGTGATTTTCTCGAGCCCTGCGAGGTTCTCATACAAGGCGCAACCTTTCTGTCTTTCTAACGTAAGTCGTGTCCCCTCTACGGTAACAGCATCTTTATTCTGGTCGTCCGAAGAAACCTCGTTATCTTCCGACAACAACGATACCATCGACGAGGTCGGAGGGACGGGTGGAGGTGATGGAGGCAGGTCGGTGTCAGTCAACGCAGGTGAAAACCCCTACATTGCATGAGGCGTATGAATATGTGATCGAAATTTCTCTGGGAATGAAGATGCAAGTACCTTCGACATTGCAGAGCTGCCAACACCTCCATCGTCGGGATAAATGTTTTCTTTAGAAGAATGATAGTCTGTATTCTGCGCGCCAGAAACAGACAACGATTTCGACGGGGAAGCAGCGTTGAAAATATGTTCCAGGGGGTGACGGATCTCCGCATCCTCTTCGATGGAATCATTTAACAGAACAGACTCAAAATCCGATTTGTTGGAAGCTCTAACTTCGTCTCGGAGGCACCAATCACACAAGTGTTTCTGGAGCTTGTCAACATCTCGTGGGGGTATCGTTCCACGCAGCCCTGCTGACGCGCCAAGTCCTGCGCGTGCTTTACCACCCTTCATAAAGCTATCGTGTCGGCCTTTGGCTGGCGCGTAGTTCTCGTTCAAAATTGCAAGGAGAACAGGTTTGATGTATGCTAGCTGGGCGCGAATGGAAAGATTGTTGAAAGCACAGGATAGAGAAGGAAATGGGACTGGACTGGGGCTGGGACTGGGAGGAAGGATACCAGGATCCGAGGAATGGTTATTGTTATCTCGCGAGGTGTTTGCTGGATCGTCTTCGTCGCCATCATCTCCATTATCCAGGTGGTCACTTGCAAACTTGCCCATCTACCGAGGAAGAAGTCAATATCATTGTCAATGGCATTGACAATCTGACCAACCTCGCAAGTTCCAAATTCCGGCTCATGGCAAGCGTAAAACCAGTCCCTAGGCACTTCTTGTTCTGTATCGTCCAGCCATAGGACCCTGTATTTAGGCTCCTTTTGTCGTGTTTTTTTCTTGGGCTTCGAAGGAGGAATATACGCCAGCAATTTAGCTGGCCAATGAGCGATCCTTCTGTCTGCCCTGTCGCGTGCAAGAACTAGTTCGCCTGGAATGTCAAGCATTTCGTCTGGTTCTGGAGGATCCCAGTCGCTCTCGACGTCCCCTTGTGTGTCCAAGTCAATTACTTCAATGTCATTGCCTCTCTTCTTTTGCTTCCATGTCGTTTTCGTGTCTCTCTTCGGAGCAGTTACAGTGCTTTGGGAAGCACTGACTGATGCATACCGACTGGCTGCACTGAGAGCGAATTCAATCGGTGGGAGACCATCGTCTTCATCTTCTTTATCCCTAAGGATTTCAAAGACCGCAGCTTGCCAACTATCATCTACAGTCGACAGGTCGCGTTTCTGTTTCTTCTTGGGAGAGGCAAAGACAGATGTTGTACCCCTGTAAGACGACGGAGATCCAAACCGCGGACGGCCAAGAGAGTCAGTAAGGGAAAGGATATTGTGGTTACATGGATTTTGGACACGAATTGTCGCAGCAGAGGTGCCAAGACTGCCATATGGGCGAACAATTATTTCGCGCTTCAGCATTCCAATACTCTGTATCTTGTAAGTGAACCAGTATGAGAACAGGGTCTGAAATCTACAAATACCTTCGCAGGCCACCACATATATCCACCTTTGTCACCATTACCCTTCGCATCAAAAACCTGGCCTGCCTGGTTAACATGAATCCAGACAAGACTTCCCAGACCTTCGATACTCCATCGTTCTTCAGACTTGTCTTTGAATACAGTCGACTGAGAGCTGAGCATTGGAGTTAGAGGACTCAAAGGCGACAAGGACTCTGTGTCGCTATCACCATCTGGAGGAGATAGAGGCCTTTTGCGTGAAGAAGTTCCAGCCGACGCGTTAGGTAGCTCAATACGGATTGTTTTCAAGTTCCGAGGGCGTGTTGAGCTTCCTGAATCTGCACGAAATTTAACTATCTTCGACCTTCTTCCATACTTCACGGGTGATGATCCCTTCGATATCCCTGTTTCTCCAAACAGGATATCTCTCGACGCGGTCTTCCCAGGGGTCGTAGGAGAAGTCATGGGTTGCTCCACAAGGAGAAGAGGAGGAATCTCTCCCTCCATGGCGAATATGAATATGTCAAAGGGACGTAAAACTAAACCCAAGGTTGCGGCAAACAATTGACAATTGTACGAACAGTGAAGCAAGTTAAGCAGGGTAGCAAATCCCGTCGGCAATTCCGGTCCGGGAACGGTCTCTTTTTCCAGCATTGGCGCAAGTACATAGAACATCATCTAAACTCGTTCATGCTTGCTCAAAAAACTTACAACTCAGTCCCTCCTCTTGACCTCACCGATACTTATCCAGATCACTGGAAATATCTATCCGAAGGTGGTGCGACGCTAGTATTTTCGTATGCTGGGCCACAAGACGAACGATTCCACAACAAAGTCTTGAGACTGGGGAAAAATAATACTGTAGTGGAAGACGAAGACAGCCTCATCTTGTTCCAGACTGAAGTAATTTCCCGACTAGTACTGCAGAAACATCTCGCAGTCTTGGAAACGGTTTTACTATCTTCATCCTGGCTAGAATCACTTTCGTCTCTCTGTAAGAAATCAAGACCAGATTGGAGGACCGGGGACATCGACACGAATCGCACGAAAGGATTTTTGGCACCCAACTTAGTTTCAAGTCCCATCAGCGTCGAGATCAAGGCAAGTTCCATTGCAGCCCGATCCGTGCTATTTGATTGACCTTCTCTCCTGCTTTTTTCAGCCCAAGTGGTCCTTCCTAAGGCCCGGACTACGTACATGTCGATTTTGCATGCATTCCTCCTGTCGTGGATGGATAACATCCTACTGTCCTCTGGATCTCTTTTCTTCCTCTCCCGCCCGAATCAAGAACGCCTTGTACGCTTTGTATGATGCATGGGCTGATGGTGCTGCCAGTCAAAACAACTTTCGCCTGTTCGCAGACGGTCGCTTAATGTCTCCCGATGATTTGTTACCAGCACTACGTGGGCTAGGTATGCTTCATTCCTCCATTTTGGAGGAGGAGGGTATTCGCGAACTCGTTGTTGAAACTCTGCTTGTATCGTTCATGAAATCCGAGTCTTTGGAACTATTGAAGACGTTGAAGAACTTACAAAGAACATTGGATGGCCTAGGGATAGAGGGATTGGCTTCGCTATGGGACAATGTACACTCGCTGGATAAGACATCGTTTGGAAGAGGATTCCCTCAACCCACCATCGATGACTGGAAGTTCTTCGCTACCGAGTATCTGGAGCCTCAAGGTTCTTCAGTGCCACCACAGGCACTCTCTGGCGAGACCCAGCTTCGATACAACATACTGTCCTACCTCCTCTCTGCTACATTCAAAGATTGTTCGATGATGATTATGCTACCTGGTCTACTTCACGAGTCTCTTCCCACATCCTTATTTCCTTCACGAATAACCTTGATTGACCTCGACCCAAAGCGTGTCGAACGCCTCCAAAAGTGGCTCGAGCAGGATCGAAACATTATGCAAGAATATATAGTATCAAGCCAGACGAAGTCGGCAAAGAGATGTGTGGATGTTGGGGAATTGTAGATTATTGCTAGAGCAGCTCTTATTCTACCAATAGTTGTACACATTATACATGCACACTGCAAGCACACTGGCATAAATGTGTCCATATAGTTATCACTACCCAATCGCATGAGCACCACTAGGCGGTCCGTGTCCTCGAATGAGCATTGGTTTCCTCTTGTGGAGAATGTGCTAATATGTCTCCAGCAAGTAATCCACTCTCCTCCTCTGCTGTCGTCCTGCTTCGGGAACGATGGCGGCGAGGTTTTGGACGATAGATAAAAGACTGAGTAACGATCGTGAGGTCGAATACTAGGGTTCCGCCGCTTCCTAGTAAATATCTGGATGTGGATGTGAACGCAGAAAAAAGAACTGACTGAGTACGACAATTTAAGAAATCAATCAGAGATGACTTACGGAATACTTTCTTTAATGAAATCCGTAGAACGTGGTGCTGGCTGATATACTTCTGAGGAAGTAAGGATAGAAGCGACGTAGAAGGTATTTCCCAGGAACGCAAAGATAAAGAGGTACATGGACAAGCCCTGGAATAAGACAATGAGAATCGAAATAGACACGGAAGAAGGGGTGCTTACTTCTACCGATTTCCTAACATACTATGAAGCCAATCAGAACGCACCAAAAGTGAGCAAATCGAGCAGTCTGAAATCCAAAAAGTAACGTACATTCTTCCAAATTTGGGGTAATCGAGATGTCAGATAAAGTGTAGTGCACACCCATGCAAATATACGTCCGATTATACGTTCATTAGAGTCCTCTATGATCTTGGGTTCAAAGGAAGGTACGTTGGTAGTCTGGGGTATACTGATTATGGTATGAATATCGATAGACGCGTATTCATTAATCAAAGACGACGGCGCAAGGTTATCTGTCGGAGACATTCTATCCAATGAATTCCTAGCTCGAAGTGATACAACTTGTCCGGTTCTGGACGCGTTGATAGGCGATGCTATGTGCCGTGAGGTTGTGAAAGATCCCAGTCCGAACATAGCAAAGACTCCAAGAAAGACCATGCCAGCAGTCTGCTTGCTCACTCGCGAGCTTCGTCCCACTGATGTGGACGGTAGCACTTGTCCCAAATGGTCTTGTCCAGGTTCTCGCTGTAATGTCCTTCCGCGAGCGGCGGAGTCTACTGCATTATCGAAAGTCGAAGTGTGCAATGGAGGAAGATAAGCTGATCGGGTCAAGGCAGGATATCTTCCGACACTGGTTCCCCTCCTCTGCCGTTCCGTATTCCACGGTACTTGGTTGTTACCCAGGGTTTGACCTCGCTCCGAGTGGAAACTGTCCGCTAATGCAGATAGAGCGCCTTCGTCTACGTCATCTCCATCTCCATCGTCCCTCGAAATTCGACTTCCCGATGATTCGAAAAAGGTGTCCCGGCTTGATTGAGGCCATCTATGTGCTCGACGAGGTGCGCTGTGTTCCTCATGCTGGGCTGCTAAAGCTGCAGCTGCAGCTACATTGGATGCAACAGCGGATAGCCTACGATAACGCGGCGAAGGTCGGTCACCAACCGACATGGGACGAATCCGAGATCTTGCTCGACTAGGAGGAGGGTTTACACGTTGATAATAGACATATTGACCTACAAGCGCCAAGTCTACTGAAACAAAGTACGCTGCGAGCCATGTCTGAGAAATTGGATCAGTCCAAAATCTGTTTATGAGTAGAGAGATGAAGCGTACTTGGAATGGTAGTTGCTTAGTGAGGATACAACCAATCAAATTCGAAATATCGCCTGGGATTGGGTTATCTGGTCAATCCTAGAAGCATAACCAAGTTAAGAGAACTTACCGAGTAGCCAATTGGCAAGAAAAGGCAAAGCAAGTCCCTCACACGAGCGTCTACGGATATTCTCCAGGACCTGGCTGGGATATTGTGAGATCACAGACATTTCAGACATGGATAACACTGAACGGAAATTGGGCACCGAGCCAACACAGGATAGAGGTATAACCGAGAAAGACACTGAAATCTGAGAGGGAGGCCATGATGGCCCTGGTGAGGTCAAACAAGTCGAAAGCAAAGGGCGATGCCTGAGTAACATAATACAATCCAACAAACTACCTATCTTAACCGGGCTTTCTCAGTCTCCTCAGTATCTTGACTTCATATAGTAAGTAAAGGAACAACATGAAAGCGTGTATGAATAGTACTAAGAATACACTAATAGAATTCAAATATTGGCAAACACCTCCCACTTCCATGCAACGACAAAAGCGACGACCAACAGACTCTATTGACGAGCCTTCCTCGTCCTCCAAGCGAGCTCCACCATACAAGAAGACGCGGATCGTCGAACCAGGTGAAGATCCAGCCACTTTCGCTGAAGAAGTCGACTCTGCTCTCGAAAACCCGTCTGCTCATCGCAAAGGGCGCGTCAAGAATGAGGGATATGATTCGGACTCTAGCGATGACGGCGAAGGTGTAGTCTATAGCAGGAAAAAGGAAACAGAGAACAATGACGACGACGACATGTTCGCGGCAGCCGAGAAAGAGGAAAAGGCTGAAGAAACGAGCACAAAGAAGAAGAAGGAGAGTTATATGCGGCTAGGTGATATTGAAGGACAGGAATTCGGCAAGTCTGATTCAGATGAAGACGATTTGGAGGAAGAACCAGAGGATGAAGACGACGCTGAACGCAGGAAAAAAGCCGGAATGGGATATGAACTGTCCTCGTTCAATATGAGAGAAGAGATGGAGGAAGGAAAGTTTACGGAAGATGGGTCTTATGTTCGCTCATTTGACCCTCATGGCATTCACGATCGCTGGATGGAGGGTCTAGACGAGAAGGAGATCAAGCTAGCACGAAAACGGAAGCGACAGCAGGAGCAGATACAAAAGGAAAGAATAATGGCAGAGGAAAAGGAACTTGAGGAGAGCGGTGGCAAGCCCACGCTGGAGAAACAGCTGTTGCCACTGCTCAAAAAGGGCGAAACCGTGTTAGAATCATTACAACGACTGGGTGTAGAAGTCAAGAAAGCGAAGAGAAGATCGTAAGTTTTGCGTCTCGATGCATCCATTGGACGGGTTTACTGAATCCTTACATGTAGGAAAAAGAACGCCCCGAGTGATACCATGAACGTGGAACCAGTCGCCAAGGTGCCCTCTGACATTGAGCATATCACTCATTTGGCTTCGACCATCATGTCACTAGGAGACACGGATATATATTCCAAAACCTACGAAGAGTTAGTCCGCTCTGTCAGATCCTCTGGCACAGTCGACGCGAACTGGGTCCCTCCATCTGCGAATAAAAAGTACGAGTACAAGTGGGATATGCCTGGTGCTAGTCAATCCGATCAGATCTTTGGTCCGTTTGAAGAGGAGGAGATGCAATCATGGTTCAAAGCATCTTACTTTGGACCCTCAGGAGAGAAAGTCAAAGTCAGACATGTAGGGGGAGAGTGGATGGATTGGGATGAACTGCTACCATGACATGTTTTCTTACTACTTCCTAACATGTATCTTTATTGTATCTCTACTCCAGCTCTATTCCAGAATCGTACTTAAGTCGACAGGTTTTCAGCTTTCTAATATACATATATATAATAATCATGCAAATTGTATAAATGAAGAATGTTACTCAATAAACGAACCCAAGATCCATGGAAAAAAAGAGCTTCAGTTCAATGACTGATATACTGGAACACGAAAGAAACCTCCGGAAGGCCAACCTCAGCCCGGAGCAGATCGTCATGGTTGCCCTTCAACTCTTCATTGGTAAAATGATTCCACCTGTTCAGTATGATGAGAACGAATTTCCTTGTGGCATACCCAATCAATGGGAAAAACATACGTGCTGGCATCTCCATACAGTAGGGCTGGAGATTTGATCATCTGCCTTCCATTCTTGCATCGTTTACACTTGAACGTCTCGTGCGTCTCGCACAGCGTCTTCTCATTGAACAAAAACAACTGTCGCAATGCATCTAGTGTAAAGTGGCGCTCCGTGTCCTCCTTCTCGTCTACCACAGCTGAAGAAAGCGCCTGTTTATTAGCTTGACGTTGGAAGATTTTTTCCTCTATCGTCCCGGTTGAGATGAAACGATAGACAAAACCTGTACGAACACGAGTTGTCAAACATTAATTTTTTCGTGACTAGGAAGTGCAAGTTGGCCTACATTCTTTCTTTTGTCCGTCACGCCACACTCGAGCGAGAGCTTGTTGATCGGCAGCTGGATTCCAATCTGCAAGACATATATTGTATTAGAATTCTGCCGCAGAATTTGAGAGGACCGTAGATAAATACCCGGGTCGAAAAGAATAAGTCGATTCGCGCCAATAAGGTTGATACCGCATCCTCCAGCTTTACTACTGAGCAGAAAGATAAACTCCTTCCCTTCAGGATTATTAAACTGATCAACTAGTTTTTGTCTCTTTGTAATGCTCATCGAGCCATCGAGTCTGAAGAACCCATATCTACAATGGCAGAGTTCGCTACTGTACTTAAACTTCGAACATTTGTAGAGGACGCACTTCTTGGTCCGACATAATTTCTCGAACAGGTCAAGCGTCTGGGTGTAATTGCTAATTAAAACAATCTTATCGGTAGTCTGCGCTCTAAGCTGGGTAAGGAATCTGTTTTAAAAGCATCAACAGAGTTGCGAGATTTGATGATGGAGATTGAACACGGCCGACCTTTCCAGTACCAAGAACTTGCCACTCCAGTCACAACGAACATTTTGGCTATTTTTGCCTCTTGATTTGGCGGCGGTTTGGCCAGCGCCACAAAAACCCTCTGGAATTAGATGATCAGAACCCTTGAGATCGTCAGGCAAATTTAGGAGCTCGGGATGGTTGCAAAGTTTCTTCAGAATATTAATGGCCTTGAGGGGTTGAGACTCGGTTCCTCGAAGAAGGGCTTTGATTTCGGGCGAAGAAATGAAGAGACGATAAAGTGATAACTGGAATTCAGACAAGCCGCAGAATACGACTTGTTCGTATTTGACGGGGACTGATTCATTGGATCAGTGAAGAACAAAACTACGATAGATTCCACCCACGATATTTGGAAAGGAGATCGTTTGTTCGACGAATGATAAATTTAGTCACCAGGCCGCCAAGTTCTTTCAACTTCTTTTCACTTTCGGCTTTGAAAGCGTCACTTGCTGAAGCGTCTCTTCCACGGATGATGTGATTCTCAAAGTTTTTCTTGAAATCATTTTTGGAACCAAGATAATTGGGATTTGCGAAATTGAGAAGGGAAAAGTACTCAGACAGATCGTTCTAACAAACGCGTTAGTTAAACGGTGATTGGTTGTGAATAATTGTATTAGTACTTGGATTGGTGTTCCAGTGAGGATGACGCGTCGTTTCACGTCGAGTCCATTGAGTGCTTGGAAGGTAAGGGAGTCTACAAATAGAGAGGTTACAGGTGAAAGGAAGGTTAACGTAATAGCGCTGACCAGAGTTCTTCAATCGATGTCCTTCATCACAGAGTAATAGTCCAATCTTGCAGTTTGCGAGATAAGCCGTTAGAGTTCGTAGCGTCTCATAGGAGACGATCATCACTAGTGCATGATGTCAGTTTGTGCGTTCCAAGTATATATCATTAAGAGGGAAGTACCAGGCTGTGTGACATTTCGTCCACAAGCAGCTACCCACTGAGCTACCTTGGGTAAGAGCTCAGCTTTACCCCCTTTACCGTCTACAGCCAGAGCGTTGATAGCGTCAGGGCCTAACCATTTGACTAAAAAATCACTCAGGCGAAGAATCTTTGGACCAGCAAGAGCGCACGCACTAAGTTCGTTGGCCCAATTTTTTACGAGACTTGATGGACAGGCGATGATACATTTCTCGATGGAAGGTTTGCTGGCATATGGAGATTGCTTGATCAAGGTCCACATGAGAGCAATACACTGTAAGGTCTTTCCAAGACCCATCTCGTCGGCCATAATACAACCATACTGGTTGTCGACCATCATTCCTGTTGTGCATTTGTATAAGAACTGAAGATGTAATGAATAGGAGGCAATGAAGAGAGTGGCAGACAACGCACTTTTACGCCTTCGACTTGATGAGGTCGTAGCACCTTGGACAGCCGGGGATCAATGACGACCGGAACCTTCCCCACTTTATCTTTCTTATCCTTCCCTTCGCCCAGCATGACCTTCAGACTTTTATGAGGATTGAACATGCCCGCGGTCTTTGCCTCAGCCTCCTTCATCGCCCTCTCCTTGGCTTCTAGCTTCTCTCTCTCCATCTTCTCTTCCTCTGTCTCCCTGTCATCAATGGTCGGGTCATAAAGCACAATGGCATGGTCTTCCATAGGATCGTGAAGAGGTCTTGGGATTAGCTTTGCCTGAGGACGGATACCAAGAGACACATTTGACGGTACTAGAATGACATCGTGTCCATCCTTATTCCGCATCGATGGCATTGAGAATCGTCGGACTTGGTTAAAAGGCTTGGGTTTGAACACCGGATACTGCTTGACAGCAGCCAAGAGCTCGTCCTCGTTCATATAATCTCTATCATCCTTCTTTTTCTTCTTCTTTTTGGATCCTTCATCATCGCTATCAGAGTCCTCACCCTGTTGGTCCTTGTATGAAACTCGTTTTCGTTTCCGCTGAGGTTGGATACGTTCAAGGTTAATAGTGAAGCTGGGGGGTCGGAAGGGCTTGTTGATACGAGTGCTTTCTTGAAGCCTGTCAACTACCTTCCCGTCTGCCGTAGTCGGGGCTCTCCTTAACATTTCCTTGGTGGAGCGATAGGTTGGGGCGGCTCCGGTTCAGCCTGAGTGATTGTTGTCTTGGCACGTGCTCGCGTTGCGCGTAAGTGACTCATGAGAATCACACGCTTTTCCGTCACCATCATTTCCATATTCCACATCGATATCCTTGACTCATAACTTTCACAGACAGGATGAATCCGGAACAGAAGAGATTAAATAAAACTCAATTTGAAATCCACCATTTCCTCGTCCTGCGCCTGCCTCTCTTGCATGTGAAGCAGGTGCAAACAATCACGCTGGTTAATGAAGGTAACATTCAAGGTTGACGACCGTTGATCAGGTACGTCTCTTGGCGCAAAAACAAACAGAAGCCCTGCAAATGCCAAGTGAAGGCAAATGATGCCCGTAAATATATGATACTAAACAGTATTTAAAGCGCCAAGTTTCTCCTTTCCTCCAGTTCCCTCCTCAATAATACTATTCGTTCGTTGATATCTCAGCATAACTCACGCTCATTCGACAAGATGCACAACAGTTTGATTCTCATCGGTATCGCGGCTGGTTTGCAGAGTCAGTAAGGTCGAAGATTTCATCTTGATCTATACTGATTTACGGATTCTTCTTTTCAGGTGTTATTGCCCAGTCAACATCTCTTTACATTCCAGGATTTGACCCACAGCCAATCAGTGCTAATATCGTGGGCGTTGATTCCAATGGTCGAACTACCTGGGATCTTCTACCGGGTTCAGTAACCGATGATAGTGAGGGTGGTTTCATCGGAACAGGTTAGTTTTTGAAAACTTTCCAAGTTTCATATATTGATGATATGAGCAGTCACCCTCGTTGAAGGCTCCGATGGGGCACATTTGACTTACGCCGACGCCTCTCTTTCTCTCACCCTTGGTTACGACTGCACTTTTTCTTCCGGTCAGGCTATCTGCAGTGGTGTTGAAAATGATGAGGGTATCACATTCACCGAAACAGAGGCGATCTCGTCCTTCGCTGTTGCACTAGACACTGCTACAGCAGCAGGAGCTTCCGCCACTGGCACTGGCAGTAGCTCCTCTCAAGTCTCTGGTTCTGAGTCGGGTTCCGCAGCTCCAACCCAGACTGGGAGCTCAAATTCCTCCTTGAACCTAGTCGCCGCTTCGTCCGTTTCCTTGCTTGGAGTTGTAGGCCTCGTGCTATCCTTCTTGTAATGCTTCCAAGTTTCGGACTTTTTCGGATACCTTGTGGCGGTCATGTCCTTCGCGAAAACAAGTAAACTCAAATACTATCGTGGTATCACCTTTATCTCATGTTTCTGGCTCATTGGAGGGTTATTGGGTTGGAGATTTTCTTGCTAGAAACGATTTTGCGTAGACTGCGAAAATTGTTGATCGGCGCTTATAATTATATATTCATTTGATCGCTCTGATTTTAAGCTCACCGTCGCGAATCTACATATTCGTCAACGCTTAGGCTCGGTCCTTCTTCCTTTCGTATTTCGATCTCCACTCTTCTCCCCTTCATCTATGGCTACAGAATTGACGGAAACAATCAAGATTGAATTCATCTCAAAATGCCTCGGGATTGGCCACATTCTCAGTGTAGACAAATGCCTCGAGGTACACACGTTCTGATCCTATGATGACAGATTAGCTGGAACCAGGGCATTCCGGCTTCTACCTTACCTTAGTTTGAAAGAAACTCGCCGTCCAGTCTATTTCGTACCTCACGTTCATCTTCCCAGTATAAAAGTCCACTTGACTGCGCTACTGACGCTTTTCTCGCTTCGTTCGCTCGTTTGTGGCTGCTGAACAGCTGTCTCTGCGATGACTGAGTCATATATCAGTCCGTCAGACGTAGCGCAGTATCACAGCTCGCAGGACAGAGTCCGAAATTGGATCACTGCTCACGCAGACCACGTCTTCACCTCGCCTAACATTCCTCCCTCGGAACTTGATGATCAGGATGCCTTATCTTCGCCGCCGTCCGACGTAGAAAGCTCACATTCTATTCCGCCACGCTTGAAGCTGCGCTACCCGGACGGTAGAGAGTCGCCCATACCTCATACAACCAATTCTTCTTCAAGTACTGGACGAAATTCGCGTTCCAGGTCCAATCCACAACCAAACTCGTCTCGTCAACGATCGAAGTTAGCCACTGCGCCTTCATCTTCCCCTATACTAATATCTGATCCCCGAAGAGAAAGGGAGAAATTGAGGTCGCATTCTCCTGAGGAGATACAAATTTTTCCTTCCGCTTCCGACGAAATTCCGCCTGTGCCGTTGAGTTCGCATCACTCACGCTCGCGTTCGCTACCTCGAGATGCCTTTTCTCCTTCACGCAATCATGATCCAATGCCTAATTCTTCCTATGGGGCGACACCCGTCATGCAGATGCAGACGGAGATGTCGCCTCCTGTCATACCTTTGTTACAGTCCCCTGGTCCTTACGCAGGATTTGCCCGGACGCAACCTGCTCCTGCTCCCTGGCACCCATATACAAATGCAGTCAGGACAGGACCGATGATGCCTCCTTCTCGCGAGCACTTCAAGCATAATCCACCTTCTATCGTTTATGCCCCTTCCAATAATTCTCGTACAAACTATCACCCTCCAGCCATTCTTTCCTATCGCCCTACGGCAGGCCCGAATCGCATCTTTTACAGTCACTCGGTACCTCCTGCCCAAGCTCAGATAGCTAATGCAGGTTACCCATCGGTACATGGCAGCTATGCTCCACAGGAAGAAAGAGTCCACCACCATAAGCGATCGTCAGAGTTGCGGCATTCTTCTTCACATCATAGAGACAGAAGTGTCGGTAGTGCGAAAAGTGGCAAAAGTAGTAAGAGTAAAGATACCACGTCAAGAAGACATGGACGTGATCGATCCCGCTCTTTACCTCTCGAGCAGGAATATCCACCCAATCCACCCTCAGAACACTATCGGCATCCCCATCATCATCGTCCGCGTCCCCCATCCCCAACGGGCAGCCATGGTTCGGGTAGTACATATTACGTTCTCCCAACTGCGAGGCAAAAGGTTCATGTTCTGGTACGTACTTCTTTGTTCTACCAACGGCTTGGCAATTAATTTCTAGTATTCTTTTTCATTTTGGATGTATTAGCGTTCACCAGATACGCTTTACACTGCAACTACCACGACACAATCTCCTACGACTCCCATTTCGCCCACTGGGAGTATTAAAAAACCGTTCTTACAAAGGTTACTCGGTGGTTTCGCCGAACGATTCTCGTCATCTGGCTCATCTAAAGGATCGTTACGAAGACGCCACTCTACAGGCACACGTCCACCTGATCCTGTGTCTGGACACTAGTGCTTGTAACTTCTACATTTCTGGAACTGAACTGGATTTCTACGCTTCCCAGGAAAACATACGATCGTCCACTTCCTTGCTCACGACTATTCCTTGTAAGATTCGCTTTCATATATACTCTTGATCTATTTATACTTGCTGCGGGCATCCTTCCTTTCCTTTCAATTGATCATGGATATCTAGGGAACTGTGTTCATTGTTCTATCCATTGTGGGTATCTTCTTCTCTACACATTTTCTTCGGAATGTACATCTGTCTCGTTCATCCTAGGCGTGATTTCTTGCAAGGCCTTCAGCTTAATTTATAGCTCTAGTGCTTTGTTTATTTTCTTTCCACTTTGTTTGTCAAAACTCTGCATCACCTTTGTTCATCTGTTTATGCGGTAGAATGAAATTCTAAAAACACCGGTTTTGAATCAGGAACGTTCAATGATACTTCCACACGTCGACTTCCATGTACTCTTAATAACTCGATAACGAGCTCACAGACGTCTTTCCTAACGCAGTCATAGATTTTGCGGTGAATGAGTGGAACGGAGGAAATGAAGTCGTTAAACATAGCCCAGAATATGATCAGCTGCAAAGAAGTAAATTCCTACCGACATCTCGTTTTTAGAATAGAAGCAACGTTACCGCCGGAACAACGGTTGAATTTTTTCCCTGACAAGGACACGATCGCGCTTTGATTCCCTTTGAACGGTTTGTGATTGAAGTTCAAGTTCGAAAAAGTGTATCACATACAAAATGGAAGGAATTCTGAGTGTTATGAATGAATTCATAATTCATCATAATACGCTCGGCCCTCGTAAAGAGATCCGTCAGTTAACGCTTGGTCGATGCGCTGGAGAAAAACTCTCGTACCAACTGGAACACTCTACTTACTCAATGTTGAACTTGTAATGTCTTCCAGGTCACGTTCAAGGTCTGTAAAGGCAATACGTTTCATGATGCATGTACTGTACAATGAACTTCAAAGTGATACAAAGGTAATTATTCTTTCGTTGAGGCAGGAATCGTAACTGGGGTCGCAACAATTTGAGGAAGGTATCCTCCCGAATCATCAGATCTATAAACACGAATCACCTTCCAACCAGTTTTAGCCAGTAGCTCAACCATGTGCACCAGGGTCCTCTCCTGAGCGTTGAAATGGACAAACATGGATAAATCGGCAAAATGTGTGGAGGCGTTGGCAACACCTAGATTTGCTAATAGAGGTGAAGGGGGAGGAACCAGATTCGCACCAGGTATGTCAGAGGGAGGAGAGGGACAGGGATGGACAATAATGGTGTCCACAATGACCAATGTGGTTGTTGGAGTTGCAGCATCACGAAGTCTCTGAAGTATTTGAACAACGTAACGGTCGGACCAGTCGTGAGTAATTTGCTTCAGCAAGAACACGGTGGCAGAGGTTTGAGGCTGAGTGTCAAAGAAGTTGTGCTCTGTAAATAAGAGATAAGCGGGAATACATGACGCGGGCTTATAGTGAACGCACCGTGGTATTCAATCTTCCCGGATTCCAATGCAGCTGGAAGTAGTTTTTGACAATGCTAGTTCTATTGTTCAGTTCCGACGCATCCTATGTGAAGAGTTGGATATACCTCTGTACCAAGCTTGAGGACCATTGCCCGATCCTGAACAATACATTTCAGGTGGTCGAACGCGCGGGCGATGCTGATAGAAGAAACACCAATGCCCCCTCCGACATCGACAATGACACTTCCCTGCGGTAGAGAAGCCCAATCAAAGCCTGATCGTGTGGTCAGCAAATGCGTGGGCGAACACTCCTGGAAAATCACCTTTGAGAATAGCATCGGGCGGTTGTAGGCTGTTAACTCCGTTCATGGCGATTCCGAACCGGCGCAGACGCATCTCGTTCGAGGGTTCCTCGAACCAAGACCACATACTTCCTTTGTCGTAACCGAGTGCGGTCATCAAAGGAGAGCGCTCGGGGGTATCTTCAAAAGCAGTCTCGGGGGCCATGATATGGTCCGCTATTTGTCCTGCTCCTTTGTAATCTTCGTCGGCACTGTTGGCAAACTTGTCAATCACTTGGAATTAGTCTACTTCACGTTGGAATGAACCTACCAATGGCCTATCAAAGCCGCGATACCATTGGTGCCATTAAACTTCGTCATAGGACTGCGGCAAGTTGTCAGAAACTTTGAGATTACCATCCCTGTAAGGACTCGCCTTTCTTTTATCTCCTCGAGTGACTTTTCTGTGTCCCATACAGAAGAAAGACGATTGTTTACGTAGATGTCGGGTCCTATTTCCCGGAAAATGTGATGGGTGGCCAGATAGCACAGGATACTAGCTTCAGAGTAAAAAAAGAAGTCAGAATAGATCGAGTGGGTTGAAAGGAGAAGAACTATATACAAAGTTTGGTAGGATCAACCTGGGCTTTCTTTGCAATGTCCTTCACATGCATTCCCTATGGGAGCATGAGCATGGTAGAGGATATCGAACCAGGTGTGACGAATCACTCACCTGAGGCCCCGCCTCTCGAAGAATCTCCACGATGTTGGTCTCCATTGCTGCTCTAAGAGCAGAGGGTAAGTAATACTGTGATAGCCGCCATGAGTATAAATCAAATGCTCGGAATAAGAAAAGTTACCCCGAAAAGACTATTGAAGATATACGATGGCGGAAGCTGAGCAGTCGCGATGAGCTGATAGGCCGCAGATGTCAACAGTGCAGTCGCTGCTTGAACACTGGGCTGCAAGCGAATAGCGTCGCATTCACTGGGCGGTTCATCGATAGACGGAAATTCAGATCCATGTTTCACGAATTCGGCTTCAATATCATCGATAGATTTCTGAATAATGCTCAGAAGGCTGCGTAATTGGGTAGCCATTCGAGAGACGAGAGAGATTCCTTCCTAGTCTGTTCCAACGTCGAATGGATGGGTGATAAAGTAAAATTTTGGTTGATTTTTGGCGGTATTAAGTACTAGAGGAATCGGCAGAAAATGATCCTGCCATATTATTCCCATTTATCTGAAAATTGCATGCATGCAAGATGAGTACTGTTTTTACGAGACTATCCACTGGCACTCGGCTTCCGTGGTCCACATTCCGGTCCACCCACAGCACGTTAATTTATCGATTGCATCCCAAGCGTCCGCGTATAGTCGCAGAAATTCAAAAGCCAGGTCGGTTCTGTAGACGATGACGCCTCCACATGTTCGTTGAACTTCTAGAACACCAGAACAAAGAGGGAATGAAAGCGGATTAGCGGCACGCGGAAGTTGAGCCAGTGTTGATTCTTGAACCTACTTAATTCGGAAAATGACAGGAAGATCCCGGATAGAGATAGGCAAGTGAGAGCACAGAAAATGGTAGCGACGTCTAAATTGAGATCGAACTGAATGATTGCAGTGGTATGGATGTACCTTGCTCAGGTGGAATGAGGCGGAACTCTAGTGTGAATCAGAAAAAATGTGAGGGATTAGTTTTTGACTAGTTTTGCGATGAATGTACACGCACCGTAGTGTACACCTGAACAAGCATGTGTGTGTGGGTATCATGGCATGAGCCCTGTAAGGATGCACTTGAAGAACCCGGGAAGAGCAAGCACACCAAAAGGAAAACATCCCCAGTGGTATTAGTAAGTATTAAATAAAACAGTTCCACGTAAAGAAGCAGCTAGTGAGAAACATGTTAATGGCCGTATCAAGCCTCAGGCGGGACAGATATTAGATTCATATATCACCATTAGAAGCAATGAATTGAAGTAAACCGTCGTTGAAGTTCTAAAGAAAGAGATTATTATCGTTCTGGTCACACGGTATTGAGCGCTTACAGTGCTCAGCTCTTCTTTCCGCTGAACATCCACAATGTCATCACGACCAGACATGCTTCAAGCCACGCCAATCCAACTGGTGCGTTGTCTATATCTTGGAATGTGCTATCTCCGTATACTTGATAGAAGGATTAACACACGCACGCATACAATTTACAGCGTTCACTAATTGTCGATTACTTGGCACACAACGGATACTCCAACACCGTTCGAGCCTTCGTGCGCGACAGCGCCATTCGACACATCGACGTCGATGGAGACGAAGTTGTGCAACCTCAAATGGCCTCTACACTCAGTCCAAACCTCTCGGAGTCACTGGAATCAAGTTTGAAGCAGGCAGAACTACGAAAGCGTGAGCAAGATTGAAGTACGTATCTGCAGAACAGTGTCAATTCCTAACTCCTTGATTTAGAAATACGGACGGAAGTGCGGTGCGGTCGGATAGATGAAGCTATCATGCTCCTGAACAAGTACTTCCCTGAAGTTCTCTCCTTATCGTCTTCACTGCGATTCGAAGACACGCTGGTTTCGTCGAGCAAGATGGACTATCTCGCCCCCAACAGTGTCTATTCTTCTCATCTTGTGTTGAATCTACGGATACAAGCGTTTATAGAGGCCTGCCGAACAACTCCCTTGGCGTGTCCTCCTGATTACACTACTTCCGAGTCACCCTCCTCCCCACCCTCATTCAAAGTTCCTCTAGATACGATTGATCAACAGACGGCATTATTGAATAACGCACAGAAACTATACGCTGTTGTGAAGATGCTGCCGTCCGAAGAAGACATCTCGCGATACATGAAGGAACTAGAATCTGTCACTGGCTTACTCGCATACCATGTACCGGAAGACAGCCCAGTATCCGAGTACCTCGCTCAAGAGAGACGGGAGGCCGTCGCAGATCAAATTGACTATGGCATACTTTGTAAGTCTAGTCTGCGCGTCGAACGATTAGTTATGGTATATGATTTTTTGGCGGCAGATCATGTAAAGCGCCCTGTTATATCATACCTGGAACTGTACGCCAGATACATATCCACGATCTCGGATATACTCAACAAGCTTGGTGTAAAACCTCCTCCTGGCATGATTAATCCCTCTACTGTTGCTAAAACTACATCCAATTCAAAGGGCGAGGTACAGGAGGTCAGTTGTGGAATTGACATTTTGTGGTCAGGCTAATCGAAAATACGTCTAGATATGGCCCTCCTTCAACCTTCAAGAGTTCGTTAGCACAAGTTAAATTTCGATTCGGCATCACTTTCGCCTTGTATATCAGTGTAGTAACAATTACCAATTCATAGCATTTTATCCAACACAGGTAATTTATTGTTTGTACTGTTCCATTGTACACACATACGTATCTATCATTTGTTATAACAAGTATTATCCGAGTACAACTTCTACGTCGTCCCATCTTCCTTTGTTCAATCTAGTGAGCATTCCTTCCGGAATATAACATTCTTTCCATCCTAAAACCTGAAGCTGGGTCCATCGTTCCCAATCGATCCTGTCAATACTCTTTGAAGTGTCGGATGACATGACAGTGAGCCACAAGTTATAGGAAAGGTCTAGTACGATTAGGGATGGGCAATGGACAGGTAGCCGGTGCAGAGATATCGGATGCTCGAGGTTTATCAAGGCCAGGTGAGTTATTGTCAGTGGGAAAGTCGAGACCGTCGACACAGATAGACGAGTTGATAGGACAATCAAACACTGCAAGCCACTGGGAGTCGTCTGATCTTCAGCATCCCAATGTTCGCGCTCCTGAGCCTTGGACTGCAAAAAATGATCGGCATGAAGAGACACGGACGGCCCAGTGACGAGGAGCTCGCCATTGACGTGACCTTCTGATGAAAGCAAAGCACGCAGCTTGGGTTTGGACAGGGGATGGTGGATAGCCGCGTACCGTACGAGTTCCAGGCGTAAATGCGCCGGAAGACAAGGTGTAATATCTTCGATGGACTCCGGAGAAGAACATTCTGAGAGTAATTTAGCAAGACATAATTGAGTCAGAGACAAAATGTTCAGTGTGAATTTCTGTGACGAAGGTCGTTTATGAAAAATCAAAGACAGTGCTTCTGACCGCCAGGAAGGAGAATTTCGGTCATCTCCTCCTATTGTAAAGGGTTTTATCCAGCTTTTCGGCGGAGAAGGACCTGAATATCCATTGGAAGTTCTCGGAAAGTTGATCTGTTGTTGTGCAGCAGACGTTTCTTGGGAAGAGTAATCAAGATTGAGCAGTCGAGTAGTGAGAGCGTTTTGAGCATTAATAGCACTCAATGAGTCATTAGAGCGATTGAGATTCTGAGAGTGTCGAAATTGCTCCCCTCTGCGGAGTTGTCAGTGAGATGACTGTATCAAGTATAAGTTGGTGACTTGCCTCAATGTGTGAAGCATATCACTGACTCTGCCAGGCGCATATTGTGAATGTTTTGGTTGATACGTCATGTTTCTTCCCAGAAAAATGTTTCGACCACCATCATTCTAAGTCGACCTGGAACACTAAATGGCAGTGAGACTGGGACAGTGGCCGTGGGAATATAGTGCTGACACACCTATCATGTGATTAGACTACAACCGATCGTTGATTTTAGCTAACTCCCGTTCTGGAATCTAGATTCGATTATCTCAAGATCTCAATATTCCTGCCAACAATTCTCTACCATACCCATGCCATAGGTCAAGAATACTCTGCGAAGCTCTTCCTTGGGATATGCGGAAAATCAAGCGTCTAACAACTTCACTATCAAATTTCAGCCCCTGCTTGAGGCTACCCCTTCATGCCCCCTCGAATGCTACTGTCTCAGACAATATTTTTTATATAAATATCGACGTGCAATGTCCATCTTCCTCAAACTATCTTCATCTCATATCATATCAACGATGTCTACAATCACCTCTACCAATGCTACTCTATATGCCCAAATCTGGTGCTTGATCTATTCGAATGTCGCCGTCGTCGTTGTAAGTTTCAATCGTTTTATCGTCATTGGCTGGCATCGATTGACGCTGTTATAGGGAATCCTTTCCACGATAGTGATCTTGATTCATCCATCTGCTGCGCCTCCCATGCCTGAAAGGAGACGGGTCTCCAGTCATCGACTACGACTCGCCCCTTCTATAAGTTCAATCGAAACCAAATCATCGACTGAATCTACTACCTCTACCCTGGTGGAAGGAAATACTTCATCTACCTCACCTGCACACTCGTCTGAAGATACTGCCCGTTAGTAAACTTTTTGACTGCGTTCAACTCTGTACTGATTGCTTATTTTGTTAGTGCCCCAAGCTAAACAAGCTCACCGCCCCAGTATCTCCTTTATGAATACCACCGTTGTTCTTCCGACTTCGAAAGATCTTACTCGTCCAATGAAACCAATAGCTCGTCGCATAGTTTCCTCGTCGCACATTGTCTCGCATACTTTCAAAGACAGTATCGTTACACCCACGTCGAAAATGACCGCGCAAATACTCCCTGCGTCAAAAGCTTCTTCCCAGAAAACTGCCAAAAAGGTCGCTTTTCTGACACGTCAAAGTTTCAAAGCCACAAAAAAATTCGTCGGTAACATGTAAAACCCGGGCAGTCATTAGGCTGATGCTCAACGGCGAGGAAGCAATTATAACCCTTATTCACAATCAGACTTCGTGTTCGTGTTAAATCTCGCTCTGGAAGAATGGACTTCATACGTATGCAAATGCTGGCTTATTTATACCCTCTTGTACTACCAATTGTGCAACTCAAAACTCCTGTATATATTTATATCGATACCTATCATTATTGTAGCATTATGTCGTACAAAAATACCAGTCATCCTGTTTGGTTTTTCGAAAGTGGTGATTACATTTTAATTTTTCAGGGTCTAAGTACTGTATATCCGCTTTTCAATTATGTTTTACAACAATTTGCGAATTTTACCGTGGATGCGGCCTTTGTACTTCGGGCTCATTAACAATGCTCTGCAATCTCCTGCAATGGCGTATTCTTCAATCAAAACCGCGATAGCATACTATGTAATCGTTTTCCGAATGAAACTTTTTTTCGACATTTAAGTACTTCAGCATGATAAACCGATTTTATCTGTCAGTAAAGGTACTGATTTTATGTGAAGTACAATGTGAAATTAGCAGAGCATGTAGGTGCACATATTTATTCCCGAGGTACAAAGGGACTAACTCTATACGCAGGTGCTTCAATTATTGACGGTAGGGTCTTAGCCATCTCTAAAGTTCCAGCAGGGAACGGTAAATCGTCCACTCCTTTAGGCAGAACCTTCTCGTACAATCCTTTTGCCTGATTGTGACGGCCCACAGCAGCAAGCTTCTTGGCATCGCGAATCATGACCTGCGCATCGTCGACGCCAGGAACAGCTCCTCGCAGATATATAAGGTTGAGGCTAGTATCCACTCGAACAACTGCCAAGTTCTGCGTTGTGATACGTTGACCGCCCATGCGAGCAGCCATTTTTTTCCCAGGCCAAATCCTTCCAGGGTCCTGCGTGAGGCAAAGGGTTAAAGGAGGTTTCTCCAACAAGTTAAAATGATACAACGCACTTGATGTGCACCAGTAGCACCAGCAGAACGATGTGAAACGGAAACACCATGGCTAGCTCTCAGACCTTTAAAGTTCCAACGCTTCATTCCACCTTGGAAGCCCTTTCCGATGCTAGAATATGAAGTACAGGTATGAGAGGCAAGAGTGAAACGCATAGGTATATACCACGTACGATTTCGCAATGACATCAACATACTGCCCGGGCACGAAATGTATCGCTGAAAAAGTGGTCCCTACGCCGGTGTTAGTAACTGCTTTAAACGCTTTCAGAACACATACCAATTGGAACATGAGCATCTGATGTAATTGAGAACTCCTTCACGATACGTTTCGGGTTGACTTTCGCTTTCCGGAAATGACCTTGCATTTGTCTTGTCGTTCTTTTCAACGGCTTGTCTGAAGCGGCGACCTGAACAGCGTGGTATTCCGACTTGTCCTGACGAGTGGTTACAATATTGGCTGTAACTTGGCAATTTTCTAACTACAGCTGGATTATTTTGGGGGAATTTATACAATGTGAAAACACACTTACTTGAAGGACAGTAACTGGTAGTCGAGCGCCCTGATCATTCCATAACGCAGTCATCCCTCGTTTACGTGCAATAAGCCCTGTCCGTATTGAGTCGGGAGTCCATTTAGTAGGCGGTGAAGGCGCGTTTGAGGAGACGAAGGAAGTCGAGGCCGCTACGTTGGATGAGCTATGAAGGCATTTGAGAATCAAGTTACGATGTGGCTTCTGTTTCAACGTCCATAGCCTGAGCATCGTCAGAGCCAAGTCAGAGCGTGCTCGACTGAAGGGAAGAGAGATATTTTAGGGTTAAGGTCCAAATCTCCTACGGGTCTGGGTAGGTCTCTCACTTATTATTTAGTCCATGCTCAAATCTCTTCCCTAACATCCACACATCCGATGGAATGGAATTTTGGCCTGAAGATAAGCAAAGCCATGTACAAGACAAATTTAGGCGTGTTGGAAAGGGCAAGGGGAAAGCTTTGCCTTCTGGCACATCCTACCTAGAGCTCGGTCGTCTCGAAGCTGTTACACTGATTGAAAACAAAACAAATCTGGAGTGGATTTCACCTCTTCGTAGTCGAGGAGGTATGTGCATCAAATATGCCACTAACGGCCCTTCACATTTGAAACCTTGCCCAGGTCCAAAACTCACGCCGGGAGATTCTGTTGAAGTATTTGGACCAACTCGCCCACCTCCAGTGCATGTTCCATCGACATCTATCGTACATCGTGCTGAACAAGGGGTGCGCCATTTTCTATTATCTCGACTGTCATCCACTTATAACGATGAATCAGGCTAATTTTCTTCGAACGTACTTTCCCGACATTGAGATCGCCGCGGAGTTGGTTAGGGAGGAGCTATCTACGGATGCACAGTTCACTCGCGACTTGGAGCAGTATGACCCTTTTTCCAGAAACGTACTTGAATTGCTGTACATGCCAAATCTTCCGGATACGCCTAAGTTTTTGGCGTTTCCTATGGGTGTTACTGGGTCTGATCTGAGTCCGTTTACCTTATCGAGGTTAATACCATTCTTGCTGAGTTTAGCACTTAGGTATTTACTCCCTTAACGGCCTGGGAGACAACAACATGTCTTTTCAGGCCTCTAGCGAGACGGTCAAGTCATTTACGACGCCTGTGCTACAGTTGGTGTCCTCTCAGATCCTGGCCAACAGCCCAAACATGTTTCTAGCTGTCCGAACGATGGGTTCTACAACATTACTTCGCGCGCGCTACACTCCTGATTTCCCACAGGCGAACTTCACAGAGCTGTCTAACATTACACGAGATGATACCGGAGAGCGTTCATCTGTCGATATCAAATTCCACTCGAAGCAGTCCGACGTACTTTTTGTCAATGAAGAAGGCCGTCTTTACAAGAGTGGCATAGAAAACGGACAATTGTCAGTCGCAACTGAAGTTATCTCTGGAATCGCTCAAGCTTATGGCTATGTTTTAAGACGCACCGCTTACCATGGGATCAAAAACTATGATAGTGCGGATAAGTACTGGCGTTTAGCAGTGGCTGGAGACAATGAGGATGGCTGTCTACTCTCTTCAAGTAAAATTGTTCAAGAATTAGATTTCAGAGTTAGTCCTTCTTTCACTCTTCAAAACGCAGTCTCATGTTAGAAAAGACAGACGGTGTGGCATTGAACCTTCTTGGTATTGACACAACTACAGGCGAAAAGCTGACTTGGATTGAAGATTCAGAGGATAGTTATCTGATTCCACTCGTCTCTACGGATAGAATACTATGGTTGGATCGTCGATTTGCAGGAAAGCCCCTCCTTGGAATAAAACATGGACGCAACTACGATCGTACCTTAGCTTTGCGTACTGTGATAATACGTGGTAGTGAGTTGACTCGAAACAGTTTCTACTTTCTCGTCTAAACATCGTACCCTAGTCCATCATTCCCTAATGACGAGTCGTAAGAATAAACTCATCACTGTATACGACGTGTCTCGTTCAACCGAGCAGCTTTTGCATGCAGACAATGCTCCCTATTCTTTTTCAGTCAATACACGTGAGAATCGTTTCTCTGGGGATGCCTATGTCAATATGGGAGACCAATACAAAATGTTCCGAATTTCCGAACGAGGTCGTCTCACTTGTGTTGACTTGAAGCAAAGTGGCAATGATATCACATCCTCTTTTGCTGCGACCCAGTTTTTTCCCTCCAGAACAAATGACATTCCGGCGATGCGTCCAGATCTCGGTCCTGCAGGAGCCCGGGAATTTAGTCAAACGAATTTACGACCTGCATATGAGCGTGAGTCTTCCAAAATTCGTCGGAATTTTTGATCGCTCGTAAACACCCTCCCGTTAGAACTTTTTCCCAGTATAGTTTCTATAGATACACAGGAGGAGAAAAACTCAGAGGCTGTTTATGATCTGCTCGAGCAATTACCCTCCTTTTGGCAACAAGATACACCGATTGAACAGGTTTTGACGACGTGAGCTACCTTCATTGGACTCCTTATAAATGCGTTCAATTTAGGGTTAGATATGACATCTTGTTTCGAACGGGTGATGAGCCTGGACATACCTCTCGTGCCGATTTCTTGACTGAAACTGTCTTTAATTCAACAAGAGGATATCGAATTCTGCTGCAAGATCGGCTGCCTGTTCAAAGTTTGATGGATGGCGTTTCTTGGTACTCTGACATCGCTCCCATAATGAATCACTTCGACGAGAGCACCGTTGGAAACATACGCTCAATTGCAGAACGTTTCCGGTCTTTCGACTTGTCCTTAAGTCCTGATCATCCCATTCAAGCCTCGAGGAGACAAAACAAGGCTCGTGAACAGCTGGCTCTTGACCTCACCTTGTCCAAAGATATATTTTCCACCCAACGATTCACACAATTTCCGCGTACTCCAACAGGTGATTGTACCGAAGCTTCGGGCCCTTCCGCTACCGTCCACTTTCACTACTTACAACCAATGCCGAGACGTGACCATTATTCAAGGGAAGAACAACAGGAAGACAAAGTCAACTTTCCGTTTGGGGTTGGTCTACTTTTAGAAGACTGGGATGTTGGAGTTGACCCAGATAAATACATCTACAACAATACGTACGACGTTAAAGCGGAACCTAATTTGGAGACGACGCCAAAATTGAGGGTGCAGCCTGTTCAATCCCAAACAACTTTACTTCCCAGTTCTCTGTCTCAATCACAGATGCCTCCATCTATCGCCATTTTGCCTGTAAATCAGCCATTGGCTCTTCCTCTCCGCGTCTCAGGCGTCCAAAGTCAGATGACAGAGCCTACAGAAGTGGAATCCCAGGTTCTGATGACAAGTACGCAAGTGCTACCAGGACCATTCGGAGGTCGACCAACTGCGGTGGGTAAGAAAAAACCTGCAAAGAAACGTATGGGGGGTTTTTGATAGTCTTCACGGTATAGTAGCCTGTAAACTCGTGTTACATTTGGTGTATACCAATACGAATAGAAGATATATGTATCTGAAGAATGTTACGTCGAATTACATAGATGATAGGACGTTCCGCGTTCCCGGAAGTTGCCGAAAGGCGTGGTGGAGTTCTTCCTTCCTTTATACCATTTACTCCAACATACACTGATCTCGTATAGTTGTCGATTTCAGTCAGTCGTGCGTTACACGCCAGGGAATGATACTGGACTGAGCGCAAGCCCAGCCAGCACGCTATATGGATGGAAAAAGGTATGTGTGGGTTCTTTAAAGCATTGACCAACATTTGGACGCGCTTTTTTTTTCAGAACGTCTGATCCGGTGTACTCGACGGCGTTCAATGACTTCCTTGGGCGTACGGTGCTCTCTATTACTCCTTTATGTTCCATCCGCAAGTTTTTTGTTGCAGGAAATAAGGCGGTCGTGACCGCATTGTCTGCTAGCTGCATCTCTACATTCGCAGGCTATCCCGTAAGTTTGTAAAACTCCTACATCATATGCTGGGTATTGAGCTGTATGGCTTTAGCTGGATTCACTCAAATCAAGGCTGCAAACAACCAAAACACCGATATCTGTACCTCGACTCGCTTTAACCGTCTATCGTGATGAAGGCATCTCTGGCTTTTACCGAGGTTTGGCGATCCCCCTTCTGACAATATCATTCGTTCGTGCGTACTTGGCCCCTTTTTCTTACCTTGCGCGATCTGATATTTCAGAGTAGGCGCCGCAAGTTTTACAATCTACAATTCGACGAAAGACTATTTCAAGAAACGCGAATGGCTTGTTCGAGACAGTATAGTTGATGTTTCGATCATTGGCGGTGAGCTTATTGCAAAGTACTTCGAAATGGCGTAGTTTAACAGCACGTTATAGGGATAAGTGGCGCTATGTCTGGAGCCCTCATCTCCGTTGGAAGTACCCGTAAGAATTTCGGTGTCTTTCACTCTGTGAAATTTCATTCTTCCGACAATAGCTTTCGAACTTGTCAAAGTCAGACGCCAATTGGAATATACTATTGCGAGCAGCAAAGGTATTCATCTCTCAAGAGCTCCAGGGACCTTTGAAGCTGTGAGGGACATATTCAGAACGAGTGGAATTGCAGGTCTCTATACTGGGTTCAGACTACATTTCAGTGAGTCATTGCAATTATTCACGGTCGTCACTCATTCGAATGTAAATATCTGTTTCAGCTCGCGATACTACTGGGACTATGCTTTATTTCCTCGAATACGATGGCATGCGGTATCTCCTGGGCAGACAAAGGTCCGGTGAACAAGGACCTATTCCAGCAGGGCTTCCCATCCCCGTTTCATTAGCACCGTTTGTTTGTGGCTCGTTCGCCGGGGTTAGTACATCGTTTCCTATGCTCCCTACGTTGAAACTAGAACGCATCTTCCTCGATAGGTCACTTCCTGGGCTCTTATATATCCGCTCGACGTGTAATAATCTTCGATTGATCCATTCCGGATATATTGTACTAACAGGCATATATTTTTAGGGTCAAAACTAAAGTACAGCAACGAGCTCTGGCTGGTGAAAGATACAGAGGTCCATTCGAAACTTTTCATCGACTTATTCGAGGTATTGTATCAGCGTACATATATGGACATCGTAATATTAACCAAACTCAGGTCCGGATCCCAATAAACCAAAACCCTTCCTCGCTGGCGTCGCTCGTATTTACCGTGGCTTGGGTGTGAGTGCTGTGCGTAGCATCACTACCCACGGTCTCCTTTGGACTTTCTTCGACCTGGTTGCCAACTATATTGACAGCTTGCCTAAACATGGGTGAACTTACTTCTCCACCAAAACCACTTCCTGTTTTGCATTGCTATCATTGTACCTCTGTCACTCTATTCTACTCTAAATTTCACCGACGCGTAATTTTGAACACCACGCGGTCTTATGTGCACCCCACCGCCATACGAAAGTAGCTGTAAAGTATACGACCGTTGTTATTCTGCCAATACATTGCATCGCATCTCACTTGCGTAATTTATCTATTTTGCACACGAAGTGAGCCAAGTAATTTGTACAACTTTGTTCATCGACTTTGCACATAGTCGTCAATTTTAAGCAGAAGACATACTGTCTCTGTGGCAAGTTCAACCGCACTAGTGGAAACGAGTAGAGGCTGCACTACATCTTCCTCCAAAATATTGGATATGAGACCCTACGAAAGGAGTTAATTTGTTGTTCCTAATAACACACAAGGTTGATGCGCACCTTTCTAACATTGATACCCGCCGTCCTCTCACCGAGAGCATGGCGATTCCGTAGTTCAGTTACGATTGCGATAGGATTGAGGCCAGCATTTTCAGCGAGCGTCGTCGGAATCACCTCTAGGGCATCTGCATATGCCTGGAAACAGTAGGCTTCCATGCCCTTGAGTGATTGTGCATACTGTGAGAGCATCCTAGACACATGGATTTCTGGCGCACCACCACCGCCAATCAGTGCCCTATAGAAAGATGAGAAAGCCTACAAATGCAAGACACAGAGTGACTTACCGTTTCTTGACCAAACACCGAACGACACAGAGAGCATCATGTAAACTACGCTCGCACTCCTCTACTACCAGATTGTTGCTTCCCATCGCCAGAATACTTACAGTTCGACCTCGATTTTTGATACCAGTAATCTTCACGACCTTCACTTCATCTGCAGAAGTCTCCTCAACAAGGTCTGCGTAACCAAGTTTATCTTCGGTGAAGGCCTCGATGTCCGCAATTGGCTTGCAGCCCAAGCTCTTTGACAAAAACTCAATCTCGTCACGTTCAACGTCCTTTACGACCAAGATGTTCAGCCGCTTCAAGAAATTAAGCGAGGTGTCATCAACAGCATCACGAAGAATGGATTTTTGGAGAAGAAGAACGTTGCAGTTGGCTTTCTTGATTTTCTTGCACATGTTGAGCAGGTACTGTCGTCCCTCCTTGATGACTTTGTCCATCTGACGATAATCATTGATAACGACGGTGTTATCCATCTTTTGAACAAATCAGTAGAAGACAAGTCGCTTCAAGTAGAAAAAGACCAACATCCGGTTTCGGTGCAGATAATTGGAATTGTGCGATGGCAATTTTGGCCTTTTCGACCCGGGTCGGTCCACCAGCTGCAGTGACAACGTTTTGATTGAGTACGACCCCTTCAACTAGCTCGGTGTCTTCGATTGTGCCACCAATTTTCTTGACCACACGGATGTCTCGAAGGTCGACATTCGAAGACGTTGGTGTTACCAGACGAGTGACGGCGGCGACAGCGATGGGTGCTAATGTGGATGAGTACTGAGATACGATCTACGAAAATTTATGGGCTGTTTAGGCATCGATCAGGTGAGTCCATGAGTACATACCTTGGAATTGAGAGATGTGCTCGCCGCACGCAGAAGACTGGGTTTGTCATTTAAGTCCACGGGAGTTGAGATGTCAGTCAGATATTCCGTAGCTTTTACGGAAGCTTTGAGAAATGACTCGGCTACAAGAGTAGGATGGATTCCTTTCTGGAGCATTTTTTCTGCAGCACCAAGAAAACTTCCGGCAAGGACGACAACCGAGGTCGTGCCATCTCCCGCCTCTACGTCTTGAGCAGCCGATAGGTCAACGAGCTAATCTGAAACAATCAGATGGTGTGAAGGATGAAGTAACGAGTACTTGCCATCTTGGCTGCGGGATGTAGCGCTTGTATGCTCTTCAGAATAGTAGCACCGTCATTGGTTATGATGGTTTCGCCTTTAGCGGTTTGGATCTAGGTTGATGTAAATTAAAGATATTAGAGATGTAACAATCAAGACAATACATACCATCTTGTCCATTCCTCTTGGTCCCAGAGAAGTCCGCACAGCGTCACTAATCGCTGAAAAACTAGATCGGCTCAAAATTCTTTAAATGATAACAGATGAATGCACCCTTTGCGGCGACCATATTTGACAATCTAAGCTCCATAGGTTTACCCTATTAAACGCGTCAAAAAAAAGTCCTATCCTGTTACGAGCACGCATCACCTTGTCATTAAAAGTGGCATTGGATCCAGAAAGAGTTTTCGTTACACCCTGCTGGGCTGGAGCCGGACCTCTGGATGCCATGAGGAAAAAGTAGAAGGAGTGAAAGTAACGTGATTGTTATAACATTACGCGTTCACTATTCAGCTGTACTAAGCACTTTAATTACTTTGTTCTCCTACAATCATGGCTTTTGTACGCTCACAACTCTTGATCGTTATCTTTTTCGCTCACATTTCTTTACAGTTCAATCATCAAGGGCCTGGTGGAATACTCAATCAACTCGCAGGGTAAGATATCCCCCCATATGAAAGATCGGAATACTGACGAGGCATCAGAGGACTAGCCCAAGGCTTTGGCCCGTCTATGGGTCGAGCACCTCCAAAAGCATACAATGAATATCTCAAAGCCTATAGTGTTGCTATGATGCCTGGCAAAGAACGGGCCAATGTTTCATATGGTGGCAAGAGTACGCGTCAGCTTTATCGTATCTGAATACACAATTCGTGACATACGACGTGTTACAGTTATAATGCCTCCTTCGTCGCTGGCTCGCTTAACGGCCTTGGATCTCCAATCGCCGTGGCAATTCCAGCTACGCAATCCATCGAATCCGGCTGCCGAAACGCATGCAGGTGTTCTCGAGTTCATCGCCGAAGAAGGCGTGGCCTACCTACCTTACTGGATGATGAGGACACTCAGACTCAATGAAGGTGATCCGATTCGTATAACTGGTGCTGAGTTGCCAAAGGGCAAGTTGGTCAAATTGCAAGCACAATCTGTACATTTCTTGGAGATTTCTGATCACAAAGTAGTGTAAGTCAACGCTTCTTACATGTGATTCAATTCTAACGCAGAGCCACCTTCCAGGCTCGAGAATCAGTTGCGCAACTTTTCAACTTTGACCCAAGGTGATATCATTGAAATATGTTACAACTCTATCGTGTTTGGGCTCTTGGTCATGGAGACTTCCCCCGGTGGAGGAGGTATAGACATCCTGGACACGGATCTATCGGTCGATTTTGCAGCGCCTGTGGGTTACGTCGAACCGGAGAAGCCAAAAGCTGCCCCTCCGCCTACAATGGCTTCAAAGTTCAAGATCGATATCAACTCTGTCTCTCCCGGCTCCTCACGACCTGGATCCTCCTTGAGCGGCGGCTTTGCGGGTTCCACTGCTGGACAAAATGTTGTTTCCAAAGACGGTGACACCTGGGAGAGTTTCAAAGGAAAGGGTGAAACGCTCGCTGGGCGTAAAACCAAAGGGAAGGGGATAAGTCATCGTAAAGTGGAGCAGGTGGCGGAAAGTAGCAAGATTATTCGAACCGAGTAGGTTTATTTGCTTTCACCTGCTCGACTTTCGTCACTAAGATCTATTTAGTAATCGCCGGATTGTCTCGAACGACACGCTTGAAGATAACAGCAAGGTCCCTGCTGCTCTCAATTTACCATTCGGACAACTATTCTTTGGTTACAATATAACACCTTATGTACCACCTGCGACTGACGACACTCCCACGTCACCGACTGTAACCCAGGTATGTTTTTCGAGATCTGTGAATCTTCTTATCTCATGATTGTCTTCAGGGATCCGTCGCATTCTCGGGCTCTGGACGTTCTCTAAACGGTCGCTCGACAGGATCTCAACCTTCAACTTCTGCTAAGGGAAAGGCAAAGGCATCTGATGAATCTTCGCCACAGTCTTCTGCTTCTTGGGCTGGCGCTGGACGGACATTGGGCAGTAGTGCACCGAGAGAATCAGGATCTGTTGGTGCCGGCGGAGCACCGGTACCCCGTCCCCAGCAGAGAAATTCTGAAGGACAGAAAGGAAAGAAGAAGCAGCGTAGTCCGTCCCCAGAAATTGACTGGGGTGTGGATGATGATGATGATGTTATGATAATAGACAGTGACTAGTGTGCTCGAGTCCTTCCTATGGATGAACCTTTTCAAGACTGCTTGTATATATGTCAAGTAGATAGCCAGAATACGTGACGCTGCTCTGAATTGATACAACGGTCCGATGAAGCCGATCCTTGCCTCCTTGACTCCACATACTTACTTACGACAGTAATGTCGGTTCCAACGTCAAAGATCGAAGAAATAATAGACACTACACAGGATTCCGATGCTCAAGATGACTCTGACGATAACATAGCAGTAGAAAATGAACACGATGACGCGGAACATCAACAAGGTCCTTCCTCCTCTACAGCTTCTTCATCGAAGAAGAAGAAGAAGAAAAGGTCTAAAGCCGCCAAAGCTCTCAATGCTTTGACTGGAAAATCGATACCACAAGCTCTTGTAGATCAAGTGCTAGACACTGTAAAAGCTGAAGGAGGTGAAGGAAGCGAGCAGGCCAATGCGGAAAATGTGAGGCAAGTGTTGGAGCATATGAAGATTATGGAGATCGTGAAGGGTAAGGCTGGTCTTGGAGGACTAAATAAGAAAGATATGGGAGAACACAAGGCTCGTCGTAGCTATGACTTTCACCGAGATTATCGATCTCATAGTTGATTACTGCAGTTCTGGTCAACTCAACCCGTACCTCAGTTAGGTGAGTGATTTATATTCCACCCTTGATCTTTACCACGAATTCCGTGCTCATCCGACGATCAGGAGAAGGCCCTCCCGAAGAAGATGGTTATATCGAGCCTTCCAAGCCTGCAGATGAAGTACGCCAGGAGCCGTACCCTCTCCCGAAAGATTTCGAATGGTCAATAATAGATATCACCGACCCCGCTCAGGTATTTAATGGAGTGTTTTTTCAGCTTTGAACATGACTGTTCATGCCTGGATCTAGGCTACGGAAGTGCACGAACTATTATCTCTCCACTACGTGGAAGACGGTGACGCTACGTTTCGTTTCAAATACAGTACCGAATTCTTACAATGGTATGTTTTACTTTGGTTATAGACCTTGAACCTTAATCTTAATGTACCCCTTCGAATCAGGGCACTACAAGTCCCTGGCTACCGAAAGGAATGGCACGTTGGAGTACGAGTCAAATCGAATAAAAAACTGGTCGGATTTATATCTGGAGTACCTATGCTTCTACGCGTTCGGAAAAAGTAGGTATTCACCTCGTCTAAGGATCTATCATTCACTTATTTTTGTAGCAAATTCATGTCTGCAGAGATCAACTACCTCTGCGTCCACAAGAAATTACGATCGAAACGTTTAGCGCCTCTTCTAATCAAGGAAGTTACACGGCAAATCCATCTAAAAGGCATCTTCCAGGCCATCTACACCGCTGGAGTAGTAGTCCCTACTCCAGTTTCAACAACACAGTGAGGAATATTTGTTTTTTTCGTGTTATCCATTTCATCTCACATACACTAGATACCAACATCGGAATCTCAATGTCACCAAATTGATCGACATACAGTTTTCCTTCGTGCCCCGAAATATGACCTTGGCTCGAATGATTCGTCTCAACCAGCTGCCAAATAAACCACAACTCCCTGGAATACGCGAGATGACGGAAAAGGACATTCCGCAGGTGACAGAATTATACGCAAGATACATGGAACGGTTCGACATGGTTCCAGTCATGGATGCCCAAGAGATCAAACATCAGTTTCTGAGTGGAGCTGGAAAAGCCGGAACCGGGGACAAGTGGAGACGAGAGGGGCAGGTTGTATGGGCCTATGTGGTCGAGGTGAGCCTTATAAGGTTGGTTCGCTTTTTTTCGAAGAAATCAACGGTCGAGTTAGGATCAGGATACCCACAAGATATCTGATTACATGTCTTTCTACTCTCTGCCTTCCACGGTTATCAACCACCCCAAACACGGTGTACTCGAAGCGGCATATCTCCACTATTATGCCTCAGATACAGGCGCAAATGCAGACGAAGACAGTACTCTAAAGGAACGATTACAACACTTGATAGGTGATGCGCTGATTGTCGCCAACAATGCCAAATTCGATGTTTTCAACGCGCTGACGATGATGGACAACAGTCTCTTCCTTAAAGAACTTCGGGTAAGTTTGTCCCTTAAATTCTGCTGCGATATATAGACAATGAACCTGCTTCTGCCTAGTTCGCTGTCGGAAATGGATTTTTGAATTTCTATCTGTACAACTGGAGGACAGCTCCGTTAGCGGGAATGAAAGAGGAAAATGGTGTTCCTGTAGGAAGAGGAATTGGTGTAGTGATGGTATGAGTAGATTATACCAAGTTGCTCGAAAGGTAATGATGTGGCACGAGAGGGCACGAGCAACGATAAATTTAAGCACTCCCAGAATGTGGCGCAATGCGTCATAATTTATGACTTGGATGCTCATAACTTAGCTCAATGAAGATGTCATAGTTTTCTCAACTAATATTTAAGCAAACTTGCAGATGCAATCTAAACAACTATCGTTATCATGTCTGTATTAAAACAGCAAAACTCTGAGCGAACCAACCAGGGTATCGTCGACGGTCGACCAGAAGGTAAGTATTGGCAATACGAGTGACTCACGCCCACGTGATTGACTTTTACTCAGGTCAAGAGCCTGAACACGGCGCTCCCATCACTCTCGATACCGTCGTGGACAAAGACGCTTCATTATCCAATGCTGAACATAGCTGTATGGCGCACACGTCTGCTTCACAAACAATAAATGGCGCAACGTCCGCCGAAGTAAATGATTCGTTGGGGAAGCCGGGTTCAGGTATGAGCTCGAAAGAGAAACATCATGATGGTATGCCTGGACGCAAGAAACAGGAAATAGGTGAAATGCAATGGCAGAAGTAGAGTGTTCATAGTACATCAATGTAGAGCAAAGGTCAAAAGTATTGATCAGCCTTGGGAGCATATTTGAGTAAATTTGAGTACATGGCAGACTCTAACACTTTGATACACTACACCAAGTCCTCGTCTTCGGGCCAATTGCGAATACTCGACTTCCACTCATTCCAACTAACTTTCAATTTTACAAGATCCTTTGTAGCTAGATGATGTTTAACCACAATGAGTTGAACATAGAGACGAAGTTGAGTGGATACTCACTCTCGTGGCAGACTGCATCAATTTCCCATTCCTTGATCTTATTTTTGGGAACTCGCATTGCAACAGTACCGGGGAATGCCTCCTGTTTGAAGAAGACGATCGGATTTTGCAGATTCGCGGGTTGTGCAGGGGGTACGTTCGGAATGGGTGTTCTCGTGTAGGGAGGGAGTTGCTGTCCTGGGGACGGAGGAAGTTGTTCTGGGTACGGAGGGGATTGTTCCTCGCGACTTTCGTAGACCTGACAGTGGAGGTTTGATCAATTATTTTGTGAGGCGCATGAACGAGGTTGATAAGCGCTGTTTACCATGTCAGACTTCATTTCATCTATCTTTGACTTCTTGGCATAGACTAAACACTGCATGTGAAAAGGTCTAGGTCAGCACCCGGGGATGATATAGAAAGAAATTTGACTTACATTCCAATGAGCCTTTCATTTCAAGTAAGTAACGCCTAATTGCCAGATGTATCGATGTCACTCACGTTGTTGGGGTTCTGATTCACCATACCAAGTTTCGGTAACAGATACAATTCGTCCGTCGCCAGGGACCAGAGAGGATTTGGAAGAATCAGTTTGCTGGCGCTGGTGAATTGGCCCTTGCGCTCCTCTGCGATTTCCTGAAAAATCGGTCAGGTATCAAATCAAAATTTCCACTTGATTGCCAGACACAATGAGCTCACCGGTTTGGCATACGCGAAGCCTATCAATGTAGATCCCGTCGCAAACATGGTCCACTTATCCAATGCCTTGTTTAACCTAGCGTGATCAGGGGCGCCTGTGGATTCTGGAGCTGGGCTATTGGCATGCACGGGTGTACCAGATCCAGAGCCCGGATTAGTGGGAAGGGGAGATGCATAAACGGTGCTCAATTGCAGCGTAGAAGCTAGTGCCACAACGAAAACCATTCGAAGAATCCATGACTTAATATTCCCAGTGCGACCTGGAGGAGTGTAGAACTGAGGAGCTTGAGTTTTCATACTAGTCGATAGTGATGGAGGAGACCAGCTCCGAGATATGTAGGGGGGGTGCAATGGGGGGCGATTCGATTCAAGGGCCCGGACTCCCTTATATATGTAAAAGCAATGCGAGGCAGTGATATTGTAAAGGGCAGCAAAGGGTAAAACCTGATGTATTGAAATTCCGATTGGAAAAGCAATGACAAAAGGAGAACACAGTATGGCGTCCCTGGCGTCAGGAAAATGGGCAAGCGAAACGAAATTCAATAACTCGAGGGTTACGAAGAGTGACCTACATAAGGACCCCGGATAATTGGGCATACGGGATTCGGATAAATCTCGAGAATTTTTGTAAAAATCTGTTCGATTTCACAGCCTCTGGCGGCGGTGGGGTGTTCACAGGTGTTCGGATTTCTTCCAGAGCGATATCTGCAGGTGGAACAATTGTCCTGGCTGAGCTGCATTATAAAAGCAGTACTCACTGACACGCTGCTAGGTGCAGACTTTGTGAAGCTTCCCCGATGATCATTTCAGCAAGCGCTAATTTGCTTAGTAGGCGCCGGCTGCTTAAATTCTATGTACGACCTTTGTCCTCATTATCCGGGGTCCTCCTACGTAGGGTGATACATTTTGAGATTGAGGAACTGCCGGGGCCCGTGCTTAAATTTTACCACGGGTTGAAGTTGCGGAAGCATTTACTATTCCTTCAATGGCCCCAAGGCGTAAATGAGGGAAAAACCTGGAAAAACCAGAGCGAACATTCAAGGAGTTCAAGAGGATCTCCGGAGGCGAATAAGGAGAAGAAAGGTCGGGCGGACGCACTCGAAAAGCTCACGAGTCACCGTCACCGTTGGAAAAATATCAAGTTATTATTAAACGATTTGCACAGCCGTCCAAGCCGTCGCCGACGCATATAGGCGTATTGCTAGGTGTAGCTGTTGTGATGGGAGCATATGTTGAGGTCGTTCACCACCTTGATGATAATTACTTGCAAGCTCTTGGACTAGAGGGGTCGGATAGATCCTGTTCTTTAGTCTAGAGAACAACTCTGGCAGAGAAAACCCGGCACCGCTGTTGTACACGGCATGGGACCTGACGCGGCGTCGGCGTCTCGAGGTTCTTATCATCAGAGGAAGTTTTGAGAAGCATGAAGAAGCCAGAAGGAAGCACTTGAGTAAACTCCTAGCTTGATTCCGCTTCTAAAGTGCAAAAAAGGCTTCGGTTCCGATTTGAATGGGATCTGTATCTCAATACTTGCAATCGGATTGGCACGACAGGGATTACTGCACCATAGTGCACCATCTACATTAATGGGAGCTGCAAGACGACACACCAGGGACCTATAGTGGCACGACAATCACTAAAATGTGGACATCACATTTACTGTACATAGCCACGACAAAACTGAAAAAGGAAAGCAATGAAAAAAGAACACGGGGATACCGGATACTAATGACAACTGCATGATCGACCCGAAGATGAAGATGTACTGAAATCCCAGAAAAAAACAAAGACGACTAGCAAGATCGACAGCATCAAAGCAGCTGGGCCCGAAGAGCTTCTTCATTGAATTCTTCATCAAAGAGAACGAGAAATCTGGTAGTGATACATATCGCTCCATCCAACCCATGCCCTCTTCGTTAAAGTCGATTGAAAGAGAAGATTCCAAATGTAGGAGGTGGAATGCAATTATACAGGATTACTCTCCGCTTCGCGTTTCCAGTCGGGTGCGTTACCGCGCTGAGGTACTCGCTTCCAGTCGGGCGCGTTACCGCGCTGGGGCTCTCGTTTCCAGTCAGGTGCGTTACCGCGTTGAGGGTCTCGTTTCCAATCGGGTGCGTTACCACGCTGGGGCTCTCGTTTCCAATCGGGCGCGTTACCGCGCTGAGGGTCTCGTTTCCAATCGGGCGCGTTACCGCGCTGTGGCTCTCGTCTCCAGTCGGGAGAGTTAGCACGCTGAGGCACAGGAGAATATCTCTGCGCAGAATTGGATTGGTCATAATTAATCGATGAAGAAAATTCATTGCACAAAACTTACCTCCAATTCGATTACTTCGGACTCTTCCTCACGGGCCATCGACGCGGTATCTGAACGCTATGAAGCGTAAGATAGTGAGCATTGACGAAGACCTTCATCGATGGTTGTTACTTACCAGTTCCACTGCCGGAAGCGCATTAGCAGCTACAGCGAAAACGAAGACCAGGGATAAGATTGATTGGATGCGCATCGCGGAATCGAGGGAGTTTGGGATAATGAACTAGGATCCGCCGGGGGGCTTTATAAATGAGAGAGAGAGCGGGCAAGATTGATCTCAACAGTTGGCCTCCGGCATTTATCAGTCAGAAACCAAAACATCGATCATTGAACTTAGTACCTCCTGAAATAGCGAATGGGCATCTAAAACTGGGTTCTTGTGTGCCGTACCGAAATATGTTCAGCTCCACTATCCGCTGCTATCGCGCGCCTTCAGAGGTACAACTTCATCTTGCTGCCCGAAAGAAGCACCATCCGAGTTATTGATGGACCTGTCGACATCATGAGACAAGGAACGTTTCGACTGGTTCCTGTGGCTAGGGGCCAGAAAAGGTCATAGCCGTGACATAGGCGAAACTTGGCAAATCCGAATTCATCTTGTTACCCAAGTACAGTTATTTTTTTCTACGTATGTGTAAACGCAAGGAGGAAAGAAGCGTTTAAGCGTTTGGGAGGACCAACGTCTGTCTGCCTACGAACTCGTTAATATTAGATTCGCGTATACATAATGCACATAACGGACTGAGACATACCAGCTACCGGTTCCGGTGTCATTTACGGGCTCTTTTCTTGACGCGTTCCGCCGGACTTTTACTGCATGCAAATTCTGTCGCAGTTGAAGAATCCGATAACGAGGACGTGGAAGGTGGGGTTGACAAAGTTGGTACCAAGTCCGTCATTTCACGGCTTCGTTTTTTCCGGTTCTTCGTCGGATTGGAAAGAGGAGACATCGGTGGAGGTAGACCATGAAGGGAAAAAGATTTCAAGTCTGAAGTGAAAAGAACCTACATATTTATTGATATCTGGTAAATTATCGGGCGACATAATTTATTCAACTTACTGAATGAGCCCAACCTGCATATCCTCCCCACACTTGTACAAATTTTGTGGAAAGTTCTTCGTAAAGTTTGGGTGTCATGTTCATTTTACCCTTTGGAGACGCCTTCATTCCATAGTACTTGATTGCGATCTGATGAACATGGGTGTCTACCGGGACCACGTCTGTCTAAGTCAGGATCAGCGTCAGCAGCTGAAAAAGCCGGACATCATACTTTGCCAAGGCTCATAAGGAGCACACAGTCGGCCACTTTACGACCGACACCAACGAACTTGAGAAGTTCCGCGCGAGCATCCTCCGTATTCATATCTTGAAGCGTTCGAAGCCATTGCTCAGAAGGTTCGTCTTGCTCTCGCGGATGCACGGTACTGCCATGTGTTTCGACAAGCATCTTTGCAGTCCGGTGAATGAACTCAGCACGATATCCAAATCCGAGAGACCGAAGACGTGCGCTGACATCCGGGTGCGCTAAAGCCGAAGGAGGAGGAAAAGGATGATATGTTTCTTCAACACCTGAACCATCAGGAACAGAAAGAGAGAGCAGCGGAGGAGAATATTCCTTGGACAAATTTTGGACCATTTTTGTGATTCGGGATATATTGTTGTTCGAAGAGCAGATAAATCTAGCCTTTTGGTTCAGCTCCGGAGGGACGCGCAGCGCGGGCAACGTACGAGATGAGATTCTCCCAAGGATCCTGCCTCAAGATTCTAATGCCGCTGAACCTGTCTTTGATTTCCGAGAAGACTTTATCTCGAGAACCCCATTCTTCGTAGAGTGAAGCAAGGTTGACGTCTAGTTGAAAGTAGTCTTTGAGCCACAGCAACGTTTCGGCTTCATGAAGCTTCTGTTGTTCAATATTTGGTTGAGGATCTGGTAGTACTGTACGGTACAGAAGACTGGTTGGTGTCTGACGAAGGCAGACAACGCGGTCGCGGAGACAAAAGCGATATTCATGAGTTGGTAGACACGCGTTTTCTGAGTCAATGTTCAGAGAATAAGCAGTCCAGCGGAATGATTGACCACATTTTAGAACAGCAGAAAGCGAAAGCTGTACGATTGGTAGAGGAAGCGCGAGAAATGCTGTTGGAAGGCTGGTCATGGTAAACGTTATGAACAGTAAGTCTTTTCCCAGCTTTTCCCACGTTCAATAACTTCAGTGGCGTACTTCAAGGTACACCAACTCTTTGCGCTCATGGGGACCTTTCTTCCTCGCATCCAGTCAGTCTTCTACGCTGGGTTTGATTTAGTCGCTGGTCCAAAAATTATCTGCCAAGTTCCCGAGGGCCTTATCACCGTTCCGCAACCTGCCCCAAGCTCCACCTTTCCATCACTTCCGCCAACCCCCTCATCTGAATCTGCGCCATTGTCTTCGCTGCCTCCGCTACACGTTACTTCTTCGAGAAACTCAAGCTTGTCCGCAGTTGTGTCCCCTGCAGAAATCAGACCAAATTCCCGTAACTTCAGTTCACCTCAAGGCAAAGTATCGAATAACCAGGCACCGTTGTTCAATTTTGAGGAAGTCTCGAAACTTGTGATTCCTGGACCAGCGCTTTGCGGTAGGCTGGTTATCTGCGCCACAAAAAGGCACCGTATTATGGGGTTCCCCTCTCAGCTGAGAGGAAAGTATCAACGCAACTTCTTTCGGTTCAACCTATGCTTTGTGTTCGAGCGGACCGCAGATCTGAGTTGCTATGAGCCTATCGTACGAAAGATAAGCCGAGTGCTTGCTTCATGTGAGGCGAGCATTTTCCCTTCTTTCCCTTCTTTTGATAATGCTTAGTACCTACATCGCTTCGCCTTAGGAAGAGTCGGAATTTCTCTCAACACCTGGTAACGAGGTCGCAATTCATGCCATTATTGAGCAACTATACGAGGACCTAAATTCCTACTCTGAAACGTCGATTTCCATAGACCAATTTAACTCTATTGAGCTGAAAATTTTTCCCTTTTACCCAAATCCTCCAGCGGTGAAGGACTGGATGGTGCCAATTGCGCTCATCAATTTGGTCAGACGAATTGAGGATAATTGGGATCTGACTATGTCCAAGGTATGTGTGCCTTTCTTGATGAGATTTCGTTCAAGCTTGGTGCCTTACAGGTTTGTCGATACATAGATGGTGAAGACTTAAGTTCTTTATGTATGAATAGTCCTCTCAGATAGTCTTGATGCAGGTGTCAACCACGTCAGTAGGATCGCTCATTTGGCAGATTGTGATGTTAGTTTAACTCGTGAAGCCATCTCGCATCTCCTGTAAGTCAGCTACTGACTACACATGCTCTATTGCTTATGGGGCTGGCAGATACTATCAAGTTATCATGACTATTGATATTTTTCAGTACTCGAACATGTACACTCTCCGAAAGAGCATTCAGTGGCTAGCAGATGAAGCTCATGTAAAGGAAGAATGCGGGCCTTATTCCACGAAACCTGGTGAATTCTATCGTTCGCTTGTAAGCAGATAGCCCCTTCTGACTTTACTACTAGGGTTCCCAATTCCCGATTGGCCAAAGCTTTTACATCTGTATTCACGAATGAAACCAGGACGAACGGTGCTCGAATGGTTGGAGGAGTACAAAGTCCAGGAGCTTGGGATCGATGTTCGACGCTTTACCAGTTTTGGCGTTATCAAAGGTATATCCGAAATCCTCAAACTGCTTCGTCTTACATATGAAAAAACAGGTTTCTTGCGGAGAGTGCATAGATATCCCATTTTTCTGCCAGAGTCTTCAAAATCTATAACTCAGTCCCCTATCAGTGACGGTAATACTCCCTTTGGTCCAAATCGAACACGAGTAAGGTCTCTGACCGGCATGTCACTCGGACTTCCCATCCAAAACTCAGAAGGCTCCCCTCAAGGACAGCATCTGCTGCGAGGACGCAGCTCCCATACGGCTGTGGCGGCGACATCCCTTAGCCCTGACCAGGCTACGAGTGCTCCTCCCACTCCGCGTGGTCAAATAAACCCTACCGCCACATCCGTCGTTGAATCTAATGCATACTCTAGACCTCGTCGACCAAGTGCTGCTGAGAGAATCCTCGAGTCAGTGCGAAACCGAGATCAAAACTTGACTCGTTCTCCTGCCAGCCCGCGAACGGCGTGGATTCATTATCCCCCTGATCCACCTTCGACGTCTACAGTGATTCCTGGAATCACAGCCACGGCGAGTACTCCCAAGGAGAATTCAAACAACCTTGCGCAAAATCTTAGAATGGATTCTGGATTAGTTGTTTCTCGACGGCAGTCTCTTATACCTCCCGTGACGGCGACCCATGTTCCTCCAAATTCTCCTAATATTCCTCGGCTTGCACTAAATCCTGCACCTCGACCACAAATGGAGAGGTCCCCCTCAGCTCCAATCACCAGGACTTATAATGCAAAAAGTGCATTAGCCCCAGTGCCACTTGCGTATCCAACAGATTTACTGGAATTACTTGACGGGGAGCACCATACGGATGAGGTGGCGGTCAAGTTCGAAGCAGGGTGGCCTTTGCTAGAGGATTGGCTGAGAAGAGTTGGTGAAGACCACAATGGGAGAGTTCTCGTCATATACCGATGACCGTTTTGCATTCACATTATGTATACAAGAAGATTGATCAATTGATTAGCACGAAGGGCAGCATTGTATTTGAAAGGCAGTACAGCAAATGGTTCAAATGAATGAAATATTGAGAGAAAGACTAAAGGGTAAAGTGCCAGCAGTTACAGTGACTTCGCCACCATCTGGGATAAGTTCTGACACTTTCTTCAGCAGATTTGGACGGGTAGCCTCTGCTAGCTGCGGTGGTGCTCGTAGATATAATTGTTTGGTAGGTGCCGATAGCGAAGGATTCTTGATTTGACTACGCAGAACAAAACACAATCAGACCTTGTTCAAACAATAAGCTACATGGGACTTACATGTCTTGTCTCTCAGTCAATAATTCTATGAGTTCTTCAAGTATCATTTCACGGTTTATGGATAGAGATAAAGACTCTCCTCCACAAACAGGACAGTTACTCTTCTTTTCGTGCTCGAATGTATAAGAGTATATGCCCTCTACACCAATCAACATAAAGTAGTTGTTTAGATAGGCAGCAGAACTCGTTGCGATTTTGAAGGCTTCGTTACAACAGGATGCTGTTGCAAGCTATGAGCTCTAGTTAGAGGAAAAGCAACAGAAGCGTACCAGCAATGATAGCATTCGTTGAAGCAATAGCGGGAATGATGTTTTTTACGACACCCTGGGTCAGTGACCAAGTAACACCCTCGATCTTAAATTCCTTTGCTCGCGCTGATGCAACAGCATATAGCCAGCTAATGTCGTCGGGATTGTCGGTGTCCATCTTCTTGTCTGTGTACGATCAGTTATTAGGCAGAACCGCTACTACGTAGCAACGTATTACCTCCATGCACTCGGGGCCATTCCAGGACTGAAGCCCATTCAATGCAATGTTCAGGTAGTCGTGGCGTGTTAGCAATTGTGCAGATGGGGAAAGCGGTCAGTTTGTTCAGCATGTCAAGAGAGCATTCATAACAGGACGTGATAGTTGGAAGAATGACACGGGCTTGGCCCTTAAATCCTGCAAGCTTGAATCGGCTTCTTTGAAAAAGATTATCCCAAAAGGCATACCTTCAGTCCCGCCATCAATAAGGGGCTTTAGGCTTTCAGGATTTTCGGGATCGACGAGATTGACTAGAGTAGCATTGATCCAGCGTCGAGCCTCAACAGAGTCCAGACCACAGATAACTAGGTTGAATTGGAGATAATAGTCGTCATCTTTGTCCTGAATTTTGCCAAAATATCTGGGGCAGACCGCTCATTATTCTCCGTCGCAAAAGGCGCGATAAATACTCACGGTGTAACCAAAACTCCTGGTACGCGATTCATGATGAACTCTGCCGCCACTATAGCCTTGGATTTGCCAACGTCTTTAGGTCTACCCGTTCAGATGAGCGCGTCTAGATGGCAAGGCCGCTCAGTATTTACCTGAATAGGAATTGACGATTTAAGTTACTGATGTCGATGGTGTCCATATCGATGACATGAATGTCCTTGAACCCAGTCAAAGCCAGATTGGCGAGGATTTCGCAGCCAAGTCCACCGGCCCCAATAACGAGAATCTTAGCTTGATTTCTCAAGAAGTCTTTGACCTAGATGTGCAGAGGTCAACATCGTCTAGTGAGCGGAGGCAAGACGCGTACACCATCACCGGCCATGAAACCTTCATCTGTACGAGGGCCCGGGGCATCGAGTATCTGATCTATGTGGTCGTAGCGTCCTTCCCAGTCATTTTCTTGAACATCGACCATCTTGCGCGAAGTAACAGGACAGATAGCAGGAAGAAGGTGAAGAAGTAGGAGGAACAGTCAGCGTAATTGAACCGGCGGAGTGTGGGCCAAATATTCAGTTCCCACGGAATCGCCGAAATTGCCGTTCACGCCAACATACTATTCGCGCTGCATTCGTTACATAGAGAGAACGGAATAGGCAAACTGAAATGCTACATTCGTTTTGAACAAGGATCTATTCGAAGTGAGAAATATATAGGAATATCTCAGTGCTCAAAAACCGTTATTGTTTTTTCGTTAACTACGAAAATTGCTGGAAATATATGAACAGGCCAGGCATAATTTACAACATTGAGAACAGAGTCCCATTAAAACATCGAATACGAAACGGTACTTTCGTTGGTTGATACATGTCGGCGCAATGCAAGAAACCTAGGGGCCGTTTCCCTACTTCATTTGTCCGCTACTTCATGCTCGTCTGTTTCGTCGTCTGTTTCATCAACCTGAGCATGAACCCCATCAATTATACATTCGTTCTCAATCCCCGCAGTTAGGAAGCTCTCTTTCATATTCACAAAACCGAAACTGAACCCGGCAGTCCAAACCGGTTTCATGGCATACACCTCCTTTATTGTGTGTTGGCGCGGATGGTCAGCAAAGAAATCAGTGACCTGCAGCAATGACCTGTACTGATCAACATCCAAATTGCTGTAGACAGATATTCCATAAGCAAAGATACAGTAGCGGGGGTGTTCCCGAGGGGCCGATCGAGAACTCCGTCGGATGAGGGAGACTCCTGCCTTGATCTCCGCAAGACTGATGTTCCACGTCCATGCTTCATCTGTTCACCGTTCTCCCTCGTCTTCTCCTTCTCCTGAGTATTGTGTGGTTTAGAGTATGAAGCTGCAAGGTTCATGGCAAGTGATATGTAAGGAATTGTCAAACTAATGGACAAGCGCTTAGCAGTGCTTTTCGTCCCGAATGGTCGGAAGAAGGGAATGACTCGCTCGTCGATAGGATGAGTAATGACTTTTCCTGAAAGTGGGATCCGCTTCAAAGAGACTAGAATGGCAGTGACCTTCTTGGAGTCCAATGGATTGTTCGCCTTTGAATACACAGCGGGAATCATGATGTCAAAATCTTTGTTGTGTGCAGACCCCATTACAACAGCACAACGAAGATACATCACAAAAGCCGCTTCCGCGGTCATGACGCTAGAGTTTTCTGCACGAACAAAATGGTTGAAGCGAACTGTATAATCCTTGAATGCTTGTTCGAAGGGTTGTCCCTCCAGATGATTATCCGGTCGACTTTCAACAAATACGCTATGGAATTTGAAAAGGTGTTTCAGAAACTTCAGCAACGGCACGGCTTTGCAATAGTGAAAAGACCCGCTTTGACTAGTAGCAAAGGTCGAAAACATTTCCTCTACAGCAGCTGCATAAGCACGCAACAAGATGATCGTAGCCGCTTGCTCTCCTCTATGCCCAGGATCGGGAGCCAAAGGTGAGTTAGACGTGGACAAGATCTCTGCGAGAGCATCACATCTGTACTTGTGGTCAATTCGACAGACAACGCTCAAGGCAGTCGAGGACAAAATGGGTTCCGAGGGATAACCAGATCGGATTATTTGGCGGTTTTCGGAAATGGTGAAAACAGTCCTCATGTGATGTTGAATCATCTCGAGGTGGTGCGATTTGGCTTGGGTCTGGCGAGGATGAACGAATACGCCCAGAAGCGAGTCTAAAAGCGCTAGCTGTCGTGTAGAGCTCATTTCTGAAACAGGTCGAATCAGGTTCAGCTAGTTCATCAACCTGTGAATTTGTGGAAAGAAATAGCGCAAAGGCCAGAGAATTAAGGCGAGAGAGAGCAGAACGCAGATTAATGAAGGGAGATGGGCGTCCCTTTGATATGGTCAGAGTATGAGCCTCGTCGATGTAGAAGAAGATCAGAAAAGGATTCATTGAGGGTTTAGGCAACAAATCCAATGCAAAACGGGGTGGTATTATTTCTGCAAGTTCCATATAGGGATTCTCGAGGCCGGCATCATTAAGTTCGACGGGCTTCAAACAGAAGTTAGAGATGGCCACAGATAGTAGGTTAAGCGCCTGCAGGAGCTTTGTGCCGTGCTCTGCTCTTAAACTTCAGAATCGCCATGTTATACATCAGGTCTCTGACCTTGCCCTGCTGCGCTTCATAAATCGAGTCAACGAGAGCACCGGTACCCTCAATGAGAGGGTACTGGGGTGGGATGTCCTTGAGCAAGTACTCCCGCCATTTGGTTGCAAAGTCTGAATGGGTAAGGGACGGCCGAATTCCAGCCACCAGGATCGTCCAACATCTTCAAGTGGGACATCATACACGTCTTTGATCATTTGTTTGACAAATTTTATGACCGTTTCGCCGAGATGCATAACAAAAGCAAAAGCGTTTGTCCGAGAGACGAGAAGTCCTGAGTTGGCTAAGAATTCATGCAATTCTAGATCGGGCGGAGGATAAGCTCCAACTGTCGGGGAGTAAGTATCGAGCGCCTTGTAGATGAACGCAGCGTACGCACATGAAGTATCAATTGGGTTTCGAACATTCATTGGGATTGTGAACACTTGTTTAGCAATCTCGTCGACCGTCCTCGATTTTCCATACCCAGAAGACTGTACAATCGCAGCTACATTTCCATAATCTCCTGGGGACCGAGAAGAATCCATATTTTGGAGGAGCAACTTATCGTAGTCGCCGAGATAGCCCTGCTTCCATGCCCAAGTGACTGGTGCGATATGACAAGGAGGCACTACTGTAGGAAAGACAAAAAATCATACCCTGATCATAGTCAGTTGATGGCGTGTATCCCGGCCGAGCTACTTCTATATCGAGATAACCTTTGATTACAATGTAAGTGCGACGTAGAAGCAGTGAGAAGTTGCAATACTGACTGATATCGGTATCGAACAGAGCCAACAAGTCACTGATCTTGGTCGCCGTCCAGGATCTATCGAGGACTTCAAAGTCTGCCACTCAGAGTAGGTAATCTGCCGGTCTGCTTTTCTCGTGTTTGAAAGTTCCTAGCTTGACGGTCGAGCTGCCTTGGTAAGACGATCATCCTCTAAAGGGGAGGCTGGGCGTTTCGGTGCAATGGAGGTAGACATTACAAAGTTTACAACCGGTCCACAGTATGGAGGTCTGAAGGAGCGTTGCGAGGCCGTCCAATTATCCGAGACAAGGCAGCCGTCTTCTCAGAGGATAAGTGGGGATGAGAGCGGGCGCTTATACCGCTCTGTTTATACAGCGATCTTGGGGTCCTTTTACCAATAACCACAAGATGTTCTTTGTTTAACCTTTCGTGTATGAGTAACTGTATCAAAATCAATGCATATATATGGTACTTTTTTTCGAGAAGATACTCAGAGTGTTTGCTTAATGTGAGCCCTGGTTAGAGGAAAAGCGACAGAAGCGTACTAGCAATGATAGCATTCGTTGAAGCAATAGCGGGAATGATGTTTTTTACGACACCCTGGGTCAGTGACCAAGTAACACCCTCGATCTTAAATTCCTTTGCTTGCACCGATGCAACAGCATATAGCCAGCTAATGTCGTCGGGATTGTCGGTGTCCATCTTCTTGTCTGTGTACGATCAGTTATTAGGCAGAACCGCTACTACGTAGCAATGTATTACCTCCATGCACTCGAGGCCATTGCAGGACTAAAGCCCATTCAATGCAATGTTCAGGTAGTCGTGGCATATTAGCGATTGTGCAGATGGGGAAAGCGGTCGGGTTGTTCAGCATGTCAAGAGAGCATTCATAACAGGACGTGATAGTTGGAAGAATGACACGGGCTTGGCCCTTATATCCTGCAAGCTTGGATCGGCTTCTTTGAACAAGACTATCCCAAAAGGCATACCTTCCATCAATAAGGGGCTTTAAACTTTCAGGATTTTCGGGATCGACGAGATTGACTAGAGTAGCATTGATCCAGCGTCGAGCCTCAAGAGAGTCCAGATAGGTAGGTTCAATTGGTGATAATAGCCTCATTCTCGTCCTGAATTTTTCCAAAATATCTGGGGCAGTCTGCTCATTCTTCTCTCCCGCAAAAGGCGCGGTGAAGACTTACGGTGCGACCAAAACTCCTGGTACGCGATTCATGATGAACTCTGCCGCCACTATAGCCTTAGATTTGCCAACGTCTTTAGGTCTACCCGTTCAAATGAGAGCGTCTAGATGGCAGGGCCGCTAAGTATTCGGCTGAATAGGAACTGACGATTTGAGTTATCGATGCCGATGGTGTCCAAATCGATGACTTGAACCCAGTCAAAAGTCAAAGCCAGATGAGCGAGGATTTCGCAGCCAATGACGAAGATTTTCGCCTGATTTCCCAGGAAGTCTTTGACCAAAGGTCAATATTGTCCAGTGAGCAGAGGTAAGACGCGTACATCATCACCGGCCATGAAATCTTCATCTGTACGAGGCCCCGAGGGCATCCAGTATCTGATCTCCTTGCCAGTCATTTTCTTGGACATCAGCCATCTTGCGCGAAATAATTCTAACAAGTAGAAGGTGAAGAAAGTAAGAGCGTGATTCAACCGGCGTCAATTCGATCTCGTGCTGTACATAAAGGTTTAAACGCCCAAATTGAAATAATTTCTCTTCATTCCGCCATGGCTGCTGGGTCTGTAATACAATACAGTGGCCACAAGTACTTCCGGCATCGTCTAGCTCTATCAATACTTAGTGGAAAGTCTGTCAGAATCGACAAAATCCGTTCAGAGGATAAGGATCCTGGTCTTCGAGGTCCCTGCACTTTCTTTTGAATTCCAAGCTTTTAATTTATCCAATATCTCTTGTCTAGATTTCGAGGTCAGTCTGTTAAGACTTCTGGAAAAGGTTACGAATGGGACGGTCATCGAAATATCTGCCACAGGTGCGTATTCATCGAAGTATAGTTTCTAGATCTCATGAATGAATGCAGGTACTGCAATCCTACTAAAACCTGGAATCATTGCAGGCGGGTCTTTAATCCATGACTGTCCTCTTTCAAGATCAGTAGGATACTTTCTTGAGCCGATCATCATGCTGGCTCCGTTCGCAAAACGGCCTGTACAGTTGACATTGCGTGGAATAACAACTGACGACAACGACTTTTCGGTAGGCAACGCCAAACTTTTTGTAGCACCTATCTGATGCTTACATTCTAGGCAGACTTGATGAGAACAGTGACGCTGCCTCATCTGCAGCTTTTCGGTATCTCTGACGGATTGGAACTTCGGGTACGTGCATTTCGTTTGTGCCTAGTATAATGCTTTATACGTTCGCAGATTAAGAAGCGGGGAGCACCTCCTGGAGGTGGAGGCGAAGTCCAACTTCTTTGTCCTATTGTAAAACAAGTCAAGACCTTGAACTTTGTGGAACCAGGAAAGATTAAACGAATAAGAGGAATAGCGTAAGTAGAAGATCGCTTTACATGTCACCATTTTGAGCTTCATTTTGCAGCCATGCCGTTCGTGTAAATCCTCAGTTCTCAAATCGTATGATTGAGGCTGCGAGATCCATACTGAATCGATATATTCCGGACATATATATATACTCGGACGTGTACAAGGGAGAGGAAAGTGGAAAGTTAGAGTTTTTCAGACGTCTCCTCTTCTCAAATTAACTAAATTTCAAAGATCCCCTGGCTATGCCCTCAGTCTTTTGGCCGAATCTACCACCTCTGCTTTGTTCTGCTCTGAGGCAACATCAAAACCTGGCGTTGCCCCGGAAGACATTGCGTTACAAGCAACTCGTGCTTTACTATCGGAAATCAGCAAAGGGGGATGTATTGACCAGAAACACCAGTCATTAGTGTTACTTTTGATGGTATTGGGTAGTGAAGATGTTGGGCGTTGTCGAATGTCCCAACCAACCCCTCGAACGTTCGTCTACCGCTGCTTATTCATTTACTGCCCCTAACCGCATCTGTTTCTGCAGTATACAGTTTCTCAGAGATGTTCGGGACTTCTTTGGCACATCTTTTCAGATTGTCTCCATAGAAGACCCAACAAATCCCAATTCTGCAGATCTTCTTTATTCCTGTTATGGCACTGGGCATGTCAACGCAAACAGAGATCTTGCTTGAGCATCCCTTGCCAATGAAAAGTATCTTATACATGATTGCCTGTGTGATAATTGTACAGTTATGACCTTATATGTATACATACTGCGATACCAGTGCATTGAAATGCTTCGTATGAACCAGAAAGAGAGCCATTTGAGATAAGTTACGGACTAAAAGCTATCGTCGACGAGCCAATATCACAGCAGCCATGAGGGCCGCACCAGCAACAAAGTGGGCGATAGGAATCAAAAGGTTGGATCCAAAGCGGTGCCCTTTCGATGAGTCCTCGACACCTAAAGGCCTTGGCTTCGAGCAGACCTCTGTAAAGGTCGGAACACGATCCTTCTCCCAGCCTTCATCAAGTAACTTCTGAATCATCGCGGAGTCAAGAAGCGTAAAGTCTATCAAGGGCCATTCGTTGCAGATTTTCGACATCCACTTCATCCGTTTTCGACCAAGAGGACCACCTATCTCAGGTACACGCTCCTTCAGTTCTGCACGAAGCTGGCCAATTTTTGAAAGAGCGAGGCCTTCGTATCCCTCGAGACTGGCTTGTACTTTCTCCTTCATCAGGGCGGAGATACGAGGGCCGTTTCCGTTTGAAGAAATCATGATCTGCAAAGGCCCATCGCGGATATGAGCACCAAAATAGAAGTCGCAGAGTTCTGGGATATCGGCAGCGTTAACAGGGATCTTGGCTTGTCGACAGAGGTCAACGATTTCTCTACTAGTAGCAGGACTGTCTATAGCTGTCAGAACTATATCCATCTTATGCAGTTCGGCGGGTCCAGTGAAGCGCCGGTCGTAATAAGCGATGCGGTTTGGGTATTTTGCAATGTAGTCCTTGGTAGTAGGATGAAGGCCTTTTTCAGGACACAAGAGAGTGATATGAGCGTCTGCTCCGAGAAGGTGTCCGATACGTGAAGCGCCTACTTCTCCCCCACCAACGAGGAGAGCTCGTTTACCCTTGAGTTGCCAAGCTATCATGAGAGACCCTCCACCTGGCGCAAGTTTGTCAATTTCGGTTTGCATGACTTGAAACTTGAAGTTGAAAGTCTAAGGCTGAACGGAGAACATTAGTAATGCTATCCTCAATTAGGTAAGACGCGCTCTTTGCTCCTCTACTACATCGTTTTCCTGATCCTCGTTCTCTCACCTCTTGTTTGCTTGTCCACAATGCCTCCAAAACTAGACATCAATAAGGCTGGGTGGGAGCAGAGTGAATTTCCCATTTTATGCGAAACATGTACGCCCAAACATCTTTATCCGCTGAATAAAATACTGATTTGCTCAATAATCGTTTAGGTTTGGGTGATAATCCTTTCATTAGAATGGTAAAAATCACTTTGAACACACCCGGGCTAAGCAGACTACTCACATGTTTATATCAGTCCAAACAGGAATTCGGTCGTTCTTGTGGTACGTGTGCCCGTCCGTTTACCGTTTTCCGCTGGAATCCAGGTTCGGGCATGCGTTTCAAAACCACTGTAATTTGTCAGACTTGCGCAAAGATCAAGAATGTCTGTCAAACATGTCTCCTTGACCTGGAATATGGCCTACCGACGCAAGTTCGGGATACTGCGCTGGGTTTTGTGAACGAAGCTCCGACAAGCGATATTAATAGAGAATATTATGCTCAGAATATGGAGGGGAAGGTGTGTGTCCGTGCGTAATATTCCAGAGATCCGCCGCTTATCCTTCTTCAGCTCGAAGGCAACAAATCTGGATTGGATACCGGAAAAGCTCAGTCGGCGGGCAAAGAAATGCTTAAACAACTGGCTCGGACAGACCCATATTATAAACGCAATCGCCCAAAAATATGCTCATTCTTTGTAAAAGGCGAATGCGCTCGTGGCTCAGAGTGTCCTTATCGACATGAGAAACCTGTCGACAATGAACTTTCTCATCAGAATATACAAGACCGCTACCATGGTCGTAATGATCCTGTAGCCAGGAAAATCATGGGAGCACATGCTGAGAGTCAAGGGCTCAAACCTCCAGAAGATCCATCCATTGTACGTATGAAAACATTTTCAATGACCGCCGTTCAACTGATAGTCCGCCTGCCTAGACCTCCTTGTTCCTAACCTCGCTCTCTCCTGATTCTACCGAACTTTCCATCCGCACTCAAGTGTTAAAGTCATTACCAACAGTGCAACCTGCAGAGCTTAAATCAGTGGTGCATGTTGCCAAGTCGCGGTATGCTCAAGGTCTTCTGATTCCAACTTATACACTTAATATGTTGCTACCTTTAGATGCGCCTTTATTAATTTCAAGGAGAGAAATACTTGCGAATGTGCTGCGGGAGCCTGGGCCAACGGGCTCGAGATTGATGGAGAGCGGGTGGCTGTCAAATGGGGACGGTCCAAGGCTTCAAAACCCCCAGCTGTTGTCACTTCGTCACTTGCAGTTGTATCGTAAGGACTTCATTGTACGTACGTATGTTTTTTGTATGTTTTATGTTAACTTTGTTATGTATCATTATCGTTCGTCAATTAATTTGGTCCAGTGTAATGAACACTACATAGCTGATGTCTAGAAATTTATTGTACAGCTGTTGTACAGTAAGCTACACAATACACTGACATGGTCCAATTTCCAACCACTTTCGCATGAATCATACATAAAACATAAAGTTAAGCCAATGGTGCGAACACTCAATTGACACAAAGGCCGCCCGCGATAAAAGAAAGCGACCAGGAGAGCCAACTAGTGAGTTGGCTTCCAGTTGCCAACGCGCGTCCCAAATTAATAACAACCGGCCCAGCTGAAGAAATAGGATAGTCAGGTACATACGGGTGGGAGATGCACCGTGACGGAACGTACGACAAAGTCCAGATGCTCCCCAGCCGATACCAAACAAAACAGATCCTAGCAAGAGTTTCGTATCGACATTCCCAGACTTGGGTATAGCCCATGGACCTCCCAAAACCGGTTTTTCTGGTCCACGGAAAAAGTGATACAGAGCTGCACCTATTGGTATGGCTCCGATGGCAAGAAATGCCAGTGAAGGGTCGAAAGCTGGGTGAAAAGGTAAAAGTAGGAAAGCTGTCACTTTCTTCGGGTCAGTAAGGTTGGACAATCGCAATGCCAGAGCAAAATCGACAGCAGTAGACAGGAGAGCTACAAGACGGACGACAGATAAAGACTCATGCTGTCCCGAATTTGAAGAGGTGTCTGGGTTGTGTGATGACATTGACGCCTGTGCATATATGAGCACAAAGATCTGCCGCGTGTAAGCGAAGACGAACATAAGCATACAGTAAAGCAGAAGCTATTAGAGGGACAGTTTGAGCGATAAGCAAGGTTTTGTCTGCAGTATTCATGTTGTAGTCGGGCGGATTAGCGGGTATAATTGTTGGACTATGTTGCAATTTGGTTGTAGCTACCGCGGTACAGAAGAAAGTCGCAGTAGCAGCAATAGACCTGTGCTTAGAGCTAGTCGGAATATGATGTTTAGAGCAGAGAGAATTTGCGCACCGTTTTGAAAAACGCGACAGTCCTGCAAGCATATGTCTAATCACCAGCATGAGAGAAGGGTTCGAGATATCAAGACGCGTTTATCGCGCACCCAGACGTGCATCCATTCGATAACTATCGAGTTGTATGATGAGAGAGCTTATCAAAATCCATTCGTCAGAAATACCTTCGTTCCCAGTCCAACTAAGAATCCAGAGAGTAATAAACTCGGCAAAGGCGAAAAACTTGTTTCTGGTCCTCGTCCTTCAATCGTGCCAATAATTATTCCTCCAATGATTAATCCGGCAGTTGCTATTAGCCCCTCCTTGTTTCCGCGCACTGCACGGTGTACGAAGCCGGATATCCCGAATACACTTCCGTTCAAGACTAATAGCGAGTGTACCGGAAGAGCAAGGCCAAAACCACCAAGAAAAGATGCGAGTGGAGTGGGAGTGGACATGACTAGGGGGGTTGAAATATTTCCAGAAGAAATTTGTTGTCCAGGTTAAGTATTTGTTTTAAATCATTCTGTGAATGTATGCAGAAGTGACGGGAAAACTGACAGTGAAATGTGACTGGTGACTGGTGACGTGTCCGATTAACTCCGAGGCCGCGGCGTTACAAACACTGTATCGATATCTGCGTAGTTCACTCTGCTTAAGACGAATCACAAAATATACAGATAGTCTACATTGCCTTTACTGAAACTTCTTGCGCTTCTTCTTCAGTCATTCCCTCAGTCATTTTTACATCCTCAAGCGTCACTGTTGCCACGTTCAACTGAGAATCTACTTCTTCATCTTTGATTCCAAGGGCCCCAACTCTTTTTAAGCATTCGCCAATCTGTCCTCTCCACTTAGTATGCCCATCGATGTCTTCGAAATGAACGTTTTCAATTCCCTGGACATCAACAGGGTGCAAACCAGCCACTTGCCAACTTACATCCGTCGCCCTGGAAAGGACTGCCAAAACATAATCCTGACTAGCATAGCCGTTGACAAACCGACCAGCGACTACCCGACGTATGCTGGCCCAGACCGCGGGGTCGGTCGATGCAGGAGTACCGAATAGATATACGTCTTGTATAAGGTGTGACGTATCGGAAGGAGGCCAAGACGCAACGTGCTTGAGCGCCTCGAGGATTACCAACGAACCAAAAGAGTATCCAACGAGCGTGACGGGCCGATTCCCAAATACCCGCTTCAACAATAGATCACCTAGCACGGCCCCTGCCTTGTAAGCTAGAGCCTTGGTGTTCATCCAAGGATTATCTGTAAAAAAATATCATTATTACACATGTGTCATTTTGAAGTGAGTAATATCGCACCAATAATTTCTCCAATCTTCAGCAAAGCTATGGGCCCGAGAGAGGCCATCAGCGTTGCGAACACTGTGTGTCTGATAATTTCTGCCCTGAGATACTTCATGGCATTGGTCCTGACCAATGTATATAACGCATCTGATAACTCCTCCAATGCGTTGACTTCCTAAACAGACAATGGGAATCAAGCAAAAAAGACGAAAATAACATCACGGACCCATCGTAAAGCAAGAGTGTCATCTCCCTCGAACACGGTCCATGGTGCGGTTACATCTGATTCTGAAGATAGCCAACCACTTATGCATAAGCGCACTCCTAACGTTTCGTCTCCATTCGTATTTAAAGATACCGGAAGGATAGCCAAGTCTCGTATTTCCCGTGTATGTCTCTCGACCATGTTCGCTGTGGATTTCGCACCGTAGACGCCGAATAAAGCTCCACAAATAGCAGAAGATCCTGCGAGACCGCTTGCTAACAGGCCAGCTGCGGTTCCGCCCACACCGAGCCACCCGAGGATGGTCGTGATGCTTGCTCCAATTAAAGGAGCTGCGAGCCCTCCCGTTACTCCGACTAGTACACCGCCTGCGATAGCGCCTAGACTTATGCCCACCATGCGCAATGTTTTACTTTTGGAAGCATGATCTTTGGTGCTTGCTTCAGCTTTCTGCTGCGCTTCCTGAAGCGCTTGGTCAGGGTGTTTCAAGGTGGCGACGATTAACTCCTCGTCAGGAGCTGCATCTTCAAGAATATCGTTGAATAAGAACGACCGTGTTCTTGCTGAATATTGCTTTGTCGCTGTTATGCTCAGAAAGAGGACTGCATTCAGTACAGCTGCCAGCCGCTGTGGTGAGATCTGAGGTAAATCCCCTGAGATGCCAGACAATCAATTATATGTCACGCAATTGTTGTTATAGGTTGATAAGAGAACAGACCTATAGACGTATCTGCGAATTCATCCAGCTTAGGACATTCATCTTACCGACCGCTCAGTATACGAGAAATGAGACTTCGGATTGCAAAGCATACCTCCGTCTGGCTGTCCACAGACCATATACGCCTTGTCAACCAATTCCTGCGCCCATTCATTCAGTGTTTGGCTAAAATCGTCCTTTATCTTCTGCTTATTCTCTTCAGGTAGTGCGGATAATTGATATTCTGCCAACGCATGGAGTTCTGCTGCATTTCTATACGCAGCAAGTCGTCTATAAAGGTACTGGAAGAGTGTGTTCTGATCAGAGTCTGTTAAATCTGTTGGCGGGGCAATTTTCTCGAGGGTGACGGACATCTTCTGGGCTTCGCGTCCAAGTTGAGTTGAGAGTTCAATACACGATCAGTTACAAATGTGTTGGCCGGACAGCATCTTGTGTGTGGTTGAGGAATGACATTCATTGCTAAGGCGCCAAGGTCAAGCGCTGATCATAGAGTCAATACCTCAACCACATTCAATGTTCAAAAATCTTGCGAAAGAGCTCATTGCTATTCTTACGACTAGGCAAAGAAACTTTCCTTTTCCAGTGTGTATGCTGATATACGAGAAGATAAAATTAAATGTACATCAGATACGTCGTATACTAGCTAGCTACAATGTCCGGGCGCGATGAGCGTGCTAAATGAATGAAAAAAGGTGCGGACAAGTCCATGGATCCGATGAGTTTACGGATAGAATTAACTTTCATTAAAGTGATCCGAGGATACTGCTCAGCCCAAGGGATTTAATAAAGTCCTGAAAAGAAGACAACTAGAGCTCAGCGATAGATGAGCAATAAATGATATCCACATACTTCGAGTTCAGATTCATCGAAGGGGCAAGCAATACTGAATGAGTTCGTGATAGTTGGTGATACGGAGATGAATATGATCTTAAGATCAACCTAAAAAATCAAAAATGAACAGTCGCATCCAAAGAACAGAGCAGTGAACAGACCTTGATACTGTAATCAATGGTTAAATCCGACTGTGAACCTCCTAATATACCACATTTGGACGCCATATCAAGTAAAATGGCATAATTTGGATCGGTGGAAAATTGATAGTCAATCTCAAAGGGAAATGTGAAAGAGGTATTCGAGTGAGAGTGGAAGGTGATGTCACTTGTACTGCCATTGCCAATTGCAGTGTCGTTTCCGTCCAATGGATAAGTGAGCTATAAGCAAGGGGTTTCAAGAGAAAGTAATGGGAAGCGATTGAGTCGTACTGACGTCCAGAGTCACTTTCTTGAGATCGACGGAGAAGTAATTTGGGTTGTTGACACTGATGTTAACTTCTAGAGGAACAGTGATACCGCTTGTTTCCAGTTGAATCTGGGAAATCTTCAAAACACCGTTTGAGCCGAGGTAGCCAGAACAATACACACCCCATTCGTCCCAGCTGACGTCAAGCCTGCGGTTCCAATGATAATGCTTGGAGGTCGAATCCACTGTACGGAAAGGAGAGTTGGGTTAAAGTGAAGTAAAATCATTTCATGCGAAAGGCGTACCAATGCGAGGGCCAGGACGATGCTGACGATCATGAAGACAGCAATCATCAGCGTGCAACAGAAGAATCTACCGATACAGGAGCCCCGTCCACCCTTTATTGAAAATTGAGTCCTAATGCAAGAAAGCAGGTAGGGGGCTAGCGCACCTTCGTCCATAAATTATCATTCCTGAATTCTCGTCGATACTGGCGAATATTTTGAGCCCTTCGTTGGCACCCACTGGTTAGAAAGTCATAGCCAACAGATTTACAATTCTCACTTTTCTCCTCTCGGTGATCCAAATTCTCCTCTGTCAAATCCACTACTTAATTCATCTGCGTCTCTGGTCTTGTTAAACCCTAATACAAAACCAGAGTGAAAAAGTGATTAATCTACCATGAATGGATCGACATAACGGATTTGATCATGTACCAGTAGCTGGGTAGGAAGTATCTTGGTATCCTGGCCCATAATTATCGTATGTTGCTGCGTGAGGCTCCTCGTAAGACGCATGTGGCTGAGAATTGGAGTAGGGGTTATATTCTTGGTGACCAGCGTATTGATCGTTGTAAGCCATGAATGAACGGATAGTAGATGTTTACAACGGGCGTATGTTGGGTGATTGTACTGGTTGAAACAGGAGGAGAATCAGTACAATTGAAGGGCGGAAAGAAAGGGACTGAAGGCTATGTTGTTTATGACACTCACATTGCGCCCACGCCCATTTTTGGCTTTGCAATCCGCAGCATTTGTTCATAGTTATACTTGTATTAGTTGCCGTACATTCATAGTCTTTGTACTATTGGTGCATTAATCCCCACCAAGGATACAGAAGTAGAAGTGTTGGTCGATAGTCGATAGATAACGGTCTACGACGTGCCAGTGAAGCAGTACTTTCACACATCTACAACACTTGCGCTTCGTGGGCTTCGGGGCCTTCCGAGAATAATAATATTAATGTGAAACATGAACATGCAATGATATTGTACTAGAAGCAGAAAGCAAAAAAGTCCCCGAAAAACAAATCTGTAATCGAGGCAGACCACTATTTCGTCACTGTCCGGGAACGAAAGGCATTCTCTGCCCACTACTACAAGAGAACTTAGGCTGAGCCCTGCTCAGAGAAGCATTCAATGGAAGGGAAGAGGTAGCGGGACGGAAATTACTACGAGTTGCTGATACCGGAGGAACAAAACGTCTTGAAGTGGCTGAGTTACCAGCTGGCGTACTGGGCGGAGGAAATCGTTCGCTCAATGGTAAAAAGCGCGCAGTACTTTGGTGCTGATCCGCGAGATGTAAAGAAGTCGGCTGAACGTGCCCTGAGGCATCTCGAAAATATTGAGGTGGTCCCATATTCGAATTTGAAGTTTGAGAAGGTTTAAGATTGGGGTTCGCGTTCAGTTTTACATGAGACCGCGGAGGTATCTGTGATTGTGAGGCGCTAAAGGTTTGATTATCTTGAAGCATCCGACGAAGTTGCTTGGGAGCCGCTTGTGTATGAGACAATGGTGCAGGACGTATCTGAGAATCTTGAGCAGGTGCGTATGCAAATTGCCTATTGAACGGTTGAATCTGGGTTGAATACTTATATAGAATGCATGACCTATAACGTACTGAGTAAATCGATTCGTTCCTGGACGTTGAGAATGCTGAGAAGCCACGTTCTCATTTGAAGAAATTGCTTGATTGGATGAGAGTTGAGGAGGTTGCTGGCCAGGAGGCAGGGTCATTCTGTGAGGTCCGACCGGAGTCGCAATTGATCGAGGACTGGAAGACGAGGGCGGACTTGAAATATCGTCGACATACGGGGAACACGGAGATTAAGGAACTTACTGTGAGACGTCAATCATCGGCCGTTTTCCATTAGCATTGAGAAACGCCGCTGGTTCGTGTTCTGGTAGACTGTGATCATCCGTACCGGTGACCTGCATCGTGAGCATCTCGTTGGTTCTACATAGGAGAAAGAGCGGAGGTTAGGAGATGATTCATGGGTCCCGTCAAAGGCCGCGTGTTCATACTGCTTTAGTTGGGCATTCTCTTGCTTAAGTTTCTCGATGTAGGCTCTTTGTTGCTGATACCGGACTTTCAGATTTCGTATTTGGGAGGCCATAGATTCTTGCTGGAACTGTAACAGCCTTGAGAACAAAAAAGGTAGATAAGGAACCGTTAAACACACCTTGATCGCATACGCGGCTGAATCCAAGATATATGGGACCGAACGAAACCATTCCGACATCGGAGGCTCCATCTGCGTGAAATAATGAGAATACATGCTCAATGATATCAACTATACGCACGTCGAGTTGAAGTGGGATGAGTTGAATCCCTGGAGATCTACATTGTGCGCAAGTTTGATCGGAGTCTGCAGAGTACCAGATAATTATCTTGTATGAGTTTTCGATATTCAGATAGCGTACTGAGATGATTGTTGCAGATAACATGCCCGCATTCCGTCAACCAGAAGGGTACTGTGGAGCCATTGGCGCCAGAGTTGAACGGTAACTGGCACTTCGCGCAACAAACGAACTCCCAGAAGTTAAAGTTCGAGGCGCTGATTGGCTCTGCAGACATCGGACCTGGATAATTTGTCCAGAACAGCAATGTATAGGGTATACTGGGGAGGGGAAGACTCGGAAGAGAAGAATTCAAAGATTTAGCGCGCAAGGTCGGACCGTGGTTCTTCTCAGTTCAACTCATTCACCTTCAGACCAAGCAATTTGGCGATCTCTCTCTTCATGGTCAATATATTACATTGCTCTTACTCATTGCTGTGAGTGCAATCGATCTTTGATAGGCCCAGCAACTTGAATACCGGTGCAGACGAAGTGATCAGAATCAATCAAGGTGTTGAATGGCGATACCTGTTGCTATTGCTCCTTGTCTTTCCTCTCTGCATCTGAGCTCGGGGGACTTTTGAAGATTTTCCGTGGATATGCACACTCTACCATTGGTGATAACAGCCAACGCCTCACAGTACTAGATCAATCAATTTGTTCTTCCCGTGAGAATTGACTTCAACTTGAGCGCGCGCATATCTTTGCGAATATATAAAAGTTTGAAGAAGATGACAGTTGTTCAAGAGAGACCCATTAATTCCTCGTCACCATGCGTCGTACCATGGAGGAACGTCGGGCGGAACTCATGCGCGAATACCTCCCCACTGTGCCGACGTCGGCTGATGTCCGAACCGAACCATCAACAGAATCTGGAGCATCTTGTTCCTCGTGCGATTCTACCATCAATATGGAGAGCAAAGTGGTACAACCATTGACGAAAAGCCCAGATCAGATCCTTTCTTGTAAAGGCTGGACCTTGTCCTCCCTCTTGAACGATAACAAGAATTTCCATGCAGCTCCCAGAATATCGGTATCAAAGGTCACAGAGAAACTACTCGCCTCCTCTGATGCGGACGGTATACCTTTCGTGATCGAAGGTTTGCAACATTTACCAGGTTGGCGCAAGGAGTTATTGAGTGTAGATTGGCTGAAAGACGACTCCTTGTTGAAAGGTGAGTTTCTCCAAAATCTTTTTGAACGCCACACTGACTTTTTGCCTTTTTTTGAACAAATGAAGAAGTTCCAGTTCGAAACATTCATAACAATGTGGACACGACACTACCACTATCAGAATTTCTCGAGAGGACACGAAAATCTTCACCATTTGTTCAACCCGGAGGTATTTACTCGTGTCAGCCTTGATGAAACAGAAATTCAAGCATAAGCTTTGCAGAAAGTGAAAGATTATACGGGAAAGATCTTGAGACTCCCAAACCGTGGATCGAATGGTTGCACAGAGGAAAAGTTGTTCCATCAGAACTTCTTCCGACTACCGACAATCTATTGGTCTACTTGCCTGAATCTGTATGTTTCAAAAAATGACTGGGTAATCCGAAACTCACGATGCTCTTCGCCTCCAGGCCCAAGTTGACACTCTAATGAGCTACATCGGCATAGGCGATACGTTCACTCCTAGCCACAAAGACCTCTGCGCCTCTCATGGTCACAATCTCATGTGTTACACCGAAAACGGAGGTTCTTCCTTTTGGTTTATGACCAGACGAGAAGACGCTCGGAAAGTAACAAACTACTTTCATCATAAGCTCGGGCATGATATCGATCACGAAAGCTGTGTTACTTCTGTCCAAGATTTCGCAAACGCGCCGTTTCCAGTCTATATCATCGAACAGAAATTAGGCGATCTTGTCATAGTTCCGCGGATGAGCTGCCACCAAGTCGTTAACCACGGTGGCTTGACCGTAAAGATGTCATGGTCGAGGATGTCGCTGAAAAGCATATCGCAGGCAGTCTATTACGAGCTCCCTTTGTATCGACGGTGAGCCGTCGTATCGTCGTCTCGATTCCTTTGACTTAATTTTCTCTAGCGTTTGCCGTCCAGAAACATATCGTGTCCGATTAACATTGTATCATACCATTCGTACTCTTTATCGGAATTTCTCCGAACAAGTATGGCATTATGTCTACTAGTCTTCTCCTTACTGAACAGTATGCCATAGATGAATCAGCGCACCAGTGCATCCGGAAATGAAGTTGATATTGGAAAACAGTCTCGCCGGCTTGCATACGCTCTTCGAATCTTTGACGACGTTTTGCAAAACGAATGTGTAGAGGATTATGCGTCGTTGCCTTGCTCTTCGTCCTCGGAAAACTTATCATGCGATTTCTGTGGTGCCGACATATTTCAAAGTTTCCTCGAGTGCCAGGACTGTTTTTCCTTGGGTGATCTTGTAAGGGATCCTTGCACGATCTGTCCAGGATGTTATGCAGAAGGCAGATCATGCCGTTGTCAATCAATGCGGCCAAAACAACTGCAGCCTTTAGATAATATCCTCCAGGAACGAAACAAAGTCATCGAGGGGCTCCAGAAGTTTTGGAAGACCAGTTCCAACGAAGGTGTACAATTTGCGACGAAAGCGTAAGTATATTTCTATGATAATGCAACGATCGTTCTCAATCGTTTCCTTCCAGTGCCCTTCTCAGTGGAGGAGCATTCAAAGCAGCTTGTCTTCTGGCACGAGTTCGGCAACAAGAGGTAAGTTTCTTACGTTCGCCTATGCTGCATCTGATTCACTACGCTCTTCAAGGCAAAAATGTTACTTTGCAGCAAGGGTACACCTCATCGACTTCCACACAGCGATGTACTTTCTTGCAAACAGTGTCATCACGCTTCATGCTTCTTTCATCTCCTCGAAAAATGCAGGTTGCATTCCATCTTCATCCTACTGGACAGAGACAAGGACGTACAAAAAAGTCATCGAAGTCACCACACTCGACACAAACAGGGCCCAAAGGAATACGACACCCATTTGCCAAAATACATGTTCGATGAACGCTCGGCGAACAGACCCGGGAATTTCGAAATTCAGATGGTCAATTTGGCCTTGAGTTTTCCCAAGTGTCGCCCAATCAACTTCTCTTTAACACATGCAGGGTGGTATGACTCCATCATCATCGCACCTGTCGTGATACGGGTGGGTTATATAGTGTATAAAAACACGACCCAGCTTCTAATACCATATCTCCTAGTCTGTCACTCCCCCAAGATCCATGGCGTCAGTCAGTCCTCCTCCTCCCCCATATGTCGCAGAGACACCCAATAATTCAACCCACGACACACTCACAAATCTTGGACCCCAAGCAAATTCACCTCCCACCACCGATCTGTCCAGTCCTGTCATTGACATTACAACATCATCTAGTCATCGTCGTCGTCCAAGGAAATCTCAGCCATCGTCGTCTAAGAAGCAAAGGCTGATATTGGACTATGTTCTAATTCCAACCTCCAGTCTGCATCATGTCAAGGTTTGACTTTTTTCTCTATCGATTAATTGATTATCAGTTGACTTTCTCTATACTTAGAAGGAAACGAGAAAAGCGCCGGTTGTTCAGAAGGAGATCGAAGTACTTGAAATAACGGAATCGGAATCGGAATCTGATGAACAAACGTCACAAATGCAACGAAATATTGTGCCACAGCTGCCGGATCGCAGACGAATCCGCGGCGCTGTTTCACCATCCTCAAATGACCCTTCTTCCACTCCTGCGAAACCATCGCGAAAGCCGCGCGGTAATCCAATACCCGCGAGGCAAATACGCCCCGTAGAGTCATCCAACTTCACCAACGAACTAGCTTCAGTGATTAACGCGTCTGGGAATTCAATATCCGGCGCTATTTCATCCACCTCGGCTAGGCGAGTGCAGTCGTCCTCTTCTACGCACCAGGACAGGAGTAAAAGAAATGAAGTACAAAAGCAGTCGAATATCAGCGTATCAACTGGGAAAAGGCGACTGATACAATCCGATATTGAAAGTGACAGTAGCGCAGATCTTCCTATTGTCGCTAAACCACATATACCGCCTGCCTCATCGAAGACCATGTTGGATAGAGCCGGCCTCAAATTTCGTAGGTCTATTGTGCCATTGGGGAAAAAGAGGGGAGAGCAGCCACACGCTACCGCGCCTCCTGGCCCAAGCTTTTCCTCCTCCATGGCAATTCAGAATAATCGGCACCGGGATCGTGCCGTTCGTAAAGATTCCATTAGTCTACTCGATACCTTTTCTCAGATGTCTTCTCCTGCCCCTGAAGAGACTTTCGTAAAACCTTCCAACACTGACAAACCATTATTGCCCGTTGCTCGCAAGAGAAGAGAACGAAGTCCGGACAATGTTAGGGTGCCAGCCGCCGAGTCTTCTCGGATGGGCGCGAAGGCCCCCAGGCGTGCGGGAACTAGTAGGAGAAGGAGCGGAAGTGAGTCTCCGGAAAGGGATGACCGTAGAGAATCTCAATCTACTCATAACAAGGGAGGCTTAGCCTTAGATGAAATATCCCTCTTGAGGCTAGAAAACACGGAATTACGGTTTCGATTAGCGAATCTTGAGCACGCTGTCCATCAGCCTACTCCTGTTCAACAAGCGCAAATCCAAGACCCTAATGCTTTTTACCTGCACGCCACCTTCATTCAGCGCACCGTGCAACATGCAGTTGCCGATACACTTCAAACGGTCATCAATAGTATGCCACCATCCGCCGCAATCGTAAGTACATCGGTCTCTCGTTCGATTGAAGCCTTCACCATGAATGGACTCGGCAGGTCAACACACCTCCCTCTGTAGCGAGGTCCTCGCATTTACCTCAACAAGGAAACTTTTGGCATGACAATGGTTAGTATTTTTGCTATAAATCCTATTTGTCTGCCTAAGTTGTAGTTTAGCACAGGGTCCAAGCAATTATCCGCGTAATCAGTATAATAGGAACCCCAATTATAGCAGAACAAATCATAACTACAATCGTGGTCCAGGGCGGTATCACGAACGAGGTCGACGATGGACCAATGTACCCAATTCTGCTTCGTCGCAACACATTTCTTCAAGTTCTCGTACCGAATCATCTAAGGGAATTGAGCGTAATCCTGCGGCCAGACCAGACGCAGAAGAAGAGAGGAGTCATGCCGAGGATCCACCTGACAGACGTGCGTCTTTGAAAGCAGTTGATCAAGTTTGACTCCCTAGCTAATGTAGGCATCATCCAGGTTTGGTTGGCATTCGCACAGTCAGAGCCTCCAACACCCAAGACATTGTCCGCACTTCTCCCAACCTGCAAACATCAGACAATACACAATTTTGGGAAGACAATTACGAGAAGGTAGATGACGATCCTGTCCCGCCAGTACTGAAAGGGGGACCAGCAGATTCAAGCCAGTCGAATTCAATCCGTCGCTCTGATGAGCTTCACAGTGAGTGCGCTTTTTTCCCTTGCAGGTCTGCCCGCCTTACATTCACTTTTAGAAGATCTCACTCACAATCCGTGGGAGACTCCCAGTTAAGAGGGAACGCGATTTAATTTTTTCTTCGCAGAGATCTTCTTCTGCACTTGGAAGGGATGAAATTCTTCATGTAGTAACCACCTCCTGTACTTTTTCTGATCATATCGTTCAACATACCGTTGTCATTTGTGTCCTTCGTTTGGTAACCTTTATCTTCACCAGAGCCGTTTCTAGTGCAAGATATATTCTCGAAGGCAGGAGTGACCAAAGAGACAGGCCGTTGCAGCCTCTTGCAGCTTTGAAAGTAGAAAGATTCGGGACCTCAGTGCAATTAACTGTGCTTCCCTCCGCGAGTCCGCTTCCCATCTTACAATAGACCACTTGACAAGGAACATGATCACCTATACCTGTCACCTACTCACTTACCATGCACATTACTGCGTTAATTCCTAAAGCGACATTTTGATATTACCAAGCTTTAAAGTTCTATTCTGATGATACATGCCAGTGATCGAAAAGAATAACCAATTTACCAGAAAGTGAAATTATGAGTAGATAATGGGTATAGCAGAAGAAATGAGTGCTGGATATGCAATGAAACGTAGAGTGCATGAAGAGTAATCATAAGGGGTCATAGGGTTCACAGATTCAGCCGCATCGACATGTGAGGATCCTCAACAGCGTCATTCTTGGCGGTGAGTCCTCCAATTCCTGACCGTCATGTTCGCCCCTAGACACACCCACATCTCCACCTCTTGCGCGAACATTACTGAGAGCTGGTGGGGCCGCGCTACTCGATACCATTGGCGATGCTCGACCATATTGCTGTTGCTGAACATAGGTATCATCCGCGGTATAATCGTAGCCGCCAGATACACTCGCATAAGGATGCTGAGGGCTCCCACGCTGCTGTGAACCAACCGGGACATTGATTTGTGCAGCAGTCGAATGAGGGGTCAATTGTCCAGGGGTGTTGACGCCGCCAGGCGAAAGGGTATTGAGATTGTTCGGAGCCTTGCGTTGTTTTGAACCGTGTCGCACGAGGGCAGGAGATGGTGGAACAACGTTACCTACCTGAGAGGCCCGTCGTCGATCATCTCTATGTTCCCTGCGCCGATCCGGAGACGCAGTGATACCAGCGGATTGCATTTGCGCCACCATCTGAGTATGTCCCTGAAGATTTCTTAGTTTTGGGCATTCAGAGTTTTCGCATGATCCTCACCGCAGATGCTTCCCAACCTTTTCCACCTGGATAGTGCGATGTTATAAGAAGCAATCACACGAGGCACGAAAGTACTTACCATTCAATAAATTCCAGTCGAATACCCCATCATCAACGTCACCATTGTTCTTGATGACCTTCGAAAATAGTTCTCGGAGAAAATCGTAATCAGGTGTCTCCTCAAATCCAAGTTTTCGGACATAGTTAAGGTAGATACCAAATTCCTCTGCAGGATTTGACATTATTAGCTTGGTGACCCCTAAGCCCTGAAAGAAAAAATATCACCTGGGAAGCCATCGCAAAGCTCTTTGATGGGAGTTGTCTGCTTTTTCTCGCCGATCTTCTCATATTTTTGCTTATTGGTTGCGGCCTTGAGGCCCTGCCATGGCAAAGAACCACGGAGGAAATACATGAATACATGCCCCAACGCTTCGAGATCGTCTCGCCGTGATTGTTCTGTTCGCGAGGGTAAAACGAATGACTTTGATTAGGGTTCACTCCACACACCTCGTCCCAAATGAGTGTTGATGCTCATGTACCGAGCCGTCCCACTCAAACTCTTTCGCTCACGATACGGAATATGCTGTTTAGTCTTCGGATCACGATACTGTTTTGCCATACCAAAATCAACAACATGAATAACTGCCAGGTGAGAAATTAGGCGAAATAATGCACGTTCGCAGAATGGAGCAGTGCAAACCGTTCGATCCTTTGGTGCCGGGGCGACCAATAAGAAAGTTGTCTGGCTTGATGTCACGATAGATGAGGTTCTTCTCGTGTATTGTCTGAACTCTGGATATCTGCACCACCAAGTCAGACCCATATCGAATACTGCGCAGGTGTACTAGACACACCATTTGCCGGGCAGCCATGCACACAGTCTTGATTGAGAATTTCCGACCACACATATCGAATAAGTCCTCAAGACTTGGACCAAGAAGATCTATCACTAGGATGTTATGAAGTCCTTCTTGTCCAAAATGGTAAATCTGAGGGATTCCAGCTACAGCAACCAAGTTAGTTGGTAGATATGCAAGGCGGGAAGCAAAGCACGCACTGCAGCCAGCCAGTATCCTATAAGACCGACACTCATCCCGTAGCTGAGGAGCTTCAGCCTTTCTGGGTTCCTAATATACGGTTAGAACTGAACGTTGATGGAATATTGCTGAGTGTCTGGGACGCACAAACTTGATGGCAACAGTCTGGGAGTTGAGCAGATTTGTGCCTATAAACAGATTGGGAGTGGTCATAAATAATTCTTGAAGTCGAAAATGCAAGGTGGCTTTGCCTTCGAAGATTACCCCGAAGGAACCCTCTCCGATTTTCTTTCCAACGCGGTAATGGACTCCTACGACGTTCGCGGTAGAGGAGGAATGTGAATGAGAGGTCATGGTCGGCAACAGATGAGGGAAGGTCGTCCGCGAAGGAGGGAGGAAAGAGAGGAGACAGTGCCAGAGGTCTTAGAGAGTTCAGAATTCGCGAACTCGGCAGGCCGATTCCGATTCCGTAAAGGTAGCTATTTGTCCCTGCTTGGTTCCGTGATGGAATCCAGCGCTTAGAACAAAAGGCTAAGCTACGGTGCAGTTCACTTAAACAGGAAATGGCGACCTAGCTATATAGGTCTTTAACATCGCATGAATCAATATCAGTATTGGTCGAGCCGTGGAATAATCTATCCATCTATCTACTCTGCTTGTGAATAATCATTTGAACACGGAATTTTGCCCAGAATGTTTTGTAGCGACGCCATTTTGACGGACGTCGAGACCACGAAGAAGGGGAAGGATGATATATTCAGTCAGAGTAGCCTTCCAGCCTCCCCCTTGGTCCTTCGATGAAGCGACTCTCGTACTCCCTCAGGGTTGCTGATTGATTCGATTATACTCAATCTGTCAGCCCTCCCTTTCCTTCCCTTTCCGGTCCTTTTCCACTGTTCCTGATTGAAGATCAGAAATACTTATGATACAAAAGCACCGCCAATGGTATGCTACTCAGACCCAGCAGTATATTCCTCCTTGCGTTCCGATTTTGCTTCCTGATCCATCCTGTTTGCGAGTCTACCTCAACAACTTTCCAGTCTTCCCATCTCTCCGCTTTTCTCATCAGCCAATACAAAAGAGTGGCCGGACCTAGCGGATAATATATTATATCAGCATTTATCACACAAAAAAACTCATCTAACCTGGAAATGAGGCCACATTTCGACTATTTCTATCGTTGTCCCAATGGTAATACGAGTCGCATGAATTCCACACAGAGTCTTTGAGACGGTCTTGTAACCACAGGTTGTACTGTTCCGACACCTCTTGCTTTACCTCCACTGACTTTAAATGACCCGCAAGCACGGGCTTGATCAGTTTTAGAGCTAGTCCTATCTGTGAAGAACAATGAGCAAAATATCAAAAATATTGTCAGGTGGTGCCTGACCTGAGCTTCTTGCACAAAGATAACGGAGGTGCTACCAGAAATGACATTCGGCCCTATACCAGGAGTTGGCCGCAAATTACACTAGTCAACAAACTTGTTCTTACCAAGAAGAATAAAAAGGTTAGGGAATCCTGAAGGTATGAGATTGATCAGCTTCAACTCTAAGACTAATAATTGATCTCCTCGGGAACCCGAAGTCATTCACCTGGAATTGCGCTTCCTAAATACGCAACAGGCCCTCCTTGCGATTTGTAGAAGCTCCTCACTGTAGTATCCAAACTCCCGCGTACATGCAAATCTTCGGGATCCTGTTTCAAGATTATGATACTTTCCGATGTATAACAGTTGCAAGACGAACCACTGAGTAACCCGTGGCAAAGATGATAACGTCGAGAGGAACAACCTCCCCCGTGTCGAGTTTGATTCCGTTTTCGACAATCCTTTCGATACGATCCCATGTGATGTCCACGTTCGGACGATTCAAGCATTCCAGATAGCCTGGGTCAACTATGAGACGTTTGCAACCAGGGGCTGGAAAGTAATTCGATCGGCTTGGTAATGGAGATGAAGGGATATACATAGAGCATACGATAATTTGGTGTAAGCTTTGTAACTTGGATTTTGGGTGCTTTTAATGCAATGTATTTGGAAAGTAGCTCCACATTGGTTTACTTTTCAACGTCGATGATGTACTATGAGATGCAAAAGACTGACCTTTGTCACTAATGCTACAATCCTTTTGTTGCTCTTCCGGAAAATAACAAAGGTCAAATCACTCTGAAGTCATAGATCAAGGACAACCCTTTTAAACTATATGATTTAGACGCACCCTGACCATCAGAAGATTGCGATACCACCTCATCGTGAATGGTATATGGGCAAATATCCACTTGACCCAACGAGGATATGCATAATTAGTCTGCAGGCATCAAATAGATTAGAATAGGGATAAAGACCATTGAATGAGGAAACCTCTCACGCGTGGAACATACCACTGGGGGGTTCGACAAAAGTTGGTAACTTGGACAGAGGGGTCTTCGGATAAGGTAGGAACTAATTGTGCCCTAAGGATACCGTCAGGAAATATTGAGGAAAGACAATCATCACGTACCCCGAACATCCATTCCCAATTACTCCAACCCTTTTACCTTTCAAATCTACACCATAAAAGTATGAGGTTTCATCAGTACTAATTATACTGCGAACATCTCGTCCTATTCACCAACATCATGTCGATATCGCGCTGAATGCCAGATATGTCCCTTAAAACACTCTCTACCGGGGACATCCGTCGAAAATACAGGTTTCTGGAATCCGCCGATGGCGTAGAACATTACATTCGTTTCAACCAAGGTTTTTTCTCCCGACAGCGTATTCGTGATCTCAACGGTGTATTTCTGTGTAGCATTGCTCCATATCGCGGAAGTGACCTTTGAATTGAACTGGGTATGAGATTGCAGATTGTATTTATCGAAGATGTTTTGCCAGTAGTCGCGGATCTCTGGTTGAGTAGCGTAAAGGTTGCTCCAGTGTGGGTTCAGCTCTGTTGAAAGGGAATACCAATGTCCAGGTATATCGGAACCACATCCCTAGACAGAGTTAATAAACAGTTGAGTAAATCTGAATCATTGTACACAGACGGGATATGTATTGTCCTAAGCATAAACATAATGTAATGAATTATCAATGTACGATAGATACAAATCGCAGTACGCACCCTCCATGTTCCACCAAGAGTAGAATCTCTTTCATAAATCTTGACAGTCGAGGTTCATTCAATTAGAAGTAAACGAAGCTCAAGCAACATACAGTAAAATTCTCGAACCCCAGCTGTTTTTTCAGCTCGACTGCAGTGCAGATCCCTGCGAGACTAAATGGAATAATTATAGGTCATAATGGTGGAAAAGAAGACGATCAATATGTACCCAGCACCAACGATTACAACGTGAGCTTGCAGCCCTTTCTCGTCCGCCACCATGACTTCGAAAAAAGACCTTGTGAAGGACGTCGTCAAAAAGATATATTGCTAAATCTGAGTACATAAGTCAATTTTTCCCCGGCCAACATATTGTTGTGCCTGTTCCGGTGCTCGGGTCAATTCATGGGCATGGGTTCCGTTCAATGTTGTAGCTTCTGCTGTAGATTGAATACCAGCTTAAAATGTCACAGAGATGGCAGTTCACAAGCATTCACATAGGAAGAAGGAAATATTATCAGGGAGATGGGATGGACTGTACACTAGATATTTTGTAAGTACAACTTGAAAAAGAAAGAGAAAACAGTTCAACAGCCTAAAGGAAGAAGAGAAGCACATCGACAAAATGTTAGGGTGTATTCATGAGGTCGGGAAGTGTATCAGGTCAGATGAGTGAATTGTCGTGAGATAAGGTACAGCAATTCGCTCCGAAACTCAACGGAATTCAAAGCTAGAAGTTGCTCGCTCGGGGACATGCGACAACGATAGCTGTTGATAGCTATGTAAAGGAAGAAATGTTCTCATTAGATTTTACGCAGCAGAAAGGCAGCGACATACGGTTCAGAGTTTTGATGGAAGTAGAACCCGCTCATTGAAGCTACTGGAGAAATTTGACGTGGACTAGCAGAGGGTGACCGTCCACCTCTTCTCCGGGTACTGGAATTCCTTCTCGCTCTGCGTGGACTTTCCTGCTTTACCGATTGAACGGTAACGTCAGATTGGTCATTCTCCGGTGTTATAGGCATGGTTTCACAGCTCTTGCTCGAGTTCGACGAGTTGAAATCCACGCAAACATAGTAAAAGCCTACAAAGATGTTGACCGCAGTTCCTGTGTAGCTGTATAGATGCATGCACTTACCAGCAAAACTTGCACCACATATATCTTGTACACGATGATCAGGAATCAAGAACCTCTCTTTCCACCTCATGAATATCGCTCCACGATCTCGGTCACTGATTGTCAGGTAGGGCTTCTTCATTTCGTTCTTGGCATGCTTGAAAGCAGGAAACCGTTGCCAATGCACCAAGTCCTGCTGTTCAGTAGCGCCCCAATTCTGCGTCAAAAATCCATAACGGCTTCCAATGATCTCGGCGTCAAAGTAAGTAGTCAGTTCTGGCCAATCTTCTGTCAAACCTCGGATGCGAAGATATCCACATAAGAATGAAGAGGAGAAATCGACGTCCTGAATGCAAGTTTGGCTTACTAGACGATAATGAAGAACGATAAACGTACCACTATGGTGACATTAACATCATAACTGCTCCTCCCACTCTTTTGTGTCCCCTTGAAGACAGCTCCGGGATACAAACAGTGATTCCCTTGTGAACGGACCCGTAGACGAGTGATGTCGGTCAGAGGACTGGGGGTAATGAAAGGACGTCCCCGGATCTCGGAGTAAGAAGAGGCGGAAGGTCTTGTAGAGAGACTGATGTCGTGAGTCGCTAACTTGGTGGAATATGTCGGGGATGAGATTATGGGACTACAACAGTGAAAACTAGAGTCTGAGTCCAAAGGTATTTCGGTGTGAAAGTCAACGTCGTCATAGGAGCTGAGCCTTCCAGGGCTCCTAATTGGACTCGGCGGCGAACGAGGCGGTGATGGTAGTGATGGAATAGATGCTGGAAGAGCTTGTTGTGGTTGTCGAGCAGTAGCAGCGGAATATTGGCTTTGACAGCCAGCACACAATTCAGCAGCTGGCAGGAAAACAAAATTGCCATCCACCGCGCATTGACATCGGACGCAAAGTTTTTGACTGTCCAGTGAGCCTTCTTCAGGGATGACGGTGTACTCTGGCATTTGGAAGATAGAGGGAAAAACTGTTCAGGGAGATTAAACGAAACGTCGGGAAGCAGTAGTTAAGTATATTCGGCACGTGTTGCCTTTCATTCCAGGGACCGTCCAGTACCAGTCCAGTCCAGTCGGTGTCAGCGGTGTTATTCTGGTGTTATTACAAGTTCAAGACTTCCTTTTGGTACAACATTTTCACTTTTAAGGTTCTCCAGAAAGCGTTACACTTCTTTATCACAAAACAATTGTTCCTCACGGAACAGCTTCATCAAGTATGTATCGCCTTGTGAAGTAGATTGAATTGCTGAAATTATCATGGACACAATAATTGGGCACGTCAACGTCGTTCAGAGCTCGGGATGGAGTCACTGTCCCGACTCCCTGGACGAATAATATGTCTTCGCGAAAAATTGATAAGTTGCATATCTTAAGCTTCTCAGTGGGTCCATGAATCTCAGGTACTTCAGTGTTCAATACAATATCCTTCAACGTGTCATCTGTGTCATCTGCTGTGTCAACTTCAAAGAAGCTGGAAATTCTCAATAACAGCTAAGTGCTAGTCTCACGACTCACGGTGCATTTAATCAAGCACAACAGCGAGGCCTTCTGTTTCGAGATGGGAAGCCAAATGAGTTCTTATTCGTTAACAAGCTCTTCATCGACAGGAGAAATCGAGTGCTGGCAGTACGCAACAGCAGTCTCTAAAGGGACGACCTTCTGCGAGTCAAGTGATTCGTACTGCAGAAGAAGTGAGCCGCGTCATCACCGTCGTGTTACATGTTATCCTGTACATAGCTGTACTCCGGGACAACAAGGTGGGCCTGTACTTGTTCAAGGGAGCATGTATCAATCGCAATCTGCTGGTTAGTCTACTAAGTAAAAGTTCTACGAGGCAATGTCCAGTGAAGCGCAAGCGAACTTCCGAACAGAAAAAATCGCTTACTTTATATGAATCTCGACTATACCCCACCTCATCCTTCCGCTGCGTACCAACCTTGCTAACTGCAGCGTGCACGCTCTCCACTAAATTCACAAGACCACAGATTCCAACGAGTAAACCCGAAGGCGTGTCTATATCATTCATCTGATATCGCTGCCTTGGCAGTACTGTCGATTGTTTCTTGGAAGAATGTGGAGTATTGGACGACCAGGTGATAAAGTAAGACAGGGGGAATCGAAATAGCCTTCCGCAAAGAGGAAATTTGCCAGTTGTGGCTCGACCTGGGCTCGGCTGTAGAAGACGGAAATGTGAATTGATATGGGAGTCCTTGGATCATGGTCGTAAGCAATGGTGGCATAGAAACAAGGGAGGCTGAAATCAAATTAAATAAGTCATTGGGACAGTTTGTGTGAAATAAAACTACGTACAAGCATCTTGCACGGTCTGGCAGATCAGCTCGATAAGCTTGACACGACTTTCTCGTCCACCTTCGAGGTGGAAAAACTGATACCACTTCCGCCAACTACAAGAACTATAGCCGAAAAGCTCGCTTTCATCCAATTGCCTAGACCGCCTGCGGGGACGAAGCTACATCGTATAGGAGTTACAGATAAGCCATGATTTGAAACGTACCGTAAGGTCCCTCAACTATCACAGAAACTTTCCTTATCCTCAGGACCCATATCGTTACTAGCCATATCGAAAAGCTTGTTCGTCCTGTTGCCCGTTCTTTTGCATTTGGACTATCGGCAACCGAAGCGATGGTAAATGGATGAATCTCGACCATCTACTTAAATAGACCCATCGAGATCACTCGAAGACACGCCATCCATTGTTGATTCTTGGTATCTCGACTCAAGTAATGCCGGTTTCATGCAATAGGCGGATTGTCGTTGTGGAAAAGCGGGTTTTGCTACGCGTAGACAGAGATCGGTAGATAAAAGCACATCCCTATGCCTAGAAACTGCATCCATCGTAATGGAAGGACATCTAAAAATGCGGGATTGCGGGCCGCCATTGAGATATTCAATGCTGATAAATTTAGCCACTGAAGACGGTCAGCCAACGGTTAGCGCTTCAGCGAAGAGCGAAGAGCCATGTGTCGCGATAAAGACGTCGTATGCTTCCTTCCCCAAGATTCAGTCGAGAAGAAGAAGAGACAAACAAAACATCAGCAAAACATGTTTGTTCAACGGGACAAGTCTTTTAGACCAAGGCAGTTCTGGGGTCTCGCCGTCAATACTTGAAAATGCCATTTATAGACTGTGCTGTTCAAACTTGGAATACTCGGAGAATGTGACGGCGAACTTTTAGGCGAGAACTGGTGAGGAAAAGATAGTGATAGGTTGAGATGATAAGAGAGCGGTTGTCGAAATCGCAACAATTCATTACTTACAGCAGACTTATGTAAGTTAGCATTCCCTCACATGACTCATTCCTCCTCCGAGTAATTATATATAAGCACTACTGTATTGGATACTAGGAGTCTCTACCATTCATCATAAGTTACAAGTAGAGTAATTGGGATTCATTTGCTACTTAGTATATAATCGCTGGATAATCTAGAATATACGCGTGTGCGGGTTCATTCATCAAGAATAATTAAACCTCCTCTTGCTTTGCAGATGTTTCTTCACCTCCTTCTATAGTAATATCATCACTGACATTGCTGGCAGCTGGCTGTTCTTTAACATCTCCTGGTGTTTGACCCTTCTCCGCATCTACCGGTTGCTTCTCATTGCGGACAATGGTTCGGTTCAGCGTGTATTTTCTAACCCATAAAACTTTGAAGCCAACATAAGCTTATCGGAACTAAAAGGATATTGAATGAGAACTTACCTAGAAGGAATCCTATGCCTGCTATAGGTGTACAAACAACCCATATAGAACTGATGGACTTGGAGTATGCTTGAATGACTGCAACTCGCGTTGTTGCATCGGGAATGTTTTTCAGATTTGTGACACTTTCGGCGAGAGCGGCGCTAGATGTGTCTATCGATATGTTAGGTATCTTCGCTAAACGGGGTGAGAGCGTCTAAATTTGATTCCAGGATCCGATTCAGTATTCATAGCCCCAAACCAAGAGAGCCAGCTGAAGCCGGACTCACGCTAGAAAATATGACTTGGCCGACTGAAATGCCGACTGTTCCACCAAGCGTTCTGAGTTATAATTAGCATTTGACCTTCTTAATACTCCGGGAAGGGAAAAGTTTCAATTACCTGATGAATCCAAAAGCACCCGTACTAGTGGCCATATCCTTCAACGGCATCGCAGCTTGGAGTGCTATCAAAGGTGTCTAGAACGTGGTCAGCATGAGCGTTATCCATGAATGTTGCATAACAGAAAAGAGATCAGCACCTGGAAGAGGCAACCAATGCCAATTGCCGCAACAAATGGATACAATTCCTTCATTGCCCTAAGATGTGATGTAAGCGTTTTAGATGTTTGGTGACGACCTGATTGACCTACGTGTTGGAGTGACTATCCAGCATAGTCATTAAGCCATACCCGACAACAAATATGGCCCATGATATCCACATCACTAGCCGGTACTCTCTGGTTTTGGAGACGACGATACCGGAAATGGCAGACATAAAGGCAGAGCCAAGAGAGAATGGAAGCATTCGTACGCCGGATCCAGTTGCAGACGCCCCCAAGATTTGATAATATAGAGGCAGATAATAGGCACTAAAAACGAGCAAGGATAAAACATTCATAAATTTGGGATTAAAAACAAGCAATTACCCTTGGAAAAAACAAATTGCATGAAGGAAAACGGACACCAGTACGATTGATGTTGTACGGGTCTGACGAAAGAATGATGAGTACGAGGCAGATGCTTTCGAGAATAATATGCCCACCTTGAAGAGCCTAGCAGGCAAGATTGCAGATTTCGTGGTAAATATCTCATACACCCCGGCCATTAACAATAGAACGCCTCCAATCGTGATTAACGAAATAGTTTCAGCATCATCCCCTGCATAAACAACATGGTTTAATCCAACGCAACAACCAGCACAGTGGGCCTTACATTTAGTTTCACTCGAATTAAACCCAATCAACAGGCAGACGACACCAGCGATGATCAGTCCCAGGCCGATGAAGTCAAACTCGCGGACATGTACTTTCAACGACTTGTGTGGCTTAGGGTTCAAATTGAGGAAAAAGAACAAGATGAGAGCTGCGATGCCTCCAGTGGGCCTGCACAAAATATTTGTCAGTTCTTTTGCCAATGCACAGTTACTTGTATCTCACAAATTTATGAAAAAGCACCTGCATGAGCAACGGGTCAATCAAGAACTCATGCTAACATAGAAAAGAAAGTTAAAGTTACCATCTCCAAGAAACGTGGTCAGTGAAAACCTGTACACAAAAAAACCAAGTTGAATGAAGAATATTGATCGACAATATGAATAGACTTGCACCACCAAGTAAAGGCCCCACGACACTACCAGAAAGATGAACAACGGGACGGCCTTACAAAGAAGGCGTGCTTACCTAGCAATGCCCCATGTAGCACCAATAAGGCCCCCATATTTTCCACGGCTGTGGGAAGCGTTAGCTTATTAAGACGGGTGAGAGACATGAGGAGACTGGCTCTTTGAGGGGGACGATGTCACTGATTGTAATATTGACCTGATACGATATGATAAGTCAGATAGATACAATGAGAAAACTGTAAAACCGTACCAACTGAATGATTCCACCACCACCAATACCTTGGACAGCACGACATACTATCAGCCAAACCATTGTCTGGGCTGCACCGCACAACGCAGATCCGATCTGGAAAAGTGGGTGAGTTGGTGTGAACCAATTAAAGTGACGAAGATGAGATGCGGACAAGGAATATCAGTATGCATCCATAGAGTACAGGTTTTCGTCCTGTAAGATGTAAGTAACCGTATATGCACGTTGTCAACATTATTCACCAATTATATCGGAAAGTTTTCCATACAACGGGGAAAGTGAAGCTGCCGCGAGTAGATATGCACTAAGAATAATGAATGCACTGTTCATCTAAGATAATTCAGTGATTTGTACGACGTACCTGCCGACCCAGCTGTAGTCTGCACCACCCCCAAGATCTTTTACGATAGTTGGCAAGGCTGTGGCAATGATAGTCTATAGTTTATTAGATGAAGAAACGCGAACAGGTTGACCATTGACGTACTTGATCCATCGCTGCAAGGAATATAGTGCACATGAAGCCAAGAAATACCTTCAAATCCAGTTGAAAAAGGATGAAATCCGTAAACATTTATCACGCACAAGGGGAAGACGATTTTGGGGTAGAACGTGTGTCTCGTTTTCTTTCCATGATTGTCCAGGTTCTTTCTTGCCAGTGGTGTTGGGAGCAGTTCCGGGCACTGACTCCTTCTGGTTAGTTGCAGCCTGTTCCGCATCTCTAGCAGAAGAAGCGGACATCGTAAAAAGTCGTAAGGCCTCGATCAGGAAGGAAAGTAACTTGAAAAACCTTGGGATCTGGGTGACTTATATACCGCGTCCGCCGTCAAGTTAAATGCGTAAAATTGCCGCCGGCAATTGAAAAACATAACTTTGAAGGTCCGACTTTCTCTTTCTACAATCCAGATACTAGAACGATCCTTTTTGTAAAAGGCTCACTTTCAAAAATTGAAGCACATAAGCTATGTATGTATAAATGTATACGGAAAGGCCAAATACTTTCTGGTCTAAACAACCATCTTGAGGACTGAAGACGTTTCGCTTCGGATAATCGGAATCAACACATCACCTTGCTTGCTAGGTCCTTTGCCACCCCGTCTTTACCAAGCGCCCATGCATCATGTTCCCACGTTAGCCGCTCATCGCTATTTGCCCCGCCCACCTTAATTTTGCATTTTCGTTCAACGTATTATTGCAATCTATCTGTTCTTTCTAATAACCGCTATAACTGGGTCCATCCACCTGCTCACTCCACAATCCTTGATTGGTTTTCCATCGTCGGTCTCCAATGACGATTTCTTTCAATTCCGTACACAGTACCTTGAACGTCCTCAAATGGTGGTGGTTACGAAAGGGTCGTCTGCAGTTATGCATAGTCGTTCAATCGGTGGGTTGAAGTCTAACATGTCCGCAATGCTTCGCAACAGTACATCCTTGCTAACATGTCAGATTTTCCCTCTTTCAATTGCATACTTGTTCTTCCTCACCACTTTCTAGCGCTCGTATTCTACTTCTATCCCAAGTGAACTCCAGTGTTTTAAGGTCCTTGCATGCACGTATGAATCCGCTTTCGTTGTTAGGGCCATGCCAACGAGTATCAAGCAGTCGAACATGTTCCAGGTGGAGGACTCCTTCGACACTTTCTTCGTGCGTCTCGATGATGCAAACTTGTTGCAACGTCAAACCTCGTAAATTTTCCATCTGCGCTATCTCCCTGATCAGCTCCGCGGACACTCGCTTTTGCGTTCGAGAGCCGTTGGATGGTGATGCCTGCACTTTGTTCGTGCACTTTGCAAGAATCATGTTCGCATGTGGCATTCAGTAGCTTTTTGGCCCGACACCCCTTCCTTTCGACATTGCACCTTTATTACGCGAACTTTGATTTGTTTCCCATTCCGGATTTGGTGACCGGTGGTTCACTTCCGTTTCTGCGACAGTTCAGTGGTTCATTGGCGAACGTGAATACCATGTTGGAGCATTGGCAAAGTCATTTGTCGGTGATCACCGTTATTGGTGGTCGGTCATCTGAACATGAGTTTCACAAATTCCTAAATGTGCTACCTACGCATCTCGACGTCCGGACTCTGACTCTGTCCGAAAATAATGGTTACACTGCGGCGGACATTTGTCGTGTACTGAAAAGCTGCGGAAACCTGACATCGCTCACTTTCAAATTTAATTGCTCAATTTGGGCCGAACGTGTGGGTTTGTGCCAGCCCTACCTACTACTTACTGATGTACCCATCCAGGAACAGTGGGAAGATACCATGCTGGCTTGCTTCAACATTGAAAATCTTACCCATTTTAATGTACAACTGTTTATTTCCGATGCACAAGCCGCACAACATTGTTGCATGATGGCTGTGAACCATTTGCTTTCAACGAATGAGGTTCGTATCAACTTTGAACCGTTGAATGTTGTGTTCTCCATACCCGTTGGCGATGTGTATTCTGTAAGACTTTAGACTACTTTTAAAATCAATGTCTATCAAACGAGGTTGGGTACACGTTGAAAATTGATGGTTTTTGCGTACACGTAAATACGATTTGTGGATGATGGCCGCTTTATTAAGTGATCCTAACTCCTACCAACAAATAGTACTAGTACTTACTTACGGCAAGCAAGGTTGTTCGTACCCCGCAGGGGTCCGCTAGTGTAATAAGAATATCGTGTATACTTCTTGAAATTCAGTCGTGCTGAGGACGAGTTGTAGAGTAGGGTTACAGGGTGAAGGGATAGATACAATTAGTTTGGAGTATCTCTGGGGTATTTAAAATTGTCGGCATACTACCTTCCCTTTGGTTTGCGTCGATTCACCGAGACCAGTCATTCCGTTACGGGACCCGCCCTGTCCACATACATAGTAGGGCGAAATCAAGGAGATATAGCCAGGCTATAACGAACGTTGAATCCATGAACATGCAACTAGTTGAACCTTCTGCCATCTTTGTAAAATTGCGAAATACATTTTCCATGTTCGTTCATGATTAATGCAGAGTATGGTCTGAATATTACTATCCAGATGATAAATAGGATCCATTATAACTGCCACCACTGGCCTAGGTGATGATGCTCAGTTGACTCCGAGCTGTAAGAGGTTGACAGAGTTTGACCCGGCCGCTCGAATGCTCTCTCTCTTTCCCTCTCTTGGACCCGGCTGTTCCCTTGTGGTACCCCCGTCATCGACGGAGCCGCGTATCTATCTATCTCTTCGCAATGACAGCCAGACAGATGAACGAGAGGCCCTGAGGATCCACCGCCAACACCGAGCGGGCGGCGGCATAGTTTTTATGATAGGTTAAGGTTAAGAGGTGCATTGAAAGATATCGATAATCGACTGAGAAACGTTGAGAAGGAGCCGCGAAGAGCCGACTATGACTTCGACACGTGCTGACAAAGCGTGACTTTTTCGCTGTGGCTCTTTCAACGAGTCTCTTTTTCCACCTTTTACATCCTTCTCATAGAGCTCTCTCCAGAATGACTGAAACTAATATCCCTACTTTCAAGCTTGTTCTTGGTGCGCCCGATTTTGTAATGGTCGAATCCTCTGTTTTTTGACGCGATCGACGTTTTTCTCTCATCGATCCTGGATATCTCTTTATGTATTCGTACATTTCGAACTTTTCACGTCGAATCCTCCACATGCGGCGTTTCTGACCACCAATTGATATCCAGTTGGCGATGGTGGAACGGGAAAAACTACTTTTGTCAAGGTGAGCGTCATTGCAGCCTTTGTGGCCAGAGATCGAATGTTGATCAGAGCAACACCTCAGCGTCATTTGACTGGAGAATTCGAGAAGAAATACATCGGTATGCAGCAATCATCCTATTCTCCGTTAGATGCCTCGATCTCGAGGTTGTGCCACTCCTCCTCCCAGAAGACTCATTCGATTTTATATTCTAGCCACACTGGGTGTCGAGGTTCACCCACTATCTTTCACTACCAACTATGGTACGATCTGCTTTAACGTCTGGGATACCGCCGGACAGGAAAAGTTTGGTGGTTTGCGGGACGGATACTACATCCAAGGCCAATGTGGTATCATCATGTTCGACGTCACGTCCAGAATCACATATAAGAATGTTCCCAACTGGCACCGTGACCTCGAGCGCGTGTGTGAAAACATTCCCATTGTCCTCTGTGGTAACAAAGTAGACGTCAAAGTTAGTATCTTTTCCCCTTGTTCATCATCTCACCCCTCATATTCTATTATTTGTCAGGAGCGAAAAGTCAAGACTGGAGCTGTCACCTTCCACAGGAAGAAGAACCTCCAGTACTTTGAGATTTCCGCAAAATCGAATTACAACTTTGAGAAGCCTTTCCTTTGGTTAGCGAGGAAGTTGGTCGGGTTAGTATCGGTCATCCAAGTCTATTCCCTTCACTCACAACGTTTATCCACAGTAACACTTCTCTTGAGTTTGTTGCCGCCCCTGCTTTAGCTCCTGCTGAAGTTACTGTTGATGCTGCTTTGATGGACCAGTACCAGCGAGAGTTGCAACAGGTGTGTATACTTCAATCTAGATTATAAATATATATTCACTAATGTTTTCTAGGCTGAGGCTGTTCCTCTTCCTGAAGAGGATGATGACCTTTAGTCGTTTTTGATATTTTACATGACACATGTTTCAATAATTTTCTGTCTGTCCACCTTCCTTTCTACAGAGTACTTGTGTTATATTTCCATCCATCCTCTCTGCATATCCATCTATATTTTTCTTCTCGCCACATCAATTGATTCCTCTACTGTGTATCGACATACATATGCCGTTTGAAGCCTCGGAATCCTATGTTGCGTTACATGGTGCATCAGGATATGATTAACAGCGGAATCTTGTTCAGACTTGGTTACATTGGAATGCACAAAATGTATTAGTTCAGTCATGGTAGTCTTCTTTTCCCAGACTCATTGTGTATTTAGAATTCAAGTTATCGGCGATGCGAATGTTGCCGACGTTGTACAATCAAATACTACTAGCAAAAGCCCATCGAAGTATAACTTTTTGCAGAGGCGAGAGAGAGATATGACCAGATTTGCCACCAATTATTGCCTGGAGTTCGTCGTCAAAGGTGGATACTTTTTCAAAATGAGCATTTGTTTTGATGCCAAGCATGATAGCCACCGGAATAAGATGCTCAATGTGAAGTTTATTGAACAGTTTGAGTAGTTGGGAGGGGACTTTGGTTTGTAGTGGAAGGATACAGTGCGTTTCGCATGTATACATCTTCGTGATATATTTGCGCAAGTCAGCCTCCTGGGACGGATTAACAGACAAACAAGAAACGATGTCTATCTACGTACCGTAATGCCTTGCTTAAGATGAAACAACCTTGGCTATAAGAAAAGGGCCGCAGGCTTGTGTGAGTTCTACATCAAAGGACAAGAGAACCTTTGCTCACTGTGAGACATGGCAAAGCACTTCGAAAACAGAATTTCTCGAGATTCGTCATCGAAGAGGGGAGGAACAATTCATTGAGTTCGTTTGGACCCAGTAACAAGAGGGTACATCAGGAAAACGGCTCTCGGTTAATAAATGAATATTATTGAAATTTTGTCACTAATTTGAAGTTTCCCGTTGATATCTCAAAAATATCTGTTAATTCTGATAATTATCAGTTATTAGCACTTTTTAGCAAGGACAGGAGAAGAATGATCACATATTACCGAGAATTTTCTTCAGCCTTAAAAATATCGGTGAAAGGTTATCGAGCTCACTTTGAGCTATCACAGAGCCAGTGCTTCTGATTGATACAAGGTTAGATTTGAGGTGTTTGAGTGCATGTATACACTGCACCCAGTTAATGAGGCCCAATAGTCAATGTTCATTGCACTGTACATGCACTTCAAGGGAGTTCAATTGTCGAAAAAATTTGACAAGTCCATAGCCGAGCTTTTGCCGGAACACTGAGTGTGCTATCCGAGCACGCTGACAAACTATTGAAGCGGAGTTCAAACTTCCCCCAATATTTTGCGACGTGGCGCCATTTGTCGTCCGCCATTGCCTCTCTTTCAATTCCCTTCTCTGTCCCCTCTTTTTGTTCTTTCCTTTTCCACCTGTGTGTGGCCCCTGCCAGACTCTTTTTCTTTAAGTTTGACCATTCCGTCGCTCGTTGCCATGTCTGCTGCAATCTGGTTTGATGAGCATGCAAACCATTTCCAGGCGAAGTCTTTGGCATTGGTGAGTGCTTATTTGCCTTCCACAGTTTCTTTCTCTTATGATTGTTTTTCTTTTTTCCAGACCTCTCTGAAACAACTACTATAATTATCCTACATGCAAGTTGTGACTCAAAAGCCATTCTATCGGTACCGGGCATAGTTTCTCCACTACTTAATTTTTACTTAAATATCCCTGTTCTTCAGGGCTGCAGTGGAGGTTGAGTAATTGTATTGTGTACATCATGGCAAGGTAACGAGGAGAGCAGACTGGAGTATATGTTTAATAGTTAGTGTATACAGTATGTTGTAATGTCACTGTAATGCTGTTTGTACTGTTCATGCAATAAATGTCCTCTCCTTGCAAGCGTTGTGTGTGTAACTCTGTACTGAGCAATGTCGGAGGATGAGGTGATTCATGAGTGGAAAATAGTCACAAATTACCCATAAGATATTGTTAAACTAACATTAGGCTACTGTTAAAAGTCATTAAGTTGTTGTAAATATTCATTAATGCGCAAAGGGGACCGGGCAATATTTGCTAATTATCACTAATTAATGATCCTGATAATTAGCAATAATTTTCAATAATTTTCAATAATAAACAGTATATTAACAGAGGACGGTTTTCCTGATGTATCGAGGTCGAGATCACTACGAACTCCGAGCTTGACAAGCTCTATCTTACTGATTTCTTCTTGTTGCAGGAGTTGATCTAAATGTTGAGAAGCCAACACAGGCGTTTCTCGACACACTAGGCAGTATTGGCCTGCTATCTGATCATAGGGGACGCATGGTTCGATGTTGGCCGAAGACTGGATTACCAATTGAGACCAGTCAGTCTAGAGATCGAATATGGGGGTAAGGTTTTCTTACTGGGGAAATTTTCGACTTGTTTCGCTCATTGGTAGTAATGCATCGGAGTGGAGGGGGTTTTAGTCCAACATATTTCTATAGATCCACGTAACTACTATGTGTTAGCAAGCAAAAAACGAATTTGTACTTACCCTGGTCGAAGAAGGATTGATTGTGAGAGGCTGAGGAATTGTGGATTCTGATTTCTTTTTGTCCATTTGCGCACGAAAGCGGTGAGGTTTAAAACGTTTATAGTAGGTCCAGGCATTAAAATAGGCTTCGACTGGCCACTGTTCGACGAAATTGTTTAGGTTTTGTTCTTTCCCCACCATCTTAGTTAATGTAAGTCAGAGAATCTGTTCGTCAGTTAGAGAAAAGAACAGTAGTTACCCATCTCACAAAGCGCTGCCATTTCTCTGGGTCCTGAAAAGAACGGTGCTTATATACATCGAGCCCGCAATCTTCAGCACCAGTTCTGACAAGACGCTATGTCGACGGACAGTGGTCGAGCCTGTTATTTGATCTGCTACATGTGAACAAAGAACGCGAGTTTACCTTGAATATTTCAAATTGACTATCCGTATACTTCATTCCTTGCTGTAAGAACACTAATGGCGCGTGCACCGAAAAGAAAAGCCGTTGGTCGGGAATGAGAGTAGCTTGCATGTTGAGAGGAGAGACTTTCGGGTCAGTGAAATAGATCGCATTGTTAAAAGGTCGTCGTCGACCTTAAAACGTTGGAGCTTTGGATCAACAAGAAGTCAAAAAGCAAATTTGTTTGTGTGATGTACATACTACGTTCATATCTAATCACAGAAATTCATTGCAGAAAACTATCACTGTGAAACTCGGTATTAGAGCGATGAAACGGGACAAATGGACATTGTACGACCACCTCTTTACTTTTTCACGGTCTCCACGGGCATTATTCTATTGTTGAGAGATCCAGTAAGAAAGCAGAATCGACAATCTCTCTAAACGTAGCCTCCTAGACAACATCCCACCTGTACCCATGTCCCAGCATGGTCCTTAATGCGACAACCCCTCGAATCACGAAACGAAAAAGGCAAGATGTACATACATAAGCAATAGCCTCGTCTTCCTTTATAGTTGATTGGAGGAGCCTTGAGGTAAGTGGTAAACGTAAATGTGATTTTCTTACAACTTCGCCAGCGCTCGGCGTGGCACGCCGCGATAACCTTGTCAGCGTCCGCCGAAGTTCCGTGTTTCCATTGTAAGAAGGGACTCCCAGGCAACTCCTACTTTGCTCCTCAGCAGACTTGGAACTTTGGTGGAGCTAGCTGATAGTCCTCCAGCAGTCCTCACTGCTCAGCCATCTTCCGATTAGACTCACCCAAATGGAATGCAGGAACGAAAATTCATTACACGGTATGTACTACATATGGTGTTTCGCCGGCATAATCATCCTGGCAACTGTGAGCGCCGAAACCAATGTCAAATATTCGCATGCCAGGTTTTTGTTGTCCTTCCTTGAGCATATTGTGAGTGAAATGTACAATGAAATTATTTATGTACTTCGGGTAGTATAATGTATAATGGTACGATCTATCAAATTCGGAGAACTGTCAAGATGAGAACACAAAAATGAGCAGCACAACTCCAATCAATTGCTAGCCATTCCGAATGCCCATCGCAAGACAACCTTTTGCAAAGGTGAGAGAGATACGAAGTCAGATTGTTGACAAATCATGCTTTCGAGTTTAGTGTCGTTGTAGGTGGATACTTTTCTGACATGCGAATCAGATTTAATGCCGAGTAGAATAGCCGCAGGTATGAGATGTTCGATGTGCAGTTCGTTGAACAATTTGAGCAATTGAGGAGGAATGTGAGTGTGCGGGGGGAGGGCACAATGTTTTCGACATGTATAAACTTTGGCAATGAAAGTGCGCAAACTAGTCTCCTAGTATGATGTGTCAACAAGCAAAAAAATCCACACAAGGCTATCCACATACTGTGATGCCTCGTTCAAGACGGACCATTGGCTGAAAGATAGTTGTGTCAATTCTACGGTTGACGCACAGAAGTAACTTTACTTCACTTTGAGAGATTGAAAAGCATCTTTCAGGGAAAACTTTTCCATATTTGTCATTGAAGATGAGCAGAAAAGGTCCTCGATCTCGTCTGAACCCAGCAGCAAGAGCGTATCAAGGTCAAGATCACTGCGAACGCCTAACTTAACGAGCTCTCCTTTACTGATTTCTTCTTGTTGAAGGAGTTCGTTCAGACGGTGAGAAACCAACGCTGGCGTTTCTCGACATACAAGACAGGGCTGGTATAGCTCCTCATATGCATAACGATCAGTCCTTAGAGCCGGAATCGCGGACTGATGACAGGTTAGTCAGTCTCAAAATGGTGCGAGATCTGAAAACAACAGCTACTTTCCTGCGAAGCTGGGAAAGAAATGGACTTCATTGACGCATTGGGGACGCATCGAAGTGGAGGTGGCTTTTTTCCGATATACCTCTGTAGCTCGCACCAATTGTATTGGTACAAAAACATCGACTGAAACTTTAACAAATGAACACACCCTCATCGGGGGAGGTTTTATCTTCAGATGCTCCGGAATTTTGGATTCTGGTTTCTTTGCGTGGCCTCGTTTACGACGGCTCCGGGCGCCCGCTTCCCTATAAGAGGTCCACGAATTGAAATAAGCTTCGATAGGCCAATGATTTACGAAACTGTTGAGATTCTGGTTCTTCTCGACTACCTTGCTCATTTGAGTCAGAAAATGTAGTTGGATTGGAAAAAAGTGCCATTATTACCCATATGACAAAAGAATTCCATTTTTCTTGATCCTGCTTAGAGTGGGACTTTTGTATGTCGATTCCAAATTGTACTGCGTTGTCCCTAATAAAATTCTGCCTTTACGGTAAGCACTACTAACCTATAGATGATGAACGCAAGTTTACCTTGAAAGTCCCGAACTGAAAATCTGTATACTTCATCGCCTTTTGTAGATCCGCTAATCGCCATTGCGCTGGAAGGAACGGTCGTTGGTCAGGAATGAGGAAGACGGCTGCTTGCATTTTGGGGAGGATACTATCGTGAGCCAAGTAAGATTGCTGGAAGGTCGTTATTGAAATAAGAGTCGACAAAGGCTTAGGATGTAAATTTAGGGTGCATTCCAACTATATATCACATACAAAGCAAGCGGAATCACAGAACTTCTTAGCAGAAACGATCACTGTGAAAAAGGAGATTAGAATGGAACACGATATATGGACTTTGTGCGGTCACCTCTTTAGTTTAGCACGTCTATCGAGAAGTGCCTCCGCCAGTCTACCCTCTTTACGAGCGCGCTTTAGCTGCATGATAAGTTGTAAGCAGGCGAACTTTTGAGATAGAAAGTATCCTACTCACCTCTTTCTTGTCATGAGAAGAGACAACACTTCGTCCAGCACCCCACGCTTGATAGAGATGGCTGACCTTGAATCAGCCAGGTATTTAGATAATGTAACATAAAGCACTGACTTGGTAGCCGACTCGTCAATCTTAGGAGGACCAGCCATACCCTCTTTCTTCGTCTTTTCCTCTTCGTTCGCCTCTTTTTTGTACTTGCTCTGGATCTTAAGCCAAAACCTCTCCTTAAACCCTACTTCGTCACTATCCGCCCGGAGCTGTAGTGAACCACCTGCGACTTCGTCGATACCAAGATACTTTTCGTATGAGTTCATGAGCGCGGTCATTCCGTCAGGCATAATGACTGGTGTCCATTCTTCTTGGGGACCTCGAGCATCTCTATCGCAAGACACGATGCCTAGTGTGTTCGCAGACAGAAACTTGCCTTCTCCAGAACCAGACCGTATGTTGATCGTTGGTGAACCAGCGACTCGGGTTGTCACCCACACCTGTGAGATGTCGGTCGGTGTACGCTCAAGCAGAGACTGCGGTTCCGAGTCATCTTCCGACTTTTCCTTGTCAATGAAATGAAGCACAACACGATTTGTTGTAGAGCTGAAATTTAGAGATATTGGTGAAGGGTCAGAAGGATGGATTATGAATGTGGGACCCCGAATTTCATTGGGATTTTCCGGAAATACCCAAGTATCGGGGTCGACATTGTCTTCCTTTCGCCGTTTGTTGTCTGAGCTTCCTTCCTCGGCATCCTCTCTTCTCCTTTTCTTTTTCTGCTTATCGCCTTTGAATTTCAGCTTTGTTGACCGAATTTTGTCGTCGCCCATGGTGGTTATGTAAATTCGGAAAAGGCGCCGGCGTCAACTGGGAACTTCTTTTCTTTCCGCCCGTCCTGTTCCGTCTCTTTCTTTGTTAGTTGCAGTATGGCTCCAGTGCGACTTCGACACCCAAAAGGCGTGGCTACAATCCAAGCTCCGTTCGATGACAACAAATACACCGTACAAGATCTCCAGCAAGAGATCTACGCAGCGTCTCAAATTCTCCCTTCTCGGCAATCCCGTCAGTAATTTCTTGCCCAACTGTATACTGTCGTGTCAATCGAAATGCACAGTAAAAACCGGATATCCTCCTCGGAATCTCGACCTAACCAGACCGGAGCTGCCTGTATCCAGTCTTGGATTGAAGGGAGGTGACCAATTGATTGTTGGTGAAGAATCCGCTTCGAGGATCAATTCAACACCGTCGAGTTTTGAAACGAAAGTTGATCGCGCAACATCAATACCAACTCCTTCTTCTAAAGCGCCGCCGCAGGCATCATCTGCTCGACCAATATTCTCATCTACTACTTCAAATGGTCCTGTCCACGTATCGACCGATGGTGGTGTCCTGGTTCATCGTGTGTGTGTCATTCGCGTCGCAATTCAGGACATGTTGCGAGTCCTTCTGTTTTAGGTCGTCCCAGATGACAATTCTTGCTTATTTTCATCAGTGGCTCTGATATTCGAGCAGGACATGAACAAAGCTCCAAAAATGAGACAAAGTACACATACTCTCACACTTATCTTATTGGACTCGTTCTCATCTATTCAAGTCGTCGCAGATGGTATAAGGAAGGACCCAGAAACTTACAACGAAGCTATTCTAGGGTATTCGATCTCATGAATACTGTAGCAATAACTCAAAGTCATCTTATAGAATGCCTCCATCACGGTACATCGACACGATAACGAAATCCTCAGCCTGGGGCGGAGCGATCGAGCTTACCATCCTAGCTGCTCATTATCGGACGGAAATCTGCTCGGTAGACGTGGAGACTGGTCGAATAGATCAGTTTACACCAGGCCCCGATAGCGGTGGTATGCGTTGTATAGTCATTTATTCCGGAATTCATTACGATGCTGCAACGCTGGCACCGATGGTTGAGGCACCCTCCGAATGGCACCAAACTATCTTTCCTATTGTATACCTTCAGTCACATAGCGGTCTAGGGTCCATGCTCACGTTTGTTTTGTAGACTTCTCCGGATACTTCTGATAGCATTCTCGTCGCAGCAAAGAAACTCGCGGATACCCTTCGCTCGAAGAAAGCATACACCAATACTGCTACATTTGATTTGAAGTGTGAAGTACGTTTACTCATGATTATATGTCCTTAACAAGATTGTTCATAATACATTAGGTTTGTGGGCAAGGACTCAAAGGAGAGAAGGGCGCGCGAGCACATGCTGAGCAAACAGGGCATACACGTTTTGGCGAATATTAAACCAATGGAACGAACGGAAAACGTTCATCTTGTATCATTACAGTTTCGATGGTGATATTATAATGGTCCCTCTATCTCCATCGTCAATGGGCAATGATCGGACGCGCCGTAAATTTCACTACGAATCTCGCACTGCGAAACGAAGGATTAGAGCACTCCGATTCTGTGTGATAATGTGGCGTACCATTTTGACTCGATCTATCAATCGCTCGCTTAGCACGACTTATATTAAAATAGGTGAGCCGCAAGCTTCTACACAAAGGGATTATGATCTTACACATGTCTAATCGCCAACCTATACCCTTCTGTCTGCAGTTGAAGCGATACGAAAAATATGTGAAATGTTTGTCTTCTGGATGAAGCTTCCGCCATACATCCACAAATTTGGGCACATCTGCTTGGGATTCAGGTGGATTCAAGATGTTCCTGTACGCAGTTGTTTCTGCTTCGGTATATCCTGGCGTCTTGTTCCAGTTCCTCTTTGCATTGCAAAGATCTACGATTTCAGAAGCATGAGGAGGATTTTGAGATAGAACGCAGGGTCTTGCGTACCAATCTCAGTTGGCGCGACGTTTAAATCACCTGTCCAAATCACTGGCTTCACTTTGTCAAGGTCCCGAATGTACTTTGTGAAATGGAGATTCCATTCGTTCTTCTCGTTGAGATTCTAAGGACAGCGTTCGTATTTTCTGGATACTATCACAACCAAGAAGAGGAGGACGCGCACCTTCAGTTCAGTTCCTGCATTAGGAACGTACGTCCCTATCACATAGTGATTCTCAAACTCGAGCGTGATAATGCGACCTTTAACTGACGATGCGTCTGGATGTCCAGGAAGAGAGTAGTCTACAGATAGAGGCTGATGCTTTGACAGGATAGCGGTCCCAGCTAGCGGAATGAGTGAGCATTTCAACGTCTCGGAAAACGATTGATACACACAGTATCCCTTCTTCTCTGCTATCGACCAGTAACAGTGTGGAAATCTGTTCTTCAGTGCTAAATCCACAGGCTCGTTGTTGACCTGAGAACAATCTCACATCTTGATCGCCTTTCTATCGTTAACCGCGTACCTTCGTTTCAGTCAAGACGAGGATATCCGGATCCTCAGCTGCAACGTAGAAGCTGAACCCCTTGAATGTTAGTATCAGCGCGTCCACCTTTACACCTACCACCATCGTACCTTCTTCTGGCTCGCAGCTAGTCCACATACGTTGAAGGCAGCCAGTCGGAGAGTCCCTGTGTGGCGTTCAGGAAAGGATATATGCACTGGTAACACCTTGTTCGTTGGTTGCCCACTACTAGATACGACGTTTTCGCTGGTACTAGGTGAGACCTTCGCCTTCTTCTTTGACGACGAAGTTTTAGTGAAAGACGCGTCGGCTGTGTTATCTTCGTCTTCAGAATCTGAGATGGCCTTTCGCTTCGATGAGCTGGCGCGTTTTGGAGGCATATAAGAGAATACAGAAGGGTAAAGATTTCTTGGACGAGTGTAAAGTGGCAGAGTGAGTCGGAAAAAGAGCGCTAGCATGATGGGAAAAATTGAGGAATTGACCCGTGCTTATCTCCGAATACGCCGTCTCAGCGTATTGATTCAAATTGCTTTTCTCTATGTATATAGCCGACACAATCAGCTTTCGAGCTTTCCGCTGAGCCAGGAAGTACGTAGCTGATACGCCTAAACGATGTCACAAAAGGAAGTCAATCGTATCCTATGGTATTCTTGGCTATGCACCGTGTTTTTTTACTCTGTGAATTCTACGTACGCTGCTTATCGTTCTCCGCTATGACACAGTAACTTAAAGGTAGCCAAGGCTCCATCGCTCAATAAAGCTTGAAGACATTGCCAAGAAAGCTTATCATTTTTTCGTCTTTTCCTGCCCAAAAGGAATCTCATTTCTTCTTCGAGTTGACTCATACTGTTCCAATTGGAGCTCTCTCATGAATCCTGTAATCACAAATCCACCACTCTCGTCATAAATTTCCGCCGTTGGACTGCCCTTTAACGGAGCGCCTTGCTGTATCATTGAGCCCGTTATGTCAGGAAGTCTACTTCGGCAGTCAAGTATCTATATTATCTTGGATTTTCCGTAAGTCCAAACAACTATTTACAGCTACTATGTAACTTGCTCCAAGTAGCAGCGGCGATTGATTTCGAATGCATCGCTCAAATGGTGGTCTTGGCGGATTCTTCAGGTCTTGATGCTTGGCGATTCTCGGAGAATAAACTCAAAGGTTCAGATGCTCCTTCTTTTGCTCATATTTCGTTGGTTGGTGCTCAAAATTTTCAGGGTCGACTACGGATAAGGATTCGTCCGATTGGCCGCTTTTGACCCTATCGCTGGTCCCTCAAACTGCTACATATTTCCCTTCTGCTTCTCGGATCCGCTCCACCGAGTTAGTAGATGTGGGAGCAGTAGGAAGAAGCAGAAGGAATACCTGCTACTGTTTCCACCAGGCTCCAATACGATTCATAAGGAAGTGCAACATCCTTTACGGAACCAAAAGGTAACCCATTATCGTGTTATCCATTTATTGAAGACTTCGAAAAAACTTGGCGGTCTACTGTACAATGTAAGCATAATTTAACTGGTTTTTCCTTTCGTCGATTTATTAATTAATGAGGCAAGAGAGGTTACATTCAGCAAGGTATATAAATGGCCTGAAATGCAGTTTTATATCGAGACAGATCACTTTCAATCTAGTAAATCCTTTTCCTCGTCATCATGACTTCCCCCAGTTCTTCTTCCCCTAGCACGGAGTTCGACCACAACAAAGCCTCCACCACCACTTCTCCCTCGGAATCCATAGAAGATATACAGACCATCCATACAACAGCCTCTCGGAGTGTTCCGGAGCTCTCTGATGAGCCCAATGTCCAGAAAAAAGAATATCTACATACCTTAGAGGGAGAAACATCAAAAATCCAACTAACCGACCAAACCAATCTTCTACCCTTCCGGCAAATTATTATAGTCTACATTGCTCTCTCTTCTTGCGTCGTCGTTACCGCCCTCGACTCCGTCATCGTTGCAACCTCGCTTTCCACAATCGCCAATTCCTTCCGGGCGGGCTCCGTCATCTCCTGGGTTCCTTCCGCCTATCTCCTCACTTCAACCGCGTTCCAGCCGCTGTACGGTCGGTTTAGTGATATTTTTGGCCGCAAGAGCGCCATGTGTCTCGCAATGGGACTGTATATGCTCGGAAATTTAATCTCTGGTTTTACGAAAGGGAGTATTGTACAGGTTATTATTTGTCGGGGCGTGGCAGGAGCTGGGGGAGGAGGCATCGTGGGGATGATGCAGATCATCGTATCGGATATCATCACGTTAAGAGAAAGGTTGGTTCTCATCCAGCTCAGCTGAGCTTTATACATAGTGGCTAAAATTTTTCGTCTAGGGGAAAATATCATGGTATGATTGGAGCTGTTGTCGCCTTGGGTTACACCATCGGTCCAATCGTTGGTGGTCTCTTGGCCCAAAAAGTTAGCTGGCGGGTACGTGCCAGTGCTCTATTCCCCTTCATCTCATACCTCATATCAACGTCATTGATTTCTAGTGGTGTTTCTGGGTGACTCTTCCCCTATCTCTCGTATCCTCGGCCGTTGTGGTCCTCGTGTTACCTGTTAAGCCTGTAGCAGGTGATATTCGAAAGTGAGTTTTTGAACTTGAGTCGTTGGCGGTCGTTTATGCTCGTTCGTCTATCCGCAGAAAACTCCTCCTAATTGATTATGTTGGTTCCCTTCTCACACTCATTGGTTGCGCGCTTATCATGCTTCCTCTTATTTGGGTCTGTTCTATTCTTCAATCCTATTTGGTGCTCAAAACCTTATGATTTCATTGTACAGGGCGGTGTGACCTTCCCTTGGACTCATCCTGTCACTCTCAGCCTTCTCTCCGCCGGCGCACTCGTAGTATTGTTATTTTGTTTGTACGAGTGGAAATGCGCAAAACTTCCAATTGTTCCGAGTGAGTATGTCCATTGCTGATTAGCTCGCTCTAATCCGCGTCGAACAAATAGTGTATATATTCAAGCACAGCACAGTTTCCGGCGTGTATATTTGTATGTTCGCCAAGTAGGTTCCTCCCGTTTACTTATATATGCTTGATGATGTTCATCTCGATGTATTGTGTTTTTCTTTATGCAGTGGATTCGTATTCTTCTCATCTTTGTACTACATACCTCAGTTCTTCCAAGCGGGCTTAGGGTATTCGCCTATTCGCGCCGGTATGTCACCCATTTCCCAAATGCCGCAGGTCCTGAGGACTCTTATCAGGACTCTTCCTTATTCCGCTTCTCGTCGGTCAGACCGCGTTCTCTTGGGTTGCTGTAAGCATACGGCCTCAATCTCATTCTATGATATATACTGCGTGCTAATTGTAGACATAGGGCATGCTAGTCAGCCACACTGGTCGATATAGGGCAAGTTGTGACTTCGGGGGGACCATACACAGAGCTAATGCGAGAATTTTCTTTTAGACAATCGTTTACACCGGTTTCGCCTTTATTGCCATCTCATGCGGCTTCATCTCGACCATAACCCATCACACTTCAAAAGCGACGATGGTCGTTTTGATGTTGTTAGTGGGATGTGGAAGTGGATTGGTATGCTATGCCATGAAGTTTTGTTCCTATTTCTAATCTTTCACAGACTCTCGCGACGACTACGGTAGCTGTTCAGGCTAGCGTGGAGAGGAAGGACATGTCAGTCGTTACTGCCTTTAGAAATGTACGTTCAACAGTATCCATATTTTCCTTTCACAGGTTCACTTGGTGATCACGATCATATACAGTTCGTTCGTAGCCTCGGAGCTGCATTCTCGCTTTCGGTCGCCTCTTCCGTAGTGTAAGCAACTCTTATTACACCATTCGTTCAACCTTGAAGATCAATTCATTGTCACTACTTTCAGAAACAACTCCCTTCTGGCCTCTATGATTGAAATTTCCCTATCTCCCTCAACCATCACCACAATCCTCAATGATCCCTCCGTTCTCGCACGTGCCTCCTCGATTGGTTTGCCTGATGAACAGGCACTCCACGTTCTCGAGCACGGATACGAAGCTGGGTTCAAGACATTTTTCATTATTAACGCTTCGTTGGGAGTAATGGCAACGATTGTGAGCGCGACGATGGTTAAGCATAAGGAGTTGAGTCGGGATGATGACGAAAAGTTGAAGAATGAGGCAAAAGCGGGGTTGAAGAAACAGGAAGAGAATCAAGATACGGAGGCAGGCGTGCAGAGCTCGGACTTGGTGGTGAAACGAGACACTGAGATGGAGGTGTCGGATGTTCGAATGGTCAGCCGTGCTGAAAGCTCGAAGATGTAAAAGTGTCACAAGTTTTGACTGACAAAAGGGCCTAATAATGAGAGGGTCTCCAAGTGGGGGACCAAAACGTTCAGAAGAGCTCAATTTTCGAGGATCTTGATAGTATCTAAGTAGCACCGGCGAGTGGCAGGACCCACTACTAGTTAAGATATGAACAGTATAGTAAAATGCTAAGCAGTAAGTATGATGGTATAATTACAGAATACATTCTGTAACTTTAGTCTCGAGAATCTAGACTCAGGTGGCTCCTATTATGGTATGTAGATCGTCTTTGGCTGTTCTGGGCTACTTACTAGTGGCATTAAAAATGCGGCCAGTGCGAGGGGCACTAGTAATGCAAGTGGGTGCAACATTTCTATATGCTGCACTGGATGCAAAGTCACATTGCTTACAAGGTCATATTCTACTCCTGAATTGGACAATTTTTTGATGTGCAGGCACCTCTTGAGCTTGTTTTGTTTTACAGGTTCCACAGCAGCTTACCATCAAGTTGAGGAAGAGGATGGACCGAGTGACAAGGAGGATTGACGAGGGAACAATGTCGTATCGGGGAAGCTATTGATCTATTGCTCTATTACTATTACTCTACACTGTACTACGTACCTCTGCCTTGTTGACCTGGCAGTCGTCTACCTTCTCCTTGCGGGTTGAGCTCGCTGCCGCCAGTGCCTCGAAACCGGCTGTTCCGCTTTGGGACCACACCTTCGGTCGGGTGGCGCCATGTACATAGTATCTATCTATCCAGTATCTATCTATCTAGCATATCGATGCCCTGTACCCACTCGTGCGCGCCGCCTCGGTTTGGATTGCTTATCCATTTGTGCTACGTATCTTCGATTGTCGTGGCCGCCGAGTTCTCAATTTATGCCATGCACGCAGTGCGGTGACCCCTGGTGACCCACGATCTCAGAACCAGAGAATGGCCCGGGAGCTATGCGATAGGCTAGAAATAGTAAATACACATAGCTGTTCGCCGTAGCTCCCCGCGCCTTAGTACTACTACTACCTAGTCTTACTTACTTGCGGTTACATAATGAAGAGTTCGAAAAACAAACAAGCAAGGGCTATTCCCCGGGGGACAACTATGTAGTGAAAGCTCTCGCCGAATTCCCCATTGTGGCTGCTCACCGGCGCCTACGGCCACGTGGGGTGGCTTTTGATTTTCAACTTCCTCCTTTCGTCGCGAAACCCATCACCCTCTGTTCCTCCTCTAAGTGTATCTGAACGGTTCCCTTCAATCAGTAAGGACCCGCTTAACTGCCAGCTGGCCCATTCACGACTTTGTTAATGTTCTAACGAAATGCTTACGCACCGCGGCTTTTCGGTAAGGTACCCTTGTATTCTGTGCTTTGCCAAATATAAACATTTCCGGGGCAGGCGTGGATTGAGGTCGATGGGCAAGCAGTTCCAGAATATCTTGTTGCTGTGAATCCCAAGTTGAATCAAGTCTCTTGTTGGATACCAAGTGAAGAGTCCCAGGTCAGAAATTCACCTGCATACGCGTTGGACTGCCAGTCTTACTTAACGCGTCAGTAGGCGTTTTCTGTTCACTGGTCGGATGCTGGTGGAAAGGTCGACACGTGCTCGTTCATTACTCTCGATGGTGTCGTGGTCCCGGGAAGATTTTTACTCGGTAGTGGGACTACATCTAGGTCGGGTGTCCGTACTTCGAAGGACACGGAGGCACCCTTTGTGTTCAAAAAATCTCTGGGTGGTGTGTCTCTTCGCTTCGTTTCCCTTCATTTCTTCTTGGCTTACGAGACTCTACATACAAAAGATACCACGCCATCTACTGCGTCGAAATCTGAAGCTGGTATGGTTACCCTGAAGATCAAACGAGTTGACCGTGTATCCCCCCGACCTGCAAATGCATATCAAGACTTGACAAAAATTGCTCCAGCTCAACCAAACGTCGGTGATCTATGTGCGGGGTGTGTTCCTATCAAGCTGTTCTGTATGCAAAATATCCTGACAATGGCTTCTTGAGTTTTGGTGCTGAATGCAAATCTTATGAACAGTCCCCATTCACATGGGCCATCAAACCACACGATGCAAGTCAAATCAAGTCAAAGAAGATCCCAACCTATGTCTCCTTCGTGTTCAGATACAGATCTAAAGGCAAGCTTCACTTATTTTCCCCATGCAGTAAGTACTAAACCACCCGCTCAGAATTCCTACAATCCCAAGGAATTATGGAACCTCAGCAAGTCCCAGACACCCCCTCTCCTTCTATCACAAATCGCCTCCGAAGAGATCCAGTCCGTCGTATCGCTAGCGCTCCAGCTAGTGCTGCACCACCTACACCAAGCCCAACCCCCCCTTTGAGATTATCAAGTAAAGATAATCCAAAACCCTACATTGCGGTATGCTTTCAATATCGACTACCTTTTCTATTCACTAACACCAAGTCCCAGAGTCCTTATCCATTACGCCGCCCGACCGTCGATACACGGAGGACTGCCAGCTGGCGATCTACGACTGCTGCACCCGGTAGTGCATCTAGCCATGCGCTCGTGTATTTTGAATATTCACCAGACTCGGCTGTAACCAGGGACGGGTCGGATTTGGAATACCACGCCTCAGAGTAGTTTTCCTCAACGTCTCAGCGGAATGGATATCATGGACCTGAAAATTCATCATTATTCTTTTTACTTTATCTCTACTTTCGTACCGTCGCTTTCTTTGATGTGCTTGCTCTCTATTGTTTTGCTCCTTTTCTTTGCTACAATTGCTGTCTACCTGCTTTTCTCGCTGTTTTTCTAATTGTGTAGTCTTGCTATTGCTATAAATCGCTCTGATTCTAACTGGCTGCCCCCAGTAACATACGTAGTTTTCGACATTGTTTGTAGTGTGCTACAGTAGTACTCTAGTGAGAATAAACGTTGTTCAAAATTGATGATTTGCGTATGCAGTCAATCTGCTGACTTTCGGGCAGTCTGACTGAGAAGCCTCTAAGCAATGGTAGCGGTGGATAATACGATAGTGGCGTTCAGTAGAGGAAGAACTTTGGTCTACTTTGGTCACTGCTGTCGCATTGAGGCAGGTGGAAGATTCAAGAGATTGTAAAGCTTGAAAAAATTGCCGGAAATTTCTCAAGATCAACTCAACATTGGCACATCGTAAGAAGCGCTGAAGCGCGGCCTGCCGGTGAATGTTATTTCCTCCGGTTATTTCATTTTAGGGCATCTTTGCGTTTCTCTTCATGATTGAGCTTTACGTCTGGCCTGCACGATGGGGGCTTCCCTCTATTGATCCTGCTTCATTGTCTCTTATCATATATATGCAGCTGGTGCAGCCTTCTAAGTTCGTGCTTGTTGAAAGCGTAAACCCTGACCTTTCACCAACTGGTAGGTGAGTATGACCGGCTACTTCACAAGTGTTTGACCAAGCGAATAACAGGCCAGCTGCCGTTTCTGAAGGACGGGAATGAGATTATTGCACCCGCTTCCTCCATTATCTCCTACTTGGTCGATGATAAAAATGGTTTCGATACATTAGCACTGAAAGCCACATTCAATCCTGCGGATGCTGCATGGCTCGCGCACGCAGAATCAAATCTTGGAGATCTAGTGGTACGTTATGGCAGAGCCCTTAGATAGTCGAAAAACTGACAACAGTCACCTTTTATAGTTCCATATGTTGTATGCTCTGCACGCAAACTGGACCGAACTCACTCATGCGTCCATTGTGTACCGATTCCCAGTCCCACAGAGATATTATGTACCTCACCGACTCAGACAATCATACAAGAGGAGGCTAGAAGGTTCTGGTCTATGGAGTTTGCCAGGGATCGAGCAAGAAACAAAACATATTTCGAAGAATCGCGCACCGAATGAAAAGGTCAATCCTCGTGATAGGTTCTTGAAGGTTTTCGAGCGAGAAAAGGTATTGAATCATTTCCATCTTCATCTTATTTCTCTCAACTCATCAAATGGTTAAGGTCTTGGAGAAAGCTCGAACTACTCTTGATATATATACCCGTCTATTAGGCGAAGGGACTTTTTTCAACGGAGATCAGTACGTGCATGCCAATAACTTCAGTCTAATACCTTTCAGGCTGATGCTTTGTCTATTTTCTGCAGACCTTCGCATTTGGATGCTATCGTGGCTGCTCACATTCTCTTACTTTCCCGACCGCCTTTTCCCGACCCTTTACTGCAAGATTTGGTGAACACTTCGTACCCATCTTTAGTCGCGCACGCCAATCGTATGTACGCCCGAACACTATCTGCGAGTCTACGTACTCGGGATGCTGCACCGGACCATGAGTCGGATGTCTGGGAGACTCGTTTAAGATTCGCTTTCATAGGACTTACTTTGGGAGGAATATTTACATATCTCACTGCAGCAATCAGCAGCACCTAGTTGTTATGCATAATTGAAGATAGTCATTGGATACTGTCAAATTATATGACGCACACGAGCGCTGCCTGAAGAGTTAAAGGGAAGTATACAATACATAAAAATGGCAATAACCACACTCCTAGCACATCCCAATTCCAAATCATCTGTCTCGTCGTTTCTTCTAGTAACACCCACCCGAAGCCTAGCACAACATAAAATGAATAGTTCGCGATCCTGATAGCTTGATTCGACGAGGAAGAAGCGATAGATAGCGGAATTCCTAGAGCGACGGCCAAGCATGCAGCGAGAGAAAAATTCAACACTGTTATTATGGAGATCACTGTAGAACTGAGACACAGATTAAACGCTTTCAGGACCAGGACCAGGGCCCGGGATGGGGGATTGTTGTTCGAGTGACTTCGAAGCAGTGTTGGAACAACGAGCGGAAGCAAGTAAACAGCTAAACACAAGAAGAATGGGGCAGACTGCATCGGTTGAGCGGACTATTTTGTAGAAGTAGAGAATCCCGAGCTTACTGAAAGAGATTGATACCGCCTACTACTCACGAAGAAGAAAGTGGCAGCACCAAAAAGGTGTGTGCCGAGCATGACAGATACAACTTCAAGGACAGGGCGTCTTCTCCTAATCCAGATACTACGAGCAGGCCCTTCAGCTTGCGGTTTTTCCTGAAGTCGTTGAGTCCACGCCGCATCGACCCAGACTTGCAGACCCCCAAACATCATTGCAACGCTGATCAGGATTGCACTAGGAATATAGTTGCCAATTTTCACAAAACGATCGAAGCTTGTCAAAACATAGAAAAAGAAAGAGGCATGCAGTCTTTCGAGCAAGTTATTCGTCGTGCGCATCGTGGACTCGATAACACTGTTGAGATGTTAGAGTTAAGGACCAAGAAGATCATGACTTTCACTCACCGACCAAGTGAGTGGAAGCCGTGCGGTCCCGCGGAGGGGACTGCGAACATTGTGAAAGCGTCGATCCGGTATCTGAGCAAAAATAATGACTTTCGAGTAGTGGAATTAATCATAACGACCAACTGATGAAACAGGCCGTGAACACCACTTCCACGGCCGGAAGCTTGGTACCCTACGTGACGCCATAGATTTCGAGCTTGCGTTGCGTAAGTCTTGATCTCGGGGTGAGTCCGAATGCTTTCAGGGAGCCATCTAAGTTCGGGTTCGTCTTTGTGGTCATAAAGGACGACTGAGACCCCCGTTCGGCGAGAAATATGTTGAAACGAATTCAGGAGATCTTGGTTGGGTAGTCGACCATTTAGTCCCTCTGAGGATGGAAGTGAGCTCGACGGCCATCGATAGATGTAGTTGCTTACCGTGGAAAATCCCAAGGTGGGACAGGGAATGACCGGGGTAATCAATGTTAAGGGCAGTCCATATTACGCCAGAACTCAGGTCTAGTCGTTGTGCTCGTATGTCTATTCAATGCATGAGCTCAAATAGCATATTGAGGTCATAAATAGTGGGTTGCGTACTTGATTGAGTTACTCCGTGGTATTCACTCAACCACGCCTGCATTCCCTCCATATAACCGTCACTGATAATGAAGATGATATCTCTAGCCCATAAAGAGTATTCTAAAAGGAAATGATCGTAAAGTAGAGAAATACAATAGTTCAACATGTTCTTACGTTTCACATATCTCGACAGCGCGAGCACAGTGGCAACACCTCGCAAGTTCAAGGTCCCATCTCCTTCGTCCATTCGACTGATCCAAGAGGCGGATATAACTGTTGCCTCAGCTCCTGAAACCCGGGGTGATGACAAGATAGCGTAAGTATTCGTCCCGTTGATGTCCTGTATATGTTTGGTAAGCAACGAATGACAAAAGGTGCGCTTCATAGCCAACGTTGTGAAGACCAGTGAATTCGTAATTCTGGGTAGAGGCGGACAAGCCTATCTTAAGGAATTCGCGCATGATGTACTGAGAGCGTCTAGAAAATAGTAATGTCAGAGACGTGTCAATATGATGAGGCATGTTGGATCTCACTGCTCACTCGTAGCATTAGAGTCTCGAAGAGTTTCCAACTCTTCTAGGAAGTGGTCCGCATCATGCACCTCTTTCCAGTTCCAATAGGTGTTCACCTATGAAGCTCTTTCAATTCAATCATCATGTATACAACAACCTTTTCATCTTCCTCACTTGTCCTGGCTGTAACGCATTTTCATCGAAGTATACTCCCCGATCAAGCCGGGTTGAAGGAATTGAGAGCATCCAGACATAACCTGCAATGAAGAGAGCCAGCCTGAGCAGTAGTGAGGGAACTGTGGATCAGGGAAAAGTGTCGACGAAAACCAGACATACTTCAAGATCGTTATTCTGCGAGCTATAAGAGAAAACAAAGCTCTTCTTCTGTTTATTCGGGCAAGATTTGGATTACCCTTTGGCCTGAAGAAGGACAAACCCCGCAGAAAAACCTGCAAGCGGAAAGTTGGGCCATCCATGGTGGTAAATTGTTAAAGAGATGATGCAAGTCACTTGATCGCGAGTCCGCGACCCTAGTACCAGTACCAAGCTTACTGAGCTACGACGACGCACGGTCCTCATTTCATTCTTGTTAACGTACTCCCATCTTCGTCTTCATTTCATGTAATGGTGAGGCGGACTAGACAAGCTTCTCCTTCCTCCAAAGGGCTCCAGGCCGGGCAAGTCCTCCGACGAGATGTTCTAAATGCATGGGGTTGGGTTGGTTCAGAAATTACCGATTCCTCATCAATAACACGCGACCATTTACTTGCCACTTGCGGGTTCTCGAGACGTAGCAATCATCCTTTCTGTCGGAATCAACACAAGTCGAAATCGCGTAGTGCACAGTCTTCAAACCCTGCTAGTCCTCAAGCCGTAAACGATATCATACCAGAAGATGTGATCGTAATATCTGACGGGGAAGACGAGGGACGTAAATGTAGCAAAAAGGCTTGCAAAGGCAACCCAAACTGTTTGAACTATCTAGGACAAGAGAAATGGGAAACTGAAGGTGCGATTGGGCTTTTGACACCTTCGAAGTTCGATCCATATTCTAAACCTCCACCCGCAGAATCAACAATTAAAAACTTTCTGCCCCTCTCAAAACTCGGAGAAAATCCTTTGCTACTCTCCAGAGATCCAGATTTGCCCGTTGGTTTGAAGGTACGGACATTGAGACCAAAGTGACTATATGTGACGTTCGCTGAGTAACATATAGAACCTAGGCGCCACTTGTTACGCCAATGCTTCCCTTCAAGTAAGAAATATGCATATACTCTGGAGAGCCTGCTCATCGTACTCAACGATCATAGTTCCTGTTCCGACAATCGCATCTCTTGGCTGGTGTCTACAATTGCCAGATTCCTGAGTCAAAGATTATGGTATTATATTCTTTCGTCGTTGCTTCAATTTTTTTAGTCTGACTTTTCTACAGGACTCACCAATTTTTCACCTTCAAGTCACCTTCGCAGCGCTGCAGGAAAGTATACAAAGTGTTTTCAACCCCTCTAAGCTAGTGGAGAGCTTGCAATTACGCACCGCCGAACAGCAGGACGCGCAAGAGTAAACAAATTCTTCCATTTTCCTCCCTTGCTTATTGAACCTCGTAGATTTTCCAAATTGTTCATGACCCATCTGGATGCTGAGTTCAAGAAACAACCGGACCAATCGCTGCAAACTCTGGTGAATTCCCAGGTGTGTGGGCTTACGGTAAAACTGAAGTCGTGTTCACACGTTCCACAAGTTCGAAGGCGAACAAGTATATGGTACAATGTGTGACAATTGCAAATATCGCTCCGAACGACGTTCCAACTTTTGGGAAATCGAAGTCAATTTCCAGGTCTGGTCTGTCTCGTTCTCATTTTAGCAATTGCTTGCTAACAAGTTACCAGAACAACTCCAAGTTAGAAGACTGCATTGGAGCTCTCCTTGAGCCTGAAACATTGACAGGAGATAACAAGTGCGTACATATCATCACGATAACGACATTCTTGATATAGCAATTTGCACCATTTGCCACCAGATATTTTTGTGTACAGTGTGACGGACTCCAGAATGCTACTCGGTACACCAGACTCCAGAGGCTCCCTCCTGTGCTTCATATATCCTTGCTTCGTTTCGTTTATGATCTGAAAACAATGGAACGTAAAAAGTCCAAGAGCTCAATCGTGTTTCCCAAGGTTTTGAACCTGACACCATTCGTTTCTTCTGTTACTGGAAGCAATACATCTTCTGTTACTGGAAGCAATACAACGCCTTCTTCAGGCAATGTATACGAGCTTCGCGGAATTCTACTGCACAAGGGTCCAAGCGCCTACCATGGTCATTATGAGGCTCAGGTGTTTGACACTAGGTGACTTCTCTACTTTGATCGACTGCGAAATATCCTCATAACTTCTTCAAGGGCTAATGCTTGGTTTCTGTTCAATGACGAGGAAGTGACGCGTATTGAGGATCAGTTGGGTGACAAGCGCCCCACCAAGAAGGAAAGGAATAAAGACGATGAACAAGACGAAGAAAAGTAAGCAATATTTTATGTTTGCTGATCAGGAGCTAAAGAACTTCAAGGCCGACAGGTTCAAAGAGGAAGAAGAATGCGAATGGTCCGCGGAAGCGACAACGAGTTGACGATAGTGAGGACGAAGCAGCCGCGTGAGTTTCCTTAAACGGGGAAATTTTGGTGTGGCATTGTCGACTTATTTGAACTTTTCAAGGTCCCCGCATTCCAGTCAGAATGGAAGCCCAAGGTGAAGTCAATGTGGCTTGCATCACTGCTGTCTGCTTTGCTCATGCCTTCAATAGTGACATTCACTCCAAGGATGCATACCAACTGATCTACGCTCTACGGCAATCTGATTCCTCTATAAATCCGGAAGTCACTGCCCCTCCTCGCGCTATGAATGTTGTCAACGAGCTTAACGCTTCTCATGACAGGGAATGTGAAAAATATACGGAAAGGTGAATTGAACCAATCTATCATTCTTCTCGTTTAATTTATCTATCAGGGAAATATCAACCCACCTGGCCTTGAATTCTCGTAGAGCGCAGGTCTTGAACATCTGCAATGGCTGGTCTGTGGCTTCTGATGACGATGTACGTGAATGTTCTAAACATCTACATGCTGTTTCTTATCATCTCTTACAGGATTGTGTCATAGTAAGCAGACGGGCCTTGCAAGAATGGCTATCCGTGCATTCAGTGGCAGGACTCTTTCCCAATGAGGAGAACCCCGATTCAGCCTTGTCACCTATTCAAATAGATATTGGAGACATCCTGTGTAAACATGATCTTCTTGATCATCGCCATGCGGACAAGATGAAGCGCATTTCTCGGGTGCGAAACTCATGGAAGTTCTATGCAATGTTCACTCACGTACCATCAAATAATTTAGGAAGCCTATACAAAGATCATGAAAGATACAAATTGTGTGTTCGAACCCACACTCTCATTGGACGACATTTGTTCTGTTTGTGTTAATGATGCTTTCAAAGGTCTGCAATATCACCTCTTTTGTTGCTCCTTCTCATGTTCTGCTCTAGAGCGCATGTATCAAATAGAGCATCCTCTGCTTGTGGCTCAGTTCAACGAGAAAGTCAACTTCGGAAATGAACGTTCTGGATACTGGATATCAAAGGCCTGGCTCAGAGGTTCAGTATTATTCTATCTGACTGTCAAACATGTTGAACAGCCATGTTAGATTGGGTCCTTCAAAAACCGAAAATGCATGTTGCTTCTGCAAACGATCCACCACCAGATTCTCCAGATTTTTCTGATGATGTTCGGTGTGAGCATGGTGGTCTGTCCCACAGAACTACTGCAAGGCGGCGTATCTCGATCGAGGTTAGTTGACTGGTTTCCTGTGTTCAAGGTTTGATTTAAGGCCTATGTTAATTTTCTCAGGCTTGCCGGATTCTGATTTCATTGTTTCCGGAATGGAAACCAAGCCCTGTAGACGATGGTTCTCACTCTAGTTTGGTCATTTTGCAATATACATTCTGATCAATCTCGTAGAACCTTGTTCGGTTTGCCAAGTCCTTGCCTCCGAACGCAAAGCTAATAATTTTGAGTATCGCAAGCAAGCTGAAATTGAGAAGGTACGCTGCTATCGGCTTTTCTGAAATACACATTTAAGACTATGTCAGGCAAAATTGAGGCATATGCTCGAATACGCATCCGACAAAGATCTGTTTCTTGAAAATGTTTCTTGCGCTTTGATTCCTTTAGACTTTTTGCGTAGTTGGAGAAGATGGATCAACAAGCCATTGGAGGTCACCAGACCGAACAATCTAGATAACAGCGTGTTCTTATGCGAACATAAAATGTTAAATCTGGATTTTCCAGATATCGAATCAACCGCTGCAATCATCAAACGGACCGAATGGGACCAGTTAGAAACGTTGTGAGTTCAGACCAGAGTACTTAGCAGTCCATCATACTCAAAGTTTTCGTGTAGCTATAACGCTTGTCCGTTAATTGCCTTGAGCCCGTCGGAAGAAATTGAACTTCGCTTTAATCTTCCTGTCTGCTCGGACTGCCGCCACGAGAGGTACGTGTTGTTCAAGAGGTGCCGATATCTAATATTCAGCTCACTTTTGGTTTTCAAACCAGATTATTAGTTTGGGAGGTAGCAGAGATAACTGTACGATTACATGGAAAGCGCTCGTCCAAGGACAGTGGAGAATCTTTACACATGCGGAAGACTTATGGCACGAATTCTGCTCGCCAATCTAAACGTCTTCGACAAAGGCGCGAATACGGAGAGAAAAGGAGCATTCCTATAACCAAGCTCATGTCAGTCAAAGATGTGAAAATTCTTGTGAGTGGGAGCCGTGTTACATGAGTGAGAAATCTAACGACTGCCTTTCAGCTTCATGAAGAATTCGGAATTCCGACTATTTTCCAGCGACTCATACTACACGGTCAAGAGCTGCTTGATAATGAGGCCACCGTAGAAAGTCTTCATGTTCTTGTCAGCGACACCTTGGAACTATATGAAGAAAGCGAATCGTTAGAGATTTCAGATTCATACGACGATGTTGTTTCGAAGCAGGAAGGGCAAGGCTTTGGAGGAACTTTACTTGGGGTTCTTGACTAGTTACTAGTTTATACAAGCAATGAATGTACTTCGTATCGAAAGCAGCGGTCTCTATACTGAGAATCACATATATAAATCGATTGCAATGAGTGTACGATAGTCCCAGGACACCACAAGAGAAAGAAAACCAAAAATATTAGAGCATCACAAACCCAAAAGAAATGAAGATATCACTGCTATTCCGTAATGTTATACAAAAGTTGATACTGGAGCTGAAGGTGGAGGTGCATAAGAGGGAGATCTGATAGGTGTTTTATGAGCAGCCAAGATATTCGACGTTGTCTGAATTACATCCAAATCGTTGGATCCACTGCCTTGCATTGTGACTGCTGCAGCAAGAGCTTCTTGAGTGAGATCGGACATCTCCCCAATCGAAGCGACTTGGATTGCTAACAGAGCTGTAGGGGTAACACCTGCGGCAGCGGCACGAGGAGCAAGAGCATGTTGTGCTGCTTCAGCGACGACTGCCTGCGCCGCAACAGCCAGACGATGGGTTTCAGGTGCAGTCGGGCCTGTGAGAGCGAGGTCATAAGCAACCAAACTTTGCTCCACCGCATGTCTTTGCTTTGCTAGATGATTGAGGTTTCCTACTGCAGAAAAGTTTGCTAGAGATACTTCAGTCTTCTCGGCTACGCGGGCAGCGACATTTTGTAGAACCTCCACCACTCGAGCAGGAGCATTCTCGGAAACATTATTTGAAGACTGAGAAGGCATTCTACCGATGGATGATTGATATAAGGTATTGTGACTGAGAAATGTACTAATTCATACCTTGTGGACAGTCGATTTAACATTGGATCGCTAGCACGTCGTGGAAGGTCGACTGCCGTGGTTGTGGCCGAAGAGCGATTTGTCCAAGCAGGATCCATAGCAGAGCGAGGGGCAACATTAATATGAAATGTGTTTGAGAGTTGACTTTCTTGGCCATCAAGCATGAACTAACATAACAAGAAGGATGAGCAATGTAGAAGCTTCGTTGACGAGTGGCTCACTTTTGCAATCACTGTTATATCACAGCTTTGAGCATCCGGCATCGGTGTCCCTGATAGTTCATCACCTTTCCAAGATAGCCAAGAAGGCAATGAGGGGGAACTGTAGAAGACAGGGATATTCTGCCAGGAGGCTTGAGGATCCCAAACACGAGGTTTCCAATGCCACCGCAGACCACAATAGGCTACGCCAGGGAACGGTCCAGCCAGTTTGCGATGGAACGGTCGGAACTGCCACTTCCCATCGCCTGATTTCTTCGCTTCGACGTTCCAGATATGATTTCCCTTTGACTTGGCTTTCCGGCCATCTTCGTTGTACCGTTGAATGAATGGATGCCGCCAAAGGTAATTTCGTATCTAATGTCCACTTTGAGTTTGATGTGAGATAGCAATAAGGAACGGGCGGCTCTTACCTTTTTCATGGGAATCTTTTCCTCCGGATAACCTTGCTTTGCGAGCTGAGAATATTTGAGGTGAGATTACAATCTAGAGCATATCTATCTCCTCACCTCTTCTAGAAAAGCATTCGTGAAGGCCTGAATGCGGAACTTAAAGGGTCGGAAATCTGGCGATTCGTCCAATCGTTGCATTTTCTTTGCCATCAACGTCTGATGAATAGACTCTCCTTTAGAGTCAGTTGCATCCACTATGTAGGTAAGCGTCAATTCAGTAATTACACGGAGAGAAACGTTGTGAGCACGCACGATTCGAACACGTTTTGTTGAGATACTCAAAGAAGATGCGGTCAACTTCACTGCGATACTCCTGAGGAACATCAGACGATGGTGTCGACTGCAGAGATGATCAGAAGGATGAGAAGAAAAAAGAAATGAACATACTTGAGAATGATATCCGCTTCTCGGAGAATCTTCGTCGTCATCATCATCACCTCCATCCTCATAATGGTCGCCAATGCCTCCGACATCCGGGCTTGTTCGAGAGGAAGCTGGAGCTGGTGGATGGGAGGCCGAGGAAGACTGCCACTGAGGAGGGGCCGCTTGGCCGTACGCAAATGTGAAAGGATGAACAAAAGCTCCACCTATCGACCCAGACCTATTCATACGGCCGGGAATCACAGGCTGTGATACGGCGGTAGGAGGAAGAGAGGTGTCTGCAACGGGTCGAGCTGATATCGACCCTGTGGACATTGAATGCGAGTGTCTAGTGGGCACGACACTCTCAGACCAAACACTTCGCAAGGGAGGAAATTTAGGCGCAGGTGTATTGTCAACTGATTGGACAGATCCGTTCGCAATTGAAGGGTATTTGGAAGTCGACTTGACTGGATTGAACACAAAATGGTGCCCAGAAGGTGGCGTGGCAGGACGGGAAGGAGGAGGAGATTGTAGGGCATGTATGTGTGATATATCGTTGACCGAAGGATACACATTACTGGAAGAAGGTGGAGAGGGATCATCTTGAGGTTCAATTTTGAACTTGACACGACGCTCAGCGTCAGTGTCTGTCACACACCGCTTACGAGTGAGATCGAGTGTAGAGTCAACAACATACGGATGATTGTTGAGCGAATTTGGGTGATTCACGGTACTGTGATTAACAGCGTATGTTTCGGGAGATTCAAAAACTGGTGGTAATGGTGTTGGATAGTCTGTAACGGCATTGGACTGCGTGTACATTGGATGATCGACCACAGACATTTCTTTGAACCCAGATATCACGTCCGAAACGTAAGCCAGTTTCGACCTTAGATCATCGACTATATCGACAATTTTACCGGCATCAGCACGCCCGTTGACTTCCGACCTACATAAATCAGCAGCTGTAGATGCTGACTGCACAACTCTGAATAAAAGGACAATGAGATTATGTGAAGTATGCCATAAAAAGTGTAGCACGTACTGGTCAAGAATATCCCTTCCAATAGTCAAAGCACGTTCATCCGAAGTAAGACTTATTGTTTCCGCAGGAGGAGGAGGAGGTACAACGAGTGCGGATGGCACCGGCATAGCGATATTGACAGGTAGCGTCAAAGAAGGAGAGTGCTGGCCTGGGGAAGGTACCGAGGATTCTAGAGCTGACTGCAAGGAGGATGAACAAGCACTGTACGATGATGCAGGCCCATGTAATGCGGATGAAGGAACAGAGTGATTCATAGGTGGCGAGAGAGAAGACGCATGCCGAGAAGTCGGTAGCTTGACAGCCATACCGTTCTCTACGGGGGAAGTGACGGAAAAAGATGGATTAAATTCCGGTATAAATGTGGCCGAGGACGACGCAGTAGATGAAAAAGCAACTGGGTCAAGGGGAGTTGGTGAGTCCATGAACGCAGAAGACGTGAGGTTGGATAGGGGCACGTGCACTGTTGTCACTGAACCATTTGGGAGATTAGAAAATGGAGGTAAAGGCTCAGGGAGAGAGTGTGATAACGAGTGTGGAGGATTCTGAGCAAGCATGAGATCGGGTACCTCAGAGGATGGCACTGGTGAAACATCGTCAACATCAAAAACCATTGGCAATGAAGCCACCGCAGGACGATTTTGGTCGATTGACATGTAAGACTAGTACCGAAGGAGGCACTGAAGTGTCGTTATGAATTTCGTTCGAGTTTATAACAAAACGATTGGGCAAGCTATTAAGCTAGTATATGAGATCAGTGTGAGATCGAAGCTTGGAACACGCGGAGAGCTGGCAGCGTAATTGGGCGAAAGGTGCTGTCGTGAAGTGCAGCGATATGAGATGAGCGAATAATAAGCTCGGGAATGCGCCAGATTGATAGGCAGTAAATGGGTGAGTGTTACACCGTAGAATATCAGAGCGAGGAGCGAGAGTATATCTGCAATATACCGTCAGCACTCAGCGACGACCACAAGATGCTAAGGACCGGACACAGGTGTAAACCAAAAGAAAGGAAGAAAGCACTCAAAGTAGCGACTAAGCGGTAGTCATTGTGCCATCACAGCGTCACGCTAGCGTGACTGAATTGGCTCCGCCGACAGTTACTATTAGTCCGCAATTTTCCTTTCTTTTTCCTGGTTCGTATGTGTTCGTATGATTAAATTGTGGCTGTCTACGAAAACATTTGTGCTCAATCTATGTAGCCCAGTCCTGTCTATTCAATCCGTCTTCAGCCACTTGTCAATTTATTATCCTCCAAATCACCATCATTACTCGAGTATTCTTTTCAATGCCAGCAACGGAATCAGTAACAGATCTTAAGACTACAGTCATATTGTATAATAACACATGCATGAGCCGAGAGCATGCCATTTCTAAGAGGAAGCCTGAGCTTGTCTCCGGCAGCCTTAAACTAGAACTTACATGGATAGCGCAGGTACAGTCACAGGTTTACATTGCGTTTAATGATCAGCATTTCGGCCAAAAGGACACAACTGTGTTCACGAGTCACTACCACTGCCATTCACTCCATTTTCCCCAGACCTTCATTGATCAAAGATTGTAGGACTCAATGGAGATGTGAATGAAAACGGAATGATATCACGATTACAATTGTGCGCTCACTGGAGTATACGATACGCCTCGTCACCTCTCCCTATAACTCAGTATCTCCTCCTTGGACTCCGCGAACGGTCTCTTTCTCTGCGACGATCGCCATTTCTGGGAGTAGGTAAATGACAAGTCAGACGCCATTCCGCAGTAGGATCAAGAAAGACCTACTCATATCGGGTTGAATGTCGGTCGTACCGGTCACGATCACGATCGCGATATTCATCTCGCGAAGACCGATGGTCAGCAGGACGTCCGGAGGGTGCTGCAGGTGCGGCTCCGGAAGTAGGTGTAGAAGACGCGGGTACTGCCTTTCGTTTGTCCCGTTCTTCTCTAAACTTTGCTAGCATATTGCGGAGTTCGTGGTAGCCTAAGTGCATCTTTTAGAGGATGAGCATTTCAAGTAAGGTATGAAGAGCCAATAACTGACTTTGCCACCGAAGTGATCGGCGAGTCGACGGTCTGAATCCAACACAGACAGGTACGCTCCGCAGACGTCACATACGCGAAGCTTCTGGTGCCCGGAAGCGCCAGAAGTGTCCGTTAACTGCTGCAGTTCTCTCTGAAGATTATGGGTTGAGTGAGAATGGAAAAAGCATATGGTTACCACACTCACCTCCTTGTCCGATTTTTCACTTTTCAGTGCTTCAATTGCAGCCATTTCTTTCATTGATTCGTCGACCTTCCCTTGCTCGCCTAGTCGTGAAGTTTAGTTGTCTAAATTCGGAGCCTCAATAGCCAATGCCCACCAAGAGTTTCAATCTTTTCCGTACCCCCTTGAATTGCCAGCTCAATTTCAGCAATTTCCCTCATCTGTAAAACAGAGATACTATTGAGAAACAAAAAAGGCTGCTCATCTAAGCAACATTCACCAGATTTGTCGTCTTGGCGTTTTCCTCAGGCGTTTTTTCCAGTCGTCGGTGCGCGGCTCGTATCCGTCTATCGCATTCATCAACGAAAGCAAAGATATTTGATTCATACTCCATCTGGAAACGGTTGAATATAGGATCATTTGGATTCTTTTCCTTCTCTGCTATAAATTCTTGCTTTAGGCGTTCTGTATGCGACTTTGGACATGCTCCGAGATCCATTTTCTGCGCAAGGGTAATGATCATAAGCAAAGGAAATTAGGATGCTTAGAATGCTCAGACTCACTGTATTGGTGAAGAGAGCATGAGGACAAGTTCCACAAAGAAAGTTTCTGCAAACTTTCTCATCTGACCAAACTAGGTTTGCATTTGCTACACCCATCGCCTCTGGACCCATCATTTGCTACAGATACAGACATAAGAAATCTTCGTGGAAAGATAAGGAAGAAACGCACTTCGAGCAGCTTGCGCTGCATTTCAGCAAGTCGTCCCATGTTTTAACGCGTCGAGATATTCTTTGGTTGACGTTGAGTTGATGGTTGCAGTTACAAATTAGCTGTTTGGCAATGCTTGGCAGTAGGCGCCCACTGATGATAGCGCTCGCTACTCATTCTTGCAATTTCTTGCATCTGTCTTTTCGCAATTGGCCGCATTTAGGAACAGTGTACTTTGGACTAGTAGCAGTGTAATCGCAGACTATCAGCACAGATGAGTATTCCTTACAAAGGTGGCAGGGCTCGCTTCTCCTTGCGGAAACCCGTCTTCCCTTAACGGAGCCGTGGAACAATCTATTCGTGTCTTGCAGACGTTCACTGACGGTTTGACGATAGTGAAATATTTTCTCCGATAAGGCAGGAGATGAGGTGTAGGATATATAAAGAAACTCAAAAAATTTAAGCTGTTTGCGAAGAAAATTGTACAAGTTATACATACTAAACTCGCGATCTTTATGTATGATTTTACCCTATTTTACCATGGCCCAGCCTCGAACACCGTCAAATCAATGTACTTCAGCCAACCTCAGCCTGAAGTACTAGTCACCAAGGTTCCTCGTACTAAAAAACGGAATTTTTACCCTAGCCTTACCCAGGGTCCAGAATATTAGGTTTCCCATATTTGCTTACAGTGGTATCACCCTAATGTAAGAATCCAACGTCGATATACAAAGGGCTTCAGTTTCTATGTACATACACATTACTTTATCATTATACTACTCCACAAAACATTGGGGCCACTCTGGCCTAGCGAAGACATGCACACAGCAAGTGCGTGCACAAATATGTACTACAAAGATACTTTACACGGAAGACCTACAGTCTGATTAGGTGTGAACTGACTGAAGACCTGAAGGACAACATCATTGGACAGTACGCATGATGATAACGCAGCGATCAAAAAGAACAAAATTCCGCACGAACAAATGCAAAGGGACTTCATGCTACGCGGGCTCGACCTCTTCCCCTGCCCTTGCGTGAGTTATAATGTTGGTCAGTCTGTGGCACCACCTTGGATACAGGTGAAGAAGATTTATTCTTGCGGTTGAGGATTGGGGTAGCTGGTGGTGTAAATCCACCAAATTGACCGAGAAGTGTGCAGATATCATTGAACTTAACAACGATATCCTCGGAGCTTCCTTTGGAGTATCGTGTCATCGCTGACAGGCCTTCAGGCGAATTGATCCAGGACCAGGCGTCGTTGATGTCGCGGGAATTAGAAAGTTTGTTCTCAGGTTGGAGTACCTTGAAGACGACCTCAGGCTCGTGTGACTGTAATGCGAGGGATAAGACACTTATGGAAGGAGGCGGAACATATAATTGGTTGTGGTCAGGATCTTGGGGTGGATAGTGTTCAAAAAGGTAGGCAATAATCTTGAGATGGCCTTGTTGAATGGCAACGTGAAACGCGGTGTAATTTTGCGAATCGCGTTCTTCCATTTCAGCACCTATGTAGGCATGATTAACGCAGGTGTATGATTATAGATTGATCGAAATGACTAACCGTGTTTGTCTAGGAAATCTACTAGCTCGAGGTTTCCTTTGCGAACGGCGATATGTAAAAGAGTCTCTTTTGGGTCCTTGGGCACGGTGTGAACAAAATCGTCGTGTCCAGACTTGACCTCACCGCCCGCAGCGTCAACATCGTTTTCCCAGATGCCCTTCTTCACATCTTCAACTCTTCCTTCACGAGCGGCCTGGAAAACTGCGGAACGATTTTTTTGAATTTTCTCCCGTTGAGAACGAGCAGCATCTTCGGCTTGTTGACGTTGCGTGTGAGCCTTCGCTTTTTTTTCTCCGTTTTTGGTTTTCCGTCGTTGTTCGGCGGCTAAACGCTCTGGAAGAAAAACAGGAGCCTTCAACATTTGAAAATTGAGGGAGAAAAACAAAAATTAGCGGTTACCTTGTTTTCTATCTTGTTCTTTGAGCTCCTTTCGAACTGCTGCCTCCCTTTTACGTCTCAGTTCCGCCGCCTCCTGCTCTTCGCGAGCACGGCGAAGTCGTTCTGCTCGTTCTTGCGCTGTCTCTCTTGGTTCAGGCTCGGGCTCGGGAGGGGAAGGATGGAAACCTGAAGGTTGATAAGATGGGAGGTTATATGCTAGAAGGCGGCTTACGAGGATATCCAAAGCTTGACATAGAGGAGGGGCCCCGCTGGTGACCTCGAAAGTAAGGATGCGATCGGCCACGCATGAAATTTTCGAAAACGAATCTAAATCAAAGTTGGTAATGAAAATCGAAGTTGAAACCAAGAAAGGCTTACACGTAGAAGTTCAATTCATTATCAGGATCATCATAGCCGTAGTACTCGTCTTCAGAGCTATCAGCGCTACCAGAATGTGGCCTTCCAGTAGCACGCGAAGTGTCGAGATGTTTAAGGAGTATATTGTAAGCTTCTCCAACTCTCTGGAACTCGGCAGTGGCGTCTGGATTATCGGGATTCTTATCAGGATGGGTACGCAGAGCAGCCTAAGTGCGATGATGTTAACAGCAGTTGAGAGTTCTACAACGAAAGGAGGGCAATACCTGCTTGTAAGTATTTTTCACGACTTCCAACGACACGCCCTGAAGATGTGAAAAGTTAAAAAAAAGGGCATTGAGAGGCTGAAAAAAAGGAATTCACTTCTTCTAACCCCAGAACGGAATAGGCATTGACCAATGCCGATGCTCTGGACATTATCGTGAGTGCAGTGTGTAGTTGCGAAGGCCGGTTAGTAGTCGCGAAAACTAAGGAAATGCAAATTCATCGAAATTGAATAAAGGGGCGCGAGCAACGTGACCTCTGGAACTTTGCGAACTACGAACTTAGAGACGGCCAGCCAGGACAAACCCTTGCATGTCCACTGACAACCCAAATACAATAATCAAAGAGGGTTTGAACGATGCCGCTGCTCCTTCAGCTCTGCAAAGTGGTACAAAAAATTGGCTGGAAGGATTAGACAAGTGTGCATGTTTCTCGTCATTCCCTCGCCTGCTAACAACGCGCCATAGTCCCTATTTTCAAGCTGGATTCGGCTTGATGGTGAGTCGCAGGGCCTATGCGATGCATTCTAAATATCTTATGACTTTACAAGGGAGTAGGAGTCGTGTTCGGTGGTCTACGTAAATTCACAACCTTTGCCGACGTATTCCTTCGACGTCGTTTGTTAGTCCAAGTTGAGATAAACAACAAAGATCGTGCTTACCCATGGCTCCTTTCTTGGATGGCTCAACAGAATCAAATTAACCAATCTCTCGGGCGTGTATCGGGTTCTCTCATCTCCAAAAGTCATCGACTCAGTGTCGAAACTACCGTGGAACAACATCAGAACGGAAGTTCTTCGGTTTTCTTCAACCTAGTTGCTGGAACAGGCATGCACTGGCTCAAATACCGCGGTGTCTGGATGCAGGTGTTGTTTTGCTCTTTGATCTAGACTTCGCAAGACGTTCGCTGAGTGTGGATCCACACAGGTCGTGCGGGAGCGTGACACGCAATCAATGCAAATGATGTCAGGAAATCCTTGGGAAACCGTTACATTGACTACGCTTTCGCGTGATCGAGACATATTCCTTCGCCTTCTGGCAGAAGCTAGAGATCTTGCCATGCGTGACCAAGAAGGTAAACTTGTCATTCAAACTCCTTGGGGTACCGAATGGCGGCCATTTGGACTCCCCAGGAGGAAAAGACCTTTGCACAGTGTCGTCCTAGACAATGGTATCGCTGCGGCCATCGAGAACGATGTTCAATCTTTCCTAAATAGACGTCAGTGGTACGTTGACAGAGGTAGGTCTATTTCTATTACGTGCATCCTCATCCTGCTGAAGTTCATCTTCTGTTTTCAAGGCATTCCCTATCGTCGTGGATTCTTGCTTCATGGTCCTCCCGGTTCTGGAAAGAGTTCATATATACAAGCTTTGGCAGGATCGCTGAACTATAATCTCTGTCTTTTGAATCTTTCCGAACGAGGGCTTGGTGACGATAAGCTCACACATTTACTTTCTACGGTACCGGAACAAAGCATTGTCCTTATTGAGGATGTGGATGCTGCCTTCAATAAACGAGTGCAGACATCGGAGGATGGGTAATGTATCGTCTCCCTCGACTACTTCTACACGCTCATGAATCGATAGGTATCAATCTTCCGTCACATTTTCCGGATTCCTCAATGCCCTAGATGGTGTAGCATCCGGGGAGGAACGGATTGTATTCTTAACAACCAATCACATCGAACGACTCGATCCGGCTCTTATTCGACCAGGTCGTGTAGATTTCACACAGTATGTCGGTGATTCAACGCCAAACCAAGCTCGAGCCCTCTTTGAACGATTCTATGGCACGGAACCTTTAGAGACGATCGACGTAGGCCAAAATCTATATGATTTAATAGAGGAGGAAATGAAGCAGGGGAAACGAATAAGTATGGCCGCATTACAAGGCCTCTTTATTCGCAACCACGATGCTCAGAGCGCACTCGCAGCCTGTCGGCAAACTTTCCTCGAAATTAAAAGTACTTAAATTGCCACTAATCATCAGAAGATACACTGGGCACAGATAATTCACAGCCTACATAATCCCCCTTCAATGAAATTATGCATATATTAAAACACAGGCTTCCGCTTGCGTCCTGTGAACTTTGAATCCCTCGGAACACTCTCCTTCCCTCGTTTTCGGTACAACTAGAGGGTGTGACATTTGTTGGAGATAATCTGTGCATAACTTGATACTCACCTCTTTTTTACGCAAAATCCAATCCCTATCAATAACCTTTTGCGACTTTCGTTTACCATTTTTATCTTTTCGCAAATCTCTCGCTCTTCTTTTCTCGAATCTCACTTTTCCATCTTCTACCACATCTCCATCTAATCCCTGGGGTATCTGCTGTTGCTGTCCTCCGCCACCTCCAACGTACAAACACAAAAATACTTTTCTCGCTTTATTTGAATTCGGGTAATCAACAACCACACCTCCTCCGAACCCTGCTTTCTGTGCTATTGAGGTGATGAGCTGTATTTGGTCGTCTGATGAGGGGTAGAATTGGAACACGGCTCGTGAGGGATTCCGAAGAGCAGAATGAAGGGTGGTGAAGAATCTATTGAGCCTATGTGGTGGTGAAGATGTAGGATGAGATGTTTCTGCGTTAAGCAGCCATTGCAGAACGGATATACTGAAAGATCGAGACATATGTGTTACAGATCGAATTTTGAAGGAGGCAGATGGTTGACACACCTTATAGCACCGTCAAAACTTCCAGGCCTAAAACCAAAGCCTTGACCGATATCTTGTAGAAATAAATCACCTTCGACCTCACGTTCCAGGGCAACCTCTGATATAAGCATGAAGTATATCCAAAGGAATAGTTCAGATCAGATTACCTAGCATGCTCGGTGCAATGTCAACGCCTGCCCATAGATATCCCTCTTCGTCTAAGATTTCGCCGGATAAACCTGACCCACATCCAATATCCAACAGAAAGGCAGGTTCATCTGGAGGTAGATTCAAAAGTTCCAAAGCCCGATAGGTCATATCGGCCTGGATTTGCTGATTTCGGGTGCTGGGGTCGTTAATGCATGTTGAACACGAAGAGTTACATTGAAGGCGCACTTTTTAGTGTACTTTTTGGCTTCGGTATCACCATAATACTATTGATACTGTCATTCCATCGTAGATATTGGATAAGAAATGTGAATTTACGATTTCGGGAGGCGCCTGGAGCTCTGGCCTCGACATTTTGGGGTTAAGAGAAATATTGATTGAAGGAGAAAGAAGAAAGTAGGCGCTTATATTTCCAAATCATCGCGCTCTTCCATACCACGAAGATGGCAACATCAAGCAAGCAGTATCTTACCCGCGGCGAAGAGCTATGGAAAGGGAGATCAGAGAAAGTTGTCAGTGAATAATTTCTCTACATGTATATGGATCTCAGATGTCCCAGAATGCAGAATTATTTGCCTTGACTTATGGAGCTCTGGTAGTACAACTAATCCAAGACTACGAGGATTATGCAGAAGTTAACAAACAACTGGAGAAGATGGGATACAATATTGGAACACGATTAATCGAAGACTTTTTGGCCAAGAGTAATCTAGGAAGATGTTCTGATTTCAGAGAAGTTGGTGAAGTGGTCGCAAAGGTAAATGTTCTGTACTGATTCATCATCCGAATGCTATATGTGATACCAGGTTGGCTTCAAATCATTTCTCAATATTTCGCCGTCCATTACACACCAAGCACCACCCGTACCAACTTCACCTACCCGGCCAACGAGTACTGCCCAGGCTAACAGCGCTGGGTCATCATTTTCACTAATATTCGACGAGAATCCGTTGGCGGAATTCGTGGAATTACCCGAGGATGCTCTCGAGGGGGGTTTGTGGTTCAGTAACGTTCTTTGTGGGGTGATCAGAGGTGCACTCGAGATGGTAAACGCGTACATCCTTCGGATGGTAATAACCCGGAGCTCAATACTCATTTTTCGCAGGTCCAGATGCAGGTGTCCGCAGAGTTCATATCAGATGTTCTACGAGGAGACGAGACGACGGAGATGAGAGTAAAACTGATCAAGCATTTGGAGGAAGAAGTGCCAATTGGAGACGACTAAATTCACTCAGTCTAGAAATGATAGCGTAACGAAGAAATGTGCTGCATTTGTACGACAATAATCGACATTCACCATCTGTCCAAATTGTTGAGTTTGCGAGCCGTCTTGGCGTTGGTCTGTGTTCTTTGTCCACGAACCTGCGAAACAAAATGAGTGTTGCTGACGCGCGATGAAAGTAAGAATTGAACTTACGGGCAAGTGCATAGCGTGCCGCCGACCAACGTAACTACCAATCATCCGTTGGTGTGCAATGTTTTCCCTAATCTCCCGTCTCAGCTCTGACTCTATCCTTAATTCTGTCAATGGATCCCGGGATTTCTTTTCTGGGGCCTTCCTTCCTCTCGTCGTCTTTCCCTTGACATCTTCTGCAGTACTTTTACCCATTTGCAGCAGCTTTTCTTCTCTCTTCTGCTTCTGAGCCGCTTTGGCAGCATTGAATTCGGCCTGAAGTTCCTGTATAGATTTAGATGGAGGCCGAGCGACAAAGTTTAGTGGGGCCAATGGATACTGAGGTAAAGGAAGAGCAGTTTTAGGGGATTGCAAGAAAGACGCGAGAGATGTGGTCTGAAGAGGTGTCAAATCTTTCACCCTACATTTGTCGTGTATCTGGAATCGGGCGCATAGTCGATGCGAAAGGTGAGGACCAACTCCGTATATAGTCGTAAGGGCAAACTGAATACATGCGTTAGCATAAGTTGTACAAATCAAAGAAAAGGTATAAGAACGAACACGAGCGAGCTGGTTATCAGGTAAATTTATACCGAGAATATGGACCATGGCTGTGGTATGTCAAGATTCTGAAGCGCGCGCGAGAAAATTCGCACCACTCGGACCTTTCCTTCCAACCATCACCACACCACACTTTACGATTATCTCTCATCCCATACCCAACTTATTCTATGGCTACCAGTAAAGCTGAAGGACGTCGCGAAGACGCTCTCGCTAAAGAACGGGAACGAATGCGTGAAGAGTTCGAGCGCCAGAAGAAGAACCTCATCGACGAAACCGAAAAATCCCGCCCTTCGTCCCATCGTTTCGTCGGTCAGAATGATTCTATGGAAGACTCGCTCAAATACAGTACCGTTGGGCTCGTACATCTCGAGGAATTTCAACAAAAACGAAAAGAACTCGAGGAGGCGAAAGCTAGAGAGGCAGCACGCACTAACGAGCTCAAGTATGTGCTTTCTTGCTTTGTGAAAAAGATCAGATGGCTTATAGGACATGGAGAATTTCTTTAGGGATGACATAAAGAAGGTGAAGAAGAGGAAGAAGGCCGCTAAGGCGACGTTGTCTTTTGCTATGGACGATGAAGGCGAGGGGGAGGAATCTATCAGTAAAGCTGAGTCCGAGCCGCGGTCTGCATCCAAGGATGAGGAGGATGCAGATGGTGATGGTGATGACGAGCGGGCCAAGAAACGGAGCAAGTTTCGCAAAAACCCCAACGTCGATACCTCGTTCCTACCTGACAGAGAGCGAGAAGAGGCGGAACGAAAGGAACGCGAGCGACTAAGGCAGGAATTCCTTCGGAAACAAGAGGAATTAAAGAATGAGGATATAGAAATCACGTATTCCTACTGGGATGGAAGTGGTCATCGGAAGAGTGTTGTGGTGAGCTGCAGCCCGCTCGTCTTTCCGCTTTTCTCGGGTCTAACAAGCAGTTTGTACGCATGAAATTTCCACCGCGCTCATTTGATAGTGTAAGAAAGGCGACGCTGTCAGTACCTTTTTAGACAAATGTCGACAACAGTTCCCCGAACTTCGTGGTGTCAGCGTTGATAACCTGATGTATATCAAGGTTGGCATTCTACTCTTTACTCTCTGATCTACTCTCGCTAAAGTTAATATAATTTCAGGAGGATCTTATCATACCTCAAGTAATTACCCTCTAAATTCCTGCATTTCCGACATGATACACTAACACCGGTTCCCTTAGCATTACACTTTCTACGACTTCATAGTCAACAAAGCCCGTGGCAAATCTGGACCTCTGTTCAACTTTGACGTCCATGACGACGTCCGACTGCTTGCTGATGCGACAAAGGAGAAGGATGAGTCGCATGCTGGAAAGGTGGTAGAGCGCAGTTATTATCAGCGCAACAAACATATCTTCCCGGCTTCTAGATGGGAGGTGTTCGACCCGGAGAAGAATTATGGGAAATATACTATAGCGTAGACTCGCTTATGAGTATACATTACTGAATAAGACTGTACTACTGAGTATCAGATATTTGGGATGAACAATTGAAGTGATCTGGAATCTTCTTCCGCTACTTCCATCTTTAACCTTTGACCTTTTCTCAATGGCTGGTACAGGAGCTCGAGAAAACGTTTTCGCCACTCGTATGGCACTCACGAATACCAAGCTCCGTCTCAAAGGAGCACAAACTGGTCATTCACTGCTAGCGAAGAAACGAGATGCATTGACGACACGGTTCAGGGCTATTCTCAAGAAAGTCGACGAGGTGCGGGTTGGGTTGGAGCTGTAGTTTGTTTTTATCTCGATGGTCGCTCACACACATATTGAACTTTCAGGCCAAGAGAAAAATGGGCCGAGTAATGCAGCTGGCGTCGTTGTCGATGGCGGAAGTCACCTACGCGACAGGGGATATATCGTATCTCGTACAAGAACAAGCTAAATCGGCGTCGTTTAGGGTAAAGTCTAAACAGGAGAACGTATCGGGTGTTGTGCTTCCTGCGTTTGAGGTCGATAGGGTGTCGGGATCTGGTGTGTTAACGACTATCGTAATCGTGAATTGAACGAACTCTCATACCTTTTCTTCTTTCTTTCTTTCTTTCGTTCTTTCTTTTGGTAGACTTCAACCTCACTGGTCTCGGTCGCGGCGGACAACAAGTTTTACGAGCGAAAGAAGTATATGCCAAAGCCATTGAAACGCTTGTAGAGCTGGCTTCGCTACAAACAGCGTTCACCATCCTCGACGAAGTCATCCGGGCAACGAATCGTCGAGTGAACGCTATTGAACATGTAGTCATTCCTCGGTTGGAGAATACGATCAAGTATATCATGAGTGAGTTGGATGAGATGGATCGAGAAGAGTTTTTCAGGTATGGTTCTGTCCCCTTCCCAAACTTTGTTTTATGAACCCCTACATACGATTCTCATTTGAATCCTTTTAATTAGATTAAAGAAAGTGCAGGGAAAGAAGAAAAGAGATACAGCTGCTCGACAGATCGAGCAAGAAGCAAAAGAGAAGGAGGAAGAAGCTGTTCTGGAACCGAATACAGTCGAACAAGACGATGAACATTCCACGGATTTGCTCAGTAACAAGGACAGCGATGTTATTTTCTGATTTTTCCCCCTTCTCATTTCCACATTCCTCATGTACCTATATTAGTTTATACCACGCAACGCACAGGGATTGTCTTTTAATGAATGGAAGCTTTACGACCCAGTTTTTCTGTTAGGGAGTGTTTGATGCACGAATTTTGTTTTTTTTTTGCGTATACAGAAACGCCTTTGAACCGCATAACATGTGAGGCAATGGCATAGCAAACGACGCATAAGTACATGGATGATAGGGTGAAAACAAAGCAGATGCGAAACCATTACTGAAAAGTAGGGGAAAAAAAAAGTCAATGTTAGCCCGCTGAGACGAACAACAACAACGCACGTCCACCATCTCCACATCGGTGCTCCCAGCAGCCTTGCGGTTTTTCCTATCAAGAATCGCGCGTCTATCCTTATCCAACTTGATAGTTGTGATAACCACATTGCTCGGGTGAATCCCAATAGGAGAGGTCGCTCCGTTTGATTTGTCTCTCTGCACACGGTCGACGTGGATGACCCATTTCTTCCTGTACACCTGTGTGACTTTGCCCTCTCTGCCTTTGTATTTGCCGCGCACGATGCGGACTTCGTCGTCTTTGCGGATGGGGAGGGAACGAGCCTATATGGGAAGGAGAGTGAGGATGTGAATGAGTCTTTTGGGTGTGGGAGTAGAGGAGAGCAAGAAATCAAATCAAATCAGGATAGATGTAGGTAATTACATTGTGTTTGCCACGGAGCTCCTTGGAAAGCGCAGAAGACATTATCTTTCTACGGATCGACGACGGAGCAGAGAAGTGCGCTTTGTGGGCCTTGCGCCGCGAGGAAGAGACGTCTGTCATGATAAGGAGTAGAACACAGTAGTCAGTAAAGCATATCATCCATCGATTCAAGGATTCAGGATTCAAAGTAAAATCCAAAAACTAAAACGCCAAAGTGCGTCGGTTTTTAAATGACGAACAGACGTAGCGGTACGGGTAGAGGACATAATATGATATCAAGACCCACCAGCGTTGAACTTCATTTTTTGAGAGGCGGAGGGGCTCTTGTATGCCTTGAATGCCCTTGCGGAATATTGTTCGTGTCGTTAGATTGGAATGTGGTCGTGAGAAAAAGTGTTATAGTTGGTACTATAAACACGTGATGACTAAATTACTCGAAAGGTGCTGCAACTTTTAGTGAGTGTCATGTACTGGTCATGTACTAGTTGTAACTTGGAAGGCTTGTCAACGCGTCGTTTATTCTCATTCCAATGCTACGCGTCTTCCGCATCGCAAATTGAGCAAGAAATTTTTCGACCTGATTTCCTCGCACAAAAGTGACACAACCTTCGGCTCTGTTCGGCTATGGAACCCTTATCCTCAACGCATGGTTCGATGCAAAAGTCAGTTCTAGCGCTGTACTGAGTGGACATAGGTGGCCATTGGAAGACCTAGCAACGCATGATGCATCTGGGGAATAATTACGCTCCACTTATTGGTTCATTGAATCATTCTGTCTGAGTAGAGCGCGGTCACGAGTGCGTCGTCTGTCCACGTGCAACCGCTCATCGAGATCCTCGCAGGATCCGCGAAAGAATCGTGATGTCGTCATGGAAAGTCGCAAATCGCGTCGTTTCGGGGACTCATCGCAGAGAGGTACGTAGACCGACGTCATTTATTTTTTACTCGACCAAGAGGTATAAAAGCTTTCGAGTTTGAGACTAGTTCCCAGAAATCCCCGTTCAAACTCTTATCCATTAACCCACTCAACCAAATTATCTGATTTAATCATGTCCGACACTGGCCGCCAGAACTTCACCGACAAGGCTTCTAATGCTTTGAAGGTCAGCACTATTGCGAGCAATACATTGGTCTATCGATGCTCATCTTTTCTTCTATGCAGCCCGAGTCTGAAAAATCCACCGTTGAGAGTCTGGGAGACTCAGCCAAATCCACCGGTGACTCATTAGCTTCGACCTTCCAGCCAGAGGTGAGCACCAGTAGTATCTTTTGATGAACTAACTAACTCTAATGCAGAGCCAGAAATCCACTACTCAAAAGGCCGGTGACGCTTTCAGCTCCAACTCGAACGAGAACGAAGTACGACGCTCTCCCTCGTACCTGCGTAACAATACTGATTGGTTATTCTTTCTCAAGGATTCGTTGTTGACCAAGGCTCAGAACGCTATCGGCCTTGGAAACTCCGGCAACACCAGACAGTGACCTGGTTATATATCCAAGCGTTTGTAGTCGATGCAGAAGATATGTAAGAGTAATCAAATGAAGTGAATATAACATGAATCGTTGACGGTCTATCTATCTGCGAATGCTTACATCGTGTTCACTTCAGACGGTGACGAGCAGGTTGACAAATGATACAGTCTCTGTCACTGTCAGGCAAGATTGGCTGTGATGCGCACTTTTCCTTCCTTCCCATTGTATCGATATCTTACTCCTACCTTATCTTGCTCATTGCTCCATGTCTGAATGCTTGTTCCGGAAGGGAACAGTCAACCTTGCTCTTCTCACCTTCCACTTCTCTCCCTGAACTGGTAACTACTGCACTCTGAACAACCGTGACTTTCACTCCGGAACCCTTATCTCGATTGAAATTCGTGAATGGTTATTCAGCAGAAGTCATACTGGAAAACCTCTGGTTCGTTGTAGCAAGAGTTAACAGACATCATTCTTCCCAGTAAGAAAAACAGATAAACCCGCTAGGGCCAGTTCTTCAATTAACCAGCGCAGATCTCATAAGTATACACGTACTAAAAATCTGTTGAAAAGCTTAGATACCTACAGTCAATCGCGTGTATCACACAAACACACAAATCATAACTATCTAACATCGCAGGACCACCACAAAAGGCCTTTACACAGCTTTGGCAGGCTTTTGTCTCGAGGCCTTCCTCGACGAACGGTAATCCTTGTGACCGCCACGACACAACCGCCATTCGTCCCCTCAATCGAAGGAGCCAACGACTAAAAATTTCAGGGTTGGGTATGTGGAATAACATTTCACCGTTGAAACGATGATCTTTGGGAGAGTTCGAACAGTGTTTGGGAAGGATTCAAGAATCAAGGTAGCTCCACAGCGTTAAACCTTGTACCAATGTCTCTATTGGAAGATCGACCTCGTACTCGAGATGCATGACTGAAAACAAAATAAATATAATATATCATCTCGTAACAGAAAGTAAGAAATCATATTCAAAAGTCGACCTAGGTAGTATTCCACCCAAGATTTATACTGGGCCTGCCTTCCCACCCACCAAAATGTTCTCGAAACTAGATGGCACACCCGACGTCTTGGGCTTTTCCATTGGCTTTTCCATTCCACCACACTCATTCCACATCTCTTCCCACTCTTGCTTGCCTTCGTATGTAAATTGGAAGGACTTCAAGTTTGTTTCCATATATTGCATCACCCTGAAAATATAGTCCCACTTTGATGAACCACTTATGTTATCTTCTATGTGCCTGTACAACGAGGATTTCTGGGACACTGTAAGATCAACGATTGCAATGTTCTTGTTAGCATGGCGGTGAATGACAACACCCGTGAATACGTTCGGGTTGGTGTTTGCTTGAGGTGAGTAGGCGCGTTGGGTATTGACAAATATAAGCGGGTCAGCGCAATGGGTATGGGTGATCCCTATGGTCGATCTTGTGACTAGATGAAAAATTGTTTAGAGATTGGGAAGATGTGTTTGATGGGCTGACTATGGGCCAAGATATGACGCACTTTTGCCACTGGAACCTTTTGGTTTAGTACGCTTTTCGACCTGTACTGCCATATCCACGTCCGTCAACGGAGCGGCGGTGACCACAAGGATGGACGGAACCAACAAGAGAAACATAGCCAACAAGCGCAATGGCGACAGAGTGAGCATCGGTGACGGTGGCAACTGTTTATGAGGTCGAGAAATTATGAAGAAGGACGAGCGTGCTTTGCGTGAGAAGCGATTTGTGAATGATGAGGACCTGGAAAACAGCGCAAAAAAAAAAAAATGCAACGCGGATCATGTTAGTATCCTGTGCGCACAAAAAAAAGAAAAGTGAAAAGTGATATAAAACATACATACCTGAGCTCGAGGGTGGACGGTGAACGTTGGACGTTGAACGGAGAATCAAACGTGAAAGGGAATTCTGACCAGCAGAAATTCTTTCACTTTTGATGGACGTAACAAGTGTGCGTTGGTCGACGGTGTCACTGAGTGAGAGTGCGTGGCTGAAGGGGGGTCAAACGTAGTCAGATTCAGAGGAAGTGAGTTGATGTGGAGATGGATGGGGGGTTGTGAAAATGCTCGAAGATTATAACATATTATCTTAACACACCTGCAAAAGGCCGGTTGAATTAACGTACCCTGTTGGGGACTAGTGTACACAGTCAGGCGTGGAAACTATCAAATTATCATCTGAGAAAATATGATCTCTGATTGACGCCGAATATGGTAGGATTCTAAAAAGGTCGAGTGGTGTTCTCCTTCCAAACTTCGGATCACCTTGCTTGCTTCACCTTGCTTGCAATGGTCATTGAACATCCATAACCTCAAGCGCCCGTGCAAAATTTCCTTTTAAAGTTATCTTTGTCCGGTCCGACGCATCGCTTTTGCCCTATAAGGCAATCATGTGACCCTTTTGTGAACCTTCATGCAGCCCCTGATTTACTTTCCCTTGCCCCAACCCTGCGCTCGCCCATACTATGTAAACAGCCTCCCTCAGTATCGCTTCGCTTCATCTCTATCCTTTCCCGATACACTCAATTGTTCCCTTCTTTCAAATGGTCAGTCTTTCCTTTGTATGATTTACTTCTCTTTCATTGAAGCCCCCTATGCTGCGATCTCTGTTTGATGTCCACTGAAATAACCATCTGTTTCTTATCTTTTTTTCACCACTTTCTGTAGGGAATCATGAAAAGATTATGTCCACAACTTGCAACCAAAATTTATGATTTCCTTGCTGAAGTGGGAAGATTGTACTGTGCTACAGTTATAGTGAGTGCACATCACAAACACATAGTAATTGCTTACCTGCATACAGAACCTACCAAAAGTTATCCTTCCATATCAGCAGCAGCCACACTTGAAAATTAATACCAGAGTACTAGGTTATCTAAGGTGGAAGAGAGGCTTGGATGTGTGTCGATTTAACAATAAAGTGGCCATGTTCATGAACAATGATACAGGCTTGGTTTCAGTGGGAGTAGTACAACGAGTTTTGATCTGTTTTGATTTTTGACATAGAGCCTGGCTGAATTTATGTCAATCAGCACTATGAACTTGAATAGAAAGCATTGATAATGAGAGTTTGCTATCACAACACAATCTGAAATCAATGTTGTCTGGCATGTGAGAAGGAATACAAGCAAGGTGTATGTCCCCAAAGGGGTACGTTAATTATGTAGGTCCTTTGGCATACCACTCTGATCAGCGCGCGTGAAGATTTTACCACGGTCCAAGATCAGATTGCACCAAATCCGTATACTTTTCACTGCTTTACAAGTTTGGCACTGGTTTGGAATATGATCAGCTTAGTACTGCCTCATTTTGCATGTGGTCACACATGCACTAACACAACATATCTTTCTTTACCATTGCTCCATTGAAATGATTATGAACAGATGAGCAAAGTGAAGCAATCTGAGGTGTGTGCTGCCCACAAGGTCACAGCCACATCCCTACCTCCATATTTTACACATTTTACAGAGGTGCAACAGCTCATGAAGCTATGACATACATAGAAATATAATGTTAGGAAATGATTGTTCTGACTGTGATAACCCTAAACACAAAGCCAAGCAAGGTGTAGGGCCCCAGGGGGGGTACACTAGTTATGCACTGCAGTGCATCCATTTTTGATATCCTTCCAAATGATCCAGTCTAATTTTTTATTGAATATATTCCAAATCCAGGCCTCCGGCGTCACTTAAGCACAATTTGCCACTGAAAATTTTCATACCATTGCATGTCAAAAGGAATGATATTACTACCATAATATTTCAAGTATATACATGCACATTAATGGAGGAAATTTTGAAGGATATGTGTATGTAGACTACATATGTAGGAAGTTGTAAGTAATATTTTGAACATCATGTTGCTGTCATTGACATTGATGATGAATTGCCCAATGACCAAGAGGTCGAGATGGGGAACTAGGAGCTACCTACTGCTCTTTATATACTACTTCTGTCTAATGAGTAAGCAATTGTAAATAACAATGCGATATGGAGTGAGTATGAGGCATTAATATATACGGGTGATAAACCATTTGTTTCAGGGTAGTACAACGTTGTCAGGGCAGATTCAATACCCAATTGTTTTAGTAAGGCCTTCATAATGTCGGCAGCAAATTGCAGTCCTTGATCGGAGATAAATTATCTGGAAAGTTCATGAAGTCGGAAGATTTCTTTATAATAGAAATCGGCAACTCCTTTGGCAGTAAGTTTGGTTGTAGTGGGGAAACAGTGAATCATTTTGGAGTAATGGTCCATGAAGTTGATTGCCTGTAAGACCTGGGTCAGAATTGGTCTTAGGGTAGGTGTTGGTATAGTGAGTTCACGTTGTAGCGTGCTAGGAGCAGGCTGGAGCTTGAAGGGAGCTACAGGAACCGCAACCGAGGACAGGAATGACCTAGTAGTGGCTGGGATAGAGAGATATGACCCTTGAAGGGGTTCCTATAAGGTCCAGGAAGGTCCCTAAGGCGTAGGGAGGGGTGGTAGAAGTACGGAACCTAGTAGTGTTGCGTAGTAGGAGTTATACTCGCTAGAATGTCAACGTAAGATCGAATAGGTTGTAGTGGAAGTGGGTCTCGAGTGTGTAAGCTCCTGAGAAGATATACACCTGGGAGGGGAGGTCCCGGGAACTGGGGCTTAGAGGTGGACGTCCTCAAGTGTTGGAGGTTGTAACGGTAACGAGCTTGCCTCGTTTTTGTGTGAAAGATAAAGGAAGGAATCTAATGGGCACTCCAACCAACCAATCTAATGTTGAGCATACTGTAGTGATAGAACACTTTCTACATACATTACACAGCGCTTCATCACTCCTAGTTATCACTGTAGTGACTTACTTAGTGTACAAAGTACTTACAGACTTCATTACTTAGTTTTACAACTCATAACTTAGCTATTTCTTTAGTGTTACTGTAGTTAGTTAGTTTTCATAGGTGCGCACAATTGTGGACACCTATTATCACGCCTCATGCGTTTCTAGTACATACAAGACCAAACAAACCTGTATTCCTACTACAGTTGAAAGATACAAATCAATACTCATACTATATTGACTCTGGTCATTGTTACTGTGTTTATTGGAGTACTGAGCAACTACAAGACTCTGTAGCACAACCTACTGAGCTTGTATTAAGGCATTGACATTCTCTGCACTGAGCTGGGTGGCATACTGTTTGGGTTAGCTGAAGGGCGCTCCAGTGTGTTTCAACTTCAACAAGTGCAGTCTCCTTCAACATCTAATACAAAATATGCGAGTTCACTGCTATCAAATTTATTTAATAGCAAGGGGTAGCATTGGCAAAGGTTCCGCAAAGCTTTGAGAGCTAAGTAAGAAGCTTCGATCAATCAATTTGAATTGTTCTAAGGATTCGATATATTCCTTTGATCAAGATAGATTCAGCACGGTTCGTGCTTCGATTGTATTGATATGGGTATATCAAGAATTGGGGGTTTGAATCAAAGTAAATTAAAACCAAAACACACAGACCCCTACGGAGGGCTAGAACTATGTGCTGGCACAACCACACAACGTGATTTGCCCTTAAGACCAACGACTGATCCTAAGTTCGAAGAATACCCAACAACTGGATATACTTCTCACAGTCACAAGGAGCAGAACACAATGTTCCTATACTCACAAGTGCCGGGCCTGAATGGCTGCTAGTGAAGAGGTTTCAGTCTGGCGGGAGTGTGTCTTTCCTTTTTACAGATTAGCACTGCAACGTCATCCCAAAATCACTTGTATTCCAGATACATCGGATCACTATTTATACATACAGAATATAGAGTTGCTCAGTACAATTAATTTAATACAATAAACGTTCGGAACTGCAAGGAGACTTCTACAATCGGTCAGATACCATTTAATTTGAATCTTCATGTCCTTATTTGGTCCATAATGGTTCCAAGATTCTAGTATACCTCCAAACATAGGTAGGTACTTCAATGTTTATTTAATTTAATTGTCGTTGGAGAATGACTCGAATGGTGTTCAGCTGTCACTGCTGTTCAACACTTACTTTGATTGTTTGTCACCTCGTCCGGAGGCAAATCAGCTCTCCTCGATTCTAATCCTATCAACCTGATTCATCTGGATTAAACTAATTGCTTCTCTCTTTCAATAGACACCCATTATGCCTATACTCTATCAAGGGAGTTACGCATAGTATTCATTTAATTGCATTCTTCAATATTTTCTACGTCAGGACTCTTTTGACATTCATTTGATATGTCTTTGGAGCCTCGCAGTACTTCGATCATTCTTCTAGTCATTTTCCTCAACCATGCAACCTGATTGGTCTATTAGACTAAATCGCAGTCTTTTAGATTAATGCATGATCTTGTCCTAGAAGGAGTATTTGATAATTCCTGAGTTCTAGAAAGTCATTTCGAGTCAATCCTCGGCTCATGGTCACTTGAGTAAGTTCTTCCAAACTCCTGCCAGTATAAGGTCCAATAAGAATACCCTTGGTATGTCATACGTGAATGGTCATCCTTCGGATGTAGTCCGAGTCTGGTATAATCCTGCTTGACAAACAGGTAGACTGCTATCCGAAGGTAGTATCGGGGATGGGTAAACTAATCCTTTAGCGCCGCGCCCCGCACGGCAGTCCCCGACTCTGAAAGTCAATATTTTAGTTGAATATGAAACCTAATTTC